AGTCTTTGTCTTCGTCCGGAGCATTGAGTCCGACGGCGAACGCCCAGATGCCTAGCCGATCGCCTGCGGGGTTGTTATTCGAGGGGATCCCTGCGTCAGCGCCGGTCTTCGCGAACCGACTTAGCATCCCTTCGGGGCGGTCGCCATCCACGCGCCAGGCTTCGTAGTCGGCGGGCGTGATGCGGGATGGATGATGGGGCCGGGAGGGGTGGTGGCCTCCGTTGGGGGAATTGGCGCTGCCCATCGGCGTGGCCTGGTAGACTTCACGACAGCGGAACTTCTCGATGTCCCAGACGGTGATTTCGTTGCCGTGGCTGCCACTACAGGAGACACAGACCCAGCGGCCACGGGCCTTCGTCGGGTGGACCTGAATTCGGTTGATAGCGCCCCAGCCTGGAAGACCCCAGGCCTTCAGCCGCACGCGGAAACGCAGATCCCAGAGGTCCAGAATACCGTGGGTTGTGCCGACGAGTAGCCAGTGGTGTCTGCGATCGCAGCAAAAGGTGGTCAGAGCACCATGGTGGACTGGATTTTCTAATGTATAGATCGGTAGCATGGTCTTCATGTCCAGTGCAAGAATACGGCAGGTGTTGGTCGCAACAAGTAAGGTGGACTGCCCTTCATCGCGGAAGTGCTCCATCCAGACGGCGTACTCAACTGATCCGTCTTGAGCGACGGGCAGTTGGTATTCGCGAACGAGCTGCAGCTTGCCGTACCGGACAGCCGTCTGGCCGACCTTCTGATAATCGACTCGAACGGCATGGATGCTGCCATCAGTAGCCGCACTGATGAATGTGTAAGTATTCTCTACGAAGGTCAGAGCCTTGACGCGTGAGCCTGTCGCATGACGATGAGTTTGACGAGATCGGGGGGTCAAGTTCCTCTCGAGGCGAGTTGTGTCCCAAATCTTCACCGTGCTATCATCAGAGGCAGTCGCAAAGAAGGAGTGGTCTGGAGCGACCACCACCCGGTTGATTGCCGCGCTGTGTTCACCGAACGTCGCGACGAGATTACCCTCCGGTTTCCAGACCTTATTTGGCTCTTGGTCGGTAGCGCTGCGAATGGGTAGCCGGGTATCCAGTTCCTTCACATACGGACCCAGGTCAAACAGGTCTGTTGGGTAGTTCTCTGCAAATACATTGTCCAGCAGCCGCAAAACCGCAGGATCATTGCCGTGATAGGAATGGTTGGGTCGGTATTTCTTGGACGGGAGTTGGGCGGCCTTGCGCTCATCTGAAAGTAAGGATGTCGATGGCTGGGGGGTTCCGCCTCGGTGAACCGGTGCATCTACCTTGCCAAAGGCATTTGCAGAGCTTGTGCCGGTTTCCGCGTAGGCTTTGGCAGTCTCCTTGCGATTCAGCAGGTTGATCGCGCTGGACTTTTTGCTGACCCGATCAGACAAGCTTCTTAATTCCGGAGTATCGGCCCTAGTAGGTGTCGATGAGTCGTCTGCATCTGGGCTTTGACGACGGGTGGAATGTCTGCGATCAACATCCGAGCCTGGAGGAGATAAAGGACGAGATCTTGTGCCAGCGGCGGGCGAGGATGCCAACGGAGACGATGATAGCGACGAAGAATCATGTCCATCCAGAATAGGAATGCCTGAAGGTCGTCTTGACTCTCTGTGAGCTTGGCTCTTGGATCGCAAGTGCTTACGATGAGTACTGGGCGCTCGTTCAATAGTCGTAGAGGCATCGAGTAAGGCATCTGCGATAGTTCTCGGTCTCGTATCATCGGCATGACCATCATTTCTGTCCAGGGACGCTCTTCGTGGCGAATCAGGGATTTCCTTGTCAAAAAACACCGTTTGAAGCTTGACTTGTTGTTGAGTCAAGCTGACAATGTCGTTTATAGGTAGCACCGACTGGACATCAGATTCTCTCGAATGTCGTAATGAGACCCTCCAGATGTAATCCTTGAGAGCGACCAGTTTGAATTCATCTTCAGAGCCCATCCCAATGTTTCTCAATCGGGACAGCCATTGTTCATCTTCGTCATTCCTTGATTGTGCAGCCATCGTGAAAGAAGGATTACGTTGTCCAACACGAGAACTGAAAGCTCCAGGCTCAGATAGGCCGAACATGCCATCCCTGCTTGTTGACTTCCAGAATACACCTTTGTCGGATTTGAGGGCCCAGAAGAAAGCCATCTCATAAACACTCCGCGGCATTGGTCGTTTGAGTGCACCAAGGATTTTGGCCTCTGAAAAGTCGATAATCTGGATTTTGAGGAAGGGACGGAGGAGGGGTGCCAATATAGAATGAATGTCCGCTATTGACAGGAACTTGGCTGAGTTCACCACGAGGTTCACGGTTGCCTCTCGGATCCAAATATCCGGATGTACCAGAAATCCAACCGTGGTGTGAAGGAGATCCCATGTTGTCGAACGTTGGAACAAACCTAGATCAGCCATGGCTGCTAGAGAGCGAATCACCCTTTCCACAACAAATTCTTCAGGCTCAGTCAGGGATTGAACCATGAGTGGCAATATGTATAGCTCAAGATTGATCGTTCCCACGTAAGCCGCGACACCAACCACGGCCTTAAAAAAGGCGCATTTCAAGATCCAATCCGGATCGTTCAGGTATGTGTTTAAGTGACTGAGAACGACCTCATTCGCCTTGAGATTGCCAAAGAAGACACACAAACTGGACACGGAGCCCAGGAAGGCCCGCCGAACCGATGCATCTGTATCCGTCAACAGCGCCTTTGTATGAACTTCAAAGTATTCCAAGAGATCTACCCGAGCCACGTCGTACAGGTTGTGGTATGTTGCATCCTCAGTCCATCGCGGCTCAAAGCCGACCGGTATCAATGCAGCTAGACGGGTATCTGAGCGCAATGCTTGGATCATATCTAAGAACCTCAATGAGGACTGAGCCAAAGACGCAATGCAGGATGCATATGCGGCACGGACCATGGCACTTGGATTTGTAGGTGATGTTGCAACAAACGGCTGGAGCCTGGGGAAGATGTATTCAGAGAACAAGTACGCATTGACCGGGGAAACTACTTGAACCATTTCCAGTAGTTTAGTTAGAGTGCGGATCGCCGCAACTCTGACAGTGTCGGTCCGATCAGTCAGGAGGATCATGACGTGGGGAAGAACTCGGTCCAATTTGGCTTCATCCGACAATCTTTCTGCAAATGCCAAAAGAATATCGCAGGCTTGGGCTCGGGCCGATGCCTTGGATGTGTTTCGCAAATTAGAGACTACGAGGGTGAGGAAAATCAAAACACCCTCGTCGGTTTGTGACGGTCGTATTGAGACCTGGGTTTCCCCATTCGGCAGGTCAAGCTTCACAGGGAGAGTGTTGCCAGTCAGCCTGGAGACTGGGGGATTAGACGAAGCTCCGGCACGGGAATTGGAACCGAGAAAGTAGGAGATCTTATCAAAATCCAAGTAAACTCGCTCAATTCTTTCATCTGCCTCGCCTCTGTTGGCTGACTCCGCGTCCATATCAGTTCGCCCGGAAGAAGGATCCGTCATAAGAGACATGTACTGGTGGAGAAAGCTGTAAAAGTATTCTGGGAACGCCTTTCCCTTCCAGAAATTCAGATATTCGTCAGCAGAATATCGGGACTCAGGTTCAAGTTGGATCATATGTAGAATTAATTCTCGAATTTCCGGGTCTTCGATTTTTGCCAGCTGGCTGTGCTGTGGGCTGTATTCTCCTTTGCGGTACTTGTACATTTGACTCAGATTGAAGATGGGCGACTCGAGGAAGAGTTCCGCAATGACACACCCAGCACTGAAGATGTCCATTGCCCAGTTGACACCGCTGTCGCTAGGCTCTTCTCCGGCAACGCAGAATCGCTCGGGAGCCAAGTAACAGGTCCGTCTTCCAGAAATGTCGAAGAAGAAAGAAAAATCAGCTGGGTTGTCCTCTGGTAAAAATGTTGGTTTGAAAGATGATGAGAAGTCTGAAAGGTACAGCCAGTTCCAGGCTGTTACTAAAACGTTTTCAGTCTTGATATCGCCATGGTAGATGTCCAATGAATGACAGTCTCGAAGAGCGCACAACAGCTGAAATGCAATCCATTTTTTCTCAACGTGCTCTAAAAATGGACGTGTGCTGAGCCACTGTTAGACTTCGCTTGCAGGTATCAAAAGGACAGACATACCTCATTCGATCATATAGAGAGCTGTGGATGTACTGGCGCACGAGGTATCCACTCGTGCTGGTCTCGAGGATCCTCTGATAGCTCAATGCATTTGGCACGTCCAATAACAACTTGCGTTCCCCTGAGCTGAATGTTAGAATATCGAACTGGTCAAGAGGGGTCAAAACTTACTCGTGATGGCTTTAATGTATGGCTCCAGCTCCATCGTGGGGAAAGGTTTCATGATGACCTTAATAAACACTAAGCCATTTTGCTGTCTCGCCCGAATGCTCTTCATGAACCTGCCCCCACCCATGGACTTCTCATACACCAAGTCGGACAGCTCCGGTACATCGATCCCCGCCGACCCTGCCGACAGGGTTGTGAGGGAGTAGCCTTGTCCCATGGTGTCGACTGCCCCTCATCTCCTGTAGAGACAAATATTTGACCAAGAAGACCAGATGTTGAGACTTTGCGATAAGGAAGTTTGAGGCTAATGAAGTCACTGGACGCGTCAACACGTGATAAAAGGCGGTCAGCGATGCCGACAGCTCTCAGCAGCTCATTCCAAGGCTTCTTCCTGGAAACAATTCTTTGCTTAGACCTTGGTTTCTGAAAGGCTTTGTTATTGCAATGATTTTTGTGCGCGCCAATTAAACATTCATCGATTAAAACGACATGAGCCTCTTATCGGAGATACCTCGGTCTTGACACCGACATACAATTCTGCCAGGAGACAACAAAAGCAGTAAAAAGGAGACACTTGACAAGCTGCTTGAGAGAAATCCCAATTACGGGGGTTGATAGGTCTGTATTGATTTATTCGGTTCTCTGATCCTGGATAATTCGCTAACGGTTGAAGTGAGCTTCACATTGCCTACTGCCAGTGTCAAACAATGGAACCACATACAGTCAGCATGGATCACACTGAGATTCCGATCATCGACACTGGCGAACCTCTTTTTGATGTTCTTCCCAAGCTGTTCAAGTGAGTTTTGTCTACTTAGTTCTACAACACGACTAACAAATCCATGTAGCTTCATCAGCATGGCAGTGGGCGATATGGCATACACATTCGAGCAAATGATGTACGGCTCCCAAGGACACCGTCTCAGACAGTTAGTCCATGCTTTAGCCGAAGATAGTCACAATCCATTCATTATTGTGGCTTTGATGTAAGCCTCTCATCGATGGACTTGCCAAGATTGTCTCGCTAATGAATGCAGGATCCTGAAATGGGAATTTGACACTGCTGTCGAGGACGACTGGGGCCTCAATGAAAGCCGAGGTGCAGCGTGTGAGTTCGTTGCTTGGCAATTCCTATGTCATCTGAATCAGCACGAGACAATCGAGTTTCTGCTAGAGGAGCTTCCGATCCCACGGCGCAATTCTGCAAATTCCATCGAAGCAGAAGCAGATACTTCTGGTTTGACATCTCGAGGTGGCACACACAATACCGAAAGCGAGACTACGCCTCTCTTGCTAAACTCGTCCTCTTTGAGTCGTCTTTTTGGTGGCAGAGCGAACGAAGCCGGGTCTACCGGGAACTCACAGGGCGCAAACTCGCAGGACGAGACTTACGCTGCCCAGAGGTACTCCCAATTTTTCGGATTGAATGCGTTGGAGATCGCAACAATTGCCCATGCAAAGAGATTTCTAAGCCAACGAGTTGTTCAGCGAGTTGTTGATGATATATGGAATGGGGAAATCGTGTTCTGGGATTCTTTGACAGTGCATTCAACCAAGAAGCCCCAGCTTTTCAACAGAAGGTGAGACTTGAAACTGGATAAAATTAGCAGGGATGCTGACATTCGTTTAGAACAGCAGATCCATATTCACGTTTGAGGGTACCTATCTACCGCAAGGTTTTTGAAGCGGCCTTCTTCGTCTCTTTCCTTTTCCTCTACTACGCAGTCCTTGTGGAGAGGAAGCAAGATGCCGTTGGTGTTTTCGAGGCCGTAATGTACGTGTGGATTGTTGCCTTTGCGTACGACGAGCTGAGTGGGATCATCGACGCCGGGGTCGTTTTTTACCAAATGGATTTCTGGAGTCTGTGGAATATCAGCATCATCGGGGTCGGAATGGCGTTTGTCATAACTCGTGAGTCATTTGTTCGAATCTGCCTTGCGGCTCTTCACTTTCCAGATCATTGATGAGCGGCTAATGAGGGCGCCGCAGGAGTCATTGGGTTGGTCAAGGGCGATAACCCCATGATCGAACTATCATTTGACATTTTGTCTCTGGAGGCTCTATTTCTTGTGCCAAGGCATGTTATTCGTGGAGCATGCATGGTGGCGACAGAGCTGACCGGATGAACAGGATCTGCTCACTCGTGAGCTTGAACTCATACTTCGGCAGTCTAGTAAGTGGATTCTGCATGAAAGACATTTCCCGAGAATGGTCAACTGATTGTGCCTGCGAATAGATACCTGTATTGAAGGAGATGGTACGATGATCTCTCCAGGCTTCGGGGCCCAAGGCTGACCACTGAATATTTCAGACAAAAGCGTTCTTTAGGTTCTTTCCAGTGGTTGTAGTATTGTATATTGGTGAGTGTGGCTTAGCAGATGCAACCCCGAAAAGAGCCATGTCTAATGGCCTGCAGGGTTCCTGACGACATTTACCATGCTCGCCCGTGACCGCTTGTCTCTCGATACAATGTCACATTTATTAGTGAAGGTGTTCTTTGGGTATGGCGGTGAAATAATCCCTGTTACGCCCGTTCTTTGCTAAAATCTGTTGCAGTTCGAGCGTTCTTGGCTTAGTGGGTGCTTAGCTTTTATGATTCTTTGAGGATGTGCACTGACGGTGGCTGAATTGATTGGATAATAGGACACCGCGTCTGAAGTAAGTCTGCGCACTAGGCGGCTGTTATGCAGTTCAAATCACAATACCCCGGAGGATTGGCGAAATGGTTGGCTGTCGCGTTTAGTTGACTGACACGCTAAAATTTAGATCTCCCCAATCTTCGGCTACGGCTTGATGTGAGCTTCCTTTGATCTTATTACGAAACCTAGCATGGTCGCATACGTTTTCAATCACGTTCTATGCGTGTGACGTTAGGCCGCAGTTATGCGATAGGGTTGAGGCCCTTGAACACGGCTTAACAACGTTTCTACCGGCGGCAAATGCATCATTCACTAACAGATATTACTTAACAGGCTTATTTTCGCATTGATGACCAATACCCTCATTCTCTCATCTTTGATCAGTTTGATGAGTATGAGTCTTGAAGGGGTATGTCTCCAACACAGGCTGTCGGGGCCGCCGTTGACTTGTGCTAGGTAATGCGTCATGCCCGAGAAGAATATCTCTTTCAGTGAGTATACATCCCAATCGCCCTGATTTTAGGGAGCAGGGCACTGCCTCCTTGGAAATTTGCATCCCGCTAATGCACCAATTAGGTTGGCGATCTATGTTCTAGAAAGCAGCAATTCTCGACGATTGACATACTTCATGCCACCCCTGGTCAGTCAGCGTCTGATCCTTCAATGAAATGTTTCTTTGTGTGTTCTGGAATCTTTCCATGCTAATGCTCAGTAGAATCTTATTCCCCTGCTTTGTATCCGCCCCATGCGAATTTTCCTATCTGCGGGAACTGTTCGCCGCGTGCGCATTGTTTTACTACGGGCCACGCATCTTCCGTTCGTCGCGTTGATATGGGCATATGAGTCAAAGTGGCGACATCCGCGGCGACATAACAGTCGACTTCCCCCAATGTCGGCACGCGCCTATCGTACTTCTGCAAACGAGGCGACTCTGTCCAGGTGCCAGGACCCACATCACCCCTCCGTAAGCATAGTTGGAACAAGTCTGGGCCCTGGAAAAGGACGCAGAGTGGATCAGCAAGCCGCGCGTGAATCTGGCATGGAGCGGAGGCAAACCCCATTTACGGACCTGATCGACACGATAGAACGACTTCGAGCTCAAGTGGATGCAATTGCCGCACGAGACTGATCCAGGGGCCGAAATTACTAGTACTTCGCGCCGAATTGAGGTACAACAGCGCGGCAGGAGGGGTCACTTCCCTGGCGCTTAGGGCCACGCACGCCCTGCAGCGCCGGACTGGCGCTAGTTGGCTTCGCGGGCTTAGTTGCGGGTTTAGCGGCACCCTGACTACTCAAAAACCGTTCGAGATGAGCATATCAACGCCATGGACGAATTAGACTTGTTCATTATTTTCAGGCGCTTTTTCTTTTTCCTTTTGTTTTATTTTATTTTTTATTTTTTATTTTTTTTCCCTTTTATTATTTCCCCCTGTCGTGTTTCGGATCCAAGCCCCCTTTTTATTACAACCATACAAACTGGGAGCAAGTAAATAGACGGCATAGATCAAGTTCTCCGAGGCATCATTTCCTGTGGAGCTAATGTGGAGTTGCGCTATGGTAGACATGAAGCCGAAGGGATCGAGCGGTTCGGAAGGCCAGACCCGCATACCGTTATGGTCACGATGGTCATGAGCACAATAGTTACCCGGCATACGTGCCAATTTGGGCATGATGTGATCAACTTCATTATCTCCTTCTGGACTCTTCATACATGCATGTACATGCCCTGCGGCTGTGTTCATCAGTGGTCAACAATCCCTGGCATGCACGTCGCCAAACTAACAGCCAGAACCTTGGGCTCTGCTCATGCCTCTGTATGGCTCCTGCCTGCATGGAACACGTCGCGGTTGGGCAGGCCAGCCTAACGGTGGTGAAAGAGATGGTTAGTTTGTCCCAAGACAATCATTATGCATCTATGGCATATCAGTCTACATGTACTTCCGCGGGCGCCCCCCCCTGTGAGGCTATGATCTTTCTATGACATAGTCTCTATATTGATCTCCGGCGCTAATCCTCTGGTGTGTAAGGGCACGCTGTGCAGACCTAGGCAATCGAGCTGGTCCGGATTAGCCCCGGCCGTTACTCCTCCCCACCCTTTCTTCTTCCACCGCAATTACAGACCCTCTTCTTTCCAAATCTGCCTTGCCTATTGAGGCGTCAAGTCATCGAATCTTCACTAATTGTCGGTATCGATGCGGCGCAAAGTCTTCTCCAATGAATCCATATCCTATTCGGTACCCTCTCAGCCACCCTCCATGTATGCTGCCGCTGTTAACCAACAGCGAGGCTGTTGACTTAAAAGGCTTTGCTATATATACTCCATATCGCCAAACGTTGTTTACTCTGATATAGACTAGCTTTGGTTGGTTTTGTCTACTTTTTGTTACCATTGTTGGCAGCTATCAACATGGATCGGACCAAAGTAGTTCATCATACCTATGCCTCGCGACCCGAGGATACACAGTCTCTCGAGGCATCGTCAGCATACTCGTCTCCGGTCTCGGCAATAGGATCCCAAGGAGGCTTCTCGCCAGTCGGCTTGGGACTCTCCCACTGTGGCATGGAGAATGCCTTCGGTCAAGTGAGGCTCTATGCCCCATCCATACCTGTCCCACCTGCAACGCCATCACAACTAGTTCCTGAAGCTGCTGCCTACGATTTCCAATTCGAAGTTGATGACGACCGCTCCCAATACGCAATCTACAATGGACTCCCAGATGCCTCGGAGTCTTCACTCGGCGTCTACAGCCCGACAGCCATGAGCGCGTCCCCTAGCTACAACTCTGTGGATTTAGGCCCTCGACAGTGTACATTTCCCCCAATTTCTACTCTTGGATCCAAACGCCTTGTTCGGGACCAACAACCCCATCAGAACTTGTCACCGCTGCTGTGGATAGCGGAACTGGAGAATGGGACCAGAGTTTATTCTCAAACACATGCGCGCCAGCCAACATGCCCATTTTTCCAGTCATCGATACCCCTTACCCTGCGATGCAAGAGGATATGTCGCTTGGGAGTGCCTCTGGACAGAACATGACCTCCGAGCGAATTATGACTCAGTCTCGAACAGCCTCCCCTGGGACCACGGAGATGGATTCAAAATCAATCAAAGGAGACTGTTCTCCCCGCAGCAAGCTTGTCTCTGCTAGTGGTCTTGAATGTCCGATGTGTGGTGCTAAATTCACCCGACGTTCCAACTGTAAAGAACACCAAAAGGCACACGATCCTAGTTGGAAGAAGAAACACCCGTGCGAAGAGTGTGGCAAGACATTTGGCAGGATGGCAGATCTGAAAAGGCACCTAAACAGTGTGAGTCAAATGGCATTTTTACCCATGAGCAGTCACTGATGAGTACAGGTTCATTTAGGGATCCGCCGACGGAAGTAAAGCAGATACTCGACGACCTCTTCGAGTCGACAGAATATACCTACCTTATACAATATGTAACACCTCGTTTTATCTGTGTTCATTCTTTACCCCTAAACCTAGGCCCCTTAGCTAAAGCCCTTTAACCCCGGCCCTATTTTTTAACCTACCCCCTTAACATATCACATGTATCCCTCCCTAAAAGTGCAATTAAAAGGGTCTTTTATTCTGATATAAACGAGATAAATTGTAAACGCGGGACATGTGAATTGCCTTTAGAGGTTGAGCTCCCTAAAACGCTTCCATGCCACTGAAGGCCCCCTTGTCCTCCCTTTCTCTCTCGTTTTTCCATTCCTCCTGCCTCTCTGTCTCTCATTTATCTTGCGTGCCTGTAAATTAGCCTGCCTGAACATGCAGTTTAACTCGTACGGCATCTTACCTCCGTTGTACTCTTTTGACGCACATATGAACTGCTTCTTTCGGTCTACCCCGTGGGAGTCACTCTGCATCTAAAAGAAGTGCTCTTTTTATCCACTTAATCGTCGTCCATTCTGCCCAGTCGACTCGTCAGTCTCTGTATATCATCTTTATCTCCCAACTTAGGATAAACGGAATACAGTATCCAACTGTGACTTTGCAGCCTTGGTATTCTCTTCTGTCCGTGGACAGTGCATCTTAACAAACCTCTCATAAATGCCTCTGAAGTTGAAGGCTGGTTGGAAAAACGATCTCTTTCCAGAGTCACTCAGCAGCATTGGCAATGTAAGTGGTAGATACAGCGAAATCTCCCTCTTCTTGATTGCATTCACAAGATAAAGACGATCCTCTTCAAAGCTTTCGCCTTCTATGACACCATCATTATTCTATCCGGGAACTTCGGCGACAAACCAAGGATTGTGGATGATAGCTGGGAGCGATGCTATGGACATCCAATCCCAGTCCCCTATATTTGATTCCATATATGAGATCGAGGTTTGATGTAGGAAGGACATTTTATACTTACCCTGTTAAGTGGAAATCGTCATTTATCATAATGTTATGTGCGTTTAAATCCCTACGGGCGAAGCCAACTCCAGTATATTCATCAAATTCGGCAAAATCTGGGATCATAATCAGATAGCGAATAGCATCAGCCCACCTAGTAGTACCATTAAGAGTTCGCCGAAGGCCTCAATCCAGTGTTTGCATGAACCAGGCAGAGTATAGACAAGTTTGCCCTGGAACAGAAGGAGCAGCAGTACTCCATAGCTGCAATAGAAATTCTGCAAGGCCATCCAGTAGCATTTGGCCATTACGTGAAGTAATCCAATGATTCCATATTGCTAGTGGATTTCCACTAACCCAGTCTGAAATAGCACAGGTTATTCAGGGTTAACGTAAAGGTTAGGCGCTTTAATGCCCGCATGTTCAGATTGCCGAGTAGCACGCAGTTCAGATCTCCAATTGTTCGGATCGAGGTTGACTCAGGCTGTCCACTGTACAGAGTCTTCGAAGTCATTTTGAATACGCGGTGAGTCCCCATGATATGGACCTTCGACAACAAAAGAACATGGGACACATTGGCGAAGGTGGCTTCAGAAAGTATATCAGGTGAGTATATAATGCTGGAACAGAATGAAAGTGAGAACAGGGAAATGACAGAAAGGGAGATGGTAGATTGAGGTGGAAGATTGAGGTGGAAGATTGAGGTGGAAGATTGAGGTGTTAGCCCTCCAGGGCTGCATGGATGTATAGAACTACAACAGTCTACATAGCACTCGAGTTACTTCAATGATTGATTTATTGATTCATCGGACTCACAATTCAAAGCTGAAGTTTTCCGGTGTTGCATCCAGTTCTCTCATCCACATCACAAACTGTTAAAGGGCAAAGTTAGGCCACAGACAGATAACGCCAGAGGAAAAGACAAAAGACATGAGATGCAAGAATCACAGAAATGGAAAAAAACAGGGTATGTCCACCCCACTCAACACCACCTTCACTGCCGCGCAATCAGCCATTACCTCGCAAGGCGGGAGTCATATTGAACAAGATGCTCAGCCCTCTCAGTAGGGAAAGGAACACCATAATGCATGGCTCCCAGGGCATCAAACATCCGAACAAAAAGCCCAGTATCACGATCCATCTGAATCACAGCATCGTCAAGCTGAATATGGCGATCAAGGTAGCCGTTAACGGTATGAGCATTAGCCTCATAGAACTGGCGGGGAGTACCAGCATAAACTCGAATAGTGAACGCAACATCCTTGAAAGCCTCGCACAGATCACCGATGGTAGCAGGGTCGGTAGTCCATCCGTCCCAGCTGTTGAGGACGAAAATGCATTCGGTGACGGCTTCGCGGGCTTCCTGCAGCGCGGCGAACAGGTAGCGGGAGATTTTGGAGCCTCGAGAGATCTTGTTGTTGGCTGGGTGGATTATTGTCTGCATCTTGTGAGGGCGGCAGCCCAACATGCCATACTTCTTGCGGTGCTCGGCGGCGGTCATGATCAGGGTAGAGCGGAGATACTCGTGCATCTGGGTCTGGGACAGAGTCGTGCCGAGGCCTCTGGCGTAGGGGTGGTCGTTGAGGTCGTCAGCCCGGGCCATGAAGACGACCACTGGGCCTGGGAGGAGGTTTGGGTCACCCTCCATGGTGGGATGGGGTTTGTATGGTAGTTGTTTGTTTGCTTCGGAGGGCTTGAGGCCTCAGAGAAAGAGAGGGTAAGAGGAAAATCAAAAGAGGAAGAGAAAAGTCCGGAAGGAAAACTGCCGTTGTATATTTGATGCAGTACCTTCTTCATTGGGAACATTAACGTGCTCAGTCGGGGGAAATGCATCGTCAACCCTGTTCCACCGACCATATGCTACTAGCAGATCACACATCTCATAGACCCTACGTGGCAGTGTTGTTTGCTACCATCTTACCGGGCTCGAATACAAAAGACTAGGAAGTTCACATACAATGCATCGATTGATGTCCTGTCGGACACTATAAAAAGGAAGACTATGAAGACAAGCCGACCTATATCTACCGCTTCTTGATGCTGACATCGATCTTTCCAATGCCCCAAGCAGCAACGAAGACTGTCAGCAGACCGGCGAAGATGGTGAAAGGCTTGCGAAGGGCATCCATCATGGTGTGGTCGTAGGTAACCTATAACATGTGAGTACATGGAACGATAATAATGGAGAAAGATACATACCACCAACTTAGCGTCACGGGCTTCATCAGTCAGACTGTCAACCTCCAGGGTCAAGGTAGTCCGGCCCAGAGTATCCATGTAAGTCTTGAGAGAGCTCAAGCTAGCGTGGATCTGGTTTGCACCAGGAAGACCATTGCTAGTAGCACCCTCGATGACCTCGAAGCGAACATTGTGAGCACCCTCGGGCAGAACAACGCGCACGACAACACGCTCATACTGAATACCTTCCGCCATCTTAGGGCCCTCGATCAGAGGGACCTTCAGGACGTGAGAGTCGGAGTTGACACCGGCAGCAAGACGCAGGAACGAGGCGAGGTCGTTGTTCCAACCGACACGGAAGCTGTAGTTCCAGCCACCGAAGATGGGGTAGCGGGGCTTCAGCTCCAGGTTGGCGGCGTTCTTACCCTTACTAGGACGGTAGCGGCTAGTTGACACATTGCCTATGTCGTCGATGAAGTAGGGGTCAACGGAGCCGGGCTGGAGTGGGTAGGTGAGCTCGCGCACGGCCGAGGTGGGCAGCTTCTGGTAGTTGGCCATGGTCCATTCGACTCGCGAGAACTGGTTGGTCAGCTGCGAGCCGTTGTTGCGCAGCCAGTACCGTTCCTCAGTTGCAAGGTTTCCACCCCATTGCGAGACCTCCAAGTCACGCTCCAGGAGGTTGACAGTAATGATGGGCTTGGTGAATTCGTAGCGGACGCTGATAGGGTACTCGGTTCCCGGGGTCAGCTTGGTTGTGTCGTAGGGTCCGTAGGTGTATGTTGCACCCTTGCGCTCGGGGTCTGAGCCAGACTTGAGGCCGTCGGTAGTGGTGTAGTCCGGCACATTGGTGCTGGGGAATTTCACCTTGGTCTTCTGCGTGACTGTCGCGTAGGCGCTTGGTGTATAGGCGGAGAAGGAATAGGTAAGGAATTGCTTTTCGCCCTGCTGAATGGTTGCAGGAAGCGGGCTGAGAGCGGAGAGAACCGAGTAAGAGATTCCAAGGGTAATCTGAGCTTTCGGGGCCAATGGCTCTGGAAGGTGAACGACAAAGTACTGGTTGCCGCTTTTCAACTGTTAGCTGATGGATCATCAATTGCATGCCATTGACCCTCCAATTGATACTCACTTGGAAGATACAGCTTCAGTGGTATCCACCTCGAATCGTCCCTGCTCCGGGGCCTTTTTGTCCCTCACTTCGAAAGCTCCAATCTGGTCAAACACCTCGGAAGGGAAGGGGACATAGTAGTCGGTCTGCGGCTGCTTGTCGACATTCTCTACCACGATATTGATAGTTTCTCGCACAAAGCCCTTTTCCAAGTTGGTATTCCGGACCAAGTTTGTGTTTTTGAAGACCTGTGGGGGCTTGAAGTCGGAGGGAAGATCCAGTCGACTCGGCGTGGTGAGGTCGGTTGCGGCGCACAGGCTAGGCGCAAGTAGCCCGAGCACCGTGGCGGTGAAAACCCTCATAGTGACTATCCGGAGGACAATATTGCTCCGTAGCGCAAAAAGCAGGAAATCCGGATGTGGCCGTGTGTTGTCGATGGAGGATGCGAAGCTGATGAGGTGTCCCCAATGTATACGTACGGTTGGCGTAGCGGCCATCGCGCGCACTCCGGCTTATCGATAACAGCTTCTCCTCTTTACTTCAACTCTGCTTCTGCTTCTGTTTCTGTTTCTGTCTCTGTTTCTTGCTCTTGCTTTGCAGAGTTACTCGGACTGCATTTCATTGCAGGGTAGTCATGCTGTCAAGCTCAGTGCTCGCTTCGCGGGCTGCTTTCAAGTCCAGCCTTTTGAAGGGAGCTCGCCTGTCGCGTGCTCGCTACCATGACTTCGCTCAGAGCAAGTTCTTCAAGGTGTCAGAAGAGGTACGAGATGCAGTTGCTACAGGCAAACCAGTTGTCTCACTCGAGACAACCATCTATACACACGGTGAGTCCTTCCATGTCCTGGGGATGGACATGTCCGCCCAAAAGCGGGGAAACATTGGCTGATCACTTGCAGGCTTCCCATATCCCGATAACATTGCTCTAGCTGCATTGTTGGAGTCTGTTGTCAGGGCTAATGACGGTGTTCCTGCAACTGTGGGCATCGTCGGTGGTGTGGCCAAGGTTGGTCTCAATGCGGAAGAACTCATCGAGCTTGCCTCGACAGCGGAGAAGAAGAGCGCTTTGAAAGTGTCTCGCAGGGATCTGGGATATATCTGTGGCTTGGTTCGTTGCTTCCTTCATATCTAAAGAGCTTGAACTAATCTTGTTTAGGGCCTGGCTGGCCAGAAATTGCATGGCGGTACTACGATCTCTGGCACTATGATTCTCTCAGAGCTAGCTGGTATCAAGATCTTTGGTACCGGTGGACTAGGTACTTATTATCTTTAAGGCCAATTTGACGATATCTAATCATTCTCAGGTGGCGTGCATCGCGGAGGAGAAAACTCAATGGACATTTCTGGTAGGAATGCACAAGATGACCAGCGCAAGATCCATTACTGACAGAATGTTATAGCGGACCTTACCGAGCTGGGACGAACCCCAGTGACAGTCATCAGCTCTGGATGCAAGAGTTTCTTGGATATTCCTCGTACCCTTGAATACCTCGAGACAGAGGGCGTCTGCGTTGGTACTTTTGCAGATGGCCGAGAAGGCCCTGTCGACTTCCCTGCCTTCTTCACCCGGGAGAGTGGAATCCGCAGCCCGAAGGTTATCCAAAATGAAGCCGAAGCCGCCGCTATAGTTTGTATGTCTGCTTCTCATTCACTGGTATGCAAACATGTTAACGGAACCACAGATGCGCAATCAAAGCTCCCAGTATCCTCTGGAATCCATTTCGCCAATCCTGTTCCTTTGGAGTACTCAGTTCCCAAGGCCGATATGGATCTCATCATTGAAGAGGCTGTCCGTCTTGCCGATGTAGAGGGCTACCACGGCAGTGACAACACACCCTTTGTACTCGCCAAGATCAAGGAATTGAGCGGTGGGAAGAGTATAGCGGCAAATCGTGCTTTGATCGAGTCAAATGCCAAACGCGCAACCTTCGTAGCCGTGGAACTTGCCAAACTCGAGCAATCTGACCGAGCAGAGGATCGGTGAGTTCATGTCTAGCCACGAGATACGAGATACGAGATACAAGATACAATCAATGCTAAGTTCGGAGATCCTCTTGCCTATAGACACATGCCAGCAATCCCAGGCGTAGTCTCGCCAGTTCCAGATATCCCTCAAAAGGACATCCCCAAACAAATCAACTCAACGCCGACCCCAATTGAAAAAGCAGACGTTATCGTCGCCGGCTCCCTCGCCATCGACCTATCCTGCGACTACACCCCCTTCGGCGACGAACTAACTCAAGTCGCACCAGTTCCACACACCTCCAACCCAGCAGTAATATCTCAAAGCCTCGGCGGCGTCGGCCACAACGTCGCCGTAGCAGCCAACTATGTCGGCAGCTCAGTAATCTTCTGCAGCGTCGTCGCGGATGACCTGAGCGGACGCGCGGCCCTTTCAACTCTGGAAAAAGAAGGCCTAACCTCAACAGGAGTCTCCGTCCTCCCCGCAACACCTGGCACACGCACAGCGCAATACATCTCCATAAACGACATCAAAAAGGACCTCCTAGTAGCCATGGCCGACATGGGCATCGTGGAGCTCCCAGAATCCCAACTCGACTTCGACGGATTCTGGGAACCGCTCATCGAGCGTACGAGGCCAAAATGGGTCGTTATCGATGCGAACTGGCGGCCTGAAGTGATGGCAAAGTGGAGCGCCGTTGCGCGCAAGCACGGAGCCCGCGTGGCAATCGAGCCTGTCTCCACAGCCAAGGCCCGCCGTCTTTTCGGCGGCGATGCCAGTGGCACTGGTGCTACCATTGGACCGAAGCATACAGTACCTGAAAATGCTATTAGCCTGGCTTGTCCGAATAAGCTAGAGTTAGCTGCTATGTTCACCGCTGCACGCGAGGCCCAGCTATTCGAGTCGACCGGGTGGTGGCATGTCATCGATTCAATGAATATGAGTCCAGCGGGCTCGCGAGAGCGACTTGTTGCGTTGACTTCGCTGGCGCTTGTGGACGAGGGTCTTCCGCAGCAGACTATTCAGCTGCTTCCATTCATTCCTTGTATTATTACCAAGCTTGGTGGAGCGGGTGCTCTTCTTACGCAGCTTTTGCCGCCGGGTGATCCGCGCCTTACGGATCCGGAGTCCGCGCCTTATATCCTGGCGCGCTCGCATGTTGATTCAGATGTGCCATTTGGAGGTGTTTACATGCGGCTCTTCTCGCCAGCTACTATTCTTGGTGCTCAGGATATCGTCAGTGTTAACGCAGCTGGTGATACGTTGCTTGGTGTTGTGGTGGCTGGTCTGGCGAAGGGTGAGACTGTGCGCATTGAGGATATTATTCCTATTGCTCAAGAGGCAAGTCGGAAGACACTTGCTAGTGCAGGAGGTGTTAGCAAGGATCTAGTGGAGTTGCGAACTACATTAGGGCTGTAGGAGTGGCTAGGTTGTATGCATATATTTGATAGCGTTTCTTTTTATCCTAAGCGGAAAAGCCATCTAACTGAGATATTATATATTCAAGAAGTTTCAAATGAGTTGACATTGATCTGGACCAGTTGAGCTGGTCTATTGAATTGCAACAGGCTGTACTGCCCGCGGCAGAAGTCCCGGATCTAACATTCCAGATTGCACCAGCACACTCGCCTGGTCCCAATATAGACTCTGGCGTGTAATCTGACCTGCGCAGAAACTCGCAACCACAATAATCACGACCTGGATATCTCGATTTGTAGGCGCAATACCAGGTAACAGCCAGGGTATCTCGGCAGTATGCCGACAAGAAAATTGAATCTCATCAACAATCCGATCGGAGCCCACAGTCCTAGTCAAAAGACGAATCTTCTGATCCTCCGGCCCATTAGGAATAAAAGTCTGAGCAAAGAAAGACCTCAGACTCGAGATATCGGAAGCTAAATCCGTCAGCATAGCCCTAACCCACCACAAGAAAATCGAAACTCACCACCAGCAAACGTAGGAAGACAAGTAACAGCCGACTCCCCAACAGGACAACCAACCTCACCAGCATGACTAGCAGCAAGCAACTCAACCGGCGGCTCAACAAGCCTATGATTCCCCGACCTCCGCTCATCAACCTCAGCACAAATCCGATCCCAATACTCCTCCCAAACGGTCTCAATATCAACAACGGGCCAATGACTCCCAGCTTCAAAGGCCCTCTTCAAGCACCCCAAAACCCTACTCCAAGCCAACTGCAACCCAACTTCATCCTCATAAGTAATATCCATCTCCTCCTCCCCCTCTCCAACCCTCTCATCGCCAATTACCTTCTCCGCAAAGCCGGCCGTACACCCAGGATATGAGTAGACGTGGCATCTATGCCGTTTCTTATATGTGACATCACCCTCTGATGCACTGAGGTTAATCCACGGCCACAGGGCGCAAGGTAGGACTCGTGGGCCAGGCAGGTGAATCTGAATAGGGAGGAAAGTAGACTTAGGACCAGGCTCGAAAATCGTTGTTGTATCTGAGCAGTCTGGCGGTTCACAGTTTTCTTTGCGTTTGTAGGTGTATTGGTCTGTTGAGGGGAGGGGGTAGTATGCTATAAATGCACACAGACGTGGGAAAGGGTTTGTATTGCTTGTTGTTTGATGGTGCGAGGATAGGAGGAGGTAAGCTGGTCGGTGATAGGCTTTATAGAGAGGATTAGTCTTTAAGGAAGTGGTAATATCTAGAGAGATGGATGTACATACCGACAATCGCATACCGCTCCCCACTCTCGAGCTCATCTTCCTTCAGATGCACGGCATTCTCAAGTGCCTTGCGATCCTTGTCTGCATCACCACACCCGGTGAAAGGGAGATAAGTCACAACGAACCCCTCGGCTTCAAAACGCTGGATAATATGCGGGTCAAATTCCGCAGTATCAGAGACAATAATGAGGTATCGACGCGAGGGCTCTTCGTAGCGCCGACCGCGTTTGCCGGAGCTTGTGCTGACCGTTCGCTGTAATCCATGCGGATGGGATATTGCGGAATTGGGTCCTGTTGTCTCTGCTTGCTCTGTTGAGTTGCTGCCGGAGCTCCGGGCTCGGCGTCTAGTGAAGCGTTGGAAGACGTTTACCATTGTGGGTGGTGTTTGTGATATATTGATAGAATGGTAGGTATACAGGGACGTTCAGCCCTACTTAAGGCTGAAAAGTCTTGGTATTACATATGTCAAGAAGTGGAAAGTTGATTGCCTGGGATGCCAATGTGCCAATGCTTAGGGTTTCTTGGTGTGACGTCGACGATGTCACATTCCGATAAGATAGCAGAATGCGGAAGTATGAGCAGAGAAGTATATAACTAGGTATGTAGGGATGAGGATTGTATATCTATTCTATTAGTTGCTAGGGAGAAACAATGCAGCCTCATCTTACTATCCTTAAAAGATATCGGCTTCACTCCACCATCACTCAAAACTCACCAACCACTCCCGATCCTCACGAACTTTTCCAGTCGCCTTCCCATCATCAACAATATAACACTTATAAGAATCACGCAATAGACTCTCCCGCGCGACTTCACAATCCACCCGAATATCCTCAACAAGCGCCTCCAACGAAACATAATCAAATTCAGGACGAATATAACCAAGAATCAACAGATTAAGCTTCGTCGTATAGAAATCAGGCAAGCGGTTGAACTTAGTCTGTCCGGCAGCCGCAGCTGTGGGCGAGGGTTCAGTGAGAGGGGGCATGATATGGATTTCCTATACTGGGTTAGCAGTATATCCAGATACAACGAGGTAACATAACCCAAAAAAAAATGAATATAGCAGGATATAAGATAATATAGGTATGTTATTTATAACGTACCACCGAGCGCACAGTATTTTTGTAGAAAGGATTATATCCAATACTCAAAACAGCAGGGAGAATGACCGCCTCCGAAGTCGAGGACTCGGACTCATGTTGATAGGTCTTAGGGTCTAGCGCCACGACGCCGTAGTAGACACCCGATGTCAACTCTGGGTGTTTTTCGGATAGATCATCGGCGGGGATATTGGCAGTAGGGATCCCTAGCTGTAGATGGTGGAGTAAGAGTCAGTGATAATATAGGTATATCCTATCCTATGCGCCAAACGCATAGGGACGGCGGATACAGAGGCGAGTGACGTACGTCTTTGCTGCCGCGTCCGAATCCTTTAATTACTGGGCCTGACAATCGGACAGGGTAGGGAGCCTCTGGGCCTGCATCGGGTCCGGCAACGGGGTCGCGCGGCTTCTCGGGGCGCATGGTGGACTGTGTCGGTAGGAAGGGAGGAGAGGAGATTATATTGAGGATGCGGGTCGGAGATGATGTTGTTTAGCTTTGACGGATTGTATTTGTGTCAATGAGTGAGACTAGTCGAGGTAACATCGATGGTGGGGGTTATCGTGATAAGTTAACTCAAGGATCCGACAGCCTGACAGCCTTATATATCAGGTGTCGACCATCATGTCTTACATAGTCTCCCTTCGATACTGCATTTATAGTCAGATATACTCTAATCAAGGTACTTATTACTCTGATCAAAGCTAGGGCTCGAGATCACAAGTGATCTCTCTCAAATCATGGCATTAATGCTCCATACAGTAATCCTATCCCAAAGATATCTTTTTTTTCCCTTTTGACGCCGCAAGAAAACAGAAAGAAAGCATATCGACAATCCCCGGGAATCGGTTCCAGGGTCCAAACAACATATATACGGGAACAAAGAACAGGACAACAAGAATCTCAGGCAAGAACCAGGCATTGGAAGAAGAAAATCAGGATCAGGGGAATCATACGGTCCCAGGGTCAGGAAATATGTACCGGAGTAGAAGAGACAAGAAAACGTGCAACAAGAAGAAAGACAGGCGTAAAGTGACAACCTTGTCGAGGGTATGTAAGTCTGAAGTGTAACAGAAACGATAAACCGATAATAGACAAGAAATCAAATGCATGGCAGGAACTAAGAATAGGTTAGCATCAGATCACATCAAGCTACACGACCATCGATGGTACTCACGTTCATCACAATAAGCATCGGAATGTCGAATACATCTCGCTTGACTGTCCAGCAGTACGCGCATTCGACCTTTCCATCCTTCAATCCAAGTTGGTTCATACCAGCCTCGCCGGCAATGCCACCCTTGCGAAGATGGCTGTTCCACTTGCCATGATCATCAGATTGAGCAACTTCCATATCCTCCTTAGTCTTGTATTTGAGTAGCTTGCACTTCGTCATGACACTACCGCGAGAGTCGCCGAATGCCAGACGGGCAAAGTCTTCATAGAACTCTACGACGCTGTCGTCGTCGAGGAGTTCGGCCAGGAATACTGGTTGGGGACGTCCACCTTGGTTCTCTAATGTTGAGCTGCGCGGTGTGAAGCTGCCGCGGGATGTTGTCCCTGATTGTGGCACGCCTCCACCCGTGTTGACGTTGAGGTTGGCTTCTTTGCCCAGGAGCACGTCTTTCTTCCAGCCGGTAAGGATGCTGAATTCTTTGCCCACGGCAGCGATCTCGCCGGTGCGCCGGCAGACGATGGTCGGTGTGCCGCATGCATTGATGAAGTCTTCGTATTCCCAGAGTGTGCGCTGGAAGCACTTCTCCATGAAGATAAGGTCATCGCGATTTAGAGTTTTAGTGGTTGCGATAAAGGACGGTCGGATAGATGCGAGGGCCTTGGCGATCCGCACAGTCTTTTGTGGTGAGAAGCGCCGTTGGATGAAAGCAGTGAGGTTGTGGAAACCACTTGTGTAAGCATATGGCTCCTTCACACTCTCGTATATTGAAGAAGGATTGCGATGACGCCGTTTAGAGCCGACCTGCAGGTTCGGGTGTTTCAGGATCGAAGCTGAAGTCACCTGGCGTTGTCCATTCGGCACCAGGCTGTTGGATTTGCTAGCAGAAGGAACATTGTTGAACGTGCCATCCTCAAAGCCGGATGCAATGTTCGGACTTGGGGCCGAACCAGGACTTGTAAAGTTGGCAGGACCACTTTCGATCGCAAACGCATGTGGCGCACTTGCTTTCATGTGTTCGGGGAGCATGCCGTTCTGGCCATACACACCGCCAACATTCACATGTTGGCCCGAGGCCGGCCCAGTCGACCATTCGTTTAGGAGAGGATCGCCAAACATGAATGGCTGTTGGTTCCCCGGGCTTTCCCCAAACCCAGGAGCTGGTGTGGAGAACTGGGCTGATCCACTGCGGCCGATCGACCCTCGCTGTCCTACGGAATCAGTCGGAGAGTCTCCAGCCCCAGTGGCCATGTGCCCGAGCATGCCAAATTCCAAGGCACCATAACGGTTTTCGAAGTTCATGCTTGATAGGTCGAAATTAAAGAGCGCCGGGTCGCTAGGGTCGAAGAATGGTCCTGCCAAGGGGTTCGGGTTCGGAGGTTGACTGGTATCCCCAGGAAGAGCAGTGTTTGGAGTAGATTGCTGGTTCACGGCAGATGAAAGGCTAGGAGTTCGACCATTGGTGCTGGTCTTCATGTTGAAAGTAGGCGACACGGGGGATTGTGTGGTGAAGGGACTTTGACTCATAGGAGGATCTTGGTATACATTGTAACCCGGTTGTGGCGGCGTCGGGTAGAAGTTGTTGGAAGAATTCGTTTGTTGTTGGTTGCTGCTGGCTGCGTTTGAGCCATTTCTAGACATGGGCAGATTATTGCGGAGCGTGTTGTTGTATAGGGTGTTGCCGGTGACAGCTGGCATTAACGCTCCATCTGGAGCATCGTGAAGGTACTTGGCCTTCTTGCGAACGCCGTCATGGCATGCGTCTTGAAGGCCACGCTTTATACAGCGCTGACACGGTCGTTCATCGCCTAAAAAACAGAAAATATTAGTGTCTTGCCCAATAGCGGCTGCAACCAATCTATGATCATACCGCAAGTCAAATGAGCCCGTTGGCATGCAAAGCAAGCTCTGCGGGCCTTCTTGCGTCGCGGTCGCGACGGGTCCTTGGCATTGGCAGCTTTGCGGCTCTCCGCCTTGTTATCGCCATTAGACTTGGTCTTTACAGAATCCATATGCTCAGAATATTCCGTAACATCAGCGGAGTCCCGATCCCCTTGATCGCCTACCGGGGAGTCGTTTTTGGCTTCCACGTTCATTTCGGCATATATCCCGAGACGGGCGGTTCAAGAAAATCGTCACAAAATTGACGACAGTCGATATCTCAATGCGCGTCGGCCACTTCCAGTGCCTGGTGTTGATCTAGAGAGCAAGACGTGGTGGCGACACTACCAATACCATCCGCGCTTCGATCTCGGCGGGCGAGCGGATCCACGTGCGCGATATCCTGCTCGACGAGTGCAAGACGCAAGAACCACGATCGCAAAGTGCGAATCGATCTTGTTGAACCTGCAAATCCACCCAGACTCCCTCTCGGTCCAGTTCTCGGTTCCTATAATCGCGCGTTTGCGACTCTGGCTGGCGGTCGTTCGGTAGCGGAATCGGTAGAATGGCTAGTCCAGTCACGGGTGTAACGGGGGACAATCGACTGGGAATGCGAATGAACGATGATCTGACACATTGAAGGGTTTTCAATGTGGAATGCGAGAAATTGGCGCAAGCTGACAGCAGAAAATGCCGCAACGGTTCGCGCGTGGAGTGGAGAGGACGATGACTCGGCTGCGGGGGAGGCGGCAATAACTCTCGAAATGGGAGAGCAGTTGTATACCGATCTCAGTCGGATCTCTCAGTACAGATCGGAGAGCCGGTGGAAGAAATGAGGAGAAAGGCAGCTCAAAGCAGATATGCGCGGGGAAGGAAGTGGATGACTCTGTTCCCGTGACTGGGGTCCAAGTACTCCCAGTCCAATTGCCAAAGACTCGCGTGAGTGACAGGATGGGATTTTTATTAAGAATTAATGTGATTTTACTGATTTAGGGTGAGTTTCGCACATTTTCGAAACTCCAGGGCTGAATATACTTCGTAATAGCCACCCTTTTTACCTAATTATAATGTAATCTAAATGTTGCTACCCAACCTACCGTTCAAATATTATCTCTACAATATCATCTACACGCCTATATCATGTAAACTGGATATAATGCTCCGTAGATGTATGTACGTCTATCCCTCACATGCTGACGTTTGGCAGTTCAGCCACTGGACGAGAGCCGGCAGTCAACCCGATGGTAATACTGTTTCCGTCCCAATGCCGGGAAACAGGTAATTATTGCGCGTCATCAAGCTCTGATTGGCCATAATACAATACAACATAGATCTCATTCAATACCATACAAAGTAGCGGAAGACCGTAACCCCGCGAGGCAATAGCGCACGTGCAGAGGGCGACTGTATACCCGGCGAGCAGCACAGAGAAGACTTCACTTCTAACTATTTTCCAGGTATTCTATGCTTCACGGTATGCCGAATTGCATCTCCACTTTAGACTTCTCAGTTCATACTTTTCATTCCGGAATCCTCCTCGGGTCCCGTTTTGTTCCGAGGCTGAGAGCTGCCGAGGCTAGAGCTCAGCTTGGACCAGTATATCATACCCGAAAAGAGAGATTGGTAGCAGTAGATGGTCGGTTGCGGGATGATTGCCTGTGAAGGGAATCCAAGACCACATGATGCTCGTATCCTTCGCAACTGGCCCGATTGGGATAAATTGGAGTCTGGGCTAAGCTTGTAATGCAAATGCCTTGGTCGAGATGATCTATTTAGTCCTAGGGTATGAAGGAATGAGTATCAAAAGCGTAACAGTCTAGTCCATTATACTCTAGACAGATAGAAAGAGTATCGACAAAGGAAAGTACATCCTTGCTTCTCACACATGCATTTTCATTGTCCTCTGCATTACTTTTCCAACTGCAGGGCGGTACAGCAGCTGAAGGTGTTGGGTCTTCTACCTAGGATTACGGGCTAGCTGCTAACCCTTCTATCCCCAGTGGCCAACCCCTCAGCCCGAGAGCTTCCCAACATGTAGTCATGGGGCGCGAGGAAGTGCCCATGAGACAGATCCAGGCGAGACGGGCAAAGTGTTGAGGTGCAATGGCACCGAGGATGAACCTGTGCCTGCCCTCGTAAAAGGTGATTCAGCCAGCAACCAATCAGGATTGGGATTAAGTGTGTAGCAGAGAGCGGACTCTATCATCAGTTCGCCTTTCTTTCGCCGTTTCGAGGGTTTTGGTATTATTGTAGATGTGGATATTGATCACATCTGTGACGTTGCGAACCGGCTCTTCTTTCGGATCCGGCTGCCATACTTGTAAAAGATGTACCTGGCAGGGATGTTAGTACAAGGTTCATTCTACCCTTTCGATTGCCTGGCACATGCAGGCGAAATATCGAAATTCCATGCTTGGGGTAATATCACTCGTCCACGATGCAGGGGGAAAGTAAATAGATGGGTCATAGCGCAGCAGACAATTAGAGGGTAGTTCATAGTCGAATCAGCACTTACGGGAATGGGGCCATGACAAGGGTCAGGAACGCGAGCAAGGAAGTCGCCCAGTGATATCCCAGATTGTTATACACTGCGTGGCCGTTAGATATTACCCTTTTACTAAGACAGAGTTGTAGCGCTTAAGCATTGAACAAGAGCTCCCAAGCGGGCTGTTCAACGTAATACATCAACTCGCAGGTGGAACTGCATGCAAAGCACGGGTACTCAAGTCGTATCGCGACATGAAAGTATTGCAGGCAAACTTACTTTGGATTCCAAACAGAGGGAAAATACCTCCAAATGACGACCGAGTGAAGCTGTTCGCTGCCAGAGCGCTGGCGGCAAATGTCGGATATGCATCGACCAGGAATGTAAAGATACCTGAGTAGACCAGGATTGTCCTAGTAACACGAGTTAGTATCACAGGATCAGAAGTACGCAGATCAGGTGAGATTGATTTACCCTGCTCCAAAAACACCACTGCCAATGATGGGTGCAATCCAATGAACGTCAGGGTAGATCGTCCAAGCAAAGATGAACAGACCTATTGTGACCAAGGGTCCACCCAGGATGGCTTCCACGCTATCAGCCACTATTCTTAAGATCATCCGCGGGAAACTTACCTGGGGGTAGCCGCCACTCCGGTTGGAAGTCGTCGATCTTGTTCGAGGCTTTCTCATGGTTGCGCTCCAAGCGAATGTAGTTCCGGCGCCAAATTGGATCTGACAGAATGGCAAATACCATGCCAACGAACAGACCAAGGAAACACATACCGCGCTGCCAGATTTCCAGCCCATAGACGTTGGAAAAGACTAGCTGGAATGCTCCAAAAAAGAGGTACAGGATACCCAGCAGAATGGCCGAGAAGATACAAAGACACAGACACATTGGCTCCAACGTCAACAGAAGAATTGGGCGATACATAGATCGCACGACGGTCTGCGCCACGGTACGTTGTAGCTTTTCGATCGGAGCTTTCCATCGGTCGTCTCCGGTTTCCTTGCGGAGCTTTTGCGCCTTGCGCCTCAAAAGTCTAAACTTATCAGCACTTCGTTCGATGAATTCAGGGCTAGCACCTACACTGGGTGGTAGGTCTCCGGGACAAGGAAGATTATCGAGACTAATAAGGCACCGGTCCAAATCAGGAGCACATAGAATGTCCAACGCCTGTAAGTCATATTAGCTCCAACCGTTGCCGCAGATCAATCTGTAAACATACCATGTAGTGAAGGCATTGATGAAGCCGCCAACCCTGGAGACTGTTAGTTACGCTAATGGGATTGCAAACAGAGGTCAACTCACAGAGGACCGACTTCGGGTCCAACAAATGGACTCGCGGTATAAAGCATCATGGGGAAAGCAAGTTCATGGCGATCAAACATATCGCCCACAGTGCCACCAGCGACACTCAGGAATGCACTGCCTGACAGTCCATTGAAAAATCGAGAGACAAGCATTGTTGCGGTATTCTGCGCCACGGCACACGGAATCAGCCAGATGAGGAACAGCGAAAACGAAACTATATAGATGTTTCGTCGGCCATAGAACTGAATGCATAGGTCAGTTACTCAATACCCTCAAAAAAAGGAAATTAGACAAACCTCAGACAAGGGACTCAAGAACAGCGGGCCAATTCCTAAATCGAACCGTCAGCTCATACTTCAACAACCAACAAACAATACCACGAACCAAGACCCCAAATGAAAAACGACAACCCAAGAGTCGCAACCTCCTGCGAACACTTAAACTCATCCATCAACTGCGTATACGTCGTCGTATACATAGACGAGGTACAAGTCCTACCTCAAAATCAGCAATCAGCAGCACACCAGATATCAAAATCCAAAAACTCACACACAAAGCGAACCCATCGAAACAATCAAAGTAACCAGCCACCTCCGTGCAGTACTCATATTCCGTGGATTCAACGGATCGTTCTCATCCCAACCAACAGTATAGAAACCATCATCCTCCGCCACACCGGCCTCGTCAGCCTCGACATCATTCCCACCAATACTAACACCATCATTAAGCGACCAGCTGCGCTCAAGCGATTTAGACGCATTAGATTTCTGTTTCTGTAAAGGGGCACCGCGTTTCTCGTGCATTGCTGCACCGGTAATCGGAGCGAAGGTCATGTCTTCAGAATTGGTGCGGTTTATTTCATCGCTTTTGTCGCTGGATTGTCTTCCCGAGTCCATTTTGATTGTTTTCTCTTCTGAAGTTGAAGAGCGAGGCGGGTTTGTACTCGACGGGGACATCGTGGAACAAACGGGCCTGGGTCGTTAAGATGAGCTCATCGGTGATATGCGCGCAAATTGGGGATGTTCTGCCTAAATAGATGGAATAAATGGCGAGGCTGCGCGCCTGAGTCACTGTCGTGGTCAATGTGCCCAGGTGTATAGCCCAGGGGAGAGAATATTTCTAATCGGAGATAGAGAAGTGGCCGAGCTGATCAATCACGGCATTCTAGCCGTGAAGCTACGGAGGTGAAATTCCGGGTTTTTCTCGGAAAAGCCGACTGAGAGAAAAACCGAGTGATATCATTCCTACCCTTTGATCTATACGGGGTGTTTTTATTTACTTATTTTTTTTTTTAGTTTAATTTTTACAAAGTGATCAATTCACTACATACTGTATGGAGATCAACAATATGCGCCAAGACAAAAACTTTGACACACGTGGTTGAGATAACGGGCAATTCTCCGATACCGCGGTCCACTTCTACATTGGGACAACGGAATATCAGTCAATAGAGATGTAGAGATATTGATATTGATATGTTCAATTAAGCTATTCAAAACGCACAAAATCATATCGTCGCTCCAATGGATCAATCGTCCATACCAAAAACTATCCAAAAGACCCCGTTCTCCTGCCCAAAACACCTGATAGTCAATGCTATCCCCAAAGTCAATAACCAGATAACCCGTGAGCCATGCCAAAAGTGAACTATACAAAGAGAATGCACCGGTAAATCCCAGAAATTTTGGTCAGAGGATTGCTTTACAGAGCCTGGCTCAGCTGGCTCATAGCACCAGCCGCGTTCTCCTCAGCCCAGGAGCCCCAGAGGTTCTGCTTGCCACGGATGGCGAGAGGACCACCAATAGACTTGGAGCCCTGGTCAACATTGACGGCATCCTTGGTGGCCAGAACCAAGACTTCGAAGAACATCTTGGTGGCATCGGCCTTACTAGAACGCTGCTCGGGGAGCAGGTCCTGGAACATCACACTCTTGTTCTGCGAGATCTCGGCATCACCGAGTTTCTCGCGGAGGATGTGTACAGCGTGCTTGGTACCCATGGAGACCGGCTCGGTGTCAATGGGGTGGGCGATGGTGTCGTCCAACTCCTCGAGCTGGTTCATGTTTTCATCGTCACTCAAGTGGAGGTCCTGGTGACCATCATCGCCAGGGAACTCGATCTCGGAGCGCTGGTTGAGAGTAGTGTCGACAGCAATACCCTCATCAACGGGGACAATAGCTTCGTCCTCGCCAAGTTCGAGAGCAGGAACATCGGCGCCAGCCACCTCCATGTCAGAGATGCCACTGTCACGCTTGCGCTTCAGCTCACCAGCCTTCTTGACCGAGTCCAAAGACAGCAATCCACGCAGCTCAGGAGCCCATCCACGACCACGGTCCTCGCCGAACACACTAGACACAAAGTTGCCATTTTGCTGGCGGGTCATAAGAGCGAGAAGAACGGGGTCGCGAGGCAAGAAAGAAGCAGGCTTCATGATGGCGGAGCGGTCATTTTGCTGTTCTCTGATATCTTTGGTAGAAATGGCAACCGAACTGTCCAGTTCCATAAACTTCTGGCGCTTGGCGCGTTGAGCGTGCTCGGTAGTAACGACCTCGGGGGTGGCAGTATCACGGTTGAACTCTTCTTCCAGCTGGTTCATCTGGTCAGAGCCAGCATCCGAAAGAGGGCTTTCCGAGTCACGTTCAAATCGACTTTCGGTAGCGCGTGGGGTCTCGCCACCGAAGTCGTTATCATCAGCAAGGTCCATTCCACCATCTGGGAGTAGATCGTTCAAATTGTTGTGGCCATCATCGAGATCCATCTTATCGAGGCCATCATCCTCTCCGATGTCAAGGTCCAAATCGGCGCCGTCGTTGAATTTGCCGGCGTCGCTGAAAAGATCCTCCTCCACAGGACGGGGAGCAGGGGCGTCTCGACCAACTTCCATAGTCGGGTCGTTTCCAAGAGGCAGTTCATCCTCACCAAAGTCAAGGTCAACCAGGGAGGGGTCTTCAAGGCGTGCGGGTTCCTGAGAAACAGAACGGCGGAAGCTGCTGTCGGGAAGGAGTTGGCTACCTCCAAAGTCCATCGCACCAGGCCGTTTGGCAGCAGGCTCCAGGTCGAGGGTTTGCGGGAAGAGCAGAGACGTATCGAGGTTGGTGAAGAGATCAGATTCAGTAAGCACATCGGGAAGGGTGATGCCACCCGGCGCGACAACAGTAGATGTCAAGTCATTGTTGTTTGTGAGGCGGAAGGCCTAATATAAAATTAGAATTACCCGTGAAGTGCGTCGAGGAACATACCATCTTAATTTTCATCAACGCTTCATTGCAATCATCAAGGAGGTATCGAGCCTTGCGGCTGTAAATGCGAACGACACCCAAAAGCAACTGTCCGCTCAATCGCAGCGCCATAGGGGCCTGGCCCTGGTCGACAATGGCATTGACACTGCTCTCAATATCGGACTGCAGGATGTGCGACTTGGAGAGTTTGCGTTCGATATTCGCCGACAACCAAACGCGAGCCAGCGGCCCGGTTTTTGACAGGAGAGTCTCGGAATAGAACATGGTGTGCGTCGCACTGAGATACTATACAGAAATAAAAAGTGGTTCACCAAGCCCAAAGGAGCAGAGCCCGCCCGGCGCGGGGATAAGGCGTAACAGGGTGACGCGCTGGACCGGGAAAACAATTGACACGAGCGATGACACGCACGCAGTTTCAGGTGAAATGAATAGAGATACAATCAAGAAAGTAGTAAATCACCAAGTCGCGTGAAACGACATCGAAGTCAAGAATAGGAGGGGCGCGCGAGGGATAACTTGAGTTGGCAGAGAAACCAAGAGGAACGAGAGATGCGCGTGGGAATCAGGCGTGAACGGATTCCTGCTGACTCAGGAATTGAGGGGGCTGGAATGTGGTCATGTGATATAGATCACGTGGGTGTTTCGGGCATTAGTCATTGCCTCACGCTAGTCTTCATATGGACATCGGACTAACTACTCATCCGGTACAACTAAGCCGCAACGGGTAAAGCATCAGCATGGCCTTGGCCTGTTTGGAGAGGACTCCATGCTGTGACCTAGTCTTTTTGCGATTTGGTTTTCAGCAAACGGCTCATCTGGCAGCTACTTGGATTTTTGTGCCCTATACTGTTAGTCCCCTGTCGTTACACTTGCGCCTCCACTCTTGTTGGTCTCCTGTTGGAAGCTGCTGCCAGATCACATCTAACGTGGCCTGCCGCAGAACCAATTCTCATCGAGACGGGATGAGAACCAATTTCCGACATACCTAAAGCGCTATCTGATCTCTTGTCTTTCATATTACAAAGCATGAGAAATGTCAAGGTCAGCGACGCCTTCATTACCTTTGCATAATGCATCGAACGACTCCTTACGACCTCCCTCAACCAACCCTATGAGTGGCCGGCCAAATGCTCCGTCATCGGTGAGTATGCAGTAACATCCTCTGCGTGACATCTATCTCTGGCATTGCTTGTTGCCATTGCACAATTGCTAACGAATGGTCTCCTTCCCCAGACCTCCACCTCAACATATTCGTTGCTCGAGCCTCATGAAACCGCCAAGCGACTACGGACTTCCCTTTTACACGGCCTAACCCCCGCTGAGGCAGAGGTCCGGTTGGCATGCGATGGACCAAATGAGCTTCCCCACGAAGAGCCAGAACCCCTCTGGCTGCGGTTTTTTAAACAGTTCAAGGAGACGCTCATCCTTCTCCTGCTCGCCTCTGCTGGTATATCATTCTTGATGGGAAACCTCGACGATGCCATCAGTATTACGCTCGCGGTGACAATCGTTGTAACAGTTGGCTTTGTACAAGAGTACCGGTCGGAGAAGTCCTTGGAGGCATTGAGCCGCTTGGTCCCCCATTATGCTCATTTGATCCGCCATCTGCCTACTGCAACCTACGCGGGAGCTGAAAATGGCGGTTCTCCAATACCGGACTCCGGAGAGGAGCTGCAGGAAATCCGAAGCCAGAGTCCAGGTACGGCGAGTGCCGCCATCAAGGCGTCTTCGACCGTTCCCGCGACCGAGCTGGTGCCCGGAGACCTTGTCCTTTTCACTACTGGAGATCGCATCCCCGCCGATATTCGAATCACTGCTGCTACGCACTTGAGCATCGACGAATCGAACTTGACCGGCGAGAACGAACCTGTGTCGAAGTATGCGGAAGCTCTGCGCACTAAATTTAACGGGGCTGCCCCAGCAACGAGTGCAGCAAACCCGCCTCGCTCCCCATTCTACGATGCACCGGCTACCGGGGCTGTTGGCGCTGACATTCGGCTGAATGAGCAGCACAACATTGCGTTCATGGGCACATTGGTTCGCTCAGGCTACGGTCAGGGTATCGTTATCTCGACAGGCGCGAAAACAGAGTTTGGCAGTATCTCGATTTCATTGCAAGAGATTGAAAGTCCTCGAACACCGTTGCAACTGTCTATGGATCGCTTGGGTCAGGAACTGAGTTACATCTCTTTCGGTGTCATTGGATTGATTGTGGTGATTGGTCTCTTGCAGGGTCGCAAGCTACTCGAAATGTTCACTATTGGCGTTTCGCTTGCAGTTGCAGCCATTCCCGAGGGATTGCCTATCATTGTTACTGTTACCCTGGCTCTTGGAGTTTTGCGCATGGCTAAGAGAGGAGCTATCATGCGGAGGCTCCCTAGTGTTGAAACCCTTGGTTCTGTCAATGTCGTCTGCTCTGACAAAACCGGCACTCTCACTCTCAACCACATGACTGTAACCAAGATGTGGCATTTCGACTGCGCGGAGCCATTCGACATGCACAAAGACACAGCCTCGGTGGTGACTCCTGGCCCAGCAGCGCGAACCATCCTTCGCGTGGGTAATATTGCCAACAACTCGCGGTTATCGCGAATTCATGCCAACTCTCCAGCTAGCGCATCGTCTGCGGCAGTGCTTTCATCTACTGTGGACAGTGACTCAGCTGCCGCCAAGAGTAGATGGGTGGGCCAACCCACCGACGTGGCTATTCTGGATTTACTAGACACGTTGGGAGAGGATGATGTGCGTGATCGTATCAGTGCTCGCATTCACGAAACCCCTTCAGTTCTGAGCGTAAATGGATGGGTGTGATTATTGGTAGCTCTGGTGAATCATATGGCAGCTCTCATGTTGCCTATATTAAGGGTGCTCTCGAACAGGTCCTGGCACGCTCGGATACTTACCTTACAAAGGATGGCCGTGAGGTCATTCTGGATGAACCCCGGCGCAAAATCATTCGTGACGCAGCAGAAAGCATGGCAGCGGAGGGCCTCAGAGTCCTCGCGTTCGCCAGTGGGGCGGTGCGAGACACCTCCAGAGGTAGCAGAAGCTTCGGTAGCCGTTCCGGTACACCTACGTTGAAGCCCAGCCCCAGCGATGAGGATGATCGATACAACGGCTTGGTCTTTGCCGGATTGGCCGGTATGAACGATCCCCCGCGCAAGGATGTCCACAAATCCATTCGACGATTGATGTCCGGCGGTGTCAGAATCATCATGATTACTGGTGACGCTGAGACAACCGCTGTGGCCATTGCGACCAAGTTGGGCATGCCAATCAACAAGAACGCACGTTCTGTCATCCGAGGTGATGAACTTGACCGCATGACTGCTGCTGAACTTTCCCAAGCGATCTCAACCGTCTCCATCTTCGCCCGTACGAGCCCTGATCACAAGATGAAGATTGTGCATGCACTTCAATCTCGCGGCGATGTGGTTGCCATGACTGGTGACGGTGTCAACGATGCGCCCGCTCTCAAGAAGGCCGATATTGGTATCTCCATGGGCAAGCTTGGCACCGATGTTGCCAAGGAAGCAGCGGACATGATTCTTACAGATGATGATTTCTCGACCATCCTTCGGGCGATCGAGCAGGGCAAGGGCATCTTCTATAACATTCAGAACTTCATTACGTTCCAGCTTAGCACCAGTGTGGCTGCACTCAGTCTCGTACTGCTGAGCACCACTCTTGGGTTCAAGAATCCGCTGAACGCCATGCAGATCTTGTGGATCAATATTCTCATGGATGGCCCACCCGCCCAGTCCCTCGGAGTCGAACCCGTCGACCCAACAATCATGAACCGCCCACCCAGACCCAAGACAGCCCGCGTCCTCACAAGACCTCTGATACAACGAGTCCTCACCTCAGCCATGGTAATCATGATCGGAACATTATCAATCTACATCCACGAAATGGGCGACATCGACGACGGCTCACCAGTCGACAAGCGCTCCCGCATCGTAACAGCCCACGATACAACCATGACATTCACCTGCTTTGTCCTCTTCGACATGTTCAACGCTCTAACCTGCCGCAGCGAAGGTAAATCCATCCTCCGCGGCGAAATGCCCCTCTTCGGAAACAAGATGTTCAACTACGCCGTTCTCGGCTCCCTGGCCGGCCAGGCCTGCGTCATCTACCTGCCTTTCCTGCAGCGAATTTTCCAGACGGAACCTCTTGCCTTTGGGTCGCTGGTTAAGCTTGTTTGCATTACTAGTTCTGTGTTCTGGGTTGATGAGGGTCGCAAGTACTTGCATGCTATCCGTCGTCGTCGTGGTGTGGGCTCTGGGTATAGTGTCAATGTTTAATGTGGTGATGTATGTTTGGATGGTTTGGATTGCCTGTCACGGCCATAGATCTGTTCTTGGGGCAGGCATATGTAGTTTACCATATTTTGATTGATATCCCTATATACATAATAGAGTACTGTTGCAGTGCATTTCTTTCAGTGGTCTTTTGGATATACAATGTACTTACCTAGCACGGCGAAAGGTTAAGCTTGATATAAGTCTTTGGTAACGTTTCCAGAGAGCTCGGGGAAGAGCAGCGGCCCACTAGCTCTACTTCACCTATAAACTTGCCCCCAGAAATAAAAAGACCTTGAGCATGTAGTAATGATGTGTTTCAAACAAAATTGAAGTATATGCGAGCCAATATGTTGAAATTACACGATTAATGACGCTACGGAAGCATGTATGTCAAGGCCAACGAGGTGGTTTAGGTCTGATCTCTCTCTCATGAGAGAGAGATCCTATTTAATGAGAAGCATTTCTCCTGAACTATACTCTACATGGTAGGTCAATGCTGATCATGAGCTTCATGCTTGGCGAAGTAGGCATTTCATGCCTGGAGATGCCTGGAGATGCCATGAATCTCAACACAATATTACTTGATCAACTAAGACACGCACTCGCCCTGGGTATATATATATATATGTTTCTCAATGCCGTACACAACACACTCTCCTTAGCCTGTACATAACAAGCTCACCTCATTTTACACTTTACACCAAACCATTCATCTCCTGCCGTCGGGTAGTACCTTTACTGCAGAGGAACGAACTCGTCATACAGAGTGTAACCTCCCCGTATAGATACAAAAAACGCGTGCAAGTAGCATGTTAAGCTTAACAAAGAGTTTGCAAGGAAACATTGTGTGACTAGAGTATGCATGAAATTCCTGATTAATCTACAATTAACAAAAGAAGAAGAAAATCACAGTCAGCTCCTTACCTGTGTGAAAAATATAGGGTAAGGCCAAAAAAGAATTGACCGACGCAGGGGTCGAACCTGCAATCTCTTGATTCGTAGTCAAGCGCCTTGCCATTGGGCCAGCCGGCCTAGTTGTTATAACATCAGCCCACTAATGCCATAAGAGTAAGAAGCATGGTGTAAGCTAGACCAACTCAGCTTTGTTCCTCACCGAGCAGCTACCTATGATCCAGCATGCTCTTTTACATGATCTACAATAATCATGGAATATATAGTGTAATTTCTGAATGGGTTGAAGTTTTCGGGTATTTCTTTTGCTTCGATTTTAGAGTTGCCGCCCAAAGTCAGAATAGTTCGTTCCAAGGATATATTTAGCCTCAAGACACCACATGTATGTCGACGGTTACGCCACCCGTACCCCCCAGGACCGAGTATTAATATGTACTTCCATTGTTATTCAGAGTCCACATGGATCGGACCAAAACAAAAACTAGAAAAAACTAGAAGAACTAGAGAACCGAAATGGCTATTTTTATGTACGGTCGAATGGTTCTCGACCCAGAGGCTGAAGCTGAAGATCCAGTTCCGCGGGGGCGGATCGCTGACCCTAGCGCAAGTCGAGGTGACACTACTGCAGAGTAATTTGGTGTCAAAATTAGCGGAATGTTTCTATCACATTCCGGTCAGCAACGGTCAACAATGACGAACAAATCCGGTCGAAACCAGCCATATTTACTCCGTACATATGGTCTGAAATTCGAGTCTTTGTTACAGTATAGATAGGGTAGATACTCCGGTGCCGGTGCCCAGCCCGAACTCGGGCAAAGACTCGGGATCGGGATATTTCGGGATGGGAAGGCAAAACGACCTTATCTGCCGCCAATCGTTGACTCGCCTCCATATCGCCGCGCTAGTTCAGATGCAGCAAGGCTTGGCGTCCAGCGGGACCCACTTGGTACCAGTGGCAACAGCTGCTTTATCTGTAGCCAATGGGAGGACAGAGATTCCAGCATCAATCGTCCAATTGCTGGTGGCGGATAGAGATTCGAGGTCGAATGTCCGCGTTGGGAGATAAGTGCCTCTATACTCCGTACGCCCCCGTGTACAGCCGTTAAGGACTCGAGGGTAGAGAAGGGTACCTGCAGATGATTAGTAGGGCAGATAAGCTATCTACTGTATATGAATCTTCAAGCATATATACTTAGGTAGACCCTCCAGGGCTATAACCTTTGAAGACTGGAGAATCCACTCCCCTGGAACTGCCCCAGGAACTCTTCCCCGGAGTGTTAAGTCACTGCCGAGAAGGCAGGGTCACCGGAGTGATCGATTGGGCAAGTCATCATACGAGACCAAGAACTACCGGCCAAGGCAAGGCTATCATTCTCGGGAATTACCACTGCAATACGAAGACTCGCCACGTTTCTACACCAATTCGGCCGCTGAAACCGAGATGAGCCCATTTCCTTTCACTAAGAATACAGTACTTACAAGCATGCAAACATACATATACAAGGGAGTGGAAGGGAAGAAGGGATCATCAAGGCGGTGATTGGTCGTGTGGACTGATTATCCCATTGCTATTGTCACAATCTCTGCCAACACCATTTTTCCGACTTTCTCCTTCTAACCGCGCCGTGCGCCTTTTCCCTATAGTTTATACTTCAATCTAACTCTTTGATTTGCCTAATTCTCTCTATCTCTCTTCTTTCCTTTCTTTTTCTGATTTGATTACGGTGAATTATTCGATACGATTTCAGAGTGGAGACGGTCGATCCGACTTATCGCTGAACTTTACGGGCTCTCCACGCAACCAGAATTCCTTATAACCCGTGGCGAACTTTTCCTTCCTACCTTTAACCAACCTCTCCCCTCTCTCTTTACACACTGCCGTCTCTCACCGATTCAGCGTGAGACTCCAGAGCTCACGATGTCGTTCAACGGGAAAGCTCCATACGCCCCCGACTACGCGTCTTACAACTGGGTTGGCGCTCCCGCAAACTATGAGCTCTCGACCAACACAGACTTGGGCGGTGATTCCCGTATGCAACTCCTGTGATTCCCAGCCAGCTCCTTTCTAACCACATATTTTGCGTAGGCATTGAAAATGTGAACAAATGGTTCCAATCCGGTGACCAGGCCTACATCATCGTGGCCTCGGCCATGGTCATGGTCATGATTCCCGGTCTCGGCTTCTTGTACTCCGGATTGGCTCGCAGAAAGTCTGCTCTCAGTATGATTTGGGCCTGTATGGCATCCTTTTCTGTGGTGACTTTCCAGTGGTACTTCTGGGGTTACTCACTGGCCTTCTCGCCGACCGCTACCAATGGATATATCGGCAACCTCCGCAACTTTGGTTTGATGAAGACTCTGGCTGATCCCAGTCCCGGTTCGCCATTGGTGCCGAACTTGCTATACGCATTCTACCAGATGCAATTCTGTGGTGTTACAGCTGCAATTGTCATGGGAGCTGTGGCTGAACGCGGTCGCCTTCTTCCCGCTATGGTTTTCACCTTCATCTGGGCCACGATCGTCTACTGCCCCCTGGCCTGCTGGGCCTGGAACGTCAACGGGTGGGCCTTTAAATACGGCGTGATGGACTACGCCGGTGGTGGCCCCGTCGAAATCGGATCCGGATTCACAGCTCTGGCCTACTCGATGGTCCTCGGTCGCCGACAGGAACGCATGATGCTCAACTTCCGCCCTCACAACGTCTCGCTCATCCTCCTCGGAACGGTTTTCCTCTGGTTCGGCTGGCTCGGATTCAACGGCGGTTCTTCGTTCGGTGCCAACCTGCGTGCCACCATGGCCTCCTGGAACACTAACCTGACCGCCGCCTTTGCGGCCATCACCTGGGTTTTGCTCGATTGGCGCCTGGCCCGCAAGTGGTCGATGGTCGGCTGGTGTTCCGGAACCATTTCGGGATTGGTAGCAGCAACCCCAGCCTCTGGATTCATCTCACCCTGGGCCAGCGTGATCCTCGGCGTGGTCACTGGCATCGTCTGCAATTACTCCACCAAGATCAAGTACTGGATCCGCATCGACGACTCGATGGATGTGTTGGCTGAGCACGGTATCGCCGGAATCGTCGGTCTAATCTTCAACGCCCTCTTCGGCGACGACGCCATCGTCGGCCTGGACGGCGTCAACACCGGCACCGGTGTCGGCGGCTGGGTCATCCACAACTACAAGCAGCTCTACATCCAGATCGCGTACATCGTCGCGACAGCCTCCTACGCGTTCGTCATGTCCGCCATCATCGCCTACGGCATCAACGCCATCCCCGGTCTGAACCTGCGCGCCAGCGAGGAAGCCGAACTCCTCGGTATGGACGACGATCAGCTGGGCGAGTTCGCCTACGACTACGTCGAGGTTCGCCGCGACTATCTCGCCTGGACACCCCAGAACCACGACCAGCTCGCAGACGGCCACCAGGTCCCCGCCGCCCAGCGCTACGGTATTGGCGAGCACAGTGAGATGATGCTCGGCAGCCCGCCGCGCGAGATGATGCTCGATGGACACTCGCCCAACGGCGAGATCAGCCACAGCAGCCGCGGCGGTAGCGAGGGTGACATGGCCATGCATGAAGTCAAGGTTGCGCCTGCTCCTCGCCAGGTTGCTGAGCAGCATCCTCCTGACACGAACCCAACCGGGGAAGTTCCCGTGTTGAGACCGGTCGATGAGAAGACAGAGAATTAATCAGTTCGTTTCTGTCGAATCTCTTCTTATTTGGCTTTGTTCCAAATCGCCATTACATTCAGCATCTTTTGTTCTCTTCGTTTGTTCATTCGATATCCCTTGAGCGTGTTTTCTTTCTGCGGTTAAAAGCCTGGGGCTTTTACTTTATTCCGATTTTGTCCTCGACACACTACATCTTACTACTATCACCACACGTCTATACCCCGACCTCACCTTTACCCATTACTCAACGACCTCATCCATCTTTACCCCTACAACTACAACCACATGCAATACCTCCCAACCGTGATTACACCTGTTTCCTTGGGAAAAGCAACTCGATTTTTTGGTTTAATTGGCCTGGCGTTCTATTGTTTTTGGGCTTTGGGATATTAAACTAGGTTGGATCTGTACATAAACTGCTACTTTGTGTAAGCGTGAGCTTGGAGACATTTATTTATTACTCTTACACTACAATGCCGAAATGCCTCTTCCTTTTTACCCAAACATTAGTCCTAACGTCACGCATACAAGCTCCGTTCTCTAACATGATGACCGTCACGTGTTCGCTCCAGATGTACTTATGGACTCTCCCCCATACAAACTCAGCTAGTTCATCATCTATTGCTACATTGCTTCATACTTAAGATCCTTTCTATCGTTCATATTCCTTTGACAGGTATACCCAAAAATTTACTATCGTTAACCGAGATCCTAACTAAATGCTGTGTTGAGACCAGTGGAAACAGAAACATCAACCGTCCACCGAGACATAAAAGCGCGCATGCATTGAGTCCAAGATTTGTGACCCTCCACATCAATCGGCCAAACAACCCTCATGAGAACGCGTCCAACAAATGAGAATGAAAGCCAGGTACTCTAAAATGTTGGTCCCTTCCACTTCGCCAACGAATGCCAGTCACAGTCCTTACTCAACCCGCTCGACGAAAAAGTGATCCAATCCTGGCGATTTGCTCAGAGGCAAGAAAGGATTGAGGACATGATTGCAAAGATTATCGACCCTAATCCACACGCCCTTATACTGACTTTTCTGTTCTTGATATTCTTTCAAAGTATCAATGATAGAGTGGTGTCTGCAATGGTGAAGTTGATCAGGCCAGGCGCCACGATTCAGCATCGTGTTGCACTGTATCAGCCACTTGTTCCGACTTCCGTCTGAGTTGGTCGTCTCAAAGGTTCTGCCATTATAGCCAGGGCATAGCTGGTTGCGGCCAATCTTTGCCAGTTCTTGAGATAGATCATCTGGCCTCTCAGGCTTGGTTTCGGTCTGCTGTTGAAGTTGGACCTTCTCTTTGTCGCATTTCTCTTGGGCGTCCTTCTCACACTGTGACTTGACCTTTTGTTCAAGTTCGCCCTTCTCTTTGCTGCATTTCTCTTGGGCGTCTTTTTCGCACTGTGACTTGAGCTTCTGTTCGAGCTCGGTCTTCTCTTTGCTGCATTTCTCCAAGGAGCTCTTCTCAAGGTCTGCTTTTTCCTTGCCGCACTTCAGCTGCTCTTCGTTCTTGCATTGTGTCGCAGCCTCATCAACTTTCTGCTCACAGTCCGCGGACGGCGGACTGACCAGATCGATCGTCTCACTAGTCTTTTCAAGGACCAAATACCCAGAAGTGGATCCCAAGCTGAAGTCCTTGACAGTCGTCAAGAAACATTTGCGTCTGCTACTCCAGAATGTACTGGCCGAACAGCTAGAGTCCTTGATACAGAGCTGCGCACATTCTCTCGCGCTGACTGCAGGCAACGCAGATGCACCTGTAGGGTTCGCCCATTTCGCGCATGTGTATTGAAACTTCACGCCATCGACGAACTCCTCTCCTGATGAAGTGCCGGAGCAGCATGCCTTGTAGCTCGCTGGCCCAGAGGCACTTGACGACAAGCAGCCGGCGCCGGTAGAGAGAGGGATCTGGGCGGCGTACGCGCCAGTTACGCCCAGGAGAGGGAGAAGCAGGTGTGGCTGAATAATCATGATTGTTTAATGAAAACGAATCAAGAAGGAAAGGAGGTGAAGAAGATGGGTGTTGTGAATACAGACGACCCTAGGAGATGGAATATCAGGAAGAATATTAAGATGATGGAATCGACTGAATTTATACAACAAACTGTCTTCTATAAAGGGCTTACTGCCAGGAGGTAGGCAACCTTGTGTCTACGCAGTACAGAGTGCATATGGCAGTTGGAGCTGAGCCGACAAGGGAAGAAGAGATCTGCGTTGAGAGACAATATGGCGCATCACTATGGGTCAGAGCTGAGTCGACAAAGGAAAAAGATCTGCGTTGAAGGATCGGTGTGATACATCACTACGGGTAAGAGATCTGTGCTGAAAGACACGATGATGATCACTACTGGGCAGAGGACTAGCATGATCGTCTCGGCTAGGCTAAGTTAAGAGATTCGGATCGTTCCGTCGTTCCGTCCCGGCTCCGCAACGAATTTAGTAGCGTCTAACATTATTAAATTATTACATGTATTCTGCTCTCACACATTGACAATATACTACCTGTTTGAAGATTCCAGATAAACATGCATACAAATACCAAGGGATTCCCAGGCTATGGTTCGTATGCGTCAGATAACTTCGCTTAGGATTGCCATGTGTAGAGATCGGCAGCGTGCATGAACGGAGGTCCGAACTATAACCCCGCTGCCTAATGGCAATCTATTGCACTAGTAAGGAGTTCGTGTCATGGGCTTGTCAATGCACCGCGTCTAGCGTCCACCTAGCGTCCACTGCGCAGAGCGTCATAGATCTTTCTCATATTCTTTTGCTTTCCAAATTAGATATCCAGGGCTGTCCTAGAGCAATTGTATCCAATTGTTAGGCTCACTGGGTCCATCACCTTCAGTGTCCTTCAGTGTGTGTACCTTCAGTTTCCTAGAGAGGAGCCAACACGTAAGTCATTCAATGATCGAACCTGTCGATAATAGCTATGATGCATGGCTGGCTGAACATTTTCTCCACTTCTCCTCCATTGGCAGAAATCAATATTGATCTCAAGAAGCTGAACTGCGGAGTAATGCTTGGCCTCGTTTGGCACGAAAGTTTCACTTTGTTAGGAAATTATCGCCTGAATAAGGGATGGCTTCTTTAGCTCTTCAGCTCTTGAGCTAGCCAACCACCGTGTCCCTTGCGTGCATGATGTAGATCGATAGATGGGATTCTCCACGGACCGCTCCATTGCCTGAATATGTTAATGACAATTATTTGAGTTATGTTGCATGCACTTGCTATGAGGCAATTTCTGGTGGTCTCAGCCGTATAGCAGCCTGACGGGCAGGTATAAGTATATGCATCACCCAGGTCTTTCCGGAGAACATGCTTCTTTGACCTTTTCTCTGAACATCCCCAATTCATGGTTAGTCCACAATGACTATCATGCAATCTTCGAAGATATGGTCCTCCCTGGCCGTGTTCCTGGCAGTCCAGGGCACCCAGGCAGACCAGCAAGTTCTTCGTACCCCAAGCAATCGATTCCATCTCGACGAGCTTGTGGTTGTCACTCATCAACCCTCAGGACAAGTCAAGTGTTGTCCCCCGGGCTTCGACTTTGACGGCAGCAACTGTGTCCCTGGCGCTCCAATCTGCCCGGACAACTCGGTCCTGAAAGGAGACAAGTGCGTCTCAACCTCAAAGCCAGTCTGCCGCGAAGGCAAGTGGAATGGCTGGGCCTGCGTTACCGTTGAAAGCCCCTCCTGTCCAGCAGATTTCGTGCTTAAGGGCAGCACCTGCGTCACCGCCACCGGGCCCTCCTGCCCAGGCACTGAAGAGGTCCGTGGCAATGTCTGTGTCTCCAAGAAGCGGCCAAGCTGCCGCAGTGGCGCAACCTTCCATCAGTCGAAGGGTTGTGTCAGCATCGCTAGCCCTGTGTGTCCCGATGGCTTCCGGTTCAAGGGCAGTCAGTGTATCTCAGCAGTGCCGCCCACGTGTGGAGAGGGTGCTCGCTTTGACACCGACATCAACCGCTGCGTTTCCGAGGAGCCTCCCTCCTGCCCCGTGGCAGGCACCAAGCCCAAGGGGAAGCTCTGCGTGTCTGAGCTCAGGCCTGTCTGCCCGGATGGTAGTACATTGAGCAAAGAGGGATCTTGCATTTCCAAAGGAAAGCCCCAGTGCCCAGATGATTCCAAACTCGACGGTGGTAAGTGCATCTCTACAGGATCGCCTTCGTGCCCCACGGGCACCGACCTCTCCGTCGATACCTCATCCAAGAGCGCGCGCTGCTGCCCCAAAGCAATGACTTGGGATGGCAAGGTGTGCAGCTTCGCCAAAGGTCCGGATGAGAAATGTCCCCCAGGCACGACATTGGTCGACGGTCGTTGCCGCAAACAGGCTATCCAATTGCCGGAGTGTGCTCCGGGATACAAGTTCGAGGGAAGTCGCTGCGTCTCACGTACGCCTCCAATCTGCTCGCCAGGTCATGTACGTAAAGATGATCAGTGTATCGTCACCGAGAAGCCATTGTGTGCCGAGGGCTTTGTCCTGACGGGCGCGGAGTGCGTTTCCACCCGGCCATCTACCTGCCCAGATGGCACAGAGCATGAGCATGATATGTGCGTGGAGACTCAAGACCCGGTTTGCCCGGATGGAACCACCTTGCAGGGCAAGGACTGTGTGCGTGGTGGTGTTCAGGGGTGCGAAGATGGAGTCTGGGATGGTCAAGACTGCATCACAACCGGCCGGCCCACTTGCGACGACGAATTCAGATTCGATGGAAAGGATTGTGTCTCGGAAAGTGACCCCAAATGCCCTCCGGGCACCGTCCCGAATGCCGATGGGGACTGCATCACCAGTGAGGTACCAGAATGTCCCCCAAAGACCATGCTTCTTGACGGGGAATGTGTCAGCGAAGGTACTCCTGAATGTCCCCCTGGCCAAACCTTCTCCGGTCAACAGTGCATTCACAATGGGACACCCGCTTGTGCCGCGGGATACAAGCTAGTCGGAGGCCAATGTCTAGACACGAAGGCCGCCGGATGCCCACCAGGCTACGCGGACCGAAATGGCGTCTGTATCTCGACAGAAACACCAAAATGTGACGAGGGCACGACCTTCGACGGCAAGGCATGCGTTGGAGAAAAGCCCATCTGCCCACCGGGAACAAAGTTCGACGACCAAGACTGCGCATCTATCAACGACCCCGAATGCCCACCAGGTCTCAAGTTCAATGGACGCAAGTGCATCACGGAAGAGGATCCAAAATGTCCCGACGGACAAGAACTCAACCAACAGACAAAGGAATGCGAGCTCGAGGAAGGCCCCAGATGCCCTCCAGGCCAGAAATACAACGGCGAGCACTGCATCCTGGGCTCGACCGACTGCCTAGAGTATGAATTCTGTCCACCCAGGGCCCCAGGACTTCTCCCAGAAATCCCTTTCTGTCCCACGAACGACGGCACGATCCTGTATTCCGGCTCTGAGAAAACACCCTTCAAAGTCCACTGTGACACCTGTTACTTCTCCTCAGTAGAGCTGGTCAAATCCGTATCGAACCTGGACAGCATCGATGCATGTGTCCAGGCCTGCGCCGACTCATCGGAGACTGTTGGTTGTAACTGGTTCGCTGAAACAGGCGAGTGCAGGATCCATCCATACTCGACTGAAGGACTTGACCCGCTCAAGGAGTGCACTGCCCTCGAGCGTATTCGGTGAGTATGTAATATGTTTTCTGGGGGATGTCAATGACTCTCTGGTTCATGTAAATGGTTGGAATAACGTTAGGAGTGCGGTTAGAATAGATGCAGGGATAAGTTATAGCAATGCAGAGCTCTTTTCACCGCAGGTATATTACGTACTCCGACATTAGCTTACCTGAGGCATCCATGCATAAACTCGTATGTTCATTTAAGTTGTCCAGTCCAATGGACATTGCTATGTTTTAAGTGCAGACCAGACTCATCCGAAACTACACTGTAGATGATGAGAGATAAAATGGAAGGTAAAGATCATATATTGGGTACTTGGGCACATTTGGTCGAGATGCAGATGCAAATATCTATTTTGATAACTTGTATCAGAACAATAAACAAGAGAAACAATAGAACGCGTAGAAATGAATACAACCACCTCCAATTTATACATAACTCAACGAACACTCAAACAGCATCACACATGACAACATTCACTCCCACAAACAAATCACCTCCGAACCATCCCCCGAACCCTAACCCTCTCTTCAACCCCAAGCTTCTCAACAACCTCGGCAGCCTCGCCACCCCTAAGAACCTCATCCCACTCATCCTCATCCATACTCATAACAAGCGTCATCTGCACACAACGCGTAAAGGCCTCACGATGGCGATACCGTCCCGGGGCACCAGCAACATACCCTACATCGACGGCAGCACTAACCAAACCGGCAATATCACGCTCGAGCCTCGCAGCGCCGAGGGCATTAATTCTCGAATGGTACGAGTATAACCTCTTCTCGAGGAGGCGGGCGAGATAGGCAATTGTCACTGCTAGCACGCGGTCGAAGGCTGATGGTGTTAGGATACGTGCTAGTGGGACGAGGAGGTCGGACCAGGAGGCTGTGAAGCGGGGTTTGACTAGTTCCTTTGACTGGGAGGTATCGTCGTCCATGTGTGTACCGGATGAGGGATCGTTGTCTGGGATTGGGTGGTATTCGATGTCACGGAAGGCGTCTGCTAGGATTGGCCGGAGGCGGGGTTTGATGACGTTGTTGAAGATCACTTGGATGCCATCCGTTAGGAGGTCTGTGACTTTGCTTTCGAAGGATGAGGCGAGGGAGTGGAGGGCTCCGGCGACGCGGGTTGCAGAGGAGCGGGATGGGAAGATTGAGAGCAGGTGGGGGGTTGCGAGGGTTGACGTGTCGATTGCGTGAGGTTCGGTGGAGGTAGGGAGTTGTTTTGAGCCGGTGTTGTTTTGCACGATGCGGCGGATGTAGTCGACTCCCAGGTCGAGGTTGTTGATTTGGACGAGGAACGAGATGAGAATTTGTTCCGGAGGGTTTCCGCCGTGGGTTGGGGCACGGGGATAGCATTCGTCGCGCATTTTACGCTGGGTCATGCCGATAAAGTCGGAGCCTAGGACGCGGGATAGGGTTGGAATGACGTTTGTCACGACAGCTTCTTGCGAGGTGGAAATTGATTGCTGAATGACCTTGTTGACGATGTACATTATGTCGTCGACAGCCGAGGTGATGTGTGGTGGATCTGCCTTGAGGGGACGCTGGAGGTTCAGCGTGAGGCCTGAAGGCGACTCGTCCAGCTGGAAGGCCTTCTCGACGGACCGGCGGAAGAAGAAGGTCGTCATTGCATTGAATGGAGCTACCAAGCGGTCGTTGACTTTGTGCGCCAAAGGTGACTCCCGCAAGAAGTCGGGCAGTGTGAATCTCTTGTCGTCATTTTCATCATCCTCATCCGTAGTCTAGAATTGTCAGTGGTGATTTTGTGTCCAAAGTGAATGTGGCACTTACATTACACTTATCAGCCAGGAACCGACAGTACAGTGACCACCGGCTCAGCATGATCCCCATCTCATTCAAGACTCCGTCGATCTCTTTCATATCTACTCCCTCTTCATCGGCAGCAGCAGCCGCCGGGGCCGGTGAACTTGAGTGAGGGGGCCCAGGTCGTTGTGCGGGCAGGAAGCTCTGAACCAAGAAAGTGAAAGCGTAGGATTTGATATCCATCAGTTTGCGATCGACATGGCGTTCATCACCCCAAGTGTCAAGGATGATACCGCCCTGAACATCAGCCTCCATCTGCAGCCGTTCAATGACCCGTCCCATCTTGTGTGGACCGTAGTGATGCTCGACGAGTCCACCATGGCCATCAACAATTTGAGCGATATGCTCAAACAGCCTAGAAAACGCATTGGCATAGAAGAACCCATCCTTAGTCTGAACACCCCCAGTAGCCCCATTGAGGTTGGCCCGAGCCTTCGCCGCCACACCTTGGCAAACATAGCGTCCATAGACATCAAGTCCAACCTCAGAACGACCAATAAGCGGGAACAACTTGAAGAAGCGAGTAATCTTGGCACCGTCATTCTCCTTGACAGCCTTCTCAAACTCACGCAAGAACAGCCCACACAGCGACTCGGCAGCATTATCCAGCGTAACACTTGGTGGGTCAGGCACCTCAGCGGTAGGAACCATCTCCGCAGCAAAAGCGCCATTAACAACAGAAGGTGGAATCTGCGCAGCGCGGTGCAAATAACTGGCGGCTTTCTCCCAGTCCTGGGGCGCACCCATAGACCCGGCCACTCCAAGCGCGCAAGCCTTGAGCTCGGCAACTTGCTCAACAACTTCCAGTGTAGCTTTGACCCGAGCTTGTTCGAGATCCAATCGGCGGACAGCGCTGGAGATGCGCTCGGCGGTGCCGGCGGCTTCGGAGAGCATTCCATGGCTAATGGACCGGGTGGTGCTGGCATGCGTGCCGATATTGGCGCGCATCAGGTCCAACCGGCTCAGTTCCCGGGAGAGATCCTTCTGCGATGTGACCAGGGCATCGAGGCGGGCTGTCACGGAGGCTTCCTGGGTGTGGAGGTGGGACAATGTGGCTTTGATTTCGGCAACGGAACTGGCGTTGAAGATGTCGGGGGAGCTGGCGGTATCCTCTGTAGGCGAGGCATTGCTCAATGGCGGGCGATGCCCGTTGGTAGCAGCCATGCTGGGTCACAGTGTAGCTTGTTGATGCCAAATACGCCAGACGTAGGGGCTCCGCGGGCGGTGAGCGCGTTGAGCATCAACTTGTGTGACACGATGTGTGACTCGATGAGATGGGAAGAGATCGAGAGATGAGACTATTCTTGGATTCTTGGACTCTGTGACTCTTTGCCTCTTTGCTTATTTGTCTACTTCTCCTTGTTTTGCTAAACTGGTGAATCAACGCGACGTCATTCTCTTTTTCCCCACGCTCTATCAGTTTCCTTTTTTTTTTTTTTTTTTTTGGTGAAGCTCTTCATCTCTTTTAAATCATTTCCATTTCCCAGAGACGGAGACAAATCTGTCTCTCATTCCACATTTCATCATTGGACGCCGCAGAAACCGTCATCCCCGGCGCTTTGCTATGGGCAACGAAGAGTCGACCGTGGTAGACGATTCCACTGCCCCCTCCGTACTGGAGGCGCGTACAGTCGAGGCTGTAGCCAAATACATCAAAGAGCATAATGTAAAGCGTGTTGTGGTGATGGTGAGTTTTGAATATCTGGTACGATTTCAAAGCTAACAGTGCACAGGTTGGAGCGGGCATCAGCACTTCAGCAGGCATCCCCGACTTCCGCTCTCCAGATACTGGAATCTATTCCAACTTGGCTTTCCTGGACCTGCCAGAGCCCGAAGCTGTCTTTGACATTGGCTTTTTCAGGGAAAACCCCAAGCCATTCTACGCCTTGGCGCATGAACTGTACCCTGGTCGCTATCGCCCGACCATCGCGCATTCTTTTATCAAATTGCTCTACGACAAGGGAATGCTGTTGAAGCATTTCACTCAGAACATCGACTGCCTCGAACGTGAGGCTGGTGTGCCAGGCGACGTGATCATCGAGGCTCACGGCAGTTTCGCGTCGCAGCGCTGCATTGATTGCAAGGAGACATACCCAGACGCTGATATGCACGAAAAAGTCACCAAGGGCGAGGTCGCACATTGCTTTTCCTGCAACGGCCTTGTCAAACCCGACATTGTGTTCTTCGGCGAGGCTTTGCCCTCGTCTTTCTTTGATAACCGCGACATGCCCGGAAAAGCAGACCTTTGCATTGTCATGGGAACCAGCTTGTCCGTTCAGCCATTTGCCAGCCTACCTTCATTGTGCAAGTATGATACACCTCGCCTGCTCATCAACATGGAGCGGGTCGGCGGTCTCGGCTCGCGGAAAGATGATGTGCTACTCCTCGGTGACTGTGACACTGGCGTTCGCAAGCTCGCCAAAGCCCTGGGGTGGGATGAAGAGTTGGAGAGCTTGTGGGAGGGAACCCACCCAGAGCCCAAGGGGGAGGAGAAAGAGGCAGCAGTTCCCCAGACGCGGGACGAGCGCCTGCAGGACGAAGTGGACCGGCTTACAGAGGAAGTCGACCGAACTCTGGGGTTGACAGATGCTTATCAGAGCAAAGTCCGCGAGAGGCTGGAGTCACACGAAGCACACCGCCAGTCCAAGGTGGGCGGTCTCGCGCATGTGTTTCCCCATTTGGCATGAGAATTACGATTTGATGAATGTATGGGAAAGGAGAATGGAGTCTGAATAGAGTATGTTTTAGCAATGATCAATATCAAGTGTCAGAGCAGTGTCAGTGTCGAGATACTCCATACTCCAGTATGCAGGTCACGCCAAGACAATCGATGATCCTGTTCTGGCCGTCGATCACTTGAAGTCATAGACAGGTCAATACGGGGATATTCCTATTTAATGTAATTTGTAATTGTAATTGGAATTCTGTCATATAAATAGTCCAGTTTCTGTCGACTACAAACCCATAAATACCACCCCAATTTCTCCCTGCAAGTGAAACCGCGAATTGACTTTGTTTCGTCCACCGCAGCCAAATCAAGCAAGGCGATCTTCCCAGGTTGCCCCACGTCCGTCATCCCTCCCACTTTCTTCCTCTCTGACTTCCTCTCATCTTCCCATATTTCTATACAATACATCATGGTTGGTCTCGGTCCCAAACTTCCACCTTCCCGCAAGGGTGAGAGCATCTCCCCCATCCCTGCGCTTATCTCGTACTAAACATATGGCACAGGGTCCATGCAGGAGCTGCCCCAGAACCTTCTGGGGCCGATCAAGGACTTCGAGAAGGCCTTCACCGTTGATACTGCCAAGCTGAAGGAGGTCGTGAACCACTTCGTCAAGGAGCTCGAGAAGGGTGAGTAGTTGATCCGCAGCTCCTGATCCACTTCATAGCTAACAATCACAGGTCTGACCGTTGAGGGCGGCAACATTGTGAGATACACTCCAAGATTGACAAGAACACAGACTGACTAGTTAGCCCATGAACGTCACCTGGGTTATGGGCTTCCCCGACGGCAATGAGCAAGGCACCTACCTCGCCCTTGACATGGGCGGCACCAACCTGCGCGTTTGCGAAATTACCCTGACCAAGGAGAAGGGCGCCTTCGATATCACACAATCCAAGTACAAGATGCCCGAGGAGCTCCGCACCGGAACCGCCGAGGAGTTGTGGGAATACATCGCCGACTGCCTGCAGCAGTTCATCGAGACCCACCACGGTGGACAAGAGCTCGCCAAGCTGCCTCTGGGTTTCACCTTCTCCTATCCTGCCACCCAGGAGTACGTTGACCACGGTATCCTGCAGCGCTGGACCAAGGGATTCGATATTGATGGTGTTGAGGGCCAGGATGTTGTTCCTCCCCTCGAGGCCATCCTCAAGAAGCGCGTATGTGTCCCAATCATCTTGTATAGACACAGGACTAACCAATTGCAGGGTCTCCCTATTAAAGTTGCTGCTCTCATCAACGATACTACCGGTACACTCATTGCCTCCGCCTACACTGATACCGACATGAAGATTGGCTGCATCTTCGGTACCGGTGTCAACGCCGCTTACATGGAAAATGTTGGCTCCGTGCCCAAGCTCGCCCACATGAACCTCCCCGCCGACATGCCCGTGGCTATCAACTGCGAGTACGGCGCCTTCGACAACGAGCACATTGTTCTCCCTCTGACCAAATATGATGAGATCATCGACCGCGACTCTCCCCGTCCCGGCCAGCAAGCCTTCGAGAAGATGACCGCCGGTCTCTACCTCGGTGAGATCTTCCGTCTGGCCCTGGTCGACCTCCTCGAGACCAACCCCGGCCTTATCTTCAACAACCAGGACGTCTCCAAGCTGCGCAAGCCCTACCTTTTGGACGCCTCCTTCCTCGCCGCCATCGAGGAGGACCCCTATGAGAACCTGTCCGAGACCCTGGAGCTCTTCGAGCGCACCCTGAGCATCCGCCCCACCGTCCCCGAGCTGGAGATGCTCCGCCGCCTCGCCGAGCTGATCGGTACCCGTGCCGCCCGCCTGTCTGCCTGTGGTGTCGCCGCCATCTGCACCAAGAAGAACATCGACTCCTGCCACGTCGGTGCCGATGGTTCCGTTTTCACCAAGTACCCCCACTTCAAGGCCCGCGGTGCCCAGGCGCTGCGCGAGATCCTCGACTGGGCTCCCAACGAGAAGGACAAGGTCGAAATCCTGGCCGCCGAGGACGGTTCCGGTGTCGGCGCCGCCCTGATTGCCGCCCTGACCCTCAAGCGTGTCAAGGCCGGTAACCTGGCTGGTATCCGTAACATGGAAGACATGAAGACCCTGCTTTAAGCGGGTGAAGCGCTCTTGGGGTCCCACAGCGGCGACGCTGTTGAACCCTACACCCCTGAAATCTCTTGCGATAAATGACACCCTACTATTGGGCTGGAGTATTGTTTTTAACGTTTGTTATGTCACTGGATGGGGTTTTGATGGATTATGACTTCGCATGTTGGCTTGTGTTGTCAATAGAATATGTCTGTCGGTGGTAACTATCAGTAGTACATACCGAAGCAATAAATACACCTAACGGGCTATTATCCCCTAGGAATTACTCTTGAGTAGACAAGTAAAAGGTCAAGTTATAAACTCAGGTGTTTACACTACTGTTTACGAAGTATATCGACTGTTCCGTATTATTTAGGAAATTATATTAATGCATTCAAGAGAAAAGAGAAAAGCTCTTGATCAGACAAATAAAATCCTTTTACCACCAACAAAAATGCAAGACTCATAAGAAACAAAATCTCTTCTCCCATTAAACCCCGAATCCTCCTGATCAATATTATAAGTGGCGTCGTAAGTATTCCAAGACGCACAGTTATCCTGCAAAGCATCAAAATCAATCAAAGGATCAATCTCACTCTCCCTCTCAAGGAACTGCAGCGCAAAGCCTTCATCAGTATGCCACCCAATATGACAATGCATCAACCAAGCACCAGGATTATCCGTCTCAAACCCAATAAGCAAATACCCATTCCCAACAAGCATAGCAGTATCTCTCCTTGGGGGGTTATTAGTGTTAACACCCCCATCCCACGGATTCGAACCCTGCGCCAAAACAAAGAAATCATGCCCATGCAAGTGGATCGGATGCGTAACTGGAATAGAAGTATTGATCATAAGATACACCCACTCATGGGCATTCGGGAGCTTAATCAACCCACTCGACTCACTGTAGTCCGTCTGGTTATTGAACACCTGCAGCAGGGTCGGGTCTTCCCAGAAAACTTGCATCGTCGTGCTGTTGAGGTACCAGCGGAAGAGGTTTGCCGAGTTGCGGCCTATTGTTACGTCCGTCATGTCGCTCCAGTCTGCAGTAGAGACGGTCTTAGGCACGTAGGGGACTAAGTTGGAGGCGGGTTCGTCCAGGCATCCGTCTTCGAAGGCCCAGGCGCTTGATGTTGGTTCTTTGGCTTTCTTGCCGTAGTGCATGATACCTCTGATGTTGTCCGGGCTGGCATTTTCGGAGCATGCTTCTTGGGGGATTGCGCGCATCCAGAATGACTCGCCGACGCGGCGTTGGTTCGCTGTTACAATTACGTCGTAGCGTTGGCCTGCAGGGGTGTTTAGTAAATTGTAAAGTAAGAATTCTAGCGAAGAAGAAAACACTCACCCATTCCGATGTCGATATAGTTTGTTGTGAATGGTTTGATAGGCACAAAGTCTGCTGAGATGACCGTCAAAGTATGATTGTCAATCATGAACTTCCAGTGCGTGTCAACAGCAGAATTGACAATTCTGAGCCGGTACGAAGAGCCCTTATCAACTTTCATTGTAAACCGCTCTCCAGTTGCGGCTGAGCCATTGCCGTAGACATTAGTCCCATTCAGCAAACCCGTATCCAGAATGGGTGGACCGACCGTCTGAGCATGCGAGTAAAGCTCATCGACTGTCTGATGAGACCAATCCGTCAAGAACAGATTGCCCTTGTCGACATCGTAGTTGGCCGTAGCAGGGCCATTGATAACAATACCACCAAAGACACCCTCCCAGGCCTGGAGACCAATATGAGAATGATACCAAGAAGAGCCATACTGCACAGCACGCCATTTGTAGGTCATAGTCGAGCCAGGAGCAGTCGGACACTGCGTAATAGAGACAACGCCGTCCTGACCATTGGTGTAGTTCTGACGAATACCATGCCAGTGGATACTGGTGCCATTCATGGACGTGTGAAGGTTGTTGGTGACATGCACAACGACCCAGTCGCCCCAATCTGCGATGATTGTCGGACCTGGGATTGAGCCGTTGACGGCCATTACTGGACGGCTGAAGCCATCTGGTGCGGCAGTGAGATCATCAAGGGTGAGCCAGTACTCGCGGGTTACGCCTGTATCTGGCACGACCTCAGTGTAGTCTGTACTGATGTCGTACTTGCACCATTTGGATCTTTTAGTGGCTTTGTTGCCGGCACAGGGGGTGCCTGTTGGCTTGCTGGCCTTTGTTGTAGTTTTGGTCTTGGTGTGAGTGGTAGTCTTTGTCTTGGTTGATGTTGAGGTTGAGGTTGAGGCTGTTGTGGTTGTCCTGTGGTGTGCAACCTCAGCTACGTTTTGTTCAACGGAGATAGTAGCAGCAGCAGCGGTCAAGCCAAATGCAAGGAAAAGAAGGTTTTGGAGTCTCATGGTCGCTATATACACCAAATTGGGGTATCTTGCGCACTCTTATTGAACAAACAGAAACAAGAGGTATATATAACTCAACGCATGTAGCAAAGACAGACGGAAGTAAAATGGTATCAGAATATACCAGGGAACGAAGAGGCTTGCTGATAAGAGGCCAATAACTATATCTCGTAATAAAGCCATGTGGCTATATATAAGACTCTCAGCACAGCACAGGTAGGAAATCATGCCAGGAGTAAATGTCCGTGTTACCTTCCACGAGGTGACCTGCATTTGGATCTCGCTAGGATATGCCCGTCAGCCTCGAAGGCAAGGCCGAGATAGAAGAAGTCTTTGAGCTGCAGATGACGAGGTAACGGACGAATTGAGATGATAGATCACAAGTTCAGCCAGAATCCCGAATCTATTTGTCTATATTAATGCGAGCAAGGCGCACCACTTCTAGCTAAGGATACGGCAAGCCATTCAAGGAGTGGGACGATAGTCGGCTCGGAACGCTTCTCAGTTGTCGGATTGGAGAAGTTGCAGCAGCGCTTATGGTACCACGCGAGCACTGACTCCCTCTTGTCTTAGTAGACTGCATCTCGAAGTCGTAACAGTAGAGCTGGGCGTGCTGGAAGTCTCCAACAGTGAACTAGGGCTGCATTTCATAGTGCCGAGCAAACACGAGTGGACCAATGGCGAGGTTTGATATTGCCAGAAGCGAAGTCTTCCTCGCTCAAGACTTGTCAGATTGGCTTTAATGGCTTGCATTAGGGTTATCTCCCCGAGTGGCCGCGGCGCCCAACTTCATGTTGGGGTACCTTTACAGCCTCCCTTTATACGAGCTGCAGTAAGCCTACGACGCATAAGGTACAGGAGCTGAATGGCCATAATGAAACCCGCATATTTCCTTTTTGCGGGGCTATCAGGTGCCCAGCCAGAATCTGGATATTGTTGCGAGCGAACGCTGACATAGAACCTGCATTATGGGGTTTCATCTGACTATTGGGGGTGGAATAGTTAGGATTTGAATATTAGTATGGAAACACAACCAGAACACCCCTGATAGCGACCAGGGTTAATCTCATTTACTATGTATCATCCTGGTGACGGTTCGCGTAATTGCGTAGTAAGGTCAGCTTGTCCCAGTCCGAATCTAAAAAGGGCTTAGATTTCTTGCGTAATGGAAAATGGAAGCATTTTAGCAGAAACGAGGATTATTTTAATTGGAGAGACCCCTTGAGCGCTAAGTGTCTGCCTATCTACCCTCATTTATATCTCTTTTGCTACACTCCGGGCACACCGTCGTACTCGATCTGTATGTCTTGCAGCGCATAAAGTCCTTGAAGAATTGCTATAAGTTTCGCTCCCTTTTGTATCATTTACCGTCTGCAAAATGCTCTTACTTTCTATTATTCGTCTCTTCGTAGCTTCAGCGGTGGTTTGCTCTGCACAACCGCTAGAAGCGCGACAATCGACTAGTTCTTTCAATCTATATGCCTACGGGGAAGGCATCAGCGGACTGCCTGTGTTTTACAAAGATGGTATCTATCTGCCTCAACTTACTTTCATAATCAAAGGTGGTCTGATTGTTGTTTCTTTCACAGGTACTGCTCAAGTTGTGGATTCGTCCAAAGTCGACACATCTCCGATGACCCAGGTCTACTGTAAGCCCCATCTCCTTTCCCCCCACCCACAACAAAGGATCCTGATATTCATACTTACAATCTAATATTGTTCCAGTCACTTATTCGGACAGTTCTTCGAGCACCTGGGTAGCACATCCTCGTTCCACTGACACTACTACCATCGTCAGCTCTGCCCCCTTCACGACCAACTTGATATACCTGGCCCAGGGGGATACGGCTAATCCGGTCAGCTTCACTGAAACATCCGAGACTGCGCGGTCAGGGAAGCTCACCGACGTGTGGTCGCTGTACGGCAATTATGTCCTCGTCAGCGTAAGTGGAGCCAACTTCTACGCTAAATCGACCGGTACGGACGGCTTGTACTCCCTGCTCTGGAGTACTTCGGCAGAAGCCATGACAGACACTATCCCGCTGACTTTACGGACTATTGAGTCGGCGACGCAGTCTGTGTTGAGCTGAGGGAAGGCGCGAGAGATTGGGGGCGAGGTGAGCTTACGAGTCTGTGGGGTTCTGCAGTACAGTATTTAGATCTTGGCTATGTATGTGCTGGCAGAGAGGCTCGGCTCGATCTTCCTTTAGTTGTACTTGGAAAGATTGTTCCGGATCTGGTAACTCGTTCCTGTTGTATTCTTCTTTGTTTTGCATCATGCCAAGGTAGAGCTTGACGACTTGATATGGTGATCGAGAATTTGCAAGCCTTTCTTCCACTTTTCATTTTTTTATCTCTTTATCTCTTTTTTGCTTGTCCTCTTTATAGCACTGCTACTTTTTCTATACTTAGAGTCTTCCGCCAAAGTAGAGAAAGCGCACTAAGCTTCACGTACATCTACATGGATAAGATACCTCAGATAGAGGATTGACAACCAGGATATTTAGAGAAGATGTCACTTTTACTAGTTTAAGTCATAGGTATTATGAGACCTCTGAATGTTGGTTTGGCCTTTTCTGGACATGCAGCGAAGAAGGAGAGGGAAAGACCCTCGCAAGTGGGGCCATAGGTCTGAAGGGGATCAGATCTGGCTTAGCTTGATCTCAGATTAAGCTGAGATCAATGAACCATTGGTGTAGCCGAGATCCTAAAGCATGTATCAACGTCCCGAGGGAGGGCAACATGAGTGCTCACATATATTGCCAAAGGTTGACTCACGGGCTTGGCCCACAATTCCGACTCACAAATTGCTATTACGGTTGTGTTGGACCAAAAGAGGATATAACTACATAATGATGATTAGGCCTCCCAGACCGATGGCTCTGCCAATGAAGTATATAAGTAGTTCACATAAGTCGCCATTGAACTGTTTTGGAAAACCGAGACACTTGAATACCATAGCAATGACCCCTTTCAAACCACACCACATCTACACCGGTCAAATCACCATCGAAAGTTTCGGTGGCATACTTATTAACAACAGAACTCCTAACCCCTCCACCAGGCGGGAGCTTCTGCCCCAGACAAACATACCGAGCCTTCCCCAAGGATCCAGTCGATGAGCAGGCCCAAAAGGTCCTAGAGCGAGGCGGCAAGCCATCTAGCCCACCGCTCTATTTACACCGCTACGAGACTGAGTACTTCAAAGTCGAGCAGGGACTCAAGGGCGTCAATATAAGCGGGAAAATCACAAACACATCCGAGGACCCCTAGTACATTACCCCAACCAATTAATTCCATGCTCTTTTCGGCATCCTCATAGTAACGGCACGACGGCGGTTGTATTAAGTGCGACTGATTCTGAGGCGAATCACAAGCTTAGTCGAGTATTCTTTGAGATCTGGTATGGCTATTGGCATGATGCGTCAGTTTGCCATGGAGTTATACTAGGTAAGTTAGGCTGGTATTGTTGTTGAGGGAATTGACAGTGAGGCAGATCTATGATGCTGGTGATGCGTATCCTTATATACCGTGCTGGTTACCCTTTCGTTGGACACTTTCTTACTGGTGGGGTGTTGTTGTCGGTCGAGAAGATGGAGTCTAATTTTTTGGCAAAGATGCAGAGTACAAATCAGAACTTACAGACGAATATGACCAATCTATAGTCTGAGTAATCTTTTGATGTTTGAATGAGTTACTTACAGTTATAGCCACAAGTCCGTTCACACCATCTTTATATGATCTAGATGACAACCTGAGGCATCGAAAATGGACAAAAAGTGGCGAGAAACGAGAGGCCAAAGTAGGGCGAAAACAATGAAACGGTATACTCGCTTCAAGGCTTTTGTGAACCTTGGATGGCACTGCGTACACACCTATAGCCCCTGTTTTATAACCGCCTAGCACCCTAGTGATTCCACCGAGGCCAAGAAGGCACAATAGTCATGTCTAAAAAAGCTTTCCAACAATAGATAGCACCTGTAGATAGTTCTAAAAATAGAAAGCTCAACATTGAAATTGCTACGTAACCCTAGATTTGGTATGGTATATTCGTGAGGGTAGACAAAACAGAAGATTATGTCAAACAAATGAAGCACAATTACAAAGCAGAGAACGCCTGATGGCTATACGCAACGCAACCCAGAGTGAAAAAAGGAATGCCCAACACCCATTGGCAAGCAAAGTGTTGGTCGTGGAGTGGTACCAGGAAAAGAAACACAGAATCCAGAGAAGATGGAATAGAATAAGGAATGGACTAGACCAGAGTGAAAAAAAAATGGAATCACACGTAAAGCAAGGCAAAAAGCCGAATCAAAAAAGAAAATGAACCTGATGCAAAGAGAGTTGATATCAAAACTCAAAACTCCCCAGTCTCCCAGACTCAGAAAACGCCAAACTCAAATAACACGAAAAAGTGACCATTGAAAACACCGAATCTCCTTCCCAATCCTTGGTAAATTGATACCCCTAGTGATCCATTGCCGTGACCGAAAAGAAAAAAAGAAAAAGAAAAAGAAAGATAAGAAAACATCCCCTGCTTCCTGTCACCTGTACCGGATCACAAAAGTGAGTTCCGCTAGCGATAAGATATCCATATTGACTTAAACGCGTGTTGATCGTTTCCGCAGACCGAATTCTTGCTCCTGAAGCTCTCGTATTAAACGAAGGCTTTCCTCATCTGCGTCTTCATCTCCGGTGATGTGCTGGGTATGCTTGTGTTGACGAGGGGACAGTGAGGTGGGAGCGTGGCGGTTGAAATGTTTCTCGTACATTGGAGAGCTCTTCTTCGCATGAGAGGAAGAAGGGCGCGATGAAGGTTTCCTTGCCGACGATGGAGGAGCAGGGGTGGTCTTGCGTACGCCAATTGTGGAAGATGTTGCTCGTCCGACGGGTTTGGAAACCCGAGAGGCAGTAACGTCAGGCGCATACCGATCGACATGTCGGGGTTGACGAGATGAATGCCGAGAGCTGGAATTTGGTGTGTGAAGCGTAGTTGACGCTTCACCTTCTACGGACTGGACAGCGTCCCCCTCTTGAACAACATCCATTTCGTCGGCTAGCGACGTGGGCGGCGAGACCAGTGACGTGGCTGGCTTAGACGATGACATCGAGATGGAGTTCAGATCCTTTGCATCCCCAGAGTCGGGCTGGAAAGCAGGCGGCGACGCGTACAAAGCTTCACCTTGCGGCGCATCGTCTGACTTGAGTTGAGGCTTGCTTGAGTCAGCGTGGTGGATTGGTCCGTGATCGTAAGCATCCATGAATTCCGGCTGCGCTATCGGTTCTCCATCATGATTGTAGAAGACGGCCGGCCGTGCCATAGGCGATGTGCTTTCCTGCTTTGTTTTCTTGGCTGTGGCAGGTACTCCATCATCTTCAGCAGGACGTGCCCGCTTTGCGGAAGCATTCGCACGAGGCTTGGAACGCTCCTGAGCCTTGATCGGATCTATCCGGCCATATTCATCGTGAATGCAACGTCGCTAATGTTAAGTTAGCAGCTGAAATCGGAACAAAAGAAGACCTCTTGTTATGTGAGTAATCACATACCTTGCTCTTCCGACAATCATCGCACGCCTTGCTCCGACCCTTTTTCCCTCCACCGGCTCCATCAGGACTCAAATCCATGAGCCGGTTGGCAGCAGCTGTGGAGTTACTCATCACCGCAGATTGAAATCTTGCGGAGCTCTCAAATCGATCCATGTCAACAAGATGGTTATTGCTCTGGAAACCACTCTGGGATGCAATCGCTGCTAGAGAGTTCAATGCAGAGACAGCATCCTGGGCCAGGGAAGATGGCGTGCTCACCCCAGAGCCGGGTGTGAACGTATTGACTGTGACTTGGCCATTGAGCATCATGTCACCTGGCTCATCCTTGTGGCGGCATCGAATCCGTCGTTTGCGACATGCATCACAAGCAACGCGCTTTGGACCAAGACCAGAACCTCGTTGTACTACCCGGGGTTTGGGAGTAGGAAGCTCTTTCATGCTAATATCTGGAGCATGACTGAATGGCACCGGTGTTGAGCTTTCATCTGATGGTCCATCTGATGGCACATAGAGACCGCTGCTGGGTGGGGGATTTGGAGCCGCGGAGATCTCATCCGAAGGCCACTGGACCGCTTGCCTTTCAGCGTAGGTGCGCTGATTGTCGATGTTTCGGTCGGATCGGCGGCTGGGTCGGCCTGCCGGCTTCTTCTCCGTGAATGAAACCTTGGGATTGCTTTCAATGACACCAGGCCTAGTCCAGAGGGGTGCTTTCTCGTTACCACGCTTCCATGCCACCCACATTCCGAACTGTCTGATCACATCCACGGGATCTCCAACAACCTTTGGAATGGAACGTCTGACCGCGTTGCGGGCATCTATGGTGACTCCTCCATCAATAGTATAGCCGCCTGCAATGAGCGCAGTCCGCAGCAGATACCGAGTCAGCTCAGGTAGACCCTCTAACTCCGCTTGCGAATAGAAACGGGCATTGTGATGGGAAGAGCCACGAGGCTCCTGGTTGGCACGCTCCCCGAATTCGTAGTAGATTGGATGTTGGCGATGGAATCGATAGTGCTCATCCTGGATGAAAGCATTCACCACATGTTGTGGAATAGGATCATCCTCCAGATACTTCAGAGCCGTATACCACTGGATCTTTTGGAAGAAGGGGTATCGGAATTTCCTGGGCACTTTCGTTTCCTTCTCAATGCCAAGAATCTTGATTTGCATCCCGTAGTTCAGTCTGGTCAAGAAATTTCCACCAATGACCAAGCTATTTTCCGGAGTCCAGACTGCGTGAATCCAGCCCGACGGAATCAACATGGTGTCTCCTTCCGAGAGATCCACGCGGTAGCACTCCTTGGTTTGATTACCAAGGAAGATCGAATCCTGGGCGGGAGAATTACACCACTCTTCATATTTCTTGAGGTGTTTGTCTTTGGGAGGAATGAAGAAGAAAGTTTTCTTGCCCTTCAAGATATGGTAGTAGACTGAAGATCCACCGAAGTCGATGTGGAAGTCAGTGTAGCAGTCGGCAACAGACATCAGGCAGTAGAACTGAACCTTGGGATAGTCACCGACGGCCTTCAGTTCCTCTGGCCATACAGAATCCTGCAGATCCAGGTCACGTACAACCTTGGGTCGCTTGATGAGTCTGCCCAATCTGCTTTGGGATACCTCGAGGCTGATGACATTTCTGACAGGTTTGTCCAACTCGGTGCTCTCGTAGTAATCGGCCCATTTCTGCATATTCCACCTCTTGTCCTCTCCTTGTTGAGACTTGACATCGATCACCTCAACCCTTTCTTCGGGACCGTAAAGCTCTGCGACGGCACGAACAGTAAGACCTTGGGGAATGACCATGTCCAAAAGATCTTGGCCACAGTCAGGTGTTTCTTCGATGTGGGTATCTTGTTCTGGGTGATTCTCGAGTAGCTCATCGAACATCTCTTGAGATGTAGCCTCCTCGACTAAAGACTCGAAGTCCGGTATCCCCGGGGAAACAGACTTGGTGGTGTTCCAGCAAGCGGGGATCACGATTGGTTCCGTCCATCCATTTCCTCTTTCGAAATATTCCGCTGTAACTAACTCGGGCTTCATGCGAGGGAAGCTCTCTGGCTGGAACCGAATCTTGCCTTGGCGAATTGGCTCGAGGTAGTGGTGCTCCAATGAGTCGCTGGCCGCCTTGACAAGGCCCTGGTTCAGGCCAGCGTAGTCAATGGCTGTGCGAGCCCGCGAGGACTTGCGCACAAACGTTGTTTGGCCATGAGTTGATCGGCACGGTCGACAAATAAATTTATCGACGGTACGGACTTCCCGGTCACTCTTAAAGCCAGCGCAAACAATATGGAACCATCGTTTGCATCCATCACAGCTGATCCATGTGTCTTCCTCTTGTTCTTCGGTTTCGACTGGAATACGTACCATATGACATGCCGCACAGCTTGCTTGTGTGGTTTCAATTTCCTCTTCCATTTTTGGCGGCACAGCCAATGACCTTGGAATACGAGGCTCACGAGCACCGGCGGGGTTGAACCCCACATGGCCAGGATGAGTTGCATCAGCTGACGGATTCCAGGCATTGCCTTCGTTCTCATCTTCCCAGACAACAGGCGGAAGAGTACCTGAGCTGGTAGTTGGTCGAATACCACGGATAACAGGACGGGAGAGGAAGGCTGACCCGTCTGAACGTGAGCGCATGCGGGACGTGGGAACATGATCTTCGGTATCATCGCCTTTCAAATCACCCTGTCCCGGATACCCACCGGCAGCAAACCCCACTCGAGCGTGACGGATCGCGTCGCCGGCCTGGTGGTAGGACTCGTCAATGCTGACCCGCTTCGTTGAGTTATTCGGGTGAAAGTTCGTGGGCCGCGCAAGGTTGAGGAGAAGCTCCGCATCCGTTGTCATGCTGTCAAATATGGGATGTGGGTTTTCCGAAGGCATTCCTGGTCGAGGGCGATAGGGCGAAGGATTTCTTTCCGACCGTGCACGCTTGGCCGGCCGTTCGGAGTCGGCAGATTCATGAGGGAATAAGGGAATCGTTGATCGGAAGCTGGGAGAGGGCGGATTTTGGGGGAGTGGCGCGAAGGTAGGACTCGTTGCGAGGGCGATCGTCGCAAGCGTGTCGATGGTCGAGTTTGATCGGCCATGGCCTGTTCGGTGGTGTGAATTGCTTTCAGTGGCATTTCGGTTGTGGTTTGATGCACGCTGATCGAAATCAAGACTTGCGGCTCGAGGGCCACTGCGGCCGGTCAAGGAGGAATGGAATTCGGTGGTTGTGGATGGAGTGATAGGTTCGACGGCGCGTAGCGGAGGGGACGGAGTGCGGTACTGCGGCGGACGACCGCCGATGGGGCTCGCGAATGAGGCCGCGCTCATCATTTTCGCGGCGGCCCAGGATTGTAAAAGGGAATTGAAGGTGAAGGATTGGTGGTGCGAAAAGTTGCGCTTGCGGTAGGTGGGTGCTTTGCAAAGCGGGGATGCTGGACCACACGGGCTACATGTAGCGAGAGGCCGGCGCAGACGAAAGGAATGTCATTCCTGTCAGAAGATCATGCGCAGGGTAGACCGCGAGATGGAGATTGGTATTTGATTGAGAGCGCAGGAAAGGTTCGACGAGGTCGAGTCGCGGAGCGATGCGTTGAGGGGGTTTCGAGCGGGAGACAAAGGCGCCGAGAGTCGCGCCGCAACCTGCGGGCAGGTAGGGAGGAAGTTGAGATGAAATCCAGTAGCCAGGAACCGATTCCTGTCAACTGGACAAGTATGCGAATGGATGAAGCGCCAGGGCGAGCAGATGAGCGCGAGGTGTTGAAGGAGGAAGCGGGAGCCGAGTAGTTAGCAACTTTGGTATGTACGCGGACCGTCTACAACATTACACTGCGCCCCGAGCTTGGAGCTCTTAGGTTTAGTTTAGAAGACATTGACATTAATCATTCCAATTACTTTTGTGATTGTTTCTACTTGCTCAAATCTCAAGTTGTCGCAGCTATTGCGCCGAGAGCGTGCCAATACGGTCCGATACCATCACGTGCCGGATTAGGCAGCTGTCACCCGCATTAGTAGTCACGTGATCGCGTCTCGTACTGTCAGCCGCAACTGCCACTAACCAGGATAAGTAAGCGCCAAGCCAAACTTCGTGGTTCGTTCTTGCGCTGTCTCTCTCGTCTGCTCCCTCTCTCTTGTTCTACACCAGCAATCGATACCTTGCGTATCTTTTCTCACTACTTTAATTCAAAATCCATCCCAATCTCTCTCGCCCTGAGAATGAGCCGCAAGCTCGCCCCCGAAGCCAATCGGTACGTGAGGTTACTTTTTCATGCCCCTCCCGAAGCCGGCATGCCAGACTACTGCGCACTATGGAATAGCTGCTAACCTCAATTTCTTCTTTACAGGATTCTCTTTGCCAAGAACCTTAAGTACGTGCTCCATCAGTCACCACTTTACTCCGACGTGATCCCCGAGATTTCAGCCCTACAGGCTGTCATCTACAAGCGTGATCAGATCGTGATCAGACCGTGGCAAAATCGCTAACCTTCCGCCATCAGCTATAACGTAACAGCAGAACAGCTGTTTGATCTCTTCGGCAAATTTGGGCCCATTCGGTAATGCTCATCCACGGTCTCGTTTCCCAGCTCGATCTAACACTTTTCACTTCCAGCCAAATTCGCCAGGGTATCGCCAACAACTCCAAGGGAACCGCATTCGTGGTATACGAGGACGTTCACGACGCCAAACAGGCATGCGATAAGCTAAACGGTTTCAATTTCCAGAACCGTTACTTGGTCGGTACGTGTTACATGGGTCATCCGGACATCAGAGATCGCACAGAGACGGCTGACTTTCGGGCTTTTAGTATTGTATCACCAGCCAGAGAAGATGCTGCGCACGAAAGAGGACCTCTCGGAGAGGCAAAATAACCTAGAACGGCTCAAACAGCAACACGGGATAGAATGATGTGACGACTTTCTTCTCATGATGCCCTGCTAGCATTTAGCTGCGCATGGTGTTGCAACGACTCTACTCGATTGCGGCTTGGTTGAGGGGTTTCCGGCGTTTTATTCCCTGGGTTTCTTTCTTACTTTCAGAGGGTATGGTGGGAGGCGGGCTCTGGTCATGTATTAAACCAGATTGATGCGAGAAACACACCCCGCGAGACTTGACTTCTTCTTTGTTTATTCTTCTTACTTTTACTATTATTCTTTCCCAATCCGACCCTCTTTGCTCTACCGACTGGCTTCCCTGTGAGGACAGCTTACCTGGGATTGATACAGTCCTAGACCAGAAGTCCTTCAACGCCCCGGCCTTTATACAATCTACATGTAAATGATTATCCCAGGGACTCGAAAATGGGTGAAGAAGGAGTGAAAACAAAGTGTCATGTTGAGCTGACCCGAAACTTTGGATCTGTAAATCAGGGTCTAAATAGGTAAGGCTGGCGCAAGACTGGGGCAACAGTACCCACCCTTATGCACGAGGACTTTTGAGACTCAATGAGAGATATAGAGCAAAGCCAGCAAGCTTGGGGCCAAAACGGACGCCTAAGATGTCCATTCAAGATTGCCAAGGCCATAAAAATAGAGGAAATATCAGCCTCGTCGATCCCGCTGCGGGGATCCTGCCACCGCCCAGGGCGCAGCAACCTCACTTCACCTCCGCACTGGGAAAAGTGGTCCCTGGATATCGATTCTCTTATAAGCTGTTACTATCATCTCTGCTCCCTTGCGCTCATACTATTACTTCGATGTCACGCGTATGACGCCCAGTCGTCTCCTTTGATAAGCCTTAGACGCCAGCTGGACCCTTATTCGACCCCGGTTTCCGGGTTCTGCACATGACACATTCCTTTTGAAATCCCCCTGCCATCTTCTTTCTGGCTCCAGGCCGAGAAACGATGGAAGACGCGACTGCCTCGCTGGCTACGATAGCCACATCTACGCTGATCGCTGCTACCGCCAGTCTCACCTCTTATGACGGTAGCGCATCCCCAACACCATCAGGCATGCACACACTATATTATCATGGATCAACCTCAGGATCAGAGGATCCAGACGAGGGAGGGGGTGAATGCAAGTTGCTTGGTCCGTTCTCTGTATTCGTGCAGGTTGCGCTCGGAGGACTTGCGCTATTATCTCTGGTCTTCAAGAGGTGGAGAGAACGACCACAGCGACCACTCAAGGTGTGGGCCTTTGATGTATCAAAGCAAGTTTTTGGATCGGTGATGCTTCACATGGCAAACCTGCTCATGTCCATGTTTTCTGCTGGCCAGCTCGAGATTCAGAAGCAATATAAGCCGAATCCCTGCTCGTTTTACTTACTAAACCTGGGCATTGACGTGAGTCTTCATACCACTATCTTGGTGAAGGACTGTAAGCTAACCATTTTCGACAGACTACTCTCGGTATTCCGATTCTCATCCTCATTCTCCGTGTTCTCAACTACCTCGCCTCCTACACGATACTCGCCAACCCTCCAGAATCAATAGAGTCAGGAAATTATGGTCACCCTCCGCGCGCGACATGGTGGCTCAAACAGTCCATTGTCTACTTTATGGGGTTATTCGGCATGAAGATATGCGTATTTTTCATCATCCAGCTTTTGCCTTTCATCGTCAAATTCGGTGACTGGGCCTTGCGATGGACAGAAGGAAACACAGCTGTTCAAATCTTCTTCGTGATGCTTCTGTTCCCAGTCATCATGAACGCGATTCAATACTACATCATCGACATCTTTATCAAGAAACCGATCTCACACGACATGTACACGGCCGACAACACGAGCGGAGATGCGGCCACAGCCGACGATGCTCAGCGCCGGGAGGCCCTTCTCGATGGCCTGGACGAGTCATATTCAACCGACTCAGATGATGAAACACCAATACTTTCTAAGCCGAAGCCTACTGTGCATACTGTGAAGGAGTCGGAGCACCAACTTACTGAGGATCATTCACCTGTTCCTCCATATGAACCTCCTAGCTCGAGTAGTAGTCGTGTCGACCCTGACTCGAAATTTAGTTCTACACACCATTGAGCATCTTGCTTGAGATGTGCCTGAGCTCCGGGGCTTGAATTTTGACTTCTTTACATATCTTTTATGACTGTGAACGTGTATACGATTTGCTCTCGAGTATGAATCTGATTTATAGTTTTCTTCCGTTTGAATTATCCCTACTAAGTCTCTGGAAATTACTGCCAAGGCCGGTCCGTACAGCTTGGTTTGAGAAACAACTAATTGAGAGTTAAATACACAATCAGTCGAGCTTGAAGTTCTTCGCATTGTACTGAAGGCTGCCAATGGCAAGTACATACACCGCCTGATACACCGCTCTCATCTGCCGCCTTTGGAAAAATCAAAGAATGAAAAATATTCTAGCTCCGCCTTAGGATTGTGGAACGGTCTACAATTGCTTAATTGTACCCAAATATTCTCGCCTGGCCGACCCTGCAAATATCTGCGTTTAAATTGCAGTACTTTGCATACCAGCTACCATGCCTAAAGCAGGGCTGAAGGAAAAGACCAAGCCGTTGACCAAGCCGTCCGCGCTCGAGACCACAGCCAAGTTCCGCCCGGAAGATTCAGATGTCGACATGAACGACGAAACAAGCTCGGATGAGGAGAGTGAACCTGAGAAGGATGAGGCCGAGAAGAAGCTTGAGCGCATGCTCTTCGGTGACGATGAGGGGTTCATGGGCGCATTGAAAAACCAACAAGCCCGTGAGGCCGGCATGGCTCTCACTCTACAAAGCGACGATGAGAGCGGAGTAGACGAAGATGCCGAGGACGACCAAGAAGCCATTAATGAAATGGCTGATTCAGACGTATGCAATCTGGTCCCGCTTTCAATTGCCAACCGAAGCTTTAACTAACAATTCTGTTTGATCTAGCTTTTCTTCCTCGACTCCGGTGCACCCGCCACTACAGATATCATTCCCTCAGAGACCTCGGATGCTGAAGAAGAGGAGGAAGAGGCCGAACCTGCCGTGTGGTACGACAGTGACGACGACCGCCTCGCCGTGTCGCTAGCAAGCCAGGCCAGGCTACGCAAACTGCGCACCACCGAGTCGGAAGATGTGGTCAGTGGCAAGGAATATATTCGACGCCTGCGCAGGCAGTTCCAGCAACTGCACCCCACGCCCGAATGGGCTACCCCCGAGCTCGCAGCCAAGCGCCGCAAGACCGACTCAGACTCGGACAGCGAAGATATCGAGTCGGACGATGAGAACGAGCAGCTATCTATGCAGCCCTTGGCCAAACTCCTCCAGAACGCCTCCGACCTAACCCGCATAGAAGACAATGCGCGGTCAGGAGGCAAGCGCAAGTTGCGACAGGAGGTCCTGGACATCCAGAGACTGAAGGATGTCGGCAAATCCCAACCAGTAAGCACCTACAAACCCAACATCTAGAACTAAGCTAACATCCCCAAGTCGTCCGTCGACTCTCTGACCTTCCACCCCCACTACCCTCTCCTGCTCTCCTCTGGACCAGCCTCAACCCTCTTCCTGCACCACATCTCCCCCTCCGCTCCCGCACCAAACCCCTCCTAACCTCCCTGCACATCAAGCGCACACCAATTCACACCTCGGCCTTCGCCCCACCAACAGGCAACAAGATCTTCGCCTCAGGCCGCCGCCGCTACTTCCACATCTGGGACCTAGACACCGGAAAAGTGGACAAAGTCAACGGCTCCTCGGACCGAAAACAGGAACAAAAATCCATGGAACGCTTCAAGCTCTCCCCCTGCGGCCGCTACATCGGTCTAGTCGGCACATCCCGCAAAGGCGGCGGCCTAATCAACATCCTAGATGCAAACACCGCGCAATGGACCGCCCAAGTCCGCGTCGACGGCCGCGGCGGCGTAGCCGATTTCGCGTGGTGGTCTGACGGCGAGGGAATGACGGTAGCCAGCAAGAACGGAGAAGTATCGGAATGGGACGGACGCATCGGGCGCGTCGTCGCGCGCTGGGTTGATGCCGGTGCAGTCGGCACAACAGTCCTCAGTCTGGGAGGCCGGTCCGGACGTGCTCATTTCGGTGGTGATCGCTGGATTGCCATTGGCTCTTCCAGTGGTATTGTCAATATCTACGATCGACGTGAATGGGCAGCTGCGTATTCCAATGCTTCTGCTGCTGAACGGGAGGCTGCGACTCAGTGTGGGATCCCGCGTAGTCCTACACCTGCACGTGTTCTAGATCAGCTTACTACGCCGATCAGCCATCTTGTCTTTGCGCCTGATGGGCAGATGATGGCTATGGCTAGTCGGTGGAAGCGTGATGCTTTGAGACTTGGTATGTTTCCGTTGATGTTGGGCTATTTGGTTGATTGTTTTGCTAACTGGTGTTGTAGTTCACCTTCCTACTTGCACGGTATACCGTAACTGGCCTACTTCTAACACGCCTTTGGGTCGGATTTCCTCGGTGGCTATTTCGCCGAACTCGGAGCAGTTGGCTGTTGCTAATGAGCAAGGCAATATCCGTATGTGGGAGATTCGGGGGTAGATTTTACATCTGTGATATGTAATCTAAAATATATATTCATGTTTTCTTGTCATTATTCCAGTGGCATTTCAGCGGCGGATTTCTCCGTACCATTGTACATTGTAGCATTGAAATTGTATGCAGATCTGCTCTCCAGGAATGAGTTAGGGCCAATTTATATTGTCGAATCTCCGAAGCCTAGCATCATTTTTAAAACTAATAGCTCGATTAGCCGTTAAAAACATAAATCGAAAGACCAAGATCAACGATTTATGTAAGTTAGCAAAGCAGAGGATCAAAATAATTTTCTGAAATTGCTGTTAACTGTCTAGCAACGATGAACAAACACGCAACGCCAACCAAATACCAAAAATGAAACCAAGGGAATCTGGGAATGGAAACGAAAAGTTCAAAAGGAGAGCCAGGTAACACGCCACATCACATGCAAGTCGTGTTGAAGTCAGATCAAAGGTCATGGTATCGTTCGTAAGGAAGGGTCTATACTGTTGGCCTTTGGTGAAGGGTTTTCAGTAACATAAAGGGGTATATAGGAGAGAGATATAAAGGGAAACAGAGAAAAAGTGGCAAAGAAAGGAACAAGAGTAAAGAGTGAGTGGGAATGAGGCAAGGAGTTTCTGTGCTGGGAGAATCTTCGCTAGATCTGGGCTGGGTATAGATCAGTGATTTGGGAACGGTATGGTTTAGGAAGGAGGAGTACGGGGCCAATTAACTGCTGGATCACTCGCCAAGAGCTAGTCTCCTGGCCCGCTAGACCCCCACCGCTGTGGACGCTTCCCCTGTTCGACGTAGTTCTTGATAACACAGGGAGCGCGATCAGGGCCTTGGCAAACCTTATGACGGTTGAGATGTTTGAATCGGGGACCGACAGGGCCGTTGACATAGTGATATTGGCCCGCGAATCGATACTGGCGGGGATCACCTAATGGATAGAACTTATCGCCCCAGTGGCCTTTGAAATAGAACCATTCTGTAGGGGCAGAGGGACTGAAGGTAGAGGCTCGTAGGTTATCTTCGTCGAAATCATAGGTGTAGGCGTGTGAGTTGAGTAGAGGATCCCATAGTGGGCCACGGTCTGTCACGTCGTGCAAGAGTCCCCAGGGTAGAATGTACTCGTGTACCCCGGTAGTGGCGTACATGGCGTGGCTGCCCTCGGCGGAGTAGATGACAGGCTGCAAGGGATGTTAGGCACATATTTACAAATACCCGTGCTACTTACTCGTTGTCCGATTTTTTCCACCGCTTCATAGCTGTAAGCCTCTCCGCCTTGGTGAGCACTGAAGAAGAGGGCTTTCGGTTTGCCATTGTAGAATCGGACCAGGCAATGCTCCCAATCGCCAACGTGGTTACCAAACCGAACGTTGGCAACGGTATTGCCGAGATTAAAGCTGTAAAAGTAGAACCAGAATGCATCGATGATCCCATTGCCTTTGTCCATCACTACCAGGATTGCAGGGGCATCACTTCGACCGCCAGCCCCATCATCCCGGATCTCCTTGCCGCCGTATCGTTTGCGAAGTTCCTCTTTGAAGATTTGCTGAGCTTCGTGATGCTGATCCAGCGTATCATCCGTCGGAATCGTGCCTGGCTGGGTGAAATCGTACCACTGGGCACGATCTTCCTTGGTATCACCAGGGATATCCCCATCCACCCGCCCATCCCAATCGGACCATGATTCCTGTTTGTTTCCACCCTGGGGTATGTTCCTCTCACCCTCCAACCACGGCGGACGACTCTGCACATCATCGTTGCTAGTCAAGTACACCGGCCACCCCTTTTCCCACTGATTCAAATCATCCAAGTTGCTCAGCGTCGGATGATCCCAATGCGCCTGAATTGGAGTATAATTGAGAAATGGGGTGGTGTGATGCAGATGCTCGGCGATATCACCAGGCCAGAACTGTTCACCAGAATAAAGGTGGACGAGTGGGGCGTAGTGGAAAACAAAGTCGGGGATCAGCCGAGCCCGCTCTTCTGCGTCTCCGCGCCAAAACGACCGCCAGCGCTCACTGGACTCGGCATCCGTCCAGCCTGCTGGATCGCGCTGTCCAAATCTCCCCTTGGCCATTTGTAAATGTGCTGCACCGCACACACTCAGCCACCGACATGCCTTGCGATCGAACCAGGACCGTGAACTCGCAATCCAGTGCTGCTCGTCCCGGTCCTCTGCATACCACACAAATGCAGCGGGTCTAGTGATACGGACTATGCTGTTAATGGAGACATAGGCGATCAGGGTGGTGAGCAGGGCAATGATTGCCTTGGCCTTCCGGGTCATCTGCTGGATTGCGCCGACATAGACTGTCAGGGCCGTAGAACGTTGAGATCAAGGCCAAGGGTTCAATGCCAAGGTGGGATGGTGGGACGAGAGATAAGAAGAACAGGGCACACAAAACCTATATAAAGCACAGAGTCATTGTTAGAAGGAAAAAAAATGAAATGAAAAGCCAAAAGGGTCCAGAACTAAACTACCGGGAACGTGCGGAAATACAAAAGGCAATAGGTCCGCGATCGACTTGCATACGCTTATCCGCCCAAACCCGAGACTGACAAGGATATGATGCGAAGTGGGTTGGGAGATGGCGATTCCATAAGGCTGAAAATATGCGAATACTTGTACTACTTGTACTACTTGATAAGGGTCTGACAGCCTTACAACTACCTGTAAACAAAGAGCAATTGACATGTAATTCTTCCATTTGCCACAATGTCTGACTTGGTTATTTATTGACAGAGAGGGGAAATGATCTCACCGCTTGCAGAGGCTGACTCAGATCGTATCTCCGTTTTGGTTCATTCCATGATTCATCCCTTCGACAATGGACTCGGATTCAGAATATGAGTATGAATATGGGACGGAGACGGAGGTGAGCACTTCCATCAGTGCCATCTGTTCCTGAGAGATCTGCTAACCCAATAGACCTTTTATCTCAACTTGGATTTGAGCTCCCACCACGGCGCAGTGCGACCACCCCGCCGTCGCGACCAAACTTCCACCCAGACTACAGACGACAATGGCTATAGCAACCCCCAAGAAGCCTTCACCCCGATCGACACCACCGAGGGGGCTGCCCTCCCAGACGAGCGAATCCAGATCCTCGGTCTGCACACGTGCAACCCGGTGGTGTCGTACTACAATCAAATATTCAGCTGCTCCTGGGCCGATCAGATCGGCACCGAACTAGTGTTTGCCAATCCAGACACAGACCCTGATATGGACAACCACCCTACAGAGCCGTTGCACCGTGGCCCCTCCTACGAGCTTATCGCCGCCAACAGCGCGAAGATCCTCGGTCGGAAAGCCACACTCGCCTCAAGCTCGGGCAAAGGAACGGACACCGAAAGAACTTTAAACGCGGGTACATCTGCAGAGGCGTCCTCTCAGGGTCCAGCATACCAAGGCGTGCCCCGTCGAGCCGCGCCGACGCACCAGGCGCAGTTTATTCAACGACTGCAGCAGATCAAGACTGCCAAGGGAGAGACGGATCCAGTTCGCACGGTCATGAGTACAAAGCGCAACGTGAACATTACTGACCGGCTGAGTGGCTGGGCCCGTACCGAGGCGCAGATGGCCGAGATCGAGCAACTCAACCAACGTGCTCTTCAAGGGGACCCAGACGCTCAGGCGACATTAGAGCAGCTGATTCAAGAGCTTAATGCACCTGAGAATTCTGGATCGGATGAGTCTAGTGATGAGAGTTCTGCATCTTGAACGGCAGATCGACCAGAACCGAATGAGAGTCTAGACCCTGTGTCAAGTGTTGTCACGGTTGTTATCGCAGGGCGAGGTGATGAACCTCAAAAGAGCCTCCGGCTCCTCGGGTCTGGCCTCCTTACCCGATATTCATACCATCCCCCCAAAGTACGGAAGCACGGGATAGAGCACCTCAGCTTTACTTGGTCCTCGGATATCGGATATCCTTTGACATTCACGCTATGATTTCATAGCCATCCCGTGGAGAGTTGCCGGTGAACCGAAGGGGGGTCCACTAACTAGAAAGACAGATATGCTCTATCTTCATCAGAAGAACGGAGTATGGAGTAGAGCGAATCATCCTCAAGAATGCGGTGTACATCTATCTTCCTTTCGTGGAACACCAACCTGGAATACATATACATGTATGTGATGCACAGCGGAGGAACAACCTTGGGAAAAAGACGAAGCCGAGAACTCCCTATTAATTCGCCCCACAACCACGCGAACAGTGCATCGACTGGACCCTGATAGCTTAGCTTAGTTCGCTCTTCCCGACGTGCTAAAAACAATGAACTCATACTCCTTCATATTCCCGACCGGTAACGTCATGCTATAACTCAATGCATGGATGCTATCCCTGATCTCGTCTGTATTCCCTGATCAAAGCAAACACTATCCCGCTCTCGAGTCGATACACTTTTTGTTTATTCCGATCGTTGTTAGTTTTCTTTCTTACGGGTAGTTGCTCCGGTCAAGATATTGAGTGGTCTTGTCTCCTTCCCTGAAGAGGTGACGTCGTGATCGGCGCGATCCTCATATGCAGTAGATCTCATTGTCGGGTTCATGGGAGTCTATTTGTTCTGTGCCGTGTACAGAGTAGAGGTACTTGTATACCGGACTTTGTGTCTCTGTACGTAATACTAGATGTCGGTGGGACAGGCTGCATGGAGGCCTGAGTCTGTGTGCTCGTGAGTCCCAGTCGATGCGCTGTCAGATTTAACCCAATACACTATTTCAAGAGAGGCACTGCTATACAGAGTAGAGGCAGGATCTCACAGAGAAATAGAGAGAAGTAAATATAAGAATATTCCGATTATGATAGTACGTAGAGTATCAAATATTCCAATTTCAAAACCCGGGGAATTCAGAGAAACACCAGAAACTCCCCAGACTTTTGGAATCCCAGCCAGAAGAAAAGGACCAGGAAAATAATAATGTTCACGCCGCCATGCACTCGCTAAATCCAACCGGCGACATAAAACAAACAAAAAAACAAGACGAGACAAAAGCACAGGCACAGGCTAAATGACATCGAACATGCCAAGGACATGAAACACAAAACAAAAGCAACCAAAGTAGTCATCGAACTTTCACTGCATCCATATGTAACCAGCAGTAAGGACCCGATCAATGTTGATACAAAAACCAAACCCGCAAACCCGAAAGCAAGAGCAATAGTAAAGAGAAAGAGAGATGTGTGGTCTACTCCAGACTCAAACTGGGAATATCAGCGAAAGAGCCCTTCTTACTCCCCTTGGCGAAAGCGACAGGCGAAGGAGGAGGCGCGGGAGGCATACCGTCCACCAGGGTGGAACGGGTCTGTTCTGGCTTTTGGGTTGAGGCTGTCATCATGGCATGAGAGATATCTTGCGGGAAGAACGCAGGAGGCATGACGGGAGTTGCGGTTTTGGTTGAGACGGAGGCCATTGTTTTTGTTGATATAGATGAGGTGAGGTGAGGATATGAGGATATAAAGAGGTAGGTTTGGTTGGTTTGAGGTAGGAGTTGTTGTTTGTCCGTTGAAGTATGGAGGTGGAGGAACAGATTAAATGTGAAAGCCGAAACGAGCCCAAGGGCACTTTTTGTACTGGATAACGTATGTAGACGCTGAAAAACCGATATGCCGGGCGTGATAGTAAGGCGTGACCGAACAACCTCGGTAGAAAAGTATGGTCGAAGTGACGTATAAGAGTAGATATTTTTGCGGGTCTAGATTCACGAGATCGAGTCAGCATCTGATATGGTATGTACAGCTTTTGTACTCGGATCTGGCATATGCTTCGTGTATAGTTGGGAGGCAAAAGTTCCGAACTTGCCCGAGCAGGACCCGATTCTCGGTGGATCGGATCGGAGGGCGATGTGACGCGGGTATATGGAGTAGGAGATGATTACTCACATGGAATTAGAATTGATTTCCGGTTGATTCGAATTTTGTGGGTTGAGGGAATAGAGGGTGGTAGTGTAGAAGTATGTAGATAGCGAAGCTGTATAGACTGTATAGACTGGACTTGAACAAGTCGGTAGTGTAAATAGACCGAGGAGAGAGTGAGTGAGTGAGAAACAAAAAGCAGAGAGCCGGGTAGTTATATCTTCAGGGGAGTATATAAATAAGACAAAACAGCCAGTGTGGAGGTACATGCCTGGGGAAGTATCTAGTACATGCCTGGGGCCAGACCCAAGGCCTCGTAGATCTTCCTGCCAAGCCCAATCGCCTCATTCTAAACCTCCCCAGGGCCCAATAATCCATGAAAGTAGGGGAACATTCTCCATCGGAACAGCGGGAGCCCAACCCGGAGCCTGTCGGGGAGAAAAGGGGTCTGACGCGTTAGTGTGGGGATTGGCTAGGGATCGAATGAATCGATCCTTTCCACAGCTGACAGCTTACAGCTTACTATAGCCGGCTGAAGCGGCAAGGTATTGGAACTAGGAAATGGACTAGCAGGCAATATGTCTCGAACATCTTACACTTCTTTCTTCTAGCGCTTCTATGAAAAAACCCGGGGTCAACCTCGGCAGAGCGGATACGGCGATCCTTTCTCGAACGAAATTGAGGCCCGGCAACCAGTCTGTCGGTGTTGACGGATACACTTCCCCATCTGTTGCGGTGTAGGAGAATTGAGTGGCGAGACAGACTATTTTCGTCTCTGCAATACTTTCTTCCGCAATATCAACCCGTCTTTACCCACCGCTGTTCCGGATCATTCTTTTGACACCGAAAACCGGGAGACGCGGGAAGATCTAGTCGATCGTCTCGAAAATTGAGACAGTCGGCTATTGAAAGATCCTTTGTCCGTCGTTTAGAAGGGTTGATGCTATATCCGATACATGTACGGAGTCCGGAGTATACGGGGCACAACACGCAACCACTCCACCTGGGCGCACACACACGCCCGACGACTAGGAATACTAACACAGCAGACGCCACAAATCAAACACAAGATTTAGCCATACTGTATGTATTCGCACAAGCAGAAGTGGGACCACGCCAGGGGCCGAAACAAAGACAGTCTGGGGCGCATATATTCTTTTAAGGACAGGGATAAGACTCCAAGTCCGGGGTTCACCTTTTCCCAACGTTTCCCTTCTGTGTTCCCTTGATCGTCTGTCCAATTCTCAGGGGTGCCCCTTACGAGAGCGATACGTATACGTTAAGTGAACTCTCATAACAAAGACAAACGTACCGAATCCACCTGTAAACCCCCTAGGCGCTGAAGGCTTGATCGACAAGGAAAATTTGGAAAGCTCCACCATTCTTCCCCCGGATTCAAGGGGTATATGTATGGACCTCTACTATTCCCCAATACTATGCACTCTGCCACCTACGTAGGAGGATCCGGGGAAGGGGGGCTCCATTCCTTCGATAACAACGTTACTATCTACAGTTCCAGTGTTGGAGCGCATATTTTGGGAATCGGGTGCCCCTTGGCTTCCAATGTGGGATTCATTGACGATACTGCATGGATATGTAGCATCTATGCATTTGGATGTGTACGTACGCCACTACTCAAATACAAATACAAATAGAAATACAAAGATAAAGATAAAGATAAAGCAAACATTCCAATATGTTGGGGCGATAAACTTCGCGCATGACTGACTGACTTGTTCTCTACACCGCTCGTTTCAACAATCTGGGAGAAAGGGAGAAGGGGGAAGTGATGAGTTGTCTTGTGTCTATGCCCATGTGGCGCCAACGGGGTGGTAGATTCGTCAGGTACACGAACGTACAACACAGCATCCATGCATGATTATCAATGCTGACTATGTACCGGTACTTGGGAGGATTGTTTGCTGATAAGAGGTAAGTCATTCCAACGGTTAACTTCGATCGTGCCTGGTTTGGGTGCATGGATTTGCTGCAACCTGCACGGAATTTCTGGGCTTCGTGTCAAGATGAGACAACGATAACAGGACATTTGGATTTGGGGTTGTTCATGGTACGTGAACTTGTCGTGCTGGTACTACCCCTACTATCCACGCCCGGACTGCGATCGAGCGCAGGGCTGGACCATGTAGGGGATACTTGTGAGATCGAGTGAGATCGAGACCCGATGATCAAGGACTCTCTGTTGAGGATTTCGGGAAGTTAGCCGATCTACAATCTGTCTAACGTGATAATTTTGGTATTGTTGTGGTTGCATATGTAGATGTTGTTCCAATGATAGTTGATAACTGATAGCTAATTCTGCTTGAGTACCCAAAGATGATTTCAGGAACAGCCCTGGCAAGCTGAAGGGTTCTATTTGTCCAACGTATAGATTGTGCTTGGAACGGATCTTGGCCTGATCAGATCGTCTGACCCTATCTCAATACTCTTAGATCGATGACAGCTGTGAATACTCCGTACTTGTACTTGTAGATAGGATAGCCCTCCGAGTCGGAATATCCTTCCGAAAGAGACTTCCCCAGACCACAATTGTGACCTGAAATATAAGGCCCACCTCACGGGAGCGCTGGTCACGGGAGTGATTACCTCATCTCGGGAGCATCTGCCAATCGCGAGTGCGCCGAGAGTCCGCAATCACGTAAAGCCCCGCAGGATAACTTGGATTGCGTGAAAAATGTGCAATTCACGTTGGAGACGGACTCCGTACATTAGGCCAGATGCGCTATTTCTGGCGAATAATAGTCCATGACCATCAAAACGTGCAGGCCTTGGATCAAGGGGGCAGGGCCATGCCGGTACAATACCCCCGCAAGTCGACGATCCAGGTACCAAAGCCCCTCTGGTTGGAGATTTTCTTCTGTCACCGGCCCGGTGATAGGGCCAGACCGGAAAAGTCTTGGTAATAGTTGAACATACCCCAAAGCGAAAATCCCCCGGACTGGACATTTCAGCCAGTGGGAGGCAAAGAGAGAATCCGGGGGTTGCTCAACAACCTTGTGAAATGAGGCATTTAGCATATATTGTACGTGATATTGGAAGTCTGAGGCAATTGAGTGGGTTTATGACACATTGCATTCCACGATGTTCCCAAGCACATCATAGTAGCATAGTGCATAGTGTGCTTTGACTGCGGGAACTGCTTTGTATAGAACATCTCAGGTGACCTGGCTTTGACTCTATTTGCGGTGTCACCTGTCCGGTTGCCCCTGTAGAGCAACTAAAAATCTCAGCCAAGTTCCAGAATTGAGGCAATTGTTTCGGCCCGCATGACGCATTGCTATCATGTTCGGCTCGGAGAGCCACTGGCTTCCAATGAGAGTGGCGTATGTCGCCGGGCTTTAGTCAAGTCAAGTGGAGCAGGAGTCGAGACGCTGGTTGAACCGCCTAGCGTCGGTGATGACAGAGTGGACCGAGTAAGAATAGCAGAGAATAAGTCTGACTATAAAAAGATCAGGGTTCCCCGGATTTTCTTCATACTATCAACCTCGTTTTCTGACTTCCATGGCGACAGTCGATTATCAGTAAGTGAAGTGGAAGTGGCGTCCCTTGCTTCTTATCTCTAGAGATAACCACATGCCCCACGTGAGCTCTCGACTAACCTTCTACTTCGACGTAGACTTCTTCATCTTTACTTTACGTGTTAAGAGATCACTCTCAACATGTCTTCTCCTATTTCTACCCCACAATCTGAAAGCGGCTTGCCCACGCGGCCTCTTCCCCAGGCACTCACCAGCCATGATGGAAGCTCCGGCACTGGCACTCCCATCGGTTTCCAGCGCTACCCTCCTCACAACAAGCACTTGGATCATGCTGTAGGAAATGCCCTCCGCCAGCCGTCACCACAACCTACCCACTTGGGTATTCCCGGTACTCCCCAGCACCGTGTGTTGTCTGAAGAGGACCCGGGCTACATTGCCGCTACCTTTGAGGGCAAGCAGAAGCAGATGGAACAGGGTCAGTGGAAATTCTCATATTATTTGCAAAGAAAATAGCTAATTCCGAACAGTCATGCTTCAATTGGAGGAGAAGGGTTTCTTCCCCAGTGACTTTATCGAATCCGAAACTACCTGGTTCTACAACAAGCTTGGCATTGACGACACCTACTTCCAAACCGAGACGGTGCCTGCCATCGTGACCCAGATTCTCTCCCTTTACGCCGCCAAGGTGGCCGCTTATGCCCGGGATGATAGACAGCTGGAGATTCGCCTGGACAAGGAGGCCGAGGACCACGCTGTGTACATTGATACCAGCCGGCCCGGTATTTCTACCGTGAATGGCCCTCGTTACGAGCAGCGCATCGACGAGAAGTACGTCAACCACTCCAAGGGTGCTGACAGCTACCGTGTCGAGACCTTCCGCTCGCCCACCACTCTGCCCGGCAATGATGGCCAGCAGCTCCGCTGCTACTTTGTCTACAAGTGCCAGTTCGCGAACCCCAACCCCTCACCAAACGAGACCAACATCGAAATCATTGGTGAGAAGCGGTTCCTGCAAAAGGCAACCCCCAACACCAAGGCGGTCTACCAGGAGATCATCACCACGGCTGTCGGCCGGTCCGGTCCCGTCATCGAGATGTTCGAGATCGAGGGCAGCCGCGAGAAGCGTTTGGTCATTGCCTACCGCCAGGGTTCCGCCATGGGTCTCTTCAGTGCTCTCTCGGATCTGTACCACTACTACCGCTTGACCAGCTCACGGAAGTACCTGGAGAATTTCTCTAACGGTATCACCGTTATCTCGCTGTACCTCCGACCCTCAGCCGAGTCTGGTGTCTCGGCCAAGTTCCCTCCCATTGAGGCCGCCATCCACCAGATCATGAAGGAGACCTCCCTCCTTTATTGTATTCCCCAGAACCGCTTCCAAGGACACTTTGCTACTGGCCGGCTCAGCTTGCAAGAGACTATCTACGCTCACTCCGCGTGGGTCTTCGTGCAGCAGTTCCTCAACCGTCTGGGTTCAGAGTACACTTCGTTGTCTGCTCTCCTAGATAACAACAACAGTGTCCACGCAGAACTTTTGTCGAAGATCAAGAAGCGTCTCCGTACCGAGACTTTCACTGCCGACTACATTTTCGAGATCATCAACAAATACCCCGAGCTCATCCACAAGCTCTACCTTGACTTCGCCAACACCCACTACGTTCAGACCCAGGGTCCCACTGGCGATGACTTCCTCCCCACCCTTAGTTACCTCCGCCTCCAGGTCGACGAGGTCCTCGACGGTGCTAAGCTCAAACAGCTGATCCGCAGCACCGCCGTCAACGAGCACGACGAGATGGTGATGAACTCTTTCCGCGTGTTCAACTCCTCCATCCTCAAGACCAACTTCTTCACTCCCACCAAGGTGGCCCTCAGCTTCCGCTTGAAGCCGGACTTCTTGCCTGAGCACGAGTACCCCCAGCCCCTGTATGGTATGTTCTTGGTCATTAGCTCCGAGTTCCGCGGTTTCCACCTGCGCTTCCGTGATATTGCTCGCGGTGGTATTCGTATTGTCAAGAGTCGGAACCGCGAAGCATACAACATCAACGCTCGCTCGTTGTTTGACGAGAACTACAACTTGGCCAACACCCAACAGCGCAAGAACAAGGATATCCCCGAAGGCGGTGCCAAGGGTGTCATTCTCTTGGATGCTGATCACCAGGACAAGGCGCGGGTCGCCTTCGAGAAGTACATCGACAGTATTCTCGATCTGCTCCTGCCCCCCGTCAGTCCCGGTATCAAGGACCCCATCGTTGACTTGCACGGAAAGGACGAGATCCTCTTCATGGGTCCCGATGAGAACACTGCTGAGCTTGTCAACTGGGCTACTGAGCATGCTCGCGGCCGTGGCGCTCCCTGGTGGAAGTCGTTCTTCACTGGCAAGAGCCCCAAGCTGGGTGGTATTCCCCACGACACCTACGGCATGACCACCCTTTCGGTCCGCCAGTACGTCCTCGGTATCTACCGCAAGCTGAACATCAACCCTGCCACCATGCTCAAGCTGCAGACCGGTGGTCCTGATGGTGATCTCGGATCCAACGAGATCCTGCTCTCCAACGAAAAGTACGCCGCCATCGTTGACGGAGCTGGTGTCATTTATGACCCCAATGGTCTGAACCACGAGGAGCTTCTCCGTCTGGCCAAGAAGCGTGCCATGATCTCCGAGTTCGACATGTTCAAGCTGTCACCCGACGGTTACCGTGTCCTGGTCGACGAGAAGAACGTCAAGCTCCCCAGCGGCGAGGTCGTCCACAACGGTATGGTCTTCCGTAACACCTACCACCTCCGCTCGCAGGAGAAGTTCGACATGTTCGTGCCCTGCGGTGGCCGCCCCGAGTCCATCGACCTGTCTACCGTCAACAAGCTCATCAAGGACAACAAGTCAATTATTCCTTTCATCGTCGAAGGTGCCAATCTCTTCATGACCCAGGACGCCAAGCTGCGCCTCGAGAAGGCCGGCTGCATCCTGTACAAGGACGCCTCCGCCAACAAGGGTGGTGTGACTTCCTCCTCGCTCGAAGTCCTCGCCTCGCTGTCCTTCAACGACTCCGAGTTCGTCGAGAACATGTGCATTCGCGAGGACGGCACCGTCCCCGATTTCTACCAGGCCTATGTCAAGGAAGTCCAGGAAGTCATCAAGCAGAACGCCGCTCTCGAGTTCGAGGCTATCTGGCGCGAACACGAGCAGACCGGTGTGTTGCGTAGTGTGCTGAGTGACCGTCTCAGTATCGCCATCACTAAGCTCGACGAGGAGCTCCAACAAACCGAGCTCTGGGACAACGTTGCCCTCCGTCGCTCGGTTCTCAGCGATGCTCTGCCCCGTCTGCTTCTTGGCAAGATCGGCCTCGAGACCATTTTGGAGCGCGTATGTTCCCCACCCCATTCTACATTTTATCTCATTGAATAATCACTAACATTTTCCAGGTCCCCGAGAACTACCTCCGCGCCATCTTCGGTTCCTACCTGGCCAGCCGCTTCGTCTACGAATACGGCAACCAACCCAGCCAGTTCTCCTTCTTTGACTTTATGACCAAGCGCCTGGCCCAGATCCAGTCCTAGACATGGATGTTTGGCTCTAGAAAATAAACATTCCCCCTATCCCCGATGTTGATTTTGCGATATTCTCGTTTGCTTTTCCTTTTTCCTTTTCCTTCCCTTTTGGATGATTCTTCCTGTGTTGCATGATATATACCTTAATCCGGAACGAAAAAAAGCAATTTGTTCCCTAACGAATGTATGGTTAGAAAAGTTCTGGTGATGTTTTGGTTTGAAGGGTTCCAAAAGAGATGCCGTTCTCTCGCGCAATGCGATCCTTAGAATTGGATTCTTTATTACTTTTTGGAATGGCAATTCTATATAGTAGTCGTAGAGTAGTAAGGTTGGCAAGTTGATGATACGCAGGGTCTAATCTTGAATTGTCTGGTAGATACAGCGCGAAAGCAGCACATTGTCTAAATGACCCTCTTTCTTCATTTGTCCGTTGCAGATATGACTTCGCAAAATAATGCGGCATATAGCACTCTATTACCTTTAAGAAAGTATATCAACAGTGGCACGCCGTCTTCTGCTACTGTTGTAAACACTGCCGTGGAGACAATAGTGTGTGGCTTTGGCAGTCTCTCTCTTAGCACGACATAATATAGTTGTATTCAAAATTAGATATAGCACTTGCAGCCGAACATCGTATCGTACATAGGCAAACTTCAACCTTGAAACGCAATAGGCAGTTTAATTTCGTTGTAATGATCTGCATAGAATCTACACAGATATTCACTCCACTTCAGCAGGACAAGGTTCCAAAGAAATATTCCATTAATGAATCAGAGGATGCTTCTCGAAGGTGAGGCCAAGATTGATCCGAAGACACTCCTAGCAACCTTTTATGTGGTGTGATACATGTACAGCTGAAAATTGTACGATCAGTATTTCTTTCCTCTCTCTCTCCTTTCTCCCCATCTCCCTTTTTCCCATTATCCACTCACACCTTGATACCACTTCAGTATAATTTCCATAAACATGGGTAAGTCTTAATATATTACCTGTTTTTCTCCTACTTTTACTCCGAAAAAAAGCTAAAGTCTTATTTTAATCCGATTATATAATTCATCCCACATGTAATCGTAAAATCCTAATGGCCAGCATATTCCATGAATATCCATACCCTCAAGCCCTCAAATTTTGCCCTTGCCACCCCAAAATGAACCCTTCTCTCCAGGCGGCTTTCTCCTGAAAGCTGCTTCAATCTCAGCAAATGTCCGACCTTTGGTCTCATGCATATAGAATATGCCAACAAGGGCAGTAATAATACTACACCCACCCCACAAAAAGTAGGCACCAAAACTACTCTTCGCGAGTAGAATCGGGGTGGTCAAAGCAACCAAGAAATTACACAGCCAGTTACTAGAATGACCCAGTGTCGTAGCTGATGCTCGTGTTCTCTGGGGCTGGATCTCAGCCGCGTAGACTTTGACAGCGATGCCCCAAGAAACAGAGTAAAGGGCGGCAAATAGGAAAATACAGACGATCACAACCCAACGACCGGCGCCGGTGGATTGGTGGACGGCATTTCCAGCATACAAGCCGCCCATAAGGAACATTAGAACGGCTTGGCCGATACCGCCGTACACGATGCTGCTTCGGCGGCCCCATCCATCGGCGTAGATCAGTCCTGGGATGGTCACGGCGAAGATGACCAGGGCTGAGACACCAGAGGCTAAGAAGCTTGCTTCTGATGAAGCGAGGCCTGCCTTTTGAAAGAGTTCAGGAGCATACTATCGAGTTCGGGTTAGCTTTTTTTCCATAGCGAGGCCTGGGATTGGACATACGTAAAGGACTCCATCGATACCACTCATCTGTTGCATGCCCATCAAGAAGACAGCAAGGGCAGTTCTACCTCTGACATCCTTGGAGAAGATATCCATAAGTTTCTCCATGGTGCTCTGGCCATCCACCTCAGTACCAGGTTCAACCTCCGTTGTCTGCACTTGAACTTCAACCTTCTCACGGTCCGCACATTTGACACCCAACTTATCCCAAGCCTCTTCAGCCATAGCATAGCGACCCTGAAGACCAAGCCACTGCGGCGACTCAGGCAAGAAAAGCAAGGAAAGACCACAAAGAACCATAGAAAACCCAGAAAGAAGAATAAATGGCATCCGCCAGGAAAGCGAAGACTGGACATTCGAAGACCCATAACAAACAAAGTAACCAACAACCAATCCCAGCGTTATAGCCAGCTGAGGACCAGTAGTCAAAGCACCTCTAGTGCGAGTCGGTGAAATTTCACAAATAAGAACAACAAGATTCCCAAGGAAAAGACCCTCCCCCAGACCTTCAACAACACGACCAACGACAAACATCGACAGTTGCACAGCACCTGCTTCAATCGCGGCACCAATACCGAAGATGAAAACACCGATACTGATTCCCTTTGGTCGACCTAGTCGGTCGGCAACATAGCCAGCAAAGAAGGAAGAGAGGGCTGCTGGAATCAAGATACAGGAGACGATTAGGCCGTGGATTGTTGAGTTTTGACTACCGCCAAATTGGGCTTTGAAGTCTTCCATGTCGGTAACTGGGCCGATGACTCCTGTGTCCATTCCGAAGAGAAGGCCATTTGCTGAACAGAGGATGCAGGCTAGTAGGTATCTTGGTGGGGTTTCGAAAGGGATTGGGAATAATCCCATGATGTCGTGACTTAGGGCTTGCCGGGTGAGTCAGGCAAGGTACTCAATGGTTTCTTCTTGGAGTGTTCGTTTGAAGTGGAAGGAATTCTAGGAATGCAACCTGGGAATACAGTAAGTGCAAGAGAGATTGTTCTAAGAAGGCGTGGGATGAAAACTCTTCTGGACATTTCTCCCTAAATGCTCCGTTAGTACATGTACATGACCCACGTGGCAGTCCTTATCTACAGGACATGCATGGAGCATAAAGCATGAAGTAGGTAAAGCGACCTGAGAGCTTACTATTTGTGCCTAATACTGTCATTCTCGCTTATATCTATAGAAAAGACCTCTATACAACGACCACAACTTAAAATAGCCACTCGGTTTCAGGAACACCTCCTGAAACTTCACAGGGCTGTCCCCGGAAAAGGGTCTCCCGGGTGTCGATTTCTTCACGGCCCGAGCTGGGGGAAAGCGTACCGAGTCTTTTGTGGGCCGTTTCGCATCCTTTGCTATCCTGGGCGATCCATCGACCCCACTACGGCTGTTAGGCTTGTTCTTAGGGTTCTTTTGTATTTAGCCGGATCTTGGAAATTTTCGATTTGACACTGCAGATTAGATGACTCGGCGCTTATCATTTCCGAAACAGGGTAAGAAGTCGAGTCAGGTAATCATAGGCAAAAGTGCCCGGTTCGGCGTTGGGCGATAACTTAGGCTTCTCATACTACAAGCCGAAATTATTGAGTCTTGAAATATGATCTAAATATTCAAGTATAACAACCGTTGTTTGTGAAATGATTTGAATATTCAAAGTCATCCTTTCTCAAAGCACATCTTTTTGACTCACTAGATCTCTTTGATCAGATGAGCGTCAAGACCCGCTGGTCTGTCTTCTTTTGACCGCGTGTTTCCCACTTCCTTCAGATGAGCATCTCCGCCATTTGAGTCCGCCGTGAACTCAAACTTTCGCCATTCACAATTCTTCCAACCAGTACCTATGATTTCAGTATTAGTAACTACTAGTTGACATGAATAGAATATAAAAGGGTAAACATACAGTGAACTCTATCATAGCCAGCCCAGTCCTCCATGAGATAGTGCAAGAACCCACCATGGGTTACAAGGGCAATATGTTCTTCAGGACGATTCCAAAGCCATCGCCGCAAGTCGGCAGCGCGTTTACAGATAGCAGAAAGCGTGTGTGCATATATCCCAGCCTATGAGGAAAATTCACATTAGTACAGTCTATGCCGCAGTCAGTGCCAGTAAATACTTTAGAATTCCACGATTCATCGATTAGAGCCGTATCCAATTGGCTAAGTTCAAAGTCAGGCGCCACTTCAGCAACCAGCTTTGGAGCCTGGGATTTGACACGATCCTCATCCCAGCCATAATTGCAGTTAAATCCGCTGATCTCTTGGGCACCCGGGACCAGGATGAAATGCAATTGGCGCTGTTCCAGTTCTGGCGCAAATACCCAAGCTGCTGTTTGAATGGTCCGCTGAAGAGGAGATGCAAGAACAATGGAGATTTCTTTTGAAAAGGGAAATTCTTCTCGGAGCTGAAGGCATTCGTCTTTGCCCTTTGCGGTCAGCAATGGATCGCGTAGGTGGTTTGAGTTCTGTGAGATCAGTTAGAGGGGTCTCTTCACAACGGACGAGGGAATACGGTGTACGTTGACGTTGTGCTCGCCTTGACCGTGGCGGATCAGGTACAGAATTGGTGGCATTGGCGCTTATCATATGTTTAATAAAAAAAAAGATTTGAGTGTTACTTCTAAAGTGAACAAAACAAGGGTCCAAAGCTATATTATAAAGGCTATTTTGATTTACTCCTTCTATAGAACCCTCACTCGGTTCGATCTCCGAATCTCATAGTTCGTGCCCAGAAAGCGAAGCCGAGCCGAATAATTTCCCAAGAACTAAAAGGGTTACGATGTTGAACATGGCAATTAAAGCGATACATTTTCTCCAGCCATATCCACGGAGTATCGAGTGTTCATTGATTCCACTCCGTAATCGGAAATATTGCCGAGCCGTCGCCACAAGTGGAACCCAACTTGGTCGTTCGCCCAGTTCACCTTTGACGAGAACAGGACAAAATAGAACTTCATATCTGGGCCGATTATAGTATTTGTCCCGAGCATCTCCTAACACAGGAGAAATGCGCTCCTACACTGGCTGGTACGCGCACACAGTCTGAATAAAGGTGCAGTCAGCTAATTGCCCGCTATAGCCTCACATGCAGAGGGCGCAAACTAAAATGCGACGAGGCCAAGCCAATATGCGGTCCTTGCAATAAGGCAAGTCGGGAATGCAAGTTTGATCAGCGATGCATCTTCCGCAGTCAGAACTTTTCGACCACGAAACGTAGGCATAGACGCAGAGCTGGCTCGCGGGGGGATCAAGGTCCTTCAGATGCGCTTGAGGAAAATCAAACATGGGTCCAGGTACCACATGATCGTGAGTTTCCAGTTGAAGCTGATATGACTGATATGATTCAGGGCTAAGTGCAGAGCAGTTACTTTTATTCAAATCGACGATCCTTGGTCTCCCGATGGCGCACATGTACTACACGATCTCCACGGGGATCGAGTAGAAAGCAACCCATCTGCGCAGCAACATACAGCGCCAGGGGCCAGTTGTGACCTTAACAAGCAGATTCCTGAAACACCCGGTGATACTTCGTTTCAGTCAACTCCTGTATGGCACACGCCAATTCCAGAAGTAATTGCAGATACGCCGGATCCTGTCCACCTCTCGATTCCAAGACCTGACAGATCGGGCAAAGATGTTGATCCCAACGTGGTTGTCTCTTATATGTTGCGACATTTCAAGGAAGGGCCGGGCCAGTGGTAAGCAACGATGAACAGTGGATGAAAATGGTCACTAAAGGAACCAGGATGGACCTTTTTGATACCACAGCATACTTTTCGTCCAAAGTGCCCGTGATAGCAGCTGTGCGGCCTCTGCTTAAATCTGCAGTCTGCGCTCTCTCAGCGAAACACCTACAACATCTCTACCATATCTCGGACGGCATCGACCGCAACAGCTATATTCTTTCGCTGGCAGACGAAGAAACTTGGCATTATCAATCAGCAAAGCACTATGACCAAGCACTGGGATATTTGAAAATAGCTATCGACCTGGAAACTTATAATGACAGTCCCTCCGACAAAGAAGAAATGCTCGCTGCTGTGGCGATCCTATGTCTCTACGAACTAATGGATGCACCTGGCACTGCCTGGAGGGCTCATCTCAGCGCCCTACCTCTTTTCAACGATACATCTGCCTCAATGCCCGCCCACTCCTCGGTCATCATTCCCAGAACGGCGATCAAGGGACCGATCTTCTGGAGTCTTGCAAGACAAGACCTGTTGTGTGCTTGTATGTTTGAAAATGTGGCCGTTGTTCAGGAAAGAATGCTAACAGTACTAGTTATAAGCGAAACATCGACCCGTCTCGATCTAAAAGACATTCGTCTCTGGCAAAATGCCGGCCTTGTCACAAACGAGCACGGAACCCTGTTACCTTCCACCGCAATAAGCCCATTGGATATCCAAAACTACTCAGGAATTGAAGAAGACATGAAGAGCAACGAGCTCACCTGGCTTCTGGGAAAGATTGCAAACCACCTAACTATGGGAGACACCGTTACTTTCGAAGACTTTGTTTTACCACGCGAACAACGGGCTTACCTGGGCTTGAATCAACAGCACCTCCTCGACCGCTGGAACCTTCTCATGTCCGAACTAGAACAGTGGTACGACTGCCTCCCGTCAACGTTCACAGAGGCAGCGCGAACAAAGGCACAGGGTAGCACCGATCCACGACATAAGCTTTCCTTGGAAGCCTTCGAACAAATCTGGTTCAATTTACCGTTATGTGCAGCGACAATCCAAAGTTATCACCAGGCTCGGATTCTATTATTGGTCAATCAGCCGCAGCAGTCGACGGCAATTCAATCAACTGTGTCTTCGCGGCTGAGAGCATACCGAAATGCGTTGAAACAAGCACTATTCCATGCACGGGAGATTTGTGGGATTAATCTTGCAAATCCGACGGATCCTGTACGAATTAATTCGGTGCATGCACTGTTTGTTGCTGGGCAGGTGTTTCAAGAGCGGCGTGAGCAGGATGCTGTTCTTGAGATCCTTGCTGGTATTGAGAGGGACTTGGGGTGGACTACTCAGTTTCATGCTGTTAAGTTGATTGATGAATGGGGGAGGGGTGAGGATAATAGTATTGGTATTGGCCGGGGCGGGCGTGGATATAGGGATGATTGGATGACTCCATAGATGAATTTACGATGGACGATATGATATACACATAGATAATCCTTGAGAGAAATCGGGGCTAAACTTTCGATTAAGGTAGCAGATATACAGATGCAAGAAACAAGATGGAAGGGGTTCGGCGACGTCAAGGTGTGCACCAGGCCATGCAATGATGAGATCTGATGGCGTTGGCGTGCATATACTCAACACATGCTGGACCTAAAATCCCAAACAACAGAGTCAAACTAATATTTATGGCACAGCCATAGCGCCAAGAAAACAAAGAATAATTGCATTCTATTGAATGATAATATAATATTGACGACTATAAGTATATCCGGCGAACCCGAAACCCCACACCGATCATCCGACATCTCAATTCTTCGCCTCTACGACTCAATACGATATCTCCAAGATAAAGCAAGGGGTCACATCCTCCCATAATACTTTACCAGCCCCAAATGCCTCGAGAAACATACCCTCTCACACCCCCCAAAACCCCAATAGCACTATGCCCGAACAACCTCCTCTCCCCACCCTCAGACCGCCTAACCAACACCCCAACAACCCTCTCCATAGCTCGCGACACCCCAGGCCACACTTTCACCGTCCACCTCGTCCGCGCGCACGAACCCCTTGATAATCCAGACCGGTACACATTGCTCTTCACCGTATCTGGGAAGCCATGGCCGCATACGCAACACCGTCAGATATGTGATGCGGGCGGGTTGCCGGTTCTTGAGCTTAGGCGTGTTTGGATTGGATCTAGGAGGTGGGCTGTTCGGTGTCCTGGGGGGAGAGTGGATTTGCTTGAGGCTTCTATGCCTTGGTCTAAAGGGCGAAGTGGAAGTGTTGGGTTTAGGCTTGATGTGAGGTTTTGGAATGTGCTTGGGGCTGGGGATTCTGATACAGGGTCAGGAGTACATGTATCTGATCCTGTGTCTAACTTGGATTCTGGGTCTCTGGGCTTGGGGGATGAGCCGCCGCCTTATGCTTCTGTTGCTGGCGATATAGAAGACGAAGATGACGATGAGAATGCAGAAGAAGAGAACACCGTTTGGGCCGAGAAGCAAGACCCATTTCCTAACTCGGAATATGATCTAGGTGCAGAACAAACACCAGGAATTCGAAGTGACCACGACTCGCCTTCTATCCTCCCATCTTACGCCTCCGTCCGCAGGAACTCGTCAAATTCTATACGAGATCTCCTTGATGCTATAGAACCACCCAATGAGCCAGCCCCAGCCCCCTCGTCTTCATCTTCATTACAGATTCCAAGTTCACTTTCTGCTGGCACTCCAACCGGCTCAAAAGTCGATCTAAAGGTGATACAGCTCACTGCATCCGGGATAGGCGTGATGATGGGAGATCAAAAGATCATCCATATAGCGAGACATGATGTTATGGACTACTGCACGTCTAGACTAAAGCCGAAGTGGGATATTGAGGTAGCGAAGGGAGTGGATTTACTGCTGGTGAGTTCATATTTGATATTGACTTTTTCTTTAGGCACTAACTTGGTATAGGCAGTGAATATCGTACTTATCATGGCGACATCGGTATAGGCTTCGGATTAATCAAAGCTTGTAGTACATATCACAAATATAAGTCTATCATATACTGGAGTGCATGCATGCCTCGGATATAGTAACTTCCGAACTGCCGAGGTCATGGGATACAACTGAACTATAGATTCGAGTTAAATCTACAGATATAGTAATCCGGCACTATGCGGAGTGCCAGATCCCTATCGCCTCGTTTACTCTTTGTTCTAGACGCTGTGGGAACCATAACGGTCCTAAATCCAGGCTTTTCCGAGACTTACGCTTCTTGCCAAATAAGTGGAACTATGGCCCACTTCGCGCCGAGGTAATTATAGTCGGAGGCGCAGTCCAGACTAAGGAAAATTCTGCAGGTCAAGTGAGCGGGGAAATTATTATTTTTCTTATTTTTATTATTTTATAGAGATTTGGGAATCAAGTATGAGATTAAGTGCTGATATAAAACATGTATGGCGTGGTAAGGAGAGATCAAGGAGGAACTGGTTAGCGCGAATTAGTGGCTGGAGGAGAAGCTTGTTTTTTATGAGCACAACACAATGATATAATCAATAATGCATACGTGTTCTCCTCTAATCTCCTGATCCCCGTTCCTTTGTTCCTGATTCCTAGTAGGGTTCCATGGACCGGCATAAAATCCTGTTTCAGGACCAACAACTCGCCCATTTTTCAATGATGGCCACGTTTCGGATACGCCAATTGACGCGTTCCCCTGGCCATGACCTCAATCCGCATTAGCGACGTGGGTCCGGTAAAATTGGAGACAGCGCGGGTGAAGGACCGGGTTCTCCTCATTTTAGAAGAACGTCCCTCCCTCTTGCTCTTCCCTCAGGAATATGAAGTGTCACTGTCTGTGGGGTATTCTGGACCGTTGCCTGCGCTTTCTGTCATGCGAGGCCGGGCTCTGCTAGGAGATATCTTCCCCTGAGCTCTTTAAGACCATCATCTGTCTGAAAAGATAGATACATTTCCGGCTACTGCCGGTAGTGTCCAATCTTGACATTTCAATTGTGCGAAATGTCGGATTCGCAGGAGAATTCCTCGTCTATGCATCCCCATGCCTTTGAGGATGGGGAGAGGGACCATGAGGGCCACGACCACGGTGGTGACCACAATGGCGACAATACGACCAACTCAGAGACTCTCTGCCAAGATGAGGTCAGTGAAAAGCCTAGCATCTCATCTTCCCAAAGATGGCGGACAGCAAGCAAACGTGTTCGGAACCGCGCAGCCACTATAGCAGAACGACTTGGACGACCCCATGAAAGGGAAGCGGATGGATTGGATGCACCAATGTCTCCGGAATGGTATGGAGCAACAGACGATATACGAGCATTCGACGCCCGTCAAGCCCACGACGAAGAAGACAAACTCCCTTCAACAGACGCGGATTCTCAAGCCCGTCTCTTGGTGGAACGATTGGGCTTAGAGCATCCTCCACAGCGACCATACATCGAAGAACCTCGCTCCGGCGCAACAACTCCAGGAACTCCCGATGAACACGGAATGGGACCATCCGGGGGCCCCCCCGGAGGAATGCTCTCCCATCTGCTCCGTGTGTATGCCAATAACCTTCAAACGGCTAGCCGCATGAGTCTCGTCTCAACAGCATCATCGACGGATCCTGAGACAGAGACACTCGCACCGTCTGTCGCACCATCAGGCACTGTAACACCAGGCGGAAAAAGAGACAAAGTGAAATGGTATGCGCAGGGCACCAAGCCCGCTAAGCCAACCCACAGCTATACTTCCTCCCTCATCCACGCGTCGATGGATATGGGCCGCGTTGGGGTTCCTGCTGCCACAGGTCCAGCTCCTGCAAACCCCAAGGAGCTAAAGAAGCACAAACGCCGGAGCAAGAAGAATGTTGCCCTCACAGTGCATATCGCTGCTCTATTGTCACGCCAGCAGTATATTATGCAGCTGTGTCGGGCTCTGATGAAGTACGGTGCCCCGACCCATCGACTTGAGGAGTATATGACGATGACCTCCAATGTGCTGGAAGTCAAGGCGCAATTCCTGTACATCCCAGGCTGCATGTTCATGTCATTCGACGATCCTCTAACTCGCACAGCTGAAGTGAAGATTATCCGAGTGGTTCAAGGACTGGATTTGTCCCGTTTGGCTGAGACGCACAACGTCTACAAGAACGTGGTGCACGACGTGATCGGCGTCGAGCAGGCTACGCAGGATTTGGATCAGATCATGCAGCGCAGACCACGCTATAACAAGTGGATGCTGGTCTGTCTGACTGGACTAGCCAGCGTTGCAGTAGGCCCATACTCCTTTAGCGCTCGCCCAGTCGACCTGCCTATTATCTTCATACTCGGGTGTCTCGTTGGCTTCATGCAGCATGTCATCGCACCAAACTCAGCCACATACTCCAACGTCCTCGAAGTATCCGCCGCAATTCTCACCTCCTTCCTTGCGCGTGCCTTCGGAAGTATCCACCACAACGGCGAACGAGTCTTCTGCTTCGCCGCCATGGCCCAATCCTCCATCGCCATGATCCTCCCTGGATTCGCCGTTCTCAGCAGTAGTCTGGAACTCCAGTCCCATCAAATGAACGCAGGCTCCATCCGGATGGTCTTCACAATCATCTACTCCCTCTTCCTCGGTTACGGCGTGACAGTCGGAACAACCATCTACGGCTTAATGGACTCCAACGCGTCAAACCAATCCACATGCACAGGTTTACCAGAGGTCTGGGGCAACGAGTATATCCAGCACTTCCCCTTCGTCGCGCTATTCTGTCTCTTCGCCGCTCTCATCAACCAAGCAAAGCCCAAACAGCTCCCTGTCACTATTTTCATGGGTGTTTGCGGCTATGTCACAAATTACTTCAGCACCAAGAAACTCGGCGCAAACCAGGTCGCCAATACCGTTGGCGCTTTCACCATCGGCCTTTTGGCTAATTTGTACAGTCGCGTGTGGCATGGTCATGCCGCCGCCGCTATTATCCCGGGAATCTTCACCCTGGTTCCATCCGGTCTTGCATCCAGTGGATCCATCATCTCCGGTCTGGAGTATGCCGAGGCTGTGGCATCTGGTAATGTCACCAGCGCGACTACTAGTGCCACATCGAGTAGCTCGCTCACGTCACTGGGCTACGGAATGATCCAAACAGCCATCGGTATCTCCGTCGGACTATTCGTCTCAGCTCTTATTGTGTATCCGCATGGAAAGAAGCGCAGTGGAATTTTCAGTCTTTAAACTACGAAGTACATATGTTGATATCTAGCGATTTGATTTGTACCATTTGCATCGGCGTTTTGAAATTAGAGATTACATACACCCCTGTCTATCTATGCATGTTCTATCACCTCAACAAACAATACCCAAGATCACAGCGTCAAAATAGCACCCATAAACGCAATCCAGGCAGGCAAATCCGCCACGACCATCCTAACCCGATGAACACTCAACCACATCTCCATATCCGCCGTAGCACCAACCCCACTCTCCCCCTGATCCTCTTGCACCGTCGAATCCTCAAAATTCCTCCGCGCTGGCCCAGCCACAAAGGGCACAAAGGCCAAATGCCCAATAGCACCCACAAGACCAACCCAGTAGAAGAAGGTAGTTTGCAGCGGGCGACTGTGAGAGGGGTGATATTTATTAAAGAATAGCGTTGCAGTAGCCGAAGAGATCGTGCTCATGTTTAGTGCGACGACGGTCCATATTGCTCGTTTGAAGACTCGGTTGTACCAGGTTGGGAGGACTTTGTCTGAGGTTTGTCGGATTGATGGTGTTAGGAAGGCATTGTTGGTGATGAGTTCTAGTAGGGCGTGTGCGAGGGTTGCGGTGCTTGTTGCTAGTGGGATTGTTTGGAGGAGGGTTTGGGGGTTGAAGATGAGTCCTGAGGCCATTTTTGCTCTGGTGGAATGTGTTACAAGGAGAGTATTTAGACTATGGATTGGGGGTTCATGCAATGATGGGGCGATGTCGGGGTTAGTTGGACTTTGGGGCAAGTTCGGCCCCTTTCTCCAATGATCTTGGTCTTGCACTCAATTGTATCTATGAGTATTTTACGGAATGAAAGATCTGTATTGCGGTTTAGGATGGGACGGGATCGAACTAGTTAGTAGCTTCAGAGGAGGTCAAGTAAACTGCTTTTATCTACATGTTATGCTAAAGATGCCGTAGGACACAAACGACGTAGCAGGAACAGTTGCATGATTCAAAATAATATACATTGGGTTACGTGGTCTCGAGATATATGCATTAAACCACCACCTCATTGACGATGCCATCGAACTTGAGCCCCTCTTCGTGCTCAGTGCGATTCGTCTTAACCAGATGTTCCCATTGCTCGGGATACTTCTCGATTGCCCACTTCTCAACCTCGTCCTTCCAGTACTGATACGGGATAGCGTTGTAGAAGAGTCCGATACTGAGGATGTATTAGCGGTGCTCACAAACCGGAAATCATAAACAAACACTCACGTATTGCTGGTTGGAAGGACTCCAACCTCAGCCTCCATGTTGTTGATGGCCTCGGTTGCCAGATCGAATTCGCACTGCGCTGCCACGGCTTCCATGTATGCTGAGTACAGCGGGCGATCCAGAGTGATTTCCAGCTTTTTGACCTTGGCAATCATTTTCAAAGCTTCTTGGGCACCATTGTGGTGCTTCTCGCAGACCTTGAAGAAGATCCTGATGGTATGGCGAGTAGGACCTTGCTCAGACTGAAGAATTTGTCTGAAGATATCCATGCTCTTCTCTGGCATTTCGCATGCAGCGTAGGCCATCATCAAGCCATTCAAAATTCTGGTAGTTAGGTCAACTTCCACGTCCAGCTTCAGCATATTGTGCACGAGTTCCAGATTGGTGGCATCAGCCGTGCGAGACAGTCCCTGAAAGCAGCGGGCGTAGGTGTCTGGCTTGGGGCGACGGGAGAATTCCTCCGCCTGGCGCATGTGTCCGAATACTTGGACGGCAAGATCACTGCGCTGGCGTTCGAAGAAAGAAGACATAATCTTAGTACGCATTGGGACACCTGTCTCTGGGAATGCGATTTTCAGAAGCTCATAGACGTTCCATGCCTCTGTATCAGTCTGGGTCATATCCAGAATGAAGTCCGTAAGCGCAGTCCGAACCCACATCCTCATTTCGTCGTCGTAGTTTCCCAGCCTTGGACGCAAGAGATCTGAGACAGCCTCCAAATCGTGGCGGTAGAGAAGCAGGTGCGTCAATGCTGCAACGGTCTTGGGGTCCAGGCGGACGTTGTCCTGGAAAAGAGGATCGAGGAGGGAGGAAATTTGTTGGAACAAAGCGTCCTTTTCTTCGGACCGGCAAAGCATCGTGATGAGCTTGTTGGCAAGTGGCAGATTTTCAGTTGTGAGGGAATTTGGGTCGACCTTGTCTTCCAAGAGCTTCAGTGTCTCGTTGACATCGCCAGCCTGGATGCGGGATTCCAATTGCAAAGTGTAAGTTTGCTCATCCGGCGAGAGGCCCCATTCTTCTGCCAACTTCATGAAATCAGCAGCCAACTGGGGTCTCTCGAGAACATTGGCAAATCGAAGCAAATCATTCACAACGTCAATTGTGATGAATGACTTGAGTCGCGGGTTCTTCGCAAGCCATGCGACAACCTTTTGTGCAATAGCAGAAGCGTTACTTCCCTGTGCTGCTTCCCAAAGCAGCATAATCCTGGCAGTGTCCGGGCTGGGATCATGCGGAAGAGTCTCATAAATTGCTGAAGCCCACTCGATTTGAGACTTGAAGATACAATATTTGATGACAGCTTCTTTTGCGGCCAGGGAAGGTTCGGGTTGGTCGGAGATCGAGAAATTGTAGACAGTCTGGACTGCGTGAAGCTGGTCCTGGTCAATGAGGAATTTGAGCAGCTCAACATGAGAATTGCTATCAAACTTGTTGCCATGGCTTTCGAATTCCTCGACGATTCTCCGCACCTGTCGCAGATCGTCTTTCAGGGCGAATCCTTTGAGCACGGTGAGCCAAGGCGATGGTTTAGCCTTGCGCAATTGGCTCATATACTTCAAGACAGTATGTCTGGCCTCATCGGGATTTCCATTCATAGCCGTGAGATTAACATAGAGGATGATAGCTTCTCTGCTAATCTTATTCGCGCCAAATCCATGATCCACGCACAATTCATTATATGCGAATCGTCCAATGCGCAGGACGGTCTCGCGAGCCTCCTGAGGAATTTCACATTCATTAAGCACATACAGCACTTTCTCAAGGTTCTCGATCGAGAAGACATTCTGGAACTCTTCTTCCTCCAGCTCGCTTTGTTGCTTCTTCAAATGCTTCCATGTGATATTCAAATGGCGAGCTTGGAAAAGGTTTATAGTCCCTGGTGTTTCGAGCCGTGTAGCGAAAAACACTTGGAATGCCTTTGCGAGGACATCATTGGGAGGAGGTCTGCTTCTATCGACAAGTGATCTCATCAAATCTGCCATTGGCTTCAGACCTTTCTCGGAGGGTAGAGTAGTCGATTGTCCCTCGGAAGCTTGGGACATGTTGAAGGCGAATAGCGTACGACGTGGCATATATGGGAGGCCGGGAAGAGGAGCTCGTACACGGAGAGGAGTTATTGTATGGAGCAGCCGGTTTCGATGGCATTGTGAGAAACGAAGCGGCTCATTGTTGATGATTGCCCGGAAGACCCTTCTGGTGAGGTGGGACTGCATGGTGTATTGAGAGCTGAGCTCAACGCTCAAATCGAGCCGAACAGAAGTATTGGAGTCTCGGGTGGGAATGTATGGGAGAGGTCGCGACCTGGAGAGATCTGGACGTTGCTAGGCGGAAGAAGTCTTGGCGAAAAAAGATCTCAACTCCACGTCGGTCCCGGACTCCCTGCCAAAGCCATCAACGTCTACTAATCTAAGAGACTCAGACAATATGTCGTTGAATCTCTTCTCATCATCCTTACTGCGCAATGTCGCGACCACCGCCAATGTCGGCTTGTCGACGAGTCGCTCGAGCTCAACCGCAGCCATGAGCGCCTTCACTTCGCAGCGCAACACAGGCTCACAGCGTATGTGCTACCCCTACTGAACCAAATCGTCGCTTTTCTCTCCGAAAATTGGATATTGGGAGAATGGCTCGAATGTGACAACAACCGCTAACGTTTTGCGATAGACTCCAATGTGCTCCAGCGACGCCGGCTACCAAGCCGCCTGAAGTACCTTGAGGATCAGAAGGTGCAGGGTGAGAGCCGGGCCCTGGAACGATTCCAGACTCGCGAGTTCAAGGCTGGAGACATCTACGCCCCTCACGATCTGAGCCCAGCGGAGATGAAGAAATGGGGAAAGCGCCAGAGCCCTCACTCGGACGCTTTTGACGCATTGAACTTGAGCCCATTGGACATGTACAAGGTATGGTTGGCAGCATCCCCTGTTATCTTTGCAAATGCGACATATTCCTATGACGAACATCCGCTGACACGGCCCTTCTCAATAGAACTTCGCCGTTATGTCCGAATATATGACCTCCATGGGCCGTATCAAGCACCGATCGGAAACCGGCCTGCGACCTGTCAACCAGCGCAAGATGGCCAAGGCACTGCGACGAGCTATCGGTATGGGTCTTATGCCCAGTGTTCACCGACACCCTGAGATCATTGCATCTGAGATGCGGGCACGTATGGAGGGCCCTGGTGGCTTCTTCTGATTTGGGTATATCATTTTTGGGGCCTGGGATAGATCTTGATAGAAGATATTCTTGTATAAGTACAGGCCGGTGCCTGGTTGAATGGGCACTTCATGTATTATTACTTAGCGCTATGCATTTATTTTCTGAGCTACCTCGGTTATGTAGTGATATACTCCGTAGATCCGCAGACTACATATATGATAGATGCTCTACTCTGTAGTTAACGAAGTAGACAAAATTGCTTAGCTGCAGCTCGGACGTGGCTGGTGTTCCCCGCTATTGTGGCCGGGTACGTCAGTCGATAAACATCCTCCCCTCCTCCAAACACTTCCAAGTGCACCCCAGCAATGTCGCTTACGAATGGTGAGATCCTGCAACCCTCATATAGTTCCTTGCCGTCCTGACAATCTCCAAGAGTCCATTTGGGCTGCGAGCCCCTCAACCACCCGCGGCCAGCCCACCCAGCTTTCCTCCGATGCCAAAGGCGAGCGATTGGCCTATGCTGTACGTCTTCCTGATAGCTCCCTCCAATGGAATTGTATAGATCTGACACTATCCACTACAGTCCAACAAATCAATCTTCCTGCGTTCAATTGATGACCCTGCGGTCGCTAGACAGTACACCGAGCACAAGGCCCAGACAACAGTTGCGCGTTTTGCCCCATCTGGCTTCTACGTTGCCAGTGGTGATGCTGCTGGAATTGTGAGAGTCTGGGACTGTGTCGGCGAAGGAATCACCAAGGGCGAATACAGCATTGTCAATGGACGAATCAACGATCTAGCCTGGGACGGTGACTCTCAGCGCATTATTGCTGTCGGTGACGGCAAGCAGCGATACGGACACTGCATTACCTGGGACAGTGGAAACACTGTTGGCGAGATCCACGGCCACACGCAACAACTCAACACTGTGTCAATTAGGCAACAGAGGCCTCTGCGTGCTGCCACTGCTGGTGATGACCGAAAGACGGTCTTCTACCATGGAGCGCCTTTCAAATTCAACATGGGAATTGCAGACAAGCACACCAACTACATTTATGGGGTTCAGTTTAGTCCAGATAGCTCGCACCTGGTCAGCGTTGGCGCTGACCGGAAGATCTGGCTCTACGACGGCAAGACCGGTGAGACCAAGGGTCAGATTGGCGAAGGCGAACACAATGGTAGTATCTTTGGTGTTTCCTGGGCCAAGGATTCCCGAAAGTTCGTGACCGCAAGTGCCGATCGAACTGTTAAGATTTGGGATGTGGAAGCTGGCAAGGCAACACAGACCTGGACCTTGGGAGAAGAAGGTGCTATGGCTGTTCGCGACCACCAGGTTGGCGTTGTTTGGCCCCCTGGAAGAAGCGATGACTTGCTCATCAGTTTGTCGCTTAGCGGTGACCTGAACTATCTGGTCGAAGGCACCCCCAAGCCCCGTCAGGTTGTCTCTGGGCACCAGAAGAGCATCACCTCTTTGAACCAGACCACCGTGGACAACAAGGAAACCCTGTGGACAGGCAGCTTTGACGGAAGAGTCTGTAATTGGGACGTTGCCACTGGCACTGCTGAGGAGATTGAGGGAGAGAGCCACCCCGGTTACGTTGCTGGGCTTGCGACAACATCAGAGGGATCCGGTAGAATTTATAGTGTCGGCTGGGACGACACCATCCGGTCCGTTGATGCTGCTGCCAAGACCTACACCGGTAGCGCTTCGAAGCTTAATGGACAGCCAAAGGGCGTTGCGGCTGGTGACGTGACCGTCCTGGTCGGTGAGAGTGAAGCTGTTGAGATCTTCCAGGATGGCAAGAAGACTGGAGAATACAAGACGGATTTCGCAGCTACAACTGTCGCGGCACATGGCTCCATGGCAGCAGTTGGAGGCGAGAATGGCTCAGTCCAGATCTGCGCCATCTCCAGCTCTCGACTTTCTCCCCGAGCGGACATCAATGCCTCTCGCAACCCAATTTCTTCCCTTGCCTTCTCCCCAGATGCCTCCCACCTGGCAGTCGGTGACTTGCGAGGACGTGTCCTGGTTTTCAAGGTTTCAGATGGCAGTCTGGTTACTGACCGCTGGACAGCACACACCGCACGAATCACATCCCTTGCCTGGAACCCAGCGGGATCACACGTTGTGAGTGGATCGCTGGACACAAACATCTTCGTTTGGAGCTTGGCCAAGCCAGGAGACTGGATCGAGCTGCAGAATGCTCACAAGGAGGGTGTCCATGGAGTCGCTTGGGTCGACGGAGGCGAGAAGATCGTCTCCGTCGGTGCTGACGCTGCGGTGAAGAAGTGGAAAGTGGAAGGTCTACAATAGAGAGTGTATTTGCTATCAATAAATTATCAAGGCCGAGTTCAACTCCTGGCCAGTTCGAAATAAAACGTTAGATGTCAGGCATCGGAGAGTTGGCAGAGTAAACAAGAGTGAGTGCGTGGCGGTGACAGGCGGGAGGTGGCCGTAAATATTGTTCCAATCGTAGCCGGCCAACAAATTGACCTGCATAGCTCTCTGCGCCTCCGCTCGTTGTCTCTCTGACGTCTCGAGTCTCCAGGGAATTACTTCTCCGCAATGAGGCTCGTACAATGAGTTTGCGCCAAGTCCGTGACGTGAGACAAACCTGAAGATGCCGTCTGGAAGCTCAAGCTCGCGCCGCTTGCGCCCTACAGTATGCCCTCATATTCTGTCCCATGTGGGAGTTTCAAGACCCGCTAACATCCGCCGAAGCTGCGTCAGGCGACCTTCGTCCTCCCAAAGACAGGCCAGCGCCTCAAAGGCCTCGTGAACCTCCGCAATTCTACGCCAACCGACGAACACGATGAACGGCGCGGACTCCTCACGAACGAGATCCAGACACATTATGATGGATATATCCCAAGGCTCTCCCGCTATATGCACGACACGTGGGAACAGGCGAGCCAGTTTGCGAGATCCGAGCCGGGGATTGGAGTGTTGAAGTACAGTCTCGCGTATTTCATCGGATCTCTTGCAACGTTCATCCCCGCAGTCTCGGCGATGCTTGGACACCAGGATGGGAAACACATGGTGGCTACAGTCACCGTCTACTTTCACCCTGCCAGGTCCCAAGGTGGGATGTTCAAGGCCTTGATCTGCGCGTTCCTGGCGTTCTGCTATTCCTCTTTCTTGACCATCACGAGTATGTTTGTGGAGATGTTCTTCCAGGATACACTGAAGCAGCCTGTTCTTGGCCACGCAGTGGTTTTGATTGTTTTCTGTGGCGGTGGACTTGGTTTTGTTGGTTGGACCAAGCAAAGACTCGGAGATCCTTTGGTGAACGTTGCCTGTTCACTTACTGCGCTTTCGACGATTACTGTCCTGACGAAAGAGGGCGCCGTGCAGAGCGGCGATTTATCACTTGCTAAGATTTTCCAGGTCTTGAAGATGGTTCTGATGGGTGTGGTAGCTGTCATGGCTGTGTCTTATTTCATCTTTCCCATTTCGGCGCGAAGAAAGCTGCGCGCGAATCTTGTCACGGTCACTGATACATTGGCTATCATGCTGGCAATTATTACGGAAAGCTTCTTGAGCGGATCAGAGGAAGAGCTTGCATCGGCTGAATTTGTCGATGCAGAAGCCAGACATCGAAAGGCCTATGGACAGCTTGATAAGCTTGTTCGAGAAGCTAAACTTGAACATTATGTGTTTGGAACCGAAAAGGAGTATAGGCTTGAGAAAAAGCTTGTCCGCTGGGTGCAAGATATCACACACAACATGGGAGGGTTGCGCAATGCAGCGTCCCTCCAGTTCAGTTTGATCCGCGAGACTATCGCCCGTGAGTCTAGCTCAGCGGGTGATTACCAGGGTGCCTCAACTCATGCCGACTACTTTACACCCATTGAGCAATCGTGGTCATTCCCTGACGGGTCATTTTTGGAGCCTATCGTCGAGCGACCAGAGGAGGAACTGTCTCCTAGTAGCTCCATGCGTACCCGTCAAAATGAAAGCGCCCAATCGACACCCAGACCATCACTGCTTCCAGCAGATGTTTTTACTATTTTCATCTCGCACTTGGGGCCATCGATGGTAAGTTGGAAACGAAATGTTCTCTTTATATAGAAGCTGACTGGATGAAGCGATCGTTGGCATTCACATTGAAAGAAATATTCAAGGAAATCCCATTTGGACCTGCTCCAAACTACAAGGTCTCAGTGAATGGTCGTCTGCGGATCAGTCTTGACCGGGCTTTGGAACTATATAAAGACTCGCGCCAAAAGACACTTGCATCTCTATACCAACAAAAGGAAACTATGAATATGAAGAGCCACGAAGCCGAGGCTGACCTTGAGGAAGTCTCAGCAAGTTGTGGCCACTTCAGTTTTTCCCTTCTTGAATTCGGAGAACAGCTCCAAGAGATGCTGGCTATCTTGGATGAGTTGCAGCTCGAAGTTGAGGAGCGGCCTCACGGACGATCCTGGTCTTGGCTTAAAATCTGGCAGTGGCCAAAAAGCACAAAGACCGCCAAAATAGGTGATTTTGATGCCGGTAAGTACACACAGTACGCCAAAAGGTCTCTCGATGTTGTAATGACCTTTGCAGAGCCAACTCCCAGTGCACATACCAATAATCAGATCAACCACCGTCGCCATGCATCGGACGGATTGATTGCACACAACAGAGTGCCTGTTAACATTCGTGCCCACAAAGCACCCTCATCAAGAGATACGACGAAACAAAGACTAGGCTACCGTATATGGAAAGGCCTTGGCTTTTTACGAAGAGATGACACAAAATACGCCATCAAGGTCGGAGCAGGAGCTGCTCTTTACGCCCTGCCTGCGTTTCTTCCTTCGACTCGCCCTTTCTATACACACTGGCGCGGGGAGTGGGGTCTGTTGTCGTACATGTTAGTGTGCTCGATGACAATCGGCGCTTCGAATACGACGGGATATTCCCGTTTCCTCGGTACTTGCCTGGGAGCAGTCTGCGCCATTGTAGCATGGGAGGTCACGTCAGGAAATGTATTTGGCCTTGCGTTCCTGGGATGGCTTATGGCTATCTGGACCGGATACATTACCATTGTTCGAGGTAATGGTCCGATGGGCCGGTTCATCATGCTCACATACAACCTCTCTGTGCTATACGGCTACTCTCTTGCCCAAAAGGAGGCAAACAACGACGAAGACGAAGGCGGCGTGAATCCAATCATGAGTGAAATTGCCCTTCATCGAGTCGTTGCTGTGCTGTCCGGATGTATTTGGGGAATCGTCATCACACGCATGATCTGGCCCATCAGCGCAAGGCGCAGACTGAAGGAAAGCCTGAGTCTTCTCTGGCTGCACCTGGGTCTCGTCTGGAAGCGGGACCCCCTATCGATCATGGCTGAAGAGGGGAAGAATGTTGTGTACATGACTCCGCGAGAGAAGCTTGAAATCGAGAGATTCTTGGCACGATTGGAGTCTCTTCAAGATGCAGCGGGTTTCGAGTTTGAGCTGAAGAGTGCATTCCCTGAAGCCTCCTATGCCAACATTGTCCGCCGCACCCGCATCATGGTAAACTCATTCCATACCATGAACATCGAGCTGATGAAGAATGATCCTGCTACTGAAGGCGAGATCAATCTCCTTCGATACACAGCAGTAGAGCGACAGCAACTCTCTGCTCGCATTAGTCATCTATTATCAGGTTAGTATTTATGATTTGCATTTATCTTGTGGCGTATCGTGCTAAGCAAGATTTCAGTCATGGCTTCATCAATGAAGCTTGAATATCCCTTGAGCGATGTGCTTCCTAGCATTGAACATGCCCGTGACCGGTTGCTAGCTCGCATCTATCGCTATCGTCTGGACTGTGAAGCATCACAGCAGACCACAGATGAAGACTGCGCTTTGCTCTATGCCTACAGTGAGTTATGTCATGTTATCCTTTTCGATCCAGCGCTGACGCTTATACCCAGTCCTCGTGACCGGCCAATTATCAAACGAGATCATGGAGATCATTGCGGAGATTGGACAGCTCTTTGGTGTATTGAGTGAAGATGTAGTGCAGCTAGCTTGAAAACCTATTGAGCACATATTCCGAAAGGCATTCAAAATGCCATTGATCGCTATCGAATCGATCTACACTGTAGATGCCGAGATCTCGGAGATCAATGCGGAGATTGGGCAGCTTGAGGTATTGAGTGAAGATGTAATGTAGCTAGCTTAGCTTGAGGCCCTATTGAGAAACCCATTGAGGAAGCCTCTCAAAAATGCCATTGACTGCCATTGAGGCGATCTCCAATGCCAATGTGTAGGCTGAGTTCCGCGCAGGTCGATGTATCCGTTTCTGGCGGGGAACTCGCAACTCGGAACCTCCCTTCCACCCAAACCCATCGCAATCTCTTTCACCTCATCAGTTTCCATCATCTATTCATCGGTTTCCCGTATGAAACTATCTTTTCTTCAATTATTTCTGATTTGATCCCCAGAATCCTCCTTGATGAAGGCGTAGGTGCCGATATACCCTGCCCTTCGGCGTAGCCCGTCGCGCTCTCCAACCATGCAGATCGACCCGGCCGCCTTGAGTCGGAGTGACTCTGCATCAAATAACAAAGGTGCCGCGCCAAACGGTGCAGCCTCAATCAAGACTTCCCGGGCTTTGATATCGGTGCCGCGGCTGGACCTGGAGCATGCCTACACGGACCTGAAGGCCGCCATCGGAGACAAGTGGAGCGAGTACAAGGAGTCCACAGCCCTTTTCCTACTAGGTATGAGCTGAATCGCATTGGATGTCTGACAAGAGAGTGATAGCTCGAGCTCTAAGAAGACTGTTCCCTTTCTCCCCACGAATTGGACTTGGCTCGCTGACCTCCTGACCTCTTGCCCGTTTCTAGGACATTACAATCAGAACGAATACACGTCACGAGTCGACTATTTCCTATGCGCAGATCCGAAAAATGAACATCTACATAACAATTTTGTATGCGCGCTCATCGGAAATCTCACGCGCGACCTCCCCGATCATGGCGTCGCAAACTGGGTATCGGCCAATGATAAGCCATCGGCCATCTCGAAACCTGTCTCCGGAGATGCTGCGGAACAAAGGTTGAAGACTGAGGTTATGCAACTGCCTCCGAGGGATCGCCGGCGCATAAAGGCCATCACCGAGGTATGTGGTCTCGACAGCGATATCTTTTCTCCCACAGGCGGCTGACAACACAACTAGCGCGATAACTACGAGACATTGCCCACGGAGCTTGAGGAATCCCATTTGGTCAAGCAAATAAAACTACCCAGTCAGGTACCTGCAAGTGCAGGAGGGCTGAACAAGACCAGTAAGGCGCTACCACCCCCTCGACGGACAAGATATCAATTTCGTGCCCGTGGACATCCCTCTGCACACAATAGGCCCTAACAATTTTCCTTTGCTCTAGACTGGGAACTGGAAATCCGAAAACGATATGCTCAACCCCTCGCCGCAGAGACGGGTGAATTCCCCGACGCCGAATCCATCTATTCACGAATGGTCCCCATATGTTACGAAGAATCCCTCCCCAGCGGTGCTGGTCTCCCTTGCGCTGAATTTATGGCTATTGCGACGGAAACATTTGTCAAGGAAGTTTTGTCTGCGGTTTTCTCGCGCACACGTTCGAACGGACCTTCAGGCACAACCAACAACATGATGATGCGCAAATATCGACAACAACTTGAGATCGAAGAACTTGCATACACACGTGGGGAGATTGCGAAAGACGCTGCGACAGGCTTGCTCCCCGTTGAAGCACGTGAGGCTAGTGTTCGGAGACCTCTGGGCGTCAGAGACCTGCGGCTCACTCTGGAGCTGGGCGGCGGTGTTCTCGGCCATATGCCGCTCATTGTGGACCAAATCATGGGTGGGTACTTTGAAGACGAGCTCGAAACAGAAAAGCAAGATCGCTTGGAGGACGGAGTTGAACCGCATGAGGACATCAAACAACCCGCAGAAGACGAGATGGACTTGGACGAAGATGAATCTCTCCTGGATTGGGAAGGAGGCGGTGTTGGGGACCGAGAACAGTTGAGCTCATTGCTTGACGAGTGTCTGTCCATGGCCGCATGAGAATTTTATACCCACCCCTTTTTCCATTTTACCATTTCTCTTTGTTTTCCTGCGTGCTGTCACATTACATTTTTCATTCTGCTTTTTGTTTCTGTTCTCGGTCTGGAGGAAGGGAGGCTCACGGCGTCTAGGTACTACTAAGGGAGGCTGTCACCGTTGTGGCGCCGCATGATTTGCATATGGATTCGGAGTTTGAAGATATGTCTTTGCGATCCGTTCTCGATTGTGACTTTCTTGTCCTACTTTCCCACTCATTCCTCTTTCTCGGTCGTTATCAAGGCGACTCGGCGATGTATAATATCACATTCTTCCTACCGAAAGGACAAGCTAGGGCAGTTGAGACGGATTGAATCACGAGGAGGCAAGAAGAAAAAAATTCCGAAACAACGGCTCATTTCCCTGCTGGGGATAGGAGGTCAAGCTTGTTCGATACCCATGAATTCCATTCATTCACTACATTTCTTTCATCCACGTTGAAGAGCTGTTACAAGCTACGCGCCATCACACTTGTCAGTTGACTGTTTTATAAACGTAAGAGAAGATCGACCTAGGCGCAAATGTAGAATGAATCAATTTCCGTAACCCAATATAGAAGTAAACGTAGCTTCCTGGTAGTTCGCTGAACGCCTTCGACGTAACGCCGTAGATATACCTCATATCTAAATGAGAAATGTAGAACATATTTAGTGTCTAATCGCATATAAATCTAGCGAGTCACCTTATCCGCTCTTGTACCTTCTTCGCTAAAGCATCATCCGAGAGAATATTCCGCGCTGCACATGCCATGCCTTTAGCGGACGCGTCAAGAAAGCGCCATCACTTCCAGCAGCAGCAGTGAAGCCAGCTGATGGTCCCATGCTCCTGGCGCGGTCTCGATACTGAATGAGCATGGAAAGAGGGAAAACACAGGACATGTCGCCTAGAGGTATTAGCAATTGAGACAATGGAAAGCACTCCAGTGGACATACCCTGATCGGTAGATCCAGCTCCAGCAGTGGTTTTTCCCGAGTCACACTCGAGCGCTGTGCCAAAATTGGCCTCAGATCCGCGTATTCGAGAATACTAATTTCAATCAATATATGCCGATAATAATTGTGGGCAAGTTGACAGCAACGTACTCTGTGGATTCCATGATGCTAATGGGCAATGGCAGCTCAAAGCACTTCATGACCCCTTGAGTTCCCTTCGTTCTTTCAGGCTTCCACTGTGCACCTGGTTTTCACTAGTTGCTGCAACAGGGATAACATTGGCTGCCGCTCCGCCATTCTCGATAATAAAATGAATGCGTTCGTGTTCCTTGATTTGCTGGCAGTGCAAGCCAATCGCACTATAAGCCACCGAAACCGCATCGAGAGCGTACACAACTTGATAAAGTGCAAGAGCCGCATTCACCGGCTTCCCCTTGAAAGAAACGGTAAACTTGGAGATAGAGAGTGATATGCCATACGCGGTACCAGTGAATGACGCTTTGAAGAACTGACTGGGAGCCGTATGGGTCGTAAAGCATGCATGAACATCCTCATAGGCGCCGGCCGAGGTGGCCGGCGTGCCTAGCAGCCTAATACGGCCTGGCATTTACCTCTAGCCAAGAGCGCGCATATGATCTGTTTGAACTTCCACTTTATGCCGTGGGAATAGAATCTAAGAATCAGAACCATTTAGACTAGATACTATGCCTATTTCATAATTGTAACCTACGTCTTATCATGAAGCATGGGACTCGTTTATCTCCAGTATATCTAAGTAGACTAGATGCTGCTTTCGTTTTTTTGCTACAATTGGTCATGGATCTAGGCTGAAGCGCGAAAAGTTTTCAATTTTCAAATGCCATCACCAGATGCGCATACTTAAGATATAATGTCTGTAATAGCTGTATCATGCGGTATGGTCAAGTCAAAGAGTTGCGCAGCCGCTACGCATGCGGTTAAGGGTAAATCTTCTTCTATTTATTTGCGACAGAGCTTCTCAATACGAATTAATTGGTCTCTGCAGTACAAATTTAGTTACCCTGGGACATTTTCTATTAAAACGCACAGAATATCAATTTTTTGCTAAAGAAAAGTACTTTTCGTGAAGCTAAGACTTCTGCTTAGCACCCAAGCTTCACAAACGTTCAATCTGCATATCCCAAATCATGGGGTCCGATGCATCCTGCGGTGCACTAGTAGAACTTGTGCAGATTTTTTCTCATTGCCCCGGTGCTGATGAACAAGGGCTATTATGCGGGCCTCTAGTCGATGTCTGAGCTTCAGAATGGACCGTCCACAATGCGAGCGGTGGCTATTGTTTGCTGGGGCATCGGTCCACACTAGGGCTATCATCAGGAGATCCCAACAGTGCGGCTCCCCGTATAATAGCAATACATCTGGAGTACACTTGGCTTCTCGAGGGCAGCATCACATGTGGTGTAAAACCGGCTTGATACCAGTGAACTGGTTTTTGGAGAACGGTCATCTCAAGGCGACTGGGCCGGAAGAGGAATTGATATCACGGTTGCAAACAGCAGTAAATGAATGCCAGTGAATTAGGCCTCAAGAGGCGTACTTGATCCGTAATACATCACAGATTGACCTGGAATCGTGGGTGAGTACGAATCCTCGCTCCATACCTCCAGAAGAGAAAAGGCACGGCACACATTGCCAACGCAATAAACGCCAACAGCGAGTTGCCCCACCCCAGCCCTAGAGCAGCATACATCGATGGCCCAGCCAAAGGCAACAAAGCCCCGACCAACGACCGCAGCGCCGTGTTAGCCGCCGTGACGGATGCAGCATATCGAAGATACGAGTCAACCAGATAAGTGCTGGCACACATAAAGACCGTCATCAGTCCCACAGCGAAGACGCCGGTGCCTAGGATAGGCACAATCCAATGGGTGCCCGCCTGGGCTGACCAGCCATACCAGAACAAGCCTACAGGCATGAACCAGCAGCCGACCATCATGGGTAGCAGACGGGATTCAGGCGTGAAGCAGCCCCGTTGGATATGGTTGCTAGCGATGCGGTTTGCCACGGCGCCGGTGACGACCAAGCCCAGCATACTCCCGATACCAAAGCCCAGGTACGCCAGCCCGGCGATACCATGCGAGAAGCCGTATTTCTCCTCGAAGATGGAGGTGATGGTGGTGAACATGAGGTAGAGATAGCCGTACGTCGTGGCGGCAAACAGCGCAACGAGGAACACAATCGGCGAGCCGAAGAGCAGCTTCAACGGGCGGGCTAGCGCCGAGAGGAACAGCTTCGGGTCGAGTTTGCCTTTGTCATGGATTGATCGGAGGTCAGGGTTGCCAGTGGACTTGCGCAGACGAGCAGCCTTGCGCTCAAGGACGACGGGGCCATAGGATTCGCGATACCAAATAATAGTCAGGATCATCATCACGCCAGTCTATACACTGTCAGCTTTAGTGGGTAAAAAAGGAGGAAGAACTGTAGACATACTACAATGGCAATGACCCAGAACACCCAGCGCCAGCCTTCGGCTTCAGCCAGAAACCCGCCAGCGACAGGGCCAACGACCGGACCGAGGATAGGGCCCATAGCCCAGATGGCCATGATACCGGCTCGCTTCTCCTTGGGGACCATATCGGCGACGGTGCCAGAGCCAATCGTCAGAGGACAGACACCTGCCATGCCGGCCAGTAAGCGAAAGACAATGAGCTGCGGCATAGTTTGGGCGAGGGCGCAGGCGATAGTAAAGATGAGGAAGAGCAGGTTGCAGCTGTGATATAATGCCACACGGCCATAGATCTCGGAGAGAGGGGCGATGAGGAATGGACCGAAGCAGTAGCCCAAGATGTAGACAGAGACGACGAAGGAACCCAGCATGCTGCTGGTGACGTTGAATTCTCTCATTACATCGCTGACTCCTGGGGTGAACATTGATGAGGCTAGAGGACTATCTAGGTGCGCTGATTAGCCTCGTTCAACTGGAAGTACCAGCCGGACTCACGTTATGAATGTATTAAAGGCCATCAAGACCAATTGGCGTCCTTTTTTCCATGTGGGCCAGTTGAATGGGTTCTCTGTATCATTTGGGCCGTCGAAATCGACGAGATTGGCATCTTGTTTGACCTCCTCATCGTGAGGAACAACCTGTTTCTCGAGGTCTGCCATAGTGTACAGAATATCTAAAAGACTACGAGCCATCGCTACAGATATATACAAAAACCGGGTACCGGCACGACTTCGGCTGTTCTATACATATCACCCCGGTGAATTCTCCACAGCCCTGTCAGTTTGGCCAATCGCCGGCATTCTGGCGTCAATTGTGGCTTATGCCGGAGTTTCTATGCGGACATAAAGAATGATTATGCGGACATTTTTGGTTAGTGGTGTCTCCATCGTATCACTTTCTATACGCGGGTTGGCCCCTTTCTAGATTTTCACGTTGATTTCCATTTCTGGACAAAGGCTCTAGACTTTTGCTGTCTGATACATACATCCTTGTAATTCAATTCCATGGGCTCTATACCCCCATAACGCCTTTGAAAAGACCAAATCAGCTAGTTGATGGTATTCGCGACAAGCTTCAGGATTTCCTCGGTAGATCGGTACGCATTGACTGGGTCCTTAGCAATGGACTGCCAGATCTCGCCGTGCTTGGGTTCCATCGACGTGCACTTGGAGACGACATCTGATCGTTTTTCCTCAGTGCCGTGCTGCATAAGGAACTTGTAATACCAAGCCCAGCCATCACCGTAATCGCTATCGGCAACAATGGCCTTCTCAAACCAGGTCATGGCCTTTTCCAGACGACGCTCACCCCAGAAGATGCGAGCAACAGTGATGAACAAGATCGGATCGTTCTCAACCTTCTTGATAGCCTCCAAACTGCGAGCCTTGCGCTGAGCCCGCGGCTCGAGGTGCCAGATGCTTTCACTCCACAAGAGGCCTGATGATGGGACTTCCTGGATAGCACGTGCCATGAGAACCTTTGCCTGGGCAATATTGTTGGCGCGGCGTTCAACGCGCACACTTTCAGTCCAGAGCTCAGCGCTCTTAGGTACAGCCAAACGAGCACGGTCAAGAACAGACCGAGCTCGGACGACGGCACCGGCCTTCTCTTCCAAGCGGGAGGCGAGAAGCCACAGGGCAACAGATTTGGAGCAGGCTCGAGTGCCTGTACCATATGCCTCTCGTGCTTGTGGGAATTTGTTCTGTGTTTCATATAGTTGGCCCTTCATCATCCAAAGCTTATCAGCCTTCGGGAAAAGCTGCAATCCTTGGTTGACCAAGTCGAGGGCGTCGTCGGTGTTGCCAAGCTGGCGCTCGAAAGCAACGCTCTTGATCCAGACACGATCTGTGCCTGCTTCGCGACGAGCCGTGGCAAGAAGCTCTCTGGCCTGGTCGGTCTGCTTGGCGTCGGCCTCCAGCTTGACAGCGGCCAGCCAGATGTCTTCGTTGTTGGGGTTTTGGTTGAAAGCACGGCCGAGGACTCGGCGTGCGTCGTCAATCTCGCCGGACTGCCACTTCTCCTTGGCGAGTTGGAGCCAGAGCTCTTCACTCTGGGGGCATGCCTCTACGGCTTTCTCGAGCACCTGCCAGAGTGCTTCTTTGGTGCCATGATTACGCTCCAAGTCTGCTGCTGCCAGCCAGATTGACCGGCGATTGACGAACACCCGCAAAGCGTAGGCGTAGATGGCACGGGCGGTCTCATATCTACCACGGGCAATACTGGACTTTGCGTCATCCATCCAGATATCCTTTCGGTCGTCATCCTCGTCCAGTCCCCATCCGAGTGTCTCTTGGATGATACCGCCACAGGTAAGTACAGCGCCTTCTGCTTCGCACTTTTCAGCTTCCGTAATCCATTCCTCTCTCTTTAGCATGGCATTCTCGCGAGCCAAAGCCTGAACAGCACGTTTCATAACGTTAACCCTAGCAAAAGTGCCCATCTGTTCCTGGAGTCGAGCTGCGGCAATCCAAATCTCGTAGCTGGTAGGGACGGCCTTGCGAGCAGCGTTCAAGACCTTTTGTGCGTTCTCTGGGGTTTCTAGGCGAGCAAGGGCAAGCCACAACTCGACTGATAGAGGGATCATCTCGACAGCCTTTGCCAGAAGCAGACGCGCATCAGCGGGATCTTCTTCCAGGTTGACGGCTTCCTTCCAAATCTGAACGGATTGAGGTATGTGTAGAATAGCCTGTCTGAGAACGTTCTTCTTGGCGCGAGTGTCGGTTTCTAATTTCATGGCTTCGGTCCAAAGTCTTGTAGACCGGTCATTGTTCTTGATGGCATTTGCTGCAATGACCTTGGCGTTGTGACCTTCATTAAGTCGAATATTTTCCAACCATGCGTCTTCACTCTTCGGACAAAGCTCACATCCCTTGGCGATGAGGTTTCTAGCGGCCACGATCTTGCCAGCAAGCTCCTCAAGACGGGCGAGTGCAATCCAACCAGGAGCGTGCTTCGGGTTGGTTTTGGTGACGGATTCCAACAGAGTCCGAACTCGCTTGATATCGCCCACCTCGACTTCACCGGCTTTCACTTCTGATTGCGTCAAACTAGTCAAGTAGCCCTTAGGGTCGATATTCGTGGCGCTTCCTGATGATGTGTCCGCAGATGATCCCAATGCAGCCTGGTCAAGTCGAACTTTCAACACTTTATCACGCGCCGCGCCGATGTCTGCAAAGTTTGTCATAGTACCATCGGCTTCTCCATCACCGGCATCTGGTTGCGCTCCATCGTCGGCGACTGTTGTACCGTATTGGGCCGAGTCTCTAGCGCCAGCGATGACGCTATCCGGAACGGCGTAGAACCGCTGTCGAAGGTTCTGCTTCTCTCGTCGATTCTTGCCCGTCAAATCACCAACCTCGGGGAGGTTGGCCCAATCTTCTTCAGACACCGAGGCGAGGGTTCGTTTCAAATCGGCGAATTGTTGTTGGATCTTCGGGTTTTTGCGATTGTAATCTTCTTCTTCGAGTTTTTCTCGGGCTTCCCTGTAGGTGGCGAGCGATTCAAGTCGGTACTATGTCCAAACAACCGGGGCTAACCCGATGAACAAATGGTTTTAAGGGGAAGGGGAGTATAAGACTAACCTGCGAGCTTTCCGGCGCCTGTCCATCTTCTCGTCTACCTCTTGGTAAATGCGGTCTGCCTCGTCGTCCTCTTGATCGAACTGTCCGTATGCGAACAGTCCCACCTCATTCTCCGGATCCTGGAAGCGCTCATCGTCTTCTTCCTTCTCGTCCTCTTTCCCTCCTTTCTCGCGCGATTGGTTTCCGTAGGCAGTAGGTGCAGCGGCTCCTAGTTGCTGTGCTCTCTTGTTCAGAGCAGCTTGGATTTGTTCGGGTGTAGGTCCTTCGCGCGCCGGGCCAAGATCGGAGCGAGTGGTGAAACCGGTCGCACCACGACCAAGACCAGCGACATAATTGTCAGGCGCTTGCTGGCTCAGGAAATCTTTTCGTCCGGACGCCATGTTGGGCACGACACAGCTCAGGAAGCTCGAGGTCACGGCGAAGGAAAGGCGGGCGTGAGAAAAGTTAATCCGGTGCCGGCAATCTTATCGGCCAAAAAAAGTTGCCCACATTGAAGTCGATGCGCAGGTCTTCTTCTTTCCTTACTTCTTGAACCGTTGAGGTTCTTTCATACAAAATGCCTAAAGTCGCGAGACAGAAGCGTAATAATGCTTCACAAGGCCTTTCAGATGCTGCTGCCAAGACCAAAGCTGCTCACAGCATCTTCAAGATGAACACTGATATTGGCCAGCACGTTTTGAAGAACCCTGGTATTGCAGGTAGGCTATTCTTTATCTACAGTATATCTGTTATGGCTAATAATTGGATGTATAGCTGCTATTGTGGAAAAGGCCGAGCTCAAGCAAAGCGACGTGAGTTCTCGAGGCAATTAACTAGATTTACAAACACTGACGCTATACGATCTCCAGATCGTCCTTGAAATCGGCCCCGGAACTGGTAACTTGACAGCCAAGATTCTCGAAAAGGCGAAGAAGTGTATTGCCGTTGAATTGGATCCTCGTATGGCTGCTGAAGTCACCAAGCGATTCCAATCTACCCCATACCAAAAGCGTCTGGATGTCATTCTTGGAGACGTGATGAAGACGGAGCTCCCATATTTCGACGTCTGCATCAGTAATACCCCTACCAGGTATGTATATCCCACGGCTGCAAGGGTCATGACTGTTTCTAATGCAGTATAGATCTCCTCTCCTCTCACGTTCAAGCTTCTGGCTACATCTCCGGCTCCTCGCAGTTGTATTCTCATGTATGTCATTGCCAAAACCGTCTTGCGAAAGCTATGTGTATCATCAAGATCTAACGTAACTCTCATACAGGTTTCAACGTGAATTCGCCCTGCGATTATTCGCCAAGCCCGGCGACAAGCTTTACAGTCGACTTTCAGTCAACGCGCAAATGTGGGCCAAGATCGACCACATCATGAAGGTCGGCAAGAACAACTTCAAGCCCCCACCTCAGGTCGAGTCCAGTGTCATCCGAATGGTTCCCAAGAACCCGCGGCCACAGATCAACTACGAGGAATGGGACGGACTGTTGCGCATTGTTTTCGTGCGTAAGAATAAGACCCTTCGGTCTAGTTTCATTGGTACCATGAGCATTATGGACATGCTAGAAGGAAACTACCGAACATGGTGTGCACAAAACGACATCCCGGTGGAGGATGGTCCGGCCGAGGTCGCCAACGACGATGCGATGGCAATGGATATGGGCGAAGAGCAGGAGCAGGCTCCTGAGGAGCCCGCCGACGAGGTCATGGACATGGACGATGACGATGTCCCTGACTTCTTCAAGGAGGAGACCAACGCTCGCATTGAAGCAGCGCTTAAGAACGGAGCGTCGCGCAAGAAGCGAGGCAAGGTTGCAGAGCTCGTCCGTGAAAAGGTGCGCCAGGTCTTGGAGGATGAGACTGGACTCGCAGAGAAGCGTGCGAGAATGTGTGACGAGAATGATTTCTTGAAGTTGCTGTGGGCATTCAACCAAAAGGGAATTCATTTCAACTGAGCGAAGCACCATGTCTCTGCCCGGAAACATCCCATGGAAGCCGGGAACTTGGATGATGAATTATGATTACTATCAATAAAAGATACCATTTTCAGGAGGAACATCCCCAGCAGGCCGAAGATGAGCGCGCGAGTCCTGGAACAGACTCTGCCAGATGAATGCCTCGCTGAGTAAGAGCTCAATGTCTTTCTCGGTCCAGTCCTTCGTAGGCAATGCTTGGAGGAACATCATAACCTCCTAGGTTGATGTTAGTATATCGGGAGGGTGGCCATTTATACTAGCAGTTCATACCTGGAAATCCATCTTGACCAATTGATCCGTCCACTTGACCAAAAATGCGGCGCAAACATAGAGGTGGAATCGAGAGAAGCCCTGCTCCTCGGCCTATCATGACGGTCAGTATCCGTTGAAAGCACCTCCAAGTAGACACAAACATACCATATAAGTATCCCACATGCGTATCGTATTTTTGATGTTCATTTCCCGCATGAGCAAGCAGTTCATCCATCGGAAACTAAATTGCATAAATTCCACACCCTCTTGCTCTAAGTGCTTAGCGAGTGTCGAGTCGATGCGCATTGTCAAGTCCCGTAGCGCTCTGACCTGTCGATGAATACCGGGCTGAGCATATATGTAGTTGTCCTGGATACCATCCAAAAGCTTTGTAAGACACCAGAAAGTGTCGGCTTCTACCGCGTCCAGCACGCTTCGGGGTAACTGGCCGGGATCCATGCCTTGTTCAATATTCAGATCGGTAATGTAAACACCTAAGAAGACCTGCCAGAATGGTGTTACCAGGTCGTTAATACCTTGGACGTAGCCGCTTGCCGGGTGACGAATAGCCCAGACGTAGAGGATGCGCTCCAAGGACCGTTGAGTGGCTTCGTATCCATACAACGGAATATGAGGACTGGTGCGCGGGACGTCGATACTGATTTGATGCCAGACTGCTTCATCCAGTCCTCTGCCGCGACTCTTGGTCGAATCGGGCGGTTTTGTAGAGCTTGCTCCACTGCCTCGTTCAAAGGCTTGTCGGACTCCATCAAGGTATTCCTTGCGCTTCCGCTCTAGCGTGGAGATACGACGCTCGCTATTTGTAGGGAGATATCCCAGCAGAAGTTGCCAAGTCATTGGCCGCACTTCTTCCGGAACGCCTGACCAAGCGAGATTCCGTAGCTCAGTGGGGGATACCGTGCTTGCCTGCAGAATGCGCTTGAACTTGTTGATTCGTGTAAGGCGACTAGAGTGGATGTCTCTCTCTTTCGGCGATGCATTTGTGGGTGGCGGAGAGTGATTAATGAGGTTCAACGCATTGGCAGGATCTAGGGCCAATTAGCACAAGCCAGTCTTCTTCCCTCGACCCATACATACCTTGCAAGATGTCTTTGTATTGAGGCCGGAGGATCTTGCCCTCTCCCTTCCGCGCGGTTGGATACATTGGCGCACCACGTTCTTCCGCAATGTCTGCACTGTCCGCCCGGCTTCTGTTATTCGAGGCCAACCCATATCCAAGTGTTGACAGATTGCCTCCAGCCCCACCACCAGTATCCAGATTCTCCGGTTTTAACTGCACGGACCGTTTTCTTCTCATACTAGCCAGGCTAGGAAGCCCAAATTCATCTTCGTCGTCGTCGTATACAATCTCGTCATCATCATCTTCATCATCTTCGGTGGGGTCACGACTCCACTCGTCGACCCCTGGGGTCATAATGCCAGGATAGGGTTGGCGGGGAGGCGATGCGACCACGTTTCCTGGCCTGCGATTCAAGTGCGATGCAACATTGGTAGCCGATGACTTTGGCGGGGTTCTGGGGCGTGAGTGGGAGGATGTAGCTCTGCCAAGAAGACACATTGTCAATCACCATTTCCGCAAATGGCGTCCGTAGGGTCGCAGGGGTACACACTGTACAAGATTGGCATGGGAGTATGATGCGCCAACAACTGTATTCGGACCATATATCTTCGATCCCTGGTTTAGAGAGGTGTTTCGGCTGGCCCAGAAAGGTGATTCTGTACGTCTAGAGAGATAATCAGCATTGTATGCGCTTTACAGCTTAGATATAGCTGCAGAATAGAAAATACCAGGCTTGCGACTTACTCCGAATTGTCTGCCAAGTTGAAAAGGAGACCATGTGAGCTATAACTGTGATTGAAATGCAAGGGGAGAAGCACTCACCAACCTGAACCATCTCCTGGGACACAGTTAGCTTCAGATCATAGAAGAGAAGTGCAAGATCACGACAACCAAGGATAGGTAGCTTACCTGCCCTTTTTTGTTCGCCATTGTGGGAATTCAAAGTGATCTTGATCTCATGGGGCTAATAGATGTGCGGGGTGGCGCTGCAGCGTGCCGTCCTCCAGGCCATGTAGGAGCTCAGCAGATTAAAACAGCATCGTAGAGTAAAGAGACAGGGTAAATAAGTAAATTAAGAGCAAATCTGGGAATCTGATAATATGCGCTCAAGTACAATTGCCGTTGAGTCGCAAGTCGGGAGTAATCTTGTTAGTCAGCCCACCTCATCCCTTGAAGTTCTTCACTCCAGCTTTCCACTCTTTCTTCAGATTCTTCGGACTTTGATACTTGTGCTGGCAGCACGTCAAAACTATCTCACTTATTTCCTAATCGCTAACTATGGCTGACCCAGAGGACGGCGATGATCTCTTCGCGGATCTGTATGTGTTTACTCTACATGGAAGACCTCAATTCTTAACACTTTCTGTCAGTTACGATGCCGACGAATCCACCACCCGCACCACCTCCGCTGTTGAGGCCCCAAAGCCTGCCGCGCAAGAGAATCCCCCTCCTGCGCCCGCTCTGAACTCCGGGCTGGATTTTGCGCCCGCCCCTGTCGAGACTCAAGAATCGCATAATGCCGGCCAGCCCTCCGACTATGACACGGGCTATCACAATGGTCATGGAAACGCATACGGCGCCCCTGTCCATGCCCAACCACCCCCTGCGGAACCCGAGTCTCAGGGAACTGGAATTAAAGAAGACGGGTAAGTCCACTGATCCCTCCATGCTCCCCCGTTTATCAAATCATGCGTCAATTGTTTGCGTCTCCTTGACATTGGGCTGTGCTTTGCTGGCACATACTTTCGCGGACAACCGTTACTGCTATTCACGCTTCTGAAATCGCCATGGGCAATGGGAAACGAGGTTTCGGGCTATGAAGTGCCTCGCTTGTTGAGAAGTTGTTGAGAAGAGATTACATTGGGCCTTTTGATATGAGACTTTGCTGGAGGGGAACAAGAATGGGCTCGGTGATCGATCAGCATGCTTGTTCGAGGAGAATCATGACCCGGCCATCAAAATTTCAAAATCCATTCCCCAAAGCCAGGGCACTTCGATATCTGCTCCGCAATCCAACCGCAGAGACAAAACATCACTCGGCGGCTTGGGAAACAAATGCACAGAAAACGCAACAAACCTCGGATCTTTGTCAAGCGATTATATATAGTACACCCGATACTATATAGCTTCTTGTCGATATACCTTGATAGAGCAGAGCAAGAAGTAGCTACGCTGTCGGAAGGGAGATTATCAAGCCGCCTCTACTTAGCTTCGGACTTTGTTAGACAAGGCAGTGAATTCCCAGGTCAGACAGACAGACAGTGACAATTCACTTTTTACGACTGAACTACTTGCACCTCTACGCTTTTCATCTTCGCCCGGTTTGAGCCAGAAAAGGGAGGACACAGACTATCACGGCTCATGTAAACCAGTTGGTTTCTCGTTAAATCCCATGAGTATCAGCTTGGTCGGGTTGAACGTATACTGGGGAAGGGCGCGACAGTGATCCTGTCGAGGAGGACTTGCCCTGACAAGGCTACGACAGTCGCATTAGCTGTACTCGTGGATAGCAGCATAGCACCGCCAGCCCAATTAGCCAGGACACGCTTGCAACTTACTTTTGATATCATTCGCTTGCTTTTGTCCATGCACGTCGATGCTTTAGGAGACCGCTAATCCTTATGGCTAGGAAAATGTTCATTGGAGGTTTGAACTGGGAGACTACGGACCGTATGTACATCGTGCACACCGTGCAAATTTTTTCTGACGTTCGTCTCAGAGTCTCTGCGTGATTATTTCTCGGAGTTCGGTGAGGTCCAGGAATGCACTGTCATGCGCGACAGCGCCACTGGTCGCTCGCGTGGATTCGGTTTCTTGACCTTCCGCGACCCGAAGACTGTTAATACTGTTATGGTGAAGGAGCACTATTTGGACGGCAAGATTGTACGACCTTCGATTGATCTTTCCATGGTGTGGTCACTAACGGCAATTAAAGATTGATCCCAAGCGTGCCATTCCCCGTGATGAGCAGGAAAAGACCAGCAAGATCTTTGTTGGTGGTGTCAGCCAGGAGGCTACTGAGCAGGACTTCAAGCAATTCTTCATGCAGTTCGGACGCGTGGTCGACGCTACTCTCATGATTGACAAGGACACTGGTCGTCCCCGTGGTTTCGGATTTGTGACTTTCGACAGCGAAGCAGCAGTGGAGAACGCTCTTTCACGCCCTCTCGAGATTCTCGGCAAGCCCATTGAGGTGAAGAAGGCGCAGCCCCGTGGCAACCTGCGCGACGATGATGACCGACGCGGCGGCCGCCGCGGTGGATATCGTGACATGAACCAAAACGAGGGAGGTCAACAGCAGGGTGGACAGCAAGGACCTGCGAGTGGCATGACCCCTCAAGTCATGGCCCAATACTGGCAGCGTATGCAGCAATACTTCGCCATGATGCAGCAGCAGATGGTCGCCTCCCAAGGCGGTGGTATGCCCAACATGAACATGGGAGCCATGAACCCAGCCATGATGCAGCAGATGCAGCAGATGCAAATGAGACAGATGCAGCAAATGGGCAACCAGCAGCAGGGCAGCATGAGCCCCAACCCTCAAAGCCCAGTCTCCCAGCAGCAGATGCCAAACATGGGTGCAATGATGCAGCAACAGCCCAGTAACGGCGGCAGCGACAACGCCAGTCCCGGCCCCAACGCGGCCAGCATGTCAGGAAACTTCAACAACGCCAACCGCCAGACCGGCCCAGGCTACAACGCCCATGAGCAGATCGCCTTCGAGCAGCAGAAGTACGAACAGCAGCAAGTCCGCCGTTCGATGGACCCTCGGGGATACTCGCCTTACCAGCAAGGCGGGCCGACCTCATGGGAAGGCATGTACGATGAAGTACCCCAGCCAAACATCCCCACTGGACCCTCAGGTATGAAGCGCGTCGGAAGTACGGGTAGTGGTATGTGGTTCTTTCGAGGCTCGACATAGCATATACCCCTTTCGATCCCAACTCCGTCTTTCCCAAAAGCTAACCAAAACATCAACAGGATCCACCCCCACGCCACAGAGCGCCGCGCCAGCCAATGCTCCCACGGGACCTCGCAACGCAGGCAAGCCCGGTGCAAACTACCGTGGCGGCGGCCGAGGAGGCCACCGCGGCTTCCACCCATACCAGCGTTAAACCACTCAACATGGATAAATGCAAGTGTTGCTATTCTGTGTCTTAAAATGTTACTGGCACGCTAGTTCTTTTTCTTTTCTTTTCCAATCTGTGTTTTTTTACGTCTTTTTTTACCTGGGGCCTGGCTTCGCTTGTAACAAGAGAGGAAATGGTAAGGTGGTCTGTGATCTGTGATTATGACTGAGTCCCGATGTCGAATTCGAGCTCGATTTTACACTCCCAGTTTTTTCATGTGCATTCAGTCCCGCAATGACATATGTTCACTTGATTTAGTTTTTGTAGCTTGCTGGGGTTGGTGATGACCTCGGTGAGATATATCTTATTTCCATGGATGAAGTAGTAGAAGAAGAAAAAGCAACCGGGATGCACCCAGAAGTGGACTATAACTATAGCGAAGTGTAAACAGTGGAAGAAAACAATACAATTGCGTAGAGGGGCGTTTGTTTGGTGTAGTTCCCACTAGTTTTCGGCTCGTGGAAGGTCAAGAAACCAAATCCACGTGAGCGACCAGTGGCGCTGTCCCGCATGACAGTGCACGACTGGCAGTGTCAATATCGAACGTGGAAGGCTGTCTAAACTTTCCACTGGCGACACGAAAAGTGATTAATGGACGTCCTCAATCGTTGCTATTAAGCTATATTACTATATTGACTGTAGTTACACAACTTTATCATATACTTTACACCGGTACGAATATATACTGTACTTCGACGATCTAGTTGTCGAATTATAGTCACGTGGTATTACTTGCCCTTACATAAATATGGTCATTTGCTCCATAAACTTAGCTAGTACTCCGTCCTAAGCTACACTTTGCTGCAATGCTCTTCCTATTATGAGGATCATCTCTCCGCGTATTGCTTATCGTTCTCATACTTTCGACATGGAAACAGGAGACCAGGCGTCCGTTCAGCCGTACTTAAAGCCACACGATCGCGGCCTAATGCTCGTTCGACGCTTTCTACCCATGCAGCCTACCCATGGACGCCTGTGGCGGAAGCGAGCATCTGACTATTACTTTGAGCCGAGCGTTCCGACTTGTACCGCCCCATCTCCAACTATACAGCTCGTACGGGTCCGGGGAGATCACCATTTCACATAAGTCACCTGTCGACTACTGGAAATCTGAGCCGACGGTCTCTGGCAGCATCTTCCTCATGGGGTTTCCTTACCGGACTATGCCACTTAATGTGGTTGACAATCTGTCTTGATTCTTGTCGATTTAGTAACCGTTACTATTCGTGCGAAGGTTGATCGGAAGGCGGTTCAGGCTCTATCGGTGACACCGAGATTCCCAGTCACACCATGTTGTTGAAACAGTTGCTGGACCATCCACATGTAGTTTATATCCATGCAGTGGCAGTCCGTCCGCGCGGTAGAGGTATCGGTCGCCCTTTTGCTGACTTTCCACGGCTGACCGTCGTCGAGGGCGACACATTTCCGTGGTTTGTTGCAGCGGAAGATGTCATTGCCAACGGCCTCGAGGCGATGCGATATAGAGTATGCCACAGACACCTAATTTGGCCTGGCTTGGCCTGGTATTGTTACATACGTCGCTGGTTCATCGAAACTGATAATTGTTATTTATGGTTGTCTTGATCTGAACAATTACATCACCACGTTTCTAACTGATCTGCTAGGTAATTCTAAGGAAGCTTGTTTCAGGCTTTTGACTATGATATTCATCAGTCACATCAGTGTTCCAGGGTATATAGGCTCAGAGAAAAGAATCCTGGAACATAGGCACTGAGATATAAGATCGGAATCATCTCTACGGATAATTTACACAACTCGACTCAACAAGATATATAATACAAGCACACAATCTAGAAGACATGCTCATAAATTGCAAGCTAAAATAAAAGAGAGATAATAAAGAATGAGGTATGTATAGACAAACGCAATATCAAAAGAAAGAATGGGATGATATCACAAGAATATGCAAAAAGAGACAAAATATGAAAAGGCCCAACCGCCATTTCAAGCACGCTAAAAACCGTCAAAAAAAGAAAAAGTGCTCGATCTAAAAATATATAGGTAGGAAGGAATGTCGAGAAAAAAGCGTGTAAATCAAGAAAGAACGGCAAATCCGTATGATGCCTTCGCTTCTTTACCCGTGTTTTGTTTTGTATTGGTCGTTTTTAATATGCCATACCGTAGCCAGGCTGTGTGGGATGGCGGCCTTCGATAGAGCTGCGCGAATGCCTGCTGTCGCGGCTTGAGCTGCGAGCGTGTGACACTCCGAAGTCGTTGCTGACCAGGCCATCGTGGCTGCTGTTTGACCTTGTTCGGCGGGGTACGTCCCGGTAGGGTGCGTATGGAGCATTGAAGTTGAAGTTGCTCATCTCAGCATAGTCCTTGCGCTTGGGGTGCTCCATGAGGAGGGATTCGCGAGCATCCAAGGGAGTGAGGTCGTCGAGATCGCGATTCGCTTTTTCTATAGGAAGGATATATTAGCATAATTTTCAACATCGGTATTTGTATGAGAATGAGTGACATACCAGCTTCTCTTCTGCGTCTGGCGTGGGGGTTCTCGCGGCAGCAGGTAATGATAGCGTTGACGGCGATGAGAATGGCGAGAACGGCAGTAAGGGTGGACTGCACGACGATGAGGACGATACCGGTGACGGTCTTGGTGGTTTGGGAGAGACCAAGTTCCTCAACGAAGACAAGGACACAACAAATGGACAGGACACGGACAACCTGCACGGCGATGTTGATTCCCATGGAAGACTTGGTAGCGTATGGGCGGTTCCAGACTAGGAGGATCAAAAGAAGGGCTTCGCAGACCAGTTGACCTGCACTTTGGGCCAGGCCGTGGCCCTGTGCACCGGCGATGATACAGCCCTTGGCCAAGGCGTAGATGATGACCGGGATGAAAATCCACCAGAAGTCCTTCTTGTAGTTGTCGTAGAACAGACTGTATTTCTTCCAGGTCTCCTTATTTTCGTACAAGCTATCGGTGTCACCCTCAGTCTGCTTGTACTTGCGAGCCATGTAGACAATGCGAATAGCGAAGAAGAGGAGGACAGACGTGAAGACAGCCAATGTGATAGCTGCTAGCAGTTTTGCTGCCCACGAATCACCGTTCCGCAGTTGGTAGACACAGTATAGCACCCAGATGCTGTAGAGCACGAGAATCATGTTGGTAATTGTTCGCGCCATCAAGCCCCAATAGTCCTTGCGGAAGTCGGCAAGTTTGTTGGGGAAGGTGCCATACAGCGCCCACAGTTCGAGGATGACCTTGAGAAGGAGGATGCCGACGATGACCACAGCAACAACAATGGCGAAGATGAGAAGAACGGTCATGAAGATATTGGCAGAGGGGATCATGAGTTCTTCAACGACTTCCTTCATATGGTCGATCGTCGAGCTAGACGCACCGTCGTCGCTAGAAGAGCTGTTCGACACACTCGCATCGGACGAAGTGTCGATGGAACGAGCTACAAATTCACCGAAATGAATGGCATATTCCAAGCTTCGTTTCGTGGTGTTGCTAGATGATCCACTGTTTGTCAAAGTCGCGTTCTTCAGGAAAGCATAGCTTTCCTCAGTCAAATTGCCACCGGTCGCCTTCCGGAAGTTGTCAATGGAGTTCTGCATACCTGACCAAGGGATCAAACCAGTACTCCAGACAAAGTTCCGAGAAAAGCTGCTGTACACAGTCGGGTAGCTGACACTGAGCATGCCGTTGGTGGCCATGGAATGGAACCAGCCCATCACATCACCGAACCCAGGGCTAGCCGACGGAGATCCAGCAGCCCCAGCAGAGCCAATGGCAGAGATACCAGTCAGCGCCAGAGCACCAGCTGCAATACCAGCCGAGATATAGGTGACGGCCTTCACGTTTGCGGAGTGACCGTTGGACAACTCCGACTGGACACAGGCCACATTTGAATTGTCCTTCGATTTGAGGACCAGCTTGGCCTGGCCGTCCAAGTCAGGCATTTGGAATGCGATACCCGGAATCTGGCTTGCATATTGGGACGGGACCTCATACGTTCCCCGAGCCTTGAACGCCCGCTTAGGGACAGGACAGAGCTCGGCCACATGGATTTCCGTACCGCATGGGTCGAAGTCCTTGGTGTAGATATTGTTGCCGTAGGCAGTGACAGACAAGCTCGCGGTCACGTTTTGTTCTTTGGCGCTGGTACCAGCCACGTCGAAGGTAACGATTTTCGTGGAGCGAGAGTAGGAGACGTCCAGATTCTGGACTTTAATGGTGGAGTCGGTCATGCACAGGTTGAAGCCATTGGTGGACAGGGTATCGCCTGCGAGAGCCTGGGGCAGGACGGCCAAGCCCAGTAGGGCCCAAATGAAGTTCCGCATATTGACAATATCAATCCTGAACTACCAACTAAGACCAACAGGGCACGTATTCATAAGGATATAGGGATCGAGGATCGAGGATCGAGAATGGTAGCGATTGGATTATAACGGTGGGTATAACGGTCAGGGCAGGATCAACCTGCGCGAGAAAAGCAACGAGAAATGAGCTGTATGGGGTCGGATAGAGCGCCCGAGGAAATAAGACACTGGTTAGTCGACCAGGGGCGAGAGACAAAAGGATGAAGAGAGTGAAATCCCCCAGAAACACAGAAACATGAGAGAAGAGAAGTCTCACGGTCGAGACTTCTCAGGGCTGGAGGAGCCCCCTGAATTTACGATTGGTCGCGTTTCAGAGTCTAGACCTGCCCTACAACTTAGTTCTATATCTGTTTTGGTATATTATGGTCTACTCGACTATTGCTCGTATTACTGCTAATTTTAACTGTCGTTTCCCATAAAACAGACCTAAATACACCTGGAATAGGAGTAAACAATGAAGCTATTGCAATATAAGAAACTCTCAATCCGTGGGAACAGTCGTGCCCTAAAACCAATTGGGCTATGAGACCCACACTCACAGTACGCCACAGGAGATGCCACTATTGTCTCTAGTTCTCTCGGATTACTCGCTGATTTTTGTGCATGTAGTCCCGCCCTCCCTTGGGATCTTACACGTATCTCTATCCCTACTTGTTAGGCATGACGTTGCCCCGCGAGGGGTGTCCAACAGATTCACAAGATTCACAAGCTCGCCACACTGCCGATCGGTGATCCTCCCAAGTTCTGGATGTACAGTGGACCTCTTACAGCTCGGGACATATCTTGTTCCTGGTGAAAATCCTCTTGCCAAGCTCCAGAACATACTCACAGTCCTCTGTACACACAAATCACAAAATTGAATTGTCTGAAATTCAAATGTGGGAGATGAGACAATTAAGACCTGGTGGGCGCTATTCCATCCTATCATCAACGTGAGACAGGCCAAGCGCCCCATATGACAGATATCTATTTACAGTACAGCTGGACCTATAGCACACGATCAATGATGATCACTGCCACCTATGGGCGATTTCATGTACTGCTGGTCCATACATTTCCCAGTATTTACTATCTACCCAGCTTGTGGCTGAGTGATCAGCGACACACCCTGTGCAGACATTTCTTCAAAAAGTCAGTTCGGGTTTCAGAATTATTACCTTAGCAAACTCTTTCCTAAAATGTGGATACACGGGGGTCTGATCGTTATTGAAGGAGTGCGATAATATATTGTAGCCGAGTTCTTTCGTGACAGGTATATTTCGTCAAAACGGTGATCTCAATGAAGTGCCATACATTAATTTCTTGTCGCTGTAACTTTGGGTGAGCCGCAAGATCATCCGCTGATCTTTATATCGAGAAAATAGGGAACAATTATGGACGGGAGATCCGGAGACCCAAAATAGCACTAGAGTAATGGCAGAAAAGCCAACTGTGTGCCGCCTTGTTACACCGCCCTTTATATCGCGATCACGCCAAGGCTCGCAACTTGATATGCCCCTTCCTAGGCAGCTTGCTCTCATGGGACCTAAGGGCTTGGAGAAGCTGAACGACTAAAACGACCGAGAAGTCACATCGTCAAGAGGCTGAGATAAGGTGGGGCCCAAACCATAGGGGCTCTGCATTAACCATGGTTGAACGGATATTTCTAGTGCTCTTGTGGCTGTATAGAACTTGTTGTTTCCGACATCTTGCTGAGGAAGTTATATCAGGGCATGGTATACCACTGAAGGAGATAGGGATACTCAAGCCAAAGGGGATTCAGCTGGCAGGCAATCAGAGAATTTTCGGCGTGTCTATAACAAGCCATGCTCCATTCAAGTTGGAAGGTAGAATATTCAATTCGCTCAATGTATCTCACAAATTGCAATGCAATGCAGATTCCAATCATAATCTTCAGTAAGAGCCTTAGATCGAAAGACAGATGGATAAACAAATGGTCCATTAGAGGACTACTCCAGACACCGGGGTATTTTCCTTTTCCCGAAAAGCCAGCCGCCATGCACAAAGAAAGAAAATCGTTAGAGAAACCACAAAGATAAACTTATGTCATCGTCACATCCTCCGCCGGAGTAGCGACAGCAGAGGGCAGGCCAGAGGCATCAGTCATAGCATTGTCACCATCTGCGTCATCTGTAGGGGGGTCGCCCCGCAGGTTAGAGTCGGCAGAAGCCGCATCCTCCTCTCCAGGCTCCGAGCCATCTTCGGACACCTCCTCAAACAAACGAACCGTTTTGTCCATTCCGCAACTGACAATCATACGCTTGCCATTCAAAGTGCCAGCGTGGACACCGAGAACAACTCCTTCATGAACGTCGATGCGCTGTAGGATTTTCTTGCTCACGATATCCCAGAAAATGATAGCGCCATCCTCGCTGCCGCTGACAGCGAATGCCAGAGGCGGTTCATACTTGATGTTGGGTGATCCATAGAGACCAAAGCATCCGGACAAGCTGTACTTGTTGTTGACATGTCCCTGGAAGGTCTTAATAACGCGGCTCTCGAGATAACTCCACATGCGGATACAGCCATCCAGAGTCCAGGCCAGAACATAGTGGCCATTTGGAGAGAACTTCACACATGTAGCAGGAGGGTTGTCTTCCATCACCAAAGTACGAAGACACTGGCCACTGATAGTGTCCCAGATACGAATGAGGCCATCCAGGGCGCATGAAACGATAAGAGTTCCGTCGTGTACAACATCAATGCCAGCAACAGGGTCAGAGTGAGCTGGGAGAGAGCGCATAACTGATCCTCGGCGCACATCCCACATGAATACAGCTTCATCATAAGAACCGCTAACAAGAATGTTTCCCTTGGGGGTAAATGCAATTTGATACACATAGTTGTGGTGGCCACTGAAGATCCGAGGGTGCGCCCTGAGCTGTATGAGAACATCAGTGTGAGTTCCAAGAAAGAATCGCAAAAGAGATTTCTTACAGTCTTGACGTTCCAGAAACGAATTGTCTTATCATCGCTACCAGTCGCGATCCATTGGCCATCCGGGGTCCAAGCAAGAGTCGAGATACCTGCAAGATGTCCTTCAAAGGTGTGTATAAGTCTGCCAGTAGCAGTGTCCCAGACCTTAAGATCCGAATCGGCACCTGACATGCGAAGGTCAATCCATTGATTCTGCAGTCGGGCGAGTATAATGCAACATACCTGCACTCGCGATCATACTGCAATCTGGCGAGAATTGAACAGCAGAGACTCCACGGATATGACCGCGCATAACAAACTTCTCCTTGTAGTTCAAATGGTCGGGCTTGGGAGGGACCGGGGGAGGGACCGGGGTAGCAGAACGGTCAGACCAGGCGTCAGGGTCACCGGGGCCCTCTTGCTCGTTGGGGCTTTCCATATCTTCATCAACAGGCTCCCCCGAACTTTCCTGGGATTCGCTGTCGCGGCGGGTATGGCGATTGATGGGTGAACGGCTGCGGCGACGGCTGCGCGAAGTGCGCCAGTACTCATTGGCGTCAACAGCCAGTTCATCGGTGCTCTCAGAATCGCTGTAGCGGCGGTCCTGCTGCTGGGGGCGCTGCGGAGTGAACCCCTTATGAATGGTCCAACTAGCTCTGCGGCGCTCGGCTTCATCATGCTCGGAGCCCGCGGCGAGTTCATCAGAGGACGATTCAGCGGGAGAGATGGCGCGAGGGTTGCGACGCCGAGGAGCAGACCGGGATTTATCCATTTTGAATGACTGATGCTCAGCGCATCAAACAATAAATGCGAGTCGTGGCAGTGTTGAAAGCAGTTGCTTCGCGTTGCGATGGAAAGAAAATCATTTGAACGCGTGGTGCCTAATAGGAAGGCGGTAGAGATATCGCCAGCGGGCGGTGGGAATATGGGCTGTATCAGATTGCGTCATAGGGAACTATAAGTCATTGGAAGTGATCTATAGAGACTTGGACAACCTCAATGCTGGAGATAAGGAAGGAAAGACCTAAAGTGCAGGTTATGCCTTGAAGCCTTTATGTCAGGGACTGGTACTGCTTGGAATACAGAAATCAGTGCATCAGGTCACTTTAACCTTCACTTTAACCACTTTAGTTGTCCTAAGGGCATCGCCAACGACTTCCAAGAATGAAAAGAAAAGTAAGAGAACGAGCTATTATTTTCCAAAAAAATCATTTATTGAGACCTGAAGTCCATAGACCATGCCCAAAATGGTATTTCAGATCGGCAAGCTTGGTCACTTTGGACAAGACGCATGAATGATGTGCAAAGGAACCCCATTTATCATGAGAAAGAAGCAAGCAATTCCCAGGTGCAGCGATCTGTACTTATGGCCATATCACGACAGTATTTCTTTCACTCTTATCTTGGGTGTGCGGTCCTAGGTCGAGGATGCCTCCAAATATACCGAGATGCGAATCCTATGCAGTCGTGATATTGCCAGTTGACCTCCAGGTATGATCCCTGATACTAAATGTAGAATGTTGATAGCAACAATATTTACACGGGTAGATTTGTCTATTAAAATGACATCTAGGACTTGAATCCATTTCTATACACCACATCACATGACCGTCACGTTCAAGACCAAAATTACATCATGTCGAGTCAACAACTTTATACTCGACAACGTCAAGCTCATCACGGTCAATTTCAGGCCCAATGGCCCCAAAGATTCCCTCCGAGGCCCCTTCCAGCATTCGCATCCTCACCCTCAACTGCTGGGGCCTCAAGTACATCGCCAAGTACCGCAATGAACGCATGTCAGAGATCGGACGGCAGCTGGCAATTGCCAGCCCGCCGCCGGAGATAGTCGGACTACAGGAATGTTGGACACAGGAGGACTTCGAAAGCATTCGCGACCAGACTCGACACATCCTACCTTACGGAAAGTTCTATTACGGGGGCATATTTGGCGCAGGGTTGGCCATTCTGTCAAAATGGCCGATTGAGGAGAGCAGCATGTTCGGGTACCCGTTGAACGGTCGACCAACAGCGTTCTTCCGGGGAGACTGGTTCGTTGGAAAAGGCGTCGCAAGTGCGAGAATTCGATTCGGGCCTGGTACTGCAGATGTGGCAGAAGTGTTCTGTACACATTTGCATGCCCCGTACGAGCGCGAACCGAACGACTCCTATCTGTGCCACCGAACCGCGCAGGCATGGGAGATTTCAAAACTAATGCGCGGTGCTGCCGAACGTGGTCACCTTGTCGTTGGTCTAGGCGACTTTAATATGCTGCCCTCTTCTTTCGCCCACCGCCTCATTACAGCCCAGAGCCCCGTTCGTGACGTCTGGCGCGAGCTTCACCCAGACTCTTCCCTCGCAGCAGCAATCGATCCTATCGAAAAGGCGCGAAACCTGCCTGTTCCTACCGCGGAGTTCAACATCACCGAGAATGGAGCCACCTGCGACGGCTCCTACAACACCTGGCGCTGGTCCGAGCCCATGCGCAAGCGTCTTGCCAAGGGCGAGGAGATTGTCATTGACAAAGACACCCCAGATCCTCGCGGAAAGCGTCTCGACTACATCTTCGTCGGTGATGGTGGCTACCCGCCTGCCTTCCCGCCCTCTCGCTGGTCCGTCGAGTCAGCTCATATCGCCATGACCCAGCGTCATCCTACATTAGGCTGTTCACTGAGCGACCACTTCGCTGTCGAGGCCGTCATTACTCGATCTTCGAACACCTACCCTCCCTCCCACTCAGGTGATGATATGCCAACTGATCCCGATTCTCCAGCCCTCCACAAAACAACTTCAAAACAAGTCTCTCCCAATGCCGCCCTCTCCCCAGACACATATGACCACATCATTGACATGACCCACAAATATGTACGCCGCGAACGGTCTCAACGCCGCTGGCGTATGGCGCATTTCCTTGCGTCCATTGTGATTTCCATTGGATGCATGGTCGGTGTCTGGTGGGTTGGCAGCCGCACATACATTGGTTTCATCCTCATTCTAGTAAGCACACTCAACTTCGGTGCTGGAATCTTGGATGGTCTGATTGGCGGTCTGTTCATGTCGAGTGAATTGCGTGCTTTGAAGGAGTTCGAATGGGAGGTGAGGAATGCGAGGAGCTTGGTGGTTGCTGCTGAGAACGGTGCTGCCTCGGGAGAAACAGAGAGCAAGAAGGACGATTGATCGGCGTACTCACTTTTTGCGTCGTATAAAAGCAGAGACGGATTGTGCTACATGCTGTACCCCCGGTATTTATATGTTAATACTCTTTTACGAAATGCGTGTATTATATTACAGCCAGTTGCACTGCGAATGGGCAAGACTAATCTAATGTTGAAACAATCCATCGAGTTAGTTATTATTTTCTACATTTGGAAAGGTTGTGCACAAACGAGTGTGGAGTGCATTTGCTAAGTAGTCATCATCATCAAAGCTAAATGAACGTCCACCGATACCATAATCATCAAAAGCAAGCGGAAAAGACAAAACGAGTGGACCAACACGAGTAAGTGCGATTTTACTCAGCACACTCGCGCTTGCGGGTGTCGAAGACCCTCAAGGTCTCCTCGGCAGCCTTAACACCGCTCATAACCATGGCACCGAAAGTAGGGCCCATGCGGTTGAAGCCGTCGATCTCAGACAGCTCCATACCACCAATGATGAGACCCTTAGTGACCTCACGGGTGTTCTTGACAATCGCGTCCTCAGCAGCGTTCATGTCAAGACCACGCATGCCACCGAGCTTCTCGATGGAGTTCATGGAGACCAGACGCTTGGCACAGAAAGCACCGAATGGGCCGTCGTGGCCGGTGGTGCTGACGATGATGGGGGCGTTGATGGTGTTGGGGTCCATGCAGGAGTGGTCGTCGTGGTGGAGGGTGACGAGAGTCCAGTTGACGACGACACCGGCGAGACGGACGCTGTCGCCGTCACGGCGGGTGATCAGGTCCTCGACGCAAGTGGCGTTGAAGAGCTTGACGTTGGGGAATGACAGGACCTTCGACAGGAGAGTCGAGGTGAACTGGGCGGCGTGCTTGACGACCACGAAGTTGGGGTTGTTGGGCTCCTCCTCGAAGGGGACACCGAGCTCAGTCAAGAAAGCATCGGCGGGTCGGCGGAGGACCATTGCGGAGAAGAGCTGGCCACCCAACCAGGCGCCACCACCTATGAAGGATGTTAGTTGTGGTCGATGGAGGTTTGCTTCCACCAAGGAGAGACTAACCAGGCGACACGGAGGCCTCCAGAATGGCAATCTTCAGGTCCGGACGGGCCTTGGCCAGCACGTAGGCAGTGCTCAGACCACAGGAACCAGCACCGACGATGACAACATCGCTCTCGGCATAGTTATCAAGGTCCTGGAAGTAACGCCGAGTCATGGCGCGCGAGACTTGGCTCTCGCGGATAGGAGCGAACTTGAACTCATCCCATTTGCCGCCGAACTGTTCCAGAAGCTTTGACTGGCCCTGACCGGTCAAGGTTGTGGTCACTGTCTCGGGGACGTTGACCTTACCCTTGATGCCGGTAGGGGCAACAGCGGGCTCAAAGATAGCAGCGGGAGGAGACATAATGGGTTAGGGATCAAGTCGAAGTTTTGACTTCAAGTCTTAGTTAGTTTCGCTACTCGAGGTGGGGGAAGAAGGGGAGAGTCATGATCCTTTCGCTGGTATTATCCAGATCAAGTTGACGCCGTATAATCTCAGAACGAACCCGCACCGATGATGTACCTGTTCATCTAGGCAAGATCTAGACGAACAGATGCACCACCGATACAGGAACGAACACCGGCCCATGCCCAAGAGTTACCTGAGATACCTTGATCCCTGAGGGATAACGTGCCCAGCCAAAGAGTGTCCATGGCTCCCAAAGGAAGGGCAGTATGTACTTGTCCGTTTGGGATCTATATAAAAGTCAGCTGTGAAGAACAGAGAACAAGTAAATGGCGGATAGTTACTGTTGTAGTTTGTCAATATGAATTGATGATGGGAAAGAGAAAGAAAGAGAAAGACGGAGGAGGGGTAGCACAACTTTATATACCAGGCAGTTTGACCCCACCATCGTAACGTCATACAGAAAGTATCGAGGTATTTCCCGTTTCGTGTTGGTCGCCCGCCGCTTTTTGCTCTGCGTAGCCTTGGGCATGAGCGAGACCCTAACCCTAACTTCCTTCAGTAACCCAAGTATTCCTACCTCTTTTGTACATCTCTCTAGATTATAATAAATGACAGCGATGAAATAGCGATGAAACAGCGATGAATGGGACTTTTATATCTAGTGTGACATCTATGGTCTCACACTTGAGTAACGCTAAATCATATCCGAGCATGCCACAAGTGTGTCACCATTAGCACCTTGATGAATATACGGTAGCTTCAGGTGTCTTAATGATCGACAAACTTGCACATGCAGGCAACGCCATCCACCGGGCAATTCAAGCTTCCACTTTGTATCAAACACGATCAAGATCAACATCAACAATACGGGAATGTACAATTAAGCGGTAACGAGCAATAAGTGAGACCGAGGGAAACATAGCTATGTGGAGTTACCGTGAAAAATTGCCCAAACCACGTTGACTCGAAGCATCGACTCCCTTCAAGTTGCCTCAACTTTTACTTACACGAAGATTGAACACGCAGGGAAAAGCCCAGCCGTGGAAGAGATTCCGAAAGTCCGCAGTCGATGACTAGCGTAGGGCAGCTCCACGAACCAGGAGCTACTTTGCGGCTGAGAGGGAGCAGACAGTTGTTGGCTTGCTTTTCAGTATGTTGTTTTGGCTGATAGGTCGACGCCCCTCCCCAGATGACACCTAGTCGTGGTACACCCATAAGTAGAAAAGAAACATTCTGCTGAGCTTTGTCGAAACATAACAAATAGTTACTTCATGCGGCTGGCTGGGCCCAGTCTTGATGAGGGCCGATGTACTCTGTCATTGAAGCCTGAAGGTTACTTCCAGAAGAGAAGTGTCGTTACTAAGCTTCTCAAACACGTGGGGTGGGACGCCTAGAACCAGAATGTACTCTGTTGTAGAGCATGAAGACGTTAGAGCAGTGTCTTCTGACTCGGAATAAAGAGAGGTAGATTGGAAAGGCATGTATATAGGTTCGTTTGCCTTCCATCATCCGAGCTCAAAATTTACTTATATACAACACAAGCACTTCCACGATATATTACTGATTCCACACTACATTACGAAAGTATAGATGCTCACAATTAGTAGGTACAGCATGGCTCTAAGTCTATATAGGCATACTTTGTTCAAGATCAGTTAGACAGTTCTGAGATCTACCCAAGCCCCAAAAGCGGCAGCAGATATAATACAACAAAATACAGCCCAAGTGTATTAAGTTGACAATCCGACTCTCCCCGCCGGTGAGCTTCGAAAGGAATGCAGATCGAACCGCATAATGACGTTTCTAACCGTTCTGGCTCTGTTTTGCCCTCACCGTGAGTGGACCGGGGCAGAAGGCTCCGGTCGCTCTGCCCCCACGGGCCGAAGTACGGAGTACAGTATCAGGTTTGTGGACAGCAAACATGGTTAGGAACACGGCACCATGCTCTTAGAGATATATAAACTCAATTGATTCACAGCTCTAATTCCTCGCGAGATCGACAATGTCAAGTTTGTACAGGGGTAGATGTTGCGGTTACTGGCGGGCGATCGCGGAGGGCCAAAGCAAACCTTAAAGTAGAGCAAATTAGACCCTCCACTTGGAATAGTTTCTGTTACGCCTAGATCGGAGGGCATCGGAGAGTTAGCTTATTACGAAACTGTACAAGCTGTACACATGACCTTGTCTAGCATTGAAAATCTAGTGAGCTCCCTGACATCATGCAAATGATCAATGCTTCAAGCAGGGGTATATGTGTAGGTATCCTATCAAATATGAGGAAACACTGGAACCCAAAACAAGATCCCTGTACTCCGAATCACAACACGTAACGGTAATTAGCACCGTAATTGTCCTCCGCAACAGCATCTACCGATTTCGCCGAGGCTTCCTCGATGCGAGGCCCGTACTTCTTGTCAAGACGTTTGTTCTCCCACACAAGAAGAACACGCAGACACAAAGCTAGGATTGTGGTGAAGAACATGAACGCTGCGCAGATCGCCATGCCCTTGATAAACCGCGGAGCCTCCTCATCTGGGAAGATGTTTGTTCCTAAGAAGGGGCCGCATTGCCCAACTATATTGAGCAGAATGATGCCTCCTCCGCGGCGAGTATCGGAGCCTTGATTGTCTGTAATTGATTGGGTCAGTTGTTTTGTTCTTGTCTTTGTTCCGCAGGAAGTGGAGTGCCTTAGGCACCACCCCATGAGAGATAGCAGCTCTGGGAGTAACCTTGGAAAAGAGAGAAAGAAGGATGACTCACTCAAAACCCATGGCAAGATATTGGCAATCGAAGGGAAAATCCCACAGGCCGCTAGGAAGACACCAAAATAGCGGACGCCCACTGATGTGCACGTAGCGCAGAGGATATACCCCACGCCGCCAACCAGTGATAACACAGCGATCGTGAGTCCACGTTGCTGAAGACGATCCGCCACCCAAGTCGTCGCGATCGTCACCAGAAATGATGCAAAGAACGGAGGCGCGGTGAGACCCTGAGCATTGATCGCTGTGAAGCCCATCTCCCTTAGGATAGTGGGCAAGAACACGGGCAGGGAAGAGAAGCTGACGTTACAGCTGAAGTACATCAACTGGTTATTATCAGCACAGGATACTCAATTTCGCAAAATATAAGCTTTCGACTCACCGCTGTAAGCCATGCTTTCACATCAAGAAGCGTTTCAACCAATTCCTTCCATTGAACCTTGCCCTCGCGATCTGGTTGACCAGACTGCTGCAGTGAACGAGCACGGGCAACAACCTTCTCTTCCGCGGTAAGAAACTTGGCATCCAGCGGACTATCCGGTACATAAAACCAAGCCAAAACAGCAGCAGCGCAGACTGGGGCACCCTCGACCAAGAATAGCAACCGCCAATTAGCCAGTGAAGCATGGCCCGAGGTGATCCCGTAGGCCAAAGCACCCGCGAATGTATTAGCCAGCGGAGCCGCCGACAAGAACATACCGCATCGCAGACCCAGCTCATGGCGACGATAGAAGAATGATAGTAGGTATGGTACACCGGGACCGAAGCCGGCCTCAAAGGCGCCCATCAGGAACCGGAGGGCCATCATGCCTTGCCAATTCTTTACTGCTGCCTGGCATGTTGCGATCAAACCCCTATCATTGTTAGTTCAAAGATTCAACCGTCTCCGTTTCTGGAGGCATACCAGGAGAACACGACAAAGGCTGCCCATTGGTGCGGCTTGACGATCTTCCACATTAGAGCTTGAAATTCGAAGACTGTGTATGAGATGTAGAAGATTGTTAAGAGCCATGCGTAGCTCTTCCCCGTTAGACCTAGGTCCTCTTCCATGCCGGCGATTTTTGCATTGCTACACATCCATCAGTCAGTCTTTCGCTCTTCGGGTTATTAATTCTGGGACATAGTAAACGAACCCGATATTGCTTCGATCGAGAAATGCGAGAAGATCTAGAAAGCAGAGTATAAGTTAGCAGCTAATTTCAATTGACCAGTCATCTCCTCGGCAATGTTTTTTTGGAGCTTGGAAAGCCATACAGAAAAATCCCATCAAAGTAGGAACGCGCAAGTCCAATTTCCTCACCACTCGGCGCTCTAGCTCAGGATCGATGGTTGGGATATCGATAGTGGCAGTAGGCGGTTTCTCCACATGGGCTGGTACAGTGGTTTTCTCAATATCTTCATCGGGTGCCGTCTGGATAACGTCCTCGGGCACTTCACTCTTCCCGAAGAACGCCATTGTGATATACTTTAGGGGGGTTGCGCAGAAGACAGATGAAAGGACTTAGAGGGAGAACCGGGAGAAATAGCCATGTGGACTTATTGCATGCGGGGTGTGTGGGAAAAAGCCCATGATCGGCAGAGTCGCATCGCATGCCTAGTTGTAGTACTGCAGTGATTGGGTGAGGCACGAACTAGAGATGATTATTGGCCGCACCGGCACTTGGACAAGCCCTGATCTTCCGTGAAGTGGAGAATGGGGAGAATGCGGAGGAATTGGCAAAGCTTAGGTGGAGCTGAGTCACTTCTCACAGACTTGACGGCTTTTCTCTTTGCCCTTTGTGTCTTTTCAGCTGCCTTTTACCTATGGGATTTGCACAGATATGTTTAATAGTTAATTGTGGCTTCCCTTTTCTCTTAGCTAGAACTATGCCCAAGTCGATTGATATGATAAGAGGCCATTTGAGACGGTCCGCTAAACAGAATACACTTAGTAGAGCAATAAGGGTAATAATTACCACAATACTCTATAGAATGGATCATATTAACCTGTGTTCGGAGCTAGTTAACCTAACTTAGGATGTAGATCGGCGCCTGAATAATTAGGTGTTCAGCGGTTTAGGTCTGTATCACGTGCCGTATCAAAAATCTCCCGCGTCAGGTCGCGTTGTCCGAACCTCTCCAGCTGCGCCTTCCATTCCATCCGCAATTCATTTGCCCACCCCATTAAATTTAACAAATATCCTCTTGATTTGGGCAATCCGATCCTCAAGATGGATGACCCGGCCGCTCGCATCCCGGGGCAGCTGGTATGACCACCTCCCGTCCAACCCCAACACCCCATTGCGCAATTGGCCAACATTCAAAGCTAACAATTATTGTCGCAACCATGATAGCTCCCTCATATGCACCTGATATCGCGCAACCGCTACCCTAGCATGCACATGATGCCCACGGAGACCGCTGTGGAGTATCTGACAAGCGCACCCAGGATATGCCAGACCCAGCCTATGCATTGGACCTTCCTGGAGGCTCCTCCTGATGGAACTGTCATGCTCACATGGCAGCCTCTTGCCCACTTAGGCAATAACTTTGCCAGTGATGGATACGTCTGGGCTGATGCGGAGCAGGCCTTCACCTTCGAAGCTCGCGGCTATGTATGACGCTCTCCCCTGTGCACCTTTCACCCACTAGAGTCGCCTTCTAATGCCACTGGACATAGACTGTCGAAATGTATCTTCAACGCTGCGGCCTCCACCCCCCGAATGAACCTATGGCCACCCATTGCCGTAAGCGCTACCGCATCACTTCATGCAAAGTTCCCAATGCTCCTCAACCTGATCCATCACTATGGATTGTTCACTACTCTCGCGCTGCGCCCACAGACCACATCCCTAGCAACCGGGTTCCAGTGACACCTCAGATTCAGGCCACAATGGCCCAGCGTCGTTTCCTTCAAAGCCAGGGACAGCTGGCCCGCAAGGACTTTTTGCTCCATGATCGGAATAGCTGGCCGACTATCAATTTCCCACAGATGGCCCCTCAGGGCTTCGCTCAACCGCCGGCTCCTTTCGCAGGTCATGCTCCCGCAAGACCTGGCTTCTATCCTCAGGGCCACCCAGGCGCAATGCCTGCTGGGGTGCCCGTAGCCAAAGGGCCGCGCGGACACCGCGCTCCTTCAGCTGCTATGGGCGCCGCAACTGCTGACTTTGCCATTGAAGATGAGGATGTGTCCAGTGGTGACGCTATGGATCTCTTGACACCCCGTGAAGTGAGTAAGATGCGTTACCAGCAGCATCACGAGTGGATGGAAGAGATCTTCGCATCGCCCTATGCTATTACACAGATTACTCCCGTTTCGCTTGGTTTAGGTCGAAAGGGTGAGTTGGAGTCTCTGACAGCAGGCTTCTTCGATGCTCCTGTTGGAACATCTGGTGGCGAAGGCCAAGAGGCGGGCGACGGCCAGCCGGCCACCAAGATGGAGCCCGCCAAAGCCGAGGAATTTGCAGAGCGTGTTTCCAAGAAGGTTGCGGACATGACCGCCGAGATTGAAAAAATGAAGAAGCAACACGCGCGCCGGATGCAGCGCTTCAACCGCACTTCATTGCTCAGGGATGCTGAAATCCGCCTTCGGGAGTCTGCCGCTGACCCGGCTGAGAAGGGCCCGGAGATTTGGCGATTGGAGGGGCGGGTTGTTATTCCCACAGAAGAGGAAACCCCACAACTTGACTACGTCGAGGATAAGGCCAAGTATAAGGTTGATGACATTGTCCGGGAAGTTGAGACTGCCTGGAAGAAACAGATCGTGTCTGAGCCCAAGGTCTCTTGTGTCGAAAAGGGTGGCTTGCTGGAAAAGATTGAGCCCGAGCACAAAGACGAACCTGAGTCATTCACCAATGACATGGTCATGGACCACGACGATGCTCATCTTCTTAATCAATTTGGCAGCCCCGTTGTCGGTGGCCCAGGAATGTCCAGTGTCTCTGTCAACGGGCAACCAATTCCCGCAGGGATTTCAGCCGATATCGACATGGATCTGGGAGACCAACTCCATGGTGCTCCCAATGGCGAAACCAACGACTGGGTGATGGTCAACGAGACGAAAGACCATGGTCCAGTGGGCGGAGAGTTCGACTTTACCAACATTGACAGCGCAGGTGATGCTTTGGCTGCCTACAGCGAACAGAACGATGGGCTTGATCTCCCTGATCTGGACAATTCGGCCTTCGGAGATGCATTCCATGCGTCCGACAATGAACATTCGCACAACCCTGATGCGGATGAAATTTAATAGACGGGCCAAGTATCTCTCGACTGAGGCGCTTTTTTAATGAATGATTCCGCGGATCATGAATCTTTCAGGTGTTGCGGGTTCTATCTATTCAACTGCGGTTAAGGGGTTCGGATTTCATGCAGGTTCCTTTGCTTTACGGTGTACAATAAGATTGCCCAAGGGGTATTCCTTTGGTTCTTCGAGTTTCCTTTTTTCTCGAGCTTGTGATAGGCGATGGGATTTTTAATCGATATATCCCTATTTTTATGATATTGCCTTTTCTTGGTTTATACCTCCTTTTTTTTTGGGAATCTTTGCATCTCGATAGCGAGATTTCTCAATTATAGTGTGTCATCTACGTATCTATAGACAGAGAAAACATGAAGGTGGCTTACTTCCCAATTAGGAAGGACCTTGTGGACTTCTAGAGCTTAACGAATGCACACATCGTCATATCGAATCGACATCCCTGGGGAGCTCGAAAGTCCTGCCAATCGAAGTCTATGCTCCAATTCTCAAGATCAATGGCATTCATGACCCTGGCACTTTGATATCGGGAAGCCGAGAGTGGAGTATGATGATCAGCCGATCGGTCGACCGTTTCCAGACCCCTACTTCCTAGCTACCAGTTTGCAGCTAGCGCTAAGCTCACCGATGTATGACACTTCATGAGTCTGCAATCGGAAAAGATGTCAACTTCCGCCCATTCCGTCATGACGTCAACCGGGACTGCACTTCCTATGGTGAAGAAGGAATAGGGTTCGAGCATCGTCATCTATAGGAAAGCGCCTTTCTCACTTCTTCTCCTCTCACTTTCACTTCTACATACCTCATATTCCACATAGGTACACCTCTTCCTGAGTATTCTACAATGTAGGTCGTCCGCCATCTTTATACTCATCATAGCTAACAAGTCCAGGAACCGTAATATCTCATTCCGATCGCGCAAAGAACCCCCTGCCAACCGGCACCGGTTCAGATTCTCGACTTTCCGCGGGATGCAAGCGCCTGAGCTGAGCAAGAAGATGACCAAGCTGATCAAGAACGAGAACTCAGCCATCGGCGCCCACGAAGCCGCCAGCCGTGAGCGTTGCTCGATCGCCGGTCAGCTTTCTGAATGGGGCGAGGGCACTGAGGATGACAACGTCTCCGACATTTCCGACAAGCTCGGCGTGTTGCTCGCGGAGATCGGCGAGCAGGAAGACGTCTTTGCGCAGAATCTGGAAGACTACCGCAGTATCTTGAAGCAGATCCGCGACATGGAAGCGTCCGTGCAGCCATCTCGCGACCAGCGCCAGAAGGTCACCGATGAGATCGCCAAGCTGAAGTACAAGGATCCTTCGAGCTCTCGTCTGGCCACACTTGAGCATGAGCTTGTTCGGGCTGAGGCTCAGAACTTGGTTGCTGAGGCGCAGCTGTCCAATATCGTACGTTGATCACTCTGATATTCTTCTGTTTCATACAGTCAGATGGAAAGTACAGTTGCTAACCACATTTCATCTGTAGACGAGACAAAAGCTGAAGGAGGCCTATGACATCCACCTCGCGGCTGTGATCGAGCGCTCTGAGAAGCAGACTATCCTTGCTCGCCATGCTCGTCGTCTCCTCAACTACATTGATGACAGCCCCGTTGTGCCTGGCGATGCGCGCCAAGCATACGCCCATGAGCTCGAGGCACGCCAGGTCCTCGAGGATGCTGAGAACGATCTCCGGGGATGGGAGCCCAGCGTTGAGCCCATCACTTCGTCAGCAGCACGTGAGACTCGTAACGACAGCTATAACGGACTCAATGGCGTGGAAGAGCATGATCACGAATCGGAGGTTTTGGAGCACTCCTCTACGGCGGAGACCGGCGGTGTCACAGCCCCCGTGGAGAGCGGTGCACCACCTGCAAAGATGATGGTCGAGGCTGTTTAATGGACAGGCTCGCGAGACCCGGTCCAGTGGGCCACTGTTTCATTGGACATACTGTAGCTGTTAAGCTATGTAAAGTCAATTCTTCTCTCAGATTGGGCACTCCGGTGCAAGGGTTTTCGGACTGGCGTTGGACATGCAATGGGACTATACTCAGGAAATATGCAAATTGTGTATGATAAGTAGTTTAGTTATTAATGAATTGTATCTTTCAAAGTTATTGTCTTATATTCTCTTATGTTCTCTATAGAAAGGGTACCACGTGACCGCAGGCGCCAGAGTGACGCGGAAACCCGAGCTCCAGCGGAGCTTCAACCATCGCCGTCTCACCACACTCCCTTCGTCATTCCAGCATCTTTTCTCTACCGTCTTGTTCCACCCCATTACAACACATCATGGATAAGCTTGTCGCCCAATATTCGCGCCCTCCCCATCAGAATGAGCTCTACAACGAGCAAGAACAGGAGGACCTCTCTGCGAGTGTCCCTCCTCTCTCGTTGAAGTTCTCCCTTCCTCCTGTCGACAACGTGAGTTACAAATGAATCTGTGGCAGATCCTCTTTGGCTCAGATGGCGCTTCGATCGAGGGACGTTCCTCGGTCCTGACGTCAAGATAACCCGCGGCGCCATCGCAGCTACGCCAGAGATTCACCAGCCAGCCTTTCATCATTGATACAAATGGAATACTGGGCTAACTATTATTCCCTTATCTAGCGTTCTGCTTTCCTGCGTGCCATGACCGATGACCACTCCAACCCCAGCTGCCCCATCAAGCTCGCTCACGGAACAACAACCCTGGCTTTCCGATTCCAGGGTGGTATCGTACGTTTACCTCCGCTTTGATAATAATCGGTATCTGTGACTTTGAATATGGTTGTACTGACTTATATCCTGGATAGATTGTGTGCACCGATTCTCGAGCAACAGCCGGCAACTGGATTGCCAGTCAGACAGTCAAGAAGGTTATTCCCGTATCGCGGTTGAGCCGGGGTGAAGACAAGCCATCAAACGACCCAACGCCAGGACTTCTGGGGACGATGGCCGGTGGTGCAGCTGTAAGTTGGGACTGAAGGTGACGGCAAGTGATGGACTGGGCTGATGATATTCGAAATTGCTAGGATTGTCAATATTGGTTGCGGTATCTGAGCCAGCAGTGCACTCTGCATGGTAAGCTGGAGCTTTGTCATAATGAAGAAGTAGGTTGCTGATGAGTTCCCTAGAAATCCGACACAAGCGCCGTATCACTGTTGCGGCTGCCTCGAAGATTCTCGCCAACCTCACCTACGCTTACAAGGGATACGGGCTTAGCATGGGAACCATGTTAGCAGGAGTACGTCACATACACATGGTAGTAAAACTGGACCCGGAGACTAACGATTTCCCAGGTGACACCCCAAGAAGGACCCGCTCTCTACTACATCGACTCCGATGGTACCCGCCTCCCCGGTAACCTGTTCTGTGTTGGATCTGGTCAGACTTTCGCTTATGGTGTGCTGGATGCCGAGTACCGCTACGATTTGACCGAGGAGGAGGCATTGAACCTGGGACGCAGATCCATTCTGGCTGCTATGCACCGTGATGCCTACTCTGGTGGTTTCATTAACCTGTACCACGTCAAGGAAGAAGGATGGGTGCACCACGGCTTCGATGATATGAACCCTATCTTCTGGAAGACGAAGCTTGAGAAGGGCGAGTTTTCCAACGTTACGTCTGAGCTGTGAGCGGGATGTGTGTAATATTGGTATCGATATGTCATTGAATTGGATTATGCTTAGGTTCACGGGTTTCAGCTGTGCAGTTAGACATGGATACATCTGCTCAATATTCCCGATCTTTATGCTAAATAGAAGTAGCCCTGCTTCCTGGTCTTTGCCAGCAAATCAACACCTCAGCTAAACAGCCAACTGCGAAGCAACCTCGATATGCGAGAACCTCGCCCGAATCACCCGAAACTTATCCAACAGAATATTCTTCGACATAACCTGCAAATTATGAAACGAAAGAACAACCCCCTGCATGAAAACAATATCATCAATGCGACAAGTCGTCTCCTCACGCGTGGCCTGCGGAACGTGAATAACCACATCAGCAATAGTATTAATAATTTCCAACAACTTGCTAATCATTGACGAGCCATGCACGCGAATTGTATTCTGCGAGATCTTCGTCAAAAACCTTCTCAGCTGACTAGACAACTGCAACGGCATCTCAAGCTCCAAAGAAGGACAAGAAGCATGACTAGACAACAAACAATTCGACATAGCCATCTGCCACAACAAAGTGCGCATCCACTGCCTCGTAACAACAAGATCAGCCTGCTGCAACTCAGACAACGTCGAAACCTCAAGTTCCCACAACGCATCATCAAGCTCACGATGTTTCGCCTCAACCCAAGAAGCAGTAACCCGCGACCGATCCCCGATCCAAAGACTAATAAACGAGGCATCAAGCATACAAAAAGTCTTGATAACCTGCGTCCAGCCCTGCTGAATCCCACTGCCCAGCCCAAGCTCAACAGAAAGCGGATCTTCCTCGGGGAACTGCGCGTGCGGTGGGAGCGTCACCGGCGAGAAGTATACTATCGACATGAAGCGCTCGTGGATGAAACATTGCCAGTAGAGACGTTGGCGGCGGGAGCGCTCTGTTATGTCCAGGTCGGAGAGGGTGCTTGTTTTGTCTACGCCTAGGATTTGGATCATGCTTATTGCTTCGCGGAGGTAGAAGAAGCCTAGGTCGTATTGGCCTAGGCTCATGGCGCACATCTGGATGAAGATGCTTGTCATGGCGCGTAGGATTGAGGGACGGAAGCCTATTACGAGGGGTTGTTGGGTTTCGACGGATTGGCGTAGTAGTTCGGTGATTTGGGTTGAGGTTGATGTTGAGGGTGTTGGTGTGGATTGCGATTGAGATGCGCGTGTTAGGTCCAGTGTTACTGCAGTAAAGGCGTAGACAAAAGCTGCATGTTCTCTTTCCGTGTCCATTTTGCTGATTGAGTGGCGGACTTCCGTGTCGGTTATTATTGGGCTGAAGGGGTATACGTAGGTCATGTAGTCTGGGAGGAGACTTGAGAAGTATGAGGTCGGTAGTCGGGGGGTCGTCAGGGGCAGTAGTGGTGTCCGAGTTGTGGTTTTAGGTGTGCCACTTTTGTATTTTGATATCACTGTACCTCGGCGGAGAGCATGTTTTCTTGATCGCGCTGAGTGATTCTCTGTGTAGGTGCAGAGGAGATCCAGGTGTTCACATTGTTGGCAGCGGTGTTGGCCATTACAGCGGACTTTACGGCGATTGCAGGCATCGCATGCTTTGGGCACGCGCTGAGATGTCGGACTGGCCATGAATATCGTATGTTCTGGAGATTTGAGGTGAAGATGATTCTCCCCCGCGTTTGATGTAGATGTCTTGGCGTTTAATACTCTTTTGGCGTAGTTCGGGGCCTCCGCAAGTATGTTCCATGTGAGTTGAAGTGATCCAATCAGGATGGCATATCGCTTATTAAGGCTTGGAATGGACTTAGTAGTGCATGTACGTAGGATCATTCTTGTCCTAGTCAAATCATTGTGGGAAATAGCGTGGTCTGTACATGCGGGAGGTATAAGTTATAGACCGAAATATTCATTTGCATCTATCCATGCCAATCAGCTATAATTGTATGACAATCTAGTCCCACGTGTAGCTACGTAACCTAACTGCAGTGTATCCAGCCCTAAATCAAAATAACTCTTCCCTCAAACGCCTGTAATTCCTCACTAGGACCCTCTACATTGCCAACCAGCAACTTCCAGTTATCAGCCATCAGTGTATCCGGTTTTTCAAACGTCTGTACTTTGTCCGAGAAGTTCAAAACAACCAATAGGCTCGTGTTCTGACCCTTCTTGGTATATGTAAAGACGTTCTGGTTCGGCTCGTCGAGAATCTCAAACTCTCCAAAGACCATAGCGTCGGCATACTCCTTGCGTAGTCTAGTCATCTGTTTCCAGAATGATAGAACAGAAGCATCATCCGTCTCCTGCAATTTCACATTGAGCTCGGGATAATTGTCGTGCGGGCGCATCCACGGCTTTGCCGAGGAAGAAGGCGAAAAGCCCGCGTTGGCGTCAGCACTCCATTGCATGGGAAGTCGAGAGTGATCTCGAGCCAGATGCTGCAGAGAAGCCATCGCGTTTTCCAATTCCACGGGGTCGTTATTCGTAACCTTGCTGGTCATCTGGTAATAGTTGGTACTATCGATGTCTTTGTACTCGTCAATTGTCCATTCTTTGGGGGCGTTGACCATTCCAATCTCCTGGCCTTGGTATATAAATTGAGTACCAGAAAGAGTGCTTTGCATCATGGCTAGCATCTTTGCAGAACGAACCCTTAGCTCAGGTGTCTTGTCAGAACCAAAGCGAGTGACAGAGCGGCCTTGGTCGTGGTTTTCCATAAACACCGTAGTCCACGCATCGGTGCCTTTGATGATATCTTGGGTGCTCTTCACGGCTGATTTCAAGTCTCGCAGTGTCCAGCCAGGGAACGTGGTTAAGAATTTATAGTCCTTGCCCATACCCAGATCCACTAGGTCAAATTGGAAGACCATGCTCAATTGCTTCTCAGCTGCTGAGACGTATCGAAGTACGCCATCCAGAGTATGCGTATTGGGACACTCGCCAACAGTCATGGCATCATACTTGGAAAGGACATCGTTCATTTCACGGAGATACTCATGAATGCGAGGACCATTACAGAATTGCGAGAAAGCAACCTGCGTGTCGGATTTTGGATCAAGAACTGGCGCATCACCAAGACCCGGCTGCTTGCTGTACATATTGACCGTGTCAACACGGAAGCCATCCACCCCTTTCTTCAACCAGAACTCCATCGCAGACTCATAGATCGCCCGACGAGCCACAGCATTCTCCCAGTTGACATCAGGTTGCTCAACACAAAAGAGGTGGAGGTAATATTCCTCCGTAGTCTCATCCCATTCCCACGCACTACCACCGAAGATACTGCGCCAATTATTCGGGGGCTGACGCTTGCCGTTGGCATCATACTTGGCCGGCTTCCAGATATACCAGTCACGCTTTGGATTTGTCTTTGAAGAACGGGATTCTTGGAACCATTTGTGTTGGTCGGAGGTGTGGTTGACCACTAAGTCAAGGATTATACGGAGTCCTCGCTCATGGCATGCATCGATGAGAACTTCCATATCTTCCACGGTGCCGTAGGGCTCATACACCTTCTCGTAGTCGGCGACATCATAGCCCATATCAATCTGGGGACTGTCGTACATGGGACATAACCAGATCACATCAACACCAAGACTTGTAATGTAGTCAAGGGATGAGATGATGCCTGGGATATCGCCAATGCCATCATTGTTGGAATCTTTGAAGCTGGCAGGGTAGATTTGGTAGATAATAGCGTTCTTCCACCACTTTTCGCCCACTCTTGCTGGAGACATGGTTTTGGGAGGTGAAGAGATGAAAAGGAGAACAGAAGAAGACGGTTGAATTGGAGAAGAAATAACTGTACAATGAAAGAGCAGGCATGCTATATACCCCCACGAGAACCCGTTTTAGCTAATCAGGGCACCATGGACGATCGAGTCCTGAGCCCTGCGAGAGCTCATACTGTAGGGAGGGCGTATACTGTCATTGACTCGATGTCGGGCCGAGTTGGCGAATCTGTTCCACTCGAGTGCATGCGGGGGGGCTTATCAGGCGAATAGGGGCTGGTGCGTCTTGGAGCTGGTGAGTATCCCCGAGGTTGCTCCAGAAGTATACCAAAGGCATGAGAACTCTTCACGCTTTTCATGCTCTCACCATCACACGAATAAGTTCAACATCCTCAACTCTGCAGGAGTAAATGAGGGGGAAAGGCGCATGTCGGCCCGACTCTTTGCCAATGAGGCTGCGGTATATGCCGTGTCTCTCTAGCCCCTTTGGGAGAAGTTGCAGCCCTCAACTCAAGACAAAACACCAAGTGGCCACAATTTGGCCGGTCTGTTTTCTGGTCACTCCGGCCCGACTCCAGTCCAATCATGCGGTTCCCTTACAGTCCGAAAATCCGGGGTCAGTGGGCTGATTCCCGAACAATCTGGGGAAAACTCTCTCCACGCCACCGGCCTCGCTTGAAAAGGGATTTCGGTATGCAACCAATGGCGCCCCCGGTCTATCCTCGCTCAGTATGGACAGCCCCCCCGGGAAACCCTTCGCAAAATTGCGTATAAATTCCCATGGACGCCCACACGAACAGCTTATGTTCTATTCCATCTCAACAGCCAAGTGACACAAAACTACCATTGAGAATCCAACAATGGCCTCCGAAAAGGTAGCCATGGCCGAACATGTCGAGAAAGGCAGCAACTCAATCGACCATGCAACCCATCCAGAGGTCGACCAAACCGACCTCAAAACCAGCAATGAAGCCCACGCAGCGATCGAAAAAGAACACAACATGACCCCTTGGCAAGCCCTAAGGATCTACCCCAAAGCCGTCGGCTGGTCCCTCCTCCTATCCTGCGCCATCATCATGGAAGGCTACGACGTAGTCCTCCTGGGTTCATTCCTCGGCTTCCCAGCCTTCAACGAGAAATACGGAAACCTCATGTCAGACGGGACATACGGACTCGCCGCGTCCTGGCAAGCTGGCCTAAACAACGCCATGGCGTGCGGCCAAATCATCGGTCTCTTCCTCAATGGCATTGTCTCCGAACGCTACGGCTACCGCAAAACCCTAATGACCTGCCTCGCCGCAACAGTCGGCTTTGTCTTCATCCTTTTCTTCGCGCCGAACATTTCTACCCTCGTCGCTGGCGAGCTCCTTATGGGTATCCCCCTCGGCGTCTATCAAACTCTCACTGTAACCTACGCCTCGGAAGTCTGCCCCGTCGCTCTGCGCGCTTATCTGACCACATACGTCAACCTATGCTGGGTCTTCGGCCAGCTCATCGCAAGCGGCGTCCTCAAAGGCCTAGCTACACGGACAGACCAATGGGCGTACCGCATCCCCTTCGCCATCCAATGGATCTGGCCCGTCCCAATCTTCATCGGTGTCTACCTTGCGCCTGAGAGTCCATGGTGGCTAGTCCGCAGGGACAGACGCGAAGACGCGGTGAAGTCTCTGAAGCGTCTTACCAGAGCCAATAGCCCTGGCTTCAGCGCTGAGGAAACAGTCTCAATGATCATCTACACCAATGCCCTGGAGAAGCGCGTCGAGACTGGTACCTCCTACCTAGACTGTTTCAAGGGGATCGACCGCCGCCGCACAGAAATCGCATGCTGTGTCTGGGCGGCGCAGAGTCTCTGCGGCGCAGGACTAATGGGCTACTCAACCGTCTTCTACCAACGCGCCGGACTGGCAGTTTCGCAGTCGTTCACGATGTCCCTCGTGCAATACGCTATCGGGGTAATTGGAACACTCAGTTCATGGGTATTGATGACCTACTTTGGTCGACGCACACTCTACGTCGGGGGGTTAGGCCTTCTAACAGTCGTCCTGTTAGTAATCGGCTTCGTGTCAATTGCACCATCGACATCGGCGATATCCTGGGCGACGGGCTCAATGCTACTGGTCTATACATTTATCTACGACTCGACTGTTGGACCGGTTTGTTTCTCACTTGTATCTGAGATGCCGTCGTCCAGACTGCGGACGAAGTCAATTGTTTTGGCAAGGAATGTGTATAACATTCTCAATCTTGTGACTGGCATTATTATCCCTTATATGCTTAATGTCGATGCTTGGAATTGGAGAGGGAAGTCTGGGTTCTTCTGGGGCGCTTTGTGTATTATCTGTCTTGTTTGGTCGTTCTTTAGGCTTCCGGAGCCTAAGGGGCGTTCTTATGCCGAGTTGGACATTCTGTTTGAGAATCGCGTTCCTACTAGGCAGTTTGCTACTGCTAAGACTGGGTTGGTTCAGGAGGATTTTAAGGAGGCGTCTGTTTGAGATTATAGTTTGTTGATATTAGTATATTGGATATAGTATTCGCCATATCAATTGAGATGATCTATCTTGTTTTAATACAACAGAGTTCATAAATTTGTATGCAGTGCCACTAACGAAGTTTTGGGCAGCACGAAAGCCTCGAAGCGAGCATACCGTTTCATGCATGTGTTCGACCTACTTTAGCCTCCCTTTTTTTCGCCTCTTTTTTGCTCATTTCGAATGCTCAGGTTCATCACGTATCATGTAGGTTTTATAAAGGTGGCCTACGACTGTAGCATATTGAGGTTAAACTTGGTTCCAAGGTTTAATTTACTGAGCATTCAGAGTTTCTGTTGCTGGATATTGATCTTGATTCTTCCAAGGTTCCAAGGTTGCTTTTGGCTCATTTGCAGTCACCATTGGTATAAGTTGTGAATCACCATCTAGTATGATCAGTCTACAGAAACATCTTCTTTGAACACTTGATTCTGCTGTATGCTGTTCGTACACTAAGAAATATTTGCAAAAAGAAACAAACGCATCTGAGTATAATCATTAAAAACCAGGTATACGCCACCTATGACAAGCAAAAAAAGAAAGAGAATTTTTTACTCCAGCCAGAGAGACTGGTTTATCAGTTATCCACCCAGAACTTCATGCGGATACCCATAGCAGCCAACTCAACATCCAAGTAGCGGAGCACACCAGGCACAGCAACAATCGTAACATTGTCACCACCAACAAAGCGCTGCCCATTACCATCCTCCCAGATCTCAGCACGGGAGTCATCAAAGACAGCCTCACGGGCACAACGACGACAACGCACAATACCAGCCACACCTCCAACAGCACCAACGGCGCCAGCAGCGTGAGAGTGACTCTGCTGGTTAGGAGCAGCCTTAGCAGCGGCGGCAGCAGCACCGGGGTTAATAGCAGCACGGGAACGGGACGAGCCAGAGACGGCGACCTGGGTGGAGAGGAAAGAACCACAAGAGCGACAGATCCAGGTATGCTGGGCGTCGGAGCAGTTCATCAGACGATCTTGCAGGAGGAAGGCGGCGCCGTGCGCAATCAGGGAATCACGCTCCATCTCTCCGACACGGATACCACCACCCTTGGCACGACCCTTCACGGGCTGGCCGGTTAGGGCGTTGACGGGACCAGTGGTTCGCACTTGGAACTTGTCGTTCACCATGTGACGCAGACGCTGGTAGTAGACCAGGCCCATGTAGATGTCGGCGGAAAATTCGCGGCCTGTGATTCCACTGTAGAGGGGCTCATTGCCGTAGTAGTTGTAGCCGGCTTTGCGGAGCTGCTCGCCGAAGTAGTCGGTTGCGGTGTTCTCTTCGGAGAATTGGAAGGGTGTTGAGTCTTGGGGGAGACCGTGCATGGCACCGGCCTTTCCGGCCATAGACTCGATCATCTGGGCGATTGTCATACCTGCGAAGTGTTAGATGTGTGGGTTGGAGGTATGGTTGATGTGGGAACTTACGAGATGGGAAAGCGTGAGGGTTGATAATCAGATCGGGCTGCATGCCGCTCTCGGAGAAGGGCATATCGACCGCAGGCCAGAGCTGTGATAAGACACCCTTCTGACCGTGACGAGAGGAGAACTTGTCACCAATGACGGGCTTTCGGGGAATGCGGTACTTGACACTGAGGGATTGCATGGGCTCGTTGCCATTCTCGGATCCCATGATACGAATGCTGTCGATATATCCCTCCTCAGCATCCTTGTACTTCATGTAGTGAGTGATACCGTCGACGTTGACGAACGAGTCGGAGGCAGGATCGAAGCGGACATTGTGCCAGGCGGCGATCTTGTCTCCCTCCTTGACGCGAGCACCCAGGTGAGGCAGTCCATCCTCGTCGAGGATGGCTCGCACCTGCTCCTTGATTTCGTCGCCGGGAGCGAATCCAAACAGCTTGGTGACATCGCGCTTGGACTTGCTGCGCTTGGAGTCGCCCTCGGCCAAGGTGTGAACCTTGGTCTTGTAGACTGTACCATGACCGAAGCCGCGCTCGTGGGCGGACTTGTTGATAATCATGGCGTCGTCCATGTCGTATCCGGTGTAAGAGATAATGGCAACAACTGCGTTCATACCGTTGGGGAAGTTGTCCAGACCGTAGGCGTTGTACAGTGGTGGCCGGACAATTGGCGTTTGACCGGTCTGAATGCGGTACAGCTTGTTGTCTGTACGGTATGCGATTGAGGTACCCGGTGTACCCATGGTCTGTTTGCTCATCTGACACTGGTACATGTTACGGGGAGATTGGTTGTAGTCGGAGAAGGGGGTCATGTTGGCGACGATTGACAGGATGTTGGTCGGGGTAAACTCGATGTGTGTTGAGAGACCGGGGATCAAATCAGACTCGACACAGGCAATCTCCATGAAGGGCTGCTCGAATGGACCCACGAAGTCCAGCTTGTCGGAAGCCAGATACTTGACAGGTCGGTACATCCTTGCGGACTGGGAGAACATGTAGACACCGGGGTATTGTCCACCGGCTGAGTTGGGGACGTATCCGACTTCCAATTCACGGGGGATGTTGTGCTTTCCTTCGACCTTCCAGTACCGAACGGTGTCGGCAATTCTCTGGGCTTGCTTCGGGGAGCAGTACCCAATAATTCGGCCATCCAACTGTACAACCACACTCTCGTCAATTGCCACAGAGGACTCGGATCGAATACCAAGCTGGACCAAAAGTCGAGGTAGGTGAGAGACTTCCAGGTCACCAGTAGAAATCAAACACTTGTGCGCCAAATGGTTAAGCAGACCACAAGGCGATCCATCAGGAGTGTGCACAGGACAAAGGAAACCCCAACTCTCCGGTAGCAGCTTACGGACAGTAGTAGTCTTCAATTGGGCGAAGAAACTACCACGGTGAATCATGCGGAAGTGACTGATGAAACGGTAGAAGTTGATCTTCTCAGCAATGACAGTGTAACCAGAGGTTTGCTGCAAATCAAGACCCGTAGGACTGACCAAGTTACCGGTAGAAAGGAAATACTCGAGCGCATTACCGATGTTCTCGTTGGATCTTTTGACAATCTTAGAGAGGAAGTCCCGCTCGAATGCTGAATCGGTGAATTTGGCACCGTTGTTGCGAATAGACCAGTCTCTAGCGATAGGTCCGAATGATCGAAGCCATTCCTCGATACGTTCCTTGAGGATCATACCGTACAGGAAGCCACCAAGCAGGATTTCTTGGTTGGAGACAGCATCGGGGTTGTCAGGGGCACAGTCACCTGCGACGGTGGAGTACAACTTCCGGATCATAAAGGTGATCATCTTGAACTTGTCCCAGTCCTGAGACTCCGTGACATTCTCGTTTCCAAGATGAGGGAGAACGACCTTGCGGAGAAACTCTGTGCCAACTTCCTCGTCGGGCATGTCCGCAGGGACACCGAGAACAGGGCGGAAAGCCTTACCCAGGTGGGACCGGCAGTCGTACTGGCTGTGCTTCTGGTAGGCGTGGTAGGTTCTCAGAAGAAGCTCGACTCGGTCTGTGACGAAGGTGTTCTTCATGCCCTTAGACTGGGCACCACCGACAATGGATTCGAAGATTTCGCGGTCGTTGGTCTCGGCGAGCGCCTTGAGAATCATCATCACGGGGATGAGATATTCGTTCTTGCGCCATGAGAAACGGAAGGTCACGTTTCCATCGGAGAGGTAGTGAAGCACATTGGTCTGCGATGTCTGATCGGGACGAACTGATCGTATTTGAACACCGAACTTTGTGTAAGACTGACCACGCTTCACGAATGAACCACGAATAATGGACATGGGGAAGTTGCGCTTGCCGACGATCAGCATACGGATCAGCTTCTCGTTACCGTTAACAATGTAGAAACCACCCAGCTCCTCAGACTCCTCCTTGTGGCGCACAAGCTCCTCGGGAGTGGCCTTCTCAAGGTGACACCGGTTGGTGCGCACCATGATGGGGACGTTGCCCAGCTCGCGGACGGACTCCATCCAGTCGCCATTGTTGACCTGGTACTCGAGACGAGCACGGAGCTTACCACGGTATGTTGCATGGCGCTCTCGGCATTCTGAGGGGTATATTTCACGGTTGCGGGTTGTGAACTTGTTTGTGGGGGGCAGGGTGGGCTTCTCGAGGAAGATTTCTCGCACGCGGACGTTCAGGCGGTTCCGCTTCGGTGGGCGAAGACCCTCGGCTTGACGGGCCTTTTTCTGTTCATAGGTCTCGAGCTCTCCATCGAGAAAAGTCTTGGTACCGATATCCCTCAATCCAGCCTCCATAATCTTGCTATCCTCGAAGAGTGCATTGAAAGAATCGATATGCGGCCGAATGGACTCGGCCAGCGACGGGTAGGCCGTGTGATCCGTGGGAGGATTCTGGAACAGGTTCTCCCGTCGCAGGGTGTCGTAGTCCACCGACCACTGGGTGTCTGTGGCGGCAGGGGCCATGGTGGAAACTCGCAGCTCTTGGCTGGTATGGTATAGATAAAAAAAAGCTTGCAAAGGTCACGGTAAATGGGGGAATGAAAATGGGATGACAATGTCAGGAATACAGTTCCACAGCCTCCCAAGAGTATAAAATGCTTGAACCCAAGGGGATTGAACCGACAATGGCAGCTGCCAGACGACAGAGAAGCAAGTCCGTTCCGTTCTGCTTGGGGAAATTTTTCGAGGTGGAACCGCGTTATCATCACGTGGTGATATGTAGTGCGGCCTGAGGCCACACTAGGCTGTCACGATTTGTCCTGTATCCACCCAATTGGAGATGTAAATGACTCTGTATTTCCATTACCCCTATTTCTCACTATTTATGGGTCCATTCTAGTTACATAAGCTATGCCGACGGATCATCTATAGACCCGGTTTCATGCAGTATTCGTAAGGTAATCGCGACATAGGCCATACTAACTTACAGTATGCTCCAAGGCTAACGGTACTTAAGTCTCCTGTTCCTGGTCCTTTGACGTTCATGTACCTGCTTATGTTCATATTCCTACGTAATTTACTGTATGTTCCTTAAGCCTAGATACGTCTGTAATTTCGTAGCCCCGGTATACACAATTAGATACAACACAATTAAATCAAATAGAATGACGAAATAGTTCCTACGCCACGGGTTCCAGCCTAAGCGCCTGAAAGTGTAGTTTTGACTTGCCGCGGGCGGTTATGTCCAAACCTCATCGGCTTCGACCCCACCTCTTTCATAAGCCTCTCCGCTGCTGGCAGCTGAGCTTGTTTTGATCTCTCTCCTTTTGTTTTTTGTTTTTGTTTTCATATTTCACCATGGCTGCCATTTTCCGCACTATCTATGACTGGCTTCTAAGAGTATTCTGGTAAGTGGACGGCCCATCCCAGAATGAAAGCCTGCTAAAGTATCCAGGGCCACGGAGATGGATGTCACCATGATCGGCCTTCAGAATGCCGGAAAGTCCTCACTGCTGCGTGTATTGGCGGTATGTTACCCCCTCTCCTCTCCCCCATCCTCGATATCAAGATCCCATGTATTTTCCATCCGAACTGAGTTGCTGACCGGGTGCAGGGCGGCGAGTTCACTGTCGAGTAAGTTATGTACCATCTAACCCAACCTGTCAGCTGTATCTCATCACGGTGTGTACTTGGCAGCTCGATCCCAACAATCGGGTTCAACACGAAAAGAGTCCAAAAGGGCCATGTGACCCTCAAATGGTATGTCCCTCCACCTTCTCAACAAACGACATCACTAATGTTCCTCTTAAGCTGGGATCTCGGCGGCCAGCCCCGGTTCAGGCCGATGTGGGAACGGTATTGCAGAGGCGTCAACGCGATCGTGTAAGACCCGTATCTCTCAGTTTCTCTCAGTCCCCTCTCCGGACACGGGACACGCTGACGCAGTGAGACAGGTACATCGTGGACGCAGCAGACCGCGCCGCGCTACCAGTAGCGACAGAAGAACTGCACGACCTAATGAAGAAGCCCACGCTGGACAGCATCCCGCTACTAGTGCTCGGGAACAAGTCCGATCTCCCGGAGAAGCTATCCGTGGATGAGTTGATTGAAGCGATGGACCTGAAATCCATCACTCATCGAGAAGTAAGCTGCTATGGGATTAGTGCGAAGGAGGAGACCAATCTTGATGCTGTCCTGCATTGGTTGATTCATCGGGCTAGTCGATGAAGACCGGGTTGTTTTGGGTCAGCTGTGATATACTTGACTTTTTCGACTCACGATATCCCTCTTGTACGTTTTGCGCTTTGGATGTCTTGCATTGTTTGGATTGTTTTCATATCCTGTAGACTCTAGCGTGTTTCTGTTGTTTTTGTGGCTTGCAGCGGATGTAACGACCTTGACGATGTAGTCTGATATTTGTGATTTGCATGTTGATAATGATACACCTTGGTTACGTTTCTCACTCGACTCGGTTTGAAGTCTGATCTAGAGGCGACTTCGTAGAACTGGGGGAAATTGACAGATAAATAAGTTGAAACACGGGCCACCCTGCATGGATGCGCTGGCAGCCAACGCATAAGTACAGCCAACAAGTTAACGTTAATACAGGCCTCGGAGGAACCCCGTGTCTACACAACATGTCATGTTATTCTCAAATCGAGAAATCAAGTGGCATTAGTCGTACACAAAAATATCTAAGATCGGTTTTGTTGGCCAGAGCAAGTGTGCCTATCCTTTCGCGCCCTAGATAGCGCAAGAACGCCCGTAAACATCAAATCAAACCAGATTAACAGGACTCAGATGCGAAGATGCGAGATCATTTGCAACGCTTCTCCACGATGTTAGGTCCATGTTCCTCGTACTCCTTCTTCGAGATCCACATCTGGTGGAAGGTTCCCAGACTGGCCAGGATACTTCCTCCGATCCAGGATCCGAAGCGCCGCTCAGAGGTGTTACCAGGGGCAGTGACACGAACTCTGGGGCCAGGGAACATCTGCATCAGCTCGTGGTTCAGACGGTCCGTGAAGCCATAGAGCAAGCTTGAGCCGCCAGTCACAACGACATTGGCCAACAAGTGGGGACGGATATCCACATCAACACCGGCCAAAGAGGCCTTGATCAATTCTGGAATAGTCTGGGCGGGAGTCGGGGGAGCGAAAGAGGATTCGGGGTCGGGAATGGCAGCTTTGGCATCAAACAGCGATTCCACCACGCGGAAGCGCTCGACACCAAAGACTTGGTTGTAGCCATCGGGGAACTCGAAGGGGCGGCCGGGGGAGGTACGGGCCATATCCTCGTTGGAAACGCCTGTGGGACCCAGGGCAGAGAGTCTGGTCGGTCCAGGCCACACCTGAACAACACATTCCTTGAACTCGCCCAGTGTGCGCTCCTCGAGAAGAGCGCGGTATGACGCATCGGGTGCCTTGTCGGCGGGGAAAGTCTTGTATTTCGCCTGGGGTGTCTGGCCAGCTTCGACGGCAGCCTTTGCGCTGATGAGGTAGTGCGGCGTAATTGTGATCGGTTGCGGGGAGTTAGATTTGAACAATGCGTTGATCTGCGATGAGATGTAGTCACCTCCAAGCGGGGAGTGTTGCACACCACGCTTCAGGATCATGCCATCGTGGATTGGGGTAATGGAAATGTTAGAAGCGCCAATGTCGACTACAAGGGCGGAGGCCTTGCCGGAAGCAAAACTACAAACAAGTCAGCGAATAATCAACACAGCGGATAGGCCCAGTACATACGCAGCAAGAACACCAGTGCGCGCCAGATAGAAAGCCGGGGTATCCCATTTCTCCATTGCGATTTCAATAGTCTTCTCACGCGCCTTGGCCGGGTTCCAGCCAGGCTCCGTCATCAACAATGGGCTGTCCGAGAGAGGCTTCTCATCCGACTCCACCTCCATCTCTGTTGGCAGCTCTTCGCTAGGAATGTCGTTCAACCCATTCTGGAATGGGTTGCCTGGTTTCGTGCCGGTGAGTCGCGACGTGAATGAGTGCTCCCACACCTTCTCTGCCATATCCCAATCCTCGACGATTCCATCCTTGTTGATGGGGTTGTGGATAGACAGACCGGGTCGCGGGGTAACGAAGATATCATCGCCGTAGATAAGCTTTTCTTGCCCGTCGGCGTTGTATTTCCCGTAGTAGGTAGGGATCAGTGACTTGGGGGCATCTTCACCTGCGAAGCCTGCGCGAGTGGTTGCGTATCCTGGGTCCAGGACAATGGCGGACACCTCGTCTATACACGTGGGATTAGCATTTTGCAGAGCGGTGCCAGTCCAATTACTCAGATCGCAGTTGGCGCAATTGGCATGGTATTAGAATCACGTACCTCCGCCATACTCGGCAGCTTGAGGTGGGTTGGAAGGGTTCATTGCGGTTGCGCAGGGATGTTGAGGGTATGGGTCGCGGTCGCGGTTGTCTTATACAACAATTCTTGACGAGAGGGCCAAATGTCCGTTCTCATTCGAAAGCGACGAACAATGGAAGGGGCTGGTTTGAGGCAGGGAAGGGCCGTCTTTTTGCAGTTGTTGGCTTCAGCTGTCTTGGTTGATTGGCATCACCTGAGAGCTTAGTCATATGCATCAGGTCACGTGGTTATATATCGGCTTCAATCCCGCTATTCATTCGAAGACATTACATCAGGTTATTGTTTGATTGCAGGGACTTGATACAGATATGCTTTGCCTAGTTTTATGCGTGTTGCGTTGTGTTGTTGATATGTGATGATCGAGTGTCTGGGGTCAGCCATATATATTTACGATGTTGAGATCAAGAATGAGACATCTTGAACCCATTTTGGAATTTTCACGCCCATGCCGAAGAATAACTTGTCTACAGAGAGCCCAAAGGATATTAGATATCGACACCAGCTAGAAAAGCCTAAATATTTGGTTTTTAGCAAACCAGCGACCTCTCAGGACAAGGCCAGAAGGCATATCTAAGTATACCAATAACCTTGGGGGAGCCGCCTTGCCTATAGATACATCTCAATAAATCTAGTTACTTGTGACAGAGAATCAGCAAATTATGCAATATCATGATGGTATCTTGTAGGTATCGACTAAAAAAATACATGCCACATAAAACGAGACATTAGTATCATACAAAGGGCTCATTTGCCCAAAAGGAACATGACAATCATTTGTGTCCCGGCTTTGTCTGCGTTTCCCGCATAGCAGCTCTGGCACTCCGACTGCCTCCCAGCTTTGGTCCCCGAGGCCCCTCGGCAACCTTGGGTGCAGGTTTTGTCGTCCGGCGACGGGACTGAATTGCATCCATAAAGTCTCGTCGAAATTGCTCAGCGATTCTATCATCAGCAGCTTGATCATCTAGATGTGTTTCATCCTCGGGATCTTCGTAGACATCCACTATAACGGCCAGAGTTAGCAAAGACCCTTCAAAATTCACATTTGGGTACCACACACATTTGCTTTCGCGTAGGACTTCTTCCACAAGACGATCTCTTTCAATGTCCGCATCTGTCCTCTGCTTGCGATTCCGCCAAGGCTTCCCATCCGGACCAGAGCGACTTGTCCCCGGTACTGTGGTTTCTCTCGGTGTCGGCACGTCTTCTTCTCCTGCAAGCTTCCGAGTCGCAGCTTCCGTTCGTGCAATGTTCCGCAATGTTGCTTCGTGGCCGAGATCGATTTCATGGAGTTTGCCGAGGGACGCAGGCTCGCGTTGTTTCTGACCGGGCACTGATAACCCGCTGGCTGTCTCTTCGTGCTTTGCTTGGCTGGCATCTGAATTCTCTGCCTGGAGCTCAGGTTGGTAGCGTTTGGCCATCTCGGAATCTATGTATGCCATCCTTATCTCGTTAGTCCACATCGAACGGATCGGATATCAATTGTAGCAAGGGTTCATACATGTGCCTGTCGACATCCACAGTCTGGCCAGTATATCCAGTGAACCGTTCATTCATAGCTTGGATCTTCTCTTGATCCGGATCTCCAGATGCTGGCCCGAGGGCTAGTTGTCGGCTTTGTTCATCTCCTAGTCGCGATGTGGTAGAGAACCCGATCCCACCCTTTCGGATTGGACGTAAGCGCCGGCTCGCAGCAGGTTTTGTGGTGATAGGGGCGTCGGCCTGCGATAGCCTGCCGGGACTTAGGTTGTTTTGGTTTGCAGGACTGGGGGCAAGATCGGCGTCGGATGTTTCTGGGGTTTCATGATCGGGACGTCGGCGCATGAACTTGCGCTTTTTAGCTGGGCGAAAGAGGGATTCATGCATAACGTCTGGTTCTGTATTCATTGGGCTTTGCTGTACAAACTTGGGAAGGCAACAAAGGAAAGAGTTCAGGACAGCAACGTGAGGTCATTAGGAAGGAAGTTTGTTATTGGTTCAATCACAGACCGCTCTACTATTCTGCCTGTGTTCCGACTTCCAATGGACTTTGTCAATGACCATTTATATGGGACTACCTTAGTTCAGCTGACACTACTTGCGACAGCAAAACAGACAGGCCTTGATGTCGCATTAAGGAGGGGCGTGCTACATGTCACTGTACTGGAACTCTGTTGGGGCATTCCAATTTGAGCCTCTTATGATGCGCTCAGGCTCAGCCTCGGATACAAAGCTTAGGTACTTATTGGGATGCCTCCTAGGTGGATTTTCACAGATTACAGTTAGAATTTCTGTACTGAAGTTTCAAGGCTTCATGTTCTCATTGAAATTATTCCATCTAGACTGACTCCGGCCTAACATTGGACACGCAAAACCTGGAAGTCCGGCCCTATTGGCAATGATTCTGTGATATGATTATGGATTAGGCACAATTACCCTGATTCAGCTAGCAACTATCCTGGCGTTGGCAATTGAAAACTTCTGATTGGTACCTCCATGGTGCAAACTTTGGATGATATACATATACGCGAATTGACTACAACTGGATGACTGGGGTGAGTATCTCTTTTCTGCCCTGCCATTTGAATACCAGAGACTCTTGCCTGGTACTAACTATTCCAAAGCCCCACCTAGAAACCTATGAACTTTATCATGATTTCACGGTGGGGGTTTGAGGGCTTAGCTATACTGGAACATGCCTTCCTACTTGCGACCTAGGTTTAATAAGGATCTTAACCTCACTATATTGATGTTAAGTTGATTATGGCCTAGTTGGACATATAAATGATATCCACACAATCGTGATAGCGCTTACCGACCGACTTACCTGTACGGCTCATTCCTCTCATATATCAACCATATGTTTGCAACTTTAACGGATATACCTGTGTCTAAACGATGTTTCTCTCTGACGGTGAATTGCATCTACGAGCTTTGCCTGGTACTGACTTCCTATGCAAGTTCCGAAAATGGGGAACCAGTCATGAAGCAAAGTCATCAGAAGACAATAGCTGCAAGTATAAATACTTCATTTTGGTCAGTTTGCTGCCTTGATTTATACATGCCGCAATTATCATGGTATTAGAATGGAGTCCAGACCCGCTCAGGTTCAGCTATATGCGTCCTGGGAGTGTGCATCATACCGCCAGTATCCTACGAACCAAAGGGGGTCCTACCACTGTTTAGCGTACTTATGTCAAGATACTACGAACCTTCGAACCAAGCTGCCCCCAGGAAGATCAAGAGTACGGAAGATATCGGAGATATGCCTGGATAATCATGAAGTCAAACCAATGTCTAGAAACTATTTTCCAATATATTTCCAGCCTAGCGTAGCTCAACAAGGAAGGTACTCCGGGACTCTTTCTCGCTATGTAGTCATTCATTCTGACGGCATAATGATGTGACAAAGAAGAGTTCAAAGTTAGTTGACAAGTGGTGTGTGCACGTACCTAATCGCTCTGGGGAAACCAGAAGCCGGGGCACCCGAAAAAATACTGCGCTCAAATCGAGTTATGCTCATCTTTGCACCACCTCGTAGACCACAGAAAATGGGGCCGAACGGTCTCGAACTTCGGGAAATTGCGATCTTAACGTCGACGCGGTCTCCGCATCTTAAGAAACTTCTTTGTTGATGACCTCCACTTGTCTCCGCGTATAAAAGGTCGCACGTCATATTGACTTAGGGTCAGGGCCTCCCGAAGGGTGATGTCGGAAGGTCAGCTCCAGATGTATCAAATTGATACCATAATTGGCTCGGATGCCCTTTGAATGACCTGATAAGTGGGGGTACGAAGGCTAAACGAATGGAACTCGAAAATAACCCGGGCAACTCGGCGTGCTGGGGCAATCAAAATGTGAAAGACAAGCCCCGTGGGGGCCAGGATCAACATTTGCGGAGATCGGACATTTGGAGAACACTCGGGATGAAGCGAAGATTGACAATGTCTCGGTATCGCGTAAGGCGTTACAGGGATTACAAGGATAGACAGGACGCGAAGTGATGGGACTTGAAAGTATTCCAAGTCCTGATGGTTATAGCAGTTGAAGCCCACGGCAAAGCAAAAGCGGTGACATGACTCGGGCCGGTAGAATCGGAGTCTGATGAAAACTCCCACTCTGCCCGTTAAGGGGAACCTCGTCCTATCCCGACCTCAACCCGGGGCCCCGGGATGTACCCCATCTCCGAATCTTCAAGTCTCCACCCGAGATGAGGTGGCCCAAGACAGACTTCTGTTTCGTTTGCGCAATTCGATTACTCAACCTTATGCCATTCGCCATTACCAATCACTATCGCTCACACCAAAACACATTCGGAAAGTGACCGAGCTGGGTGGGGATTGTGTAGGGCTTGAGCCAAGCCGCCAAGCATGTCCACGTTTTCTGGGGCGCAGGCACACCGAAACAAGCCAGAGACAAGCCTTGAGAGCCTCCGATTTCTGGCCCGAGTTAGGCAATGACCGACCGAAACCCCACGCTTGACGCCGAGAGCCAAGACAGAAGCTGCGTTTCCCCGGCATACGATGGTGTCAACGGAGAATATTTTCCGCCCATATCCCGGCCCCCCTTCAACGAGAATTTGTTGCGAAGGGACCTCTGCCGGATACCTCCGATTCTCGCAGGATGATCCTCTGACCAAGGTCAGCCCGCCAGCCCGCCACACCCCTGATTTTCGGCTCCCATCCGTGGATCAGGCGTCTGTTGGCTCGGGAGTGGCAAACCGGCACAGCTCTCTCACCGGGGATCAAAACCTTACCGTGGAGTCGGCGCTGTGACCGAGTCACATTCGAGTTTGAAAAACCTGACCAGCAGCGGTGGGCACATAGATCCACTGTGGACTTTTGTGTCCTCCCACGGCCAGAAATTAAAACGATTACATGATGCGGGGTCTCCACGGCGTGAGCAAAGGGACCAAGGGTATAAACCCGTAGGCGAGACCGACCTTTCCTTGAGTTTTTTTCCTTGCCAGAGTGACTTTCCTCTACTCAGCTATCTATCTCGGCCATGTTGTTTCGAGGTAAAGCCCTGCGCGTAGCGCAGGCATTGCTTATCGTTGCACCTGCCTTCATCGTTTTCGGTTATAACCAGTCAGGCTTGGGCCCTCTCGCTACTCTCGAGAGCTGGGTGGAGGTGTTCCCAGAAATTGACACCATTGACACCGAGGGCGCTGTGCGTGCAACAAACTCTACAAAGAAGGGTGCCGTTATTGCATCCTTCCAACTAGGTGCTCTGGTTGGAGCCCTGTCCTGTACATGGTTCGGTGAGCGTCTCGGTCGCCGCTGGACCATTTTCTTGGGTGCTATCCTCACTATCATCGGCCAAGTGCTGCAGACCGCAGCCTATGGCCTTCCTCAATTCGTCGTCGGCCGTGTCATTCTCGGATTTGGTGTTGGCCAATTCAGTGTTGCCGTCCCTGTGTGGCAGTCTGAGTGTACATCAGCCAAACATCGTGGACAGCACGTTGTCGTGGATGGTATTTGTATTTGTTTAGGTTATGCTCTATGCAATTGGATCGACTTCGGTCTGAGTAAGATCGACGGTTCATTGCAATGGCGTGTCCCGCTAGCTATCTCTTTCTTCTTCTCTCTGGTTGTCCTCGTTTCGGTCTTCCTCCTCCCCGAGTCTCCTCGTTGGCTCGTACGTGTCGGCCGCATCGACGAAGCTACCAACAGTCTGGCTGCCTACAAGGGGTTGCCTGATGACGATGAGGCCGTCCGTATTGAGATCTCCGGTATCGAAACCTCCCTTGAAGTTTCCGTCGACAGCGCCTCGCTTAAGGATATCTTCAGCTTCAGCAAGCCTGACGAAGAGCGTCTGCTATACCGATTCTGCCTTTGTGTCGCACTGCAATTTTTCCAGCAGATGTGTGGTGGTAACCTGATCTCAACCTACGTTTCAACCATCTTTGAAGAGAACCTCCACATGGACAGTGACTTGGCTCGCATTTTGTCCTCGTGCGCGATGACCTGGAAGTTCCTGTGCAGTTTCATTGCCTTCTTCGCTATTGACCGTCTCGGTCGCCGAAAGATCTTCATGATCTCCGGTGCTGGTATGTCGGTCTGCATGATGGTTCTCGCCATCACCAACAGCTTCGGCGAGAACCACACTGCCTCGATTGTGTCGGCGGTATTCATCTTCCTGTTCAACTCCTTCTATCCCGTTGGTTTCCTCGGTGGTAACTTCCTCTACTGTACCGAAGTTGCTCCTATGCGTCTTCGTGTCGCTATGTCCGCTATCTCGACTGCGAACCATTGGTTGTGGAACTTTGTCGTTGTCATGATCACCCCCGTCGCTCTCGATACCATTGGTTACCAATACTACATTGTGTATACCGTTATTTCGGCCCTGATCCCCATCTCGGTCTACTTGTTCTACCCTGAGACCATGAACCGCAATCTGGAGGCTCTGAACCATGTCTTCCGAGATGCACCCACTCCATGGGACATTGTGTCCATGGCTCGTCACTTACCCCAGGGTGAGGCTGCTGAGGTGGACGTTTGGATGACGGAGGAGAAGGGAGCCATCGAGCAAAAGGAGCTTGCTTAGAATATAGCTTAAATCGTTGATTTTTGGCGACTGTATATATGCTTTACGATGATGAAACTCTACTTTTAGAGTACAATGAACGAGTAATTTTTTTCCAAAACATGGAGTGTTTCACAGATTCTACCACACTATCTACGGAATACTTTCACTTCACCCTCTAGCTTTCCGCCCAAAGTCAAAATTATTGTGTGAAAAATCTCTGTTTATCACGTTGAGATGCCCCCATGCTGCCCCCACCAGTGGATCAAGACACAAAACATCGTTCCCACAAGTAAACTCCAATCAATAGAGAGATGATTATCCCAATTAAAAAAAAAAAAAAAAAAAAAAAAACAAATTCCTCCAACATCTAGCGCCTCTTAAAAACCAACGGACATTCATCCTAGAGAGAAAAGTTAGCCGGCATGCCCAACAAAAAAGGTCACCGAGAAAATCCCGGTGAGCAAAAAAACCAACCATTGGAAACAAAGTAGCAAAAACCCGAATTTCCTCCGACCTGTCGGTAGCATGATGCTCCCAATCGAGCTCTAGCGCCGCTTTCCCAATCATACCAGCCATAGAGAGCGGCACATACTTCCTCGCCAGACAATCATGAGGCCCCGCCCCAAACACCAGCCAGTTCTTAGTCTTGGACTCGGCATCCCCGGATATCCAACGCTCCGGGTCGAATGTGTCGGGATTGGGGTAGACGTTCGGGTCGTGCAGAGCAGGATAACAAGACGGGATGATCATCGAGCCCTTCGGGACGGTGTAGGAGGGTGTCACGGGGAAGTTCTTCGTTGCTAGGTAGGGGACGAAGATGACAGGGGGTCTGTGGCGGAGAAGTTCTTTGATTACTGCGTTTGTGTAGACGAGGGACTCTAACATTGGTAGATCGAAGGGTTTGGTTTTGTCGCCGCCTCGTGCTGCGAGGTTCTCTTCGCGGAGTCGGTTTAGGACGTCCGGGCGTTGGGCGAGGATTTGGAAGAGCCATGTTGTTGCGCTGCTTGAGGCGTCTTGGGATGCGAAGAGGAAGGTGAATAGTGTTTCACTGATTTCTTCGTTGGTGAATTCACGGATCATGTTCGTTGGCTTTTCTGCGTTTGTTTCGCCTGCTGCGACTTTTTCTTGATACTCTTTCGAGTTTAGCATGTGAAGTACCCAGTGGTCTACGATGCATGTGGGTGTCGCGCCGGTTGCCATGTTTTCTTTGCATGCTGCTGCACATTTTGCGAATTCGACGTGGACGGCATCGGCTGTTCGCTTTCCCAGCCAGGGCTTGGTGAATGGGATGTATAGAGATAGGGGAACATTGACTAGCTCCAGGGCAGCAGTCGCAAGGTAGAAATCGTCTGCGATCTTTTTGACTGCCGCTTGGGAGATGTAGTCACCGAAGAACGTCCGCAAGGAAAGAGCACAATTGATCTCGCGGAACATGGCCATGAAAGGAAGTGGCCGTCCCTTGTTGGCCTCGCTGGCGGCAACGAACTTATCGAAGTAGTCGGACAATACTTTCTCTTGTACTGGGAGGTAGGTAGAAATGGCCCGGTTTGTAAACAGAGGGGTTAATCCTCGTCTATACTCGGCGTGTGCTTTTCCTTGGAGAAATACCCATGATTTGTGTCCGAGGATATCTTTCGCGATCGGTACAATGCATGGCTCGGCGTAGGAGGGCGATTTGAAGACCTTGTGGGCGATGTCTCGGTCAGAGGCCAGGACAACGAATCTGCAGGGCTATGTTAGTGCACGTACGAGCAGATACTTCGTCGGCAAGTTCAACCATACTTGTGGAAGACTGATACACAGCTCAGCGGCCCACTGGCCCACTGTTCAAGATACGCGTCGAATTTGGGATGGAGTGCCTGGATGAACGGACCCATGAGTGGTATCTTGAGGGGAGGACCGGCAATAGAGCCCTTTCGCTTGATATACATCACTGGATACATTAGCTGGATTCTGATAACATCTAGATTGGTGATCCCTTGTTACCTTGGTCGTAGACTACCACGGCAAGTAGAAAGGTCACGACATATTGCCAGGTAGACCATCCTGCAAGAGAGCCCAGCCAGCTTCCAGCCTGTTGAGATGAGTGAAGAAGTAATGTCCGCGACTCAAGTTGCGGGATTGACCCGTTGGAGATATCGGCAGCCATCTTGGAGACCTTGGGACTTTCTGACAGATACTGGTGTAGAGAAAGAAAATGGGACAAACAGGCATTGATTGAGCTAAATAAGGTGGATCTCCCTAGCATATCAGGGGCACATCAAAAGCGAGGGTTTCTACAAACGAGGGACCTAAATTGCTCTCGTTGTATGGCTCCATTGCAATCGTGTAGGGCAAGGCCTATTTAGGACTAGACTCCGAAGTCAATCGGGATCTAGTCCTGTTCGGGTTAGCGCATGGTTGGTAAGTATATGCCGAGATGTGTTACAATTGGAATATTGAGGGCTGCGAACTGATACCAAGAGAAATTTGGTGATTGCGAGCAAAACTCTCCATTCTACAAGCAAACCGTCCACTTGGAACATCCATTGATTTGTTGCCTCTAGATCCGACGCGCGAGACAGGTCGAGGGCAAAGGCGGTGTGTTATAGACTGGGAAGTCTATTCCGCTGACACTCTCCTTATTTTAATGGCTCAATTCCACAGCACAGTCTCGCTGCTTCAAAATGCCTCAATCACTTCGTCGAAGTTGTGCGGCATGTGCTAAGGCGAAACACAGCTGTGACCTCCGTGCCCCGCGCTGCTCTCGCTGTATTAAACGTGAAATCCATTGTGTCTATGCAAATATACCATGGAACGTTACGGCAACGCCCGGTCCGCACGACAGATTAGCCAGTGCTCTCGATACAACCAGCAGTTTAAGCTCCAGAATTGGGTCCATTGATCCCTTTGATTCATATCCACAGACCAGACTTCCTCGCGCACAAGTCCAACGCCTCATCCATAGCTGTACGTACGCCTTTAATCCACGTCGATCAAAACTAAGACCACACGTACAGTCCTCCATAAAATTGCATTTCAGTACTACCCCCTTGACCTGAACGCAACCTCAAATCCATTCCTCATCTCTTGGTGGCCACTGGCTCTGGGCGACCCGGCACTGTTTCATGTATCGCTGCAGACGGCATGTCTCGACGAGGAACGCCTGGCCCAAAAAGGCTTCCAATCCTCTGAAATACTCATGGCAGACTCCGTGAGTCTGCTCCGATCTAAAATTGGCGATATGTCCCTTGCTGTACAAGACGGGACTATGAACTCTGTCATCACCCTGGCTACGATTGAAGTGAGACGTCCCGAATTCTTACTTTTTTAACCCGACCACTGACATTTTTCTATTTAGTTTGGGAAAGGGAATACCGAAATTAGCGAAATGCATGTGAATGGAGTTAGGAGACTGGTGAATATGAGAGGCGGCATCAATTCAGTGCGACAAACCAGTCCGCTGACCGCGCGAATGATTAGCTGGTAAGATGGCATTTCATCACTTGCGTTATCTATGTTACTGACATCCCTCCAGGGTGTCCATGCTTATAATGGGTCATCCCCAATTCGAGACCCAGGATGATGCCGGAATTGGAGATGGTATCCCCCCAATTCCCGAATGGCAGTTGGACTGGATCGCCCTATCCGAGAACCTTTACGATATCAGCGACCTTGACATTGACGATGAAGTCAGGAATGTCTTTACCCGCCTCCGCAACGTCTTCCAGTGGGCTCAGCAGATACCATTCCCAACCACCAGGCTTCATGATCTCACCTGTTTTGTCGTACATCGACTGTTGCTGTCAACACCGGGCGCAGACAACACCAAATCCTCCCCAATAACTGAATGCATTCGCTACGCCATTATACTCTATATGTTCCTCATCCAAGGACCAACATATTACCCGCATGCAGTCATGATGGACATGATCGTCACCCAGCTGATGGGTCATCTAAACCAACTCGAATCGATACATCGGATATATGATTCTCTTGATATCTGGATTCTTGCAATTGGAATGGTCGCATCAATGGGTACAACGAAATATCCACGGTTTAAGGAACGAGCACGGGTTTTGAGCACTTCTCTACGGCTGGAAACTTGTGACGACGCTCTCTTCCACATAAAGAGAGTCCTTTGGTTGGAGATATTGCAAGGTGAAAATGCGTTTCGGCCCCATTGGGATTCAATCATTGGTAAAGATCCGCTCGAGCCTCCATCCTATACAATTTATGCCTCGTCAAGCCGTGCTTTACTGAGCTGATCAAATCGCGCAATCTAACCCAGCTACCAAGTGGTTGGTCCAATCAGACGAAGGAGAACCATGTTGGTTTGGCGAGACTGGTCATCTGAAGGCTCCTTTATAGGGGCAAGACACTGATCAAACGAATTGTGCTCTTCACAAAGCGTCAGATTAGACCAAGATCCCTGACCTCCTATGGTTCCAGATCCTTGACAGAAGAACATGTCAGAAAACGGGATGCAACCCATCAAATCACTATTGAAGTGCAGCTTCCGGGTTTCATGCGAACAGGACCTGTCCATGCCCCAATTAGACATCATGAAGACCTTACGAATCGGTGGCATCCAAGTCTCTAGCGCCTATGCATGGCACGAGGAAGGAAAGACAGGACAGCCACCAAATCATCCTCAAGGACATCCCAAGAGACGTGATAAAACTTGAAGCCAACTTTGAGAAACTCGAGATCGTTACTGGAATGCAGGGTTTTTAATGCAGGACGCCATATGCAAAGAATTCAGCCTAAGTGCCCACACATTAAATGAACCGGAAGAGATGCAGGAAATTCCTCTTCCATCAAGGGAGATTAGAACAACACGTTGCACACCCCAAGAGAAAGTGGCTTTTAATACTGACCGGTGCGTCCGGTTCACGTGGGTACCATTTGCAATGCAGAAAAGAGATGGCGCGATAAAGGAGAGGCGTGCCACCCTATTGAGCCAATAAAAATAGAGTATGCGATTAGACGACCTCTTAGTGCCAAAGCCAGATCAATGCGATTTCATGTCTGCTCGCTTGTATTGCCTCTAAATTGACGGTCGCGCAATCGCCCCTCGCGCAGGGAGGGTTACAGTGGAAGAATGGCGAATCGTGGCGTTATCACTTATCTGTAGGGAAACCTAAGGAACTCGGCACTTGACTATTCGTGGGGAACGAATAAACATCGTCAGAATGTTGGCCCTAAATTAAGTGTGGCGCTGGCCCGACGGAGCCCTGTTTATACTCCGTCTGCACACGGGGTTTTCCAAATGCCTTTGAATCATGTCGACAGCTAATGCTAATGGGACAATAGATGAGTGATTCAAAACATTTCTATCGACATTGTTTTTTGTTTCATGGGCCTATTAGCCTCGTTCGAATCTCTCTTCTGCCGCGATGGAATTCAAGGTTGGGGCTAACTAATAAATGCCGCGTCGCCGCAATGCCACAGAGTAGCACCAGCATCTGGTGCGGCAGCCAGCCCAATTGTGGCAAAGATAGGCTCAAATATGTCTGCATTATCGCGTTAATCGGAAAGAAGATATTGGTTTACCCCGAGAAGGAAGAAAAAGTGAGATTAACCGGACTTCAAAGATAGGCCCGGGCTTCGGCGTGCTACCTGGATGGGGACAAGTTACAATGTAAGTCGTTATCGCCTGAGAAATTTAGAGAATTAGCCTTCCAAACTGGGTAAGTGTGATTGCCTCATTTCCGTACTTTGTGGTATCAGTCCCGTTCATATAAGAAGCGCGTGCAAGTACCAGTCTCAAATACATTCTCGAGTTCTCTGGACAAGCAGCAATAGACCATGTCACCGATCATGGCCGAGTCTACGGGCATAAGCCTGTCCGACTCCCAGGACTCTATCCAAGAAAAGTCCGCGGTCACTGTCGCCACTGAAGACACACCAAAAGGCAGTGAAAACGACCCTAGCGGCGAGAACGACATCGAAAACGAGGATGCAATTATCGTCACGGGTGCAGATGCTGCTTTGCATTTGCTACCACTGCGAGACGACTTCGACAATGTTCTGACTTTTCGAAGTATCCTCCTGGCCTCCGCTCTGGCTTGTTTCCAAGCTGTGATGTATCAGATTTATCAAGTGAATAAACCTTATTCTTTGCTATACTCCCCAATCTTTCTGACAAAGTGATTTCCAGTTCAAACCGACCATGATCACAATCCAAGGAACTTTTATCGTACTCATCGCTTACTTCGTGGGAAATGCCTGGGCGAAATTTCTTCCACGCGGGGATGCGTACGAAGCTCGCTGGAGGGCAAAAGGGGGCCAGGGAAAAATGCCTTGGTGGATTCTAGCTCTCAAGTTTTTAAATAATGGGCCGTGGAGTCTAAAGGAGCACTCGATATGTGCAATCACTGCGACGTCAGCTTCAAATGCTGCAGCAGCCTCGACAGTCTTTGCGGCACAAGATCTCTTCTATAACGTTCCCCTTAGTGCGGCCACCGTCATTTTGAGCACCATCTCTATTGGTCTGTTTGGATACGGGCTCTGTGGAATTATGCGTCCTATCGCTGTCTGGCACACCGAGGCCGTCTACTGGAGTACTTTGCCTACTGTAAAGACCCTCCAGGGCCTTCATTGGCAACAAGTGAAGAACTCAAAGCCACTCAGATATTTCTGGTATGCCTTCACCGGGATGTCTCTCTATGAAATTATTCCTGCCTACATATTTCCGTGGCTTAACTCTGTCTCTATTCCGGTATGTGACATCAAAATCACCAGAAAATGCTCGTTTTTCGTTGGTCTAACCAGAAGCGCAGTGTCTGGCCGCACAAAAGGCGACGGGCAGCAAGGGTGCCGTACTCAACAATATCTTCGGTGGCTCTACCACAAACCAGGGCCTCGGTCTCTTCTCTCTTTCTTTCGATTGGCAATATGTAAGTAGTTATTTCGCACAGGTGCATCTTGTAGCAACAAGGCTGACCCCTACAGATCACATCCTTTCAAACATCTCTACCTTTGAAATTGCAGCTTCACCAGGCCGCAGGAATCGGTGCCTGTTTTATCGCCATGATCGGAATCTATTACGGGAACGGCTGGAATGCGAGATCGCTGCCATTCATGTCAACAAAAATGCTCATGACCAACGGTACCAGGTACCCGATAGATGACGTATTCCCCGGCGGTGTTCTCGATGAAGTCAAATTGTTCGAATACGGTTTGCCGAAGTTGACGGGAACATTTGCATTTGCTATGTTCATGGCAAATGCTGCAGTATGTTTTCTATCGAACTTTCTTCCTCACACGCTGACCATGCTCTAGATCGGTGCTCTAATTGTTCATTGTATCCTCTTCTGGGGCAAAGATATTCGACGGGCATACAAAAGTGCCAAAGAAGGGAGGTATGACGATCGCCATCATACGCACATGACCAAACACTACACAGAAGTACCGTGGTGGTGGTATGGTTTGATCCTTGTGGGCAGCTTCGTTCTCGGTATTATTGTGGTTACGAAAGAGCATGTTACTCTGCCTGTGTGGGCGTATGTGGTCGCCTTGATTGTCGGAATCATAATTGCACCCTTCGTGAGTACCAAGCAAAGCGTCCGTGGGCCACCTCTAACAAGACCACGCTCTAGAGTACCATCCTATATTCCCGCTATGGCAATGGAATTGCTACCAACAATCTATCAAAAATGCTGGCAGGACTCATGATTCCCGGGCGTCCGGTCGGTAATATGTACTTTGCTGCTTGGTCGCACAATGTTATCAGCAATGCAGTCAACCTGTCTAATGATTTGAAGATGGGTGAATACCGTAAGTGGTCTCTGCTTTCAGTTTCGATTCCAATCTCGAGCCGACATTGATATCATATCTACCTAGTCAAAATTCCTCCCCGCATCATGTTCGTCACCCAAATTTACGGCACTATACTTGGTGGCTTCATCAACTACGCCGTTATGATTTCTATTGTGTCTGGTAACCGGGATCTTCTCGTCGACAGCAACGGAAACTCATCTTGGAGTGGTGCGACTATACAAGCCTTCAATAGCAATGCAACCTCGTGGGCCCTTGCATCATATCTATACAAGACGGGGCGCCAATACTCTATGGTACCTATTGGTATAGTTATCGGCGGCGCTGCTGTGGTTGTTCATCGGCTCTTCTATCAAGTATTCACTCCTCAGCCATCTCTCTTCTACCTAAAGCCGAAGCTGACCCATATTCCGTTTCCAGTTTGTACCAAAGATCGGGAAATTCGATGTCGCCGAGCTGAACATGGCACAATTCATTCAATATGCTGGATATATCCCATACAACCAAAGCCAGACCTGTGTTCTCTTCAGCTGGATTCTCAGCGGTATGTATGTCCAGTACTACCTCCGGAACTACCGACCCCGCATCTTCAAGGACTACTCATATCTCATCACTGGTGCCTTTGATGGGGCCAGTCTTACGGTCCTTTTCATTCTCTCCTTCGCTGTCTTTGGGGCCGGTGGAATATCACATCCGTTCCCAACGTGGTGGGGGAACAATGCCGAGGGGAATTACGATTGGTGTCCCACGGAGTAGTGAATAGGGCAGTGGGGTCGATCTCCACAGGGCTGTCAACATACATCGAGTTACTACGTCGATCTTGGGGTTAGATCTTAGCTGATTTGCCTTATTTCAAGATAATTACGGAATACAGACTTTAATCTAATATCTTGCCCCTTCATGGCATCTAGAATTAATCTGGATGAATACAATCTGGACATATATTATGAGACATGTATGATATTATTCGCCTTCCTGCATCATTCGAGGTGCGGGACAGCGCGCAGCATTGCAATGGGTCGCGTAATAAATTGAGCGAAATCGTCCAGGTCTGCGAAGTCCTTGTTGTTTCTTCGTTTTGGGTCGAGTAAAAGTTCCAGTTCAATGCCGATCTTGAATCCAGCGTCCATGGTAGATGTGGTTATTGAGAGAAGCGGCTTGAAGGGAAGTGGAAACCGGACAGAAGGGCGGGAAGCAGAGTCAAAGGAACGGTGGACGGAGAGGATGAGGAAGAGCGCAAGTTGGGAAGGAACAAGTGAAAGGCTTAAGGTGAAACCCACCATATCAATCTTGGTGCGAGTCTCGCTGGGGCTCTCTGCGTCTCTATCATCTCACATCAGTCCGACAGTTCTCCATACTGTACTTTAGTTCTTTTTCTGTTTTCGGTCTTATTATGAGCTTTAAACTAGCTAATGCAAATCTAGACATGGATGCAAGCGCGATCACAATATGGGTTGTCACGCGATTTTGTTGGAACCCCTGCACGTTTTGAGGAGGCCGATTGGCAAGAAGTAATTGTAGATGAGCTACTCAGATAGCCAATCAATATTCAATAAATAGAGGCCTATTGCGAAGCAAAGATGCATGTTCACTCTGTACATTGAACTCGTAGTAATACCAAGACCACCAACCTAATCAACAGTGCCGTGGAAGTGGCCTTATGTGCCTTCTTTCTATGTCTTTCAATTTGTACTGTGATCGCATTGTTGCCCACAATTCACTGTGACAGGGAGAACCAAGGGGCCACCACTTGTTATTAAATTACATTCCTGGGCACAATCCCAAACATTACCAATGACACGAAGCCACGGCGCACTTTTAGTGTCTAGGAGAGTATGGGAGACAAAGAAGATGCTTCGCTTAATGTAAATCCTGATCTTCTGGAACATCAACGTCGGACTAGGGACTTGGCCAAGTCTTTCCCGCTAATCAGCGGGGGTAAGAACTGGAAACTACACGAGGAGAACAGCATGTGCAAGGCAATAAATAATTGGCGATAGAACCTTACGGTGCGACATGTTCTTTGTTTGGCTTTTTAGCTCAAATTCCGCGACCCTGAAATGTAAAGCGGCCGCCAGGGGATTACTCGGAATTCTACAAAAACAACATAAGCTACAACCTTCCCGTAAAGCTCAAGTCACTCTGCATTGTTATTCACCTCACTGTTTTCTTTTCACAATATGCGCTCATCATGGGTGATCTCGTTTCTAGCCCTTGGTGCTAATGCCCAAACAATATCAGAATGTCCCCTTCTTGGGCCAGCATTCCCGGCCCCAACTGCGCTGTCAAAATCCGACATCTTCCTCAGGGCGACCGAGAGTCTGACTTTACAGCTCAAGGAAGCGATTGATAATGGAAGCCTCCCGTCGACGTCATTTTCGGTGCAGGTTTTCAGCGGCCAAGAGAATCATTCGGCGTTTAGCTTTTCGCATACAGATGGTGGAGTTGTAAATGGTTCAGTAGGTGTTCAAGAAGTGAACGAAGACAGCGTTTTTCGCATTGGCAGCATCTCAAAATTGTGGACTATGTTTCTTTACATGACCTTGAATGGAACAAAATACTTCCAAGATCCCGTGGCCCAATACGTTCCTGAACTACGAACCAATCACAAAGCGAAACATACAAGAGATGCAATTGACTATGTACAATGGCACGACGTGACCATCGGTGAGCTGGCCAGTCATCAAGCCGGTATTCTAAGAGACTGTGAGTTATTGAATATGCAATGTGACCGTCAGACTAACGAATTTCAGATGCATTCGGAGATCTTGGGTTGCAGTGGACTGCCCTCCAAGCGCAAGGATTTCCTCCCCTTCCAAAATCTGACCAGCTTACCTGTGAAAGTGCCTATGCATGTGGTAGAAAACGTAAGTCATTAAAGATCCTCGTATTATTACTATGGTTGATTGACTAATGTGGTATTTCCAGAGTTTTTTGACGGCGTGTTCAGAGCGCGTGAGTAGAAGAAATCGTGTGAATTTTGATCTAACTCTAATGGGGCTTTTCTCCATAGGTCCCCTCGCTGCAACCTCTCATACGCCGCTATACTCTAACGCAGGCTACCAAATTCTTGGATACGCATTGGAAGCAATTGCCAAGGCCGACTATGAAGACATCTTAATTGATCGTCTGATTAAGCCACTCAACCTAACCCGGTCTGGTCTTCAACCTCAGCCGCAATTTGGGGTGATTCCCTCCAACGAGACGTACAGCTGGTTCAACTATACGGTTGGTGATGAAAACCCGTAAGTGCCCACGCAGAGCGTAGTGCGCAAGATACTTACCCTTTTGCTAGGGCCGGAGGAGTGTTCTCATCCTCAAAAGACATGGCTACTGTCGGTCGGGCTATCCTTTCAAGTGCTCTGGTTGACCCAGCTATCACAAGAAGATGGTTAAAGCCAGCAACGCATACCTCATCCCTACAGCACTCAGTTGGAGCACCATGGGAGATTTATTCTTTCACAACTGACAGTCGTCGAGTTGATCTATATAGCAAAGCTGGGGACATTGGGGTGTACTCAAGCTTTATAGGTCTTTCCCCGGACTACAATGCTGGCTTCACCGTTCTGCTTGCTGGTGATAGCAACCCGCACCAGATGACAGCGACAGTTGCCGAAATGATTGCAGATCTTGTGCTCCCAACACTTGAGGAAGTTGCCAGAATTCAAGCGTCTCAACGATTTGCGGGGACATATTCTCTGTCGCGTGATGGTTCGAACTCTTCGATTACCATCACGGCTGATGATGGCCCTGGGCTGAAAATCACAGAGTGGATCAGCAACTCTGTTGACATGTTTGAAACCTTGATGGCTTTGGAAAAGATGACAGATCGTACGGCGCTAAGTATCCGTCTACAACCAAATGGTCTACAGACAGCAGGACGAACCTCATTCTCAGCCGTTATCCACGCTGCCAGTTCGGCATCAAATGCTGGACCTATCCTCAGTTCTTGTTTGTCCTGGATTCTCCTTGATTCATTTGTATACGGCAACATTGGCCTCACGGAGTTCGAGTTCGAACTGGATGACAACGGAGATGCTGCCGCTATATCTCCCCGCGCGCTGCGCATTACTATCCCTAGGGTTTAGCCTGCTGATGACCACGGTAGGGCTGGCTTTATACAGTTTATTAAATGCTATATGTCAAGCTTAGCCTGTATTGGACATCAACTTTTGCTCCGGAGGATCGTGGCATGGCGCGACCAAGTTAGAATTAGAAACGGAGAAAAAGGTTACAATGATATTATTGCAAATAAGGACTAAACCAATATGACAGAGAAGGTCCGTGCTTGAAAGATTAAACAAGGGCTACTTGGATCACAATCGTTTGTCAACGCGAAATATCTCGCATGCAAGGGTCAAGGTAATGAATTTAGTGTTTTACTTTTCAAAGCATCCGTGGGTCTGGTTTGAGCATTCGAGCTTAATCTAAGGCCACCAGCTAGACATTTTTGTCCCTAAATTTGTAGGAATCCTTTGGCATGAGTGCAAATTCCGACTCACTCACATTTCGAGGATAAGGGCTTGGTCGGTTATAGCGAAGTTCCTGACACACTGACCGATCGGCCCGAAAAGACCTTGTGGACCATTGACTGTGTCACATCCGATAATGTATCAGTGGGCATTCTGGATCGAGGGTATGGTATGATGTCAAGCATAGGAAGAATTAATATCGGCTTCTAGAACGTGGGATGTGGGGAGACCCCAGATGGCATTAATAGATTAACCCCATGTGTGCCCATAAAGCTATGTGCCGATGACGCGCAACTATCGCGACAAATATACATGTATACAGAAAGCACAAGAAAAGGAGAGGTCTACATAAGAGAACGCCAAGTATTGCCAATCCCGGCCAAGGAAGGTTGTGGGTAGGTTTGACCGTCAGTCTGACCGGAGAGCAGGTTCGGATAGTGAAACGGCACCGAAGGCTTCGGGAGTGAGACCGGTAATACCTTGGCGGCTATTGGCCGTTTGGCGCAAGCCAAGTCTTGAGTTGAACTACCTATGGCCTTCTTGGAGATACTGCCAGATTCTTAGAAGTGATTATTAGACCGAAACCATCCACTCAGTAGAAATTTATAAGTGCAGTGCTAGTGGGCATTCGTCAGATCAAGTAAGGGCACCTATGACGTTGGCCGCTATACCTACCCGAAAGAGTTAAAGGAATGCTAATAAGACACCTAGACCATTCCACACTTGGAGGTGATGAGCAGACAAGAATGCTTGGGCTTTTTGAGGGTTTGCGCTTACGGCCGATCAATGTTAAACGAACTCGGTTTATGCCCGAGGATCTCCCGGGCTAGCCACGTCTTCTTACTCTGGTTGGCTCGAGTGGTCCCTTTTTTTCATTTTCTTTTTTCATTGTTCATGGCGCATAATCATGTATGACTTCATTGCCTGCTTTCACACACGTGCAAGTATAGTGTGCACGTTCATATCGCTATACAAACATGACATGTGATCAAGAAATCTATTGTAAATGTTGTATCCTAAAGTGGAATTAGTGAGCACCCAATCCCGTCGCTGCTACCCCGACCGGGCCATGTATCGAGCAAAGAGCCAAAAATGACTATTGTAGTCGGCTATGTTTCTCGACTACTATTGACGTCAGAGCTTTGAACTGAACTTTAGCTGTGGGGCGCGCTAAGGAAGCATAGCGATCCGTTGTTCGTTGATCGCCCTTGTTAGGAAATGACGTTGCTGAACAGGACTCAAATCCAATTAACATCAATATATCCCTTATTTATCCCTTATTACTAGTGCTTCGAAGTCACCAGGACTTCTGTTTAAGATCTTCATCTAAATTAAGCTCTTTTTTAACAGTAGGTCCCCAACAGCTACACCTTCACTTTATGCATAGTTACGCCAGGAGGGCCCACTATTTGAACAGTGTAGATCCACTATAAATCCGGTTTGAGAGGCAAAGTAAAGACCGAAAGCAAAATTCGAGTGCGTGTTGTCCGAGGTAACATGCAGATTCTGCGTAAATATAACAGCTGGGGAAGGTCCACAAATGTTTCTCTTTTGTTCAACTCCTTGTTTGCTCCATCCGCAGCCCCCCGCATACTAGGATGTCTCCCCCAGAGCAACCGGAGGTCCAGCCTCAAGCTGCTCACGAAGAGAGTAGACCGATCTCTGCCAATGACAATAGCACCGATAGCGAATCTAGTGAGCCCGTCGACATCTCCGCAGAGCTCGCAGAGAAGCCAAGTGAACGGTCTGACGGAAAGCGCGAGCTCAAGGAACAGGATTGCTACGAAATCCTAGGCTACTCGTGGCCCCGATGGAAGAAATGGACGTACCTCGCTGCGGTCGCATTCGTTCAGGTCTCCATGAACTTCAATACTTCAGTCTTCCCTAATGCTATCAAGCCTCTTTCAAAGGCCTTCAACATCAGCAACCAACATGCTCGGACTGGTCAGATGGCCTACCTGGTGACTTACTCTATTGGTTGTGAACTTTGGGCTCCATGGAGTGAGGAGTTTGGTCGCTGGCCTATCCTCCAGCTCTCGATGTTCCTGATCAACATCTGGCAAATTCCGGCGGCACTTGCTCCGAATTGGGGATCTATTGTTGTCGCCCGTGCCTTGGTTAGTGCTTTTTTCCCAATGCGAAAACCTATGACTCTGGAATGATAAACTAACACTCGATATAGGGTGGTCTTTCTACCGCTGGTGGTAGTGTCACTCTTGGTCTAATTGCCGATATCTACGAACCCGAAACTCAGCAATTCCCTCTCGCCTTTATCGTTTTGTCCTCCTGTATCGGTACCAGCATCGGTGGTGTGATCGGTGGACCAATTCAGCGCTGTAAGACACTCCTATATCACTCTCCCCCTCCTTGTGATACATATACTAAGACGTCTGTTAGTCCTTGATTGGCAATGGTTCTTCTGGATCCAGCTCATCTTCGGCGCTGTCACGCAAGCCATCATCTTCTTCATGCCCGAGAGTCGTTCGACTATCATCATGGATAAGGAGGCCAAGCGCCGCCGTAAGACAGGCGAAGACCCGAACATCTATGGCCCTAACGAACTCAAGTCTCCTCGTATCTCGATGAAGGAAGCCGGCAAGATCTGGATGCGACCCTTCTACATGCTTCTGAAGGAGCCCATTGTTCTCTGCTTGTCTCTCCTGTCTGGTTTCTCCGACGCTTTGATTTTCACCTTCCTGGAAAGTTTCGCCATTGTGTACGAAAAGGGATGGGGCTTCGGAATTCTTGCCCAAGCCTGGGCTGTCATTCCCATTAACGCTGCCTACTTTATCGGTTACTTCAGCTACTTCCCATGGTTCTTCCGTGACCAGAAACTTCGTCTCACACATGGTGATGCGGCTATCCCTCCTGAGCGCCGCCTCAAGTGGCTCCTTTTCCTTGCACCCCTTGAGCCTATCGGTCTCATGGGCTTTGCCTGGACATCCTTGGGTCAAGAGTACAACGTTCATTGGATTGGATCCATGATTTTCTCCGCATGTGTCGGTATTGCCAACTACGCCATTTACCTATCCTCGGTCGATTACATGGTCGCTTCCTATGGTGTCTACTCTGCATCTGCGACCGGTGGTAACGCCTTTGCGCGTGACCTTCTGGCTGGTATCTCCGCTATGTATGCGACGCCTATGTACGAGAACATTGGCAACAAGTTCCAAGTTGAGTATGCCAGTACGATCCTTGCCTGTCTTTCCTGTCTTGTCGTGCTTCCCATCTACGTCTTCTATTGGAAGGGACCTCAAATTCGGGCAAGGAGCAAGTTCGCTTCCACCCTTGCCAACGACAGGGCGCAGAACCAGGGCCGTCGTGTCAGCAAGATCAGCCGCGAGCCTTGATTTACGAATATGCACATTCGTTTGCATATGGAAGAATTGTGATTCAAATACCTGTATATGTGTCTCCATATATGTACATATGACCTGTCGAGAGTTGAAGCATGATTTTCCTCATGCTTGCTACTATGTCAACCCCATGGGATGTGATTCAGGTTGAATTTGGATTTTACGTTATATACCTAGCCAGTCAATCTGATTGAGTGCACTTATCATATAACCCATGACTGGACACCTCTTAGTAGACTGATGATCCTAGCCCATCCTGCTGTTTCGCATTGAGCTGTTGTAGACTTGTGTTTCCAACAGTCGGTTATGGACTACAATAATGTGATCCTCGTTTTATTTACTCTGTAGTCGCAAGATTCAACGGTGGAAGAGACACTATCATTCCCACGAAGACGTCATCAAAGGTTTCCCCCTTTGGGGATGTGAGCCTATCTGCAGCCAAGGCGTGGCGTTAGCATGGATCCAGCAGGGATGTGCATTAGACTAGTTCCACGCGCGCACTCCCCTAGTCTCAGGTGTCCCCTCTCTCGAACCTTTGAAGTTCCTGATCACCACCATCAACAAAATGATTACCAGCACGATTGAGATTGCCGCTCCGCCCGCGAAAGTGCGCGATATTGTACGTTCCTGAAACCGACCGTGAATTCGTGGCGAAAACAAGGCACTAATTCAGTTCCGATCGCAGTTGCTTAACTTTTCGGCATATCCCGAGTGGCACACGGAATGGCTGAAGGAGATCCAGGTCAAGGACAGCAATAAGACCCCACAAACGCTCAGCTCCGGAGACAGGATTGAAGTCAATATTGAAAACTTCAAGTTTGTGGCTGAAGTCCAGGTGAATAATTGGATTTTAACCTATGATCAAGGAGAAAATGCTGAAGATTACATTTCAGGAGAACAGTGAGAACTTATTCTCCTGGCAGGGCCCGCCTGTCTTTACCATTGCTGGTCTGCATAAATTCCACATGGAGCCAGCTAACGACGGTGCATCCACTGTTTTTACTCAGACTGAGGATCTCAAGGGTCTTCTTTCATTCATTATGAGCCCTTCGCTGCTTGGAAAGAAAATGGCCGCCCATTTTGACATCTTCCACCGGGACCTTAAAGCTCGGGCCGAGCAAGCCTAATTTGGGGGCCAATTCCGGATGGGGCCATATCCTTAAGCGCACAGATTCTCAGTTATTATGCACGCCCTCTTGTTTTGTTATCTTGTTACCTGCGTCCTTCAGGATATCTTGCAACTTTTACTTTTCGGTATCATGGAATAGGAAATCAATACACTGAAGGATTTTGAGCGAAAAGTAGTTTGGAAACCCGGTAAACATTCGTTATATTTTCCTGCGCCTAGCCGTAGGTCGTAGGTGCTACCCGCAATGGAAAGCGAAGTAAATTTTATGAGGGGCGTTGGGTAGCTGACAATAAGATATTAATGAGGCCCTTGCTAGCTGGGGCAAGTAAGTCTGATGCAATAGTAATGAATAACAGAGTATACCAGGGCGTAATTTTACCCCTCTTCTTATACATCTCTTGGAATTGAAAAAGACAGAGCAGCACTGACTAAAATTGAAATCAGTATTGTCTAGCGGGTATTCCTCAGCAATGCAATTTCTGCGCCAACGGAAAGCTTTACTGGAGAAGATGTGCTAACAACAACCGAGTGAGTCATTTGTCCCTCTGATTGGAGAGTTTGTTAACAAATACGTCGTAGTGTACTCGGATTGGGCATTGACGTAGCTGGTCTGATGTGGATGGTGTTGCTGTTTGTAGCTCTGGCAAAACATTATGGGAGTTTATGTCTGGTGATCGAGAAAATGAAATCCACAATCCGTTTATATTGTGTCCCGGACTCCAGCTCGTCTAAAGAGCATAGCTGAAGAATAAGCTTTCTATGGTACTGTATACCAACATAAAGGTTTAAGTTTCGGGTCCCGGGAATCTTCAAGCGCATTCTGACCCATTCATGATTGAGGTGTCGTTCAAACCCGAGTTGTTGTAACACAGATCAAGGGCTTGCCTGACTCTCGATATTTAACTACCCGTCTTGATCTCAGGATTCTCATTGCATCATGGCAGACAATCAACATCAACCGGATCCATTCGCCGAAGGTCTCTGGGTACTTGATGATACTGGAAAAAATCTCGGATTCATGCGCGAAGAAGAGCTCGACCGGAATTTCACCGAGCTCGCCGATAATACGTTGGTTGAAGAGACATCCCCAGAGGCCATCACCAAATACCTTTGCACCCTGACTGCCACTCAGACGAAGATACACGATGACCTGCGCGACTTAGGCTGGAACTACGCTGCCATTCACAACTTTCTCACTATTCTTGAAAACGCACAGCTGTACAATTGTGCAATGCTACGCAAAAAGGGATACACAGAATCTGAAATTGACAGGCTCGACGCTCTTGGCAATCAAAATTTGATGGATTTCTCGCATCTCAAACGTGGACTTGCCAGCTTAGCTGATGAAAAGTATCAAATGCAACTGTACTTACTGGAGGAGGTGAAACGAAGACGTCTGATTATGCTTGGAGAAAAATAGCTGGAAGTGAACGTCATCAACTTTCAGGAGAAAGTCAAGCGGGAAGATTTTAGGGGGGGGGGGGGGTGTTGTTTGCAATGGACGTCTCTTTCATGTGCCATTTTTATTGTCTTAAAGTCAACCAACAACTTTGATATCAACCTGGTGTTACCTTTTCCTATTGCTGTTTACACCCCATCGTCATCTTTATCCAGTACCACGCCGGTCTTTTGTGCCTCCTCTTCATTAAACATATAGTTTCTATATGCTCTAACCCAGGTCCATCACGCATTGGCTGATCAGGTGGCTGTGGGAATGGATCGCGCAGATGAGACTGCTTTTGCACCTTTATATTCCACTAGCGAAAGAGATGAACATCGAACTGATATAATATTTGCTGCTATACAAAACTTCAAAAGTCTGGGCATCTAATCGTAGATCTCATAATCTCGACAGTAGTAACGGGCTATATATGCAAATGGGTTTCAAGCAGAAACAGGAGTAATTTTGGTGACCTCCTTGAGGTCCCTGCTGCTGAAACCAACACGAAGCGTGAATTCACCCTCAGGGATGAGCCACTTCTGCGAGACGATATCCCAGTAGCTCAAGTCCCTGCGCATCAGCTCGAAGCTGACATCGCGCGACTCGCCGGGTCCGAGGGATACCTTCTCAAAGCCGCGAAGCTGCTTGAGTGGTGTTCCCTCAGGAGCACTGTCGGGGAAGGTGACGTACAGCTGGGGAACTGTTGCACCCTTGACGTCGCCGGAGTTGGTAACCGAGACGGTCACATCGTAGAGTGTTTCCCAGAGGGCGGGGTTTCCGCCGGGCTGGATGGGCCGCTCCTCGGGAATAGAGGAGATAGAGTCAACCACGGCCTCGGCTTGGATGTCGGAGACGTTGAAGGTGGTGTATGAGAGACCGAAGCCAAATTCGTATTGAACGGAGATGTTCTGGGCGTCGAAGTAGCGGTAGTCGATTTCGAGCTTCTCGTCAAACCAGGATTGCCAGTCGTCAGCGCCCTTGGTGGACACCTCGGTGGTAGGCGGGGCGTTGTAGTCGCTGCTATTCTTGGCGATAGTGTAGGGCAGATGTCCGGCAGGGTTGACGTCTCCGTAGAGAACGTCGACAATTGAGTTACCGGACTCCTGGCCTGGGTAGTGTGCGGCAAGGATGGCGGTGACATTGGGGTTGCCGGCGAAGGGGAGGACATTGATGCCAGAGGAGTGGGTGACAACGATAGTGTTGTTGCAAGACTTAGCGACGGACTCGACCACGTCGTTGCCCTCGTAGTCGATTGACAGGTGCTCACGGTCCGCACCTTCTTCGGCCCAGGTCTTGAGGAAAACAAGGCAGACGTCGGGAGTGGAGGGCCAGAAGCTACTGACGGTCGAAGTGGCGATGTGGGTGTTGTTCAGCCAGTATTGCACAAGCGAGTTGTCCTCCTTTGCGCGAGTCTTCACAGCATCTAGCGGGGAGACGAGATATGTGAAGCGTCCAGTTCCGGAACCACCACCGGAACCGAGAGTGCCATATTCGAAAGTCGCTTGGTTGACAGGACCCATGGTGTTCTCACCAGCATCATTACCAAAGACAGCGATGCTCTTAGGGGCTTTCAGAGGCAGGGCACTGTTCTCGTTCTTTAGCAGAACGGTTGCCTCAGCTGCGAGCTTGCGGATCAACTTGGCATGGTTTCCACGGACATCACGGCTTCGCTCGCCAGTGAGGTTAAACTCGCGCAACCAGGTCGACCGGGGCGAGAAAGTGTTGAGGTCAGCAGAGGATGGGTCCACATCGGGGTAATCCTCGTCCTGGCCGAGCCAATAGTAAGGTGTCATGATACGAACAATCATATCATCGACGCGAGACTCATCCACAGTTCCGTTGTTGACTGCATAGGTAACATTCTTGCCGAAGAACGAGCCGGCTTCGGGAATCATGCCATACGGACCGAGCCCACCGGGCATGTTCATGTCGAGACCGCCCTCAATAGAGGCGACACCGGAATGAGTGCCACCCCAGTCAGACATAACGTAGCCCTGGAAGCCGAGCTCCTCCTTTAGCAAGCCATTGAGGGCCTTAGAATTCTCACAGGCGTAGGAGCCATTTAAGCGCTGGTACGCGCACATGAAGCTGGAGGCTCTGGCACGGACCGCATCGGCAAACGGCCACAAGTACAGTTCGTGCATGGTTCGGTCATCGATGTTGGCGGACACGGCCTCCTGAATGACGTCTGTGATTGTGCCATTGGAGTCGTAGGTAGGGTTACGCTGTGTCTCTTGTTCGTTACCGATGAAGTGCTTCGCTGTGGCTTGCACGCCAGCGTCCTGGTGACCACGAATGGTTCTCTCCATGGCAACACCTGTCAGGTAAGGGTCGGCTGCGAAGCCTTCCCAGTTGCGGCCCGCGTAGGCAGAGCGTCCGAGGGGGCCAGCCACGGGACTGAGGGCAATATGGGCACCCTTTGCTTTGAACTCTTGGCCCATCGCGTAGCCTCGCTTATAGAGAAGGTCTCTGTCCCATGTGGATGCCACGGTGACACCAGCGGCAAAGACACTAGCATAGTCGGCCACTCGGATGGACAAAGGGCCGTCTTGCAAGCAAAGACCAGGGAAGCCCAGACGAGGAATGGCAACAATGTTTCCCACGCATGGTCCTGGCTGACCGGTAACCATGTCAGCCTTCTCTTCAATAGTCAGCTTGGCTACGAATTGTTGGGCTTTGGAGAAGGCTTCATCCCAGCCGCCTGATCCGGTAGCATTGGCTATAGTTGCGGTTAGCAAGCACCATAGTGAGGAAGATCGACTAGGAACAACATACGCGAGGGAAGAACAGCAGGGGAGTGTCCATAAGCGCCCAGGATAGTAGTGTTCTTAGGCTGAACATAACTGAAGGCAGATTCACTTCGAGATGTTCCATCAAATGATTGGCCGTTGACCACTGTGGCAGCCAACAGGCCCGAGAGCACAAGCTGAGTGATAGCCATTTTGTAGACGCCGCTTGCTCAGAAGTGAAGCCATACCGAGACTCAATGGCCTTACTTATATAGCTAATGACTCTGCAACTATAGAGAGGGGAAGTCAGTTGCCGGAGTTCTGCCGTGATTTGGTCCGGGGTTCTACCGGGGAATTACATTACTTGGCGTGGGGACCCCACAATCCCACTTGCCCCCAACAATCCGGGGATTATGCACGATTATTACCGCACAGAATCAACGATTACAAGGCATCTGTGGCTTTCTCTACGGTTCTGGCGTCCCTGAGCCATCGGTCCAGACGGCTGCCAAGTGTCAGCCATTCATTTCGTCGGCTGCCCGGGGCCCAAACGTGAGGCATTTTAAACGATCACCGGCTTGGCGACTGCAATAAGCTAGCCGGTGTCTTTCCCGAGAACTTGATCGAGAATGAAAAACGCTAATACTTGCCGAGGAAGGTAATTTAAGTGCGCTCACCGGCGTTACTTCGGATGTCATCGTAAAGTTTCTGTGCGCCACGAGGTCACTGCGGAATATCGCGACTCATAGCGAAAGCCTCAGACGGCCCGATCTCGAAGTGTTTCCGTGAAGTCAGTGCCCAGTGGCCGGGGACGCCTTTCACCACCGAAACTGGCCACTCTTGCAGTCGTGTAGCACGGTTCTTCGGTCTCGGATACCTTCATAGCCGGCGAACTTACTGCACTTGGACACTCTACCGACTAATACTCTCGGCATGTCGCGGAAAGGTCTACCGTTGGATTATTAGAGCTGGAGAACACGAAACGCTCACCCCTCAATCCTTAACAAAGCCTCGTTGTTACATTCTCGTACACCGAGGCACTAGTAGTTAGTGATATTGAACCGGTCTTTTCACGACTCCTCGCTCTCCATAAAATCAAGGAAATTGCGGTCATATCTGTGATTAATCTCTATACTTGTGCCCAGCTGCTAACGCCGTTCCTGTAGGGTAGATACATTTCACCTCCTCACCTGCGCAACTTTGAGGTCTAGTAGACGGACTTGTAAACGCCACACAAACCACCATAATTTCGGCACTGGGGTTATGCCGAACCGATCTTCTCGGCAATGTACCCTACAACTGTTGAGGAGCGGGTTAGCGGGGAAGTTGCGGAGAAGTTGTGAATGGTCTGATTGTTGAGGGCGTCGATTGTGAGACAATAGTGGATGTTGTGGTAACGAGTTGGAGGGTTGGCACCGTTAGCAGGAAGTATTGCATACTCCGGTGAATAGATGAAAACTGTTTCAACATATTGGGTCCTTCCTTTGGTGGAAGTAGCGAATAAGTGGGGAAGCCACGCCGAGGTCGGCCGAGTACACAAAGTCAGAGAAGACAGGGAAGAACATCAGTAACAATGCTGATAGCTGTTCCCATGACTGCAACGGGGTAAATCGTCATATCAGTATAGGCTGAAATATTGTTCCTCCTTAAGTCTTCGCTGCTACTCTGCTTTCTGGCGCTCACTTCTTTACAATCCTTGGCCTGACGGGGAGCAATGAGCAATGCCGACCCTGGCGAAGCAGCCGGACTTGCCTTTCGGAACTCCAGCGATGCGGGCCCGGCAAAGTATCTTCATCAGGCCGGGGCTATCCACACGGCTCTCGGTGAAACTTCTTGCAACTGCTCCCGCTTCTTTGGGTGTTATGTGCGGTGGATTTTGAGCCAACTCCGTATCAAGGCAGTCACCAAACAATATTGAGATTCTTCCGGGTGCTATGAGTCAGTATGAACAATGAGCTAGGCAAGGAGAGCCGAAACGATGGTTTGGAAAAGATGGAAAACAGTGAGACGTTTCTAATTGTTTCTCTTTGCCATAACGAGCAAGGACGAGCTTCTGTTATTCCAAATGCGTGAATTATAGGCAAAGTGAAGCAACAACAGCCTAGGACATTAGGGGACTTAGGCGAAGCTTCACAACTCTCACCCGTATCACATACGCCCGTTCCAGAGCATTTTCCATCACCATTTTGAATGCAATAGCTTGATCAAGGGCACCCTAAGAATTATTTATACACAGTGACGAGTCTTAAACAGATGGTAAGCTATTGTCATTGATCGCAGATTGACTACAAGGTGGGCGGGCAGTATATATTTACAAAGCCGCACTCAAAACAACTTCACATGGATGAATTTCCAAACGGTTTCTCACGAAGAGATCCTTCGTTAATAGCTTCCAAGGTATTTAAGAATCCCATTGGTACATAATTTTCGGCAAACAATAGTGTTATATTCATCTCAAAAAACTGGTATAGAAGGGTACGAATTCTCATTCAGCAGAAGCCCAATCTGCTACACATATTGTCATTGTTTCGTTTCCGTCGCAATCAAGCGCTTGATCTTCTTGACGAGCTCTTGAGTACCGTAAGGCTTATGAATGATGTCATCCATTCCAGCATTCATCATTTCATCTTGTTGCGCGTCCCTCACATTCGCCGTCACCCCCAGAACCGGTACATGCCCTCCAGTTTCCTTTTCAATGTCCCGAATGATTTTCGTTGCCGAGTGGCCATCCATAATAGGCATCTGTTGGTCCATGAGGATACAATCAAATGGAGTGTTCCGGCTCATATCCAGAGCCTGTTGGCCGTTGCATGCTTCTGTGATATCAAACCCCTGTGCGCTCAATTTGCGCGACACAATCCTTCTGTTGATGAAGTTGTCCTCGACAAGGAGAATGCGGTCGCCGGTGCCTTCTCTTTCCATATCAGAATTTTCTGCCGACCTTTGGTTCTCGCGATTGAAATGACCATCGGAGACCTCACGCGCAATGCTATCTGTGCGTGTCGTTCTTTCGTCGTTAGGTGCACCCATTTCTGCCTCCCCAATTTTGTCCACGGGAGGGTTTTCAGAGATATCGGGTTCTTCGGTAGATTCGTTGACTCCGTTCATTTCATTTCCGAGCATTTGAATATCGGAAGATAACTTATCGAGCTCAGAAGCATGAAGGTTGCCGTGGCCTTCATCCGTCGTATCAGTGGTCCGGCGCGCCTTGAAAAAGAAGCCGAAAGTACTTCCTTGTGCTTCCTTAGAACTCACACCAATCTCGCCTCCATGTAGATGGCAGAGTTGCCTACACACGTTGAGGCCGAGACCAGAGCCACCGTAGATACTCTCAGTCCTGGGGGTGGCTTGGTTGAAGCGTTCAAACAACCGTTTTTGAGCTTGGTCCGTTATCCCGATACCAGAGTCCTTGACTGCAACCATGATATATACAGATTCACCCTCCCCCCATTCGGGTGTGTTCGTTGCGTCTTTGCGGAGTCCTTCTTCGCCGGAATCAAAGAAGACGACATTTGGAGGGTAGGACGAGGGACGCTCGATGGCAGCTCCCATTGAGACTCGCAGCATTCGTTCGTTTTCGGATCTAGCGGTAAATTTAATGGCATTTGAAAGGATATTAATGAGCACCTGGCCCATGCGGTCAAGGTCTGCCATGACCCAATCAATCCCACAGTTGCCATAGGAGACATCGACCTTGTATTCAAACTTGATCCTCTGCTTTCGGATCTCGGGTCGGAATATAGAGATTGGAGTTGTGAGGTGTCGTTTCGGCTGAACTTTGTGGGGGGACAAGGAAAGCATGGAAGCGTCGAGTTTGGAGAAGGTAAGAACATCGTTGACGATCTTCTTTTGGTGTGTGATGCAGAGACTGATGGTCTCCGTAGCTTCGGTGATGTTAGACAATGGAATATCCTCCCGCTTCGTGTTGTAGATTGCCTCCTGAATGTCTTCCGTGCAATGTAGGATAGCCGACAGGGGATTCCGAATTTCGTGACTGATCATATCAATGAATCGCTCTTGCTGCTTCTTGCGGTCCTGTGCGTCCTGTGCAGCCTGCCTCTGGACGAGTTCCGCCTTCTTCTCTGGTGTAATATCCGCGATTGTACAGATGAAGAGCCCATCCTCGCTCGGACCAAAGAACTGCACATCTTCATTGTCCAACCGTTCCAGTGTCATAACACACCACATCGAATCTGGGTCAGGCGTATGGTACTCAATCCGCAGGGCCTGTTTAGGTTCGGCAGCCTCCTCATACTCAGTGACCACGCGTTCATAGTCGTCTTCGTGGACCGATCGCAGCCAGCACTCGGAGAAATTCGCGCTCGTACATGGAATCAGTCTTCGGAATCGGCGGTTCACGGAGATGAGTTCATATCGATGGTTGAGGATGGCGACGCCGTTCGGTAGGATGTCGGCCAGCTGTTGTGCTGTAACATTTCGATTGAAATTGAACGTCATTGATTTTCTCGGATACCTCGAATCGGGTTTCTTCCAGTAATGACGGAAGAATGCTGCTGTCACGTCTTAAGTTGCCTGCTATATACTGTCCTCACGGATACAGGTGATTTTCATCGCAGGTAGACTGGAGGTTAGTGACGTTGCACGAGTTGACTTGAGGTTCCCAACCCGAACAAAACAGTGGGATGTATAAATTCAGAATATATCACAGTTTCATACCAAAGATTAACAAATGTACAAAAGGCAATATCATTAATCGCGGGGATATACTATTGTCGCTTGACTCCCCTCCGAATTTTGTCTTGTACGTCATTATTGTGGAGTTTATGACTTGGTGGACTTCCAATTGCGCTTCTGGATGTAGTACTCCATGTGTTTTAATTGGTCGGAAAAAGGATCCTGGTGCCTAATAATACAGGCATTAAATGACGTCACTACATCCCACGCATTTTCGGCAGTTTGTGCTGTTTGGTTCGTTCCTGCCCCTGGACACCTAAGGCGATACAGCCTGCATAGTAAGCTAGAGTGCTAATCTCACACTTACTTTGAGATTGCATACTCCGGAGGTGTTCAGTCTCGCCATTCTGCCATTCAAGCGCCGGAGACATGTGAGTCCAGCCCAAAATTCACCCCTTGGGCATTCCGGCACGCCCAAAAGTCCATAACATGAGATCCATTTGGACCTGATTGAATATTTATTTATTCGAGGAACATTTGCCAGATAATATTCTTGAGGCACCTGGCAGGAACGACGCTGAACCCACTTCGTGTGCTCCAACAGTGCTCGAAAACCTGACGCTTTAGGGTATGAATCAATGCCCGACATGAGATTTGTGCTTATGGGATGTTAATATGTCCTTTCACGCCTTGTTATCTTCTCTTCATGAGGCCTTTGTGGGTTAGGAAGTACACGTGTGAGGGATTCGGGGTGAGAGTGGTGAGAGTGAGGGTCTTGTCATAGTGATCCTCGAATGGGAACTTGATATCTCCTCTCGTGGGTGGAGTAGGCCGGGAAAAAGGCGGGTGTGAGCCATGACTCGATGCAACTAGTATGAATTTCGGCCTCGTGTATAGAACGGAAAAGCAACGGATTCTCTTGGCGGCAAAAGGAGTATGGGATGTTGGCTACGTAGATCCAGCATATTCTTGGCAGCAATATGCTAGGCTGCATGATAACTAGAACAAACGCCGAGACTACCGGAGCCCAAAATTGTTGTCGATGAACCACGGCCATTGACTGGTATAGCGAGGGATTTGTCGAAGTGGTAAGTGTCTCGAGTCCATATTTTCAGCAACAAAGTACTCTGGTCGATGATCACAGGTATCCATTTCTTGCAGGTAAGCGCTAGAATTAGAAATTGATTAAGACGGCAGGACACATGCACCGCATGCATACGCTTATGCAAAGTGATAAGCCCATGAAGTGTATCGCAGGTCAGTGTTGGCGAATCATGTTCCGGGCAAGGTTCAGTCCACAGCTCTATTCACCGTAGGCAAGCATGCTAAAGATGCGGTGAGTATTCGATATGGTTCTAAGTCTTACTGTTGAAGATCAAGGACCCAATTTAATATTGTTGCGCAATCTGGCATTTTATTTAGATCTTGCAATAATTGCCGATCCTCGGGCGGTTTACGGATCATATGGTCTAAGCGTTAAATGCAATGGCGATCGACATTTTGGCAAAGCTAGAGAGAAGGTTCCTCTCAAATTATAGACGTAAATGAAGCTTCTCTGGTTAGTTCTTTCACCATTATCAATGTGGCTACGGCCAGGGGACTCGGGCATTACCAATAGCTATGCAAAACCTGTGGGGCATCAGCCGTTGGCCCACCTTAATGCAACATGTGGGAGGGCGGTGCCCAAACTGCTAAACGCAAAATCGGGGCGACTTTGATTGCTCGAAAAATTTGAGAGCGGAGAAAACCGAACTCCACTTGCTCAGAAGAAAAAGAAATCTAGAAGTCTGCCAGGGGGCGACACGCCTGGGATGAGCTGTCGAGACGGGATGAAAAATCAGCGTGGCGAATCCCATCTAATCTTTACTTAATCCAAAGATTGGTTATTTCAAATGTTGAGTTAGTAAAATAGACGCAATGGCGAATAAAAAGACAATAAAGGCTAAGAAACATCTACACATCCGACTTCTTGTGAATGCTTAGAGTTCCTTTAATCGGCTGGGAATTTCGCGATGTGCGGGTAATTTAGCCCTACCACCGGGATCCCGGAGCCACAAAAAGTTCGGCCCGATAACAAAACGCTCGGGTGCCGTAGACTAAGTTTTTTTAGTGCCCCTACAGTAAGATCCTTAGTAGATGGTTCGTATTTTTTGATACATCGTTCATATTCGTAAGCTCCAAGCTCTAGCTGATCTCGATAAATAAGAGAATTGGACTGAACATGTAGATTGCGTTATCAACGCACGTTTTTAGACAAATCCATAGTTTTATCTTGCATGTGAGCGACGGCTAACCAGTGGATCGACTTATCCACTCCTCGTGGGTCGTTGTCTTCTCAAAATGGCAACCCGAGTATCTTGCTCCAGTTTAAGATGTTTCTCAAAAGGGTAATCCGAACAACTTCAATCCACTTTTTAAAATGGAGCGATTGAAGATTTTGATTTTTTCGACTATAGTAAATCTTATATTAGTATGAGAGTAGATGCTAGTGCTACCTGGCACATCCGTTTTCATCTTCATCCAATTTTCACATCCATAATGGGCATTGTTGGCTATTTCAGTCGACCGCGTGGCCATCAGGTGCACGGCGGTGATGGTACTATCACCCCAGACGAGCCGAAAGTCATTGAGCCTACAATTATCTCAAGTCCTGAGTCTTCTGGTACTGCTACACCTGCGCATATGCTCCCTTCTCCTGCTGGCAGTGAGGACCCTCTTATCTTTGAAAATATCCCGCACCAATTTGGCCGTCTCGGTTCTTGGAGAGGATCCTTGATTTTGCTTGTCACTTCCGGATCTCAGTTCCTCGATAATGTTTTCATGACAAGCGCCAACATTGCTTTGTCGTCAATCCAGCAAGATTTCAAGGTTTCCAGCACCGATCTGCAATGGATGATTTCTGCATATACTTTAACATTCGGTGGCTTCCTCTTGCTTGCTGGTGCTTTATCTGACCGGTATGTTTCCCTGTCGTTCTTTCTGTTCTTCCGCAAGGAACACCTTTTTCTAACCTTCACAGGTATGGTCGAAAGAAAATCCTCTGTCTAGGACTTTCTTGGCTATCTATTTGGACGCTGGCCATTGGATTCGGCCAGTCGTTCATTCAACTAACAGTATTCCGTGGAATCCAAGGAATCGGAGCAGCACTTACTGTCCCATCCGCCATTGGAATTATCAGCTCCTACTTTAGCGGTGTTGATCGCACCCGTGCCCTGTCAATCTATGGAGCCTCTGGTACCCTGGGATTCTGCACTGGTCTTATCTTTGGTGGCTTCCTGACTTCTTCCTTGGGCTGGAGGTACATTTTCTATTTGATCGTCATCATCACTGGCTCATTGGGAATTCTTGGTTTCATTGTTTTACCCAGCGATGTTCCATCTCAAAAGAAGCATGAAAGAATGGACTATATTGGCGCAGTGATGTCTACCGCAGGCTTAATCCTGCTTCAATTCGTGCTTTCCAGTGGTGGTACCTACGGCTGGGATCAGCCATTCATCATCGTGCTGTTGATTGTCGCCGTCAGCCTTCTTGTCGGATTCACCATCCTCGAGAAATATATCAGCAACCCTATCATGCCGCTTTCCTTATGGAAAATTCGCAATTTTGCCGGTCTCTGGGTTATTGGTTTCAGTAAGTACCTTACTTCATGACGAGATTTGGTGGGCATTGCTAACGATCACTAGCTGGCTATGGTACCTACCAGAATGTCATCTACTACCTCGTTTTAATGGCGCAGGAAGTTGACAAGCTTTCCGCTGGCGACACAGCTCTGCGTTTCTTGCCCATGGGAGCGATCGGATTTATCGTTTCCTTAGGCACCGGTAAACTTCTGGAGTATATGAATGGAAAGCACCTTCTCATCGCTGGACTGGTTCTAGCAGTAGTCGCTCCCATCTCAAGCTGTTTGACCTCGAGCCCTGAGACAGGCTTGTATGTATCTTCACCCCATTTATGAAAGAGTACTACTAACTTTTACAGCTGGCTCAACGTTCTCCCCACATCACTTATCAGCATCTCGTCTGTCTCGTTCATTTTTGTTACGACTAGCACTGTGGTACTGACAAGTGTGCCCGTCGAAGTCAAGAGCTTGGCTGGTGGAATGGTGAGTTTGCTTGTCCTTGAAAATATTCAACGTGATTTACTGACAATCTGAACCAGCTCAACACTGCATTCCAAATTGGCTCCGGTGTTGCATTGGCTATTTCAGCCGCCGTCACCGATGCAGTTGATATACAGAAAGGACATAGTCTCGCAGAGCAGTACGCTACCGGCCTCTGGTGCTCTGTCGGACTCGCTGGCTTTGGACTCATCATTGGGTTTATTGCAGTTCGACAGAAGGGCATTGGTCCAAAAGACAGACTTGGGGCCGGCCCGGTCGCTATCTGATTTCGTGTCATGCTCCATTTAGATGCATATTCATAGATTATAGATGATAGATTTTTGCTTTTTTGAGCCCTTTCATATGGGGTTATCATGGAATCAGCGTTTGTTGCAACGAAGGAAAAAGCGGGTTAGACATGTGGCGTTATTTTGAGTTTGTTAACAAATTTTTTCTACTTGGAAAGTAACTGTTTCAACCCCACGATCGAGTAGCTTGATGAGCTCATACATAGATAGGCCAAGCTACCAAATGATAGAATATGGAGGATTTATTTTTGAATGAAATGCGATTGAGCTTAGGGAGTACTTCAATACCTATTAGTTAACCGATTTCCCCTGTCTTTTTCTTGTGGACCCATATACCGCCAAATTTCCTAACTCAAGCCTGCGGACAATTGCTCATTGAAGCCACTATTGATCAAATGCCTAGTTGTGGAAGTTCCGGAAATGCGGCCTGACAAACAAGGCGACAAGAACCATCAATAGTCACGTGAGTATGGAATCAGCCTTGCCGGATTGAGTACTTAGTCATGTGGGGCTCAACTCCGGAACCATGGATGGATCGCAATGCATTCACCTCTGCTTTCAATACGTTGTTTCCGGTAATTTGAGGAATGCAAAGAAACGTATTTATCTCCATGTTCCCATACAGGTGGGAGACTCTTGATGAGTCGTTGTCAACCATTCAGCGGTGGTGCAGATGATTGAAATCTCACCAACCCCTTCATTACAGACACTCACAATGATCGCTAGAGGCAAGATCTTGCAGATGGCCGTGGCGGCGTTTGCTGCGTATTTTGTTTTCACTGTACTTGTCAGCCATGTTGGAAGCAAAGCCTGGACTAGCCCTTTGCCACCTTTATCGCAAAGTATGGTGGGCAGTGGTGTCTTCGACCATATTCAAAACCGCACCCTTGGAGTGAGTTCTCATTTCCTGTTTCATAAATCTCTTATTGAGGCCCATATTTAAAACCTAGTTCGAGCATATATATGCTCTCAACATGAAAGAGCGAACCGACAAGCGCGATTTCCTGACGCTGGCAGCTGCGGTGTCAGGGTTCAAAGTGGAATGGCTCGATGGAGTACGCCCAGATGATCTGCATCCCAAGGCTATGCCCGATGTGAGCATTGTAACTCCCAGTGAATAAGCCTTCTGCTGATAACTGGCTTAGGGACTGGATACCACGGTGGTAAAGCCCACTGCTGTTGCATGTTGGCGTGCTCATATGAATGCATTGCTCAAGTACGGTCACACCCTAGCCTCCCTAGCAAGTCTATGCTAATACTCGGCCGCTTTTGACTAGTGTGATCAATAATGACTACTCCACCGCCTTAATATTAGAAGACGACGCAGACTGGGACGTTAGCCTCAAGCCCCAGCTACGAGAATTCGCGCGTGGGCTGCATGCCCTGAAGGGAATCGACCAGATCTCCAAGGAAGCTCCTTACGGGACCGACTGGGATCTTCTCTGGATTGGAGGGTGCGCATCTGGACCGAGTGCCAACGAGACAAGCTTCTATGCTATTCCCATGGATCCCACAGTGCCCAAGTCCCAGCATCGATCGACCTGGGGTGGTCCTACAGAAAAATGGAAGGAAAAATATCCAGAGCTTGCGGAGGACTCAACTCGGTTTATTTTCCGAGCTGAAATGGGCTGTTGTATGTTTGGATATGCTGTTACACGCAAAGGCGCACAAAACATTCTCTCCGCCCTTTCTGTCGATCATCTGGACAAGCCGGTGGACAATGCCCTTGGCGATCTGTGCGCAGGTCTCTACGGTCGCCGGAAGATTGAATGCTGGGCACCATTCCCTAACCTGATTGGTACCTATCGAAAGGCGGGCTCGGCTTTTCGGGATTCCGATATCGAGAAAACCAACGTGGCTGACTTCCATGAAGAGCAGGCTTGGAATATGGTGTACAGCACGAGGCGCAATATACATAGGCTAGTGGCCGGAGAAGACACTGTTTTTTCACAGTGGAAGGACGAAGATGTGTCATGGTCGAGCCCGGAGATTAATCACAAGGATTTTGTTTATCCTGGGGGTCACCTTGTTAACTAATTAACTATATGCTGTCTTATTGGATAGAATTGCACACATCCGATGTATATATGGAACATTTTACCACAATTGCTCTTTGAACGATCTTCATCTCTCAAAATCGACTGATCGATGCTTCTTGAAGTCGGTGCCAAGGGCTACAACAGCGCCTCTTGACCACTTGGACAACTAGTAGACACTACCAGCAAAATGTCTCTTTTAATCGAAAACAGACAAAACATATATGAAAACGGAAATGACGATGATAATAAGTAGACCTGATAAATTAAAACGATATGCTAACGCCACGAGTGGGGATAGTGCGAATATATTTCCTTGTCAGCACTGATGGGTGTATTTTGAAATAGGATGCCCCTGTATGCCTGTATATTGAACCCAAAGCTATAATTGTTTAGTTCCTCTTACTTCGTCTCAGAAATGCCAAATGCCTAAGTTGTCTTCTATCTAAGGCTATCAGCTTTATTTTCTTAGTTCGGACTGGTGACTGGCAGGATATTCCCGGACTCCTTTAGTTAAAGAATGAACGGCATGTTCAATCATGACTTGACCATATGATAGTATTGAGTTTGCATTTATTATGGTCTTTGCTTTCCTGCTCTCCTGACCTCACTAAAAAGTAGTTGTTACCATTGAGTTTCGATATTTTTAACCTTCGGGTACCAAAGGAAGGGGATTGTAGTATCATTCCATTCAAAATACCTCGCTCCCTTGGCATTCACCGCTAACCAATTGGTGCAAAACGTTGAGCTTGGACGAGCTCTCTCCTTAGGTCAAGCTAAGCTCAATTGGCCTTTCGATTCTGGCCAGAAGAAGGTTGCCGGCTTGTTGTTCAAACCTAAACAGGGGTAGTAGATCCGGTACTTTACCGTTGAACTCTCCATCACCTTGATTCCGTAGTGGCGCTCTTAAACGCTATGCTAAAACTACACGTCTTGCCTTAGCAATGCTATATCGTTTTAAGCCACCAAGATCTTCGTGGGCGACTTCAGTATTAAGAACAGCCCTTGTGGACGATGAATTATCTCTCGCTTTCAGCCTACTTGATAGGGCCCCTTGCTTTGGTACTTGAATGCCTGCCAATTCTCCGAACTTATTTCTGAGGGCAACAAGTAGTCCAGGCCCTTTATTTGTCCTTTCTCTCCTCCTCTGTCCTCAATAAGTCTCCCTTTTAAACATTCTTGGACACCAGTCACAAGAGGGACCCTATTTGGCTTTTGCTTTGGACAGGCATGCCTCCCCGTCGCCTGGCCTTCGAATGACCTGGCCAGAATGGTCCAGGCGTAGCTGTTCTCTTCTTGGACATCAAAACCTTCTGTCTTTACCGTGGCGAGGGAATATCATGCAAAACAGTGGAATGCTAGTACGCCGGCTCCAGGGAGCCGAGTTAGCCGTATCTGAGGCGCTTTCAGATGTCTTAAATATCGGAGATTTCGTCAATCCGATAGCGGTTCATATTGTGATTTCCACATCAAACTTCTTCACTGTGTGGGTCATTGTCCACCACGCCGATCTTGTGCTTTGTCAGTCTTGTGTCGCGTACCTTATATCTACCAAGCGTACCGATGACACGCTTCCTTGGCCTTAGGGGCAATAGCCTCAATATCGCAGCAATTTTGGGTGTTCTCATGCCTGGAATCCTCTCAATTGGCTACAATGCGTCGTCGCTTGGAGGTGTCTTAACCCAGAAGAACTTCGAAGCTCAATTTCCGGAGATCGACATCGCCAACGCTGAGAATCGGTCACAAGCATCAAAAGTCCAAGGCACTGTTGTGGCTGCCTACACAATCGGAGGCTTTCTGGGAACGCTATCCTGTATCTGGCTGGGAGATAGGTTCGGCCGTCGCCGCACAATTATGGCAGGATCAATTGTGCAAGTGATTGGGTCTACTTTCATGGCCGCTGCATGGTCACTCACTCACTTGATTGCCTCCCGGATAATACTTGGTCTTGGTACAGGTGTTCTTCTTGCCACGATTCCCCTCTGGCAGTCTGAGATCTCCCCTGCCGAAAAGCGTGGTGCACATGTCGGCATGAAAGGAGTCTTTAGCGGCTTTGGATGCGCTCTTGCTCTTTTTCTGGACTTCGGGATGTCTTTCACTCATGGAAGCGCCGCCTGGAGACTCCCTTTTGGTTTTGTGGTATTGCTTTCCCTTGCTGTTCTAGCCTTCATCATCCTTCTTCCCGAATCTCCCCGCTGGTTGATTCGAGAAGGCCGAATGTCCGAGGCTAGCGAAGTTCTAGCAGCTCTAGAGGACACTTGTGTTGATGATCCCTCCGTCGAAGCAAAGATCAAAGATGTCCAAATGTCCCTAGAGTTGTCTGGCAAACGGTCACTCGGGCGAATATTTCACATGGGTGCGCAAAGGACTTTTCATCGGGCTATTCTTGCTGGTATGGTTATGCTTTTCCTACAGCTTACCGGTTCCACAGTCATCACTTTCTACAGTATGTCCACATCTCATCAAAGTTATATTGACCCAATAGTTTCACTGATTTTATACGTGTCTAGCGACTGCGATTTTTGAGAAGAATCTCGCACTCGGCAATTCAACATCCACCGTTCTTGCGGCGGTCTACCAGCTTGTTGGTCCCATCGGAGGCACCGTATGCGTTCTCAAAATTGAAGGCTTTGGTCGACGTGTACTGCTGCTGGGCAGTGCGATCGGAAATGCTGTGTGTTTGGCCTTGGTAGCCGGACTTGGAACACAAACCGAGAATCCGCTCGCAATGCGTGGTGCCGTCTTTTTTATTTTCCTCTTCCATTTCAGTTATATCATCGGATTTGGCGCGATACCATATCTCTATGCCACGGAGATTGCACCCTTGCATCTACGAACGACCATCAACAGCTTTAGCATCAGCATCTCCTGGGCTATCAGCATTCTGATCACTAATGTCACGCCACTCGCGTTCAACGCCATGGGGCAGACTTACTTTGTCATCTTTGCAGGATTCAATGCGGCTATGGTCCCTATTATCTACTACATGTTTCCGGAAACCGCTGGGCGCAGCCTCGAGGAAATGGACAGGATATTTAGCCTCTCTCGAGGCATGTTGGATGTTGTGCATGTGGCTAGGCTTCTCCCGCATGGGCAGTCGAGAGACCTTTCGCTTGGAAAGGATCTTGTCTCTGATCTCAAACGGCCAGAGCTTCAGCTTCGGGAGGTACACTCAGCTTGACCCACTCCTTTACCGAATCGGCATTATATACCAAGCCCCTTAGAGTGATGATAGCAAAATGGAGCGCAAAATCGTAACAACCTAAACATTTGGACCTGTGTGTTACCTTTATTTCCAACCGAAGAACTTACGGCAACAACATTGTCAATTTTTACCATGGAATCATATAAAAGTAATATCTCGTAGAGCGCTAGCAGTTTGGTTTTGTGACTAAAACCTTGTTCATATCTCAATGCTTTTTGCAGACAGAGGTTACGAAATTCCTCCAAGCATTGCTTTGCACCTCCCTACAATCCTGACTTTTCTCTCTTTTCTTTTTCCTGAAAAGAATTACGATAAAAAATACTTGCCAGCAAGAATCGGTTACGAATAAGGTTTAGCTTCCACCGGACAAGTTTTACGTCGGGTGGCGTTCCACATCCCGGTGATATACAAAGTAATTTTCCACCGGATGGAGGTAGGGAAGGATATCCCGAGGTCATTTTAGCTAAGAATTGCCACCCCATCCTCTCTCCCTCGAGGGCCGCTCGAGTGTCAATAACAATGAGATTTGCTACGGAACGCTCCACGAAGAATTCCTTTTTGTTAAAAATAAAAAATAAAAAATAAAAAATAAAAATATATATTTTTTTTTTTTTTAAAACATACAACAGCATGTCTAAGGTCGTGGTCACCTAGCGCCCACGGTTCGGGCATGGGCGGCTCGCCGCTCTAATTCAGCCCTCCTCAGGGCACTCCGGGCAGATATTCAGCCCGTGCAGCAAAAGATACATTTTCCTATTCTGATCGAAAAAGTTGTAAGTGACCTTCGTTTTCCCTCCGCTTTCATCTCTCCAGCCTCGCTTTATCACTCTAACCTCGCTTTATCACTCTAACCTCGCTTTATCACGAGTAAGATACGTACTAAGCATAACCTAACGTTAAAATATATAGCCAATGTTATGGATTTCGGGGAGCATAGTAACAATGAAATCTAGCGTGTAGTGCTGCCACGAACAGAATCTAGTTATAGGGACAAGTTACTAATTTTCGATAAGTGAGTCTTAGCCCTAGGAGTAGAGAAGCAAATCGCTTAATTATGTCTTTGAGGTTATTAGGGTAATAGGATCATATGACTTAGTGAGGAAAATTGAAGTGAGAGAGAAGAGAGATAGAGAGTGAGATTGTGTAACGGAATCCTCAGAAGCCATGCACAGATCTCTCGCACTCCCAGAGGATCGACACCATATAGGTGTCGACACGTCAGTGTTGGCTCACCGTAACGCTGATCCCCCATGTTAAATAATCTGCTCCGGAGAACCCAGCGGTTCTCCAAGAATCAGTCTCTGTATTCCTCCAATATATTGTTCGCTTCCAGGCATCTTCATCTTACCTAGTTGACAGGCTCTATCCTGTAAACACTAGAACCCCTACTTCTTTACAGTCGGACCTAGTACTTAGTGATACACTATTTAGACACGATTGCGTGTTAGGGTATCTCGACTTAACACATAGAGAATCCATTTAAGTGAAGCATATAGATAGCCGTGTCACGGGACGACCCCCCACCCTCTCGGGTAGGGGGTGTCCCTCAGCCATAATGCAAATTCTCTACTTTTTCTACTTTACGCGTATTCCTACCTACCAAAAATGCCTAAAAAACCTCGTGATGAAGAGGATCTGCTAGCTAAGGCATTACATTCTTATACTACGCGAGAATTTTCATCCCTACGTAAGGCTGCGGACCATTATCGCGTGTCTTATTCGAAGCTTCGCGGTCGCAAAAACGGACAGACATCTCTCTCCGATCGCCCTACCACCAATAATGCATTGAATTCCAATCAGGAAAATGCATTAATTAGCTGGATCGAATTGCTAAACTCTTGCTATACACCTCTAAATGTAAAAGACATTGAAATTGCCGCAAATCGCCTATTAAAAATGGCAGGGTCGGAGAGAGTTGTCGGCCTAATGTATAGCTATCGCTTTATACGGCGTCTACCTCTATATATCAAGCTTATTACCCAAAAACCAAAGGAATCTTTACGAATTCAAGCCGAGGATCCTAGGGTTATTAGCCATTAGTACGATAGGCTTGAGTATCTCTACCCTGAGCATGGTTTTAAACCTTATGAGATCTATAATTGGGATGAAACCGGCTTCTAAAATGGCGAAGGACTTAACCAACACGTCGTCTCTACGCGTTAAACTGCTAGCATTGCTACTAGAGATCGAGGTGAAACTATTACCGGCATTGAATGTATTGCCGCTGATGGCTAGGTGATGTTTCTATGGTTTCTAGTCAAAGGCAGCGTCTACATAGAAGACTAGTATAGCAATATGTCAACCTCTTCTTCGGCGTACAAAATTATCCACTTAACGTCTAATGGCTAGACGGATAGTGAGACTGCTTATCGATGGCTCTGCTCGTTTCATGAAGCCACAAAAAACCGCGTACGACGCGGGCGACCGAGGCTTTTGCTAATAGATAATCATGCGTCTTATATAACTATCGAATTTCTCGATTTTTGTAAGGAAAACTTGATCATTCCTTGGTATTTTGTACCTCACACGACTTATATATGTCAGCCGCTTGATGCTAAGGCTTTTTTAAGCCTAAAGCATGAGTTTAAAATGGCGAATACTAAAGTTATGGCGTGGGGTGGAAGCAATGAAAAACGCGACTTTTTCCGCAATATTGACGCCGTCCGACGCCGCGCCTTAAGGTCCAAAACTATCTAAACATCGTTTAAATCTACTGGTATCTAGCCACTAGATCCTACACGAGTTTTAGATAATTTAGGGCAGTATTCGGATGAAGAGGTACTACGCATGTACGATGAGCCGTCACCCGCCCGCGAGTTCCTAAGTTCAGCAACCAATTCTCCGCCCAATTCTTACGCGCGCATTAAAAAAATTAGAGAATACGGTTTTTCCACTACTTAAGAACCCGACTCCTGATTTACAAAAATTCGGAAGCATATACGGCGCGTAATTGATGCCGGAAAATCGTCTCTATATAATGCGGAACTTGCGGAGATGAGCCTTACGCGCGCCCTTAGCCACAAAACGCCTGGAAATAAGCCAAAAAGTAAGCGATGGGTAAAGGGAGCTACGAAAAGTCCCCTTTCATCAATTTCAGGTAATAGGCTAGTACAGCATAGGTGTGAGAAAGAAGATGAATCGAAGCTTCGCGCTTGGCGGAAAGACGTAGTGAAAATGGCGGCCGATTTGGCGGCTAAGGAATTGGAGGAAACACTTGAAAATGAGGAGGATAATACATTATTGGCTAATGAGGCTATTGACGGGCTTTATTTCATGGATTCTGGACCTCACGCGCCTAGGAAATAGCTAGAAATTGAAGAAATTGAGAATTTGCATTATGGCTGAGAATTGCATTATGGCTGAGAATTGCATTATGGCTGAGGGACACCCCCTACCCCCACCCTCGGTCCTGTGACACGGCTATTATATATATTTGCTTTTGGACGATTTGCAGTTTGATCGCATAAAATCCAAAGAGTATTTCCGGAAATCGGTGTCACCCCCTATACTCTTCCATTGTTCCCCGAACCCTAAATGCCAAGATACACTAAACTACTTTGAAACAAGACATGTCAGCCTCATTTGTTTTTTGGGTGACCGTAAATTACCGGATTATCGTATTGATGAGGAATATGTTTACTTGTAAGCTGAGAAGCTGCAATTTGAGGCCCCACTTTACCCTACCAAATTCTCACCTTCACCTCGGTTTCTGTCAGCTGATTTAGGCTTCTTGGTTGGGTGGTAATATTGAAGAGAATAATGAAAAGAGCGACACGGAAGAGAGAACCCCGTGCGGAGTAGTAGGTTCAAGTTCTATTTTAGGAACAGTTAATGGGGATTATACGAAGTACTCCATCTGTGTTTATGAGGAGTAGCCAGGACAGTGTGGCGCATGCACTCGTATAGATAATACTACTAATACCCCCACCTTAATCTTCTCCTAGATCTACGGTCCTCACATCATCCCTCGCGACCGCTGAAAGAGGTGCAGTGCAACCTTTAGACATGGCGACTTTACCGGTGACGCTTCCGGTCAACCCTGAGTTTGGCTCAAGAGAGCGAATTGGGGTGCGTCATTATTCTCATTTTACCTGACTGATGCTCAGGCGATGCTATCCCGGACTGACCTCGTCCAGGACCATCTCGCGATCATGCGAAAGTTCAAACGCATTTTAGAGGATGCGGAGCGCCCCGGTAGGCACGCGCATAGATTCCCGCCCCCTCCACCCGGCGTTTCAGGTCAGGAACAAGAGGGTAAATGGAGAGTACAATGCCTGCTTATGAGCGCTGAGGTCCGGTACTCGAGGTACCTCCTAATGTTAGAAAGGTGGATTAGGTCTTATGGCGTCAAAGCACCTAAGGATGAGTGGCCGCTCCCACCATGGTGTGACAATCCAAATTTCCGTGTTGTCTTTCCTCTTTTGGGGCATGAGGGCATGTACTAACATCCTTTGGCAGGGACGTGGCCATCATATTCTATGCCCATCTCCTCTCACCATTCAAATTCCAGAGCGACATCGTGTCAAGTTTCTGGATGCTTTGGTGGAAAGCAGAGATCGAATTTCCTCTTGCAAGAATGTGCGCAATCAACACAGATAATGCAAGTAAGCTTGCATGGATGTACCAATATCCCAATATCCCTTATCAGACTGTCGAGTTCACTCCTACTGGAGACCACGCATACATCACTGCTGAGAATGTTATGGACATTCACGGCTATAGGTGCGGCTCGAAGCACTGCAAGAAGAAGGCATATGTCATCCCAATGACTGAATGGTCCAAATACCGGGTTGGCCGAGCCAAGCTCACCTGTCCGGGTTGTAAGACGACGTTCACTAACAGAGAGACCAAGCCTGAAACCCTGCATGAATTCTCCCGTGCTATGTTCGGATTCCCCGTTTTCAACCTATGGGACAGTCCTCAACGACAGTTTGGCAAGCAAGGTCTTGTGGACCGAATTTTGGCCTTGACCCAGGTTCAAAGCCTGATTCCGGTTCAAGGCCTAATTCCGGACCATACCTCCCGCTATATTAAGTTCCTGCAGCTCATAAAAGAGAGCAAATGCACCCTTGTCCCGACGCTTGACATCGATCTCCTCTGGCACACTCACCAGCTCTCACCAGTCGCGTACGACAAGTACTGTAAGACGCAAGTGGGGCGACAGGTTGACCACGTCGATACCATCCGCACGGCGAAGCGCTCCACGGGGGAGGATGACACGGCGCGCCTCTGGGCGGTGCGGTACGGCGAGTTCTACTTTGACCCGGAAAATACAGCCAAGAATATCGAGATCAAACAACGTAAAGGCAGGTGTAAGCAGAAGCGGGAGGCCATGGAAGCCAAACTGGCCGCGTACGACTACAACCACCAATATATAAAGAAAGCGCTCGACGAGGCAAGCGACCGTCTCGCAACCAAGCACGCTAGCATACGCGACACACATACGGCAGTGAGCGCGCTCAACGCGGCGGTAGCGAACGTAGAGACAGCGAAAGAGTCTGTCAAGCCGACACTGCGGCTACTCGAACTGCGTTACTACCGCCGGTCACGAAGGCAGCAGCTGCGAGAGCTAGAAGATAAACGCCGGTCGCTGGTGGAGGAGTATATACACAAGCGGTGCGAGGTAGAGGCTCTCGAATATGAGGTGGCGCGGGAGCAGAAGCCGGACTACAAGGAATGGGAGGAGGCAAAGAAGGCGAGGCGGCTCCTGGAGCAGCGGCTCGCGGCCGAGGTGACCTTGGCGACAGAGGCGATCTGGCAGCAGCAGCAGCAGTACCAGGAGGACCGGTATGACGGGTCGTGGTGCTCGATCGTGCCGTCAGAGGTGCAGCCCTGTGTGCATCCCATTGTAGACACGGCGGACGGCAGGAGGGCGTACCTACAGACGTGGGCGGATACCTATAAGCCAACGCGTAGCTACACAGGGTATTCTGGGGGAGGAGGAGGGAGAAGAAGGAGGAGGAGAAGGAGGAGGAGGAGAAGGAGGAGGGTGCGGTGGAGGAGAAGGGTGCGGTGGAGGAGGAGGGTCCGGCGGGGGAGGTGGCGGCGGCGGCGGCGGCGGATGCGGCGGAGGAGGAGGAGGATGCGGCGGTGGATGCGGCGGTGGCTAACCCAGGCATACCAATAGCATAGCAGCCTAATCCAGACCATTTCGAGGTCTATAGTGCGAGGGTATCTTTATGAAGATCCTCTTGTTTCTCGGTATGCTAAGGTTATCTAACCCTATTAAATCAGCGATGATTACCTCTTTATCCCACTCAACCTTTTTCTCTGCTGTTCTTTGAGGGTTCGATTACCAATAGTTCATCCTCGCATTTGCGGGAGGGGGCATCGAATTATAGTGACGCATCGTGTACAGCCAAAGCTGCCGATATCCCAGGTCCAGCCTATCAGATTCGTCGGCAGCTTCTTGGCGGAATGAGAACTCCGATATTTGTATCGAGGAAAGCTTTCTCCCTGAATCAGCCAGAAAACTACCCTTCATTGCACTCCATATAGAGGTGTGCGACTGCAAAGAGCCATCTCATGCATTACGCGCATTGCTCAAAAAAGGGACAGTCGTCCCAGAAGGTCTCTAGGGACGGGATTATCCCATCGAATTGTTTTATTCTTTCCCAAATCTCCTTCCGTTCCGATTCGCCAAGAGAAGAGAATATTTGCCCGCCTAAAGTTAGTCCCATCAGCTCTTTTGGGTCCTCGCCACAGTTTCCAGGGGCTTTCTCGGAGCCTTGGGGTGAAAGCGAGCCAGACTGGCGAGCAAGAATCATCTAACGACCATTCGCTGTCTACCCGCTCCTTGGCATTCCTTGATTGCACTTCCTCGACCACATGGGCGCGGAGGTGCTCTGGGATTGTTCGGGAACCAGACGGCTCCGCGCTTGCCCTTTTGATCTGTCTTTTCTTGTCTTTGGCCCGTTGTTTATAGCTCCTAGGGTTCGCTTTGACCGCTTCTCCAAGCACAGCCAGCGCTTTTGGGTATTCATGATGGTTCTCGAGGTAAGTGAGCAAGGATTTGGGGTCGCTCGTCAAATATTATTGCGCCTTCAGGAACGTTTCCTCCTTCTCCGATGAGTGACCGTGTGCTATGTGGGTCAAGAGACCATACAGCGCGGCATCTTTGCTGCGAGATTGCCCACCTGACAGTCCGTACTGCAGGGAGTGCGCGAGTACGTCAAAGCGCTTCAATCGTTCGTTGGCACGCGCCGCAGTATTAAGGTTTGTGTAGTTGTCAATAATGCGTTTATTGAGTTGCTTAACTAGCAATATAGCCGGGTGATTGGAGTTGACAACGTTGCGCGAAACGTCGTTGACAAACTCCTGTGTTCTTGTACGACGCAAAGCCAAGTTGAGGTAGACTTCAACAGGACTCAGTTATTGACTCAGGCACGAAAGGTTGTACTCCCAGTCGCATTTCGGCGTAAATTGACTGTATGCTTTACTCATGTCATGCGCGTATTGTACAAGCACGAGCTCGCAACAGAAATACATTTGTCACGCGGTCTCTAGTCAGGTTTCTCATCTCAGCTTTGCCAGCATTGTCTCAATTTTTGGCGGAGATACAACCGGCGGACAACTGTTAGCCGACTTATCTGAGAACTCGTCATAGCCGCACCACCAAGGCAGCCTAACATCTCAAACGGCTAGTAGTCCACGACAGGCTTCACCAGATGAGGCTCAAATTTCACCATTTAGGAGGTTTGGAACAATCTCAGGGATTAAATAGAATGTATCTAGAAAGTAGGTGTAGCCTACATATCGCTATTTAAGTTGGATCCCAGGTCACGTGATGTATAGATATATTATATTGTAGTGGCAGCCTACTAGGCTGACACCACTACTCCAGGCAGAATGCAGCTACAAATAGCTGCACCTACTCACATAGATTGAAAACGATCATCACACTTGTACCTCAATCCAGGGTCTCAACTATTTATGAGGGGTCAGGGTAACTGAAAGCATCCATCCATCCAACCATACTGTACACTCAAGCACGAAGATATCAAATCAAGATGGTAGCATTCAGCGGATTATAAAGTCCGGGGAAAAGAAGAAGAAAACGATTTAACTGGAGGTTTTGTTAATATCACCTCAAACCCGGTACCTCCTATCTCGGTAGATTCCTCCTAGTTATCACCGTATCTTCCATCTCGAGACCGACCAAGAGGCAGCCTATCGTCACAGAGTTCTGAAACTTGACATCGAATTTGGTACCAGAGTGGTGATTTTTTGGTAGATCTTCTGAACCAGAATGATTGGCATGCATAAAAAGCCGAAGAAAATGAACCATGTAGGTATACGTTCACGGGAACAGAAGATCATTTGAGCGAGGTGGCTTAATTAAGGTGTTGGCAGTGGCGGGATTATGAGGCGTAAGAGAATGTGTAGTTGGAGGATTTATAGATAGAAAGAGGTCGGAGGAAAATATGAGGGTGAAGAGGATGAGCCCAAATTTTTTCATGTATGTACTCACTGTACTGTACTTTTGGGTCTGTTAGGACAATATCTGAAGAAAGTGAATATTGTTGCCTAATGTCGAGATCACGCGGCCATTGGGTCACGTGATCCAAGGATAGACCTGTATGTACACCTACTTCTTTACAAGTAACAAATTAGGTATTATAAGTTATACTATTAATAGGTATAGATCGTAACACTTACTTTAGTAGATAGAGACTTTCCCGTAAAGAAGCGACTAAGACCAATTTTTCTAAAAATAAACCTAATCCTACCCTATAAGTTCTAAAATCTTTTGCTAAAGACTATATTATAATAAGGAAAAATCTACCTATATAGAAGTCTACGTGTTAGAATTTTATTAACTTTACTTTAAGATAGGAGCGAGAGACTTATCGATCTCTACTAAAGCACGTTAAGGATAATGTTCTAAATATAAGCCTACCTAGATCTCGTCGGTATTATTTCTTCCAATAAGTTAAAGTATATTAGGTAGGACCTAATAGTTAAATACTAACTATCTACGAAGCCACGAGAGCGCTCTATAGTTATAGCAAAGGATATTGACTACCTTCTTCGTGGCCTTTTTGGCGGTGATTAGCACAATTATAAGTATGATAAGCACGTATATAAACGGGGAGTGCTCTTACACTTTTTGCTAGCTCGGGTACTAGGGTAGGTACTATAGTAGAGTTAAGCGCTTATCGTAATTCTAATAAATATCTATATTATAGGGTTAGTTTTATCCTAAATCTCCTCCCCTTCCCGCCCTAGTGACCGGTTAAGCTAATAGGAGACTAATAGTATCTTACTTTCAATATAAAACGTAGCACTAAGAGTCAATTAAAACGCTAGGTAACGATTAATCCTAAGTTTTTGAAAGGATAGCGTAACCGTGACGATAAAGATTTATAAGTCTATAGATAAGCCGTAAAGAAGTTTAAACGCTAATTCGAAGGATAAAAGACTAAAGAACTAGTTTAGAGAATATCTAATTCTCGGAATAAGCTTTGTTTTTTAGGTAATAGTGTTGTAATGGAGTGCACCCAGGTCAATACACGTCTCACCAACTAGGCCAAAAAGACCACTATGTCAGCCGTCAGGCTGACATGCCTGGGACCGATATATATACTACTCAGTACGCACAATTGAACCCGTGGATCAGCCACGCCGTTACATAGTGTTATCGGCTAATAATGCCTAGAGGATATAGTTACGCTTTATATATCCACGGAACGCGTTATTTACTATCCCGGACTTTTACCGGAGGAAAATCGATATCTAATATATTCTAAGCTTATGTTATAGTACGTATTCTATAAGCAGAGGTGTCGAATGCTTAGGGGTTATCTTTCGATAAGGTAAGGCTTATATAATAATATATTATATAAGCGACAGTGAGGTGTAACGTATTTCCCTACCGAGTGGGCCACCCCTACCGAGTGGGCCACCCCTACCGAGTGGGCCACCTACACCGGTCTATTCATTTTAAATGCATTTATCTCAACCAAAACGCCATTAAATTCAATAAGCTAAACTCGAGGTCTATTAGGACATGTAGTCATTCTATGACCCTGAATTCCACATACACTACACTTCGTTTTTGCCCTCGTACGCGGCTGAGAAGGTGCCGGAGCTGGCCCTACCTCACGGGATCCTTCTGCTAAAACTGCTTGCTCTGGCTGCGCTATTAAGGCAGAGGCCTCTAAAACTGAGAAGCCTTCTTTGGAAGGTATTTGCCTTGTAGACCGAGTCTTTTTTCGCTTCTTCTTCTCGTTTTTAGCGCGTAAATCGCTTACTTCTTTCTTAAGAATAGCTGCCGATTGTATCGTGATTTGATAGGCTTTTAAAACTTGATTTATCGTAGAATTAAGCGGGCTCGGTAGACTTTTTGAGCGCTACTTTAGTAAAGCTTTAATTAAGGAAGCTTGTTTTTGTAATTAGACGTAGTTCGACGGCGTTTTTGGCGACCACTTACTATCCCGGCTCGAGGGGGGTCGGCGTACGGAGGCGAATATCGGGCTTCGAAAGCACTCGATCGGGGTTATAAGGCATTAAACCGGCGCCGGCGAAGCTATTCTTAATAGTCTCCGATTTAAATGCCTCGATTCGCGCGGACGGGTAGACTTCGAGGAAGTCTAATTTATTGATATAATTAATCCGGAGCCGTATTTTGCTTTCGATAAGCCGAGTATACGCGCGCTTTAATACCGCAAAACAGCCGATATCAAGAGGCTGTAAAAGGTGAGACGAGTGCGGAGGCATATAAATTGCGATAATATTGTTTTTCTCGCAAATTTCGTCGAATTTCGGAGTCAAATGACTCCCGTGGCCGTCGAGGATCAAAAGTCTATACTTCCCCTTCGTACGCGAGGAAGTAGACGGAATAAAGAGCTTTTCGAGCCACCGAACGCTAATTTTATCGGACGTCTACCCGTTCGGACTAACCTCGAGTCTCTAATTATTCGGAAGGCCGTCGAACTAAGATTCGATAAAGACTTTGCCCTTAAAAATCACGCACGGAGGAAGCGCCTACCCCGAAGTATTTATACACTCAATTGTAGTCACCTACGCGCGATTTCCGGGCTATAAAAGCGATCGCCGACCGTAGTATTCCCTTCTCGTGATAACCTTCGCGGTCGCAATCAAGCCTATTGCGAATCCGGTCTCGTTAAAGTTATAGATATCATCGGGATCGATACCGTGAGAAATGATCGTTTTTTGGACGAGAGAAAACCATTCTTTAATGATTTTCGGGTCTTCACATTTAGCGCGCGCGTAATTATAGCCTTTCGAGAATCGGGAGGAGAGGATTAGATGCCTTTTCACGAATTTTGTGACCTAATCCTTACCGACTAAAGGAGCGGGGGTAGATCTACGCGCCGCGAGTAGTAAATCCGCTATTTCTCGTACGGTAGAAGGCCGAAGGGCTGCTCCGCGAGAGTCTATAGAGAGAATCTATTTTTGAAGCGATTCCTCCTCAATTTCGGTCAATTTATGTGAATTTGCGCGAGTTTCAGCGCGAAAAGGATGGCCGGTAACGCGTCGCTGTAGTGTTGTACGGGGTACGTTAAACTGACGCGCTACATCACGAATTGATAGAATTTCTTGCTTCTTAATAGCCTAGATAGCTAGGAAGATCCTACCCTTTTGCTCCGTACGATTTTGAGAGGATTGAGTACGAATTGGTGGCATGGTAGGTGGTTGAAGAAGGAAGGTCTAATTAATTGACGCGTTTTACGTTAGGTGGCCCACTCGGTAGGGGTGGCCCACTCGGTAGGGAAATACGTTAGTTAATGATAGTCACGATAGTAGGCGACGGTGAGATATAAGGATGATTCAATTGATTGCCTAGAGGTGGAGTAGAATTATGAAGCACGAATGATCTCGTTTCCTGCGAGGACTTTCATGTCCTCATTACAGAATAGGCTACATTCCAGTGAGTTTAAAATGACACTATAGTACTCTGATCGGGCCATTATATAATTTCTAAGGTCGTAGTATGTTTCTGGTTAATATTTTGCCCCGTTCATGAAATACATTTCTTTGATGTGATTGTCAACGAGTGAACAGGGGGTCTCGTCGATCCTTTTGACGGATGTCAGCCCATCTCTGCTAGCTGCGCCTGATAAGATGGCAGTTTAAAACCGGAGGGTCATCTAAGAGGGTGGCTTCAGTTTGACTAGAAGTGGTATCTTGTCCCAAATGATATAGGCACGCTGATCTGCCCAGTTGGAGCACTGGGGGGACAGCTCCAAATCGAATGCCCATATCAATCGTGCAAGAATTAGGCTTGCCTCTGCAAAGGCCAGACTATAAGATTAGGTTAGCCTCCACCCGAAACCATCCACAAAGATGTGACTTACATCTTTCCCGGACACGCCCGCGGGCCCACTGAAAAAGGTTGCATGGCGTCTTTAACATCATTATCTCCAGGACCGATATCTAGCCAGCGTTCCGGAAGAAACAATTGGGGATCCTTAAAGTTGGACGAAGATTGGTAGGTCGCCCATGAAGCGATGGCAACTGATGTCTATAAACCTCGGTCATCTTGCAGCTCAATTCTTTACTATAGAGACCTTTCATACCTTCTCGGGTACGAACTGCCCTGAGACTATGGCGCCCCCACTCGGTACAACACGCGGCATGCCGAGCGGCAACGGCGGGTACATGCGCAATGCTTCTTGGAGCACGGCCCGTAGGTATGATATATCCGCTAGTGATGAGAATGTTATCTCTAACGGAGAGGAGAAGCGGTTCCGTATTTGGAAAGCCAGTTTCTCATGTACCTCTGGACGCTTCAGGATGTAGAATGTACAGCCAGATAAAAGGGTAGCGGTGGTCTCACTGCCTGCCATCATCATGAAACTGTGATTGGATAAGATTTCCTCCGTGGAAAGGGTCGACCGAGGGTCTTCTCTGGACTTGATATAAGTGGTAAAAGTTGGCTGGCCTGATTCGGACTCCACGCCCCCTGGAACCTTAGAGGCAATGGAATTGAATTTGGTGGTTTGGTGCTGGAGTAGATCGCTATAGAAAAGGAGCCCTGCAGCTTTAATAATCCAGGAAAAGGTCGGGAAATACTTGGATTGGCTGAGAAAGGCCCACGCTTTGATCGATCCGAAGAGCATGTCTACCCAGGGATGGTACGCACCATCCTCAAGGCAGCCCAGCGACTCGCCGAACAGCTCGAGCGCCATGAAATCGAACATAATGTAATTGTACCATTCTGTCATGTCCACGACGCTATTATTATTTTCGATCTTCTGTTGGAGCTTTTGGATAAGAGTATCGACAAATGGGTGCAGAAGACGCTCATGCGACTTCTGTGCTGGTTCTGAAAATGCCCGGAGAATGGCCCGCTTTTGCCGGCCGTGGACACCATCCGAAGCGACCAGAATACTTGGAGCTTTGTTCTTGGATATATGGTAAAATCGCATGTCTTTTGGAAAGTTCCGTGAGTGGCCGTGGATATCTTTCCATGCTTGATGGGTCCGGTAGCTCAATTCATCTGGAGCGACTCGGACAACGTCCCCATACTGGTCATGGAGTAGCTGCACTCGCCTATGCAACTTACCCTGGGCGTAATACGCCGCATAAGGAACCCTCGACACAGTCCAAATAAATGGACCCGGGTAACAACTCAGAGGGTGAAGGTGTCGATTAAAAAATATTTTCCATGCTATAAACAAAAGAACCTGCGTCCGTCCGTCAGCTTTTAGGAGCCCGTTATGCTGGTTTGATAATACTTACTAAGGGGAATATTGTGTAAATGCTGAAGGAAAGGGTCACTGGGGTCATTGCACGGAGCATGTTCAGTGATAGCTTTTTTTGTAGTCCAGGAGGTTAGGATAAGTATAACACAGGATACGAATTACAACTCGTTGCAGTTTCCCGTCTCCTAAACCCCACGTATAGTGAAAGGTTGCTCACCGTAGGTGATCCCGTGCGTCTGCTACGCAACATATGGGTCGTATTTCAACGGCCCCTTGCATATTTTTAACTTTGTATTCAGGGTGCTTCAGTCGCCCATTCGAAGGAATTATGTCTACTTCATGCTCTCGGCATAATTTACCCGCAGCGGTTCATTTATCCTAGCCGCTGTTGCCCTTCCATTTCGACCGATGTAACTCCGAGATGCATGACTTCCTTGAGCGTCCGCTAGTTCAGCCAGCCTGCCTTCATTCTTGTCGATCTTTTTTGTAGATAGTTACTAGGTTACTGGTTTTCCACCACATGCAGCTCTCACCGCTTCTTTCTTCAGTCAACACATTAACAGATGGAGGGCCATGGCGGCGCCGGAGATGCATCATAGAATCCAATGATGAAGGGGAAGAGAAAAGGCGTGGGGTCAAAATTTATCTTCGATCAAATCACTGTCTCTCCCTTCCATCCCTTTCGATCAAGTATTCACAGGAAGGCTATGATCGACATCGAACTGCTGCAGCTAAGACGTCTTGAAAATGAAGACGATTATGCATTACTACTGGGATAGACGATGCTAGTTCTTAGGTGGGGGGTCTCGTCAAGTATTGTATCAAAGCTTGGAAGATATTAGTCTCAACACATACAACCAGATCTAGTGATCGCGCTCCTACAGCAACCTCTGCCCACTGTGTGCCTTATAAGCCACCTTTTTGCCACATGTAATCCGGGCTTTTACATCCACTTTGAATATCGCTTATTCACAAAGACTGTTCCTTTAGCCTGTTTTTATCCTCCGGATATATCTCCACCACCTCAAGCATAATGATCCCTATCAATGCGGTAGCTACCAGATCAACAACCATCCTGGTTGACCTTGGGGGGTCTTCATGCACCCACAAGTGGAACAAAAGCTGGCGACTCGCGACTCCACCGTCTCCTTACGGAGAGTCATGTCCACGTCAGTTTGGATGAACTACGAAACCGGACTGTTAAGCGAGGAAGAATGTTTCGCACAGTTAGCCAAGGAGTATCACTTTCAGGCATATGACCTGGCGATGATGATCCAGAATCTCCGTGAGACTATCATCTGGGACCAGACTGCTGCTTCTATCTTCAAAGAAATCAAGCGGACGGGGGCCCGTATTTTCCTGGTGTCCAATATATCCAAAGAAGATTACGCCGCACTCCGAAACCGGTGGGACGATGAATTCTGGTCCATATTTGACGGCGTTTTCACCTCGTCAGCTCTAGGCGTCCGAAAGCCAAGTTTGCGCTTCTATCGCCATGTCCTACGAGCCACGCGGGCACTACCTCATCAGACCTTCTTTGTGGATGACAGAGCTGAGAATGTTCTCGCGGCGCTCTCCGTTGGAATGAGAGGAACATATAATATCTCAGAGCTCTACCGGACACTCACCAACTTTGTCGGCGATCCCGTAGCACGAGGACTTGCATTCTTGCGAATCCAGAATGGACATTTTCCGACAATCACCCAGCATAACGAAACAATCCATGAAAACTACGCTCTGCTCCTGATCCTAGAAGCGTTGAAAGACCCGTACGCCTCTCCCTGACATTAGCACCTACAGTTTTCTAACCATCATAATTAGAAGCCTTGTGAACCTTAAAGCCCCGCCTCGACTCTGGAACTTCTTTAGTGGTCAGCCTCCTCCATATCTTCCGTCTCTTTATACTAGAGTCATTGATAAAAATTCAGGCGAGCCAAAATACACAAGTGATACCTACCCCGACGACTTAGACACGACGTCCCTCGGCCTGCTAACAATGCCCCCCGACGCTGCCATAGTCCACTCCATCCTAGACGAAATGCACGACTACGTCGACGAAGATGGCAGCGTGCAGGTACGCCACCCCTGAGCCATTACACCAGTAAAAGAACTAACGTCATCCCTAAGGCATATTTCGACAAATCAAGACCACGAGTAGATGCGGTCATATCCCTTAACGTATTGACTCTGTTTCACAGATACGGGCGCGGCCACGAGCTCCCTGACACAATGGAGTGGATCTACAGCATACTGCTTAATAGGGCATATATAAATGGGACACGCTACTATCCCAATGCTGAGTGGTTCCTCTACTATCTGACGCGCCTTCTTCGCGTGTCAAATGATCTCACCCTCAAGGAGAGGATCGAATCTCCTCTCCGAAAACGTGTGGCCGAGAGGGTCGGGGTGGCTGGCGATGCATACTGCCTTGGCATGCGAGTATTGGCATGCAATTACCTCGGGATTGATAATCATCCTGATCGCCAGAAACTCGCCGATATGCAGCAGGAAGACGGCGGCTGGGAGGCCTCCTGCATGTATTTATTTCCCGGTGCCAAACTAGAGTTTGGAAATAGAGGGGCTAGCACAGCGTTTGCTGTGAAGGCCCTTGAGGACTGGCCAAAATAATAAAAGACGATATAACTAAGCTATCTTTATGCCATAATTTATTTCCGTACTCGGAAAACACCATATAATATGATCGTGTGATCAGGCGATGTAATTGACGTGATATTCCAGTAAATTTAAAACCGACGACGTACGGAAAGAGGTCGATCATGAAGCAAAGCGTAGGTGGAACCTGGCGCAGGCACAGTGATATTCGAAATCAGTTTTAAATACGTACTCTTTCGAATTGGCTCCCGAACCCTAATTCGAGACACACCAATCTAATTTAAGCCCTTCCCCTGATTATCTCTACTGGAAGACGCGCGTTGCGCGCATTGGCCAACTGGAAAGGGGAGACGGAAAGGTGAAAAGAGACATTAAAATGTGTGGATGATGTTTGAGTTGCGTTTTACTTAAGATTGACCAATGAGAGGAAAGATCAGATGACTAATAAATGAAATCGAAGAAAGCAACTAATAAATCAGTTAAACTCGCTAACGGTTATTATTTTTCGACTACGCGAGTATATCAGTATACAAGGTTTTCCTTAGCCTTTGAGAGCGTCTCTCTAGAGTGGGAGTGCTAGCACGAGGTAAGGTTTTGACTTCGTCTGCCGTGTCTAGCCGAGTTATTTGCGTGCTTTCGTCGTCCTTATTATCTAGGGCATCTGTTCTAGTTAGCTTAGGATAATGCTGGTCCCTAAGAGAAGGCTTATTTTAGGGGGTTGTAATTGATTTAGAGGGGGTGGTAGGGCTAGCCCTCTAGGACTAACGATTAGACTTCCGCATGACCCAACCTAACCCGGACCCAACCCGGACCTAACCCGGACTGGGTTGGGTTCTGGGTCGGAGTCTTCGACCTAGTACTGGGTCTGGGGCCCGGTCTGGGGCCCTAAGTTGGGTTACAAACGTTACAAACAAGCTAAGACCTATGACTGTATAAGTTATGAATTTTCGGGCTGTAATATTGAGTATTCTGAGGTACGTTGAAATATCTAACGGCCGTTAGAATTTAACGCTAATCCTGTTTGGGGTCACCGCTCGATTAATTAGGCAGAACTGTGGTGATAATGAAATACTCTAGACTGGACGGGGAGTTGTGTCAGGCGTTACGGCGTTTCCCGGGCGAACATGTTGAATCACTGATCAAATTAGATAGCGTGACATCGGTTGTTATGACAAAGATCTAACCGCACATCAGGTTCTGTGCTTGGACAATTGCTGTCAATTCCGTAACTTGCACTAGTTTACTTCGAGTACCTTAGCACAACTCCGCTTGTTTATTAATGCAATTGGTTCTCTTCGTAAACTAGACCCAAACACGCATACAGTTCCTTGAAGTGACAGATGCCATGCAAATCTGCTTCGAACACTTCAACCAACCACCGCCCAACTAACCAACTCGCTTTTCCCCTTCCTTTTCTCCCCATCTCTCTTTCAGTGAACATCCTCCGGAGCATCGGATGCAGCGTGCCAATTAGTGCGAAGGCTTTATGTGGTCTTTGGCATACTGGGCCAGCGCCGAAGCATCTTTCCCGGCTGAACGCCGCCCCAACCGCCTGATCGCTGTCACTGCGGGCCCAATAGTCTTTGCCCAAGTTAAACTGGCCTCCTCCAAGGCCAATGCCTTGTTCAGCAGACTATCAAGTTCCTTGGATTTCACGACAGAGTTGAGGATATGAGCATCCCGCGCTAGGAAGGTCTCTGAATTTGGGATGGCTGGATCCGCGCGAAGCGAGACAAACAAGCGTACCTCCTCATCGGAGGTGAAGAACTTGCACATCTTCTCGGCATTCTCACCTTTCATGAGCTTCTCCTCTTCCACCTGGAGCTTAGCAACAATTCCCGGGACGTCCGCAACCTTAACATTGGCTTCCACAAGCTTGCGGATGAGAGCAGTGGTGATTTTTTCATAGGTGTTGATCTCCGTTCTCCACCTCATTGCAACATCTGCGGCTGCGCTGTACTGCTTCGAGAATTCCACCAGGGCGCCTTTGGTGGCGTCTTTGAAGGGCACCTAAAACAGGAATGATTAAATTAAGAGCTTGTGAGTGGGAAAAGAGAGAGAAACAGAGAGAAAGAGAAAGAGAAGAGAGAAGGAACATAATCAACTCAAGCTGAGCAATCAGCAGTAACAGTGACAACATACCTTATCCGCCGCCTTCTGCAGCATCTGCGCCAGATCGATATCGTTCATCCCAATTCCCAGTAATGCCATATGCTTTTGAGTTCGCGCCACCGCCTGCTTCTCTTCGATGTCCTCAAAAGTTCGTCGGACAAAGAAGTTGTAGGCAATGCTGTACCTCACAATTACCTTGGAGATGTCCGAGACGTCGCGGTGTTTGGCATCCGTGCCCCTGTGCTTCTCGCAAACTGACGCGACCTCCTGCAGGAGATCCTCGTCAATGCTCTTCATGGTGCCCTTCAGATTGTTCCGTGCCTGGGCCAGGCGCTCGCACCATTGGTAGTACTCGGTGGGATCCCAATCATCAGCAGGTGTCCACTTCTCGGCATCCTTCAACCATCTCTCATACACCGCCTTGGTCATTATGATGATGATGACTATGGATGTAGTGAAGCAGATTGAGAAGAGCTTGGTAGGGGAAAGGGGGTTTCAAAACAATAGATTGAAACAAGAGACACTGGGTGCTGCTTAATTTTTTCATTCTTTTTTGAAGGGACTCGAGTTGATTCTTATATCATTCCTGAGCGAGTTGGGAGTTGCTGCATCACACGCTTTCCGCGCGATATACATATCATCCATCTTCTCTCAGTCATGAGACCCAGTACCATGAGTGCGGGGGAGGCGCATTAATCTCGGGTCTGGCTTATCCCAAATGGAAAGTTAGAGGGTTTTTGAATGGGGAAATAAAAGTCAAAAGGAATCAATTGTAGTGCTCCCTCTATAAAGCCCGGGCTTTTTAGCCTAATTTCCTTCACCGCTATCTGACTTCCCGAACGACTTCTGATTTAGGCAATATACCAGATCTCTAGCCAAATTGAATGGGGTAAAAAGATGGTTGCTTAGAACATGGCCTCAGGATCACAGTTGTTCGAAAAAGAATGACAAATGTGGCTGGCTGTAAGATAAGACAATTCACTACTGTATTACAGATGATAAGAGTCTAAGTCTAACGCATGGGTGGCGTGCTATTTGCGTAAATGTATAGTGTAACTCGAAGCGCTCATGTTGTGTAACGTAAATCCGAGTTCTATTAGTGCGCATGCATTGTAAAAGTCAGACCGCTAATGTTGTGTAACATACTCGAGCGCTATTTGTGCAAATGCATAGTGTAACTCGAAGCACTCATGTTTTGTAATGTAAATCCGAGTGCTGTTAATGTGCATGTATTGTGTGACTCAGACCGCTGATGTTGTCTAACGTAAAATCCACACTTGCATACTGTAAGTGAGGGAGCGGCATGCTATTGATTACCATTGATTGTAATTAGACGTGATAGATCATGCGGCGCGTACACTTACTGTTCTGAAGGATCCTCAGACTGAAATCTTCGCTCAAGCCCCACCAACTTCCTGAGATGTTTATGCCAAGGGGGTTTTATAGGCGCGTCTTCAATAAAACAATTACACTCTCCGTGATCAGAGCGCAATAAATGGTCAGAGAGTACTCCGTAATAACGAGAAGATGACGTCTAGGCCACTACATTTCCGGAAGCGGGCAAAACATGCTGGCAATAGAATGTTATTACGCCCTGTCTTCTCCCAAATTTTACCACATAAATAGCGACAGCGGTACCACTTTTTCCGCACAATACTTAGCATCTCATCGTCCCTATCTTTTCCTCCCCCTTCTACGTCTTCGCATGCTACGGATCCCTGACTAAAGCATTACGCTACCAAATACACCCTTTACCTTCTTTGGACAAGAAAAAGTCTCAGAGGAAAATAGAAAGTCAAGATGCCGGGAACATCGGAAACAGCGAGATACAATCTTAATGGTTGACAGCAAGATGCCTACCAATGGGCACAAGAGAAAGCCGATATGGTTACCAACGAGCTTCGCAGGCCTGTTACGAAGATCGACGTTATGAGTGATGAAGAGTGGAATCGAACTAAGGCGGCGGCGGCAAAGAAGCATGCAGAATAAGAGGCCAGGCTCGAAAAGGAGAGACAGGAGAAGCAGCTAGCAAGGGAACGTCAGGGTAGTGCTGGCATAAAGTGACGTTCACGCTGCTTTTGGCAGAAAACTTTGGGATAAGTGGCTGTAACAAGGGATCTCTATCTATGAATTGTCGTATATCAGAACGAGCAGCAAGTTTGCCACATAGGGTGCGTGGCGGAACGAACCGTACATAGTCAAGCCACTTCTTTTTTCCAGTCTCGCACATGTACATCCACGTTGATTAGAACCCTTCCTCTCACTTCGTTCGTTTCAGGGCACGGGGCTGTATTGTACTGTCTAGTAACGAGAGATACGTTATTGTTATGATACCGTAATTTCTCGTAGAACCTATAGGAATATTCTATACAAACAAACCAAACAAATAGGAATCCTAACAGTCTAGTAAGATCAATCCCTTAACTCACTCGCATATTAGTTACTCGTCACACGTAGCCTTCGCCCACACTCATTTAGCATCCTATAGAAGGCTGCAGTGGCGTTATAGAGAATTAAGTCTAGCTGGCAAACAACATTCTCCGTACCAACTTTGCTGGACTCTGCGGGTTTACCTGCAAGTATAGATATTGCCCGGTTGGTGCCTGCTACTGCACTGCTATGGGGAAGCAGAAGAAGCTTCTAAAAGCCATAGGAGACAAAGGGTATCCTGCAAACGGTGATGCTAATTATGCCGGTTTATGTGATTTCTCGTGCAATTCTGGGTACTTCCCTAAGACGGCGTGTTCTACAACTCTACAACCGAGAGACCAGTATACATCCCTACCAACTCTCCTTTTACACCGCTAGCCTATACTAGCGGCGAGGGGGAGAGGAAGGGGGGGGACCTAGCTGGTCTAAACAGCTTCGCCTATGCATTCGGATTCTATCCCGTTGATTCATGCATATGTTTATCAATAGGGGCTCGGATTGTTCTACCGGACCTAGACAATATTATAGGTGTCCCGGATACTAATAACGGTGACGAGTACTAGCTTATGAAAGGTCTTTGTAACTTCGCTTACAGTAGGGGTTACTGTCCTGCTAGTGCCTATAAACTTTCTTCTAGTGGCGGCGACGACGACGACGATTCTAATACCGTGTAGGTCATCATTGACTCTTTAATTTAGGAGGAAACAAATCCTACGGTTAGCTATAGAGAAGAGTGTGTCTTAGTGCTACCCCCTTACACTCTGCCTACTCTATTAGTTATCACTTTTGATAAAGGCTATAAAACGGTACCCAATATGGCATAGGAAACCCTATTAGTGACAACGCTTCCTAACGGGGAAGTTAAAACTAGTAATAGCATCGTTTGCCGGTGCGAGAAAAAGCAAAAGCTGAGACATTAAGAAGCTACCACACAACAATAAATTGCCAGTCGAATGTTCCTTGAAAGTTTGAATGTCGAGGTGGACAACCTTGCCCTTAAAGATGGTGCATGAAATAACGATACAGTCGACACTCATTGCTTGCTCCCGTAAGAAAATTTGAATCATCAGCATCCTGGTGCCTCCACCGAGACGTCTGCAACAAGATGCGGAAGCTCTCTGCATTGAGTTGATATGATCCGTGATGTAAGTTACCAAATTACTGATTAGATCTTAGATAGCTGAAGCTGCTAAACGTCCAGGATTCTTATGACAGTCTTTTCGTTCTACCTTGCGTCTGATAGTGTTCAAATTCTCTCTTGGCGTTCAATCAAGAAACTCACTTTCTGTGTAATTCTAAATGCTGTAGCTTATTTGCCCGCGCTGTACAGTAGGTTAAGCGCTGTTGATATTAAGAGTCGTTCCTTTTCTTTTTTTTTTTTTTTTTTTTTGGTTTTCATCATTAATTACTGTATGCGCCATCAACTATGCTCATCCCGTACGGGTTTAGCAAACGATGATCCCCGGTTCAAACGCTCGATTTTAGGCTCGATACATCCAGATGACATCGGTCGGGCGAATGCTCCTTTGAATGAATTTACGAAACTAATCAATATATAGACTCAACTTGAAAGAACCGACCGGGATCTTAAAGTAGAACCAGACCTCGGCACAAGTATGAGACAGATCGCGGATTCGTTAGCCTTTAACTCCGCAATAATTTGGAGCTGCCTTGATTAACTCCGTTGCGGAACATGTAATCGGCAGTGTTGCTATGACGAAGTGGATTAACAATGAGCTTAACTGGTAGATCAAGACTCCTCATTCGCCGACCCGTGCAGATTGTTCGAGAGAGAATTCATTCTGACTAGTCGTCCGGACTTACGTCAGTTAACTCCGTCCTAGGCGTGTCAGACTTGCCATCGGTAATTCCAGGTGGAACTATTTTGGGAATAAAGAGGTTCTCGCCCTCACCTTCAACCTGCAGTTTCCTTTCGTCTACGTATTTCATGACTCCTAAGTCTACCACAATTCTCGCTGACAACTACTACAATCTCAAATGGAATACGCACGGTAAGGTTTTCCGCATCCACCTTGATAGCATTGACCCAAGTGCCTTTCAAATATTGCAAAAGATCCAATTGCTGACCTGCGATGACAATATGACACAGGCTGGGGGATTCGGGCCTCAAGGTCTCAAAGGTGATACTGGGTACCATGGGATATGGCGCCCCAGAATGGCAGGGCTGGGTGCTGAATGAAGAAGAATCTCTTCCACTTATTGAACACGCCTACAAGAAAGGCATCAGGACCTGGGATACTGTGAGAAGAGAAATGCGGGAGTAAACACGCGTGCTCTAATAGATTTTTACCAGGCCGATATGTACTCCTACGGCAAATCCGAAGAAATCGTGGGAAAGGCTCTGAAGATATACAACATCCCCCGTTCCCGAGTGGTAATTTTGACCAAATGTTTCTTTGGTGTGGACGATCAGGGGAACTTCCCCCTCCTCTCTCGACCGGGAGACAGAACGCGGGTGACTTCTTGAACCGCGTCGGTCTTTCTCGCAGACACATCTTGGAGGCCGTGGATGCCAGTGTAGAGCGACTGGGAACCTATATTGACGTGCTTCAAATCCACCGACTTGATCGTGAAGTACCACGCGAAGAGATCATGAGGGCACTGAATGACGTAGTTGAGAGCGGCAAGGTTCGATACATTGGCGCTAGTTCGGTATACTTCACCCTCAACAATCTGAACAAGCAAGCACTAATACCTTTCTTTCTTGTAGATGGCCGCTTGGGAATTCCAAACCCTACAAAACATTGCCATTCGCAATGGCTGGCACAAGTTTATCTCCATGCAGAACTACCACAATCTCATTGCCCGTGAAGAGGAACGTGAAATGATCCCCTACTGCCTTGACAGCGGCGTATCTCTTATCCCTTGGTCTCCTGTCGCACGTGGAGCCCTCGCCAGACCTTGGGCTTCTCGCTCTACCTTGCGCGAAAACACCGATGTTGGGCTAAGTATTGTCGTTCGTGCCGGCGAGTCCGAGTCCGACAAAGCTATTATTGACCGTGTGGAAGAATTAGCTGGCAAGAAGGGAATCAGCATGGCACAAGTTGCAATCGCATGGTCATTGAGTCATCCCAGCGAGTACCCTATCGTCGGGCTGAACACTAAGGATCGTATCGATGAGGCTGTTGCGAGTGTCCAGGTCAAGCTGACGCCGGAAGAGATTCAGTACCTTGAAGAACCTTATGTCCCTAAGGCTATCAATCCAGTGGAAAGATAAATTTGTGACGAGTAAAGCCATAGGACTGTGATGCGAATTTGCTCGTATGCCAAATAGCTTACTGGAAATGATCATATCTCATTCGAGCGGCAAGAGGGACGTTCCGAACAAATCAAAAACAAAAACGAAGCAAAAACATACAACAGTAAGGATTCGCTAGTGGTCACCCACCTAACTACTAACTTACCGGCGTGTGGCTTAAGTACGGCTGAGCGGACGGGAAGCCCTGTTCTCCACACCCTGTGGTCGTATGTACTAGAGTTAGTGTGAAAGGGATATGTATCCTTTAATTAAGATAGCCAGTCTAGTGGTATCACCCGGGTGAGCGCCGCTTTCCGGTCGCGCGACCGGGGATGAGAAGGGTGAGTGCGCTATAGACAGGGGGAGAATCCGGGTGAGAATCACCCCCGAGTCGCGTGACCAATGAACTAACCCTCTTAGCTAGGGACTGCGGATAGTCATTGGATGGGATAATCTTTGCGTTAAATATGCATCGTCTGTCAGCTTTGTACCTACTAACCAGTTAACCAAATAGTCTATCTACATTCCCGATGCAAGTCAATTCGCCCGACTCATTTTAAGCCATCTCTATTGATCATATTATGAACCTTTTTCCAAACATGTACGGGCCTAGCAAACCCCTCCTCGTCCCTCTCAACTTTCAGTATCCTCTCAAATCCCTGCGCTTTCAACTCATTCTCAAACGGTGGCCTAATCTGGATCGTCTTATACATCTCTCTCAATTCTTTATTCTTCTTTGAAGCTCTCGCATAATTGCTCATAGGCTGCGGCTCCACGACGAGATAACCCCCCTCATTCAGTATGCTTTGTATGTGCGCAAATAGCGTCAACATCCCGGAGTCTCCGTTGTTGAGATGTATCCACTTGGTCACAGAGAGCAGTAGGACAACATCGAACTTGCCCAGCGCGGTACCCGTGTACGCGGACGCATCCACGAAGTCAAAGTGCTCAAATGTGCATGGCCCGTCCGGGTAAGCCGCCTTCGCCTGCTCGACCAGCCACGGGTCGATATCGACGCCGACTGAGGCGGCCGCGCCGCAGTGCGCTATCGCCTCATAGGTCAGTTTGCCCGCGTTGCAGCCTAGGTCTATGACACGCGCGTTGCGGAGGATATCTGATGGAAGAATAGAAAGGCGCTCGTCCGGAACGGTGGGCGCCCGGAACTTAGCGTAATATTGGTGGTAGTTGCCATGGCGCGCAGCGAGGTGCGTAGCTTTGAAGCGCTCTGCTTTGGAGAGTTCTGTTGTAGTGGGGAGATGGTGATGGCATGCTTCTGCCATACTTGGAGATAGTACGAGCAGAGGCACGTGTTGGTAATGATATTGATTATTTCGAAAGAAAAATCATGATCAAAGATTAAGAGCGTTTCTGGCTTCTCATTGGTGTGGTGGTCTCACCGCTGCGGGTATTCCGCCAAGTGGGCCCCATCAAACTCTTGAATTACAATTTTGTTATTGAGCCTATAATGAACTCATTTGAGGTGCATCTGATCGACTCCCAAATAACCACCAACATAATGCCTCTATGCGAGTGGGGCCAAACTTCCATGGCTAAATATCAATCATTGCGAAAATGGTGTCGCACGTCAAAAGCTTCGCTGTACGATTACAGTCATATCCGTGTAGAGATAATGCATGGAGGAAAGCCAAAAAAACAAGCACTAGACAGGCGATCCTGTCCGATTGAGGCTTCAGCCTTCCCACAGAGTGATCGGGCGATGGTCGGATCCCTTGGATACAAAGGACGTGAACTTTTAACACGTCCTTGGGTTTGCTCGTGATGGTAGTACAATCTGAAGGACAGACAATTATTTATGTAATTCTGCTTGCACCCACTCGTCCTGTTCGAGTTCCATAGCAGAGCTTCGCTTTTCTGGCTCCCATTGTAGCATTTTTCACTAGGCGGAGAAAAATTTCTTTTTCCTCTCCCTCGAGACTAGTCTCTCTTTGCTCGAGCGGGATGTGTTCTCCTACCAATTCTCCGGCGCACAAGTCACCTAGAATAGCAGAAATAGTCAAATTGACACTTTATATAGATAGATAGAGGAAAGATAGATGAATTACTTTCCTGTGAAAAGAACTTTTGGGTCAGATTCCAACGGGCAAGAAACTTGGCGATGGCGGACCGAGTAGGCGTATCATTTCGGCAAGATGAGCCCGACTTCTGTAGGTTTGAAACTCTGGGTCCTGGCCGCTAAACAGCGACTCCCCTTCGAAAAGGTTCCAAATCTGACAACGTAAGCCTAGACACTTTTGTATCAGAAGTATCGGTTTTCTTACCACGCATCCCACGTTCCATATATCAACGCTATATTACCATGGAGCTTGCAAGATCACTTCCGGTGCTCGACAGATATCCTTCTGAATGTCTTCTGAGTGCTCTTCATCACCCATCACGGCCGAGCCAAATCGCAGAGGACAGGCGCTCTTAAGTCTTTAGGCATTCTGAGGTCACGGGAGGTATATATTGTTCTTCCATTTAACTCCTTCCTAGGACAGGGGTTTTGGGGCTCATTGTTTTCAAAATCACTGGAAACGGAATCATCAGAACTGCCGAACATAATGTTATCTGCTTTGATATCTGATATATTGATAAGCAAATGATCGAGCTCAAAACTAGGAAGAGGAAACCGCACCAGTATGGATAATCTTACATTCTGTATGTAGGTAGTCTAATGCAAGAAATAGACGATGAAGTATCACTGCCAAGATTGGTGTAGGTAGTCTCTGTACCGGGTTGCGGAATAGAAAATCCAACACACTCTCCCACAATGGAGGATGCACGAGACATCGATGTTTGTCTTCAGGCCCGCTGACATCAAAGAAGCCCAGCAAAGATCTGACGTACTTGCGGCCTGGATATTTCTGGGGAGTCCCTTCGATACGTTTGTATATCTTCAGCTCGTCGTCCAGTTGCTGCCCCATCGATGTGGACTATATGAAAATCTTGAGAGTGACATAGCGATGATAGCTGTAAATTTTAGTTAGCGAAGGAGTTGTGAGAAGATAATGAAGATGTGAAGATGCCAGTGGTGTCTTCTTACTCCATGTCACATGCGAGCCACAGGGTTGAACTGGGTCCAAATCCCAGTTTTCCCACAACTTGGTACCAGCACTTGAATATTTCCCCTATTCGAGTAGGATAATACCGACCCGAAATATAGCTCGGAATGGTTTCCTCCTCGATTGCCTCGCTCGTTGATAGCTGAATGAAATTCGGATTGGTGAAGTTCAGAGGTGTCCATCTTCGTGCGAGCCGGGGCAAGGACTGAAGAAAAGACGTCAACAATTCCGAAACAAGGGCCAGTTGTGTCTTTTTCTCTTCGCGCTTTTGCAGGGCGTTGTATTAACGTTCGAAATATGGCTGGCGGGCGGGAATATCAGCAATGACGATCTCACACGGAGATCGACAGGTCAGGTAATCGATCACCTTCCACCTTCGAATGCGAGATGTAGAGCCACCAACAATGGCTAGCTCGGCGCTTATGGATTGTTATTTTTAAGATGATGTACCTGAATACTTTTCCATGGCAAGGCTGGAACGACTAGTCAGTACTTTCGACTGCATAGCTAAGCGCTCGGTTCGCACATCATGGACACGTAGCCTTCCACGGCCCACATCAAACTAGGTTATTCCGGTATTTCGGTTGGGGATTTTCACTCGGAAAGTTCACCTCCACTTTGGTGCCTAGCAAGTAGCTAGTTGCTAGATTATCACTACTACCGGGACTTAGTGATCATATAGAAGAGGGGTTTTATATTAAGGTTAAGCGAGTGTATACCGCTTAGTAATAGATGCTCTATATAAGTTAGCTAGTACCTAACTAGTACTAAGTTATCTAATAGAAACCATACGATCCTTACAGATCTCATTGTTCTACTCCATTCGTCATGTGATAGATATAAGTGAGCCTATAATTTATACGATGTGAGTCTTGGTCTTGCCCACGGAGGCATAATGTGTCCACTGATTAGATCTATCCAGTCTCAGGAAGGGAGCAATATTTCCCGAAGTACGATGGCGAAAGGGTGTGAAAGGGGATTATAAGGAGTTTAAGGACGCGATCCTTTCGGGATATCCACAATATGACGTCAGCTTTGCTTACTGTTTCTTTCCGCGTCTTCGGTACTTGTGCAACACTAACAAACACTAACATCAATACCGAGGTCGTACTCAACATGCCATTCAGACAGGCGCTTCAGGGCATTATCGATAAAGCAGACAAGGCTTGGGAAGAAATACGCCATCACGCCCCTCAGCCGGTACCCTCGTACAACAAGCCTCCTCCACCGCCTATTCCAACCTCTAGCAAACCACCACTAGCTTATCAGGAACAGCACTCGCAACCCCAGATCTACTGGCGGCCCAATCTACATCCTCAAGTACCGGTGTCCTCTAACTTTGACCACCAACAGGGTCAACATGGATGGGGCAACAATGAGTCGCAGAATTATATCGACAGCCCGCAAAACTCATTCCATTCAACCCAGGGCGATGCGGTGATCGTGCGCGCTCTGATCAACCACGGGCATCCCGATCCTTCCCAGAAGTTTACCAGCGCCAGACTGTCGAGTCTCCAGACCCTCAGCCGACCACGGGGCTGTCTGTCGGCCAGAATTACGGCGCCGGTGGCCCGAGGTATCTGGCCTGCCTTTTGGCTGCTGCCTAAAGACCCCTTCAAGTGGCCCGAGGATGGCGAAGTTGACATAATGGAAGCATGGAACGGCGATGCTGTCAACCACACTTGTCTGCATTGGGGCCACTTCAACGGCCAGGACTGGAACAAGCATCGCGTTCTCGAAACCCCCATCCCCAACATTAGCTCGCCGGTGGGGGTGAGGTACGATTTTATCTGGGACGAGGACGAAAGAACGGGCAGGGGGCGCTTGGTCTGGTTGATTGATGGCACGCCCATCATGAGGGCAGAGAAACCGCCTGGCACGAGGAAGATGAGTGAGTTCAGAATCCTCATCAACATCGCTGTTGGAGGAAATGTCTGTCAGGGAAATATGCCCAGCGATGGATGCTACGAGACAGTGGTTCGTGAGTTGGCCATGTGGGATGCGCCGCCTGGGGGTTGGAAAGAGTTTGACAGGGTTTGGAGGGATTCCAAAGATGGCAATACCATGTAACGAAGAAAGGAAATTTACATTGCAGAGTAAATCAACTATACCCACATCCCCTACTTTCTACAAGAGGTATCTCTGACTAGGCGAGTGACATGAGTTGTCGCATAGTGGTAGACCGAAATTAATCATTTAAACAAAAATTCAAAGCGATGCATCTTGGCTTGTAGTTAGTTATTCTCGCAGTTCTTGCCTTACGCAGGAATCAATCAATCCATTCATTCTTTTTATATAACTAAGCTACTTCCGCATTCCTGTTGGCCCCTTGGTTGCTCCAAGACCTATATTCACTGATTGACATCAAGTTCGGAATGGAATTGACTCATTAGACTGGAAGAATACCGCTTTTCTCTATATATTTCAGTATTAGGAATTGGATATGGTCTTGGATGTCTCCGCTACCACATCTGATCAGTTGGCCTTCTGTTGAAGATGTTGAAACGTCCTCTTTTCCTTGTCCAAACTCAGTTGATAAATATCCGGATAATATCGGATCCGACGTGGGATATTGCAGCTCAAGGGATGTTTCGCGGTATTAAAGCGTTCTTACGACCGGATGGTTCATAGAAAATTAGGGCTTGACATTTCCACGGGACTAGATTTTTAGGCCCATAGACCATGCCCATTAGTCCCAACCGGAGACTATGAAAACCGTGGGCGGATCGCTCGGAGATAGCTAAATATGAACACCGATATGAGACACCGAAGTACTCAAAATCCGTTGGAAATGAAAGTTCGATGTCCACTTGGTGGTTTAACAAGTCAGCGTGATGTGAATACGACTCGAAGTAAGCCATTTGGGAGACTCACCAATCACCTTGGCGTGGGTCGGGTTGCTCGCTAACCCCGTCCCTTAACCCCGAACTATGGCAAGTGTATATAAATCGACAAGTCTAGTGACTCTATGTTTCTTTATCTAAACATTTCTATAATACAGGTCAACCAGGGGTTTATCAGACTCTTAAGTCAGATTTACTTGTTGTCCTACGCTTGAAAAACACACACCATGTCCGCCCCTCTTGAGAGAGTTGCTATAATCGGTGTAAGTGCATCGGCCTATCTGTTTGCCATGCTATATCTGACATATTCTAGGCCACCGGTCGTATCGGAGGTGCCTTTGCTGAGGCACTAGTGAAGACAGGAAAACACACTGTCACAGCCTTAACCCGCACCGAGAGCAAAGGCAAGCTCCCCGTCGGAGTCAAATCCGTAGGTGTAAACTACGACGACGAAGCATCAATCGTCGAAGCCCTTAAGGGCCAGCAGTTCCTCGCTATCACTCTCTCAGTGACCGCTCCCGATGACCTTCATGCCCGGATTGCCGCCGCTGCAGGCAAGGCCGAGGTCCCCTACGTCATGCCCAATGTCTTCGGGTATCCCATCGAGCCTAAAGGTGTGACAGAGGATGACTGGTACAGCCAGTTGAGCTTGAACCGGATTGGTGACGTCGAGAATACCAACTTCTCCTCCACGATCAAGATGTCTTGCGGCTTTTGGTACGAGTGGAGCTTGGCGCTTGGTAACCAGTGGTTCGGTTTCAGCATCAAGGACCGCAAGGTCACCTTCTTCGATGATGGTAAGCGAATTATTACAGTCAGTACGTGGGACCAGTGCGGTCGGGCACTGGCAGGACTCTTGAGCCTGCCGGAATCTGAGGGACCCACGTCTGTTGCCAGCTTCAAGACCAAGGAAGTTCTTATCAGCAGCTTCCGTGTCTCTCAACGCGATATGCTAGACAGCCTGCATCGGGTTCTGCGTACTACAGATGCGGATTGGGAAATTTTGTATGAGCCTACTGCCAAGCGCGTGCAAGATGGGATCGAGGAAATGAAAAACGGCATCTTTGAGGGTTTCGCTAAAATGCTTTACGGTTCTGTATTCTTGACTAGCAACCGCTTCAGTGATTACGCGGCAACCATGCCACTGGTTAATGAGCTGCTAGGTTTACCTACTGAGGATTTGGATGAGGCGACAAAAAGGACGGTACATATGGTCGAAAGCGGCTGGAATCCCTTTCCAGAATTGAAGTAAAAGAAGGTGCCAGGAATTTGGGAGTTGATTTAAAGTATTGCACTGGAAGATATCAGTTTCAATGGGAGCAAAGGCAAAACAAACCCTTAAACAATTTCTAGCCATCGTGCCAGCCGGACTTTTTGCCAGACAGAACATTAGCACAAATGAGACTCTTTCAAGGTGTACGCTACCCTTTGCACTAAACAAATGCATTCTCAAATTAGAACCTATTGAATTACTTACGTTTGAGTATTAGAAAACTAAAGCCCATATTTGACAGATTACTGATATACTCGTTGTAGACAACAATAGTAGTTGGTCAGGGGAGAGATGGATTAAATCAAATGTTTACTTAATTTCATATAGGTGTTGAGTTATTTGTGAGAACACTCGTTACATTTCAACCAGAGAATGGAAGCATCCAGTGTTCTTAGTGTGAGCGTGCGAACGGGGTGCTCTCTTGACCCGTCGTTTGGTGGGGGTAACACTCCGAGGCGGTATTGAAGCAAGGCTGTTGGCGTATGTCGCGACGGCGAAAGCTGTAGCTTTCGAATTGATTAAAAACGCCTCATGGTTGAGATTGGTGAAGTTGTCCCCAGCAGCATGATAATTCACATCGTAGGATATATTTGCTTGGCCTCCGAACAGCTTTGCCTCTTCACTAGTCTTGACGCCCTCGGCACCAGTGAAAATACCACCAGCGGGAATTCCACGAGAGATGAAACCGTCGTAGTCGGAGCGGCCATCAAACGCGGTTGGAATATACGGCAGTTTCTTGGAAGTGTAATATTTCTGAAACAGGGCTTCGATCTGGGCAGAACCCGCTGGTCCGGTCTGATTGAAGGCGTCGCCATCGCCATCATAGATCATGAGTGCGTAGTTGGGCGAGGCGATCATATCAAAGTTAAGGTAAAGCCTTATTTTGGCTAGTTCCTCAGAGCTCAGATGCGAGGTGTAGTACTCGCTACCCAACAGGCCGAACTCTTCAGCCGTCCAGAAGCAAAACCTCACGGCATTCTTGACAGAGAATTGTGTCAACGCTTTTGCTACCACGAGGTTGCTGATGATCCCGGAGCCGTCATCGTTGATGCCCGGACCGGCTTCGACTGAGTCAGTGTGGCCCCCTAATGACACGACATTATTGTGATCACCGCCTTTTGTCTCTGCAATCACGTTGAACGTCGTGCGGTTCTCGACTTTGCTGTCTATCTTAAGAGATACAGTAGCGACGCCACTGGCTGCTGCAGTGAGCAGAGCCTCGCCGTCGGTCTGCGAGATTCCGCCAATGGCAGCATAAGAATTGGATACTCCACCCAGCGTTCCACTCAGAGATCCAGCAGCGTTGTTGTAAACAATCACCGCAGCTGCCTTGGCCGCAGCAGCCAGCGTCGACTTCTCTGCGAAAGTGCATTCTCCACGCTTGACTAGGGCGATTTTACCAGCCACGCCGGTCGGGTAGTCCGATGCACTGCATCCAACATTCGAGACCACTGCCACATCCGAAGTAACATCAACACTGGGGCTGTATGTCATCGAGGTCACTTCGAAGGACTCGCCGTTGAACGTCAGAGAGGCATCTGCTTTAGTCCAAGTGTGCACCTGTGGCTGCTTGTATACATCATAATAGCCGGTCTTCTTCAACTCGCGATAGATGAAGTCAACAGTATCGTTGTGTGCGGCACTGCCAAAGACACGATTTCGCTCGGGATACGCGTAAGCAAAATCCTCGAGCCGTTGCGACCCCTTCAAGAGGTCTTTCAGCCGAATCTCAGAGGAAAGTTTATCCTACTAGGTCAGATTACCTGATAACGAGAGTAGAGATATATCATGAGTACATACCGGTGAAACAAGGGGCTTCGGCCGGCCGGCCAAGGCCATAGACAAGTGGCATATCAAGAGAAGCAACTTCATCTTTGATTGATTCACGATTTGATATCCATTCGTAGCCAGAGGCAGGAAGGGTATTCTTATATCTACTCTCCTGGCTGTCAGCGTCCATCTGCAGCACGCGATAACAAAGTGCAATGGTGCGTGATTGGCACGACCCTGATGGAAACCAAGAGGCTGGCTGTTCTTGGCAAAGGGGGAAGCAATTTCATAGGACCGGCTGGTGTCCGGAGCCCAGACTTCAGGCGGGACTCCGACGGCACTTGGGAAAGTGAGGGCTGAGGTTACAGTGCCAAGTTCGGTTTCCCGCTGCTTGGCGTTCAATAAAGGTATTCAAAGTGGCAAGACAGTCGGGATAATAACACTGATGCGGGGTTGCGTTCAGGGCCCCTATTTACAACGAGCCGCATACATCAGCACTTTGCAAGATCGAACAGGTACCACCTTCTGGATGGACTACAAGATTAGGCTACATCAAAGTCTAAACCTCGGCCTAGGGCAATCTGCGGGATATCCGCTTACTATAAAACTGTTTTATCATCCAGGTCATGAATAAGCTCAAGCGTAGATTTAGCTTAGTTGCGGTGCCATGGTTGATTTCGCCACTAGTATGTCAGTTCAACGAGGGGTATTGTTGGGACGTGCACTTCTGACAGGTAATAAACCAAGATAATCCGGTATTTTTACGGCGCAAGGCCAAGACATCGCGGTTTCTCTGTTTCTCTGCGACCATGCTCAAAACAAACTAGTGTTCCTTGGCACTGGGGTCAAGGGTTATCAAAGTGGGTCGGCCCGCTAGAGGTCCCCCGTCCCGGGAGTTCGGATTCTAACCCCCTCCCCGCGAGATGGCGGATTCTATGACCAACCTCTACTTGGCGTCCGTTCAATCAAGATATGTATATCCGATGGCGAAATCCCCCCTCCTTTTTGGTAATGCTGCTACTTGCGGACCAGCTCCTATGTCCGCCCAAAAGTAAAACGCTCCATTTAGCCTTCGAATACTTCATGTCCCAACTTTCTTGCTGGAGTACTAAAAGTTTGGGACAATCCCGATGACGAATCGGTTACACATAGTCTACACCTAAAGGTACTTCTCGTAATTGGCATAGGATCTAGTTTCTATGACCATGAAGACAGAGCGGCGGCACTCCGCAACATTGGCTTGGTTCAGCAATGGATATACTCCGCACAGACCTGGCTTTCCGTATTGCATGCCAAACTGCGCCGGATAATTTGGTACACAGTTCTCGAACTGGTCGTTCAGTCATCTCTGGATTCGTGGATGCCACCGAGAAGTTCTGATGAACTTGATACCGAGCCCCCTTCCAATATCAATAATGACGAACTAAGCGAGTCAACAACAGATCTCCAGCCACACCCAAGTGGTGCCCTTACTACTACCTCTGCTCAAATCGCGTTGATCGAGTCACTTGCAACCCGCCTCCGGATCGTCCAGGCCCTCAACGGCCTACATTCCAACTTTTCCTATGACATAGCTCTCGAGCTAAGTTCCGAATTGATTGATACTCTTCAGGTACATCGTCATCTGGTAAAATAAGAAGATGGGTCTACCGCCTTTCACCGAAATCTCTTAGATTTCCTAGTCCGACAATTGATGATCCCTCTGCAGTATTCTTTCAGTAAACAGGCGCGCACAAACCCACTATTTCACTACTCGCTCAAAGCCAGTATTAACGCTGCCCTAGCCATCATCTCCCCAGAGCCGGATACTGGCTTCGCACAATTAATGGCGATGGGTGGACGTCTGTTCCAAGGTGTCCGATGCGCTACCTCAGCTATCAGCCTCGAGCTGCTCTCCCATGTGAAAACACAGTGGCTCAATGGCATCTTGAATCGGACGCGACAGTATCGGGGATTCCTCAAACAGGCCATTTTGGATATTATCAATCTGTCAGAGGACCGTATTCGCCAAGGCGAAACAAATGTGAAGAATGACACGTTTTTGAGTATAATTCTTGCGCAGGTCAAGGCTGTGGAGGCAGACAAACCAGTCGCAGGTTATCCGAGCTGCAAGAGATAGCTTGGTGTTATGCAATAATCTACTCAAGACAAGGGAGGACATACCCCTCGCCGGATGAAGTGGGATTGGCCGCGGTGAAAGGGGTTGAAGGTTTGAGGGGCTGGGACCAGTCTTTTGGTTAGGAGTATTTCTTGCCAGACACGAATTTTGGTCGTGGATTCCGGGCAACCTATATAGTGTGACTATCATATTCTGCATGTTCGACTTCAATACTATTCCATCCGCCGGCCCGTCGTAGCCGGCGAGGATACCAAAAGGCAAAAAGAAGTTTTAAGCTGCTAGGGGATTTTCATGGGTGTAAGAGGTACCTGATTCGAATTTATATCGCTGGTTATTTGTGGAATTCTTGCGGTTTTCAAAGAACTTTGAACGTAAAATTGCCAGTAACACTGCTATAGCAACTGTGGTGACCGTCGCTAGAGGGAGGGAATCTATCCTTCCTTCAACGCCGTTTACCCAAGGCGGATTTGGTAGTGACCACCAGGCAATCCTTCAAATTTGAGTCCATCGGCTGATGACACAGGGTGGACAACGCCTTTGGGACCTTTCACAATTACCTTCTCCTCCACACTCGGCAATATCAAGGTCCCTGATGTACCTTTTGGCATGTTGAAGCTCCCAATGATGGCCTTGGAGTTGGGGTTGGTCGTCCAAGAGGCAGAAAAATGGCCCAGTGGGGTCTCGTAGCCAGCCTCAATCCGTTGCAAATTCCCAAGCCGTGGCTGCACCATCCAAGTCTTCCCTCCACCCGAGGTAATCTGGATACCAGCTGCATAGAACGTCAAACTTGATGTTGGACTGGTGGCCCAGCCATGTGCATGACTGATTCTTGCGTCGTTATCGTAAGGCGCGTAGTGCAAGTCGCCATTGGTGGCATAGCCTTCGATAAAGCTACTGTTGGTCATGCGTGGATCATCCAGCATGAAGTCAGCCCACATGAACTCAACGAGATCAATGGCTCGATCCGGAAATCCTGCGAGGAAATGAGCTTGCACCTCGAACCCGGTCGCAAATGGTGAAATTGTTGCGCCGGCCTCTGGTGCAGGAGCCCCGTGAGGCTTGACCCACCGGTCCGTAAGGGCCGTGCTAATGGCAGCAGCACGTTCAGCATCGACGAGATTAGCTATGATGGCCCAGGAGTTGCCGTCTTGTGGGTGGATAGCATTCGAAGTCTGATTGTGGTCATTGTCAAAGAAGAGGTTTTGTGCCGGGTCCCAAAGTCGTTCATTGACGCTAGTCTTGATTCCATTCATGGTTGATTTCCAGATATCATCCTGGCTATGGTCATTAAGCACCTCTGCAAGCTGCAGGCTGATATCAAGTGTATAGTAGAGGATCGCGTTGGCCTATAGAATATGCAAATTAGTCAAATAGTTCTATTTGGCAACGAAAATTTGGCATCCTGCTTACTTCGACATTGTGGCCTCCCATACCAGACCTTAGCCAGTCATTAGTGCTAGTAACATTTGCCAACTTAGAGCTGTCAATGGTTGTAATGGTCCAAGAGATAGCCTTTTTGTATTGACCCCAGTAATGAGCCAAGTATTCAACATCTCCGGTATAGAGATAGTAGAGGTGGAGATCGAGGAGAGTATATAGGTGATACGTGAAGCTAAAGGGAAATACCCTGGGCGTGTAAATGCAGCTCCAGCCCAAGGTAGGCGTCCATCAGATTGCTGTAGAATGAAAAGAGAATCGATTGCATTCTTGATGCCGTCTAGGCTGTTGGTAGACACAAACACAGATGGGGCAGAAATGACAACATCACCTGGCCAAACAAGTCGGTCTCGTTTGGCTCCATCCATGAGGACCGAAGTGCCATCTTGAAATAAAGTATTAGAAAGTCAGTTAAGCAATGTCGCGGGAATTTAGAATCAAAGAAATACTCACTCGCGATCGTGCCATTGTAATACCAGTTTGAACCAGGAATACCCAAAGCATTTCCTGTCGTTGGATCGGCAGTGCACAGTTGGTTTGTGTAAGCACCAGCATACCAAACACGATTGAGTTTCTCACTGTCACTGTTGAAATATCCTGGATAATCCGCAGGATTCTCCATCTCTGGCGACGCCGTGAAGCTCACTGACAAGTCTTTCAAAGTCACTGTTCCAGTCGAGTTGTGCCATACGCTCAAGTATCGAAATCCACCGCGCTGGTGTGATTTATCGGCAGCATATCGGCCTTCCTTGGGGATATTGAACCATAGCGGACTGTCATATGTAGCGCTTGTTCCCGAGTCACAGTGGTAAGGACTTATCCACATGGAACTTTCCGTGAAACTAAAGCCAATGTACTCGTCCGTGCCAGAGACAGACCGGACGTTGAAATCAACGGTTCCCGCGATATTCTTGCCAAAGTCGAGAATGATAGAGGAATTGGGGCCAAAACTTAGGCCTTCAGGCTCATGGACATTGGTGCAGAGTGCATCTGCATTCTTCACGTCCCCGTAAACAGCATGCAGACTAAGCGGCGTCACAGAGCGGTGCTTTGGTGCCAAAATATATTCCTGAAATTTGGATGCGAAGACCCCGTGTGTAAATAGTAGTGCCAATAACATGTCGCAAAGCAGAGTCCCGCGCATTTTGCCGTGACGGTCTCCGGTAATCATAAATCATATAGCAAACAACGATGCCAGCACAAATATGAATTTTCAACCATTTTATAGCACACATCGGCTTTCTTTCCGACGGTTTTTAGTTCCCCTAATTCATGAGCAGCGCTCCTTCTTACCCCGAGATCCAAATGTTTTAGTCTGCTCTTGTCCTGTTGACCCGAGCCAACAGGGGTATAACAAAGTCCTCGGCCAATTGTGAAGACATCATTTCGTTTGTTCTAGTTGAGGTTGCAATTGCTTCGGGCTAATTCAATGCAACCCCGCATTTCGCAGTCACTCGGAGCATCAAAAAAGAAACCGGGCTCAATATGAGCAGGTTTTGCACCCCACATCTCCACGGGTACGGCACAGGTTCGGTACTGCGGAGGATGAACGCCTCATTTCAGAGAAGTATAAGAAGAGTATCTATGGAATAAGGGTCTTTGCTCTTACCGTGGCGAATTTCGTATTCGTATAGTTTGACCGAAAATCGACGTTTAGAACGTAGAAACCAGACGATTTATCTGGCATTTTCGGCATTTCTTTGTACATGGTCACACTGCACCCTTCTCCACATTATGCCTAGATACAAGGCCTTTATATCCGGGTGAGTATCAATCCTTTAAGACTGGTTTATTCGCATCCTGCCAAAAGTCATGTCACAAGCATGATTTAACATTGTGTTCATCCTCATAGATGTATTCTCTCGGGTTTTTTTTTTACCATCATCCACATGAAAGATATTTACAAAGCAAAGGTAGTGAAAGTTGACTATGGTTTTAACCCGCTTGCCTCCAGAAGTATATCTATTCGGTTTGTCGGGTTATAGTCACCCGAGCAAAGAAGAAGCTACGGTTCTCAGGTTCAAGAGCTGTAGCCGTGGTAAAAAAAGAACCTGGGGAAGTGCAAGTGGATCCCGGGCCTCAGGTACTTCTAACTCCTCAAATTGGAAGTTGGAAGTTCGAACTATGTGAATTTAAAAGGCTTGATAGGACTTGTGGTGGGTACAAGTAGGAAATGAGACCCACTCCTTGCTGCAAGCTGCTTATGCCAAGGCCACCATTTAAGTCCGGAACGTAGTTATATCCGCTTATGTAGCTCTATGTAGGGTACTCCCTTTACTGAGTGAGGCTTTCCGGTATTAGCTGCCGCGGCAATTATGACTGAGCTTAGAGTCAGGTTCATTGATAAATTTCAGCCAGGGCTAAGACTAAGTGGGATACAAGGAGTACCGCATTGCTTGGCTTCGATAAACACGATCGTGCCTCAAAGGTACTGTATAGTCCTTCCTCGTTCATCAAGTTGAATAGAAGCAAAGTCTAAACTGACGGTCTGGGCTCTAAAACGTTAGAAAACTGGTTCGTTTAACTGCTGTTTTACAGTATGTCCTGCTGGGAATGATCTAATCGGCCTCAGGTTTATCATTTTTCCAGTCATACTTCTTTTGATGCTACGGAACTTACACTTATAATAGAGGGCCATGACGGAAACTGGTGCCGATAGTCAGGTTTGGAGGGTGAATAGAGGATACAGCAAGAATTTCGGGATGGCTGAATGGACACTTACATAGCTGAAATCAACGAGTGGAATATAGAGAAGTGGGAACAACGGGCTAAACTAACTTTTAGTAGTTTAAGAGTTTACAGTTCCCCCTCAGTTAGATGCATTTTTGATGTATGGCGGACAAGGGAAGAAAAAGAACGACAGGGTAAACTGATAGAAAGGAAAATAGAATTGAGCTTCCATATACAAGAGAGCAGCAAATTGTCAGGGTATCCATCATCTGCTGCTTTATTCGATTGACGATCGATGTCTGGTCAAATGGGCGGATGCGGTCAAGCTCCGCTAGACCGCACCCACGCATAACCGCCAACAAGGCTGATGTTTAGCGAACGAAGGAAAGAAGCACCGGGGCCATTCAGTACGAGAGCCTGCTTTGGAAAAACACAGCGACTGTTTTGTCTGCAGGTAATTGTTAGTCGTCTAGACACGTCGCCAGCTTCACTCCCGGCAGTGGCACTTTGAGCATCGGCTGCAAATCGGCGTTATCTTGTCGCATTTCCTTTTCTTTTCGCGGCACTGGAAACATGCCCCGATAACCCTCACCGCATCTGAGGCCAATGGGAGAATCGCTACCTGATTGACACTGTACTGCGGGTACATAGATGCGTCTGGCCGTCGATCCGCCATGAACAGCAGCCTGGAGGAACTGTGCACACCGCTCTGCTGGTTCACACCCTCCTGAGCGGGCATGCTGGTGGATGATCTGTACCAACATTGTCGCTTTTGTCTGGCAAGGTCAGCTTGAACATTGCAGCCGATGCTGCAAGGCACTCGCTTGGCACACGCTGAGCACAACGGAAGAAGACGATCACATTTCCTCTTCTTCTGCGCACAAGATAAGCAAGCATGATCGGCCCGGGGGTTCATGTTGAGCCCAGCAAGCGTAGGTTGGGAGTAGGAACAGCAGATTCGGGAAAAGGAGGTGTATAGAAATGCACGTCCACGTAGCTTTTCAACGCTGGACAGGGGGTATACCAGCAGGGCGTACCCAGCACTGGAACTACTTAAGGAGGGCTCTTTTCACCTTCAGTCACTTTAGATGCAAACTTCGACCCTATTTTTCCCCAGACCAATGAAACATCTGACTGCCGTGTCGAGTTCAGTTTAACAGCGAACACCCCGCCGCTAACCCGATAAGGAATTTGTACATCTGCCAAGAAGGTCAGCCTCACTCCAAGCGATCTAGAGTAGATCTTATGAAGCAGTAGGTGAAAGCTTCAGCTGGATTGTTTTGTTCAAATTTTCACGTTGTCAAGTTGAGGTCTCTGATATATGTTTCAGATAATACCTACCAATACCTCCTAGGGCCAGGGATCCTTTAGGTATTGTGGCAACACGAGAAGAAACAAACGCATGTACACTAGCGCTGACAATTTCGGCAGCTACAGAAGACACCCGGAAAAGGAAAACGGTCTGTCATGGTTCATGAACATCGGTAAATATTTGTGAAATGTGCAATACCACCTTGCATACCGTGGCTTAATCCTTGTTGAAAAAAAAAAAAAAAATTGTACGATCTTGGAGTAGATTTTCACTAGAATAGAATAGGATCGTAGGGTGAGGTCAAAGCGCGTAGTATCCAAGCTCTCAAGACTGCAATCAAGAATATGTATTCGCCGCAACATCTGGAAGAGTGATGTGCGATCCTGATAGTGTCACGGGCACCTTCACAGGCTGCAAAGATCCGGTCGGCCAAATTTGAGGACGGTATCGCCCGTCAAGCCCGAAACCTTGCCGCAGCACTGCTGATAGTTCCCAGCGAATTCAACCCGTATAATAAAATCACGGATTGTCCTCCATCAGTCCTTGAGAAGTTAAGCTGAGATACGCCCTCGACTATCCTTGTATTTGACTACAACTTGTCTACATGTCTCTCAAGAGACGGTTACCATATATTCAGCATATCACGCGGAAAGGCCTCAACTGCCAGTATTCTCCGGCACTATGCAGCAATATACTGTAGGATGGTCCCGTCAACTTGTTTATTATGTGATAGACAGCAATGCATATCGCAGTGAGAGCAAGAGTATGAAAATGAATGGGACTCTTCAAAAGCAGACGCTAGCTTATCACACGTCACATAGTCGTTAAATGGCCGGAATACCCAATGTCACTACCTCAGATGGTCACCTCAAGTTCCCCAAGAACTGCTATGACCATTTATGAGCCAACACTCTGTTCTGGGAGTTTATATGTTAATTTGTAAGTTTAGTATCTGTTACAGTAAACCCCTTTTAAGTATCCACCTATGTATTTTTGTGCCTTATGCCAGGTATCGGCCTTCGTTGTGTTAGCAATCAAGTACACCTTGTTACCAATTCGAACCTAACCCTCGGTTTCAGGTTGTCTGTTAGAATTCACAAGCGAAAAGCTTATATATTGAATTGGTATTTGAGCTGCTCATATACCAAAAAGCTAGCAGCAACCATTGGCACAACCTTGATGTATCCGATGGTCAATCCAACCCAAAAGCCCCGGAACCCTCTTTCCGACCAGATTCTATGGCAGGTTTTTGCAATCCCTATATTACTTTCGCCCTGCATTACGCCGCTGGCTTGTACGCGACGGCGAATGACTTCGAAGGGGTATGAAGCGGTCTGAGCGATTGTGCCGGCAAGCGCCCCGGCTATTAATTGGGCGCCGATCTTCAGAGGACGGTGTTGTGATCCTCTGTCCGCAGCAGACTTTTGGACTGTGGTGTACTTTTCAAACTCAGCGCGCCGTAACCAATCTTTAACTGTGTCATGTGTGAAGAATGACATCCCAGCGTAAGGGAGCATCCCGAGCATTGTTGGAGTAAACCCGCGATAGAAGTTGCTGAGCTTAGATATTGGAAGTGCCTTCTCGATAGCACTAGAAAGAGTTTTGCTGACTCCCCTTGCCGCAGTAGTATGCGATTGCAGAGCACCACTCTGCTCGTTGTATATTTGACGGCAAATACTCTTCAGGGATGATCGATGTGACCGACTCTCAATAGCCAGCCGCACTCGGATAAGGTCAAGCGGATAAGTGAAGAAAACGGACGTGGCACCGGAAACACTGCCAGACAGGAATCGACGGAGCGGTGTCTCTTTTTCAGGTGACGAGATGAAGAGAGCTCTCATCTGTTCGTACATCAGAAAATTGATGGCCGCGTAAGGGAATTTTTGAAGTAGGGTGGCTGAATGACCCTTGAATAGGCCTCTGAGTCCTTCATGGCTGCTGATTGACGTAAGAGCAGACACGAATCCTTTCCAGCTTCCAATGTATTCCACATACGCGGGAGTTGACGTCTGGAAAAGAATTTTGACGCGATCGAGTGGTGCAACAAGAGTCTTCGCCTACCCAGACTGTTAATATTTACTCCAGGCAGGGAATACCACGCTTGACTTACTGCGCATCCCGCCAGTCCACCTGCTAACCCGCTCTTTAGCACATATTCGAGGCTTCGCTTGTTTGTGGCTTTGCCCTGGATCCCTTGCTCGGCTCTTGAAGTCATAGCAAGCACCCCTAGCCCTGCCACGCAGTCAAGATCACGAAGGGTCGTGATGTGGCAGGGATACCGGGAGAAATCGCCGGTAGCAAAAGCGGCGCGTAGCTCACGGCGAAGTCTACACCGCCTTGGCTTAGAGGTCAAAATACCTTGAGTTTTGGGCCCAAAACTTTCCAAGGGACGTTGGGGCAACCCCAATAAGATAGCCAGCTTTAACAAGTTTAACTCTAGTAGCCATTACGAGTATATTCAAAAGATCGGTTGAAGGCTGTTTGGAAGGTGAGTGTCGACGATAGTCCTATTGACACTGTTATGTATATCGGCATGGACGGGAAGGTTAAGGATAGGAACGGAAATGGTGATTTTAGAATGACAGAACCCTTAGGATGGATATGATATATACGATTTTGGTATGACACGGAGCGAATCTTCCCATCATACTATCGATCAACCGGAAGTCTTATGATAACCAATCGTCTGGTCTTAGCCGCTATTAACCTGCACGATCTTCAACACGTACTGCCATCTTATTGGTATTGAGATTTCACGGTACAATTAACGATAAGCCAATGCCAAGGTGATCAATATTAGGGTCCAGCTACTCCTATATGGTGTAGTGGTGGAACCAATGATAGTAGTACATTAGTCACTGCCTGAGGTATCACAAATGCCTCAGGAGATATGTAGTCTGCTCCCTCTAGAGATAAGGAGATAAGGAGCATCATTCTACCATACTCAATATGACTACAGTTTTCTACCAGATTCTTCATTCATGATATAGCTTCAATACTAGTGCGATAGCCACCTACAGAGACCGCTCTCTACGCATGAGCTGAGCATGGGAGTGGCTGGTAGTGGGTCATGAGGTTACGCCGTACAAACATCCCTACTACTCCTCTATCTTCAATGCTACGTAAGTTTCTTACTTTTCTTCTAGAAAACCTGTTAACCGAAATAGGATAAGGATAGTGATAGAGCTTTGACTCTTCCGGAACTATTTCAGCTAATACATGGCTACAGATGCGCTATTAATCCTTTTAGGGTACGCCTTATCCTTTTATCCTAGTAGTGAAATTCTGCTTTGATACTAAGAATTGTGTAGCGGTTTACGGCCTTATTTAAATGGGGCACAACTTAGCTCTTGATTTAGAAGGACAACAAATTCTATAGAGAGGATGTACAGGCAGTATATGACATATAACACAGCCACTAATAGCTAGAAATGCGTAATAATAGGGCTAATTTCTACCAGGGTCCGTTACTCTGGAAGACACGTGAAGAAAGAAAGACTCCAACTAGCTGGACACAGGGCTGGGGTATAGGAGGTGATGGATTTATCGGAGGGGTGAGAATGTTTTAGTAGTCCAAGTGGTAAAAATGGCAGTGGGCTTTACCACGGCAGGGACTAAATCTGCGGCTGCGTTTGTGCATTAAGGAAGTCTTGCGGCCTCGCCATTTATAACCGCTGCGACGATGGGTACCGCAGAGCATCTGATCACATCCTAGACACGCTTGGTTGCATTGAAAATTCCTTCCAGGACGGAGATATGTTAAAGCATCGACATGAGCTGGATACAGATACAAGTCTACAAGACCACCGGAAATTAGCAATCCAACAGATAGTGCAATGCTGCAAGTGCTGATGGACCAATACAATCGCTTTCAATAGTCTCTTGTCCACAGGGTTCATCGACTTGAATAATTGGGGACCTGGCCCTCAAAATCGTGAGGCTTGACCAGACGTTCGACAACTCTTTGATCGCCGTCATAATCATCAGTGTGGACTGCCAAGAGTCCACCGAAAGCAAACAGATGCTGATCAGTATCAACTATTGTGGTGATCGCAAACTAGTACATGATCACCTGCTTCAGCATAGTCTATAGGAGAGAAATTGAAAGAAAAGGTACTGATGTTCTCCTGTGGACCTCGGACGCTAGTAATATTGCAATCCTTTTGTCGACACCGACCTGTAGGTTTACTGACTAAGACTCAAACCTACCTACCCATTGGTTGGATTTTCATAGGTGGGTTGAGGTTTTGGTGATGCAAAACCCCATAACCCCAATAAATACTCCTTTCTCACAGGGATGACGTACCTCTGACTCTTCCTCACATGAAGCATTTACTGTCACCACTCACAAAGTACTTTTCTACTTATCAACTCTCTAACGATACTAAACGCAAAAGACAAAAGAGGACGATGACGGGCATTTTCACCCGTTCTAATTTCTCTGCTGACGGGATCCCAGATTTGGAAGGGCAAGTGGCTGTGGTGACGGTATGGCTGCTTGACTCTCTGATCCATCAATTACCTGGTATTAACTAATGTAATTCTTCAGGGTGGTCAGTCAGGCATCGGTAAAGGTAAGGCTTATCTTGCTGGGATATAATTCGAGTATCCAAAGGGTCTTACCAAGATCGGCTAGAGATAACCGCCCAACTTTTGCTCCATGGAATCAAACAGGTCATTATCGTTGCTAGAAGCGAGGACAAGTTCAATACTGCGCGCGAAGATTGGAGTCATCGAGATGGAATTATCTGTGGTGAACAGGATGTTCGGGTACAGTTTGTTCCATGCGATTTAGGGGATATCACCGATGTTCGAGCTGCCGCAGAGAAAATAAAAAAGAAGACAGACCGTGTCCATATTTTGTTATGCAATGCAGGTAGGTTCGCAACTACAAAATTCTCGGCTATTTCGATGACGAGTATCCAATCCAAGGACTTGGAGTTCCATACGAATACAAACTTTCACCACAGGGTATCGACCGAGTCTTTGCCACCAACTGCGTCGGTCACCAGGTACTCGTTACTCTGCTCCTCCCCTTGCTAAAAGCAGCGGTTATAACTGCCAACAACGGCGTACGTATTGTTGTTACCAGCTCATCTTTGCATAGTGTATGTCAGGGGGTTGATATCGACTTACTGTCCTCTCCGTCACGCGTGAAATGGCCCGCTTTATTTGATGGGGTGTGGCGATACGGTCGGTCGAAGCTTGCGAACATTCTTTTCTCCAAAGAACTCAGCCGCCGACTCCTACAAGACTCTGATCCGGCCAGCAAGAGAATCTATGTCAACTCGTTTTTCCCAGGTAACATCGTCACGGATCAGTGGGCATCCTGGGATTCGTACTTTGGCGCTCTGATCGGCTCATTGATACGCGTTGCGGGTTCCTTCTTCGGCCAAACTCTGGAGCAGGGCGCTGCCACAGCTATATACCTCGCTGCAAGCGATGATGTGAGCAAGAACGATTTTCGCGGTCGGTACTTCATACCAGTTGCTATGCCCTGCGATCCGAGTCCGATAGGGAAGAATACGACATTGGGTCGGGATCTTTGGGTATATTCTACCGAAGCCTCACAGCCATAGTTGGTAACTTTGAGTTTCACTTAGGACTGGATCGATGGCCAAATGACCGAGACGCTGGGACTGAACTGGCGAACTGCGATATTGCAAAAGGAGCCGAAAGCTCCTGCGGGTCTCCAAGGTCTAGCTGTCGACTCCGCCTAATCTTCTCTTTCCTTTATCTTCATGCCGCAGTTGATTGAAATGTTATCATTCGAGCGTCCCTTGGGAGGTCCTAATGAGCGAAGGGTAAATGTTCGGAACGCCCTTTATCTCTCATTTGCTGCGCTTCACGTCTTATCATGTCTGGGGTAGGTGCCGGCCACCGAGTAATACGGGACAGGGTTGTATGATTGAGAATGGCTTGTGTAGATATACCAGTTGTAGTGACAGAACAATGCGAGTATATAGACAGAACAATGCGAGTATGTAGAGGACAGAACTGTTCTTGTTAGCAGATGATACAGTTGGCAGTTATTGCAGGTGCATGCACTCACCTATGCATTCGCCCGAAGAAGAAACCGGAACTGTATGACTCCACTGTCCACGATTTATTCACGGAGACCGTAGCCATGAAATTGTAGGACTCCCATTTCATCCCAGGGCTTTTGTATGCAGCTGCAACTACACCTCCATATAGAGCGGAAGGCCATGGTAGTCCCTCAAAAGGTAGTTGCATGTAGCGACCGCTGGCTCGGCTTAGCGCTTAAATCCTGGTCGCGTACAACAATACCTCCATTAGATGGCTCCGACAAATACTTCTGAAAATGACATGTGGCGAGCACGTCTTAGCGTACGTTGGAGCGAGCTTATCGATGGACATATTACCATCAACATAAGAGCCAAAAAAAAAAATCCAATAAAGGGGTTTCTAGGGCTTCAAAATCATGTAATTAAACGGCTAGGTGCCGCAGCAAATTTGTTTTAAATCGACATCGTTGCTGGAATTCTGCAAACCCTGCTAGGATCGTCGAGCTGTTGGGACGAGCGTCGTTCTGTAGCGCCTCTGTCATTTTGCTGTACGATCTGTTCATAATAGCCCAATGACAAACTCGTTGTTGAAATGGAAATATGGGGTCTAACACATGTCAGCTTGTATCAAGGTGCTGGGCCACATAAAATTTAGCTCGACTTTGGTCTGATGTTATCTACGGAGCTGTCTTCGTTAGTGGTTGACGATAACGGTCAGGTGACGTCAAGCGGCAGATTACAAACACACTGTATATAAAATGGCCACATTTGTTGAATTTCCTACTTACGTGATGCAGGAGTGAGGAAGTCTCGCCTATGCTTAGGTTCTATCTATTCATCAGGTGTTTGCTGGATTAGTCTAGTTATTTTAGGCTTTCAAGTCAAGAATGCAAATTCTTGATTCGCAGGATATTGACATTCCGTAAAGTGTACAGCTAGGAATTATTTCAAACAATGGGCTGAGACTTTGCAGTATTGAACAATTGGAAATATTTTCTAGTTGAAACAACGGAGATCTCTCGGATACACAGCAGCGTCGGATACCTGGATCACCTCCGATGCCAGGAATCTTATTGATCGATAACCCCAATAGGCAGCATATTTCGTGAAAGGCTGCAACGCGATCGCCTGGCTTAAAGATTTATGAGCTTAGGCAACATAAGCGAAAGTAAACGACTCACTTTGAATTCAACCACGTTGGATCCGACTTTCTCAATAACTCCAGCAATATCGTCTCCCTGGTTCAGCCCCTGCTTGGCTTTAAGCATTATCTCTAGATCGCTTTCACTAGAAGTAACGATATCTAGGACCTTCTAATCCTTTAGATTTGACCCGGACACGACCACTTTGGTAAGAACTTAGTTATTGTTTGGCTTAGGGATACCACTATCCACGAGCTTTATACTTAGCCCTACCAAATTAATGACCTCTTTTATGTCTCTTTTTGGTTACCGTAAAGTCGAGGTTAAGGAAGTCGGAGGATAAATAGAAGAATTAAAATACAGACTAATATATATCTTATAACTTAGACTTAGTGGTGTATAAATAATACCTTGATTATTAATCTATATCTAGCTATGCTCTTACCTAGCTAAAGGATACCACACTATCTTCTTAATACCTAAGTACTGGGAATCTAGTAAGGCGCTTTTCACCGCTTACTACTTTGAAGAATGGTCTACAAAATATCTACCAATGATTTTGTGTCAATTTACCAGCACTTGGGATCCGTAGAACTACTACACAGGGGCTTGGGATGTTAAGAAATGCAAAGTTTCAATTAATGTAATCTAATTACAAAACGGATGTCCTGCTAGAAGCCACAAGAGTGATATAGTGGTAAGACTAAGAGATCAGTGTCCTGTGGGATGCTCAGGGAGAAACTGGCTTGGATGCCTCGCAGCATCGGCTCTGCGGATCACTCATCCGGTGTATGCAAATGTACCGGCAGCGGAATTGGTTGCCCAAATCCCGAGTGTGGTCAGGTCCGGACATGAGCGGGGAAGCTGTCGATGTGACGTTGAAATCCTGTATATGCAAATTAATCTGCGACATTGGACCGAGTCGCATACCCTGTTGGGTTAGTACAGTTTTCAAGGCTCGTAGTTGAAATGGCAAACAGTAAAATCGACCTCATGGCACGTAAAAGCTGATCTGGCTAGAGAGAGAATGATTGATGAGTTCTCTAGTAGAGACATTATTATGAGCCGCTATACCCCTTGGGAGGCCTGACAGCCTAAGTACCCCTGTCCTAACCAGAAGGAATCGTGGTGAAGTCGGACAGCCTAACCAATTGATAGTAACAGGTGACAGCATCGGACAGTCTAGTAACTGAGTAATGGATTTTTTTAATCCTTTCGCAATATTAGTACTAGCTCCTAATTTCATGCATATCATTGTGCGTGTTCAAAAAGCGTCCAAATACCTGCTTAAATGCTTCTTTAAATGCCCATTCAAATACTCAGTAAAGGAATTGTTTAGAGGCTCGTTTCAATGCTCGTTTAGATTCTTCATATGATCTATTGTCGCCTTGATAGCATTTCTCAAGGGCATATAAAAAAAATTCGATATTACAATTTGTCAGGGACGTGTCAGGATTTGAGCGCCTAGGGTATCAAGCCTCACTTGGGGTGAAGCTAGTTCTTGGTTGTAGTTTCCTGGCAGAGAATTCATCCTTCCTTTCTCTCTCCTCCAATAGAAATGATATATTTGCACTGCCTCCAATGTCTCCATACAGATTGCCACCATACTCAAACCCATAGCAGGTAAATGCACTCAGTGATAGCGCTAATAAAGATAAGTTGATTGATTGGTTTCTCAGGCGGGAGTGGAGATGGAAATAGGCCCGGCGATAAGAGTTGCCACCTATACACATGTACTATGTAAGACTAGGCCCATTTTAATTGTCTAGTTGCAAGCATACTGTGGGTGTCTACAACTATAGGGTGTGGAAAACAGGGTTTCCCGTCCGCTCCGCCGTAGGGTCAGACCTTTGGCTAACAGGCTTGCTCGACACCTCTAACACAACAGAGCGAGTACAAGGGACTTTTAATCCCATTCTAGAGGAGCTAAGTGCAGACATGTTTTACCGGAATACAAAGACTGCCGACGCTATAAGTTAGACGACTTGCAAAACTTACTAGGCTTTTTTTATTCGGTAGTAATAGGGATCCAGGAAAATATCCAATTACACTAGAGCTAGTATTACATTAGCTGGTGGAGATACTAAATGCATGTTGGTGTGGACAAAGGGGAAAATTGGCCCTTTCTTCTTAAATTTTATGCACCCTGATGAGGCGGCCAATCGTGAGTTTATGCATCAGGCCCGCCGCGGATCGGGTCGGGGCGAAGGTCAGGAGGGGTTTCCGCCTGAATTAGCCTGAACATAATGCAGTGAGGATCCTTCAGAAAAAGCAAGATTGATCTCCGCCGAGGTTTTGCCGTTTACGTAAATGGACCCCTTACTGGACCCCTAAACGGCCCCCGATTGCCTAACCCTCGGAGGGAAGGCGTTGTACTTTTGTACCTTGTCTACGGAGTTCGCGAATACGGACTCGAGCAAAACTTCTACAAAATTGTGAGCTGTTTCTTTTTTAACCCAGGGGCCATGCAGTGTCAACTGATTAGATTCCTGCAATGTAACCTCAACCTAGGTGCCGGTCAATGGGAGCCGGTCAATGGCTTTGATGCATGGCTTCAGCTTACTAGGCGTCCAATTCCTAGACAATGCAATTTATCACCCATGTCACGGAGATAATCAGGATAAATTGTCCTTCCTGTCGAAGAGGTATAAATACATCAAGATACAACCTCCAGAAAGAAACTCATCCTCTTGAACATCAAGCCTTCCTGAATAATCAACAACTTCAACCAAACCACCTCGCTTCAATCAATCGTTCAAAATGAAGGTCACTGCTCTCCTCTGCACTCTTATGGCTGCCGCCACCGTCAGTGCTTCAGCATTCACCGACCCAAAGATTCTGGACGTCTGCGGTGCCGGCTATGGTGGCGACCAAAGGCGTACAAACAGCGGTTGCCAGGCCTCAAACGGAGACAGACACTTCTGCGGTTGTGACAGAACCGGCGTCGTAAGTTTAGCATACCAGGTTGAAATACCAGACCATGTTTGCTAACGTGTATTTCTGCGAAAAGGTTCAGTGCAAGGGTGGAAAGTGGACGGAGATTCAAGATTGCCACAGTGGCACTTGCCACGGTACCAACGATGGTGGAGCCGTCTGCTAGATGGGAGCAACGAGTGTATTGACAATCGCACTGGGATGAAGGTTTGGCCAACTTTCCACCGGAACGAATAGGAGCACTTTGAACGATTCAACATCAACCGATTTACTTGCCTTTTTCTGGACATATGTTCAACGCCTGGTTCGAACCAACTTGTTACTCGTCGCTCGTTATTCGTGGTTTTGCTTACATGAAAACAAAGATGGAGGTCATCAAATACTGTGGAGTACCCATATTATTCCTGTTGCTTCTTACATGATTCGTGAATTCAAGACAACTATCTGTATTCTGCCTTTCTCCCAGACCTGATGAAGTAGTTCATGGCCGCAAGAGAAGAGCAACGTTACTTTAGTCCCGAATCAAAATCTTGTTAAATATCAATTGATAGCAGTGCTGTGTACACTAACTGCCTTTTTGTGTTGAAGGAAAGATAAGACAGAGAGGGAGTCGACACCAGCCGGGCGAGCCATTTTGCATCATGCCTCGTCATGAAAATTTTCAAGGTCTCCCGATCTTACCACTTTTCAAATACATCCTTAGTCTCCAAGGGATTCGGAATTAACTCACAAGCTTCACTGTGGCAACTCCACTGGCCGTAGTGAAGTGCGAAATGCCGGCATTAGGATTCGATACCTTAGCCACGGCTTCTCGGCCATCTTCCATAGTCATGAGGAAACGCTTTATTGTACATGCATCGAGAAAATTCTCAACAGAAATGCGTCGCGCCGCGCCGATTGGCTCGGCTGCCACACTTGCCGGTTGCTGAAACCGAATCTGACCTCTCGGTCCGGAAGATTCAGCGGCCACGCGTGAATTTGAAGGAATAATTTGTATCCCAATCTAATTGGTATAAGTTATACGTTGGGTCATGCACAAATGGGGAAGCTTACCTGTCTGAGTCCCCAAGGACGGAACCTTGACTCTGGGATAGCGACCGAGCTTTCGTGATCGAGCGACATTTTATTGCTTCCACGTTGGCTTCATTAGTCGAATATGGCGCCACATATGCGCAATTGGGGTTCAAGGCATATTTAATGAGATCGAATGCCTCCGTTGATTCTTGACAGGAAGCGCGTCGCACCTGATCACGCGGTAGGGTATAAGACATTCTCAGGAAAACAATAATTGAATACCAAAAATCATGACATAAAAGGAAGATAAATATGGGAAATTTACAAACGATATGGCGTTTTCATGCTATGGTACAAGATCAAGCTTTGATCGGTAGTTGATCTTAATGACCACCCCTTTCCACCATCGACTGGCTAAGTATATACTATCCGGTTTGGACAGGAGAGACGGCACCCAATGAAAGTATAGACCTTGTAGCCGGCTCACTTAAATTGTCATAAATGATATGCACGAACTTGGAAAAGAAAAGACAATGCCCTCGGTCATAGGTATATCGGTAGTGTATATGTTTGAACAATTTAAGCAAAATAGACTCAAAATTTACATCAGTGGCGTGATACCATTAGTGGGGAGCGACATGTCTAGTTATACATATGTCGACCCCAGGTCTTGGCGGGGAAAGGTTGTTATCATGTACCTTGTCAGCCGTGAAGCCAAAGGTGGGGGTTATGGTGTTTAGTTGGCGAGCAAGCCCACCCTCCGCAAGTTTCTCACTTCTTTGACCTTATTTTATGTTCAGTAGTCCCTCGGCTCCTCCTTACATTACCACCGGCACTTATCGTGACTTTGCTTACAATAGTGGGACAATATCCTCTCTCTCATATCTGTTACACGCCGTCACACTGAATGAAGTTCAACACAAAGAGGACTGACCATGTCTTTACCTGACTTGCGTGTCATGAAAAGAAGGCGACTTGGACGTGCATCAACTAGACAGTCGAAGGCGAGCAAAGCTCGCTCCTGTGAGGCTTGCCGGCGATTGAAAACACGATGTGAGACGAACGGTTCTGATCGATGTCATCGCTGTGATGTTCTCCGGTAAGAAACATTCCCAGAAAATGTTTTATTGAATCAAATCTCTGAAGGCTTGTTCTACTTCGTTAGAATCGAATGCTCTTTCCAAGCCGTGACTAGCAACCATCATTCCTCAACTCCAAGGGAGCCTGCACCTACGATGAGCTCTAGTGATTATAATGCTCGGTGAGCTCTCTCATGGCTTATATCATGTTGATTCATATGCTTAACTCATAAATAAGGCTTCACGCTGTCGAAAGCACTCTAACGCAGCTACAAGCGTCGATATCCGCTAGCAGGACAAATATTTCCCAAGATAGACCCGAGGTAAGTAACATTAAATAATAATAAAGTCAATATAACTAATCTTCAACTTTAGAACCTCTCATGGAGTGCAGAACGAACGGCTCGTGATGCGCCCATGAGTCTAATTCAAGAAATCAGAGAGAATATCACCTATGAAAACCCATCCAACATCGAGGACTGTACGGAGGATATGATAATTAAGGGCATTGTCTCTGAAGATCTGACACAAACACTTCTTGAAGGGTATGCGGCGTCCCGTCAGTTACAATAATGTTTTAAAACGACATTAATTATTCAGTTTTTCGAAATTGTCAAGCCGTTGGCTATTCATGACTACAGACCCTGTTCAACTACGTACCAAGTCGCCACTCCTTTACGGAACTTGTCTTCTGGGTGGTCTTCATATAACGCCATCTTTGCATGGGTCGCAAACGCATCAGGCATTGTACCGCCATGTTCACGGACTCTTGGGGCAAACTCATCTATCTTCAGCTAGCTCGCTGGATACAATCCAGTCGATGTTAATCCTCTCTATGTGGGACTTGCGACCCACCCTAGGTCATGAGCACGGGAATTCATGGTTGCTGAGTGGAACAGCAGGCATGCGAGTTATGATGACGACTTCTTTTGAGCAACTTCTCAAGTCAAATAATAGCAATGGTGGCGAAGAATCCCGAGCACAGGAACTGATGCGCACATGGAACTTGATTTGTCTCTGCCAGTTACAGTGAGTTAGTCATGTATTTTGACCATTTTCTCTCTCTCTATTCGGTCTCTTTCGGCTTCCTCTTTCAAATTGAATATATCTTCGCAAAGCCTAATAGACACTCAGGTTTTCTGTCGGCTCCGGTCGTCCTCCGGTTATCTCCAGTCAGTACTTTGATAAATGTGCCAAAGCTCTTGACTTCTCATCGTATAGTGCACGCGATGAGCTTGTATTGGCTGGAGTAAGGCTGTATCGGGTTCTTTGGGGATTGATGAGTTCAAATGTGATTCAGAGGACGAGCGCTACTTGGCCCGAGATTGACAGCTTGAGAAAATCTCAAGAGAATATCTACAGTGAGTGTTCCATCCTTTTAAGCCAAACTGACCCTCATTTGTCTCTACCACAGAGCTTGACTCCTCCGAGCCCCTTCGCTTTGCATACTCCTGCGCCTATTTGATGCTAGCACGTCGGACGCTACAACACATGAATCACACCGAATCCGACAAATCTAGTAACCCTGAATTAGCATTTGAGGTATCCGCGCTTCCGTTCATTGAATGCTCAATTTATCACTCCATTCGAATTCTGAATCTTTTTCTATCCATGTCGGAATTGACCACCTACATCCACCCTGTCTACGAAAACCTACTATGCTCCTTCGCAATGGTGACATTAGCCGAGTTCGTCACTCATATAGCTGATGTTGGTCACACAATGCTTTTGATGGAGCAGGCCATTTCACATATCCAATGTGGGGGCAAGGCAGAGCCGGTGAGTCGATGGTGCCTTAATATCATAAAGCAACACGTTGCAGAGGGTAATGAGCCAGCTCATCTTGGACTGGCGGGGGCAAACAGAGTAGAAACATTTACCTCACAATCGGTTCAGGATTTACCGGAGTCTTGGGACGACAACGAGTGGAGTATCGAACAAGAATTTCCGTCACTTGAAGACATGCTCTTTGGAAATGTTATTTGAGAAGATTGCTATTGACAAAATTTGTTCATAAAGTCACTGGTTACCAACATAAATTGTGTATATAAGAGCGAAGAACCCCCCTCAATTCTGATGTCTCAATCTGATTCCCGCATGGCATTCCTTGGGTTTCTTAGAAAAGCCCTCATGGGATTCTATTGTCGGTTGATACAAAGCAAAGTCATATCGATGGAACAGAGTGCCAATAATCAATTGCAGCTCCATTATAGCAACATTTTGCCCAACGCACGCCCGAGGTCCATATGAAAATGGATTGAAAGCAATCTTTTGTCGGGGAGTCAAGTTTAACCAGCGATCAGGTTTGAACTCTTCAACATCATCACCCCAGATTTCTTTCATATGATGGATTGTATATGATGGGACTGAAAGAACTGTCCCAGGCGGGAAGTGAAAGCCGTCGAATTCGACACCTGGACTGCTATCAGCCACCAGGCGCGGTAGACCGATGGCCGAGGTAGAGTGGAGGCGCATCGCTTCGTCGATGCATCTTCGCAGGAAGGGAAGATCTTTGACCTGTGAGTAGTTTACAATATCTGCTTCGCAAACAATTGCTTGGTCGAGCTCTTCTTGTAACCGAGGCACTATAGTGTTTGGTGCATTGCGTTCTCCGTGAAGAATCCAGTAGAAGATACCGCAGGATGTGTTGGAGACTGTATCAGATCCAGCAATCAGCTGCGTCAGTGCCTCCGCAATGAGCTCATCCCGACCCATAGGTTGCCCACTAGCATCCTTGGCTTGTAGCAAGCGCGACAGAATATCATTGCGCGAATCAGCAATACCCTTTTCCACAGCATCCAATCGAGTTGCAACCGCGGCAACAGCAATCCCGGTGAGATTCTCCACGGCTGCGACTCCCTTTGTGAAAAATGGATCGGGGAGATACCTTGCCCATGGACGCAGTGCCGGGAGAAGACCGAGAGTTGAAGAGATCTCACCGCGTCGATTGATAGCCTCAACTGCCGAGGCGTACGAAATAGGCCCTCCCTCCACGAGTTGTGTCTCGGTCTCGTCTTTCCCCCGGTTGACCATGCCAAACGGAGAGCCAAATGCCAAGTCTCCGATGATGTCAAATGCAAGATAGCTAAACCAAGGCATCGCATTGAATCGACCGAAATTTTCCTTGTCAAGTTGAGGCCGAGAAGCCGCGATACGGTCCAATTGTACGACCCAACGCCGCAGATTATCCACCATGTGAGGCTCAAACGCCGCAACTGATCTTGGTGAAAAAGCATGGGAGATAATTTTTCGCTTGCGTGTATGCTCTGCTCGATCGCGTACGTTAAACATGCCCGGTGTTCGTGCGACAAATGCTTCATAGTAATAACTGGGAGTGTCTCGTTAATGACCATTGCGCTCAGCACATCTGGGTAATCTGACATACTCTTTCAAGAAACCGTTTCCGTGCCCGTAAACAATGTTTAGTGCAGATTCATCCGCAATAGACACATTATTGAACCCTATACGCACAACCTTGCCGTATTTTCGATGTGCTGAGTCCACCGCGGCGTATTTCTGGCCACGCCGGGCACTTAATCCAACCCAGATATTGCTAAATTTGGCAATAAATGGTCCGGGCACAAGGTATAAAGAACGATATGTCACAAAGTAGGGATATATGTAATAAACTGACAGCCATAATGGAATGGCCCCGGCAATGGTCCATGGAGAGAGCAGAAGATTCAAAAGAGCCATAGTGAAGAGGTCTGGTGAATTAAGATGAACAGTTTAAACAACAGAATAACTCCTCACATTCAACTTCATTCTGTGTGTTTAAATATATTCCATATGCACTGGACACTGTTGCTATCTCTCCGACGGAGGAGATGCAACACCGTCGGAGATGAGATAACAAGTCATAATTGGGGTGAGTTGGTCTGCAGTTGAGGTAGAACCCCGCTATCTAAATGTAAAATAAAGCAAACAAAAACCAAAAGCCACTCGAATATGCAATTTTCATGTTTATAGATGTGCCTCTTTGATCTCTTGGCCGTTTGGCGGCTGTAGGGCATTGTGGCCCCAGAAGTTCTCCTCACTCAGTGCTTCTTCTTCTACCGCCCAACAATAATTTCTATCTCATTACGATTGTGTCATCGTCATTGTAGCCTGATTTGTCGAGCACCAATCTGCACAATTCCCTAATTGAAATTCGATACAAGGCTATTAGCCCTGATTCTACAACGATTACAGGAAAAGAAAAGTCCAATATAAATCAGAGATTGGATATTTGCGTGTACTCCTTAAAAGATATGAACAGGAAATTCACAAGGGACCCTCAAAGACGGCCATGCGCCAACAGATCCCAGAAGATAACAAGAAAATTCCAACCCACAGATTCGCTTTTCGTCACATTCGTTTGCACAACATCAGGTCGCATCTTCTTAGCTAGAGGCGGAGGTGTAAGCAACACCGGCCTGGTTGAGAGCGCTGCCGGAGAGCAGATAGTTCTCAGCACACATGAAGTAAGAGTAGCGAGTGACACCGGTCTGCTGGTCGAGCCAAGGGATGACCTCGCTCAGGAAAGCAGCGGTGGTAGCCAGATCGGAGGAACCGTTGATATCAGCAGCGAGGGCGAACTCGGTGATCCAGACCTCGGAGAGGTTGTGGCTGCTAGCAGTGCTGATGGCCTCGGTGACGAAGGACTTGAACTCGTCGGCGGTGTTACCGTACCAGTGGACGGCCATGCCAGTGATGCCGCAGCTAGAGCAGGAGTCCAAGAAGGAGTTCATCCAGCTGAGACCCTGGCCATCATTGGTGGAGGAGCTCGTGGCGGGAGTGATGAGCTTGGCCTGGCCAGAGTAGGGGGTGATATAGGTCTGGTAGTAGTTGGCGGCATCCGAAGGGCTCATGTTGGCCTGGGAGGCCATATCGGGCTCGTTGAAGCCCAGGATGTACTTGCTACCGCTGGAGAGGACAGTCTGGATGGTGGTGACCCAGCCGCCGAAGTCCTTAGCACCCCAGAGCATGGGGACGAACTCGACATCGGTGGGCAGGGAGCCGGAGAGAGAACCAGCCCAGTTGTAGGCCCAGGAAATGGTGTTGCTGGAGCTCAGGGCAGACACGGTGGCGATGTCGTTGTAGGCAGCACCGCGCTTGCTAGAGGAGGTGCGCTTAGCCTGCTGCACGGGGGCGGCGATAGCGGAGGTGGCCACGAGGCCGGCAGTGAACAGCTTGGTAAAGGAGACCATTTTGAACACAGATGATAGTCACAAAGGAGTGGACTTAGTGGCAGGTATAGAGAATGAAAGAGAAACCTGTTCTCGTAAAGAATGTATGAAGCGTGAAGCTTAAGGAAAGTGAGGACTTCGACCGTGCACCGCACAGGACTGATAGACCAGAAAGCAAAGAATGAAGGACTGTGGATTTTGGAGAGAGAGAAGGACGAGAGAGGCGAGAATGGGGGTTTTAAATGCTTTCAGTGGCACAATGCATGTCAAAGTTACCATTCAATCCATCTGGCTGGGACGAAGGAGCCACACAATAGATTTCTTCAAGTGGAGTGGATGGGACAATTGCTATTGGATATTCGAGCGCCATGCGTGGTGGCTATTCATCATAACCATGAATTCCGTCAGGGCAAAAACCTCTCCATTCTCTCATTGGCAGTGCGGACCAGGGGGAGGCGAAGGAGGGCGGTCCAGTATGGGACGGTTGACAGCACAGGAACCACGGTGATTGGGTTGAACCGAGCGTTCTCTGCATTTCCAATGAAAATCAGCGTGCAGACGCCAGAAAGAGAGAGATTAGCATCTCGTCTTACTCCACAGCCAAGATCGTAGTCCACTTTCAGTCCACTCCACAATAGCCTGGACCGCGATGGAGTATCTATTACATCCATTGTCCGATTATTCAATTTTGGGGAGATGCCAGAGGTTACTTAGAAACTCCGTTAATGGTGACAAAGCGCCAGTGGACAATGGCGTCAACATGGGAGTCAATCATTGATTTACCCCTGACAGGAACAAAGTGAGAGATGAATAACATCACACTGAAGTGGAGAAGAGGAACCACGGATGCGCTTGCGTAGGCAGTGGACGTTCCCTGGTTCCTACTCAGGGCATCACATATGATTGGCTCTTCCGCACTACATCATAGCTGGATCCTTGACTAGCCAATCACAATGCTTTGTGCTTGATCTAACCCTAGGTACAATTAATGAAACAAACATTACACACTACACGCTAATTTTTGGGGTTACAATGTGCGTGTTCTAGCCCTAGAGGTATATTGAATAATGTCTCCATCGTAATGACAATGATCTATAACCGCCAGATCGCATTTCACATATGACACACCGACAGAAGCGCCACAATGGATCAATAGCAGCCACTCGGAGCGATCTGGGACGACTGCCGATCGACATGTTTCACTGAGACCCAGCCCTTTTCCCCTCCTGCCTGTTATCCAAGTGTGCCTCCTTGCTGGATCAACCGGGACCAGTTCCTACGTGATGGCCTTTTAAAACCACTAACCCCTCTTCAGCCCCTGCCGATCGCTAGAACCGACCCAGCAAGAGGGTAAAAACGGCGAGACAAGCCTTACCGGACTCTTTACCGGTGTTTCCTACCCGGTCCATCGCCTTCTAGCCTTCTGTGGAGTTCTAGCGTATTTTGGTGGTCTCCGCTATTCGCCAATTTGGAACAAACACTGGGCAATTGAAGGCGTGCAATTGTCCTTTTTGCCGGGCTTTGGTCTTGTGCCCCCGAGTTCTAATACGTCTTTGAATGGGGACTGAATGGTATTCCCCGTTTCCCGATAGGTTGGTGGGATTATTGAAGTACCGGTACAATGAAGTATCTATGGCATGGCAGATAGCATACCAAATCGCGAGTCTCAGATTAAAATCTCAAAGAATCGTGTACTCCCCGGATTTGCCTTTCTCCTTCGGTTTCCAGGATTTCCAGGGTTTCCAGGAACCCGATAGTGGCCACGAATTCGCCATGAGATCACAACTCTGTAACCCCGCTTCAGTCGGGCACTATTCCGAACAAATGCCGTGAGGTTCACAGGTGGCTCTGGTGCTTATCTAAAACACACCATAATTCTTTGTCCCTATACTCTGACCAGTCCACGTGGATGTAGACGTAGACAAAGGAACCCGGATGTCTAATTTGACCCCAATCAACCCTATGTTTTCCCGGAGTATTATTATCGAATTAACAACTCCGATAGAAAAAGAAAGCATAATGAGCCTACTGTAGCTGAGGTTGTCCTGGTTCTATTACAAACCAACGTGGCTCTTGACTCGCCTCCCACTAGCGCCCAGCCCACGTCATCCTGCTTCACTTCGAACACTTAGTAACTCCGGAAGTGAACGGAGACTGAGACTTACTGAGTATTTTCTCAATAATCGGTCGGCGACCCGTCGCCTCGGTGTTCTATTTACACTGTCCATTTGACATGTCCTCCAAAGTCCCTCCCAGGCCCGAATAGTTCCCGAGCTTGAAGACAAAGGCACTGGCACTATTGCGCACCATTTTTAGATTGGTTCCGCGCGGCCATGGGCTAACAGACGCCTAAGGCACCACCTTCCACGTCTTCGGGCAATATGAGTTTATTGCATATCTGTCTACGATACGAAGGCTTGGATAGGTCGTTGTCGTTGACTGATTCGAGACAATGCCAGCATGCTACCGCAATATGTGATTCCTTTGTCGCCCGGTCTTTGTCGCTGTTGCATGCTTTCGACGCAGTTTCTCGGTTCCTGAAACATGCTTCCGTCTATACATCATAAAATGAGGCCAATGAACGCTAGGTTGGTGGTAGACGTCGTTCCCGTCCTTGGTGCCTGGGTCTAGGCTGTTATGTGGCTGCCGCTGCCTGCGCCTGGTGTCTCCTGCATATTGGATATCTTCTAATTATAGGTCTTGGAAGGAGCCATCTTCTCATCTTCTAGCCATCTCCTTGCCAATCTCCAAAAATACCATCCTGCTCGGCTCCGCCGTAGGTTAGCTACTGATGGGATCTTTTGGGCTCGAATCCTCGGGCCGACGCTTCAATCAAATGTGGCATTGGTATAATTATTGACTCCTGAGCATCGTTCAAATAGTACCTACTCCCCGATCGACTTTCGGACAGTATAATGTCTTAAGCCCGGATTCTTCGTCCCTTGTCCCATATTCCGACGGCTACTGTTCATTCAACATCCTTGAGTTCATGTCCTAGTTGAAGCTCAACTCTCTCTTTTTCTCAAATATCAGATCTTCGTTTTAAAGAGTGATATCTCAGAATCTGTTCCGCTATACCCAGATCTGCACTTGGTGGTCCGCCATGTCAGTGTTCGCAATTGTAGTCCACCTCCTAACATTCAAGTATATCTATGCAAACAATGTCTCTGAGTCTCAACAACATAATTCAGGCCATTCCCCTTCTTCTCCACATGTATACTCTATGCCAACAAATACAATACCGCATTGAGCGAACATGGAAACATGGAACCTGAGTCTATCCCTCGCCCAATCAGAAATACTGCCCATAATCAACCCGCAATGGGAAAGCGGTGAATACCGATGATGTAAATTATTCCCTCTCCACATCATCATAGCTCGACCTGCATAGCTCCCTGCTACATCTCTCTCCACACTTTCTCAACATTCATTCACTTGGTACTCGGTAACAATGCTCTCTCGCACAGCCCCCAGAGCTCTGCTCGCAACCGTGCGCCCATCTATTCGCACAACAGCACCCACCAGCTCAGCGCTGCTCTCGCAAACCCGCACCCTTCGTCCCAACTCCGGGTCACAATTCTCACGCTCCTTCCAGTCTTCTCCAGTCATTTACAAGGGCATCCACCCTGAATCTGCAGACCCTCCTGCTCCCAACCCTCAATCTGCGCCCGTCGCGGGTGCCGCCGCCCATGTCACTGAGCCTACGCCGTTGACGGCTGAGGAGTACTATGAGTACTCAGAACATTATTTCAATGTGCTTCTAGCCGAGCTTGAGAAGTCACAGGAAGAGGGCTCGGATGTGGAGGCTGAGTATAGTGTATGTGTTCCCGTTGCGTTTACACAAATCTGTCTCCCGGATTTGTTTCCTATCTTTATTTCATCCACCCCTCTCTTTGCTCTTTATCACATTTCCGACTCTTAAATTAACATTGTCTGCTCCTCACCAGGCTGGTGTCCTCAACATCTCCGTCCCCGCAATCGGCACCTTCGTGCTGAACAAGCAACCACCCAACAAGCAAATCTGGCTCAGCTCCCCCATCTCCGGACCTAAGCGGTACGACTGGATCGTCGAAGGCGACTACATGCACGAGAAGCAGGATTCGCGGCCCTTCGCCAGTGGACAGTGGATTTACCTGCGTGATGGATCGAACCTGACTGAGCTGTTGAACTCGGAGTTGTCATTGCGTCTGCCCAAGGATATCTACAGCGAGGTTATTGAGTAAATTTCGCACTAGGCTCTGTTTTACCTAGAATATTAGCATCAAGATCAAGATAGGTGGGCTCTGTTCCACTTGTGTCTTTTGTTACATATTGTATGTCTAGTTGTTTAATGCGATTGCATTTGCGTCGTTGATTATGATTCCTTGTAGTAACTGAAGGTATTCAGGTATTCATTGGCCGATAAAAAGGACTCTGGAATATAGCAAGATATGTGTGTGAATAGTGGGTATCATTGATGAATGCAAAAGTCGGGTATAAAGCAGTCTTCTTCTGTTCACTCATAACCAAAAGACCGAGCGAAGTCACAGTATGTCCAGTTCCAAAGTGCAAACGAGATATTCAAAGCTTCCTTGTCTGAAACAGACAACCAAAAAGACCAAAAGACAGTCTCAGGTCGAGTATTGGAACCAAGTCTTGCCAAGTATATCCACACCCTCGAAGCAAGACTCGACTGAGACAAAGTCGACAGTATCCGAGTCAACGTCAGATATGCTATCATGGCCGGGAAGCTACAGACTAGGACGGGTCTGTCTGTTGTATCCATCTTCACTTTCGAGGAAATCGGTGTGCATGGGTGCACTAGGCGCAGGACGCAGAACAGCGGCGCAAAGACCATGTGTTCCCAATATTGAGGCGCAAGCGTTGGATTGGATAGATGTTGTAGCAGATGATACGCCAAGCACCATCCAAACCATAGTCAAGGATCAAAGGAGTGCTCGCAGGCGCCAAATGCCCAAAGTCGTTTGCGCCGAGAGGAACAACCTGCAAGCCGAGGGCAACCTCTCCAAGGTGCCAACTCGGTCGCCGGCGTTGCCTCCAAATCCTCCAGGTATATTCTGCATAAGTTCTCCTTCTCTTCGCGACTCTCGTAATTCATGCGCCAGCTCACGCATCAGCTTTAGGAAGATCGGCCTATAAACCGCCCACAATTAGCAAAAGCAACGCGAAACACAGAAAAGCAATAGAGTCATACCTCATCAAAGATAACCCTAATCATAAGACTACAACTCGGACAAACGCCAATATCCTCACCATCGCGCAAATCATCGATTGCGATCTCGAAGCGATCGCCACATGGACATGGATAAGTGTAGATCTGGAGGTTTGGATCGAAGGTCATATCCTCGATCTCGATCTCATCGTAGATGTTGAGTCCCTCGTCGGCCATGTTGGATGTGGGAAAGAATGAAGATGTGGCGAAGATAATACGGGATCTGGAGTAAATTCTACATTGACTCTTTTTGGTGGCGGACAGAAAAAGTTTGGGAGGTCATGTGATTCGGGGTTAAGGTGGGGTTAAGATTTGGTTGTAAGTTATACTTCGATGTTCATGTGTCTTCTATGGATATTTATTGCAGATTTAGGGCTTTTTGAAACTCGACATGGGTCAAAGACTTGAACTATAGCCTTGGATGGAAATTCGAACAGAATGGCACATGAAAAGGAACTCGCCGAAGAGGGAGAGTGTGCTTAGACTAAGTTTAAAGTAGCTTATTTCCAAACTAAATAGTCTTAATAGATACAAGCTGTAGAACCCTGCGCTAAGACCTGGCCTCCGAAGCCAATCAGGGTCCTCCCATGCACTATGTACACAACTCAGCTTTGGGTGTCACTTATGTACCTGCGCAACTACGCATCATTCGCCAAGCCGTGCGATTTCCATCTTTGTAGATTCCACTTCTCTTGCGAGTGCCCCATACCGGCGAGCAATCTCCGCTAAAGACCCTCCATCTGCAGGAATATCTCTAACTGACCCTGAGACCTCCACGTCTCCGTATGTTTCCAGCTCTTCAATCGCCATCTTGCGCCGATCCTCCAGACGCTCCTTCGTCTGCCGAAGATGTTGCTTGTACCGAGTAAGCGCAGCAATGGTTTCAGGTGTATAGATAGTAGCCGCGATTTCGAGTTTCATAACCCTGCAATTCACCCCGTTAGCAAATCCCAACTCGACAGCAGCTGAGAAAACAAAAGCGTAAAAAGCAAATCATAAGTAACGGCGAGACATACTCCAACTTCCCCTCAATGCCCTGCGCAACCGTAGCGAGATGATCCGCCTTGGCCCTAGTAGCCCGAGCCAAAGCCCCATGCTTCGCCCGCTCTAGAATCACAACCGTCCGCTCCAAAACCTTCGCGCGCACAGCAACAACACCAGCAGCCGTAGCAGCCATCTTCCGACGTGCCGCAGGCAACTCAGACAACTGTATGCGGCGCAGCGCGCGAACCCGACTGGCAAGTTGTTCCGAAAGAAGCGGGACAGGGGCCATAGAAGTCCGAACGCGACGGTCACGGGCTCGGGCGCGAGCATTATGGTTCAAACGTGATGAGGCAGACGTCCCTGGACCTGGATCTGGGTCCGTGGGAGAGTCCGCGGTCGCGGCTAGGGCGCGGAGATCATGGAGGGCTGATGAGAGCAGGGTGGTGAATGGGAGGATGAAGGCCGGGATGTTGGAGTAGAAGGCTTCGAAATCAGGGGCGAGGAGGGAGAGTGTTTCGTCTTGTTCTGTATTGTCTTCGGAGTCTGGTTTCGGGGTGTCGAGCTCGAGGGCGCGGCGGGGGGTTTCGAGGTAGAGGGTTATTATTGCGAGATTATCGTGGCACTGTGTGGGATTGTATTGTGAGATTCATTGTGTTATGTTTTGATGGGTTGTTTGGTGCCCGGGGCTGTACTGTACCGACCTCCGCGGGTAGGCCGCTGTCTGGGGCGAATGCTAGCTGGCGCAGTGTTCGCTCTTTGATTCGCTTCTTTGCATCTCGGGTTTGGCATTGCTTGAGGTCCTGGCAGGGAATGAGTGTTAGAGCTTTGGTTTCCTGGTGACACTCGTGTACGGATTTCCAGTGGCACGTTGGCGACTTACTTCTACAGCAGCTGTGCGCGCCGGAGTTGCGCTTTGAGCACGTGTAGAGCCATCTGGATCGAGGAGGTTCTTTGTTAGGTTTTCGTATAGTCGTTTGAATTGAGGATTGTGCTCAAGAATGGAGGGGTCGCAGGGAGGAATCATGTTGATGTTGCTGAGAAGGAGGTCCCCGCCGGAAGACACCCGCGCCAATTATAGAGCTACATTGAACATCTAGAATTAACTTATGCATACATTGGAGCTACATGAATTTACAAGGTAAAAGTACATATTCAGTTTGCATTTGCGCGTTTCTTTCGTAATCATACAAGATGAAGCTCGAAATCGAGTCTCGGGTCAACTCCCGTTTTCCACCTGCAACGTCGGAGAAAAGAAAAAAGGCGGCCTCGTCCACATAAGTGGAAAGACCATTTGGGAAGAAAATTGTGCACTTGGGCATAGGGAAGAAGTTCAATCGATCCAGTAAATGGAAACATGTTGGGCCAATCTTGAGCAATAGGTTCACAGGTAACAAAACCTTGCTGAGTCCAGGGTCTCAAAGTATGTACAGACGTTGTCGGTGGGTTGCATGGCAACTCACCAAACTCGGTGTGATTGAGAAAGAAAGGGGTAAATATCAGAAAAGCACAGGGGAAATCGACGCTTGGAACGCAAATCAACGAAAAGGGCCACCTTTGATGGGAAAGAATGGCAAGGTTCGACGGAGTATCTACTCCTCCTCGCTCTCTTCCTCGGAGGAGTCCGAGTCATCTTCGCTGCTTTCATTGTGTTCAACCGAAGGCATTGGCTCCGGGGAGTGGCCACCGCCACCCTGGAAGCGGGAAAGGTTGTTCTGGAGCATGTTGATCTGAGCCTCCTGCTCAAACTTGCTCATAGGCTTGTTCTTCTTGGGCTTGGGCTGCGCAACGGTGCTGCTGGCAGGAGTGTACTCCTCTTCGAGGTCATCCCCGAGACCAGCCACGTTCTTCTTGACGAAGGCAAGCAGCAGAAACAGGACGTTGTTAGGGAGCTCATCAATGTCTAGCTCAATCTCGGCTTCATTGGTACCCTGTAAAATGGATGGTTAAAACACGCCGTGAGTGTAAAAGTTCATATATGAAACTTACCTTGAGTTGAGGGACATTGTTCTGGATGAGCTGCAAGGCATCCTGCATCTTCTTGTCCGGAAGGCTACTGATACCCTGGGAGATGAGCTGCTTTTCGGCGTAGGTGACAGGGCGGGTCCGTTCGGGCTTAGAGCTCTTGCTCTTCTTGTCCCTCTTCCCGGAAGCGCTCTTCCGAGAATCCTTCTTAGATGACTTCGACTTTCCAGCCTTCTTGGACGACGGAGGGGTCTTCTTCTTCTTATTGGTAATAGCCTCAACCTGGCGGGACATCTCAGCAATCTGCTTCTGGAGCAAAGTGAGTTTCTCATCGTCTTCCTCGCTCTCTTCTGCATCTTCGTCACTGTCCTCATCAGAGTAGTCGCTGTTCTGCTCCGGGTGTGGTTCATGCGCATCGAGGTAGTCGGACTTCTGAGCCCACTTCTGGTTGAAAATCTCTTCGGCTCTCTGGCCACACACATAGGTGGGATCACCTGGAATGTTGAACCGGAAGCAATTCTTAAAGATGAGGCGAACATCGGTTTCAAACTCCTTGGCGTTCTCGTATTGACCAGTCTTCAGCTTGGACTGAACGGTAGACAGGTCCATTGGTTTTTTGATCACGCTGTGGTAGGTAGGGATGTTCAAAGCAACTGGGTCGACGGGATAGTAGAACGGCATGACCCAGTTGTAGTGCTTTTGCTTGTACAGCTCATCCACAACTTCCTGGCAGAAACGTAGCTCCCACTGGAACTTCTTCTTCTTGGGCTTGGTTGAGTATGGCAAATCGCGCTTCGGGGGGTGGATCGAACGCTTTGGGCGGCCATCAGGGTTTGAAGAATCACGACGAATGACAGGCAGTCCCTCCGGTCCCAGCGCAAAGGTCTGAGCCTGGGGAGAAGCAGCCTTGGTCGAGCTTCCCAACGAAGTCCGAGGCTCCCGGCGGGCGGCCGAGGTCTTCTCAGTGGGCTTTTTCGGCTTCTTTTCTTCCACATCTTCGGGCTTGGGGCAATTGGTCATGATCTTCTCAAAAGTCCCCTTCAGCTTGATACCCTCTTGAGTGACCAGGTGTTCAGGGCCGTTGAAGATGGTTGTGTTTTGGACCATGAGAGCAAAGTCGTCCAGGACAGCCTGGGGGGACGAATATTGGTTGGTCTTCAATTTCCTGTCCATAGTTTGCAGGTCCATGGGTTGAGTGATAATGGTGTGATACTGTGGAATGTTCAATTTGATAGGATCCACAGGCTCCCGGTAGAAGCGCGAGTCATGCAGACGCTTAAGGTTGGTGAGAGTCTTTGAGATAAATCTGTGTTGCATCTTGGTGAGTCCATCTTGGCCGGTGTAAGTACGAACTTGATGGTCGGTAGGGGCTTGGGTTTCAGTGGCTGGAGCGTGGAAGTCGGGGGCCTTGGACTCCACCGGTCCAGAGTCCTCGCCATCAACCTTGGTGCGCTTGGCAGCTGGCTCCTCACTGAGGTCCGCTTCACGTTGTCTGGAGATTTTGGAAGGAGACATCGGAGCTTCCGGAGCATCCCTCATCTCCTGGTCAGCGGCAGCCGGAGCTGGGAGAGATGGATGGGCGAGGTCTGGGGTAGGATGGTGAGGAAGTTCCGTCTTCACGGCAGTTGAGACACTCTGTGGGGTATCAACGGCCATTTTGTCACTCGCGCCATCAGCCGCTGCAATAGTGGTGGGCGCAGCAACTGGATCCTGTGGTGTGGGGGAAGCGGGCTTCTCGGTATCTGCGACAGCTGCGGAAGGAGGAGCTGTAGGAGCTGATTCCTGAGACTGTACTGAGTCCTTAGCACCGGTCTGCTGGGTCTCCACGGGAGTGGCAGATTCGGCAGCAGGTGTCTTGTCTTGGGTCACAGGCGGGGTCTGGTCGGCAGATGCAGGGGCGGGGGATTTAGGAGGGGATGCAGCGGTGCTTGTGCCGTTGGTAATCGATGGCGCGGGGCCGTGGCCATTCAGCGCAGGAGATTTGGCCTCGGGGTCGGCGGGGCTATCGGTTTTGAGAGCTACTGCATCTTGCACACTGCGCGCACGTCAGGTCAAGGTAACAAAGCCAATATTGAAACTAAAGAGCTTACCTGGTAGGTGCGACATCAGGCGCCGAAGGGCCAGTGGGCGACGGAGGGAGCTGTGGCTTGTCCTCCTTTGGGACAGGAGGGGCCTCGGGAGGCGGAGTCGCCATTGAGGTGGCGTGGGATGAAGGATATGGGGCGGCAAGTGAGATGGTAGGAAGTTGAAGAGGTGAGAGTCGCGTTGTTTGGAAAACGAGTGATCAACCGAATGCGCTCTCACACGTTAACCACGAGCGCGTCACGACTTGATAATATGATCAAACGTGACAAACTGAAATCGCGGTGATCGAGTATGGAGCTAAGAGACGGGAGATAGGAAGAGTGGAGAATGCGATCGGAGAGGAATTTATACTGCCAAGAAGGCGGTATGGGAAGAATCACGTGAGTCGAGAAAGGAAGAGTGCCTGAGGCCAAGTGAAAATAATTATGGAGTAATAAATAATAAAAAAAGAGGTTAAAAAAAAAGGGGGGTGACGCGAAGACGCGTTTGTTATGTTTGAGGAAGGGGGGCGGTCAGAGGAATAAAAATAGGAGAACCAGGAAGCAGAAAAATGCTCGGGGGAAGAATCCTTAAGTACAAACGGCCGCCTTGCTCTTGTCCTGCCAGTTCCACCAGCCACACTAGTCCGGATTCTCCAACCTTTCCCCCTTGTTGATTGGTTCTGATCCCACCCCTGATTGGACTGGATTTTCTTCTTTTCTTTTCTTTCCCTTACTATGCCCTGAAATACTCTGATTTTTTCTTTTTAAGTATATCAATGTGTCATTGAGGTTTTACTTTCCTTCTAGATTTTTTTTCCTTTTATCATTTCAGGGTTTTGATGTCCCAAGTCCACGGGTCGCGGATGACTCATAACCCTAGGGTTCTGGCCCATTCCGGGTGATCGATCGAGGCCGACGTCATCACTGCACGTGACATGATGTGTACACATATATTCAGCTGACCATGTACAGAGTAGTTCTATACTTCAGGGGGTCTATGGGGGTATTGCCTTTGGACTGCCAATTGCGTATGCTGCACCTGGACCCTTACAGATTAGGCAGAGGAACGTCTTTCACATGATTCGCGCGTTCGACCCTCATACATTTGGTGTCAAATGTTCGCCCAATGATGTTTCATCTTACTACAAGTATGGTTTATTAGTGCTTGATCACTTTTAAATGGCTCAGGCTTGTTTGGAAGTGTGCGCAGGTAGTTCCAGTATATGTCTGGCTTCGTAGATGATGTCTTATTGTTTTCGTGGATCTTTTTTACCTCTTCCTTACACATTCTAGACCCATATGTTGGGTGTACAAATTTCTGTCGTGTAAGCTAAGAGCAACAACGGTTCGAGATCAAGTAACCTCCAAAACAAGAAAGGTTTACTAAAGGCACCAAGTTATTTAAAGGCAAGTAGTATAGAATGTGAAGAGCTTTATCGTGGAAAGCTTCAAGGTTGTGGGACAGGAGGACCACTCCGGCTTGGTGGAGATATACTAGTCGATCCACGGACATATCGGAAATCACAGATATTGCACCTGCAGTACTCATAGAGGGATAAGCCACACTTCACACGGCATAACATATTATCCTCCAGAGTGGAACACTATCTCAAGTCCACTCCCTTCTATGTAAGGGTCTCGTGTCGGCTATAACGTCAAATCCGTTTCATACACAGGGATGAAATATATCCAACCAAAATAGATTCGGCAGGTGTAGGACTTCGCCTCCTGACTGACAACTGTCAAGGCGCATCAAACGCTAAAGTTGTCCTGAGTAGCTAACCCCACGGTCGTTTGCTTTCTTGTTCACATTTGGCTACACATCCCACCCAGATCCTCATGTGTTTGTGAACAGACCCACTCTTTGTCACAGCTCTTTTTCTGTCTCAAATAAATTATTTCGATTGCTATTATGCTAACCACTATACTGTATAATTAGGCAGAATTCAGAGTTGAGCCTCGAGTTCTGACTAAGGTATACCTCGATGCCAGCCTAGGCCATCTTGGGACTAGCGTCTCCAGTCTCCACCCGAACATTTTTTTTCCTTGTCGGCATCAACTGCGCAACCAATCCTCAACCCCAACTGTTTTCTTTAGGGGAGAAAAAGACGGTCATATTGGGTATTCACTGTCTCTCTTCTGACCGGGTTCATTGAATCTATCCTACCAAGCCTCAACCCTGAGGTAAAAAGACTATCGCTAAAATGGGAAAGAAGTCGTCTCGCCCGTCGAGCAAGGTCGCCTCGGCCGCCGCGTCGCCAGCATCAGGTCTGATGCAAGCCGGAAGCAAGTCCTCTATATTGCGAGCTGCTTTCTCTCCGTCGGAGTACCAATTGGCCCTGTTTGCGTCCGTCATTCAAGGCCTCGATGCGCAGCATATCCGAATTCACGACACAAACACAGGACGTCTCCAGTGTGAGCATGCTTTGGGGCCGAAGGAAACGGTGACTTCTCTGGATTGGGGATACTATGGTGGCTCAGGCAAGGGCCGTGACCAGTCCAAGAAGAAGCGGAAGCGTGGCTCCGACGTCAACGGAGCTATCGATGGCCTGGACCAGGGTGATATCGTGGTCGCATTTGGCACAAGCACATCAGACATCCGCATGTACTCGCCATCCGAGGACAAGGTTGTCGGGACTCTGACCGGCGCGCACGAGAAGGGAATCAAGGATTTCAAGTTCACAGCTGACCGCCCCGGTCAAGAGGCATGGAGTATCGGCGGAGACAACAAGCTCGTCCAGTGGGACCTGCGCACCGGACAAAGCATCAAGTACGATTATATCTTCCATGGAATATTTGGGACTCTTAAACTAATAATGTGTTAGGACGATTCACCTCCCTGCATCCTCCGTCTTCTCTGCTCTCTCCCGCCCTGTTCCCTCGAACCTCCCTCTTATCTGCGCATCCCAGACCCCGTACTTAATAGATGCCGAAAACGCCGACGAGTCCCCGGTCCAGTTCCCTGCCATGCGCAATCCTATCCACACCGTCGTCTCCTCCTCTTCAGAGTCTGCTGGTGAGGGATTTTTCCTCGCCTCCGATGGTGACCGCTTCATCAACGTCTTTGATGCCGCTACTCAGAAGCTTGTTCGGAACCTTGTTGCCGAGCAGGATGTTTCATCTGTTTCCCTGCACACGGATGGCAATTTCACCCCGGAGAAGCAAATTCTTGCCGCCATCACCGAGGATGGTACCATTGAACTTTTCTCCAAGCCTTTTGTCCAGCCGCACAATGCGCCCGCCGCCAGCGCCAAGGCAAGCCGCAAGCAGATGACCCAAAAGGCGAACGCAGCTCTCAAGATCACGCATACCGCATCTTCAAGCGCCTGTGTACCAGTTATCTCTATTTCGTTCCAGGATCCCAACATTGTTGTTGCATACGCAGAGGGTGGTGTGGTCCCCGTTTTCGAGCGCGTCAAGTTCCTCGATGAGAACTCTGAAGAGCTCGCTTTCACCGGAACCAAGACTGTGACGAAGACCAAGTCCAGCTCAGCACTTTCGTCGGTCACTACAAATGGTGCCAAGAACTCTGCCGAGAGCCGCGTTGATGAGACCCGTATGGTCGTGGAACAAGGCAACCTGGTCGATAACGATGTAGAGATGGAGGACTCCCGGCAAGACGCCGATTCCGAATCTGGCAGCGAGGAGGACTCAGACGATGAGGACAACAAGAAGTCCAAGGCTTCTTCCGAAAAAAAGACAAAGCCCACCAAGCAGGTTGCAGCAACTGAGGATGTTGAGATGCAGAACGCATCTGAGGAAGAGGAAGAGGAAGAGGAGGAAGGCGCCGAGCCATCATTTGGAGAGCTCCTGCGCGCAAACTCAGGCCAGGAAGTCGACGTTGAGGCTGAGCTTGAGGATGATGTCCTGATGGGCGCATTGGTTCCTGGCAAGCCCAAGGCTGCCGTGCAACAGATTCCCACGGGTGTTTCGCTCGCGACCGTTCTCACTCAGTCCCTCAAGACCAACGACAGTGGTATGCTCGAGTCTTGCTTCCACACAAGTGACACCTCTATCATCCGCACTACCATCCAGCGCCTCGATTCCTCTCTCGCCGCCAATCTGCTCCAGAAGCTCGCTGAACGCCTCGCCTCTCGGCCCGGTCGCTACGGCCACCTTCTCGTGTGGGTGCAGTGGACCTGCGTCGCCCATGGCGGTGCTTTGGCCGGTCACCCCGATCTACTGAAGCGCATGGCCACTCTTTATAAGGTTATGGACCAGCGCTCTTCTAGCCTGCCATCCCTGCTCCTCCTCAAGGGTAAGCTGGACATGCTCGATGCTCAATTGGGCCTACGTCAATCGATCCGCGGCGGAGACGAGGGTATGGACAGCGAGGACGAGGACAATGTCATCTACGTCGAGGGTCAGGACGACTTCGAGGACAGCGAGACCGAAGCCAAGACTCCCCGCACAAAGTCAATACGCGACCAGGTATACGATGAGGACGAGTCCATGATGAACGGCATTGACGACTCCGAAGACGAGGAGGATGGCAGTGACGACGAGGACGACGACGAAGAGCCCATTCTGGATATCGAGGCCGCAGAGTCCGTCGGCTCATCTGATGCCGAGGAATCGCTCGAGGAGAACGAGGATGATGACGATGACGATGTCGACAGCGATGGTTCAATGGTTGACTTCATCGCCGATACGGAAGAAGACGAGTCTGACGACGGCGCTGCACAGGCGGCCCCGCCACCAAAGAAGAGCAAGACATCCGGCAAGAAGAGCAAGGGTGGCAAGAAATAAGTGTGTCTTTCTCAACTGTACGAATTTAGAGATGGAAGGGGTAACGGTCTTCAAAAGAACATATTCATTTTTTCGATGCATCTGACCAATGTGGTCTGCATTTCCTTTTCTTGTTTTATCTACTGCTTTCGATATCTTATGCGTCTACCGAGCGCCTCTGCGTCTCTATCAACAATGTCTATTCAATCTATCTCTCCGTCTCCGATATCTTCGATTTAGCTAGGTATCCAGGTATCCAGGTATCTTTATCGCTTAGTCCAACAACTCATCTCCATGACACGCTCCTTCATGCAGCACCCGATGGCCAGGTATTCCGTCCTCCCCAAGAGGAACCTGCAACGCAACAGTCCTCTCCTTGGAGGGGTAGACAGTATAATGGCCCAATGCACTGACATCAGCAGTATCAAGCGCTAGAATGGCACCATTCTTCCCACCCTCAATCCAAGCCTCGACAGTCGAGTTGGGTAAAGTGATATGCGCCAAGCCAGAAAGGAAAACCACCCATCTATAAAGCAGTGATCAGCAAGGTATAGACCAAACAACATATCCACCTAACACAAGCATCACCCATATACAACTCCCACCCGCATCAATACCAATCTAAATATAAAGAAAAAGAAAAACTCACTGCAAGGCAGGCGCATTATGTCTCTCGCCATCAAACTCCGCCGGTATAGCCGTAAACGAAGCATTTCCCTGCGCAACGCCCATATCAAGAACCGACGAACCCGACGTCCCCGCCTGCGCAGAAGTCTCAAAACCAGGCTGCAGAGCCCAGCATTCTAGCGTGGAGCGGTTGTGGCGCGCGCCGAGGACGGTTACGTTGAGGGTGGAGCCGAGGGTTGGATCGGCTTGGCTGGCGCTTGCTAGGGGGAGGAGGGTGAGGATGGTTGAGAGGCGCATTTTGGGGACTGTGGTTGGGATTGAGGGATTGGAGGTGCGACCAGAGGGTGAACTGGAATTGGGAGAGTGGGAAGAGCTGGGTTCGATTGTTGGAGAGCTTGTCGATGGGTGGAGTGGGATCTGCGGTTTTGGGGATCTTTGGCTGGTGCTGGTGAGGACGCTAATGTATGTAGCTGAGATGTTGGTTTTCTGCAGAATTCGGTTTGAATGTGGGATTTGTTAATTTAGTTACTCTGGGATGGTAGAGAGATAGCTGAGCTTGGGTTGATGTGTTGTTTACTTCTTGGGATTCTATGTTTATATGTTTTAGGTGCACTATAAAGTCATGGATATATATGTAGTCTACCTTCATATGGTTGCCTCGATACTTTCTTGGCCGTATACTGACCAAAATTTTTGCATTTCGATTCATTCAGCCTATAATATATATATCATGAGTCTCTCCATCCAGTCTCTCTTATACTTATATTTCGCCACAAATAACATTAGAGAATAAGATTGTTTCTTTCTATGTGAGATGCACAAATATATCATACAACAATTATATACTCCGCGAAATCCGGTGAACTAGAATTACGTCCTACAGGCTATAGAGAATTCAAAAACAAACGGTACCTAGTGAAAGAACGCAAAAATCCATTTCACCAGAACATAGAAAGATAAAGCTGGTAACGCCGAGTCTCTGCAGCAAAGCTAGTAAATATATAGGTTGCTAATGATAGTGCTGGACACCAGCCAAAGAAGAAAAAGAAGTACTAGCGAATGACTTCTCCACCAGACTTCTCAATGCCCTCCATGCCCTCAAGGATATCGCTGCCTCCCAAAAGCCCACAAGCAGAGCCAGTGGTTGTCCGCCTTCCAGTCCAAACCTCATGAAACTTGACAGTCTGATCACTAGACGCCACAATGATACATCCCTCTTCCATAGTTCGCGTACACCACATTCCACCCTCTTTCTCCTTTGGACTCACCATCCGTGACTCCGTCCTGCGCCCGCGAGCCCGGAATTCTCGAGCCGGAGATCGTGAGCGCCCCAATGAAGGTGACCGTGAAGAAGACGAAGTATCTGGTCTGTCCAACAAAACACTGGGTGGGTGGTGGAGCCTTCCTGGGTATCGAACTGCCCACAGAGCTCGTCCGCAATCGATGTTGGCAGGTGGATCAGGTCCATCCCAGCTGGCTCCATAGGGACCCCATGGAATGACAGCTATCTGTGCGCAGCTGGGCCAGGCGAAGACGGCGATTCGGAATGGGTGATCGGGCTGTGAATAACCGAAAGTAGCAGCGATCTCGCGTCGAGTTTGACTCCAGATCAGACTGGTAACCTGGGCAAATACGTTGATTGTTGCTAAACAGGCTCCGCTCCGGGTGTGATAGAAGTGGATGGCGCGGTCATTCGTGCCTCCTCCGGTTGCGAGAAGAGATGATTGCCATGGCGCGAAAGCAATTGCCTTGACAGCCGCTGAATGCAGGAGGCGATGCTTTTGACGATTGTAAGGGACCAGAATTGTGCGTCCACTTCCAGAAATCAGTGTTCCCGCGTTGCTCAAGAGCGGAGTTGTGACTTGGGGTCTTATAGGAGGAGGATTGACCCATGATGGGAAAAAGTGATTCATAGCAGTCTGTCTACGGAACAGTCGTCTTGTAGCTGTACCCAGGGCGAGGTACGGAAAGGCGCCGAGGCTGAACTGACTTGGAGAATCAGGCGGCGTCACGGGTGAGCCTGCGTGGTCCAAAGGCTGTATTGGGACGATCTCGCCCATTTCAAACAAGAGACAGGTATTGTCATTACCGCCCGTGGCCAAATATCTGTCATCGGGTGACCAGGCCAGTCCACAGATCTGCTGGGTATGAGCACAAATCTTGGCAAGTAGAGTCATGGATCCGTTCCATTTCCACTCGGCTCTGTCCTTGGCGTCTGGCCACTCCACTGAGTAGTACCAAACGTTGCCAAAATCATCACCAGCGGCTAGCTCTTCCGTCTCAACTTCCTTATGGATGAATCGTTCAGAAGGTCTCCGAGATGTTTTCTGCTTGAATGCCACGCATGCAATGCTGTTGGGATGACTGATCTCGAACCGAACATCCGCTTCAAAGGTACTCCATAAAGAGAGCTGGCCAGACCGACGAGCTACCGCAAGGATACTTCTCCCACCAATATCGGATGAAAATGACAAAGAAGTCACATAATTTGAGTGGTGCAAGTCTGGGAAGGGCGGATAATCCACCCCTCGGCCTTCTGACCAAAGAAAAACTCTATGACCAAGGCCCACTGCCAGAATCCCAGAAGTAAATGAGTATGCCAGTGTACTGCAATAGAAGTCATCTCGAAGAAAGGGAGCATCCAGTATGCGAAAGGGCTTTGGTGGAACAACCTCCTTCTTGTCACGGACTGTAGGCCCTGCGATCAGTTGCAATGTTAGTTTTGCCAGTGGTCAGTAACTGCTGTAGGAATGTCGGTGAATTTCACTCATTCGGTTCCCAAGTATGGGCTTATATGTTAGATATATTCCTGTTAAATAGTAGTATATCTCGAAGTCAAGCAGGGGTCGGGGACGACAATTGCAAGTGCATTTGCTTACAATGCTCCCTTTCCACTTTCTTCCATGCATTGTCCTTCCAAACGAATGGAGAGAGTCGTTCGTAATATGGAGATGCTGGGCTGAGCGGAGCCTCGAAACATGGTAGGAAAGTGCCGAGGAGTCTGGTGGTCGGGTCTATATCCAACGCAAGCGCAAGCCTCGACTCATGTTTTTCCTCTTCATCAAACTTCGGCTTTTGGGGTAAAAATCGGGCCACGTAGTTTGGTGCAGTTGGTCCACTCCCCGTGACGATTGATGTGTCGCCAGGAGCAGTAGAAAGGGGGCCTCCGAGAACTGCAGATGCTCCACCCACATTCCAAACTGCTCCAGCGCTGACTTGTCTCAATGTTTCATCTGGGATATTGCGTCCTGAAAATATAAGGTCGTTGACTAGATGGGGCCGTTGACGTGGGGCTTGCTGCAATCGAGTTGGTTGCTGCGGTCTGGGAATGGTTGGAAGTCTGTGTGGATTTGATGGCAGAAACGGATCATCGCCAGGTGGACACCTTCGTAAAAGCTTCTCCCGAGATGAAAGACGAAGCGGGTGTTTGGCCACGCGAAATGCTGCTGAGCTAGACTCCGCAAAGTCTCGTTTTGGGATGAATCTATCCGGTGATATGGAGCTCCCGAAGGGGCTTCGTACTGCAGGTGTACTTGGAGCATATCTAACTCTGCTGCGTCCTCTCTCAGGAGATGATGATCGATTTTCCTTGAAACGAGGAGCAGGTATGGCAATGGCTGGGAGCTTTGTTTTGCCGGACAACAATGGAGAAGTAGGTGTTTCAAAGAATGGCAGATTTAAGGTGGCAAACTCGGTTAACCTGGTCGACCCGCTGTCCCTGGGAGACTCAGATCGAGAACGTGAAGTCAACGGAATAGTATGAGTGCCTATTGGAGAAACTTCCCGGAAGGATTGACAAGGCAAATCCACCATAATTTGGATGAAGGTGAATAATCTGCGATAGATAACGACCTTAAGCTAGGAAATGAGTGTATGAGAAGGCCTCTTCTAAGGCAGCACGTTAAAAAGAGAACTGGCAATGAAGCAGTCAAAGTCCAAAAGTAGAAAGAGACCACTAGGTCACGTGAATAGACATTGATATTATATAACCAGTGACGAGTTTCGCCTGAGGCAGCACAAGATTCCCTCTGCGGCATAGATGGGACAAACCTCACAACTCCATACCTTTGTTCATTTCTTAATATCAAACTTGCAAAGTATTGAAAATGCCTAGTGTGCGCTCAACTCTCCACATCCATGTCCATGGCACTGGGCTAATGATCCTAGCATGGTGTCCCGCGGTACAAACCCGTTGAGAAGTCACCTGAAGCACGCCAGCAAGAGCAGGAGAAGATAGCAAAATACCAAGATCTTGAGCGCTTGGTCTCTAAAAAGGTGCCCATTTACTGAACGCTGAGAGGCAATCAGAGGCTGACAAGATTAGGTGGCCGAGCAAGAATACACAATCGACACATTGCAGAAGATCTCTGAGCTACTGTCCAGCAATCCAGAATATTATACAGCCTGGAACTATCGCCGGAAGGTCCTGCAGCACCAATTTGCCCAAGCAGGAGGATCAGATGAGGCTACTAATTCGATCACACAGTTGATCGAGAATGATCTACAGTTCCTGCTGCCCCTCCTGCGTAGCTTTCCCAAATGCTACTGGATCTGGAACTACCGTCTATGGCTGCTAGATGAGGCACGCCGCTTACTATCTCTCCCCGAAGCCCGGCAAATCTGGCAGGAAGAGCTCGCCCTTGTGGGCAAGATGTTGACCCTCGACAGTCGTAACTTCCACGGGTGGGGGTACAGACGTTTCGTGGTTGAGACCTTGAAGGAGCTTGGCACGGCAGAAGAAGCGAAGAACCTGACCCAGAAGGAATTCGAGTATGCGAAGAAGATGATCGGCGCGAATCTTTCCAACTTTTCTGCGTGGCACTACCGAACCAAGCTTATCCAGCGGCTTTTGGATGAGCAAGGTGCCAACGATGACGATCGGAGAAAGATGTTAGATGATGGTTGGTCGATCGATTACCAGAATGCAGGATGGGATGCTAATGAATATATAGAGCTATCACTTATCCACCAGGCTTTTATCGACCCTTATGACCAGTCGCTTTGGTTTTACCATCAAAATCTCATGAGTGTGTTTGACGCGTCGATGGCCGAACGCACCATGGCGCCCAATCTGAGTGCCTCCGACCGGTTGGAGTATCTCAGAAATGAGATTGAAGAACTTCAAGAGATGTTGGATGGGGCTGAAGACTGCAAATACATCTACCAGGCCTTGATCGACTGCACACTTCTTGCATCCAAGGTGGAAGGCAACTTATCGCAAGAAGACCGGGGTCAGATTCTGAGCTGGCTCTCAGAAGTGAAGAAGCTAGATCCATTACGACGACAACGATGGCTTGATTTTGAAAAGGGCCTATGAAGGAGTTATAGATGCGTCTTGGCGATCTGTTTACAACCCCCTTGACCCCTTTTATTAGACTTTGCCACCTGTATAGAGGAATTCAAAACCCGGCATAACAAGATAAGACATAACATAGTGTAGTTCATTATAAGTTATCTGTATATTTGTATGTTTGTACATGCAGGCGCATTCCAACGTCCGATCGACAGCTCCGCATTTCTCGGGCGCCAATCAGCATTTGTGTACTTGGCCTCGAATTGAACACTTGAAACTGACAACCCCAAATTCCGTCCACTTCACCTCATTCCTTCTCCTACACATCTCTGATCTCCATACCAGCTCGTTGGGCCTCAGTTTCAGTCTTATGGGTTACGTCTTCTGATTGTGAGGTCACCATCTCGAGAGAGAGCTATATCCGAGATGTCTTCCAACCGCCACAGTCCAACTGAATACGAAGGGGTGAGTGAACGATGAGAATCCTCACAATGTACCTTTGCATGAGCTTATCTCCCATCTATGTAGGAGTCGTTCGCCAACGCCCTCGAAACCGCCCAGATCCAGGACAACCTCAATGTCGAAATCCCCAGGTCCACCTCCACTCGATCTCTAACTGACAGTCCACCAATCGGCACAATCACATCGCCAGAAACGACGGAGAAACCTCCGCTTCCTTCTGAATCGCAGGACGAAAAGAAGGACGAGGTTGTCGACCAGAGTGGCGAGGAGCAGGGGGGACAGAACAACAAGAAGAACAAGAAGAACAAGAAAAAGGAGAAGGACGAAAGAATTGATGGGAATGAAACCAACGACGACGCAAACACCGTGACAGATGAGACCTACGATGCGGACGTGCCGGAGCAAGGATCCGAGGTTACTCAGACCGAGGAGGTAGGAGAGGTTGACAAGGAGGGACACGACGAGATGGCTCCTCACAAGTCACCTCTACTCACATCCCACCGTCTCTCAACCGCGTCGTCGCTGGACGAAGTGAACCTAATGAACAGCAAGGACGACGAACTGACAGACAAGGGGCCAAGCCCAAGAGACAAGACGAACTCACCCCCGGTACCTCCCAAGGACGACACAGCCCCGCAGAGCTCCGGCTTGATGGGACTGTCAGGAGCTCTTCCCTCGCTGCCATGGGGAGCTCCTCCAGTGAACAAGAACCCTCCCCCCGCACCGCCACCACCCCCTACCCGCAAGCCCAGCGGTCCATTCGCATGGTTCTCTCGAAGCTCATCCGGGCCAAAGGACGTCAAATCGCCCCAATCGGCCGCCAGTCGGCGCAACACTGGGACCTCTGTGTCGACCCTCGCCAGCAACCTAGAAGTTCGCGATGGTGACGATGTGTCGAGCATCGGCTCTAAGAAGCCGAGACGGAACAGCTTGAAGGATCAATTCAAGATGCTGCGCTTGCGCGAGGAGAACCATGTGCCAGAGGTCGACGAGGCGAGCCTGCGATCGGGCCAGGCTAGCATCAGCCATGCTGGAGCTAGTCCTCCTATCATTCGTGAGGAAGGAGAGGACGGCATCCTAGCCGCCCCAGCAGAGCCTCACTCGGCGACAACACTGCACCCCAGAACGGGGTCTGTGTCTGATGCCTCCACGCCGGTCGATTGGGAGATGTGGCAGCAGCTCGTGAACAATGGACCACAGGCACTGGCCAGCTCCGAGGAACTAAACGCGGCCATCAAACGCGGTATTCCACAAACGATCCGAGGAGTGATCTGGCAGATCCTGGCCGATTGCCAGACAGCCGAGTTGGAGGACGTATACCGAGAGCTTGTGGCACGGGGAACGACACACGATAAGGACGGACGAACATTAACAGGCGCCGAAACCACGTCCTCGCGCTCATCAGTTCGCTCTGAATCTGGGTCACGGTCAAGCAGCGCTGCTCCTAGTCCATCCCACGAGGCGGACCCCGATAAACTGGCCAAGGAACAGGCTTCCAGCGAGGCCGAGCGAGCGAAGAAGGCCAAGAGCGATGTTGTTGCCTTGCAGAAGCTGGAGAAGACTATTCGACGGGATCTGGGTGCTCGCACAAGCTATGCGAAATATTTCGTCTCGCAGGGTAGTCAGGAGGGCCTCTTTGGGCTGTGCAAGGCGTACGCTTTGTATGATGAAGGTGTTGGATATGCGCAAGGCATGAACTTTATTGCCATGCCCTTACTGTTTAATGTGAGTATCCCCTGGTCTGGGTGTCGTTTGAGATTGTTGACTAACGTGATATGCAGATGGACGAGGTTGATGCCTTTGCGATGCTCGTGAAGCTGATGAACAAGTATTCTCTGCGAGATATGTTCATTCAGGATATGCCCGGGCTTCACCGTAGCCTGTACCAATTCGAGCGACTCCTGGAAGACCTGGAGCCTGCTCTGTACTGCCACCTTCGGCGCCGCGGAGTACCTCCCCAGCTATATGCCACGCAGTGGTTCTTGACACTGTTCGCGTACCGATTCCCGTTGCAGCTGGTTCTTCGCATTTATGATTTAATCTTTGAAGAAGGGTTGGAGAGCACAATCCTCAAATTTGGTATTGCAATCATGAAACGCAATGCCGAGACTCTTCTCGAGATGAAGGATATGAGTGTGCTCACAACTTTCTTGAAGGAACGTCTCTTCGACGCCTACATTGATAAACAGCCATCCACTTCGTCGATCCTGGAATCAGGCTTCTTCGGCAGCTCCGGTGCTGCTGACAAGGAAGTTTATCGGTCCGACATCTTGGTACAAGATGCTTGTGCAATTCCTCTCACTCCCGAGATGCTTGCCACGTACACCATCGAATGGGAAGAGAAGACACGCGCCGAGAAGGAACGTGAAGCCGAGCTTGAACATCTGCGACATACAGTTAGCACACAAGGCGCACGTGTCCGACTACTCGAGGAACGCGCCGAAGCATCTGATAAGGAGCATGTGCAGTTAGCCTCGGAGCTGGTGCACGTCAAGGTAGAAAACGAGGAGCTGCGCGACCTCACCGATGCCTTGAAGCTACAAGTCAGCGAACTCAAGAACGTGGTCGATAAACAGCCGGCCGAAGTCGAGGAGAAACTCCGAATGGAAATGGAGCGGATCATGAAGCGCAACATCGAAGTGCAAAACGAGAACCGCGCCATGGAGGAATCAATGTCCGAGATGGAGAAGGAATTAGTTGCAACGAAGATGAAGTGGGCAGAGGTAAGAGAAACGTCCTTTTCATTTACATTTTCACTGCGCGAGACAACGACTAATCAATCCCAACACAGATCTCCGAGAACCACGAGACCCTGCGCCAAAAATGGAGTGACCTACGCCGTGCTCTCGACTAATCACTTCATCTCTCCCTCCCCTCCCCTCCCCGGATAAGAACCGGATCTGTATATTTGCAAATGCGACGAGACGGAAGATCTGCGATCCCGTCTCATCGACATTTGACCTCGTCTTATGGGCCGGATTGTTTTGCTGTTTGCCTGTTACCCATTCTGTACTTTGCTTCTTGTTTTGAGCCAATGTTATGATTTGCGTACAACGCCCCTGTTCTTATGACCCTCTTCCATGTTCCATGTTCTCTGACCACTGGAATGCCATTTCTGGAAGGCATCGGTGTTTCCGTGTTGCGTGCAATCATGTCTGCTTTAGTGTGTGTCTTGTATGTTCTAATAAGTTAGAGCAGGGCAGGGCAGGGCTGGGCATACTTGACGTATGCAGTGTACATCAATTGATGGTTCTTCCTTTCGTCTGTCTTTTTGTCTTGTCGTTGGTGGGTATCTCTTTATTGCTACTTACTAGACACACATGTACAATCCCCTCAAACCGAAGAAAAAGCAGGAAAAAAAAGCACAAATAAGAAATAAGAAATATAACAATTCAAATCCAATTACAAAACACTCTCATAAAAACTCGTCAAAACATCCTCCTTAACGGGTCCAGCAACAGCCTTAAGCGCCTTATGAGCCTCACACTCACTATCATAGTACTTCATATCCTCCATAGAAGCAAAAGTAGTCTTGACCGACAAATTGTACCCCTTATTCCTAGGATCGGGAAATGAAGCGCCCGCAGCAGCAGCGACGATGTAAGGCTTGCCGTCCTAAGAGAAAGGAAATATCCGTTAATAACCGTTCGGCTGGTTTCGGATGAACCCGTCTCTACTGTAGTGATAATGTAGAGACATAGCTATCACGAGGAGGCATTCCAGTTGAGTGACATATGCACATACCTTGGTAGCAGTCTTCGCGAGAACCTTGTACTGCTCCAGGACGCGGTCCCGGTCTGCCTCGTTGGGAATCTTGAAGAGGGTGATTCGCTCGATGGGGGCCATTGTGGATGTATGGATCGTTCGGAGGGTACGGAGTATTCGGGGAGGGAGGCGGGACATGGGGATGGCGGGCTTTAAGTATGTCAGAGGTCTGGGGCGGGGAATTACGTGGAGATGGAAGGCATGTTTCTATTCCTTCGGCTCGGATATGAGCTTCGTATTGGTTGTGTAGAATGGGGCTTTGGTCTTTTGATTACCGATTATTCTATCAATTGCGATGATTTGTGAGCATGTCTGTCTCGATTGAGTGTATCTATGTGTTGTAATGTTTGGAGATAGAGCGGAACGTTTATGTTGTAGAGCGCCCAATTCCGCACGGTGATGAGGTTAGAGCCGAGGGCGGAATTGGTTCGGATATCTATACATCCAGGTGGCACACATGCTCAGTTCGACCTTTTGTTTGAATACAAGGGACTTTTCCATAAACCAGCAGTCTGCGCCTTTGTGAATGTCAAACAAATCACAAATTCCCCCGCAGCGCCTGCTCCCTCTCAAACGCCTCGAATAAGCTCTTGAAATTTCCAGCCCCGAACCCATCAAACGAATTCCGCCGAATAACCTCTGTAAACACCGTCGGTCGATCTCCAACATGCTTGGTGAAGATCTGAAGCAAATACCCACGCTCGTCGAAATCAACTAGGATATTCAGCCGCTCCAGCACGTCTACATTCGCATCGAGCGTGTAGGAGACTTGTGAGAGACGCTTTCGTAGATCTGCATAGTATGCAGCTGGCACAGAGAGAAATTGTACACCCCGGGCTTTGAGTTCGGTTACGGCTGTGACGATGTCGTTTGTGCGAAAGGCGATGTGCTGGACTCCGGCTCCGTGGTAGTAATCGACGAATCTATAAGGGTCAGCCAACATCGCCTGGTATAGGGATGAGCGGATACATACTCTTCAATCTGCGACTTTTTCTTGCCAGTTACTGGCTCGTTCATTGGCATTTTGATTGTTTCATTTGGTGAAGCCACCACAATTGACCGCATCGCCGAGTACTCGCTGCACATATCATTGTCGTCGACTGTCCAATAGCGATGAAAGTCGAGACACACTTCGTAACTACACCTCATCACAGTCAGTCCAATTTCCATCAGAAGCCAACCACATATCACTCACTATCGAACAACATGATCCACCCCTCCCCAAGGCTGGTTGCCCACACAATGATCAACCTCAAGAAACTCAATGACTGGCAAAAGCCGCGTAATGGGGTCTTTCTCAGAGATAACTCGATACCCCGGCAAAAACGGCGCATCTACAGAATACCCCTCGCGATTAACAAGCGAGTGCACAGTATCCCCGTACGCCCCAACAGTCGCAGAAACAATCAACCCATGCCCGTCAACAGCAACAATTCGCGGCTCGGAAATAGCACGCGCACTATTCCTAACAGCCCGCCTCCAAACAGCATCAATATCACCAGCAATCCGAAACGCAACATCCTTAACCCCATCGCCATGCGTGGACAGATGCTCATGAATCTCAGCCAACGTCATACGTTCATCATCCGAAGCGCAGCGCAGTACATTATCTTCCACATCCCGCGGCGGGCCACATAATCCCGCGGCGGGCCACATATTGGCCCCGTAAGAACGAACCTGGCAGCCCCATTCGACACGATATAACTGACCATATGGAAAGATCCGTTCTCCGGGCCTCGATACGCTATGGCGCGAAAACCCATGCGCGTGATCCAGTATGAGGCTGTTTGTTTTGGATTACCGACATACCAGTGGATATGGTCAAGCCGATGTATTCAGGGCCCGTTTGGAAGGGATGATAACTTCGTTTTGGGGAATCGTCATTGTTGTGGTTGTCGTCGAGGGTGTCGTCCAACCAGTTCGAATTCAACGGGTGTGGAATTGCGGCCAGGTATTTGTGCGCGATTTGCACGGCTGTTTCAGAGGGAAACCTTAAAAGGAAGAACATAGATTGGCGACATCCTTGATACGTGCCAAACGTGTCACATTCCTTGCCTGTAGATCTGGATAGAGTGCGTTGCCTATCTGATTGTATGAGGCAATGTTGCAGTCATCCATGTGGGTGGAAAGAAGGGTCCATTAACCTTGTTCGAACTCTGGCGTGCCCCGCCAGTATCCAAGCGTGGGTTCAACGCCGTGAAAGCTCGATCCTCGTGGGAGAGGAAAGGGCGTCATGGCCCTGCTCGAACTCTTCAATCCAGGGTCGAGGTGAAGTACCAGCCCTGGCTCTCTTGCTTCAACACAAGCATAGAGAACATCCCCAGATCCCTCCCTGTGGCCCATTGTATACCCCATTGACGATATGATTCCAATTCAATAAGAAACACCCCTCTCAGCCCCCTCAGACATTATTAACAGGCTCCGGCCGACTCTTAAAGAAAATCTTATACCGCACAATCTCAACAACCTCCAGTTCCTCCCCGTAACCCTCCCCTTGGTGCCTCTGCAACACAGCAACCGGCCTCGGCAGTTTCTTAACTTCACCAGTCATACGCTGGTACCGGCCGACATAGAGGTATGCGCGCTTCATCCATTTCGTGTCATCCGGGTTGTGCACCGAGTAGTCCGGGAACATGAGTTTTCCAATTGGGGTTTCGAACACGGAGGCTGGGTCTATGTTGGAATTGGAACTGGGGCTGTCGATCATCTCGTTTTCTTCTTCGTTTGAGGAGGGGACGTTGATTGTGCCTTGGAGTTCGAGAATAGCTAGGCCTGTTGGGGTTTGGAGGAGGGGTGGGAGGGGGTTTTGGGGGTCTGGGGGTTTGTCGCTTTAGTTGTTGATGAAGCTGAGGAGGGGTGTAGTTTTATTGAAGGCATTTTGGGTTGGACTGGTGTGTTGGTGGGTTGGGGTGTGTAATTGTGTAGTAGCTAAGTGGTGAGGCGCGTCGGGTCGCGTTTCGGTCTCCACTGCTTATCGGGTATCAATGCAACTCGAGTATATGGGCTACTCTGCACTCTTTTACCTTGTTTTGTGCTTGGAAAATTGAATTGATATGGAATATGTACATTGATATACTTAAACATTCACTGCCTTTTATCCTTCTTGTTCTCCGTGGTCACTAAGCCAATGCGTGACAGGTCAAGCAGTCCGGGTCGATACATGGCGAGCGATCAGGTTGAATTGGGCCAACACGTTTGGGGCAACCTAAGTCTTACTGACAGGAGCTTGGAGTAGAAGTATCGAAGTATACCCGGAGTTCGACTTGCACTCATTGGAGCGACGCTTCATGTTCTGGAAGACCCAACTCATTCAGCATAAACAGGGATGCGTCTATTTGTTGACGAGGGTAACAAATAGCAAAGTCAGCTTGACATATAGGACATTGATGGAACAAGACAATGGCTGTGATCGACGAGTAACAGCGCTTGTGACAGGGCTTGAAATCGAAGCGCACGTAGCTCGGATGCTTGAGTAGGTAGAAACTGTATATAGATCAGTCGATGTCCTTCAAATGCCAGATCAAAACACATACCTGATGTTCTTTCGAAGGGTATAACCCAACATTGGACGTAGACAGATAGCCGGTGATGGATCAAGACATGCTACTCTTATAGCAAGAATCCTCCAGATTCTGCAAACCCTTGATAGCTTCATTGGCTATATCATCAGCAGTCCCAGCCGGACCCTGCAATTTACCATAGCGGAGGTCACTCATATTCCCAACAGTCGTATTAAGCTGAGCCAAGATACCCGCAGCCTCTTGGTCAATGGCAGAAATCTCATGCTCAATGTTGGTACTGGCAGTCTCCATTGCAGCTAGTAAACTAGCCACCGAATGATAATCTTCCGGTGCGGCAGTCTGTGCCTCACCAAACAGATGGAGATCCATGTCGACCTCGCGCTGCTCATCGCTATTCGAGGCCTCGACTCCAGTGGCAAGAGCGGCTTTAAGCAACTCTGTTCTCTGCTTGTCGCCTTGCTTGATCTCATTGTCGATGTTTTCATTGACTCTGTCCATGTCCTGTTCGCGGACTTGCTGTAGCTCCCGGTACAATGTCCTGATATGCGGATGGTTCCGCAGGCGCTTTGGGAAGAGTTCTGTGAACTTCTGTAGCGACATCACCGTCGGCAGCGGGGCTGGCGAAAGCAGGAAGTTGCTTAGGATGGACTCCTCTGTCGGTGCCATGATGAATGGTGGATGTTTTTCTGCTCTCGTTCAGAGTGGTATTATTGAAGTGTCTGAATAGGCGCGAACCAACGTTTGACGCGAATAGGAGTTCACGTGGCCAAAATGGATAATACGATCAACAGAGCCTCAATCATATAGATCGAACAATGAAGTTATCGTGAATGCAAGCCACAGTAGAAAGTCGATTTTGATGCGCGTTGACGGTTGAGAGTTCCCGCCTTTTTCCTCAAGGGGTCGCGTGTTTCCTCTTCTTTCCTATCCACTCCTCTCGACATCGTCAACCTCATTTCCTTCGCTATCTCCCACTTAATCGTTTCTTCTAATTTTGAGCTGGTCTCTACTCTGACCTAAACTCTGCACTACCTCTTGGCTCAATCTTCATCAAGCCCGACATCTTGTTCTGCAATTGTCGTCGTGCCTGTTCTCTTCTTTGAAGACCCAACGCAACGTTTACTTTCTCTCTAAAGATCAAAAAAAGCATAGTGCTTGAATATTGTGGCCATAGTAGCCCGTGAGTCGTCACTTCACGTCCTTTCCCGCCAGCAAGAAGGTGGGAAGTTCTATTCCGTGCACATTCAAGCCCAGCCAGGGCTCTGAATACATCGCCTGCACGTCAAATCCGCCCATCCATCTTCTTTCTACTTCATTTCGCCATAATGGCACCTTCTATGTACAGCAAGGACGAGAAGGTCCTCTGTTTCCATCATGAAATCCTCTACGATGCCAAGATTCTGGATGTCCGCCACAAAGACCCCAACGACAAGAAAAGTCCGTTTGAGTATCAAGTCCACTACAAGGGCTGGAAAAACACGTAAGTTTGACCTGCCTCACTGTACGCTGGTCTCTTTAATGCTCGTGAATGCCCGTGACTGTTGAGCCTGTCGTCCTATGCGGGATGGCCTGGAGAACTTGACCTCGATCTATAACCCCTCCACCTCATGGACAACCCCCCAGTCTCCATTCACGTGGACCATACTCCTGGAGACATTTCTATCTGCATGACAATCTCAGTTGATGGTTTATCATACTGACATTCGCTAAGATGGGATGACTGGGTCCTAGAAGACCGTCTCCGGAAGCACACAGAAGACAACCGCGAGCTGGCCAACAACCTGCGCCGCGAAGCCGAAGCATCAATCCGCCAGAAAACCACCAAGGCGTCCGCAAAGAAGCGCGCCACTTCCGACCGTAGCTCTGTGCGCGACAGCGAAGAACGCGGCAACTCCGTGCCGGGCCGTGGCACAAAGCGAGCCCGGGACAACGACATCGAAAAGGTAAGCAAAATCCACCCCAATTGACTAATTCAACAATATATCTATTGAAATGGTTCAATACTAACAGCCACACAGGAAGAAAGCTTCAACATGCGCCCCTCAGTCCGCATCGTGATGCCCGACAACTTAAAGTCCCTGCTAGTCGACGACTGGGAACAGGTAACCAAGAACCAATGTGTGGTCTCCTTGCCAGCGCGCAATCCCGTGCGCCAGATCCTGCAGGATTGGTATGAGGAAGAGCAGCCGAAGCGAACCAGCTCGGCGGCTGACCAGGACGTGCTGGAGGAAGTGGTTGCCGGACTCCAGGAGTATTTCGACAAGTGCCTGGACAAGATCCTTCTGTACCGTCATGAGCGTGCGCAGTACCGTGGTCTGCGGAAGAAGTTCGAGGCTGCGACCGGGGAGTTGGCTAACAAGGGGCCTATTGATGTCTATGGAGCTGAGCACTTGATCCGTCTTTTCAGTAAGTTTTGCCTTGTCTTTTGTTTATTTCCCGCTTAGTTTTGAGGGATTCGTTGCTCTTTGGGACGGACATTTGCTAATATCGGCGTCTTTTTCTTGGGATTATAGGCACCATGCCTGAGCTTATTGCTCAGACAAACATGGATATGCAGGCGACTAACCGTCTGCGTGAGGAGATTTCTAAGCTTGCTATGTGGTTGAGCAAGCATTCGGAGAAGTACTTCACCACGCAGTACTTGACCGCGGAGAATACTCACTGAGTACGTCCTGGTTTTTACGTTCTTGTTTCATGATGGACGGGTGGCCTTCCCAGTAATTGATATCAGTTTGAATTTGAATCGAGTAGTGTCCAGCATCCGATTTTGTTTTTACTTTTTGCTTTAGAGTGCGTCGAGATTTGGATCTTTTTCTTCGGCAATCGTATGGTGAGGAAATCGTCACTTCTGTATCTCAGAGAGTGCTGTATGCTCAAAGGACCACAGAACGAAAATAGCAATCAACCATGCAAAGAAGAGACTTAAGCAAACGTACAATGTATCTACATGCCATAAAAGAAGTAATCAATATCAAGAAGGAGATGTATGTATTCTCAACCGGATATCTCAATAGACAACGCAATGAAACCACCACCGCCACAGGCCTAAATCTCTCAAGACCCTCCCCTCAACGATCTCGGATCCAGACATACATGTAGATCCCATCGAACCAAGCTTTCAATCCCACACAACTAAAAAAATTGATCAAATCCCACAATCAACTAAGCAACAAGCTGCCTAGCATCATCAACAGCACACCTCGCCGCCCGCTTAAGCTCACTCTTCCACTCCGCCTCACGCCATTTAGCCCAAGTACTCAGTCCCTCCGGCGGCTGAATACTCAACGTATCATAGCCCTGTTTTATAATGCGGTGGACCTCACGCGGACTGAGATTCTTCTTGCGGATAGAAGGTAAAGGCACAGAGGCCGGTTCATCCGGTTTCGGGCTTACTGCAGCAGCTGCTGCTGCCACCGCCGCAGCATTTGCATTATCACCATCGGAATAGAAAAGCAATGCGTAGAAATGCGTAGAGACGGATTGGAGTGTATCAATTGCAGCAACGTGCTGCTCAATACCCGGCTCAGCTGCCTTGGATGTACTACCTGCACCTGTGAGGGCATACGCAGCACGGAACTTGGAGATGATAGGACCTGTTTCGACGAGTTTGTAGAAGAGGTCATCGTAGGAGGATGGGTCTGGGAGGAAGGTGTCACCGCCTGAGACGCAGAAGGCGATTAGGTCGGCGAGGGAGGATGTTAGGGTTTGGATCTTTGGGTTAATTGTTAGGTCTGCCGCGTAGGTTGTGAGAAAGCGCATTAGGGAGAGCAGGGTGCGCCAGAGCTCGGACCAGTGGTATGTTAGTCTGATTTTGTTTTTGGATAGGTAGGTTAGGAGGCGGAGGGTTATTGCGATTGCGTGGCTGGGTTTTGTTAGCATTTGTTTTACGTATGTATAGGGGAGGGTGTGGGCTTTTACCTGTAGAGATTGACGTCTAGACGTCGGCGGAGGTTGTGGGTGATTGTATCGATCATGATGTCGAATATGATCGCTGCTAGGACTCTGTCTCCGCTGACTACAGGGAGGTAGGGTTGTTTCTGTCTGCAGATGCGGACTTTTCGCTTGCCATCTTCATTGCAGATGTGTTTGCAGATGATTGGGTCCTCGACCAGTATGCGGAGAGTGAACAGGGTAAGCTCAGCGTAGTGTCCAACCCGTGGGGATCGGTATGCATGTTGTAAAAGATATGAGGTCAATGAGAGGAAGCTGGAGAATGGCGATTCTTCCTCATTATTCTCGGATTTCGAATGAACAAGATGATAGCCGAATAGCTTGTTGGCGTTTGTGAAGTCGTATGTTGCCATGAGAATTGCAGCTTCTTGGGCAGGACTGGTACCATGTTAGTCAAATTAATTGATATTAGGGTAGAAGACTTACAGTTCTGCGAAAATTGCTTTCGCTTCTTCCGCGGTAGGTGGGTTAGCCTTCTCTCTAGCACCAGGTGCGAAGGCTCGCAATCCAAAGAAGATCAATGTATTGGTCAAGTTCCAACCCTCCGGGATGTCATCCTGTACGGCAATGTAGCCGTTGCGCAGGCCGCCACAGGCAAGACCAACGCCCTTGGCAATCTTTTGAATGCTTGACTCGTTGACAAAGTCATCAAGCCGGAGCTGGTAAGGATTTTGAAACTCGAATTTGTTGTAGTTTGCCAATAATCCCAAAAGCAGAAATGGGTCGAAGACTTGCATTGGGGTATCAGATTCGGAAACATACTGATTGCTGTTAGTTAGTGCATTATAAAAGTAACAATTGAGAGACGATTTACCTTCATAAGCGATGGGAAAAGATCTCTGTGCGTGAGATAGGATACCAGGCTGGTTTTGTAGGCCCCGCTGGTCATTGCAACGGCCGTCCTGATAGCTTTGAGTCGCACATCGACTAACAAAGACTTAGCTATATGTATTGCAATTGGATCGGATAGGGGAACTCACACCTGCTGCCATTGCGGATAATCCCATCCAAGACGGCCACAAAGTCGGAGATGACATGGTCCACTTCGTCGAGTCCTGCAAGAACAGTGATGACATCTGAGCTGGGGTTTGTGTACTTCTTGCTCAGGATGCTGGTCAAGAAAATTGTCAAGGTCTGGATAATTAAGTTAGGGGCGACTTCTAACAATTCATCATGGGCACTCACATCCAATGCATAAGAATCCGCTGGAGCGACCCCTGCGGCTGCCTCGCGGATAGCACGAGTAAATAACAGCTGAGTTTGGGTCTAACCATTGTGTTAGCCATATGGATTCCTATGTGACAGGTTTCAGCTTGCCTGTAAGCTTAATATGTCATCTGGACTCAAATGGTCTAGAATGGCATGCAGTTGATTCCGGTCCGGAGGGAGCAAGAAGAATTCCCTCCAGAAACCCTCAGAGGGGTCCAAATCCTCTGCATTCTAATGCTCAGGGCAGTGTTAGTATTGCAACTCAATGCATGTTCAGTTGTTCTTACTTTGAGGAGGTTCTCATAGAGCTGCACAATCTTAGGCTTGAAGGACTCAGGTCGACTCTGCTGGGTCAGGGGTGAGGCTTCCATGGTTTAGGCAGGGGCACAGGTGATCTGCAGTTAGATGGCCAGCATCGGGAGAAAAGAGGTTAAATTCAAGAGTCGAGGTCTATTCAAGACCTTGGAGTTCATTGAGCAACCGTCTTGGGCACCAGCCACTTTGTCAGCAGATCCAGCCACATGTCCTTTCTTCCTTTCTACATTGATACTTGGCATTTACAAGTGTTATAGGAATATTGAGTATACAAACTTAGTATGTCTGTCTAGGTACATGTCTAGATAATCGTCATATTCAATTTGATACTAATCCCTGCCACTTAGCTGCATTTGGTGCGGTTGCGGCCTTATGAGGGGTGAGCCAGGCATTCCGAAGAACGGAATCTCCTGTGCCTATTGATGACTCAGCTTCCGAAAAACGCAGTGGTCGACAATAGTCTCAACACTGTGATCTCACTGTGGTCAAGGGAGATGTGAGATATTAAAAAGGATCAGCTGAGTGTCATACTCTCGAGGTCCCCATGTTGAGTCAAAGTAGAAAGGCGAAATCAATGGTGGCGCCATTGTGTGTAGAAACATCTCAATTATGATTGGCTGATTCTGCGTCATGCAACTTGTTTAGGTAATCCTCCCGGGGCCACGGGGGATTCTCAAAACAGTCAGAGATTCTTCCTTCTACTTTGGTCTCTTACACTTCCACCTCCACCACTTCTCTCATACCTAAGGTCTTATGAGTTTATAGCTTTTCTCGTTGAGGTTCACTCTCACTTCACATCGATTGCTCCTCGACCATGAGCTTCTACACCATGCAGCGCTCAGTGACATCATCCGCCACACTCTTCCGATGGGCAAAGCCCTCGGCTGGGCGCCTGCGTACTTTCTCATCATACGGCAACGCACACTTCTCCTCTAAGCGGGACATGCAGACTGCAACGGCCTACCGCCCTCACACCCTCCCCTCTTCTTTCCCGCCTCCCCGAAGCAGCGGTGGCGCCGACACTTCCATTTCCGCTGAATTCCCTCCTTCCGACTCAAAATCATCTCAGGCTACCTTCCAAAGTGGTGCGTCTCCCAATGTGAGCCTACGGGAAGGTGAAGCGCAAAAATCGAAACCTGTTTCCGCTTCCCCGGCCGCACCAAAGACTTCCCCGAAACCCCGTCGTCCACTTCGGCCAAGAAAGGCAGCGATGAAATTGTCTGCGGTGGCCACTGAGCAACTCCGGAAATTGATGGCACAGCCAGAACCCAAGTTTATTCGTGTGGGTGTCAAGAACCGCGGCTGCTCTGGTCTTGCTTACCACCTCGAGTATGTGGAGAAGCCGGGCAAGTTCGATGAAGTTGTTGAGCAGGACGGCGTCAAGGTCCTGATTGACAGCAAGGCCCTCTTCAGCATCATTGGCAGTGAAATGGACTGGCATGAGGATAAGTTGAGCCGACGCTTCGTTTTCCGCAACCCCAACATCAGTAAGTGGCCCGTGCATATGCCATCCCATCACTTGCAGTTTACTAACCCATAACTATAGAGGAAGAATGCGGATGCGGTGAATCCTTCATGGTTTAAGCCTTCATACCGACATGTTTCTTTTACGGGTTCTCTCGGCGTCTTCTTACCAGTGCATCGGATGGCGTTTTCAAAGGGGGTTGGGATACCACAATCACTCTTTTGTTTCAGTACATACGCTTGATACCAGTCGATACATCTCACGTTTTCATACCTTCTGCATTCTTTCTTTCACATTTTCAGTGGCTCTGGCTTGCTTTCTGCTTACAAGTGAGCTTTGTCATAGAGACAGACCTCATTGCTATTGTTTTCCTTTGTTGCTGGACGTTCTTTTTCGAAATCCTGCTACATCAGCCATCTGATATCCTGAAATATCTTTCTGTACAACGCATAGATTAGTCCAAGGACAATGATGACATGTCAAATACAACTAAGAAACTTACAACAAACTCTACATAAATACGTCATATCTTGTAGATTACTTCACTTCTTAACGTCCATCTATATTTATATCTGAACAGTTTATCTTAATGGTCTAGAAGGTGTCACATGACGGGATATGCTGGGGTCCGAGGCGCGGAATGGGGTAATCACCGCATCTCCAACATCGCCTTACAGCCCAACACAACCACCTTCTACAATTCATATGAACCTCATTCAAACACCATGGCATCACCCTTCCTCACACCCCACACAATAAGCGACAAACCCCCAGACCTCCTCATAACAGTCCGCTTCTCCGCCTCAATCCCAGATCTCCAACTCGACGTGCCAGCCCCAGAATCCACAACAGGCGCAGGCCTAAAGCAATTAATCCGAGCCGAGTTGCCCCCGGATCTCTCATCACACCGACTCCGCCTCATCTACGCCGGCCGCGGTCTAGAAGATACATCCGCCTTAACAGTCTCGCTCAAGCTTCCGCCATCCCCGAGCCGCAGTCCGAGCCCCGCATTAGAATCAGAAGACCAAAGTGAAGCAGCAACCGATAATGGCCTTGACAAGGACAAGGGCAAGCAGCCAGTGCGGGATACACGCCCGCGGCTCTACATTCACTGCTCAATAGGCGACATCGCACTCTCAGAATCCGATCTAGCCAGCGAAGCAGCGGTTGCTTCAACGCTCCTCCTCCAGAAAAGAAAAGAGAAGGCATCCAAGGATGCTGCGTCGACTCTATTCCCCCGCTCTGGGCAATCCCAATCACAGCCCCAATCCCAAGCCCAAGCCCAGCAACACACACCCTCCCATACAACAACACCCGCACCCCGCGGCTTCGACCGTCTTCTCTCAGCCGGATTCACCGCGGCCGAAGTCACAGCCCTACGTTCCCAATTCCTAGCCGTGCAATCCGTATCACATACGCGTGACACAATGCCTACGGGTGATCAGCTGCGCGATCTTGAAGATCGGTGGATGGATGAGGGGTCGACGGCGGCGGCTGTGGCTGGTGGTGGGGAGGGGATTGGCGGTGGAGATGATGATGGGGGCATCGGGGCTGGGTCGCGCGAGGCGATAGATGATATGCTGTGGGGGGCTGTTATGGGGTTCTTTTGGCCTATTGGGTGTGCTATGTGGTTGAGGAGGGAGGAGGGGGTTTGGAGTTGGAGGAAGGGAGTTGCTGTTTTTGTGGGAGTTGTTGTTAATGCTGCTTTTGGGATGATGAGGATTATAGGGTAGATGTGGATGTGGAGAGGTGGATTGGGTTGGATGTTGGATTGTTCTTGGGATTTGATTTTGCGTTTATGAGATACCCCCATTTTGAAGTTATTGTGTTTGTTGAATCATATGGACTCGGAAGTGCTGTTTGTTGGATTAGAGATCGTGTGTCTAGCTAGAGACTAGGCTTTGGGGCTGTATCAAGTCTCGCCGGATGCTATCATACAAATGGCAAAGATGCGATAGAGACAAAGCGTCTCGTATGGAAGAAAAGGGACATAAGCATAACACCAGTTTACAAAACGCCAGCAAGAACCCCAACGCTAATGGAATTTGCTATAAATAACGGCGAAAATCAAAAGAACCAAAACGGTGATGATAGCAATAGTAATCATCCGATTCGTAGCCATCCTGATATGATAAGATTAGGCGTCAGCAACATGCAATAAGATCGGCAATCGGCCAGGGAGAGGCAAAAGGGGAGTCAGTACCTACGGGCCATGCCCCTCAACGTCTTGATACTAGTATCAACATAACCCTCACTCTGCTGCAAGTTGTTCCGAGCATTGGTGATCTGCTCGCGCTGCTCGTACAAGGTGCCGAGCGTGCCGCGCGCAACATCCTCCGTATCTAGCGCAATACGCTGACTCTGCTGTAAGCGAGCAGAGCTGCGCTCTAGTCTATCCGTACCGGAAAGCAACTGTTGTCTTTGTTCGAGGTGCTCATCCTGCGGCTCGTCGGTGTACCGATCTCCGAAGAGTGCCTGCCGATCATCCGATAGGGACTTGAGCTTGCGTTTGACCTCGTCGATATCGGTTGAGTAGTTGCGGAAGCGGACGTTGACTTTTGACCGGGCCGATGAGGGGATGTTCTGCTTCTCCATGCGCAGTTGGTCGAGCTAGATGGGGGATTGTCGGGTTAGCTTTCTGTCTTCTTTCTTGCCCTCTCGTACTTGTTGTCTTGTGGCGCATGTGTGTCTTTCTCGAGGTGCTGTGCACTCACCAGTTCCATCGCTTCGTCGAGTACTTGCTCTGCATTGGCGATTGCGGATTTCCGTTGCTCGCCGCTTGCCTCGGCGATCTGGTCCAGCTTCTGGTTCAGGTCTGCTTGCACCAGCTTCAGCTCATTCTCGTAGCTGGCGAACATCTCCGAGCCGGCGTCTGTGTCCATGGTGTTTGCCATAATGATGGGATATTTGTCTGGGGAGTAAAGGTGTCAACGTGGCTGATGTTGATGCAGGCTCCACCTTTATCTGGGGGGGCGGGTGACGCTTTTTCAATAGCGTTGAGTGGCGGTTCGGTCAAACTTGTCAAGGCTGCCCTCGGGGATAACGGAGTGAAGAATGGCTTTCGCAAAGAACTGAAAGCAAAAAAAGCTCGACTTTAGGAGTATAGCAATGAGATAGGATCAGTTGGGACAGGAACGGGTGGTGATGCGGAGTCACACGTGATCCCGACTTTGGGGTTGCATCAAATGATCTCTACTCATGTCTATGTGCTATATCCGACTACATCGTGTAGAGAATAAGTAAAAATGGAATTTGATACATAGCATTAGCGTAAAACCAGGCCCACACAAAACATTTCGCCTTTTCAATAAACATCCAACATACCCCAATGGTATACAAGATCATAGAACTTCAAATTTTGAGAGCCAATCATGACAGGAACTTGTCGCTATCCTGGCCAACAATGATTGCACTTCGCTTGGCATCCAGGAAGAGGTCCTCGCACTCAGCAACGTCGGCCTCCTCAATGCCACCAGGGCGGCCGTTGACGCGCGCAAGAATGCTGGCAGGGGTCAACAGCTGCAAGGCGTAGCGCAAGCTGACCTTGCTGCCATGCTCGGAGACCTTGTTAAGGGCAGGTTCAGTGATGTTGAGACCCTCGGTCTTGGCGCGCAGGCGGATGATGGTCTTGATCTCATCGGGGCTGTAGGGGTTGGTGGGGATGATAAGAAGGCGGGCAAGGAGATCGGGGGGAATGCCGTGGGCAGCGCTGATATCGTCAGTGCCACGGATGACTGTGTGGCCACGGTTGGAGGCGAGAATGACAATCGGGGAGATGGTCGATTCGAGGGCACGGTTCAGATATGTGAAGCACTCAATGTCAAGCATGTGAACCTAAGATGTGCTGTTAGCTACAAGTTCTGAAGATTGAAAGATCAATCTTAGCTCACCTCGTCAATGAACAAAACACCAGGAACCAGCTCGGCGACACCCTGGTCAATGTACCGGTTGACAACCTTGTTGATCTCCTGACGCAGCTTGTCCGTAATTTCCGTCTTCTTGGGCTTCATCAGCTGGCCCATCATGCTCATCACATCTTGGCCACCCTGTGGACGGGCATTGGCCATATCAAGATCGTGAAGTGTCACATCCTGGACAATCTCCTTCTTCTTGTGGACCTCGCCCTTGGGAACAGGCACATACTCCTCTGCCTCGAGATCGAACTCAGTCGCGTAGGCATCGGATCGGCCGACGCGCTTGCATGCTCCGGTGTTGGCTTCAATGTAGATGACGTCTCCGACAGTGACACGCTCCTTCTGAATTGCCTCGTAGATGCTAGGGTCCAGGCGAAGCTTCTTGCTTCCCTTGGCGGACTTCAGGCCGATAACCAGGTGGCTGATTGTGCGTCCGTATCCGCCCAGAGGGTTCTCGGTCTCTTCGGGAGTAAGCTCTGTCACTTCACCCTCGTACACTTCCTTGGTTTCGCGAACACGGAGGCCTATCGTATGTTAGCCCGCCATTCCATACTCGCTCGTTTTCGTATCGCATCCATACCGATAGCTCTCCGGAAGTTCTCCATCAATGCCTCGGTCTTCTTGACTTCTGCGGAGTAGACTTCGCTGCCGACGATGGGACAGAAAGGAACCTTGGTTCCCAGCTCCTGCGATACAGCAAGAGCCAAAGCAGTCTTTCCGGTGCCGGGGCCACCAGCAAGCAGGACAGCACGTCCAGCCATCTTTCTTGCCTTGATCAGGTCCACCACAATACCGCATGCCTGCGTATCGATTCAGCGTTAGCTATCTTTCCTGCATACCAAAACCAGTAAATCCAGTGTTGCTTCCGCTTACCTCACGGGCAGCTGCTTGTCCCACGAATCCATCTGCGGCCGTCTCCGAAGTTCCATCAGAGCGCAATCCAAGACCCCGAATGTGTGTATGCGCCGCGGTTCTGTTCTCGCGCGAGTTGCCCTTCACTTCACTGATCTGAACCATGATTGGGAGAGGTGCGGCCGCGTGAAGCCACAGGTATCAGCGGAGGTTTAGTCAATGGGTTAAATAGACGAAGAGAAATGAAAAGCAAAGCTTCAAATAAACAAGACAGATAGAAAAGGGAGGTAACGCGATGAATCTCAGAGGGACATGCTTCTGGCCGAAATTCGCGAGCAAGGGATCGTCAAATGAGAGCGCCGCGCCCAAGGCGGTGAACCACCCCAAATTCTTCCCTGGCTTCACTTCGTCTTCGCTTGTTGTTTGACGGCTTATTGCATTCTCGACGCTCGACGAGAAGTCAATCCCCGATCACAATGGCAGGCCTACACACAAAATCTGCCATGGCCGCCCCCTTCTCCCTGGCCGCGGCCTTCCGAAGCCTTTCCATCGCCGCTCCAAAGCGAGCTTTCTCAACGACACCGGCAACGCAATCAGTCCCCAAACTGCCTGAAGATGCCCCAGTCTACCCCTACGGACCCAACCGGTGGTACAAGCAATCCAACAGCGGTCTCTACGGCGGTGCCATGATCCGCTTCGGTAACAAGATTTCCAAGGGCCGCAACGAAGGCAAGACACGACGAAGCTGGAAGCCCAACGTTCGCCGGAAGAAGATTCCCAGCGAGGCACTTGGCGAAGAGCTGTTCATCAAGGTCACTCGACGTTCATTGCGATCAATCCAGAAGGCAGGCGGTCTAGACAACTACCTGCTCTCTGATCGGCCAAAACGTCTCAAGGAGCTGGGTCCGTTCGGTTGGAGCCTCCGACACCAGATCATGCAGACGCCAGCTATCCAGGAACGCTTCGATGCGCAGCGCGCGAAGTTGCAGGTTCCCAAGCCTCCCACATTCGAGGAATTCTTGGCGAGCAAGAAGACGGAAATGGAGCAGAAGATCAAGGACTTGGATATTGACTCCCTGACAAAGCCTCGTCCTTTCGGTCGTCAGTTCACCAATGTGCGCACGAAGGAGTAAAGCGGGAGTTTAGAACGATTGAGTTGATTCCTCGCATGCTGGGGGGTTTGGATAGGCGCTTGTATCATTATCCTAAAGAGCGGTGGATGGTTTCTTGAGCACCACGAATTTTGTGTCATCTTCGCGCCCTGTTCATTTCTTAGAAAATGATGGTGAGAACATTTTCACCTGGGTGTAATGTTTTTTTTATTTGAATTTGCATATTGGGTCTTCTATGTACTTATACTCCAATCTCATATCGTGTTTACTTTTCAAGGTTTTTGACCGGCTGCACACCGCATTTAGTCCACATATACTCTTGCTGCACTCATTTGCTTGTTTGGAAGCATATATCAAAACTCAGCAGAGCCAAAAAGAAGAGGAAACATCAAAGTTTCATCATCAACCGCAAAAGCACCCTCAATTTCATCCTCAAGCGAATCAAATCCCTGAACATTCGTACCCACAGACCCAGCATGACCCGTCCCTCGAAAGAACAGACACTCCTCAGAACACAAATGCCCCCCCAAATCAGCGGACAAAGCCTGATCATGCGGCTCGGGGAAATCCCTAGGGAAATCCTCCGTGATAATCTCACGAATCATACGCAAAACACCCCGATGCATAATGATCGAAACAAGTAAGGGCATCTGAGACTGAATATAGGAAGCAGATTCCGCCGAAATACGTCTCGGGGGTGGATCATCCACAATCATTCCGTAAACTGGGACTTCCCTAGCTAGTGTATCAAAGACGTCACGCAGGGGCTCAGCTTGGATCCATCGCTCGGCGAGGATGGCCAGTGCGGTTGAACAGGCTCGTAGTGCTTCGGGGACGTCGCGGGTTTTGTAGGCTGGCGTTTGGCGCTGGGGTGGTGTTGCCCAGAAGCAGTAGAGGAGTGTTATGCCTACAGCGACTTGGCTTAGGAGCTGGGTTTTGGATTTGGTTAGTCAATGTAAGAGAAGGGGGAGGCGATGCCAAGTACATACCCCAGGCCATAATTGGGCTGTTTGTCGATCTTTCTGAAATGTCCTGAATGTCATGGCGATTTGAACACATGCCGGGACGGACCGGTCTCCAAAGCCGCTGCATACGTTTTCTTTGGTGGGCTGGTGTAGTAAGAGGATTGTATAGTTATACGCCATGCCAACCCATCGATCGCTCGTGTAGCTTTTAGATGCTACATCGCTCAATAAACGCAGTTGAGATCTCCAGGCGTCCAATTCTCCTAGCATGTGCTCTCGCCATGTTGTTGAGGCGTTGATCTCTTCAAAATCTGACCGCATCATAGTACTGATAATCCGGGATTGGATACGTCTGCATCGGAATAGATGTAAAGCGGGTGAGACATGGGTTTTCTGGGATGGTGCTTCTATTCGGATGCGGCTGTCGTCTGAGCCATCGCGGTGGAGGTCTGAGTCTCCAACGTTTGAGAAAAGCTATCATTGTCAATTTATTGAAGTAGCAATAGAGGATGTAGACCATCGTCAGCTTACCGCTACGCTGATATGCTCGTCGCTGATATTGTTTGGGATATGATAGATCCAACTGATTAATCGATCCAAGGCATACGCAGACCAAAATACTCGGCGGCGGGTTTGGACCTCCAAAGAAAATACGGGATTCAGTACTTTCGGCTCACTCTCGGCTAGATGGAGCTGAGCCATGACACAGTACCTCATCGTTGCGGATACCATGGTAACGATCATTTGTGATGAGGGCGAGTGAAGCGCATGCAATGTTAGAAGTAGGTATGCTTGTGCATGTAGGATGGGATCGGGCTGCGCGAAAACGTAGGCAAGATATTTCATAGCAGTGTTATACAGTGACTGAATAGTTAGATCTTGCTCTTGGTTCCTTCAACATGGTATACTTCGCACTAACCTGAGACGTGGCGATGTCACTTTCAGACACGCGAGGCGTCAAAAGTAGGGCAACAGCGTGCACCTAAAAAGGTCCGCATGTTAACACAATGAAGGTGGGATTAATAGATATCCAACATACCATGGTGACAAAATAGTCCTTCCATAGCCCCTGCTCATGTCTAGCGCTATCCAGATATGAATGAGCCTTCCAAGATTCATACCAGCCGAGGAATGTATCGAGATGAAGAAAAGGATATCGCGGGTTGACTCTTTCAAGATATATTTGAACGAGCCGATCAGATACCTCCCTTGGAAGACGTAATAGGCGGTTTGATTGGGATATCTGATCTGTGAACGGAGATGATATAATGGCGTTTGGTGTCTCATGCTGTTTTATTGGTGATACACAGGGATCAGAATTTGCGAGAGTGGCTAGTATACCAATCAATAAGCTGGAGTGTCCGCATTGGCCTTGCGGGACTGGTAATGCCTCTCCGGCATTCGAATACGGTAGTGGTGGTGTCGGGCGTGGTGCAGTAGATGCTAGAAGAGGAACCTGGGCTGCTTGGGGATTTGAAGATGACCCGTCTTGCGACAAATTTTGATTTATCTGCCGTCTTGAAGTACGAGAATCAATGTCTGATTCTGGCTCTGAAATTGCGCGCTCGAATGTTCTCTTGTTCAAAGATCCGTCATTTCTCGAGCGTGGAGTGTCTTGTGCTGTCCCCTGCCGGCTAACAGGAGTAGTATTTTCTGATCTCTGTCCTGCCTGAGACTCAAGGTCTACGATCCTCTCCTCGAGCGCTCTAGCATATCTATAAGCAGATTAGTAGTAAATCCGGCAACGGAGTTGGCGAGACTTACTCAGTACTGACACGAGCCCTTCGTGTCACCGGCTCACTTGATATACATTCTGTACGTTATCAGACAATGTCCAATTGGTCCTGTGTAGAAGATACTTACCTTCATTTGCCGTTGTGCAATTATCACACGGTCTTTTGTCAGTGCACTAAACAGGTTCTTAGTTTTGCATTGACAGATTGCAGTCAAATAAACTCACTTTTTGCTTTCGAGACCGACACCTTCGACAAGCCAATGCTTTCTGTCTCTTGGGTGAATGATCTCCCTCCATTCGGCACTTATCGATTCATACGCATCGGAGCTTGAAGTCCGATGGGCTGCCAAATTTTTGGAGTATGGGTCCACGTGACTATGATTCTTTGAAAAACTGTAAGCAAAAGAGGATTTAAAGCCTTGTTCCTATGTTCTTGGCTACTTTTCATAGATAAATCAGGTCTAAGGGTTTTACTTACACATCTTAGCCGCACAGAAGTGCAAGTGCCGAAGAGTCTATCGGAGTGCCAAAGTCCGTCGGAGGTTACAGCGTCCGGCAAGAACCCCGGCTTGAGTACTTCACTTACCACCATTATAAATTATAAATTATTTTCGCCTTCCAATCTCCTCTCTTCAATAATCTCAATCCGAGAAGAAACAAACTATGCCCCAAAAGATCACCGTGGCAGTGGCGCAAGCCCGCACCCTCTCTACACTAGAGACAACCCTGGGCGCCTTGAAGCAAATAACCCAACACGCAGCATCAAAGGGAGTCCATCTCATCCTCTTCCCAGAGGCCTACCTAGGCGGCTATCCACGCACCTGTGATTTCGGAACAGCTGTAGGCGCCCGCGAACCGCATGGTCGCGATCAATTCCTGGAATATTTCCGCGCAGCCGTCGACCTGGGCGATACGCCTGCTGGGGCCGGGGATGATTGGGTTGAGCGGAAACTACCTGTGGCGAAAGGACGGGATCATCGGGGCGATGGGACTAGGGAGTTTCTTGAGAAGGTGGCCCGGGAGACGGGGGTGTTTATTGCTACTGGGTTGATTGAACGGGCTGGGGGCAGTTTGTATTGTTCCGCTTTGTATGTCGATCCCGTGCGGGGAGTGTTGGGGAAGAGGAGGAAGGTTATGCCGGTAAGTAATCAGTTTCTCGTCTTTTTGGCTGTTGGTTTTATGAGGATACTCGGAATGTAAAGGCTGACGTTTACTTGAATCTGGTGGAAAAGACTGCCTCGGAGCGTCTTGTTTGGGCTCAGGGGTCGCCTTCTACCCTCAAGGCTATTACTACTGAGCTCAATGGTGTCAAGCTTATCATTGCTGCTGCTATCTGCTGGGAAAGCTTCATGCCCTTGCTTCGGCAGAGTCTTTACTCGCAGAATGTGAATATCTATCTCGCGCCGACGGCTGATGGTCGTGATACCTGGTTGCCTCTTATGCGTACGATTGGTGGCGAAGGTCGGACCTTCGTGCTCTCTTGCAACCAGTGCGTGCGATATAACGAGCTTCCATCCTGGATTACCCAGCAGGGCAACACTTCCAAGGGTAGGAACACACATCACTCTTCATATGCCTTCTAAGACCCGACTAACTGTGTCCTAGATATCCCAGATCACTATGTTTCGCGCGGTGGCTCTTGCATCGTCGGACCGCTCGGTGAAGTCGTGGCCGAGCCCATCTGGGAGGTCTGCACCGATGACGCCGATGGTTCTAAGATTGCAGATGGGCTTGTGATCTCTGAGATTGACCTGGAGGATTGTGAGCGTGGCAGACTTGATCTGGACGTCGCAGGGAGCTATTCGCGAAATGACGCCTTCAAGTTGTCGGTTGAGGGATTGGATCTGAACCCTCCTCCGTTTTAGTTGAAGAGTTCTGATTCTCGCGTGGGGCAAACATTGCCTTGCCGTGCCTCAGTCGATGCTTTGGATATAGCCATACGTGTGTTTTTGGATAAGAAATCAAATCTATTTATGTCCTATTTCAACAGACTTACAGTGTGGGAGGGGGAATAAAGCTTTCAATGGGTTCAAAATGTAAAGTGTGGGTTATAATGACATGTATAGCCAGGAACGTGGTAGATATATATACGGGGCCACATGCAGTTTATAGTTTTGGAAGCTCAATATAAAAATTGATACAACTTTATTTATTTTACAGTAGAAAGATAACAGAACTACCAAGCGAATCACGAATATCCCTTTAATCAATTATTCTCTGGATGCAGATGGAAGCCCGTTGGAATGCAAGTGACGCATTCGGATGGGAGCTCCGAGCTCGGGATCGACCTCGGGATGATCTCCGCCCTTCTTCTTCACACTTCAACATCTCCAATTCAAGTCACTGAGATTATTATGATTTAAACTTGATATCTGGATCCCTTACCTTCCAGTCCAGTACTGGGGAGAATGCAATTCGCCCTACCTCCACGGAGGAGTCCCCTCCCAATCGCGCGATCATCGCGAACGCCGTCCTACCGAAGAAAGCAGCTCAAGACAGTCGCCATATTCGGCTTCGCAATTTTCTCTCTCCTCTACCTATTACACCATTTCTTCTCCTCAACCTCGACACCCGCTGCTGCATCAGCAGGCACTTCAGGTGTCGTGATTGTCACACTACTTGATCGCAAACACTTTAGTGAAAGCTATGTGAAGAAGATCGTCGCAAACCGGGAAGATTATGCAAAGCGTCATGGTAAGCAGAACCCCCGAAAGATCCAGTACTTCCCAGAAGATACCCAGCACCGGACAAACAACCAAGCTAACCTCCGCACCCCGCAAACAGGGTATACAAACTTCTTCGCCAGCATCTCCGACTACGACGAAGCCATCGGCGACGCCCCAAAAAGCTGGGCAGTCGCCCCAGCAGTCCGACATGCAATCGCCACCCACCCGCGCGCGGCATACTTCTTCCATCTGAGCCCCCACTCTCTCATCATGAACCCGAGCAAATCGCTCAAATCACACCTTCTCGAAAAGGGCCGGTTGGAATCTTTGATGTTGAAGGATACGCCCATCGTGCCGCCCGATAGCATCATCAAGACATTCACACATCTAAAGGAGAAGGATGTGGATCTGATTATCACGCAGGACAAGGAGGATCTCAATCCCGGGAGTTTTATCCTTCGGAACGGAGAGTTTGCGCGGTTTTTCCTTGATATCTGGTTTGATCCGTTGTATCGGAATTACAATTTTGCTAAGGCGGAAATTCATGGTTTGGTGTGTTGATATCTTTGAGGTACTTCGGGGACGTTGGCTGACTTTCGCGCTCTTTTAGGATCATATCATGCAATGGCATCCGACTGTTCTTGCCCGCACTGCCTTGGTACCTCAGCGTACTTTGAGTTCGTATGGCAAAGATTCCTCGACTGCTTCGTTGGATGGGATCTACAAAGATGGTGATCTTGTAGTTCAATTCCAGGGCTGTGAGGAAACAGAGGGCCGTGATTGCGCGCAAGAATTTGAGCCATATTACAAGTTGTGGCAGAAGAAAGTGAAGAGTGACTAACTGTCTTGTCTCGCTTGCATGGATGGAATATGAGTGGCGTACGAGGGGGTTGCATTAATGAACTAGACTGCTTGATTGTAGGGGAATGGCGTTTTGGGTCGGCTTTTCCTTGTATAATGTTCCGGGTCTGGTCGGCGTTTTGGTCGAGGACTTCAACATATAGCGGTGTCTTTGCTTTACTTTGCATATGTTCGAATGGAGCACTATTATCATTTTCACGATTTGCTATGCCCTATTTTGAAGTGATACATTGCTTGATTGTATCAGCAATTGGTAAATATATCTTTGCTCGCGACAATCGACGTCGATCGATAATCTGCTTGAGAGTAAGTTATGTCTCAAGCCCTCAATCAAGGAAATTCCAAGCCTTGCTGTGGTTTCATCCACAACACTCAACTCAACCACTCATTCTATGCCAACCCAGGCATTGACCATACAATCCACTTATAGAAGGCCAGGTAGGATAACGGTGCGCTTCTTCTTGTACTTGTCACCGAACTCCTTGCGATACCGCTTCTCCTTCTTCCAAGCCCAGCTCCACATCTGCAAACCACCAACCAAGATAAAGAACAGCACACTCCAGTTGCACTGACTAACCAGGTAAACACCAAACCAAGCCAAAATCTCAAAGAAGTAGTTGGGGCAAGTAACCCAGTTGAAACCAAATCCGGAGGGAATACCTCGTTCAGTAGTACCCGCACGACGAAGATTACGCAGAATCAAGTGCGCATTCAAGTTGGCAAGCTGACTGAAAGAGTAGAGAGCTAGACCGGCATACACAAGAGCCTCGTTGGGCGAGTCCGTGGCGGCCGTCGAGTTCGGGCGGAAGACCCAGTAGGCGATGTTGAAGCCGGCCAGGGCCCAGTAGTGGGCGCTGTTCTTGACGATGTTGCGGGCGGGCATGGTGGCATTGCTGAAGCGGTGGACGAAGATGGTTTCGAACTCGCGCTTGAGGAAGTGGGCTGTTAGGAGGCCGCACACGAGGCGCTGGACGTGCGAGGGTTCGGGGAGGGGCTTGTCATAGTTGAAGTACAGGAGGGGGCGGAGGGGGAAGAGGAAGAGCGCGGGGATCAGGAGGGGTCCTAGGTATTCGATGATGAAGACTGTGCGCCAGGCGATTTGGGGGCCTGTTTTGATTTTGATGATGGGTTAGTCTTTCTGTTCGTGGAGTCCGGGGATTCCTTGATCTCCAGACGGCGGGATATATAGGCACGCACCGAGATCCTTGACGTGGATTACACTTGAGTTGCGCAGGCCAGTTTCGTCAATGGTGGTACCGTTCGAGTTTGGTACCACGCTGCGGTCGCTACCCTTGGTGATTCTCATCCGGTGGATTGAGCACCCGGAGGCTGCGGAGAGCGCAGTGTGCAGTTCTTCTGTAGAGGCATTGAGGCTGATCTCGACCTCCTTGGGAAGCTTTCGGATGGGCTTGCCTGTATAAATATTAGCAATGGTCTTTGGGCGCTCTCAGTAGTTTTCTAGAGCTTTTGTTGGAAATAAACAGGAGCTATCATTGCGTACCCCTTGGCTCCACGGTGAGCGTGATATTCGACATGACGGAAGATGTAGCCCAAGCTATCGCAAGACTTGGATTATGATGCTAGGTCAAACCAAGTGAACTTGTTGAGGTTGCAATTGGACTAGAAATTGTGCAGTCCCAACATACTCGGTATTGGGACCTCGGCCGACATCACGTGCAGACACCTGAGGCCAACATATCAAAAGGCTTGGCAGCTGAAAGTCGACTCTCGTGGACCCCAAGGTGCGCAATTGATGTATTGTCGTACAATTATTACTTGGTTCACGCATGGCTCGGATTAGTCTTTCCGATACACTCGGAATATGAGGACCATGCGACAGGAACAAGTCCCTCAGAAGGTGGGCATCATGCCTCTTTTCTTAAAGGTTATAGAGGCTCATCCGGTGTCAGCTGGCTAAAGTACTAAAGTACAAACTACGGGGCAAAGGCAGTGCACAGCTGAAGACCAACATAACGCTAGCATAACGGCCAAATCACATCAAATCAGAACTGATATGGCCCCGCTGGGTCTCAGCTCGAACGGCTAGTCCGGCCGACATCGCCAATCAACGCCTCATCCGTGACAATTCCTCGCCTTTTCCCAATCAGATTTGGTCTGACTGTGATTATGAACAGCCCTCCCTTTTTTTTTTTTTTTCTTTCTAATTCACCCAGGCTATAGTTAGTCTGCGAAGCCGAGACTCATGCATCGCATATCTCCGGGTCTGTTTAGCCGCTGTTAACACTCCAATCACATGGTTCAGACCATATCTGTCAAAAGACGGTTGCATTTCACTCCCACTAGGCCCTCGTATTTAGTCCTTAAGTCGTTCAATGACTAGCAAATACCAATATGGATCTGACAGGGGCATCTAACTCGCGAATCAGCGATGTCTTATTGCTCAATGGGCTGGTGGGGCGTTCGTCTGTCATCTCCAGCTGCAGAGCTAGAATGCGCTAGGAATGACCACAAATGGAGACACGGCTGGCCTTATTGTGGGTGAATTCAGCCGTACTGCTCGGCTGATGGGCTTGCGATTACTCCGCGTTTTCTTATAATTTATATCCTATCCCATTTCCCCCGAGGGATCGCATGATGATTCAATTCTTCTCCTAGCTCCTACTGTGTCTGTCGGTGGTGCTCTTTCTCTGCTGCCTCTTTCCTATATACATCTTTGCGACGCTGCCTAGGTAATTTCTTACTACATTGCCTAATCCCCTGCCCTGCACGTGTCTGGTAAGCTCCTGGTTCAGTTTCCTTTCACTTTCTTCGTTCCCTTGCAAATCTTGCTCTTGCTCCCCTTCTTCAAGGCGTGACTTGTTGAAACCATACTGTTGTCAGCAAAAGCTGTTCTGAGCTGTTCTGAGCCGTTCTTCACACCCATTGAACCCCAAACTGACACAGTGTAGTTACCACCTGTGTCCGCCCTGCACTTCACTTTTCATCCTGTACCATATTCTCTCAATTCACAATGGGAGAGCAAGACTCTGCCAACGGCAACAAAATTGCCCAGGTCGAACAAGTCGTGGCTGCTGCGTTGAGGCCATTGCCTACTCAAACTGGCGATGGGAGCTACATCCAAGCGCCAACCGTGACAGGTCTCGCCAAGGACCTGCTCCATTTCGACCTCAAAGATGCCAAAACCCTGGCCGAGGTCGCCAAATCGGCCATCACTGGCGAGGCTGTCAATGACAGAGATTACATCATGGAGCGTGTGATTCAGGTTCGTCAACGCATAACTAATTGACCAGCACAGTCTAACCCATTCTACAGCTTGCTGCTGGTTTGCCCTCAACATCTCGGAACGGCAAGGAGCTGACCAACACCTTCCTGAACCAATTGTGGGGAGATCTGGAACACCCGCCGATCTCGTGAGTTGATCACTTTAAACAGACGATCGTTATTACTGACCATCGATAGCTATCTGGGACGTGATGCTGCATACCGCAAGGCTGATGGATCTGGAAACGTATGATTTGCCTACCTCGAGCCTCGTAACCCCAGCTAACACGCTCTAGAATACCTTCTGGCCCCAAATCGGAGCTGCTAATACCCCCTATGCCCGGTCTGTTCGACCCAAGACGATGCAGCCCGCTGCTCTTCCAGAGCCAGAGGCCCTGTTTGATAGTCTCCTGGCTCGCAAAGAGTTCAAAGAACACCCGAACAAGATTTCTAGCGTGCTGTTCTACCTTGCTTCTATCATTATTCACGGTATGTGAACCTGGTTCGTTGGGTGCTGAATGGTGAAGCTGACAGCAAGTAGACCTATTCCAGACCGACCCCAGAGATCAAACGAAATCACTGTGTTCCTCATACCTCGACCTGGCTCCTCTTTATGGAAATAATCAGACAGAGCAAAATGCAGTCAGAACCTTCAAGGATGGAAAGTTGAAGCCCGATTGCTTTTCTACAAAGCGGATTCTCGGATTCCCACCTGGTGTGGGTGTCCTTCTTATTATGTTCAACCGTTTCCACAACTCTGTTGCGACACAATTGGCGGCTATCAATGAAGGTGGTAGGTTCACAAAGCCAGATGTGTCTAACACGCAAGCCCTTGCTACTTGGGAGAACGACCTCTTCCAGACAGCACGGCTGGTCACTTGTGGGCTTTATGTCAACATCATTCTGAAGGATTATGTTCGAACCATTCTCAATGTCAACCGAACTGACAGTGTATGGAGTTTGGACCCTCGGGCAGACATCAAGGATAGCTTGCTTGGTGAAGCTGCTTCCCAGGCTACTGGAAACCAAACATCGGCCGAGTTCAACTTGGTTTATCGCTGGCACTCCTGTGTCTCGGCTCGGGACCAGAAGTGGTCAGAGGATTTATACAAAGAGTTGTTCCAAGGTCAGGACACAACCAAAATCTCACTGCAGCAATTTACAGGAGGTCTCAGACAATGGGAGTCAAAGCTTCCAGCAGATCCCCAGGAACGCCCGTTCGCTGGGATGAAACGCCAAGCAAATGGATTGTTTGACGACAATGACCTGGTCAAAATCTTCCAGGAGAGTGTCGAAGATCCCGCTGGGGCGTTTGGTTCCCTCAATGTCCCAGAGGTTTTCAGAAGCATTGAGGTCCTCGGCATCAAACAAGCCCGCTCATGGAATCTGGCTACCCTGAATGAGTTCCGCCAGTACTTCAACTTGGCTCCTTATCAGACTTTCGAAGAGATCAACTCGGATCCGTACATTGCTGATCAGCTCAGACACTTCTACGACCACCCTGATCTCGTTGAGCTGTACCCAGGACTTATTGTGGAAGAGGCCAAACAACCCATGACTCCGGGCAGCGGCCTATGCACCAATTTCACTACCTCCAGAGCCATTCTTTCGGACGCGGTTGCTCTCGTTCGCGGCGACCGCTTCTACACTGTTGACTTCACCCCGAAGCATCTCACAAACTGGGCCTTCAACGAGATTAACCATGATAACTCCATTGATGGTGGTCAGGTCTTCTACAAGCTGGCCCTGAAGGCGTTCCCCAACCACTTCCGAGGCGACTCAGTTTATGCACATTTCCCTATGGTTGTGCCAGACGAGAACCACAAGATCCTAAGCAGCCTTGGCACAGTCAAGTCTTACAGCTTCGACCGGCCTTTCTATAAGTCCCCGGCTCTCTTCATCAACTCTCACTCTGCTTGCACAAGCATCCTGAATGACCAAGAGGGTTTCAAGGTACTATGGGGCGAGAAGATTCAGTTCCTGATGGAAAATAGCGGCCGTCCCTATGGTCGAGCCTTCGCCTTGTCGGGTGATCTCCCTCCCAATGCAGGCTCGCGGAAGATGCTCGGCGCTGCCCTGTACCGGGAGAAGTGGGAGTCCGAAGTGAGATCCTTCTATGAGGATATTACTCTGAAACTTCTGGAGCGCAATTCGTACAAGATCGCTGGAGTCAACCAAGTTGATATCGTCCGCGATGTTGCCGATCTCGCCCAAGTCCACTTCTGTGCCAACGTCTTCTCCTTGTCCTTGAAGACCGAATCAAACCCCAGAGGCGTATTCAGCGAGCAGGAACTGTACCAGATTATGGCTGTGATCTTTGCCTGCATCTTCTATGATGTCGATGTCTCCAAGTCTTTCCAGCTTTGCCAGACTGCCCGCAGGGTTGCGCAACAGCTGGGTGAATTGACGTTGGCTAACGTCGAGCTTGTCTCCAAGACTGGCTTCATTTCCACCCTGGTCAACCGCCTCCACCGCCACGATATCCTGAGTGAATATGGCGTTCACATGATCCAGCGCCTGCTTGACAGCGGTCTACCGGTTAAGGATATTGTGTGGTCGCACATTCTCCCCACAGCTGGTGCATTGGTTGCAAACCAGGCTCAGCTCTTCTCTCAGTGTCTTGACTATTATCTCTCCGATGAGGCGGCTGAACACCTGGCTGAGATCCAGCGCTTGTCCAGAGAGGACACACCCGAGGCTGATGAGATCCTCGTGCGATAGTAAGTTCTTTTATCTTAGTATCTCAAGTGTAGCATATACTGACCGCATCCAGCTTCATGGAAGGTGCTAGGCTGCGATGCTCAGTCGCATTGCCCCGCATTGTGTCAAAGCCAACTGTTGTCGAAGACAACGGCCAGAACGTCACCCTGAAAGCTGGCCAGGAGATCATTTGTAACTTGGTGAGTCCTTGCCATCTCCCCTGACTGAAAGCCCATCCCTGTCAGCGATCGGACCTAACGGATCTCCAAATTATAGGTTGTTGCAGGACGTGATCCTATCGCCTTCCCCGATCCCGACAAGGTCCGTCTTGATCGCGATATGAGCCTGTATACCCACTTTGGCTTTGGCCCTCACCAATGCCTGGGTGTTAAGATGTGCCCTATTGCGCTGTCCACCATGCTCAAGACTCTGGGCAGACTAGACAACCTCCGTCGTGCCCCTGGACTCCAAGGTCACCTGAAGAGGCTCGACGGTCTGGGAGGGATTGCCATGTACATGGACGCTCAACACAGTAGCTTCTCCCCATTCCCCATGACTATGAAGATTCAGTGGGACGGAGAGCTCCCTGCCAGACGGGAGTAAAGGGAATTGAATTGACTGATTTGTGGACGAAGAGCGAAAGTGGTTATCATCATTGCGTGATGTATTGTTTCTCGGCGTTAGTGTTGCGCGCAGCCTTTATGTATTCGCAGATATTGTTTTGGTGAGCTTCAAATTTGATACCTATTTGAATTCTCACATTCGGAAATAATTAATTGCCTGTAGCCCTTAAATCTGTATGCTTGTAGAAGAAAAAAAATTGGAACATTGACATCATATGTAAAACAAGAGACCCTCAGGCACGAGAAGTGCTGCCTGAGGCCCAGCGGGGGAATCAGCCAGAGCCGCCCTTCCATCTGCCGGCAAGACCAGCTCCATTCAATCTTTCCTTCGGACAGTCTTCCTTTTTCTCTTCCCTTCTATCTTCACTCCCCTCCATCCTTTCCTTTTGACCTCACAGCTTGGATATCGTCTCTGCGTCAGAACTTCAGGGCCAACGACCTGCACCCGTTTTCCCTGGCAGCTTTGACCAACCGATATCTCATCCTTCAGCTCTCAGATTTGAGCTCTCTCGAAATCGCTAGCTCCCCCACGATTGAACGATAAATTCAACCCAGATTCCCGCCGGTTGAAATTCTCTATCTGACCGAATTTGACCGTGGGTCTTTCGCGTTGAATCGATTCGCTTTTCGTTGAGGCAAAGCAGCACCAAAAACGTCATAAGGCATTCTCGCGCTTTCTCCGCGACACTGGTCTTCACGACCTTCCCACCCCACCTTCTAGGGGATAAGCCTCCTGGAATCTTTCAACTCCCTCATGTGTGACTGTTGATTCGATAGTTATCATGGGGAGAATTAAGAAGGTAGCCAGCCAAAAGCATGAGGCTACAATCGTGAGTTACCCTCCGGCGGCCTGATGTGCAACCCAACTAAAAATTTTTCTTCTCTCTACAGTCACCTTTTTTGCAAGAATTCATAGGACGTGCTACGAGTCTTTCTATTCCCGAGCTCCCGTCCCTCTTCAACACATTCCCGAGGTTATGGCCGTTCCCCCGCGGTGATCTCTATCACTGGATCAATGTCCTGGACCGGTTCGACGAGATTCTGGCCTCGGCGGTCGAGAAATATTTCCTGAACACTGGTCCTCAGACCCAGTCGTTCACTCGAAGCGTTCTGGAGGAATCATATTCGGCCGATGAGAGCAAAAAGCCAGCGGAGGGCGTTGATGCCAAGTTGAATGCTCTGGGATACGGCCCCGATGGAGACCGGGAGCTTCTGGAAGCAATCTTGGAATTCTCGCGTCTTTTGCTCGAGAAATGTGGTAACCGCAGTCTCTATAGCAGCAGCGATCGCCTGGGTGACCTGTTGAACACTACATCATTGTCTCTTCTCCAGTCTACATTGCGCCTGTCTCTCTGCCTGGCCCAAAGATATCACTCCCGTCAGCGTGGGGCTCACCAGCAGTCAGTATTGCAATCTCACTATGCTCTTGACCTTGAAAAGTTGCAGAAGATTGCCGCACCTTTCCCACGTCCAACCCTCGCTGGTAAAGCACAGCCCACCGCCTCTCCCGCCATTTCAGCTAAGGGCAAGGAGAAGGCTGTTCAAACTAAGATCAATGCCAATGAATTGGTTTCTCTTGTGCGTGACAGTGAAGGCTGGGAGGAATGGGGTGATGTTCGAGTTCTCTATTATCCTTCTGGATCCTTTGAACAAACGAGAACGACATCCGAATATGGTCAGACGGAACATGGCTCACACGTTCCAACTACACCCACTCCGCTGCGACGAAGCGCAACACATCCCGCTTCTCAATTGAGCCGCACTGATGATTCACCAGCTGCCCCAGCCACAGGTGGGAAGGCAGATGAGGCAACTCGTGGGGGCAAGGTCTTAGAACTCTCCTACTCAAAGGTCTCTTCTGCGAAGTTGGAGGATATTCTTGCAGCTAACCTCCCTCATCTTCCCCTTGAGTCAAAATATGAGCTACTTCACAAACTTCGAGTTGCTCAGGCACTGACAGGCTCCCGTGCCACTCGTGAACAGATTCTGTCCATCAAGGCCCTGGCAGTGACTAACCTGGCCCATGTTCTGCCGGAGAGCTCTTTCCAACAAAAAGTTCTTCAATACGACATGGAGCAACCGAAACGCCTTCAGCTTGCTTACCAGCTGGCCGAACTGGTTCATCTCGGTGCCAGTGGTGACCTCGAGGTCTCGCGACTTGTCCAGACTTTAGCAATCCAGGCACTGGACTCATTGGCGAAGCACAAGTCTCGCGCCGTCGACGTTTGTGCAGCTTTGAGTGTCAATGTCAACCACGGAGTCCTCATGTTCTTGACCCGGAAAATGGTCAACGAACTCACCGAAGAAGGGGAGGATACGGATGCTGCATACTATGATGAGTGGCGTGATGCTTTGCTTGCACTCCTGCGCACCCTTCCAAGCTCAAGCACACGTACACCAGACACTCTGGTTGCAGCTGGTCTGATCCCTATGTTTGTTGACATTCTGAATCTGCGCAATGAGAAATCGCGCCGTGTGTATTCCCGCATCATGGAGTTCCTTGATACCTTTGTGCATGCGGTCCGGGATGCCCTGGGAACATTGACAACCGCCAAAGGCTTTGACGCAATGTCTGACCTGATTGACTATGAAACCAAAACCGCTTTCGAAAAGGTCAACCGTGGGGAGGGTTTCCCTGCTCAATACAAGAACCCATCCGTTGATTATCAAATTCCGTACTTCCAACAGCAGACCCTTCGCTGGATGTTCCGTTTCGTCAACCACATCATGCAGCACAATGGTGGCGGCTTCGATCGTGTGTTACGCAACTTGATTGACTCCCCCCAATTGCTGACTTCTCTCCGCCTTGTGTTCGAGAATGCTCGTGTGTTCGGTTCGCATGTATGGAGTACCGCTGTCAACATTCTCAGCAGCTTCATTCACAATGAGCCTACTAGCTATGCCGTCATCGCCGAGGCTGGTCTCAGCAAGAGCCTTCTCGCTGCTGTTATGGGCCGTGAACTCCAGGTCGTCGAGAAGCCTCCCGCCGTGGATTCCGAGGGTCACGCAGCAGAAGGCGAATCTGCTTCTCAGCCGCCTACCGCTGAAGCTGCTACCCAGTCAGAGGGAAAAAGAAAGACCGCGAATATGCTCTTGTCAGGCCAAAGGGTACTCCTCTTGCCCCTGGCATCATGTCCGCAGCCGATGCTCTTGCCTGTATCCCTTCTGCATTTGGAGCTATCTGCCTGAACTCCTCTGGTCTTGACCTTTTCCAGTCTTCCGATGCCCTTGAAAGCTTCTTCGAGATCTTTGAAAACCCCGATCATGTCAAATGCTTGAAGGACGACCCTGAACTTGTCCGTTCACTAGGCACGACTTTCGATGAGCTTGTTCGACACCACCCAGCATTGAAGACCTCTATCATGTCTGCAGTTCTTGTCATGGCTGCCCGTGTTAATGTTCTCGGTCGTACCAAGGCCTGGGAGCAGGGAATGGGAACTAAGCTGTGGACTGAGGATGCTGACGGCAACAAGAGCCTTTCCGGAGATATCTCTTCGTTGTTCCGGGAAATCGGCACACCCGCTGATGCGTCAGTCGATGACCCTGCGACCTTAGGTGCTCCTCAGCTTAATTCCCACGATCTCCCCAATGGCGCGAAGCTGGTCGTTGGTGATCTGAGCCATGTTCTTCCTTCGCCAGGTCCCGATTTCGAACCTAAAGACAAGGATGAACATGGACTTACTGCTACCGATTACTTGTTCCCGGCTATGCGTTTCCTGGGCGCTTTCTTCGAAAACCAGGTTAATTGTACTGCGTTTATTCAGGCTGGCGGCGCAGAGTTCCTTCTGGATCTCGCAACTCTCCAAAGCTTGGCATTTGATTTCCACAATACCAATGCTAACCAGGAGATCACCGTGCTTGTTCATATGCTTGCGGAGACAAAGCCTCACCTTGTGCTTCCGTCTCTCCTTCGCCGCGCCCAGTCCGCAGTGGAGAATCTTTCGGCCTTCTGGACTGCACCCAGCGGATCGGGATTCTTTACGTCGTTGATTAAGCCAGCAGACTCAAAGGACCCAGCCCTGGAACCTACCGCCGCCGCTCAGTCTGGAACATTCTTTGTCAGACACTTGAATGCAGTTCTTCTCCTAACCGATGTCCTTCGTGAGACTTTCGCGTTGCCCTTGTACCAAACCCGACCTGGCCAATCCACTTCCATCTTCGGCCAAGTCAATCTCGCGGATCAATATTGCATTCTCATCAATTCGCTGAGCAACCTTCTTGCTTCTTGCGTGTGGGAAGGCATCTTGCTGGAGAAGAACATCCCCGAGAAGTGGCTCAAGGCTACGCAGGAAACTGCTGATAAGTCCGCCTCTGGAAAGTCCAAGACTACTCCTCAGGAGCCTCCAGCAACCCCTGTCGCTGATTCTCGACCCCAAAGCTCCGGTGCCCCAGAAGCTGGACAGGCTCAACCAGGCCAGGAACTAAACGAAGACGACACTCCCCTGGACGAAGAAAACGTCAACTTCAAGAATGCTCGCACACTTCGCTACCTTCTCAGTGCATTGCCAACCTCGATTACAGGATTCTTGCATAACCTCGGACTTGGCCTTATTGGCAAGCGACGCATGGACCCTCTTCAGAAGCAGAGACAGAATGGTAGTTTGGTTGCAGAGGCCATCGCTGAGGGTGTTCTTCGCCAATTAGAGTTTGAGCCTGCGAACTCTAGTGATAGCCATAAGCACCGGTTTGCCTATCTGATTGTCGTCCTTTCCCACTTCTCCCACCTTCTCTATGAAATTCCCACGGAGCGTCCTAGTTCGAACTACTTGACATCAGTCCTCATTGCGTTCAAGAAGAACAACGGCCTCAAAGTGCTGAAAGACATTTGTGACGTGTTCTTGAACGATATCAAGTCCCTTCCCTCTGCGGAGTCCATTCCCGACGAGGACAAAGAGCTTGCTAACCGGCTTGCATCGGGTTATGGTGGAATCAAAATTATCCTTGGGCTCTTCGCGGACCTGGCTACTGGAAAATACATTGTGGACTCTAGCCAGACACAAGCCTTGACCAGTCACCCCGAGCGTGACCGTGATCGCCCCGAATACTTCCAGCCAGGTCAATTTCTGGTTGAGCTTCGTATGGAAATTCTGCCCATGGCCCAGGACATGTGGAACTCGGACTTTGCTACTCAGTCGTCGAGCCCCATCGTCAGATTGTTGATCGATATCCTGCGGGCATCTCTGGATGGCGAATACGAAGTGAACGTTATGAAAAGGTCAGATGCGCGGCCTCTTTTGGCAGAGACACCCAAGAAGCCGTTCGTGGTTCACAAAGACCGAGCAGCCGCCCTGGTTGACAAAGGATTCAAGGATGTTGATCTCAACAAAGAAGCCCTCTATCGTTGCAACAACATCTTGAATGCAGCCGAAGAATATTGCAGGGCGCAAAGTTGGCTACGAAACCCTCCCAGAGTTCATCCAAACCCCAACGATATTCAAACCGGATCGCCTGAGGTCGCTTCTGGTGTGGACCCCCTGGAGGATCCTGGCTTTGGAGAAGTGCCCCAGTCTTTCACCGCTGGCGGCGACCTGTCACGCTCTGCTCTGACCATGCTTCTGGCTCAAGCGACTGGCGGACCAATGACCGATTCGATGCGCCGGATTGATTCCTTGGTGGCTGGAAGAGATGCGGATGCTGAAACGCCTGGCCGGCCAGCTGGAAACCTGGGCAGAATTCTCGACGGCGATGATATGGACGACAGTGATGAACCAGCCGGATCATCGCACCAGAGTGGACCCGAGAGTCGCGCTGCCGGAGGAAGCTCCTTTGAAGGGCAACCAGTCCAAACCCGCCAGGTGGTCACCATCGAAGACCTTGAAGCTGAGAGAGAAAAGATTAGGTCCAATCTGATTGAGCGGGCCCTGGACATTCTGAACGAACATCATGACGTCTCCTTCGAATTGTCTGATCTGATCTCGTCAGCCATTAGGAAGCACCCAGAGCCTGAGAGTTTCCGCCGAGATATTGGAGAGACCCTTGTGCAATCGCTGGTTTCCCTGCAGATGGAGAACTTCCAGACAGCTGGAAAAAAGATTGCTGCTTATGCTCACATCCTCGCACTGACACTTCAAGATCGTGAGATGTACACTGCAACCCTCGAAGAGCTAAAGGATTGCTTCTCGACTTTCCTCGGGTTTATCAAACTCCCAACGCCTGAGAAGGCTGAACAGGAATCATTCCCTTGGGTTGGACATGTTCTCCTTATCCTCGAAAAGTTACTGTCTGATGACTGCCAGCCACCCCAGATTTCGTGGACCCAACCAGCCAGTGTGGATGATACCGTTGGTAACGATGAGCCCGCCCGACTTGAAGAGCCCCTTGTGTCAGCCGACGAGAAGACCCAGCTCTTTGAAGCTCTTGTCGAGATCCTACCCCGAGTGGGCAAGGATGACACACTGGCGCTGTCTATTTGCCGTGTTCTTGTCATTCTCACTCGCCAGCGTAGCATCGCTGCCCGCTTTGGCGAGAAGCGTAATCTCCAGCGCCTATTTGTGATGGTCAAACAGCTTTCAAGTGCTACAAATGACAAGCTGCAAAGCGCGTTCATGCTGATTCTCCGCCACATTGTTGAAGACGAAGCTACTATTCGCCAGATCATGCGGAGTGAGATTGTTGCCAACTTTGAGTCCAAAACTTCTCGCCAGGTTGACACCACTGGATACGTGCGCCAGATGTATCATCTTGTGCTAAGAGCTCCTGATATTTTCGTGGAGGTGACAAATGAGAAACTGCGGTTGCTACGCTTTGACCCTCACTCTCGTCCGCAAGTTCTTGGACTCAAGGCCGACAAAGAACGTCAAGATCGCCTGCGTCAAGGAAAGAAACCCGAGGAGATCAAGTCCGAGTCATCTGAGACAGGTGAGGCCTTTACTACCGATGACGCGGAGAAGGACAAGGGTAAGGGCCCAGCTAAGAGTGCAGAGTTGAAGGCCCCAGTTGTGGAGAACCCAGACGGTGTCATTCATTACCTGCTGTCCGAGCTCCTGTCCTACAAGGATGTGGACGACAAGGAGTCTGCCCTTGAATCCTCGGAGCAGCCCGCTGATCAGCAGTCTGACACTCAAACTGACGTTGAGATGACTGGAGATGAACCCACTCCATCGGTTTCTAGCACCGCTGAAGCACAACCCACTCGGGGCCCGAAGAAGGGAGAGAAGCCCCAATTCAAGGCCGACGATCACCCGATTTACATTTATCGCTGCTTGCTCCTTCAGTGTCTGACTGAACTCCTCTCCTCCTACAATCGGACCAAGGTTGAGTTCATCAACTTTTCCCGCAAGGCTGATCCTTTGGCTACTACACCTTCCAAGCCACGGTCTGGCATTCTCAACTACTTGTTGAACGTGCTTGTTCCCCTTGGTACGATGGAACATGATGAGACCTTGGCATTCAAGAAGCGCAGTATCACATCTACATGGACCATGCAAGTGCTCGTTGCTCTTTGCACCAAGACTGGCGAATTTGGTGGTGTTGGCAGACGTCGCACTGAGCCAAAGTATGAGGAAGATGAGCCGGAGCTTGCCTTTGTCCGCCGTTTTGTGCTGGAGCATGCTCTCCGGTCCTACAAGGACGCAATGGCTTCAAACGAGCCTCTGGACGCGAAGTACTCCAAGCTTATGTCTCTCGCCGACCTCTTTGACAAAATGCTCAGTGGCTACTCTTTCACGAACGATGCAGGCTTCCCAACCTCAACCAGACAGCTTGCAAAGACCATGTTCGAGAAACACTTCATCCCCGCGCTTACTGCTTCAGTTGCCGATGTCGACTTGAACTTCCCTTCGTCAAAGCGCGTCATCAAATACATTCTTCGCCCATTGAACAAGCTTACTCAAACCGCCGTTCTCTTGAGCGAGAACTCCGATATCTCCTCGTCCCTTGGTGAAACCGAGGACGATGAGATCTCTTCGGCAACCTCCGTTTCTGACATGGAAGATGAACGTGAGGAAACACCCGATCTTTTCCGCCACTCTACTCTCGGTATGCTGGAACCTCGCCATGAGGAAGAGACCAGCAGCGAGGAGTCGGAGGAAGAGGATGAGGACATGTACGAGGACGAGTATGATGAGGAGATGGACTACGATGAAGAAATGCCTGAAGACGATGGCGAAGTCGTCAGCGACGAAGATGACGATGGTGTTGGTCCAATTGAAGGTCTCTCTGGCGATGCAGTTGAAGTCATTCTCGACGAAGAAGATGATGACGATGAGGACGACGACGACGATGAAGACCACGACCACTCGGACATGGATGATGACATGTACGCGGGTGAAATCCCCGGTGACCGGGACAATGAAAGCCTTGAAGACGGAGAAGAGGATGAATGGGAGAGCGAGGAAATGACCGAAGATGAAGAAGAGGTCGAAATGATGAACCAGTACGAAGACGAGATGGCCGATATGAGACAAAATCGCGGCCACGGCGACGAACACCGCATTGGCGACCTCTTCCGTGCCCTTAATGAGGCTGCTGGAGGCGTTGATGATCTCCATGGAGACGGCCTCGGTGGTGACATCCACGAAGAAATCCTCGATGATCTCGACGAAGATGGTGCGCCGCCCCTCCCTACTGCAGCCCCCCTACTGCAGCCCTCTCTACTGCCCTCTCTACTGCCCTCTCTACTGCCCTCTCTACTGCAGTCATCCCTACCCTACGCCAGCTTTCAACGCTGTTGCTGACCACCCATCTAGTTGAGGATGAAGACGACATGGATGAACTTGAAGAGGATATCGATGGCTTTGACGGCGAGGAAGGATCCTACGGTGATATGGAAGGTAATGAAGAATGGCTCAGACTCTACACGGAAACTTTGCTAAATGCCTTAGCAGACGATGATCTTCTTGAGCCGTGGGGATGGGAAGGCGATGAGCCTCCAATGCCTCGCGCAGGACATCACCACCACCGCTTCCGTGGTGGCGCGCCCCCAGCCTGGGCTGCTGTTACCGAAATCATGCCCGGCCGCGGCTCGGGTCTTGTCCCTATTCAGCCTTATCAGCGTGTCCACAGAACCCAGATTCCCTCCCGCGGAGACAATGACGGAACTAACCCCTTACTTGTTCGGACTGATCGCCCAGAGACCGCCGTTCCATCTCGTGGAGCCAATACTGACCCCTTCGCTGATTGGGGTCAGTCCATGGACCCAGCTGGTGGCCGAGTTGTTGCAATGGACAGCCCCATCAGCTTCATGAACGCCATCATGCAGGCCATTGGCGGACAGGCCGCTCCAGGTTTCGGTGTGGTTACTCGTCCAGACGGTATCCATGTCCATGTCGACAGACGCGCAGTTCTACCCGGCCGCATCCAGGATATGCTTGGAATCCCACGCGGATCGGGCCCTCCGGCTCGCACTCGTGGCGATGATCCTCACACTGCTGTCAAGTTTGGTCTGGGTACCACCCGAACCCGCTGGCAAGAGGAGGCTCGCATTCTCTTCAGCAGCCAGTATGTTGAGAGATGCCAGCGTATCGTCAACTCCATCATGAAGGCTCTCGTTCCTACTTCAATGGCAGAGGAAAAGATTCGCACGAAGCAGGTGGAAGAGGAGCGCAGGCGCATTCTGGACGAACGCGCCGAGCAAGAACGCCAAGATCGCGAGGCCAAGCGAAAGTTGCAGGAAGAAAATGCTCGGCTCGAAGCTGAAAGGCAACAACAGGAGGCTGAGCGTCAAGCCGAACGCCAAGCCGCTGCGGTCGATGAGCCCATGGAGGATGTTCAACCCACCGAACCTCCTGCTGAAGCCACCTCATCTGCTCAGCCTGAGGCTCAGCCCGAAGCTCAACCCGAAGCTCAACCCGAAGCCCAGCCGGCCGAGCCTGCCCCTCGGGTCCACACAAACATTAGAGGCCGTCAGCTCGATATCACTGGTCTCGAGATTGACCCTGAATATCTGGAGGCTCTGCCCGAGGAACTCCGCGAGGAGGTTATCATGCAGCAACTTGCCGAACAGCGATCCCAAGCTGCCGCTGCTGGCGAGGAGCCTACTGAGATCAATCAAGAATTCCTGGAAGCATTGCCTGCGGAGATTCGTGAGGAACTTTTGCAACAAGAAGCGGCCGATCGACGCCGGCGCGAACGTGATGCTGCCCGTCGACAGGCCCAGAGTGCCGCTGGCGCTGGTGCAGCTGCTCCTCCTGCTCACGCCGAGGATATGGATGCTGCCAGTTTCCTCGCTACCCTCGATCCTTCGTTGCGACAGGCCGTCCTTGCCGATCAACCAGAGGATGTTCTCGCAACTCTGGGTCCTGAGTACTTGACCGAGGCCCGCGCTATGGGCGGTGGTAGCCGACGCATGGCTCAGTTCGGTGACATGAGCGCCGTCGACCGACAGAGAAATGAATCTTCTGGAGACCAGGAGCCAAAGAAACAGCAGAGACGTCAAATTGTTCAAATGCTTGACAAGGCTGGTGTTGCAACCCTTCTTCGACTGATGTTTATGCCTCTCCATGGTAACGCTCGCCATCAATTAAACGACATTCTTCACAACGTGTGTGAGAACCGCCAAAACCGCAGTGAGGTGATCAGCCTTCTCCTGTCGGTTTTGCAGGATGGCAGCGTTGATTCTACCGCCATTGAGCGCAGCTTCTCTCACCTATCACTACGTGCAAAGGCACCAGGAGCACAAAAGACGCCCCAGGCTGTCAAGCGAAACATGGCTATTCAGACTTCTTCCAGTGTTAGCAGCGACGTGACCCCAATCATGGTCATCCAACAATGCCTAGGGACACTCTCGTTCCTGTCGCAGTTCAACCCTCACATTGCTTGGTTCTTCTTGACCGAGCATGACTCTGCCTCATCCGCTAAGCTGAAAGCAATCCGCAAGGGCAAGGGCAAGGAAAATCGAGCTAACAAGTTCGCCCTGAATGCTCTGCTTTCTCTCTTGGACCGGAAGTTGATCATGGAAAGCCCCAACTGCATGGAGCAACTGTCAAGTCTCCTTAGCAGCATCACTCAGCCGCTGACTGTTCTCCTTCGCCGCGAGAAGGAGCGTCAGGAAGAGAAGGGCAAGAAACCCGAGGACGCGCCAGTCGAAGGATCTATCGAAGAGCCTGCCCAAGCCGGCGATTCTGGCATGGATACGTCTATGACCGATGCTCCTCTGCCCACCGTCGAGACCACTGAGATCACTGGCCAAGAAGCCACGGAGGGCGGAGAGGACGAAGATAAGAAGCCCGAGGAGTCGAAGGAGCCCGCCGAGGATGAGAAGCGCAAGAAGCGTTCCATTGAGCCTCCTGTCGTTCCTGACCACAATTTCCGTCTTGTTGTTCACATTCTTGCTGCTCGTGAATGCAATGGCAAGACGTTCCGCGATACTCTTTCCACCATCAACAACCTTAGCGCTGTTCCCGGAGCTCGTGATGTGATCGGCAGTGAACTGGTCGCTCAAGCACAGGCCCTCAGTGATACCATTCTGGGTGACCTCGAAGACCTCCTTCCTCATATCCATCAGGCTAAGACTGGCACCGATATGCAAGGTCTGGCTCTGGCCAAGTTCTCGCCCGCTAGTTCAGACCAGGCGAAGCTTTTGCGTATCCTGACGGCTCTCGACTACCTGTTTGATCCTACCCGAGTAGACAAGTCCAAGGGCAGTGAGCCCGAGTCTGCTCCTAAGGAGGATGTGCTCAAGAGACTTTATGAGAGCGCAACCTTCGGACCTCTGTGGACCAAGCTCAGCGAGTGCTTGACTGTCATCCGCCAAAAGGAGAACATGCTGAACGTGGCTACTATTCTCCTGCCTCTTATCGAGGCACTGATGGTTGTCTGCAAGAACACTACTTTGAAGGACCAGCCCCTGTCTCGCGGTAGTCGCGAACTGTCTGTGAACAGCGCCCCGGCTGACAATGGTCTCAGCATGGAGAACCTCTTCTTCAAGTTCACAGAGGAGCATCGCAAGATCCTCAATGAGCTTGTCCGCCAGAATCCTCGTCTGATGAGCGGCACATTCTCCCTGTTGGTCAAGAACCCCAAGGTCCTGGAGTTCGATAACAAGCGCAACTACTTCACCCGCCGTGTCCACTCCCGTGGCGCCGAGCCTCGCCACCCTCATCCCCCTCTCCAGCTTTCCGTGCGAAGAGACCAAGTCTTCCTTGACTCGTTCAAGTCCTTGTACTTTAAGAGCGCGGATGAGTTGAAGTATGGCAAATTGAATGTACGATTCCACGGCGAGGAAGGTGTCGATGCTGGTGGTGTGACCAGGGAATGGTTCCAGGTTCTTGCCCGTGGCATGTTCAACCCTAACTACGCCTTGTTCATTCCTGTTGCGTCCGACCGAACCACTTTCCACCCCAACCGTCTCAGTGGTGTCAACTCAGAGCATCTTATGTTCTTCAAGTTCATTGGACGCATTATTGGTAAGGCTTTGTACGAAGGCCGTGTTCTTGACTGTCACTTTAGCCGGGCGGTCTATAAGAATATTCTCTCCCGTTCTGTGTCTATCAAGGACATGGAGACGCTCGACTTGGACTACTATAAGTCTCTCCTCTGGATGCTGGAGAATGACATTACCGATATCATCACCGAGACCTTCGCCATTGAAACCGATGACTTTGGCGAAAAGCAAGTTATCGATCTGATTCCAGGTGGCCGCGATATCCCTGTTACCCAGGAGAACAAGGAGCAGTACGTCCAGCGCGTGGTAGAATACCGCCTGGTGGAGTCTGTCCGAGAGCAATTGGACAACTTCCTGAAGGGCTTCCACGAGATTATTCCCCGAGACCTGATCTCCATCTTCAATGAACAGGAGCTGGAACTTCTGATTTCCGGTCTTCCTGAGATCGACGTTGACGAGTGGAAGAACAACACCGAGTACCACAACTACTCCGCCTCGTCCTCGCAGATCCAGTGGTTCTGGCGTGCCGTTCGCTCGTTCGACAAAGAAGAGCGTGCCAAACTTCTGCAATTCGTCACTGGAACCAGTAAGGTTCCTCTCAATGGTTTCAAGGAGCTTGAGGGTATGAACGGCGTGAGCAAGTTCAACATCCACCGCGACTATGGCAACAAGGATCGCCTTCCCAGCTCGCACACATGCTTCAACCGTAAGTTTTCGCAGCCCATCTTTCCATTTATTCAATTGCAATTACTAACTGTCTATTACAGAGCTTGATCTTCCTGAATATGAAAGTTATGAGGATCTCCGCCAACGTCTCTACACGGCCATGACTGCCGGAAGCGAGTACTTCGGATTTGCATAGACTGGTTTTCTGGGTGCTCGACATGACGATGGTTTCAAGCGAAGGCATTCCATGGCGTTTCTCTCAATTCTTATGGGAATCTTATTATTGGGGATGAATGAGGAGGGTATGAAAAGAAGCTGGCATAGGCCAGTGTGGAGGAATTTCTTTATGAGGAGATGAAAACAGAGACTCCAGAGGATTCGGTTGAAGTGCAGGTCAGCCTTGTTCTTCGGAGATCTCTTTTATGTCTGTACTTAGATTGCTGCATTTTTATTTCTTTTTGTAATGACTATTTGCAAATACCTTTTCCCCATACCTCCACAAGTAAATTAGTTAGGCTGGGGGTACTTTTGCTGCACCAGCTTCATCACAGGCGGTGAGCCCGTCACGGGACTGCAAAAAGTGATGCGGGGCCGTGAGGCGGAAACGATTTTTTGAGCCGAACACGGTCATCGCGGAGAAGAGTGTGTTTGTGCTTCCTTGAATTGAACCTCTTTCTCTCTCTGTCTCAGAGACCCATCCTGCAATATGTCGACCAACTCCATCAAGCTCTTGACTGGCAACAGTCACCCGGAGCTTGCCAACCTCGTTGCTGATCGGTATGTAACCTGCAGAAAGTGTACCCAACGTCAACCAGCTAATCTTGATGGATTAGTCTCGGCATTGAGTTGACCAAAATTATGGTCCTGCAATACTCCAACCAAGAGACCAGTGTCACAATCGGTGAAAGTGTTCGAGACGAAGATGGTACGGACATCCCATCCCACCTTGACTGAAGGAACCCCGGCTCACATATATATGATATGCTGCAGTCTTCATTCTCCAATCGACGAAACCCAACGACATCAATGACGGACTCATGGAGCTTTTGATCATGATCAACGCATGCAAGACTGCCTCCGCCCGCCGCATCACTGCCGTCATCCCCAACTTCCCCTACGCCCGCCAAGATAAGAAGGACAAGAGCCGTGCTCCCATTACCGCCAAGCTCATGGCCAACATGCTCCAGACCGCTGGCTGCAACCACGTCATCACCATGGATCTCCATGCCAGCCAGATCCAGGGCTTCTTCAATGTCCCCGTGGACAACCTGTACGCCGAACCTAGTATGCTCAAGTGGATTCGTGAGAACCTCGATGTCAGCAACTGTGTTATTGTCAGTCCCGATGCTGGCGGTGCTAAGCGGTGAGTACTTCTCAACATGATACCTACAGACCGGAGATAGTATGGGGACTAATGTAGGCTGCTTAGTGCTACTGCCATTGCCGATCGCCTGGACCTGCAATTCGCTCTTATTCACAAGGAACGTGCCCGTCCCAACGAGGTCTCGCGCATGGTCCTTGTCGGTAACGTCAAGGACAAGGTTGCCATCATCGTTGACGATATGGCCGACACCTGCGGTACGCTCGCCAAGGCTGCCGACACTGTCATGCAACATGGCGCACTCGAGGTCAACGCCATTGTTGTCCACGGTATCTTGTCCGGAAAGGCCATCGAAAACCTGAACGGCAGCTGCCTCAAGCGGTATGTTCACACTTCAAGTCACCAAGCAGTATACATAGCTAACTTTTATTCTCAGCATCATTGTGAGCAACACTGTTCCCCTGGGTGACAAGCAGGAGCGCTGCGATAAGATTAAGACCATCGACATCAGCCCTACATTGGCCGAGGCATGCCGGCGTACACACAACGGCGAGTCGGTTAGCTTCCTGTTCTCGCACACCGTGGGGTAAATCACAAGTCCAAGAGACAGAAATGAATGATTCCATCAATACCAAGACGGAGGATCAGTCCACGGGTGCTTAATGCTTCTAGTGAATGTGCACTAGACCGTGGAGTGAGCGGGAAACAAAAAATACGATTTTTATGACCCTTTTTATTAGCCGAACGAGGATTTTAGTCCCCGAGTGTTTTATTATTGTCTACTATGGGTTTTCCTTTTTCCTTTTTTCTTTCTTTTAGGGAGGGGCCAGCTTTCAATGTTGGTTTTGTGTCTCTTCTAGCAGAGGTTGGTTGTCCTCGGGGTTCGAATGCATGTTGCATCTGTTGTACGTACTTGTCTGTGCTATATGCCGGCTCTTTGCTATTATGGGGGTTCGGTCAGATCATAAAGACCTCGATGGTCGTTAACACTTGAAATAGATATGGTATACCTCTCTTGAATTGCTGTATGCCTATAAAAGCCTTGAAAGTCAGGATTTGATGTGACACGTAATTTGTAGAAACCCCAGATGAAGACTCGACTGATGACGATGATGAATATGACGGTTGATGTGGGGGGATTAGAGTGCGCCTATTAGTAAACTAGTGCATACCATATGAAGTACTCCGTAGGTAGCTTCGCACACAGAAGATATGCCAGGGCCAATATACATCATCCATACGGGAGACTACGCAGAATCCAATCTACTCATTTGCACAGCAAAGTCGAGCAGAAGACCAATTGACAGAACAGTATTGAAATTTGCATGCACTCCATTCAAAAAAAGGGTTGTCAAAAAAGGTAGGTTCAACACAGATATTGCATCGCCACTCCCGAGGCCCGAAATCACCGTAGCCAAACACAAGGGAGTATCAATCATTCGCCTGCTTTGTACGTTTTGAAACCTGTTCCCCGTCTCTTTTATTGGTCCCTTTTCTTTTTATCAGACATGTCACCTTCGCGCCCCTGAGAGTGACTTCATTTTTTGTGAATCTCCCTCAAATCATCCCAGAGACGTGAAGCTCCTCCATTAAACCCCATCGCCGCAGAACGAAATCATAAAACCGCGGGTTTGGAAGTTTACTTCCGCATGGAGGAAGCCCTCCGCTTGCGGAGCTCGTCACGCTTGGCCTTCTCCTCGTGGACACGGCTGGCAAGGAGCTTGGCGTAGTCGTTGCTAGTAGATGTTAGTTTCTGATATACCCGATAGATGAAAGGGGGAATCTTACGCAGCATCGCGGGCAGCCTCAGCGCGGCGGCGCTTAATGGCAACGCGTTGGCGCTTGCGCTGGAGACGCTGGGGAGTAACCAGACGCTGGATCTTGGGGGCCTTGGTGTACTCCTTCTTGCCCTCCTTGGTGACGGTACGGCGGATGACGAACTTGCGGACGTCGTCCTTCTTGTCGAGACCGAAGAAGCGACGGATCTTGGTGGCACGCTTGGGGCCGAGACGCTTGGGGACAACGGTGTCGGTCAGGCCGGGGAGCTCGCCCTCGCCCTGCTTGACGATGGAGAGAGCGAGGACAGAAAGGTCCTGGCCAGTGATGGCACCGCGGACGGACTTGCGCTTGCGCTCACCGGTGCGGCGGGGGCGGTAGCAGCTGTGGCCGTCGGCGAGGAGCAGACGGGTACGGGTGGGCAGGAGAACTGTAGAGAACCGATGAGTATGATGCGTTATGTGGGTTGGTTTATACCTGGGGATAATAATTTTTTGTTATTTCCCCAGGTGTTGTGCGGTCATGTACGTACCACCCTGCTTCATAGGGAAACCTGTAAATAGATTGTCAGCATTTTGATTCTTGTGATGTTCATCCAGTCTCGAATAATCCGATCCTAGACACAGGGAGAGGTTGCGTACCCTGCTTGTCGTTACCACCGGTAATCTTGAAGAGGTAACCCTTGAACTCATCGCCGAGAGCGTCGCCGGCAACCTATTCGTAAATAAATCCCAATTAGCCTGTTGTTCTCCATCGTGTGCGTGCATTCTTTTTCAAGTTGGTCGTAGAGTCGGGGAATGGGATGGGGAGTGCTGACTTCGGTGCCCATGCGCTTCTCCATGAAGGGACGGAGCTTGCGCTCATCGTCGACTTCGATGATTTTCTGCGACCCATTGGCCGGGTAGGAGATGTTGAGCTTCATCTTGACGGAGGCGGCGCGGTCAAGACGGTAGCGCGGGTGTTTGTCGACGGATGAGGTTGTCGTCGAAGGGATCTGTATTGTGGATTTTTTTTAGTTCGGCGGCTTTAGCGAGCGATTGTGGGCGTGTCACGTGCGGGAGCCCAGTCACGTGAGAATAGGGCTTGAGTCGCTTGCTGGTCAGGTGATGGTCATGTGACACCTCCCGGTGGGTGGTGTGTTTTCTACGTTTCAACTCTCTCATTGCAACAATCGTCAAAGGGGTGGAACAATCCATGATTGCATCTTTAATGCAGCATGTTAGATTTCGATTTCACCCAATACGAACACCAACGACAGATCTGGAACTACCAAGCACTACCCACTATTACCATTTTTCACGGCCTGATACTGACAGTGATCAATGAAACGCCATTTCTCCTCTTTGGATTCTTTATACAAGTTTTTGAACCGAACTGAGACCGACTGAGCCATCCAGCGGGACGAATGTGTGTTTCGGCCTACGACAGTATCCAGCCGAGACATCGACAGATATTGAGCTAGGGCATCCATCCGTTCATGGTCTCGAAATTGACTTACATTGTTCGGACAGCTTCACGATCGAAGAGCTTTGAGCGACAAAGTTAATTCTAATTAACATAAATATTGGCAGGTCACTCATTGCCTCTTTAAGATCGCAATTCTATCCTCTCCAGGGTATTCAGTGTACAGAAGATATAGAAATGGCCAACATGACTTATTCACATACCTCCAATCTGCGCAGCACATTTTGATTCTTATACAATGTCTTGGCAGTGGGATCTCGTACAGATTGCCAGGTCGGGACCAATAATTCACAGTGTCAACCACAAAAGATAAGGTCAAATGCCAGACAAGACAATGCGAGACATTCCAATGTAGTTTCAGTTTCAGCGAGCACAGCTCAGGGTTCAAACCACCACTATCCAGAATAATCAGTCAAGCAGAGCGCAGACATTATCCAGCGGAATGACAAGCCATAGTGGCACCCGTCTAGACGCTTAGACGTCAAATTAAGCCAAGCGCACGCGATGATTTGCCCGTTCGAAGCTTAGTCCAATCTACGTCCCCCTAGCCACGCGGCCAACATTCACTTCTGTCCAACATTAGGGGCAGAGTTAGTTTCTCCTACTACTCTGTACACAATTGAATTCTACGTCTGCTCTGTATCTCTGTGGTCTCGCCCACTCCGAATTTGCCGGCTCTTCGATTCCGAGTGGAGCATTTCGTCGTAAATTCCGGACGATCCTCTTCAAAGCTTGATCATCTTTTCTCCGCAGAGATTGAACTGGAGAGGACGTTTTGTCGCCTTGCATATCGGATACTTGGAAGTATAGGTCTTCAATCTGTCATCGGCGGTGTGGTGGCGACTTTCTTTTAACCTCCAACACAAGACCTACAACATAAGAGACCCGAGACGACAACACTTCTGGCTGGCTCTAGGTGTCTCGGCCAAACATGGTCCGCCTTTTCAACCGATTCTATGCCCTATCCGCAGTCGCAGCATGCACAATTCTACCAACGGCCTGGTTTCTAACATCCCGCCGCTTCCCCGACATCATCCCTCTAGCATCCGGGCAATTCCAAGCGGCCCCCACATTCGATCAGCGGCTAGTAGTCTTTGGAGACTCATGGAGCGACAATGAAACAAACGAGCCGCAGGGCAAAGTATGGACAGACTGGCTCTGTTCTATGGTAAGAAAAGAAAGACTAAACCCCACGTCTTGGGGAGCCATGAACACAACATCCATGAATAATATAGAATGTCTGATTCTCTACAGTTTACCTGCCACCAAGAGAATCTAGCCCAGACAGCCAATCCCATCCTCCGAGGCAAAAACGTCGGCGCAGTAGTCGACAACTCAGAACTCGGCCCTCTAGGCCGCCTGTCTCAGACACGTCTCGCAGACTTCAAGTCTCAGCTAGCCGAATGGCTAGCAGCCGAGTCGCGCGCCGTGACTGGACTCACCATTGAAGACATCCGCACGCGCCAAGAACACACCATTTTCGTGGTTTCATTTGGCGTGTGGGATATCTGGAGTTTGATCAGCAAGGACTACGGTACAGCCAAGGAAAGCGTGGAGCGACGCATTGCGACAATCATCGCGCAGCTTAATGTTCTCGCTAAGTCCTGGGACTCGGAGTCCGAGCTTAAAGTCATCTTGACGCAGGCGGTCGATGTGACTTTCTTACCCGGCTATGATGAATCTGCCGCTGGATCCATGTACAAGGATACAGTGCAGACGGTGGAGCATTGGAATAAGAAGCTGCGCGAGGCAGCGACGGCGTGGGAAGGTGGGACTGTATACCTATTTGATATGAATGGGTGGATGGTCGATCGGATTCGGGATTGGCAGCTCTTCGCGGCAGGCATTGAAGAGGAAAATGGGCTTGGGAAGAACCAGCAAGGATGGGAGAATGTCGTGGAACCGTGCGTCGAAAGCGGGTATCGGGTCATGATGTCAAAGGGGAAGCAGTGTGAAGAACCTGATCGATATCTGTTCTGGTAAGTGTGATGTTTCCACGTTTCCTGTGTTTCCTCGAGGCAGAGATCGACACGGTCAAAGGCCGGGACTGACATCTGACATGTATCAGGAACGAGATGCATTTGGGTTCCGAGGCTCACCGGCTTCTGGCTACGGAAGTTTACTCTGGTATTGGGGGATTGTTAAATGCATCGCGCCACACCCGGTGGTTTGCATAGACATTGTCAGGGCTTTACCAATACATACAATACAGCTAAGGGGAAAAAGAAAAGAAAGTGAATATGACGTCTCACAAGGGGTCTACTGTATAAGCCCGTACCCGTTCAAACGAAGACTATACTTGATGCGGATATGGCCATGTTCCAGAGAGAGTGGACCTTCTTGGAAGGACACGGTAGTATGTCCAACAAGAGTAAAAAGAACCTTGAAAAGTTGATAGGGGAAAGGTGGTATTGTTGAAGTAACAGTGGATAAGGTAGCCGATCAGCGAAGATCAGAGTATGTACTCGTACACACCTGACAATAGATCAAGTTCAAGACAAAGAGTAAGATATAAAATAATCAATAGACTCAGACAAATAAAACCGAATATAATATAATATAATAGAATAGAATAGAATAAAATAGATCATGTTTGCCGCCCACGCATGTTTGCGCATTTCTTTGTGACGGGGAGCCTACGACGACCCCCGACCAATCACACCAAGTGATGGGAACAGCCCGATCAAGCGGGTCGCCGCATCCGGAGACAAAGAAAACAATGAGTCTAGCGTCGCCCTAATTTTGAAGGTTACAAGGCCAATTTGTTGAGATCCATGAATGACACCTACGTATAGTATAGGTAAATGGAAGTAATGGTAGTAGTTAGTTAGGTAGTAAGTAGTTGGTAGTGAATAGTGATAAATTATAACCCTAACTCACTTAGTTCTTTCCATCGCATATCTCGGTTGGCTCGGTCAGAATAGCAACTGCATTCTGGAGCTATTGTCAAAGAACAAGCCACGAACAGGGATTCTGGGGGATAAGCCAACAAAGACTCCAAACGCCCATATACTTCGCTTTGTCTGTCCCTGGGTGGATTGCTCTGGATTTATTTATTTGATTCTCTTCTTTGTGTCGCTCTTTCTCCCTTGTATTTCTGACGTGCCTTTTCCACCATATTATCTCAGCCTTCTCTTTCACCGTTTATACTTTTGGTTGCCTTCTTTGAGATTTTCTTAGCCCTTTCATTGAGAGGGCCCCCCAAAATCTATTAAATGTCTTACGATCGAGTGCTTCCCAATCCCGTTGCTCTCCGCTATGAGTCTGCTCAAGTCTCTTTGCCAAGACCGAGCAACTTACTCGATCACAAAATTATGAACGACAACCTCAAGTCGATGGCCCGGTATCCTGATGGGCCGGTCGGGGATTCGGCGCAACATGCTGATGCCAGATCAAATGGTGTATCACAGACCCATCAGCATCTATCAGTGCTCAATGGCCCTGTCAAATCCGTGGGCCCGATGATCTCAACTAAAGAGTTACCTCTCCGGGATCGATCTGATCGATCATCGTCATCCTCAGCCAGCAGTTCCAGCCCTGGCAAGTCACAGAAAGAGGGAGCTATGCAGTTCTGTCTCTGCCAACCGGATCCGAAGATCCCCCGGCCACGTAATGGTAAGTCGATATTATCCGCGCCTTCAGACCTTGGCAAGTCCTTTTCGATTGCTTCTTTTTGTTCTTGAGAGGCCAGGTCAGATCCGTCAAACCCTGGTGAATATGGCTAACGTGGTTAAAGCGTTTATCCTGTATCGTCAGCACTATCAGGCTATGGTCGTGGCTCATAACCCTGGTCTAGCAAATCCCGAGATCTCCAAGATCATTGGAGAGCAATGGCGGTCTCTGTCCGAAGATGACAAGAGTAAATGGAAGGCACTTGCCGAGGTAAGACAGCCACCTCTTTGTTTGATCCAAACGCTGACAAGACCTAGGAAGAAAAAGCTCGTCATCAGCAGCAGTACCCCGACTATCGGTACCAGCCTCGACGGTATGGTCGGGATGGTAATCCACGTAATGCTGCTTCAGGGATTGGTCACAATCCAACGGGCTCGTCCACCTGTAACCGATGTGGTGGTCGCCTTATGAATGCACCTGCTTCTCCCATGACTCCATTCACACCGAGCAGCGCCACCGCTGGCTCTGGGTATAGATCAGGCAGCTTCTCAGCAGCTTCACCACACCCTAATACGACACCAAGAAACCGCGAAAAGGACTCATATCCAGTGCAAAAAAGCGTCAAGATGGACCAAACTGATTCACGGTCTCGCCCGAGGCAATGGGAAGAGAACGGTGGCTGCTCCTCAGACAACAAGCGCCGCCGGATATCCCATGCCCACGCCCATCCCCCAGCACACGCACCGTTCAAGCCAAGCTTACACTCCTACCAAGACCGGAGCCCCGAGGCTCCAATGACCCCATGGAGCGCTCGGCCAGACATGGCACCACGTCACCTCCCCATGCTTCAACCACAACGCCAATATAGTAGCATCCCAGGCACACCACACCCAGACCCAAGTCTGAAACTCCCACCACTCCAAACCGCGACAACCCCAATCATGGCCCCAATGACGCCCTTCCTATTAGAAGACACCAGCGTCGAAGCCACAGTCATGACAATCCCCTTCCTGAACAAGATCAAAGTCCTCGCCAAAATCTCCCCACCCCTGGTCCCCTCCTTCCGCGAAGGCATCCCGCCAGCCCGCGGCCCCGTCATCGCCATCGACGGCCAAGACCCAGACCTCGTCCAATCAGCTGTCGAGTACCTAGAAATCCTTCTAAAAAAGGAATCTAAGTACCACATCCGCGTCTTCGACGGTCCAGAGATAAAAGCACCTCGCCCAATCGCCGCTGACGCAAACCAAGGCCAAGGCCAAATGGGCGATGCAACAGTCGACTACCTCAACACAATTTCCGCCTGGCACCGCATCTCCGACGAAGTCGTCGGCTTCGTTAAATCCGTCTCGAGAGCGGGTTCCGTCGACGCTCACTCAATAACCACAGACGAGGAATCCGGTCCAAACGTCTCACCTAGAACCCTCATCCCAAAGACTGCAAATCTTCAAATCAACTCGCCCGCCCAATCCAGCGATCATGGCTCAGAGGGTAGCGTCGTGTCAGCCGTTACAACAGGGAGCCATTACTCCGTGCCTATCGCGCTGGTGCCACGCTATCAGCTCACGACAGCAGATGCGTTCGCGTGCTCCACGCCCATTGGCGATTCCTATGCGCCGCTGGATCACTGGCAGTGGATGGCGTCACTGTGGCGGGCGTGTGTTGGGCCTGATATCACGGTCTATGTGCGTGAGTGTGGGAAGGAGGAGCTTGATCGCATGGGGGCTGTTGAGGTGCGGTTGCAGGATGCGCGGACTGTTGTGTTGAGGAAGGTTATTGGGAGGGATTTAGAGGATAAGGTTCTTCGGCGCATGGGCTTTGAGATTGAGGACTTTTTGACTCAGTGAGCGTGTGCTTGGTAGATTGTAATGTTGCATTGTGATAGATAACTTAGATCATTGTAATTGAGGATGGATTCAAAAGTTACTGTGCCCCATTGAGTTTGTAAGTGTGTAGAATAATTGAAGTTCTTGCTGGTAGTGAACAATGAGCAAACAAGAGAGGAAAAGGTGAAATGAGGCCAAGACGTAAGGTGTCAAGCTTGAGCCTCTCGATCCACTTTCTTTCTCCACCCCCAGATCCAAGGCGGTGACGGTTCTGCCATCATCTCCAATTTATTTGTCCGTCACCATGTCTCCGATCATTCCCTCGATAGAGTCGATATCACCCCTCTCCGGCGGGTCTATGCATGCCACAGCTCCAAGGTGCATGGCGCATCCACCATCGGGACTCCCGCGATTGTCCCTAACACCATCCAGTCCAGTTCGACCGGGCCCCGTGGATCCACCGAAAAATATCAGCCCGCGTCAAGAGCAAACAGCCGCTCACAACAACACAGGAATCCCCGATTCGTACATCCCAGTTGGAGTCCTATGGAAATCAACAACAGAGAATACCTACCCCGCGTCTGAGATAGTCCTCCTACAAAAGCACAACTGGATCCAGACCAAATCCCTCAATGAAAACACCCAAATCTTCATCCTGCCAGATGACGCCAAGCGCGGGTCAATCCCGCGCTCGAGCAACAAACTTAGAGCCGCACTTAAAACGATTATGTCCAAGATCGATACCACCCCGGCAGCATGGAATGGCATCTCCAGTGCCCCCAGCCCAGTTCCCAATCCATCTGATAGTGGCGAGGATGAATCCCTCTGGTACATCTTCAATACTCTGCAGAATCCAAATCCGCAGGTGAACATTATGCGAGATCCGCATGCTCGCCAGGCTATGGAGGATTTGTTGGAGGGTGAGGATGCGATTCTAGGTCTTAAGACTGAGCTTTATCCTTATCAGCGTAGGTCGGCTGCTGCGATGGTCCAGCGTGAGGCACAGCCTGCTATGGTTCTTGACCCTAGATTGCAGGCTTGGAAGGGTCCTACTGGGTTGGAATTTTATTATGATAAGGAGGATGGGAGGATTGTCAAGGAGAAGAGGTTGTATTCTGAGGCTTGTGGAGGTGGGTTTTGTCTTCCGTGTCGTTCTTGGTTTGTCCTCAATTCTGTATATACTGACTCTATACTAGGAATCCTTGCAGAGACTATGGGCTGTGGTAAGACTCTGATCAGTCTTGCTGTTATCTTGGCTACCCTTGGCCATTTCCCTCAGATTCCTATCAAGTATCAAGCGACTGATATCCAGCCGACGAGGAAAGTGACTGGTTCCCTGATGGAAATGGCGGCTGCAACTGCCGGCCGGTTATCAGTGCCCTGGAGGTCATTTTTTGAGAGTTTATCCGTTCAAGGGGAATACTATGATCGATGCATCAAGGCGTGTAAAGATCACTGTGGTTCCTACGAGATCCCACCCCATCAGACTCGATACCAAGGCCGCAACAGTTCTTCTTATCCCCGGCCGCCGGCGCAGCGCATTCTACTTTGTTCCGGCACTATCATTGTTGTTCCACCCAATTTGGTTGATCACTGGGAACGGGAGATTGCCACTCATACTGTAGGACTCAACGTGCTAATTCTACGACAAGCCTCAGACCTCACACCTTCAGTCGAGGAACTCCAGAACCTCGATATTATCCTCTTTTCCAAACCTCGCTTCGAAAGAGAGGTCGGAGAACCAGTTCACAAACGTCGCATGAAATATGTACTACCAGTCCAAGCCGATTCAACTCTGCTCAAGCTCCACTGGTTACGTGTCATCGTCGATGAAGGACACAATGTTGCCGGGCATGGGTCAAATATGATCCATATGCTGAAACAGCTCCACTTTGAACGCCGCTGGATCATCTCCGGAACACCTTCCACTGGACTCTATGGAGTGGAAGTGAGTCTTGCCTCACAGGAAGCGAATACCAGTGATACGGAATCACCCGAGGACATTACTGCTGCGGTCTTGAAAAGTCGCAAGAAGACAGGTAATGCAGTCGACAATGAGTTGAAAGACTTGGATCGGATGCGTCGCATTGTTATCGAATTCCTTGATCTCAAACCTTGGTCTAATTCCCGTGCCGATGACCCTGCAGATTGGACAAGATACATCAAACCCTTGGGCTCGGATGGACGGCGCCGGAAGTCGCCATCTCTGCGTGCGACTCTGCAGAGTTTAGTCGTGCGGCACCAGCTCGACAAGGTCAATCGGGAAATCACTCTGCCTAAGCTCTACAACAAGGTGGTCTACTTGGAACCAACCTTCCACGATAAACTATCCATCAATATGTTCCTCTTTGGTCTCGCGGTCAACGCGATCACATCCGAGAGACAAGGACCAGATTACATGTTCGGCAAGGAGAATAGAAAACATCTAAATCAAGTGATCAACAATCTGCGCCAGGCTGGTTTTTGGTGGGCCGGTTCTAGCGATGTTCAGGATACAGTCGAACATGCCCTCAGATATATGGAGAAGAACCGTGACAAGATGACTCCAGCGGATATCAACCAATTGACCCAAGGAATCCGCATCGCAGAGAAAGCAATCAATTCTCCCAACTGGCATGGATTCAAAAAATACCACGAGCTCGGTGTCTTCGTGCAAGATTTTCCAGAGCACGCTCGCAGCCTCTGGGCTCTTGACTCGGCAAATTCCGACCACGAGCCACTCCTCCTTGGAATCACTCAAGCCCGCCACGCCCAGCAATACGTCACGAAGCATCTCCGCTCCCGTGATCCAGCCGAAGGCCTACCAGGCGCCGGTATCAAAGTCCGTCGAGAACTCACCGAGCGTGACCAGCAAGCCGCACCCAGAGGTGCCCCAGAGTCAGCCAAAACAGCACCAGCACCAGGCCAACTAGTGCACAGCGCGAAACCGCAAAGCAACAAATCTCCCAAAAAAACATTCACGCAAAACAAATTCCACTCTCTACCAGAAACGTCCCCTCTCAAGAAAACCAAATTAGTCGGAGTATCCTCCTCGAAACTCCGCTACCTCCTAGACGAAGTACAAAAACTGCACAAAACTGAAAAAACGATAATATTCTACGACAACCCTAACACAGCCTTTTGGATAGCGGAGGGCCTAGAACTAACAGCAATAGACTACCGCATCTACGCCAGCACACTAAAACCCGAACTGCGAACAAGCTACCTAAAACTCTTCCGCGAATCCGAAGAAGTCCGCGTCCTCCTAATGGACCTCCGCCAAGCCTCGCACGGTCTACACATCGCCCAAGCATCGCGCGTCTTCATCGTCAACCCAATCTGGCAACCGAATGTCGAAAGCCAAGCGATCAAGCGTGCCCATCGTATCGGCCAGACGCGTCCTGTTTATGTGGAGACTCTTGTGTTAAGGGACACGCTTGAAGACCGCATGCTCAGACGCAGGAAGGAGATGTCCGAGTCCGAGATGCAGCTTGCTGAGAGGAGTTTGTTGGATGATTCGACTATGGCTGATATTATTCAGAATGAGCCGTTTCTGGTCATGGGGGAGGAGGAGGCTGAGGCTGTTGCGCGGCTTGAGTACCAGACTGGTTTCTTTGATGCTCACCGCTTGCCTATTCCTGATGATGAGGGGGTTGCGGTTCGTAGTCCGTCTAAACGACGCCATTTGGAGGTTTTGGAGGGAGATGTCGGTGCGGGTGGTGATGCGGGTGGAGATGTGCCCCCTGTTGAGGCCCCTCTGCCTAAACGACCTCGTATTGGGTTTGCAGAGCATGTGCAGGTCTTGGATAATGCTGGTGAACGTTCACCTTCTCCTTCTCCTAAGATTGAGAGTGGGGATAGTACTGGTGATAGACGTGTTTCGTTGTACGGGCCGTGATATATTTCGAGGCCCAGTGCATCATTTTTGCGAAATAGCGAGGAGTTGAGGGTTTGGTTTTCAATACACAATACACCCATGCAGTTGCTACAATTACTTTACCCAAGGAATAGAACAAAGAAAGTATCAAAGAATGCATTGCTTCATTACTTCAATATCAAGACATTTTTATACTTCACACTTGAATCATCTACGATAAGATAAAAAGATAAGCAGATAAGGACCAAACCCCCTCCAAGCTCTCGACGATTCTTTAACCTCACTCCCTTCCCCACCAGACACAGAAAGAGATACAATGTCCCAAGAATCGCCCCAAAGGGCAACCATTATCGGAATATCCGGCCCGTCAAGCAGCGGCAAAACAACTCTCGCCCGCCTCCTCCAACGCATCTTCTGCGGGGTGAATCTGACCCACGGCAATGCCAATACCCACCTAAACACCTTTATAATCCACGAAGATGATTTCTATTTCCCGGATGATCAGTACGTACCACATTTCCTCCCCACCCCCCTGCCCCTGTCCCTCTTCCTTACAATCCCCGATCAACGACCAAACCAAAGCTAACCTAACAATCCCAGGATCCCAACAGTAACCCTCCCATCAGGCAAACAAATCCAAGACTGGGACACAGCCTCGGCAATCGACATCGACTTCCTCTCAAAAGCACTCACTTACGTCCGGCAAAATGGAACACTACCACCTCGCCTGCGCAGTAAAGAAGACCAGAATGATAAGGCGGATAGTGGGGTTCCTGATGGGGTAGTCCGTGAATTGAGGGATACGGTCGAGAGATCTTTATCATCTTTGTCCTCATCAGAGCAAGGGATAGTGCAGACAGTTGCGTTCCTGGAGGGGTTTTTGCTGTTTAGTCCGCCGGTTGATACATCTACAAACGAGGCGCAGAAGAAGAAGAACAAGCAACATATCCTCCGTCCAGTTCACGACACTATAAACTTACACCTTTTCCTACCGGCGCCGTATGAGCTCGTTAAAGCGAGGCGGGAGAGGAGGAGTGGGTATGTGACTATTGGGCCTGCGCCTGATGTATCTGACGCCACCAATACCAACACTACGAATAACGAATCCGGTGATGTCGACCTCGAAGCCGAAGATGATCGCCCCCCGCAGAACTTTTGGACGGATCCGCCTGGGTATGTGGATGATATTGTTTGGCCGCGGTATGTGGAGGATCATTCTTGGTTGCTTATTGCGGATGAGAAGGAGGGTGGGAGCGGGAATGTGGATGATCATGCTGATCTTGTTAGGAGGGTTGGGGATGGGAGGAGGATTAGGAGGGATGTTGGGGTTGAAGTTGCGCCGGGGTGTGGAGAGGAGGGGATGGAGAGGGTGCTTAGGTGGGCTGTTGAGTTGATTTTGGGATATTTGGCTGGGGAGAAGGGTATATGATGTGTCTGTAAATGTTCTACGTAGAGGTATGTGAGGATAGATATCTGTTGCATTGTTTGTATCTGCTTCTGCTCTGATTTTGTTGGTTTCGTCCCTTCCATGATAATGATGCTATTAGTTGTCCTCCATTGGGAGACCCTCAGTTCTTCTCAATTGGTCCTCTCCATCCAAGGAGACAGTCGACGCGGTCACGCAGGGACAACGGGGTGAAGATAGCTGGCTGAGCCTCTGACTGAACCGGCTCTGGCTGGACCGTCTCCGACTCAACTGGCTCTGGTTCGAAGTCTTCCAGCTGAAAAGTTTCCGTCACTGGCCATTCCTCAGTGGAATTCACTGTAACAACCGGCATGTCATTGACCGACACTAGGTGTGGACAGACTAGGGAGTAACCGCCATTGAGTTGGGACAGGAAGCCAGCACCGTTTCGCCAGGAACACGAGTAGATAATGGTGAAAGACGCCAGAATGATGATCAGCTGGAACAAAAACGAGACGATAGCCCATAGAGTCCACAAGCCCTGCACAACACGATGCGGCTTGTTGGGTTCCACAAATGTAACCACAGACTCGCGCTGAGGCACACCCTTCTGGACATCAACAGTCTTGGCCTCCACAACCTCATCGCCCTCAGGCTCAGCCTGGGCATATTCGAGTCGGAGTTTCATCTCTGCCTCGCTGACTTCCGAGGTAGTCTTGATCTGTGGCATCCAGCTGACAGCTGCGTGGTACGGCAATCTGACTTCCCACGCTAGCACAAACATGCTCAGGTTTGAACGAGAGCATGTTATTAGGACTTGGGAATTGTTGAATCCGGTATTGGGGCGTGCATCTAACTTGATAGTCTGGAAGCCAGTTGGATTTGACAGGAGGTTGCTTGTGTATTCGCCGTCTGGGCCACCATGCACATAGAGATAGAAGCTGCACTTCTCCGCCCAAAAGTCGCGTTGAATCAATTCAATGGAGCACAGGGCACGGTATTTGACGACATAGCACAATGGATCATTATTGTCCTCCTTTACTTCAAACTGGATGAGCTGGTTGACTTTGAAGTCCTTGAGAAAACCGTAGAACCGGGCGTCGCAAGTCCGGAAGGGAATGACGAACCTCGGAGACACCACGAACTGGGCGATCAGGTAGTTGTCAGTGACCTTGCTTCGCTTGTAAACCGTGGTGCGGAACTCCATTCCCTGGCCGGGGGGTGTTCGGAAGTACAGATATCCATACTCATCGGGACGCAGTCGAGGAAGTCCAGCCAGAGCCAGCTCCCACCAATCCTTTGAACCTTGCTTCACTTGGATGGAAACGCTGATTGACAACTGGTATGTAGCAGGCAAGATTGTGGGGGAGGTTTGCACGTAAAGGGTATCCTCTATTATGATGAGCTGGGCACCTGCGTTGGAGTCAGGCGCGGGTGAATGTCGTGGAGTGAACAGTCGTGCCAAAGGGACCCCATAGATATCCCCATCGTCGTGAATGCTGGATGAACTATCGGATTCGTAGGCAAAAAGGCTGTCTTGCTTTCCGCCCCCGAAACGTGAAGAGTTTCCGGGTGAAACAGTGGTAGAGAAGGCATCTAGCTTTTGCTGCTCTTTCTCATCAGTCTGTGGAGTACACTTCGAATAACCCTTGTCATGAGTCCCAAGAGAGGCCCACACATCCAAGAGACCCTTCGCTTCCTCGTCCTCATCCTCATATGCATCTTCTTCAGGCGCATCTTCAGGCAAATCATCCCCAGGCCCATCATCGTCAGGCGCCCCTCCAAGCAAAACCCTTTTGCAAAACTTACCACTAGACTCACATTGACGATATTCCGCCGCAGAAACCGGGACCGAATCAGAAGGCAACGGAACATTCTCAGGCAGGATATCAGTCTCATCCAAACTAGCCGGACGATTAATGCGAATAGGCAGAGAACGATGCGAGACGCAACTATTGTAGCTGTTGTTACTGGGCACCTTAGCTAAAGGCTCCAGCGGCGCCAGCATCGGCTTGACCGAAGTAACGGTAAGTCCGTCACCATCATATTGACCACCTCTATCGGAGTCCGGAATGGAATCAGGAAGGGAAGCAGCCTTGGCGGTGCGCTTGCGAGGGTTTGGCGACTTTGACGGAGTTGAAATTTCCGAGAGGCTCACATTTGCTTGGGTGTAGAGGACTGAGATGTCGACGGGGTGGATGAGTTGTTCTTCTGGTGATTCGGGGTTGATGATGATGCTTTCTGCGTCTGAGGAGGGGTCGCTATCTCCTTCGAAGAGGGCGTCATACTTCGTTGCTGCTTTCTTGCTTGGACGGGTCGGTGTCACTGAGCGTTCTTCGAAGGGCTGCGTGCTATCGGTGTCGGTGTGCTTGTCATGGCTTTTTGGGTTGTTCTTTTGGAGTATCCCGAACGTTGCTCCTCCCACCATGTATGGGGAGTGGATGCTGAAGACTGGCAGGCGGATATCTGGGGTACACCAGACCTGAGACAGAAGTGATTAGTGACTGCTCACTTGATTCCTGGGGGTCAGTGGTCATAGCTTACCTCAAGGGCGATGGAGACGTCCACTGCATCGTTGGGGTTCCCAGTCCAGTTACACCAGATGTCCAGGTTACTGAATGGACTTGCGCTGACGGGTGCGCAGTCCATGATTGAAGTGGAGAACCACAGTATCAATGATCTGATGGAGGATTTCAAGGACCAAGATCAGAATAACCAGAAGCAGAGATATCAGAAACTTGATATCACGTATCACAGTCTCAAGGGTGGGATTCATGGTATCAAAATAAGAGTTGGTTGAGGTGGAAAGGTGAAGAGAAGGGGAAGATGAAAAGGAAAGCAAGGTAAACAAACGCAGAGAAAGAGCGAGAGAAAGAAAGAATCCGGAAAGAGCGACCCAGTGTAAAAATAAGCCATTGCATTTCCTCCTCATACTTCGTCAATTAAAAGGAGACCCAGCACTTGGAAGGGTTGTAAAGAAAGAGGTATATACAAGAAGGGCTTAAGAATAGAGCACTCATTCCTACCCAAAGAAAAAACCTCCCCTTTTATATCCGCCAGCGCCTGTAACAAACCATAAACCATAATAAAACACTCTAAAAACAAAAGCCAGGCCTCAAACCAATCAATCATTGAGGCGTTCCATTCGCAGAGTCGGGATCAAAGGCTGCGGGGCCGGCCACGGAGCCAAATCGATCGACCATTTGAGAGGGAAGAATAGGGGTGGTCGCTTCTTGAGGCTGCTCAAAATAGCCTCGAGATCCATTCCCTTGTAAGTCGCGATTGCGCTGCAACGGAGGAAGAATAGTAGAGCTAGCGGGAGGGTATCCGGTCCGGGCGTATCCCTGAGCCATCATCGCTCCAGTCGAATCCGGAGTCTATCTCAAAGACCACCTTTAGCTGGGTACTCACTGGTTCGCAGAGGGGTGTCGTACAGGAGTGCCAGGCTGGTTCATCGCCATCAGTTGTCCCACAGCGGCCTGCTGGCTGGATCGGCTTTGGCCGGAAGGATCGGGGATCTGGGTCATTGGGGCTGACGGTTGCATATTCGAGTACATCTGGGAAGCGTTAGTGGATGGCAGATCTAACGAGCTTGTCATACGAACCCCGTAGTCAGGCACCACCTGGCCAACCTGGCCCACCCCGCCCACCTGCCCTGTGTAAGACGGCATGGCTTGCGTGGGATAAGTTCCTGGTTGACCAGCGTAGATGGCAGTTGCCGGCTGGCCGTACGCATCCATCTGGCGAGCCATCCGACCATCTGCGTCGTAGATGCCTTGCCTGCCATAGTCGACCGAGGTCCGATGGCGCTTGACTGGAGGCGCACCGTAGTACGTGTAGTCGCGGGCTGCCGCCGGATAGCCCCCATAGCCAGTGGTAGGAGGAATTGGCACTGCCTGACGCTCCGGCGATCGAGGAGGGATGCTTTGGTGGAACTCATCCGGTCGTGGAGCTGAGCGTTTCCTGGAGGGCTGTCAGCTACCTCAATTTGTCAACAGGGCCTTCCACGTACATCATAGTCCTAGGCTCCTTGCGAATGCGTAGTTTGACTCCCTGGTCCGCAAATGAGCGGGAAAGGAAGGTTGACTCCATCATTCCAGGGAAACTCTTTGGTGGAGACACTGCAAGCCTGGTCAGCTCCCATTGCGCAACTCTTTTCAGAAGTGATCTTACCTGTGAACCGTTCGGAAATGATGGTCTTCAAGTAGGTCACTTGCGATCTGACTCTTCGTTAGCTTGCGTCTGAGCCCTGTTCCCGACCGTGCAACTCACTTGCGCATCTCGAACAAGGTGAACTTGAGGCGAAAGTCGCCCTCAATCTTCACCGAGAGATCGCCAAAGACGAAGAACCCTCCATCTGCGGAGGTCAGCGAAGCTCTCTCACTCCGGGAACAGTACTCACCGCTGTTGTCCACATCCTTCAGCCGGTGAAGGGACGAAACCAGGGTTCCTGCCAATGCGGTCGAAGGTGCTACAGGCACCGGATGATCTTCTGTGGCATCGTACAAGCTGCAGCACATGAAATAGTACGGGCTTTGCAGGTAATGCCTGTGGCGAGTTAGCCAGCTCCCTCCACAGTAGATGGTCACTACTTACTGTGCGAGGTAGGTACCCTCCTCTCGCACCCGGAGCTGAACGATCGGAGGCGGATCGATCGGTTTGCGCTCTGCAAGCTATTAACCATCCGTGCCTGCCAGATTCAGCAAGCTTCACGTACCTTTCTCCTTGCCCCCCGCCACGCGGGCCCGATTGGGCTGCTGACGAATGGTCAAGTCAAAGTCAGAACTGGTGTTCAACATTGTCAGTGGGATGCCCTGGACCACAGCGTAAGAGTTGCGACCCTGTCAAAAGAGGCGGGCAGAACGAACCTCTGGGCTTCGCGCGAGAGAGAGGAGTCGCTATACGTCGCACTCATCAAGACGAAGAGGGGCAGATGAGATTAGAAAGGCGGAGAGAACCCAGCAAAGTTCCAGGTTAGGTGAACCACCGGGTAATCGGCGAAGGAGAGACCAGGCAATGATGATCTGTGGTTTTACAGAGGGTAGAAAGGGAAAAGTTCTGGGTTGGACCAGGAGAAATCGAGAGTTGGCTCGAGATAAGGAGTGAGTGTAGAGTGGTAATAGCTGTGGGGTTAATTATTTTTTTGCGAGCCAAGGCCGTGGACAAATGAAGGTGTGAGAGAGAGTGTGTGAAGTCGAAGGACGAAAACGGCCAAGTGGTGTCGTCAGTTTGCAAGCGGAAACCAAAACCTAGTGATACTCAGTTAGAATGAAAGAAATAATGCAAAGCCATTAAGCCATTAAGTGCCCCGAAAAAATTGGGAAAATTCAAAAAAATTCATTGGATGACAAGCGCCCGAATCTTCCAGTCAGGAACAAATCAGATCGGAGAATCGACTATTTCTGAAGCGCACATAAAAAAAATAAGAAACCAACTAACCGGAAGAGTGTGGAAAAAAAATCCCATAAAATCGTCAAAATTCCCAAAGAATAAATAAAATATTCTTTACCACTCCAGGGTAGTAGTAGACTGGTCAAAGGATAGCTGAAGTGGAGTTCAGAGACCGTTGGGAGAAAAAGACTTAACCGCGAAAGAGGAAAAAGTGGAAAGGGTTCAGCTGTCCACGGGAGGCAAATGACGATCCGGATGATGCGCACATCCAGTCCTTTCACTTCTTTTTCTCTCTTTTCCAGGAACCCACTGGGAACCCACAAGGTTGGCGCCGGCTATGCAGGTGATCAGACCCGGTTTTCTTGGCTTAAACGCCAGGACTCGGGGTCCGCGTCTATGTGGATATATGGGCATTGAGAGTCCCCAAGGAACTAGACGAAGTATTAGCTCTTAGCTTCTTGTATAGATCAGGCGGCAGTTGATGCCGTGCAGGATCCATGGATGGCAAGGTTTCTTATGTCATCACTTGAATCCCGTGCTCAGTAGGCTGCCTTCCGAAAGGGGTTGGAACACCACCCCCGCAACAGGCAACATGGACATGGGGGAAAATACCTTTGAGACCACGACACCCTTTTTCTTGTACTTATGCACTAGCTCGGGTGTGAATTGCCGACTTTCAGCCTCCAATTGCGGGGTTAAGCGCGTGAACTCGACGTGAACCGGTGAGACTCAGGCGAATCAATGGCTCAGAATAGTCGCGCGTTTCGAGAGCTCACTGAACGCCCCGCCAGCGCTAGAGGATAAAGTGATCTTCAGTGCACACAGTCCCAGAAGTCGCGCACCGAAGCGCGACGCGAACAGCGAGAGCGCAAACCGACGTTAATCCGACTGACAAAGCGATACATGCCGGGTCATGGCGAGACAAGAAGAAAGAGTCGGGATTTGAGAGTCGGACTCGAGTCGAATCGAATCGAGTGAAAAAACTAGGTGAAAAGGAGGAACAAAGAAACGAGAAAAAAACCCGCACTGCAAACCGGACGCAGGGCGTTTTAGGGGGGCCACGACAGCAGGACTTGGCTATGAGCTGAGGCAGATGCGTCACATTAGCATCAAGCCATGCAGGTGGATGATCGGGCTGCAAGCTACTGCAAGTCGAGCCACACTAGACGCCGGTTGGATCCCGCGCTGGAATCTTGAAAGCTATGACCTGGATGCGGCAGTTAGCAGCGCGATCGGGCAGCGTGTACTGTATCTGCATCCAGCAAATCAATCAATAAAGCATGGTCTGGTGGGGCGTTGTGCAGATCGGGCGTTCGTCACTGTTGACCGGGTCTCTATTGACTACGGGGACTCGCTATGCGCCACAATGTACCCTTGATCCTGCGGCTGAGGATGTATAGTGCATTTTGGGCAATCCCTCGCTGGGCTGCAGTGGTTGGCTGCAATGCATATCCGCTTGCAAATTCCGGGGCATTAGTACTTGCATCTTGCCGGACAATGCATCTTATAGGGGAGGTGACATCAAACAGGTGTGACTCTCTCAGTTGGCAGTGATGAGGGGTTTGGCTGCAGATGCATGCCAAATGTCTCCACGGCACAACACCATATCCATCTCCGCATATGGATAGTTTCATGCAAGGGTAGAGCGAATCAGATGAACAAAGTCCCGACTGACATCAAAGCATTGGCCAGATGGGTCCCGAGATCTAAGTCAGCAACGAGAGCTTCTGCGATTGGCCCAGAACCTCAATGCCGGAAAAATGGAGCTGAAAAGTAGGGACAACAAACCCAGGTCGGGCAATTGTCCGGTCTATCCTCTGCCTGTTCCTGAGGTGCGGTAGGTCCAGACACTACCTAGGTAGATGCACATCATTATGCGATAAGCACTGGCTCATCGACCGGCGCTGCTGGACCTGTCACTTTCCTTTGACTTTCGGGACTAGGTTCCGGAAAGAAGTGTGAGCATGGGGAAAAGTCATGGAAAGCCATCTCGAACACTGGAGAATCATGATTCGGTCATCAAACTTCCAAATTATGGGTGCATTGCGAGGGAAATACTCGGGCTAAACCGCAGGGAAGGAAGAAAGAAAAGAAGAAAAGAAAATTCCAGTGCGAAGATCGAAAAAAAAGAGCGACCAAAAAGGAAGCGAAATTTCGAATTTTTTTCCCTTTAAAAAGTACAACGCACCCTGCATAATCCACTGCGGTCCCCGACAACTGGAAAACCGGGAACCCATTATTGTCGGGGAGACCCTCCTGGTACAGCATGGGCACAGACTAGCCTTTACAAGGTCTATGGATATACGTGGAGACTTCAAACCTGACAAGAAGAAATGACCGAGGGTAAGGGTAAAAAAAGGGACAAAAAAAGAGAAAAAGAGGGGAGCGGTATGGGGCGGGATGGGGAAAATTTTACGCTGAACCGGACAGAGAACAAAAACAAAAGAGGCGCATATTTGACAGCGGCATACTCCATTCAGAACCAAAGGAAGTTGGGGCTACACAATTATGCTTAAATGTGATTCCGCTTGGGTTCCATGGTTGTGTCCTGACAGCTCTGTTGCTCTGACCGCCGATCTTGCCGATCTAAGGGTTTCTGCTTATGAGTCGGGTGGGAAAATATGATATCATTTATTACTGTATACCATACGAGTAATCTGAGCAATCTGATCTGTATCCCTATATCTTCTGTCACTGAGAGTTGAAGCCACTCTGTCCCGTAAACGAATATCACAGTCACCTTCCTAAAGAGGGTTGGGCTGGAAATTCTCCGACCATTGTGGGACTCTAAGCCTCATCTCACTTTGATCCTGAATATTGTACAGTACTGTGTTTCCCGGAGCGAGCTACAGTATGTAGTCACACACTATTTGCAATAAACATAATGATACGAGACAAAGACCCAATGAAAACAGAATACGTGACCAGACATGATCTCACATCTACCCCCCTCGGTAGATAGAATACATCAAATAAGCCGCAGATCAACCACGCCGTCGGGTCCAACAATTGACTTTTGGTGCTCGTATTTCCTGCAGGTGCACATGGCCCTGTTGGGTTGGACTGTGCTTATATGGGTTAGCTGCGTGTGTTGGAGCCCTAGTTCAGCAAGGGCCTCTCTACACTAAAAAAGTGTCATAGCGCGTCCCCACTAAGATGTCAAATGAGCCCTACTTGTGGTTATGTGCTACTGTGCTATGTACAGTCTTGGCTGAGATTTTTAAGATTTCATCTTTGTTGTACTTACGCTTTCCCAAAGGGCTTGTATATACTCTTTGCGCAGTAACGATAAGTTCGCTCAAGTCTCGACACGAATCCTTCTACATGCATTTCACATGTCTTGCTATACTTCTCTATATATTTACATGCATATGGGCCTTAACTACTGTACCTTGTACCGTTAACCTGACAGGTCATAAACTTAGGCGGGACGCGACCACTTAACTTTATGAACGCGACAGCGACAGTGAATTACCAATTCGGGCCAACTAACTTACTGTGCATCATGAGCATGGACAAGATCATGCTGTGTACACTACGAAATGAGAGCACGAAAAGACCAGCAATGGATACATTGACACGGATGCTAATTCACACACTGTACTAATTTCTCGCAACTAGATAGAGAAGAGAAAATAAAGCATCTAAACAAAACAAAGCAGAAAATAAGAGAAATAAAAAAGAAAAACTCCAGACACCCCCGCCCTGCTCCTTGCTGGATGAAATCCCGGAAAAGCAACTAGTGAAGAACCAAACGGGATCGACGACACATCACGCGACACATTGATATCGTCAGACCCTTTGAACAGCCACGTAACGCAACGTAGCCAGTATTCGGAAAAGAAAAAAAAAAGAAAAAAAAAAAGTGAAGAAAGAAAGAAAGAAAGAAAAGCGGAATAGAATATTAAATCGACCGGTGGAATGAGAGTGGGATATTGTAAGTCCCGAAGACACAAGACACGAAGGAAATAAGAGTGGGAATGGAATAGGAAAAGTGAGAGCAGTTAAAGAATCAATCCCATCATACAAACGCCCTATCAACATGCGTAACACTTTGCAGGCAAAATCATCACAATCGCACTGGCACTAGCCCCCCAACCGCGGAGCACGAAACCACCCCACCGGAAGTGGTTATTATGTCTGCATCACGACGTCGCCGTCTACTTCGTACTCGGCGTCTGCATCAGCATCTGAGTCAGTGTCGATGCCGTTTGTGTTGACGGTTTTGGCGCCTTCGCCTTTGCCTTCTGATTTAGAGGCAGAGCCTGGTTCAGCGGGGACCATGACTTGGACTTTTTCGACTAGGGCTTTGCGGTTGACGGATCGTGGTGTTTTGGGGTTGTCCGTTGACCGGTGGGATCGGAGGGAGATAGCTGTCTCTGGAGAGCGAGAAGTGTTTTTGATCTTCTTCTCGGGAGTCTTGAGGGGCTCGCTGTTCTTGAGAACCTCGGCTGATTTGATGCCGTTGGTCCTGGGATGTTCGTCGGGGAGAGTGTCGTCATTGGCGACATCTGTTTCAACAGTTGCACCAGCTTCTGGTACAGGCACGATCTCATCGACTTCGCCATCGGCGTCGGCATCATCGTCAATCACGGCTTCTTCCTCGACTACTTGACCTCGTTCTAATCCAAGAGCATTGGTGTGGGTGGGGGTTGCATCGGCTGCGGGTGATTCCGCGACAATGGAGCTCCGGCCGCGGCGGATGCTGCCTCCTGGTGTGAACATTGTCAGCGCAGATGGTCGCCGAGGGGTATTGCGACCACCGTTACGGGTAGCCGAAGGTGTCATAGATGCGCGATAATTGTCCTTTTTGGTACTACCAAACGGACGGCCAGGCTTGCGTTTTGGTGCGGCGGCAAGGACGGGAGGCCAGAGTTCGAATCGAGATGGTGGGATTCCAGCTGCAGGGTTGACGAGTGGGGGTTCAGGGTGCCGCGTTGCGGAATGATGAGCGCCATGGGGCTGGAGACCACTTGTGGAAGGCGGCCCAGCAGGCTCATCAAGTGCATTCGGGCCGGTCCCATTCACCATTGGGGCATCTTCATCCTCGATCTCTTCATCATCGTCAGGGTCACCTCTCTGCGCCACGGTATGTAGAGGAGCACGGTCAAAGTGTGACTGGTTGCTACGACCCATTATATAAGGTGTCCAGAGAAGCGCATCTTCATTAAGCTGAACGTAGCCCTTGCTCTCCCAGCCGCTGATGACTTCGTCGTAATACTTGTGGTCGAGTCGGATTGCGTAGGTCTTGGTGATGGGATCCCGCACAAGAGCCCGAAGTCCCTCGAGGGCAGACACGATATCGTCTGCCGTCATTCCGGTTAGATCAGATAGGTCTGCGATGCTGACAGGGGCCTTCAGATCACGAAGCTGGTAAGACAAGATGAGTCGCCAGTAGTTTCGATAAGAGACCAAGCCCATGTCAGAAAGTGGTTTCTCGGGAGATCCGTTTTTGCCTTCAATGCGAGTGAGGAGGTACGAGAAGTCGATGAGAAGGTTTCCATAGCCTTTTCGCTGATGAATTGGTAGAGTGAGAATGCAGGAGACGTTGTTTGCCGAACTTGGACGTTTCTCTTTACTGAAGTAGCCAACGAAATGGCAACCTAAGTCGTCGTACTCCGTCATGACATAGAATAAGAAGGGTTCAACATCGTAGTAAAGAGTCTTGGAGCCAAGGAAGAGTTTGGCGAGGAGGCAAAGGTTTTGACAGTAGACTGGGTTCTTCCGTCCATCGACCTCGAAGATCGAGATCGATCCATCGCGATAGATCTCGTCCCCAGGAGGGTGCTTTGCGGGACACTTGAGCTTGTGGCGCCAGGCGACATAGTCGGAATTCATGTACTTAAGACAAAATTCGCAGATGTACAGAACACGGTTGCGGCTGTATTCCTCCGGGTAAGGCGCGGCGTACCAAGTTTCGATCTCATAGCCACCAAAGTTGATGTATTTGATCTTCGAGGGAGGACCAGACACCTTTTGTGAAGCGTGTGGTGTGGCTTCGCCGTTAAGCTCTGCCTCTCTGACCTTCTGTTGCCATTCATCTTCGGCTTTCAGGCGAGCCTGTTCGAATCGTTCACGATCGAATTGTGTGGGAAGTGTTTTGGAGGTGTCTTGCTCGACCTCCGATAGAATGCCCCCATATGGTTTGGATTTGGGGTCGTCGGTCTCTCGGTCGAACAAAGTAATGTTGTTGTAGGATACAGGGGGAGCGGAACAAAGTGAGCTTGGGGTTCTGGAGGCACGACTGGCGGCTTTGACGCTTTCTTCTTCTTGCGCTGTGGTCGGGCTTGGGTGCCTATGATCTTAGACATTCTGGCTTCGTCAAGTCGGAATCCGACGATAAGTTTTCCAAACTGGCTTGTTACTACGCGGCAGTGTTCTCGATCCAGAGCACGCGTGCGTCGAACACGCACAGAACGCGTCCGAGCAGGAGAGTGAGGATCGACCTCGGCAGCATCTGCACCCTCAAAGCTTGTGCCGTTCAAGTCAGGATGCTCGCCGCGGAATGATGTTTGACGTAGCCTTTTCCGAAGAACAGGTACATGTTCTTCAGCCTCAACCGAAGATGCCTTACGCTTGCGCAGCGACCGCGAGCTGTTAAGTATCTCTTCGTTAACTCCCGTGTCGAAAATCGAATGGAACCCTTCGTGGTGTTTGCCGGCGTGTGCAGGTAGAAGCTCTTTGGGAAGAAACGAGGCTTTCTGTTCAGGCACCTCGCTCTCTATTGGGTCAGGTTGTAAATTGTCACGAACACAAGTGAGACACCTCCACGGATCTAGATTTTGCAGTGTTAGTCGCCGGGGTTCACGGTAGCAAGGAACAGCACCGAGGTTAATATTTTGGCGTACCTTCGGAATCATCAAACGCTTCTTGCTCACGAGCGCACTGGCGATGAGCTATCGAGATGTAGTCAGTAACGGACCAAAAGTAACCAAAGAAAGGATTTCGCTCCGGCAAACAGAACATACAGTGATCACCACAGACAATGCAAGTCAACCATTCCTCAAAATCTTCACTTGGGTCGTGCTCTTCGTCTTGACTGCAAAACCTATTGGTCCGTCAGTACCTGCATATCCTAGCTGCGCCGGCGCCTGGAGCTATTCCACTTACACGCAGTTTGCGCGACTGCGGATATCAGTCTCAACATCCTCACGATCATTACTCTCTGCCTCCCAGTCTTCGGCTTCTGATTCATGATCAGTCGACTCGGGTTCTGATGCGTCACGGTCATTGTCTTCAAACACGGGGTCGGCATCTGCATCGGCTGTTTCAGACTCCGCATAGTCTTCTTCTGATGGCGCATCCTCGTCGGCAAGCTTGACAGCGCCAACAGGCTCTGTCTCGTCATTGTCGCCACCATCTCCATTCAGGCCGTTGACGCCCGCGCTTCCATCCGCAGCTTCGTCTGGTCCATCCTCATCGGCCTCTCCGGTGTATGCTCGGTGAACAGCATCTTGAAGCTGTTGGTCCATCTCGTACAAATCGGTTTCTTCCTCTCCCTCCGCATCGAGATCGCTGTCGGCCGGGTCCACAGGCTGGTGGATTTTGCCCGGTTCATCGTTTGCTGGCGGCCCTGTCGCCGCCATAGTGAATGTTACCGCAACAGCCAGGATGAGCGCAGCCCTATAAGATATGCCTGAGCAATAAAGAGTCTTGGTTATAGAAGCTCAAACCGATCCGGTTAGAGGAGCACCCCGCTGACGTCGGCGCTGATCCGGGGGCGCATCTGGATCCAACACGAGATTTGCGGCGTACCCAGACGTTACCGAAGATCTTCAAGAGCACAAATAACGATCGGGATTGACTCTCAAAGCCGCAAGGCGCAAAGTGGAAGCTAGACAAACAAAAGGTGTCAGTCCGCCGCTGGAGGTGGCTCGAGCATCGCAAACGCGTGTCGCAAATCGGAGAGAACTCACCACAAGGAAATTCAGTAGAATCTCTGAATCAAAAGCGTACCAGACGCGTCGAAGGACAGTCCATGCACCGGGGCCTGTCTCTTTTACAATCGAATGCGATCCGCAGCGGCCATCACGCCCCTTGTCCTGCCTGAGTGTCGTTGCAGCGAGCTGACTCAGCACGGCTAAACTACTTTGGGTGGAGGAGACCTCAAGCCCGTCGCCGTGGGAAGAGACACTCCCCTCCACACTCTCCGCGATTTGTCCACTCTGCTCAATCCGTGAGAGACTTCACGGCTCTTGATTCTACATTTGCATACCCCTCCATTCAATCGCTCACTTCCGAACTACACATCATGGGTGTTCCTTTCGAAGCCTTGCTGCCCTATGGGATCATTATCACCGTGCGTATCATTGGTCAATTCCTCTCGGGGCTACAACTCACCAATGCTAGATGTTTGGCGTGACTGGCTACGGTCTTCACTATGTCAAGCGCTTCGCCAACGATGGCAAGAAGGCACGCTGGAACCGTGACCTGTGGGATAGAGTAAGTCGTCCTTTTCCTTGTCGGCTGCGGTCGGAACTCCCCTAGAATGCCTGCTAACACTTTTATAGCAAAGTAAGTTATAACCGACATATCCACGACACCAACGACTCGAATCCTCTCGGGGGAATTTGCCAAGCTAACAGTTCACCGCGAATAGTGATGGAGAGAGACCAGAGAATTACAGGCGCATTCCGGGCACAGTCCAGCAATCACCAAGCACCCCCCGGATTCGACGTCAGCAACCCGTGGAAGGTACGAATTGAACTGGCCCTCAATCGCTCGTGCGAAATCGCTAACCAGAAGCACAGATCGAGAAGCGGATTTACTAGACTCAAAATTGCAACCTCGTTTCCCCATTACGCTCTATGCCTGCGCCTTCCATTTTTTCCGTGATCATACATATCCACTGCAATTTATCTAGAAACGCTGTACCATATCCTATTCACACACGGATTTCCCAGTAGTCCACCAAAGGTCTATTTGCTATTTGAGCTGCGAGGGCAAGTTACGAATACCTTGAATCTCGCTCGCGCGAAGGTGCATATCGAAGTACTTGGCCAAGGCCTTGACCCGGTCATCTTCGTTCTGCATCACCTGCAAGACCTCCGTTTGCCCGCGCACTCTTTGCTTGACTTCTTTGCCCGACATGATGCACTGGCCTACGATCTCTTTCCCACTTTCGTCCATGAGAAATCGTACACAGATAAACCTCTGGGTGAACCAGCTGGCCCGGTTCTTGCTGACGGAGAAGTTCATGACTCCGAAATCCTGAGGCAAGAATTCCTGTTCGGAAAAGCAGATCTGAGACAGCCAGGTGCTCTCGGGGTTGTATCTTGTCTGGTAGATCCAGACCTTCTGTGTTGGATCCGTGAATTCGATGATGTTTTCCTTGACCAGGCGCATCTCAGACGGCGCAATGTGCGTAGCAGTAACACCCTCTTCCAGCGGCAGCGGGGCAGTAGCACCGTTATTCCCAAAGCCGACGTCAACCTATTCGGTCAGCGTAGTTCATGAGTAAATCTAGGACAACTTCATATACCATATACTTCTTCCCGTCAATATTCACAATCAGAATCATATGCGCCCTTCACCAAACGAGTCAGCTCATTTGTACATCCGATTGCGACCAACCAGCAGAACTCACATTGAAAAGAATAACCCAGTATCTACACCCGTCTCCGCAGCCTGAGCGACTCGGCCAGCAGTGGGATAAACAAAGTACCCCAAAGACCGCAGGATAATGAGAAACAAACCCGTGTTCTCCATGCAATACCCGTCAAGCCGTCTCTCAACCATCTTCTCGAAAAGAGTCTCCGGGTCCAATGAAATAGTATGATGCCGCGAGTAATGCAGTTCCGAATTACCCCAAGTAATAGCAGTGAGATGTCGTCGTTGGAGATCACATAGCGTTGCATGTGCATCTTTCTCTATATTCTGGCGCACATGTTGGAGGAGACGAGTCTCTGACCCAGCGGACTTGGAGTATCCAATGCGCTTCAGGTATGTTTCCAACTGGGCTTCGGAATAAGTTGGTTTTGTTGCCATGTTGCTGAAGGTGTCTGGTTTTTGCTTCAAATGGGGTATGTATAGATGAGCTAGATTGGATGAATAGACAAGAATGAGTAGACTGGTGAGAACCTTTGAGTCGGAATTATTCCACGTGTGGATATAGTCCACGTTGTGGATGACCAATTTCTCTCCCCACACGGCATTTGCTTGACTCACCCAGCCGAGTTTAGATCTATGGAGTGAACGGATCTCGTATTGTGGTGTCCTTTGTAATTGAAATTGCCGGGAAACTCGAAGATTATACGACAGTCATATATTGATCCTGCAGAAAGCTGCATTGTCGCAGATGGGTCATCCTCGGCTATGCACGTTCTCCGCGGGGAACCACAAGATCTTCTATAGTGTAACATGCACGATATAGAGCATGGAATGTAGAATTATATATTAATTGCAATTGCAACCAATGTCAGTTAGTAAGCTTGTCCTATGTAACACGCGACATGTATAATCGGCAAACCCCAGATCAACCGATCAACCGATGATGTATTCATCCGATATCCGGACGTACGGGCATGTGCTCGACGACACTTCCCGATACTTTCCTTAATACTTACCTCCATCTAGCCTGTACAGCATTGTTCTCCTCGTATATCATCTAACCATACTGTTAACATTATCCCGCTCGCTTTCAATCTCCACGTTAAACACAATGGCAACACTGAACGAGCAACTTGCGACTCTGGTTGAGAATTACTCGGCTTGTGATGCATGTCGGGCCAAGCCAATATCAGCATCCATATATCATGAGCAGTACCCCTAACAATATCATATTCAGGTATCAGACGCCCTCATAAAGCTCCAAAAGACACCGGAAGGCAGCAGAGCGAGAGCAGGCTACCTCGCAGACCTAGGTAAACCACCAACATACGCAACGTACCCCTCCAAAAACTAAAAGCAACTAACAAAATAAAACAGTCCCATTCTCTCCAATAACAGGCCGCAACACACAAACCCCCAAAATCGCCGCACCAGCAACAACCTTCAAATTCATCTCAAAGAGCAGCAAGTCACCAAGTATAGCAACAGAGAATCCACGAAAGCACGGCTTCGAATCGGGCAAGCACTGGGTCGACCATGTAGGCGAATTCGCAGCTGCAGATCCTTCAGGCGCTGGTTCTATTGTTGTTATTGAACAGCCGGATGATCAGTTCTGTGCTGTTACCGGTGGTATTATGGCGACTAGGATGGTAGCTGTTGGGATTCGGGGGACTGTTGTTGGTGGCAGGATTAGGGATTTGGGGGAGTTGAGGGGGACCGGTCTTCCGGTTAGTTTGTTCTAGGAAGATGGAAAGGAATTGTGTGTGTGGAAGAGTGTTGCTAATGATTGTTATGTTTGTGGATAGATCTGGGCGCGGGCTACCTCGACTGTTGGGACTAATGCCGAGGCGAAAGCTGGTGCTCGCGATGTGCCGATATCGATTGGGGGTGTTACTGTTTCACCGGTGAGTTTGAAGTCTTTTTCTTATGTGGGATTGACTGTGTGGCGCGTTTGGCTGACGATCAACGATTACGATAGGGAGATATTATCTTCTGTGATCCGTTGGAAGGTGTCGTTGCTATTCCTCGTGAACTGCTGGGTCAAGTGCTTGAGATCATGCCTAAGTTGATTGCGATGGATGAGAAGGCTAAGGAGGCCGTTGCCCAGGGTATGAGTGTTACGGATGCCTTCAAGAAGTTCCGCTCTGCGTTATGATTTATTATCTTGGTTGATGCGCTATATTGGAGAGGACTTTCGAATATAAGCGTGTTTTATGCTCTGCTCCTAACGAAACTAGTATATACTGCTAGATAGCCCTTGATCCTTTTATGACGGGAACCGCAATGAAATATGTAGTTGAGCAGGTGAAGGTCCAATTTCGTGTGGTATTCAATACATAACAAGAAATCTGTGTGTATAAGGGAAAGGAAAACGTTAAATGCCAAAATCGCTAGTTCATTGTACAATCGAAAGCAGATGCTTCATTTACTCTGCAACCCAGACAGCGGCCATACCCATACCGGTACCGACACACATGCTGGTGACACCGATCTTCTTGTTTGTCCGCTTCAGTTCAGTAAGCAGAGTGCTGACCTGGCGGGAACCAGTGCATCCAAGAGGGTGACCGAACGCAATAGCACCACCCTTGGGGTTGATCTTCTCCTGGGGAATACCAAGCTCGTTGACACACCAGACGCACTGAGAAGCGAAGGCCTCATTGATCTCGTAGATGTCGACATCATCCTTAGTGATGCCGGCCTTCTCCAGAGCAACGGGGATAGCCTTCCAGGGGCCGACACCCATGAGGAGGGGCTTGACGCCGACGACGCTGGCGGCAACATACTTGCCGATGATCTTCTGGCCCAGACGCTCGGCGGTGGAGCGCTTCATGAGGAGGACGGCGGCGGCGCCGTCGGAAATCTGGGAAGCGTTACCGGCGTGGATGGAGCCGTCCTTGGCAAAGGCGGGCTTGATCTTGCCCAGAGACTCGGCGGTGATGCCCTCACGGATGCCGTCGTCGGCCTTCACGGTGATGGTCTTCTCCTCGCCGGTCTTGGGGTCGGTCCATTTCACATCCAGAGGGGCGATCTCCTCGTTGAAGAGACCAGCCTTCTGGGCCTTGAGGGCCTTTTGGTATGAGGAGGCGGCGAAGGCGTCCTGGGCGGCACGGGTCACACCACGGTCCTTGGCCATGTTCTCGGAGAGGACACCCATGGGGACCTTGCAGTTGGCGGACTCGGGGTGGTTCTCGAGAAGGTCGGAGAATTCAGTCACGGCACCGGGTCTATACGACTGTTAGATGTGATTAAGATAAAAATCGTAGAATATACGTACCCATATTGAGAGGACATGCTCTCAACGCCAGCACCGATACCAACATCGATCATGCCAGACCGGATACCGTTGGCAATATCGGCGATGGCCTGGAGACCACTAGAGCACTGACGGTTCAAACTCTTGACAGCAGTGGTCTCGGGGAAGCCAGCCACGAGAGCAGCGGCACGGAACTCAGTGGCACCACCACCGGGGGGCAGAACGGAACCAACAGCGATATCCTCAACGGCCTTGGGGTCGAGGCCACTCTTGTCAAGGACAGCCTTGAAGACACCAGCGAGTAGATCAGCGGCAGCGGTATCCTTGAAGCCACCCTTGCCACCCTTAGTGAGGGCCGTTCGCAGAGCACATGTCACGACAATATCATCGGGGTGCTTTTCGGTGAGGGCGGCGGCTCCCTTCTTGCCGAAGTGGGAGGAAACCTGGTTCAGGCGTTGCTGAGCTATACATCGAGGTTAGTACACTTGTGCTTTTGGACCATAACTCGCAACGGCCAACAAAACGCCATCTTGGCTTGCACATGCATACATACCGGAAGACATGACGTCAATGTGGGATGGGGAAGGTAGGGAGAGTATGGGGTTGAAAGAAAGGAGTCAGATGAAGTTTCAGAAGCTAATGCAGGCCGGGGAAACGACGCTCTTATAAAAGTCGTGTGAGATCGGTGATACTTCCCCTTTGAATGGCCGTTGCTGGCCGCAGTCGCATATCCGTGAAAGTACCGAGGTCCATTTGGCCGCATCATCAATGATCCGGACGGAGTCACGGGATCTCCGGGCCACATGTGAATTGCATGTGCAACAACGTCATACTCGGCTGTGGATCTAGTGATCATGAAGCATATACATCTATGTGATACTTCGGTGTGATCAATAATCAGAAGTGCAATACGGGACGTATATACGGAGTACATATATCCCCTCCGTGTTTCTATCTTGTGGGGAAGCTCGGGTATCATCTCATAAACCAACGGTAGTTTAATTTTCTCTTTTGCATCTTGGAAAAAGGCTTGGAGTAAATCACAAAAGACCATTCATATGAAGCATCGAGTAGTTAGAAAATAACTTAAGAGTTCGTGCTGTATATATAGCCTTCTATTTTCCCTCGGAGATAATAACAATCATTCCTCTAAACTACAACAGTTTGTAAAACTCCACATCCGCTCTGCTAGTGATCCGCCACTGTTGCCTCTAAGAGTAACTAGCATGAGCAAGATATACGCGTCTCTTATCATTGCCGTAGGCATCGAGAAATGCAGGGGCAAACCTAAGAAACAAAATCGAAGAGAGAATAAATAAGACCGAGAACTTACTAGACTAGACATGGAATATTCCTACTACATGAACAGCAATAAAATGATAAATACGCCCACCTGTCAAATAGACTTCAATATAATCCCACTTTTGGAGCTGTCATGGCGCCTTTTTGGTTTCCAATTTTCTCATCGTATTCCGATTTTATTAGAGCTCCTGTTGTATTCTCATCTGAAGATTGGCAAAACAGTTAGATCGTCGCATTTGTAAAGAAGGCCTGGACCAGGAACGGAGACGATTTCTCACCTTTCCATATTGACGGCTACAAGGCTCCCCTGATGGTCTGTCAGCTGCCAAAGCATTCAACCACCCAGCCAGGCGAATGCCTGCTTTGAGAATTTGTGCTTCCACAACAGGAGCAGCCTCATCATAGTACTCTTCACCCAGGTCATTATTTCCGAGCCATTCAACGCCCTTTTTGAAAACGAAATCACAGTTCAGTCTGTTTGACTCAGTTGCCCATATCAGAGGGCATTTTAATGGTTTCTTCGTGTCAGAGCATTCTGCCTGAAGGGGCCTCAATCCCTGAGACTGGAACAACTTTGCGGCCCACTTCACAGCTGGCTCTTTTTCATCGTTGTGCTTCGGCTTCTGCTTAAGGCCGTTGATTTTATGTGGGATTTCCGTATCCCACACACTGTGAAGGTTCTTATTCTTGGCGCAGCGGTTATCAAAGCAAACGTGGAGATCGTTGCCTCCTCGAAACTGCGCCTCGACATGCAGCGGTTGGTGCAGGTCACCAATGAAATGCATTAAGAATTTCAACGCATCACCTCGCTGCGCCTTCTCCAGACTGAGGTCCTGCACCTGATGTGTCTTTCCATCTGTCAGTGATGTTTATTGATCTTTGCATCTAATCTCGCTCACTAACCATATTTTCAATAGCGGATATAATACATCCACCTTTATCGCAATCTGTTTCATAGGAAACACGGCACGAATTGGGCGGCTTGTCCTCTGCATCTGTTTGGATAAGCTCGTGGTTCTGCTATAACTGGCATCAGTACATACCTATATAATGCCATGGTCTAGTAAATGGAGAGCGAAATTTCTGTTTATCAGGCCAGACTGCCGCATCTGAGATATCGAAATCCTTATCCGGGGTAATAAGATCTTCCACCAGCTGAGCGCCGTGCTTGTCTAGGTACTTCTCTGTCAAATAGGCTACCGTTCGATGACCGAGGTCTCCCCAGCCCCAACTGAACTGGAGCGTGTAACTGAAAAACAGGAGTGACCAGAGGTAATACATTGTTGATGCAGCTGCAACTGGTAAGTGGCTATTGAAGAGCTGAGATTTGGATAGATCCACTGGAGTTATAAAAGGAAGAACAGAATAGCAGATACAGTGGCCCGTTATTTATTAACCCAACCCTCGAAATCGAGGCAATGATCAGCTGTACTATGTACAAAAGCCCACGAACAGTCTAGATCCAACCAGGCTTGCAGATGCGATAAGCCTAAATACGAATGTTCTGCTGTTTGCAGCAAAAAGAAACCGATTTATCCATTACCGCAGGTCGCAGCTGATTTCACCATGACGGAGGATTCCTGCTTCATGGCTCGAGCCCTTGCCGGGAGATCGCTGGTCTCGGTGGCTGAATGAACCAAGCAAAGAAGCTCGGATACAACCCGTAAATTACATCAAGAGCACACGGTACTTCGATGCCCCTCATCACCGGAATTCTCAGTACGATCTCTTTCCACTTGCATTTATTAGTATCTAATTTTTGCAACTTGATCTACTGTTTGAATAAAAGGGATATAGGGAGTTTCAAATATAAAAAGCTATTGCGGACGTAACAAGGCACTCATCCCTGGGCAAGGGAGTTTAGGCGGGATGTTGAGACGGAGTTTGGGTCAAACCAAGACAACAAAAGTACATAACTTAATACTCAACCTTACAAATGCTAGCCGGAATCAGTGCTCTCCACATCTTTTAAACAAAAGAGATATCTTACGTGGAGTTTTTCATATGGAGATCAATCACACAATAGGCGGATTATATTGATCTTTCCACGACCTCCAATGCTTTGGATAAATTCTTATCACGTTGCGTAGGAGAATCTAACAAACAGAGAGAACTGCGAGCAAGGATGTGAAAGGAGAACAAAAAGTCGACTGGGCCTAGGCTGGGTGGTATTCTGCGTACTAGAATATTGTAAGGCGCGACGAGCCGGGCGTAATCGGAAATCTTCGACGATGCTCTTAAAGAGGAGTGGTGGCCGAAGTATCTGGCAATGAACCTAGATTAAGATAGATGATGAGACATACTACCACTATTTCGTTGGGTTTGTTCTATCTAAGGGAATCTAATTGTATAGAACTAAGGGGTTTACTTATTAGGCCTGGTGGTCTTATAGATTCTATCCAAGTTTTAGATAAGTAAAGGTGAAAACAATCTAAAATATACTAAATATGATTGTCTTCCAACTTAATTTCGTGATAGAAACGTTAGTAATATAATACTGTGTTGTGCCTAACAAAAATAGCTATTCTAAGAATATAGTAAGCTATTCTCCTCATTAATTATACATTAAGTAGTAATAAGTCATAATTGTTCGTAACCTAGGCCGATTTACTTAGAACATTAGTTACCAATGAATCTGCTGGTGGAATCTCAACGTCGATATGCTAAGGAGGGTCGGACTGTGACTGTCTGCTCTCGCTGCCAGCCCTCCTATCGCGAATCTTGTTGCTAGACGATTGGTTCCTACATAGGACGCTCGACTTCAAAATGTCTATAGCCGACGTTAGCATCTATTTAAATCCTTAGGGCATCTCCAAGTTCTAAAAAGACTGCATGTATGAGATATCAAGTTACTTTACCTCTCAATCCAGAGCTTTCCGTACATCTTAGCTATCCCAATTGCTTCGTAACCAGCATACAGGGCCAAAAGAGTAGCGGCTGTGTAGAGGAGCCCCAGGATGCCAATCTCCTTCACGGCTTGTAGCAACGCCAGACATCTTAGTGCCTTAGCTAGAGAAGTATTAAGGAGAAGGAAAATAGTGAGATATAGAGACTTACTAATGTTGTAAACGTATCGGTTAGGGAGAAAGTAAAAGAAGGATCGGCTAAGCATAAGAAGAGCTCTTTTATAGTGAGAGACCACGTAGCAGTCTCTAGGTTTAGGTGCAAAATTTATTATTTCGGAGCCCACTCACAGATTTAAACCTCCTATCCACAAAACACCTGTCACTTATCTAATCCCGCAATGCCGAAGAATAATTTCCTGCGCGAGCTCCTGCTAAGAGATAGTGATTTAGTACGTAGTATGAGAAAACGGACTCGTCGAATTTAGCTTACTGCTTACTTTACTTTACCATCCCGAGCCAGTCCCATAACGCAATAAACCAAAATCTGATATCTGGTACCCAAAACAAAAGTAAACATACCATAAAGGTACCCAACGCTACCCCTTTTTAACCTAATTGGGTCATGGGCGGTTATACTCAGTAGCGCCGGTGGCATTCACGTACGTTGGCGCTTCAGATTAAGGCTGCGTTGGAGGGTGTGTTGCTGCAGGCATATCTGGTACCTTCCAGTGCAGCAGTAGTTCAAGGGCGTTGTGTCATTCCATGATGTTTTATGTCTGATGCTTGATAACGGCAAATTGAAGATTGTCTATTTTTAGTGTGATACTCCGTAGATCCACTCAAACTTATCATCTCTCTCTGTACAAACTATCACTTCACTTCAACAATGTCCAACACGGTCGCGGACATCAACCTCGTCTCTGAATTCCTCAGTGACAACCAGCAAGATCTTTCCCCGGTCGACTGCATCGTTATCTGTGCATCAGCAGTTCTCCACAGTGCCGAAGTCCTCTTCAACACTCTCCAGCACCAATCCCTCACCAAAGCCCTGGTGCTCTGCGGGGGAATCGGTCACTCAACCCAGCTACTCTATGATGCCGTGAAAGCACACCCTATATTCTCACGCATTGCCGATGAAATCCAAGATCTCCCAGAGGCAGAAGTCCTAGAAAGAATCTTAGATGAGTTCTATGATCGATCTCTCATCGCCAAAGAAGGATGTCGTATTCTTCTAGAGTCCAAATCTACGAATTGCGGGCAGAACGCTTCCTTCTGTCGCAAAGTCCTCGATGATGCAGGCTTCCAAGCTCCGAAGACGTGCATTGTCATTCAAGACCCGACGATGATGCTCAGGACTAAAGCTTCGTTCGAAAAAGCATATGAAGATGTACAGTCTCCGGTTTCGATTGTTAGCTGTCCAATCTTTGTGCCGCGCATGCAATTGTCTCAAGACGGTGCTCTGGAATATTGCCCTATCTCGACGACCTCGGAACTATGGTCTCAAGATCGTTTCTTGGAGTTGATTATGGGGGAGATTCCCAGGTTGAGGGATGATAAAGATGGCTATGGGCCTCGGGGACGAGGATTTATTTCTCATGTCGATATTCCAGTTGATGTGGAAGCTGCTTGGTCTCGGTTAGAAGTGGTGGTAAAGAGATCTAGATAATAGCATAATAGCATAGCTTGAGCAAGCCACTGTGGAAGTGTACCTGTAGATGGGAGAGAGATAGGCGGAGAAGCCGATCAAATTATTCTCCGCGCGACCTCCAACTCCAACCTCAACCCACGCCACCCTCCACCTAGAAAAACACCGGGGTCTCTCTGGACCAGAACTCCCCCCATGTTCCGACAAGCATTAACAGCCGCCTCGTCGGCGCGCTGCGTCCCCTCAAGCGCAACCGCATCAGCCTCCAAACTCCCAACCAGCCGCACACCATGGCACCTTGTACGAGACCCCAAGTCACCCATACAACCCTCAACTTCTACGGAAAACAAAAAGCCCTTCCAATAAACACAGCGCTAACAAACCCCCAGACTACGACACTCCGAACCCCCACCTCCCGCACCTTCACAACAACACCACGAACACGCTTCACATCAACCGCGCCAACAAAAGACTCCCCCTTCCGCATGTCAACAACCAAACCGGAAAACACCGCGCCCCCCTCCTTCGACGACGTCTACTACAGCCCCTACCAACCAAAGCGCCAATGGCCGCCGGATATGTCCAAACTCTCCCCAAAGCACCAATTCCGACTCGAACGGAAGTATCGTCGGCGCGCAGCGCCTAAGTATGCACGACCGAAGTTTATGAAGGCTGTTACTCTGGGACAGTGGGTTGTTATTGGATGTGAGTTTTCCATTTTGAGGTTGGGAGTGAGGTGGAAATATGAGATATGAGATATGAGAGGTTTTAAAGATCGAAGCTAACATTTATACTTGACAGTCGTTGTCATCTACGCGGTTCTCTTCATGGAATGGCAAACCGAGAATACGCCGTTCCACGGGGTACGTACTCTACTCTGCTTTACTTCTATACAAAAATCAAGTATAGTGTGACTAACGCTTGTTACAGATTCGAGAAAGCTTCTTCGATGGCCTCAAGGCTATATTCTCTGCCCCACCAGCTCCTGAGCCTAAGAGGGATAGGAAGGAGTAAACGGGCTACTTATGAGGGTGAGATGGACATGTGTCCTTGTATATTGATCTCTGGCATTGGCAATATTTGTATGATATTGAGATAAGTTAGATTCCCAACTTGTATGTTAGTCTATTAACTTTATATAGTATTTCACAATGAAGTAAACAGCCTATATCAATAAAACTGCCTAGGAAGTAGAGAAAGGGAAAAAAGCAACTGAATTCTGCCAGGCAAACCCCAGCTATGATAAAAGCAATTAAACGCTACTGTGCTGATAGTGACAAGTAATGTAAAGCAAAAAAAGCTGTGACGATTCATTCAATTCTCATATCTGTCATTTTGTCATGAGTAAATCCAGTCGGATGAACAGGCGTCGCTGTACCATGGAGAGAGAAACAGAGCAACAAGGAAAGCACGAACAGAAACAATACAAGTCCCATCCGTCTTCCTCTTCCTTTTCCTCACATTCTCCTCCGTCGCCTGTGCCAATATATGGCTTCATTACATCATGTCCGCAGGACTTCTCTGGACAAGGAAAAAGTAAAATGCAGTGAAACAAGACCAATAACACCAATAATGCCAGAACGCCTGTCGAAGCAACAGGCTTGTGAAAGTAACTGTAACTCCCAAGGTCAGGTTTTAAAAAAAGGGGGAACCAACAAGATAAGATGAGAGGAGGCTGGAGCAGCCCGAACGCCGAGTCATGATAACGTGTAAAGGCAAAAGAAAAGGTAGGAAATAATGACAAGAGAGGAATGGAAATTCGTTAAATTGAACCGGGGGTTGCGCACCCGGTTCTTAGAGCCAGCTGCGCATGTCGCTCGACGGGGTGGTCGGGCCTGGAGCTGGACAGTTGTTGGAGAAGTCGAGCGCAAGCTCGAGCTTAGGTGGACGCTCATCGACTAGGCCCTTCTTTGGGCTGCCAGGCGCCGACTTCTTAGGGGATTTGGTTGGGGAGCCAGGCTCGCCTGTCCGAGGCGGGCCTTCGCGCACGAAGGTGTATGGCCAGCCATCATCTGCGGCAGCGGCAACCCAGGTGCGCAGACAGTCATGCACGGAGGAATAGAACTTCTCCTTGCAGGTACGCAGGCTGCCGCCCATGACTTTCTCGAAGCCGGAGGAACGGAGCTCAGCGCGGAGTTTGTTACGCTCGTCTGAGGTAGGAAGAGAGGCAATCAGGCCGTTCACAAGATCGAGGTGCGCGGCAAGATAGTTTGTCGCATCCCACTCGACGCCGCCAACATATGGTGCAGCTGGGACGGGGGGACGAGGGGGTGGGAAGTGACGTTCAACATAAGGACGAATGTCTTCTGGTGGCCTTTCACCGAACAAGTCCTCCGTCTTGGGGAGGGGAATGACATTGAGATGATGAAGGAAGATCCAAAACACCTCCTTAGTAACGTTGGTGACCTCCTTACACCACACACGGTATGGCCGTGACTGGTAGATATTAGCGATGAAGGACAGTGGTTGGTTGTCTTCTGGTGGCGCTGGGTCCTGCAAATAGCCGAGGATCTGCCTGGTGCGCTTTACTGCCATATCACCAGCAGGGGCGGTAGAAAGCTGCGTGAACAGTAGATTGGCAATGATGCCTCTGGTGGTGAACTCGCTAGGGCCCTTCTTCTCTTCGTCAAAGAGCATCTTGAGCAAGGCGGGGAACAGCTCATCCTCAATAGAAGAGAGGTGGGCCAACGCGACAGATGTCGTGCAAAGAGCCTTCAGACAAAGCAATGCCTCGTGCAAGAGTGTGTCCTCGTGGTCCTCTCTATGGCAATGTCAGTGGTAGTTTGAGATGAGACAGCTGTAAAAATACGCACCTCCAGGTCATGTTCATAATGCGATAGAGAAGCTGCACAATCTCGTCCATGCCTCCCTCGATGATGAATCCATTAACCCAGTTGACGGTTTCGTTGCGAAGAAGAAGGCGCAATTTATGCACCTTTCCAACTTCAACCATCTCGGGCTTCTGGATCTCTCGTAGGTAGTGCACAAAGTCAGAGGGATCTGCCGCAGTATCAACAGCTGCGGCCTCAGAAAGTGACGCAGTAGAACCCGCAGCTGAGAGTGTCGTGTAGACACCAACAGGCTGGGACAGATCGACCGATTTCGGGCGACGGTTCGAGGCTTCACTATCCCGCCGTAGTTTTTTACCGGGCGAGGATGGGCCTTTGCTCAGTGTGAAGCCACGGCTTCTAGACCGTGAGCGGGAGCCCTTCCGATCCTGAGATTGGCCATCCAGCGACTCCTTTCCACGGCCTCGGCGGCTGTCGCCGGTCCCTGCGCTAAGAGGAGTGTTCTCCGTTCGGTCTTTCTGAATAAAGTCTGCCTTGATATTGGTGTCGAGTGAACGCATCTTATCTCGCATATTATGGGGAATGTTCCTTGCATCCTAGAGATCTGTTAGCTCGGCCATCATAGTACACTTTTGCATAGCATTGGACATACCAGCAACTTTTCGAATTCGCTCTCGAGGTCCTTCGAGTTCAGGTGCTGGTGCACATCAGCATCCCGCTCCTTTGCGTTGAACGCGGAGATGGCGGCCTGCACACGAGATAACCGCTTGGGCTCCTCTTTCACCGTAGGAGGAGCTGTTTTCCGAGGGCTTGGGGGCCCTCGGCTCTTGGTGGAAACATTATCATATTGGCCAGCAGACTCGCTCTCCCTCGACGATGCTCGCTGCAGACCAAAGAGGTCCTTCACTCTCCGATTGCCAGACAGGATGTCTGACTTCGGGCGAGGCTTCGCATCACTCCCTTTCGCGATAGATGGTTGATGGTAGTCATAAAAGTTCCGTTGCTGGGCTGGACCATAACCTTTGGGCATGTAAAGGAGACTTCCTCCGCCACAGTCCGTCGCGTGTCGATGGTCGAGGTTGGTCGAGGTCGACCGACGGGCTCTCTATGGACGGATGCTGAGTCCTGAGACCACACTGGGGATGGCATATTATCGATCAGGTCGGTTGGGCTGCGGTTTTCTTTGTCGCGAGTCTGCTTAGATCCATCGCCCTTTCGCCCACGCTGGGATCGTTTGAGGATGGCTGAGAGACTGGTAGACGATTTAGCCTTCTTGGGAGACAAACCCTCTCCTTCCTCCGTTGGCTCCTCCGGCTTCCCATCTTTCCGCTCCATGTAGCTTCTCAATGACTTCAAGGAGACGGCACTCTTGGTCTTTTTATGCATGGGGCCTTTTGGCCCTTTGTTCATCTTTGGAGCAGGTACTCCGTTCTCCCCCGCATCCCGGTTTGGAACGATCTCACTCAACGGATGATAGCCGCCGAGGGGGCCCGACTCCTCGCCAAATGGATAAGTGTTGTTCTCGGATGGCTTGCTTCGCTGCAGAGGCCGTGGGGCAACGGCATCATCAGCCGATTGGTTTCGTTTATGTGATTTCGGCGACATTATGGCCCGGAACATGGACGTCTTGCCGGGTGATCGGTTCGCATCATCGAAGATCTGGGGACCGGAGGCACTGGCAGCCATTGCTATCCTCTTTGACCAGCAACTGCAGGAGTTAGCAAAAGGAAATCCAAGTAGACGGGTAGTTGCAGGACTCACGGGATGTTTAGAAACACACGCAAGAAAGGGCAACGCGATGGGAATCAAGCCCTTGAAAAAGAAAACACAAAAACAAATGTGGGATCAAATGTGAAAGAAGAAGGGGGCTGTGGGGATTTTGAAGAGTTCGTCATCGAGTATCTTGATGTCCTCGAACTAGGCCAAGCCGATCATTGGGGTTGGAGTAAACAACGTGCGGATAGGAAGGTTGCGAGGGGCAACGCGCTGGCGGTGAACGCGGATTTGTCCATGTCATATTCCATGTCATCTTGCATGATTTTGATAGTTGATGTTTATGTTTAGGTGCATACAGTACTGTACTGTCGAGTCCTTGCAGGTGGTTGAGATGTTTGTGTTTTGGCCCAATGCGGCATTGTATATATCTACTCAGGGCTTCACAGCTGTGAACAAATACACATCTCTATACCACCATGTTGCACGTTAGTATATTTGCAGTCTGTTCTTCTTTTTCAGTCTACTTAATCCGCATAATGGTCACAAGACACACCTTGTGACTCCAATAAATAGGAACTCCGCATCTTTCCTATTCCCGATGCCCGGTGGATTACTCCGACAACAAACACCCCTACTCCATGCATACATGTAAACAAGGCTGGGAACCTCCTCAGTTCCAGATCTCCTGACTATCAAGGTGCAGATTTTCATGTATGTTCATGTCGCTACCGTACTATACCCGGTAGATGGAATTCCGCGACCCACAGTTTAGCCGTTTGCGCTCTTCCAGCATCAGAGCAAATACGCCCTGGAAATGGGTCGAAGATTAAGATGCATATTACCAACTATTATACTGCTAACTTATCTTCATGCCATACATGTACATGTTGGATATATGATGTGCTCAGTATAGGCCCCAGAACGGGAACAACACCGGGTGCATTCGGGGTCTTCCCACAAGGTTAATGTGGATTACGTGGATTCTCGTGTGGCTCCGATGAACCGACCATCACCCGATCAAAGACAAAGATTTAAGCATTTTGTCAGATCTTGATCTTCATCTTCACACCCCACCATGAATTGCCCCTCGCGGACAGACGACACCCTCCAGCATCCAAGCTGGAACCAGAGTCCACCGCCCTTCAGTCCAGACACCACGACTCGGAATGACTTCAATGGCCTAGCCAATTCGCGAGTCCATCGCAGACATGCCAATTCCGCCAATGCAGCAGGGGAGGACACGTTATCCATTGACGAGAGACCGCACAGTCTGCACGATCGGGATCCCCCCCTAAAAAAGTCCCCAGTGGCGCGGTGATCACTGCGCTCTCGGGAGGGGATTCACCCCCGACGACCAGCGGATCACCTCGCCGTCCTTTCTTAACTTATTTCAAAGACTCTTCTCTGCACTGTGCCCGCAGCCTGGCCAAATTCAGCCGCTTCATTGGGCCTGGCTTCCTCATTGCCGTTGCGTATATCGACCCGGGAAATTACGCCACCGATGTCGCTGCCGGTGCAAGTTTCAAATATGCCTTGCTGTTCATCGTTCTCGTTTCCAACCTCTTTGCTATTCTGCTTCAGTCCCTTTGCATTAAGCTGGGCTCTGTGACTGGCCTCAACTTGGCGGAGAACTGCCGAGCCCACCTGCCAAAATGGATGGTGATTATTCTTTATATACTGTCGGAAGCGGCCATTATTGCTACTGATATCGCGGAGGTGGTTGGATCGGCAATTGCGTTGAACCTGCTTTTGAATATCCCCTTGGTGGCTGGATGTGCCCTCACGTTGGTTGATGTTCTCTTTATTCTCATCTTTTATCGTCCCAACGGGGCGATGTGGGGACTGCGATTGTTCGAGTTCTTCGTCATGGCGTTGGTCTTGGGTGTGGTTGTTTGCTTCTGCATTCAGCTTTCTCTCGTGCGGGATCAATCAGTTGGCGAAGTCTTCCGGGGTTATCTGCCTTCTTCGGCCATCGTTCAATCAGAAGGGTAAGTGTTGTTTCCTTGCCTTACGAAGCCCACCACTAACACATCTTTAGTCTCTACCAGAGTTGTGGGATCCTTGGTGCCACAGTTATGCCACACTCCCTCTTCCTGGGAAGTGGAGTGGTCCAATCTCGTCTGAAGGACTTCGATGTCACAGCCGGTTACGTGGAGGCCACAGTGCCTCTGGGCAGCACTGGCGGCGAAGTCAAGTATCGTCCTTCGATCCATGCTATCCGCGGCTGCATGAAATACTCGATCATCGAGCTCGCTCTGTCACTCTTCACCTTCGCACTGTTCGTGAACAGCGCCATTCTCATTGTTGCCGGAGCAGCTCTCTACCAAGTCCCTGGCGGTGCTGATGCCGACCTCTTCGGTATCCACAAACTGCTCTCGCAGTCAATCGCACCAGCGGCTGGATTAATCTTTGCCCTGGCTTTGCTATTGTCTGGTATCTCAGCGGGAATCGTTTGCACGATTGCCGGGCAAATGGTCAGCGAGGGAATGCTCAACTGGACCATTCGACCTTGGCTTCGAAGACTCATCACCCGCTCCATCAGTATCATCCCCAGCATTATCATTGCTGGAGCAGTTGGCAAGGATGGTCTGAACAAGACTCTGACTGCAAGCCAGGTTGTTTTGAGTGTCATCCTGCCATTTGTCTCTGCTCCGTTGATCTGGTTCACCTGCTTGAATCGCTACATGACTGTTAAGACTGAAGAAGCTAGCGAACAAGAGGATGAAGTGGAAGTAGCCGAAGTTCCAATGCGGAACAATCTAGTTACTTCGGTCATTGCGGTCATTGTGTGGGTTATCATCGTTGTGATGAATGTGGCCCTGCTCGTTCTCGTGGGAATGGGCAAGTCATCTTAATCGAGATGACATGTTCTACAAGCCAGACATCTGGAATGGCCTCATGAAGCCTCCCTAATTTCGAAAACAAAAAATCACATGAATGATTCAATATGGTTCAAATGAGCGCTTCAATAAAAGTTATCACGTAGTGCAAGCTAGAATAACATCCAATATACTCCACTGCCTGAATCCAGGATATCGCCAAAAAGCACGCTGTAAACACCTCACCCAAGCCCCCCTGCAGCTTCCTTAACCTTAGGTTGCTCAGGCGGCTCATCAATAAATTGCGGCGGCGCAACCTCATCTTGCAAGAAACTAGGCATAGCGCTCTCGCCCATACTACTCTCAAACATACTCTCCTCACCAAGAGCCTCAAGCTCAGCATCCAACTCAGCTTCATCCACATCCTCAGGAACATCATAGGCGCGCGAGATACTCTCCTGGATCTCGTTGCCAACCTCCATCAGATCAGCCATCTCATCCTGCATCTGTTCGATCTTATCTATATCGACCTTGCCATACTGCTTCTTCAATTCCTTGGTCGTGGTCTTCATCGCGTCAACCGTCGTCATGACATTCTTCAAATTATCCTGCATCATCCCTGCCTGCTCCATGTTCCATGATTGTTGCGATAGCTGGTCTCGCTGTGACTCGTATTGTTTCCGGCGCTGCAGGACCTTAAGCGCTTTCTGGCGGAGGGCGTTCTTGCCTGGTCCGTCGCGCATCTTGGCGATTTTGGCTTGGTAGGTTGAGAGTTCGGAGTTAAGCGCTGCGAGTTTGACATCTATGCTGGACACTCGGGTGTCGACCTGGAGGTGTTATTAGTGGGGGTTGTAAGGAGGGGTGTGGGTGTGGGATCCGGTGTCTGGTGGTCAAGCTTGGATTGGGGATTGGTTTCGTACATTGGAGATGGCGCCCTCTAGAGTCGGCTTGGGAGCCGTACTCTTCGTGCCGAATAGTCGGTTCATGGTGGGTTGGAGATTGGAGATGTTAAGGATTGGAGGTTGACGTCCGATTCCAGAGGTGTGGCCAGTGCTTAGGATCGCGATCGGTGGGACAAGAGAATACCCGATTGCTGGGACAAACGGGGAGACACAATAGCTTTAGTGAGTGCAGTGTATATGTACAGCCTTGCGTTTAATGCGGAGCAACGTCAGTGGGGGCCTAAGGCCTAAGGCCATACACGTGATTACTTGGGTTTCAGATGCTTCGACCCTTGAGTGCGTCAGATGATCTTTCTTCGTCAGCTGGAATTCGCAGAGTAAAGTAAAGTAAGCGTGGGACAAGACACGACAGGTATTGGTGACTTCCTTCAACACACAAATCTGGCGGGGAGGGGCTGTACCTAGTACCCACCGTCATGATGCAGGCCTGCAGACCCCCAGGATCAAAATAAAATGTAACAGAGAAAGCAACAGAAACAGAGACAGAAGACAAATATCAGCTACATGTATACAGGCAAATTGGAGTACTAACTTCTAGAGATATACGTATCGAGTTAGTTCGTATGGTCCCGCACTGTGTGTGTTCCGCCCTCGGGGATCAGTAATCGATCACAGCTTCACGTCCACCTCTCCTCCTCCTCACTTCCTATGGACAGGTGTTGAGTCGCCAGTCCAGCCTACTTTGAGTCTACTCATTTTGACTCTCCAACTGTGATTCCCATTTCTTCCTATATTCCCTCCCCCTCAAACCCACAGGGAGGTCTCAATTTCTCTCTTTCTCGTCACTCCCTCATTGCTCAAGATTGAAGGTATGATCTATCAAGGGCGCTGCTTCTAGACCTAGCGCCTTGCAATCCCCTTGGCTAGTCCCTCGCACTCCGGTCCTGTCGCAGCCCCCCGTGAGGTCTACCCTCACCGGGTACACCTCATCGGGATTGCAGGTGATGCAGGTGATGCAGGCATCTGAACCCGATCGCTGATCCCTCTCTCCTAAACAGCGCTAGATCGCCTCAATCTTCTTTTCATTTCGCACTTCCATTGCTAGTCACTTCCAGGTGACGGCCCGGCATACCCCACTCGACCTGCGCGACCTGGCCTCTGTGTGGACACCACGCTTACCGGTGTATCGGCCTGTCGCGCAACCGCTCCTGAGAACGCCGTCCGTCAACCCCTTGTACCATAGACAGCTCCGTTACGACACCTCGGAGAAGAACGAAACGAAACGAAATTTCATGAATCATTGTCCTCGGCGATATAATCCATCATGTTTTGGCGTTTTGGGGGATATGCGAGTATCTCCACCATCGATACCCTGCTTGATAAGCCCGATGTCACGCTCGAGGATCTCCTGGATGAGCCGGAGATCATCCAAGAACTGAAACAGCTTAATACAAAACTCATAGAATACCTGCGCGAGGATCATGTCTTGAAACGCCTTATGGACTATGTGACGGCGCCTAGTCTCGTGAATGATGATGAAGACAACGAAGACGATTCCAACGTGAAAGATGGTCCCAAGAAGGATGGTGATTCTACGGAGGAAACCAATGCTGAGAAAGAGGAGAAGGCATCGGATCCGTTGAAGGGTGTTCTTGACCAGGAAGATCTGGATAAAGTTGAGAAGAATCGCTTGAAGCATGCCTATATCGCTTGTGAGGTCCTCTCATCTGAGACATGGTCCATTCTCGAATCAATGATGGCCAATCCTGGGTACCTTCGAGATTTCTGGGGCTTCCTCCGACGATCCCCGCCTCTTGATTCCCTGCAGGCAAGTTACTTCACAAAAGTAAACGAGACGCTGCTTGATAAAAAGACCGAGGAGATGCTGGAGTTCCTTAAGTCCCTCGATGGAATTGTTCCCGCACTTCTGCAACACGTTGATAACCCGATGGTCATGGATCTTCTCCTGAAGATCATCAGTCTGGAGAAGGCTGAGGGTGGCCAGGGAACCGTCGACTGGCTCAAGTCCCAGGATCTCATTCCCACTCTTCTATCATTCCTGTCACCTGAACGCCCGGCTTCCGTGCAAACCTCTGCGGGCGACTTCCTCAAAGCAATCATCACCATCTCCGCGAACGCAAGCCCGAACGACCAGTCATGTATCGGCCCCAACAGTTTAACGCGCCAACTTGTCTCGGCACAGTGCGTGCAACAGCTCATTGATGCAATGCTCAAGGGCGGAAACCCGTTGACGGTTGGTGTCGGCATTGTTATTGAGGTGATTCGCAAGAACAACTCTGATTATGACCCGGAGAGCCTTGGCGGACCCGATGCCATGCTCACCACTTATGACCCCATTTACCTGGGAACATTGCTGCGCCTCTTTGCTCAACACATTCCTCAATTCATGGCTCTCATTCAGAGCTCCACATACACTATTCACGATGGCAATAAGCTTAAGACTGTTGACCGTGGAAAATTGAACTCTGCATGGGGCGCCAAGATTGAACCTCTCGGATTTGATCGATTCAAGACGTGCGAGTTGATGGCGGAGTTGCTCCACTGCAGTAACATGGGTCTTTTGAATGAACCTGGCAGTGATGAGTATATCCGGCAAAGAGACGAGGAACGCGAGAGGTTGATTCGTGAAGGAGTCTTTGACCCTCACCACGATGAGCGCTCTGGGGTTGATTATAACGATACCACGGCCGATTTTACAAACGCGTCAGCCTTTGAGTCTGGATCTCCAGAGGACGTCAAGATCACAGAGGAACCCCACGCGGGTGAGGAGGAAGGCTTCGAGGATGTCGGTGCATCCGGTATTCTGGTAGACGAGAAGGCTGCCGATAACACCGCCAACGCTGCCTCGGAACCCAAAGAGCCAGTCGAAAAAGTGACTGCCACTGAGGAACCCAAGACAGAGAAGGAGTCCTCTGAAGAAAAGACAACGGATGAGCCGCAGATATCCAGCGAATCTACCGACCCATCATCACCCTCCATTGGTCTTCCCGACCAAGTCGATAATATCAAGCTCGATAACGAGCCTCAAGGCGAGCAAGATACATCTGCAAGCGATAATAAACAACCTGAACCCGAGGCCTCGCGCCCTGAAGATGTGCCGCCTCCTCTCTTCTCCTCCAATGAACAACCAGCGGAGTCAGCTGAAGCTCCTGCCACTGAAACCACGAAAGAACCAAATACTGTGAATGATGGCAGTGAAGAGGATTCGGCTGAGCAATACATCCAACTTGATACCGACGGACAGCCTGTTGTTGGCGACTACTTGAAGATAATGTTTGTTGAGAACAAGGTTGTCCCAACAATCCTGGTTAGTATTTCTTATTCTATGGAGACTATGTCACTGTACTAACTGAGCGCAGGGATTCTTCTTCCGCTTCCCGTGGAACAACTTCCTTCACAATGTTGTCTACGATGTAATCCAACAAGTCTTCAATGGACCCATGGAGCGCGGCTACAACCGGGCTCTTGCCGTTGATGTCTTCGATACTGGTCGCATCACCACCGCGATTGTCGAAGGCCAGAAGCGCAGCGACGAAACCCAGCGCACCAATCAGATTCGTCTTGGCTACATGGGCCACCTCACCCTCGTTGCAGAGGAGGTTGTCAAGTTCAGCGAGCGACACCCACCAGAGCTTCTTTCGCGATCTGTCATGGAAAGCGTATTGAATCCAGACTGGATCGACTACGTTGAACAGACTCTCTCCGAAACCCGGGAGCGTGACAATGCCATTCTCGGCGGCGTCCGCCCCGACATGTCCGTCGGACCTCGCCAGACCAGCCAGAACAATGCCAGCTCCGGACAAGGCTTCTCAAGCTCTTCTGCCCTGGCGGAGGCAGGCTTGAATGGAGGCGTTGGAGGTTCAACCTTCCAAAACTTCGACCTTAGCAACCACGGAAGTGTGTCTGGTGGAGCATTCGGTGGTGGTGGCACCTCCCTATTGAGTGGCTTTGCTAGCTCAAGTGATGATGACGAAGATGAAGAAATGGAGGATCAAGACGACAGAGACGCCGGCAATGCCGATCAAGATACTGATAATGTGGGTAACCCTTTCTTGAACGATATAATGATGCGCGATGCGTAATCGGATCTCGTGTGCCATGCCTCCCCTTGCCATCCTTCTCGTTCAAACATTTGTCGATGAAATTCAGCATGGAATCATGAAACGAACGGAGCAACAGGAGGCGACAGGCAGACATCCACATGGTTGACCAGCAATTTTCATGCGTTGGATGGAACGTCGACCTCCTGCACACTTCTGTTCTGATATTACCTATTTGGTCACACTATGTACTTCATGTTCTCCAACCCGCATATTTTCAACATCATCTTTGAGCTGCAGCATCTTGTCAATTCTTCAACAATGTTCACCATTCATTTGTCTTGGATTTCTTATGCATTATATTCCCCATTTACATGTTTCCCATGCCGAGTCGGTACTGGCACCACCCAGTTGCTGTCAACCACACACACTGGCTGTCAAGCGTATTGCATATTTGCTAACTTGATTTACTAGGTGTCATCAAACTCAGCCAGCCAGCCTATTCCCATCTTACCTCCGCCACCTGCCCCACTGAGCCTCGGTCCTTCCCGGGCACGTCGCCAACTAGCAGCACGCCTCGCCGCCCAGAAAGAAAAATCTGAAAACCCAGATGGCGACAACGAAACCCGAGGCGAAGATACCGAAGACCATGAATCAGCCTGGCCAACAAACCCCTTCGTAATCGCCGGAATCGATGACGACGCCGAAGGCGGTAACTCGGCATTCCCAAACAGTGACTTCAGCTCAGCAAACGCTAAACACTCCCCGACATTCCCAAACTCAGGATTCAGTCCCCCAGACTCCTTATCAACCAACTCCTCGGAGGATGAAGGCGACAGCCACGCCGCATCAGTAAGGCGCCAAGTCCGCGTCCCACTCGAAGTCGATGACGATGACGATGACGAGATGGGCGAGATGGTAGGACCAAGTAGTATGGGCATGATCGATTCCGACGACGAAGACGAAGCTATCATCAACGAATCACTCGGTTACTCCAACCTCTCCGGCCCGGGCCGGTACAGCGGTTTCCGCCGATCTAGAGCTGTAAGCTCGCATTACGATGACGAGCAAAACGACAGCAGTGACGGCGAGGATGATGGCCTAGTGGAGATTCTAGTCCCCGGCCGGAAATCCTCGACATCGAATTAACGTTAGTGCTAACGTTTAGCATGGTCGTGGGCCTTGTCTTCAATGCCATTGCATGATGGTGCATGTTATGTTGCATTTCCATGCCACCGGGTGGAGCGTTGATGACTCTTTTCTCTTCTTATTTAATTTCTCGATATAGTGCTATGGGGACCTTCGAATGTCTTGGTGGCATGGCGTTTGTATATACACTTTTTCCATCGATCCTTGAGTTTGTCAGCCCCGCATGGAGAGTCTTCCTTTTTTCTCTGATCTTGTTTTCTTTCGCGTGTTTGCATGTATTGCGTGTGCCTCCCCGTTACCTGGGAAAGGCTTACGAGTCTATGGCTATTGATTTAGTTAGTGTGGTGGGCCTATGGTGGTTGCTTGTGTACGATAGTTGTCTTTGTCTGGAGCTGTGAATCGATGTTTTTGTTTTGAGTCTGGGTTGAGAGTAAAGTAGTATTAGAGTAGCTTCGATCCTAGTATAACTGTCTTTTAAGGGTTTCTTCTAGCCTTTTTTGCCCAATTTCAACTGCCAATATAGAGATACAGTTCTACTACCAGCCGCCCAAATATTATAGATACTCACTAGCATGTAGTGAACCTCCTACAAGTCTATGCAATCAATCGATGTAGTTCGGGCAAAAAAGCGGGCCCCACCATCCCGCATCAATTCTTTTCTCACTTCAACTGATAGAGCGACTCCCATTGAATAACCCCCTGCATCGCATCTGCGACAGACAGTCGCCGCGAGCAAAATCAATTGACCACATCTGCTCATCTGACAAAGATGACCAAACTCTCCGAGTAAGTGGTATAACGTGCTACGTCATCGACCAAACCCCAATATAAAAACCAGACTAACACAACCAAACAGATCAGTCGACCCATCACTAAAAGCCCACACAGAGCTAGTGAACTGGTTCACCCAACATGGCGGCAACGTAGACAAAAGCGTGCGCATAGCCACAGACGCCTCGCGCGGCGTGCACCTGCAAGTGAAGAAAGACTGGTCAGCACCAATCTCAAAGGAAACCAGAGTAATCAACACTCCAATCAACGTGTCAATGTCCTGGTTCAATGCTATGAACTACCAGTCGCCACGGGGCTCGTTCCCCAATCATGGCGTGGAGTTCTCGCGTTCTTGGATGGAGAGTGTTGGGCCCGAGGAGACTTCTGCTTTCTTCTTAATGGGTCAGTATCTGCGGGGCTCGGAGGGATTCTGGTATCCGTATCTTTGTACGTTGCCTCAGCCTGGGCAGTTGAGTACGCCTCTTTTCTTTGATGGGGAGGATGTGGATTGGGTTGTTGGGACTGGTGTTCCTGAGGCTGCGACTGAGAGGATTAGAATCTGGGTTGAGAAGTATGATCGGGCCATTGAGGGGCTTGAGGAGATTGGATTTGAGGGTGTTGAGTTGTATACATGGTGAGTACTCTGTATAGTGCTTTGATTTGTGGGGATGTTGTCTGATTTGTTTAGGGAATTGTATCTCTGGGCTTCGACTATTATTACCTCGCGAGCTTTCTCGGCGAAGGTTCTGTCTGGGGCTGTCGAGCCTGATGATCTCCCAGATGATGGTGTTTCCGTCTTGCTTCCGCTCATTGATCTTCCCAACCATCGGCCGATGGCCAAGGTCGAGTGGCGGGCAGGTGATGAAGATATTGGACTTCTTGTGCTTGAGGATGTTGCACCTGGCGAGGAGATTTCCAATAACTACGGTCCCCGTAACAATGAACAATGTGAGTGCTCCGCTTGTATTATTTGGAATCTGGATTGGGACTAACTACGAAAAGTATTGATCAACTATGGGTTCTGTCTCACAAATAACCCAACCGATTATCGCATTGTCCAACTGGGCGTCAAACCCGACAGCCCACTCAGCAAGGCCAAGGCTCAGCAGCTCGAGATGTTTCCAGAACTGGCCAAAGTCAAGGAAAATCATTATTACATCTTCAATCCAAACTACCCTCTCTTGGGCCCGGACACAGCTATGGAACACTCCATCTTCTCACCGGCATTGTTCAATGCCTTGACAATCATGGAATCCAACCCGCGCGAACGCAAGATGCTTGAAATCACAGAGGCTTCTATTCGCATTACCCCAGCTTATGGAAACGGCCACTGCATCTACGCCGCACTGGCCCAGATGAGTTTCGAGCTTATGGCACACGCAATCAACCTCAAGGCCAGCGCAGAAGATCTCCCCTCGCAACCAAAGACACTGAACCAAACTCATGCGAAAGTCTACCGAGATAGTCTCATCACGATAGATGAGTCTGCCCTGATAATAGCCTTATGGACCATCTCACGCGGAAGGGCTCATGGACGCGGCGAGGGCTGGGAAGACACCAAGGCCTTGATAGCCGAGCACGACGCTCGCGTACCAGCAGGCCTTCTCCCAGAAGAAGTTCTTTCTCGGATCCGCGTGCGCATCCTGGAGCGTCCATCTATCATCACTAAGAACGGAGAGCTGTTCAGATTAGTTGAGATGTTCAACCTCCTCCCGGCAGAGATGCAGGGTCCAGCTCAGGCATGCTTCAACCGCCTCGTGCAAAACATAGGACCTGAAGTCCCGACTATGCCAACTGACCCGACCAATTTGTTCGCTACGTTGATTTGCTTGTTTGTTGCGACTTACAACTCGCCCGAAGCACGATCGAAATTGCCATCGCGTGTCACTCGATGGTTGGCGTTCTTGCTTGAAAACTATCCTTTGCAATTGGATACTACTGAAAACATCCAGCCTGATCTTGAGCAATCGAGGGATACCCTTCGCTTGTTCCAGGAGTATATCATTGCGGCACAGCCAGGTCAATGGGCATCCATGGATGGTGTCGATTGGCTTATGCAGAATAGTGGGTGGCTAGCTCCGGAGTGGATTCAGTGGTCATGGACTGTGGCAAGCTCGGAAATGGTTATGCTTCCACTGGAGCCATTGCAGATTCTGAAGATGGACGGTCCTCTGCGCTTGAACAAACAACCTGTTCTCTATATCCCGCAGGAGCAGTAGAAATGATAGATTGCAAAAATGAAGCGCATAGTCATTTGTGAGCTCTGAGCTCGATCATCCTGAAATGTAAAATGCACAAAATAGGGATGTGAATGATTTCAATTGCGGTGCCATCATAGGCCCCTGCTTAGTTTTATACCCCAAAGGGGTTAGCGTATACTCGAATAAGGTAAGTTAATGCCTGATTTACCAGGCGCAAATACCGTCATCAGCGAATCGGGAGCCACTGACTCAGCATAGATCACGTGCGGGGTTACCACCCAATCAAATCTTGCGTAAAGGCGGATCATTCAGCAAGCGCAGGAATTGCCGTGAGCTCCACGACTCCCTTCCCTCTCCCTCCACGACCTTTGACCCTCACCACGAATTGTCAATTCCCGCCGTCATCATGATATCTCGAGCGGCGGCTCCCTCCACCTCCTCCCTCTCCCACCTCTCGACCCGCTCCCTCCGCGCCCAGGGAGCGGCCGCCCGCTCCTTCGCAACCGTATCGGAAGCACCCCCCGTGAAGCACTATGGCGGTCTCCAGGACCAAGATCGGATCTTCACCAACTTGTACGGACACCATGGAGCGGATCTGAAGTCAGCAATGAAGTATGGTGACTGGTACCGGACCAAGGATATGGTGCTGAAGGGCGATGATTGGGTGGGTTGTCGCACAATTGACGGACTGGGAAATATCAATTGCTAATTATCCGCATAGCTCATCTCTGAGATCAAGGCATCTGGCCTCCGTGGCCGTGGTGGTGCTGGTTTCCCCTCAGGATTGAAATACGTAAGTGGCATGCCTGCGATTTGGCGAAACGCGAGTGTTTGGGGTCAACCGGGCTAACCTGTTATTTGACAGTCTTTCATGAACTTCAAAGATTGGGACAAGGACCCTCGCCCCCGTTATCTGGTCGTCAACGCTGATGAGGGTGAGCCTGGTACCTGCAAAGACCGAGAGATCATGCGCAAGGACCCTCAGAAGCTGATCGAGGGTTGCTTGGTGGTGGGCCGTGCCATGAACGCCAACGCCGCCTACATTTACATTCGTGGTGAGTTCTATCACGAAGCCACCGTCCTCCAGCGGGCTATCAATGAGGCCTACGAGGCTGGCCTGATTGGCAAGAACGCGTGCGGTACCGGTTACGACTTCGACGTGTACATTCACCGCGGAATGGGCGCCTACATTTGTGGTGAGGAAACCTCCCTCATTGAGTCCATTGAAGGCAAGGCCGGCAAGCCCCGTCTCAAGCCTCCATTCCCTGCTGCTGTCGGTCTGTTCGGTTGCCCCAGCACAGTCACCAACGTCGAGACCGTTGCCGTCACACCCACAATCATGCGCCGTGGTGCCAACTGGTTCTCTTCCTTCGGCCGTGAACGTAACGCCGGCACGAAGCTGTTCTGTATCTCCGGTCACGTCAACAACCCCGTCACAGTTGAGGAGGAGATGTCTATCTCCCTGCGCGAGCTGATCGAGAAGCACTGTGGAGGTGTCCGTGGTGGCTGGGACAACCTGCTCGCCGTCATCCCCGGTGGTTCTTCGACCCCCGTGATCCCCAAGTCCGTTGCCGACAACCAGCTCATGGACTTCGACGCCCTTAAGGACTCCCAGACCGGTCTCGGTACAGCTGCCGTCATCGTCATGGACAAGTCCACAGATATCGTCCGGTCCATCTCCCCGTCTCTCATCCTTCTACAAGCACGAGTCCTGTGGTCAGTGCACTCCCTGCCGTGAGGGCAGCAAGTGGACCATGCAGATGATGCAGCGTCTCGAGACCGGTAACGCCCGCGAGCGTGAGATCGACATGCTCCAGGAGCTCACCAAGCAGGTCGAGGGTCACACCATTTGCGCTCTGGGTGAGGCCTTCGCCTGGCCCATCCAGGGTCTGATCCGCCACTTCCGTCCCGAGTTGGAGGCTCGCATCCGCGAGTACCAGAAGGAGCTTGGCGCTTCCCCCTACGCCGGTGGCTGGCACCCCAACAGCCGTGCTGAGGGCAAGCTGATCTCCCCTGGCATGTAAACACACCACACACCTCTTTCCTTTTCCCTCTTCACATCTTTTCCCTTTTTGTCATCCCAAAAAGAAGCAGGAACTGGTCCCGGGATGATTCCTACATTCTAGACCTCACTTTATATTTCCCCCTCTCCGGCCGGTAATGTCTTTTTCTGTTTCTCCGTCTGGTCCGGCTGGGGAGGGTGGTGTTTCTCTTTTCTTTACTCTGCTCGATCCCCTCGTGTTCTCCTGTCGCGTCTAGGTTTCTCTTTCTCTTGTACAGTCGGTAGCAAATTTGATGCATTTGATGTCTTCATTCGTGTTGCGTAAAGTACACTTGTTCCTCCTCTGGTAACGTCCTTCTCCTTTTCTTCCTTTCCCTTTTCACAAAAATTGTTGAATACAAAGGCACAGCAACAAAACAATGCTCTCCCACCTCTCGCTTCACTAGTTCGGGCGAGTCTCAGTTCCTGCAACAGTGTCCGTCTGAGGATCAAGAACGACTTCTTGGACATGGTTTTCCTTTCCAGCATTCTGCGCTTCAATGGTCTTATCTTCCACCGGGATATCACCAGCCTCTGCCGCCTCTTTCTCTCTTTTCTTCCGCTCAATCTTGAGCAACCTCTTCTCCCTCCACCCCATTCCAAACACGCACTCAACCCAGAGCAAGGACAGCCCAGCAGTCATAACTAATCCCAGGAAGACAAAGCACCAGCCCCATCCCATCCCACTAAGCATCTGGTTGATGATTGCAGCCCCAACAGCACCCAGACAGCAACGAACAAGATTGCATGCGGCCGCAGCCGTGGCGGGTCTGTCTGGGAAGAGATCAACGAGAAGCGTATTCAGGCAGTTCAGGGATGCAACGAAGCAGAAGCCAATGACGAATTGCAACACGAGTGGTACGGCCAAGTGTACTCTCTGTTGCAAGACCCAGCCATATGGGATAAAAGCCACTATGCCGACGGCCATGACCGGAAATACTGTTTGAAGACGGGCGCGCTCGATTGGGAAGTTGCGGAGGCTGTCGCCTTTCTGGCGGTTCACTGGGAGGCCGGCCTTCTGGGCTGTGCGCTTGTAACTGTAGTCGATTACTTTGCCGTATAGCACTGCGCCGAAGCAAGAGCTTACACCGAAAGGTCTGAGTTGTGTGAATTTAGTGAGTTGCGAAACCAAGTGGACTGGGGTAAGGGAGACTCACAAGAAGCAGAGACCGATTTGAAGCTCGTTGAATCCGTATAGTGGACCAAACAAGTTTGGAGTACTGGTCAACAGAGCAATATTCGCGAACATCACGAATCCAACGTATGAGATAATGATGAGGGCATCCCACTCAAGGAGAATGGCGATTGAATCGAGTGGATTGGGGAACTTCAGCTTCGTTGTCTGCCGGGGCTGTTGTTCAGACTGTTGTTGAGGATCTTCTCCAGCGTGCTGTTCCTCATCTGACTCTTTCTGCAAACGATGTATCCTTGTCGATAACCATTGAAGTACTGACATGCGCCACCACTCAGTTGGTACCTCGCTCCCATTACCAACAATCTTGCGCGCTGTCTCGGGCATAGCAATGACAAAGAAGACCAAATATCCGCCACTGATGACAACCAGGAACCAGAAGACACTTCGCCAGCCGAGGAATTTGGCCAAAAGACCACCAATGACAGGACCCAGTGCTGGCGCTACCATCACACCAGCTGCCATGGGCCCGATGTACTTCCCACGCTCAGCTGTCGTCGCAATATCCGCTATAACGCCGTACCCGAAGGCTACGGTGCCGCTGCTTCCTGCGCTCTGAATACATCTTAGTACCATCAAAGCTGCGAAGCTGTGCTGCAGCGCCAGACCAATGTTAGCGGCGGTATAGACAGCGAAGGCGATAATATAGGCTGGACGTCTTCCTCCCGTATCGGCAAAGGTGCCCATGAAGGCTGGGGCCAGACCTTGGAGGATCATGTATGTTGTGATGGTAAGATTGATCAGCGCGGGAGTGAGTTGGTAGTTCTTTACCAATGTCGGCATGACGGGGTAGTAGATCTGGCCAGAGAGAGGGGAGAAAAATGATGCCAGCGAAACCATTATCACAATGAACAGCTTCTGGCGCTTGGTGAAGGCAGAGAATAGAAGCTGAGGCTCTTCAGGTGCTGGTGCCACCTCTGTTGTCTCTAGTTGTGCCTCTGGGACGAATTCAGCCGACGGTTCATGGGCGTCATTGTTATTGGGAAGTGTGTTTGTGGCGGCCATTGGCTCTTTGTCCTCGCCATTGTCATTGGTACTCGGCATGCCATGACTCGCCAAGGCCGATTCATGGATAGAATCTGTCTCGGCTTTCGCCGAATTCTCTTGACTTGCCTCAGCGATCCGCTCCAGCGCAATCTGTCTCGAGGCCATTGGGAAGAATTGGTGAACGAAAGGGTATACTAAGAATGCCCACAACAGAAGAGGTTCAGATCATAGAAGGGAAAGGAGCAAAATAGAGAAGGGAAAAGAGAGGAAGAAATCGAGGAAAGAAAAGAGAAGTCCAGGGTCGTTCCTTCCCATGTGCCAACTCCTTGTGCTTCCCCTGGTCAACTTGTACAACTGTGATCTGATAGACTTGAGAGACATACAATCTACATAGCCATCTTTGTCATTGCAAGTAACTTATCTATTTCTCTGGTTGTTCAAACAACCACATGGGTCTATGCTCCCTAAGCTGCAATCACTTGCCCTTGACGGAATCGTCATTCTCAATGCACCATTTCAAATGCGCAAAGATCCTCCAGTATACATCTTCAGCAGCAGATTTCCCAACAATAGGGTCAAGATGCCCATAACCCTCAGCCAAGAACCGGCGATAGGGCCTCTCTCCAAACCGCCTACGCAGCAACCCATAGTCCTTGAGGGTAGACTTTGGATCGAAGACTCGATTGTCCGTACCGGAGATGAAAAGAATAGGCAACCCTTCTAGCCGTTGCAGATTCTCTTCGGTCAAAAGAGAACGCAAGTCATTGTCCATACAAATCCCCTTGGTCCCCATGTTCACAACATGTTTCATCAGCTTTGTATGGGTACCGGCAAAGAATTGATGGATGTTATCATGAAGAGCTACGCACAAATTCTCATGATTCCAGAGCAAGCCAAACGCAAAGGAAGTCCGATGACAAGCAGTGGAAGTACACGGATCTCGCGGATGACCGACAGGATAGAAGCGCAGGAGAATATCAAGCAGTCGTTGGAACAGGACACTCCCCGCATTGCTCATGATTGGAAAATAATTACCCGCGAGGAACTCATATAGCCGGATTAACAGCGTGGTTTTCCCTTTGAGCGAGTTCCAATACCCGAAGACTTGATTCATGAAGACGGAGTTTGCGGTCATGCCGAGAAGGTCGCAGCTGGCGATAGTCCCATCTAGGAGTCTCATGCAGAGAGCTACCGAGCCCTGACAATGAGCTATCACATATGGCTTCTGTGGTTCTTTGTCACGGATGTATTTGATGGCGGCTGCAACGTCGAGGCGGCAGTCGAAGATGGTGGCTTCCTGGGCCACGATGGGATCACAGCCCCAGCGAGGAGTGAGTGTGTAGCAGCGGTGTCCACGCTGTGTGAAGTAGTCTATCATTTTGCAGTGCAGGAAAGGCAATGCATATAAGTTGTGCATTGCGCCGATTCCGGTGATTCCCGGTAAAAGTAGGACCGGGGGAAGGTTGGCATGCCTCGGTTCATGACTTCTTTGTTGAAGAAGTGGATCGTATACCTCGAGCAGAACTGGTACACCATCGTGCGCCTTGAGCTTGCAAATTAATGAGGGATTCGGGTTCTTGTTGATTTGATCCACCGGTGAGATTCGAGGGAAACGCACAGGGACAAATGGCATGAAGAAAAAGAGGCTGACATGATACCCGAAAGAGAACAAAAATGCCAATAAAGCCAGGAGAGAACTGATATTGATTGATGTTGTTCGGAACGCCCTCATCTGCCTTTGGAATTCTGGCAATGAGATATGAAGGGCACCAGCCCCAAGCTGTGTCCCGTCTAGTCGAGTGATATTGATATTCAATGCCGTTGTCGCCTCCCATGTCTTTCTGACCGAGAAAGCCATCGTAGGACTGAGAAGTTTGTGTCCTTCTAGATAATACTCCGGGCCCTCGATTGAAAGGAGCTTCATGTGGTATGAAATGGTAGACTCGGCATCTCCCTCTCCTGTAAAAATGTTTACTATCCCCTGAACGATTTTAAGCGTAGTCCGAGATAGCACATGGCAGGAGACTGTTCCGGTGCATATTCCTTGGTACCGTGAGGGAGATCCTAGAAATGTGAATATTGTCCCACTTCATCGTGACTTCGATCTCGGGCTCTTACCACTGTGGCAGATGTCTATAGTAATAAACATGCGCATTGCGCATGATGAGCCTTTTCCTACACTCTCAGAAAGTGTCAAGCTCCCCAAACCTGAGTTCACGCTTATATACCCAGATAAGGTCTCCGTAAACTGCCATCCGATGGATTGTGGCTTCTCTTCTATGCTCTCTTGATGATCCTGGCCATTGCGAGACATTTGTGGCTTGCTGGAGATACCTAGAGGGCCATTTGCAGTTTGATCAATAGTAAATCCAGACATCTTGGCGATCAAGCTGACAGATCGCTCTGAGAGGGCAGATATTGTTGCCAGAGGGTTCACACCTGTTATATCAGTATAAGATGATAATGATACAACAGGGGTCATCAATGTGTACACAGTGCCATGAAGTATTGGACAGTTCTACACGAAAGGCTCGAACCTATTTATACCGTTTCATGCATCGTTTTCACCTTCTTTTTTTGCCCATTCCGGGGTGCCTCGGGGTGAGCAGTCTAGGTCAATTAAGGTTGGGGCGTGAAGGGGCTTCCGTGCCCTGAGCCATCACTGCTCGTGTTGGTCCCTCCTAAAAGGTGCACCGTGACTTCTTCTTGGTAAAGGCCTGGACTCAAATGTTAGACCGGCCTTTGAGAAAAGTCGAGAGTGATAGAAGTATACCGTAGAAATATGAAAATCCCATATCTCCCGCTCCCATGCCAGGCAAAGAAGACAATGTATCCTCCTTCCTCCATCTTCTCCACAAACCGCACCTCACATCCACAAAATATCTCAGCATCCCAGTTCCACGCATCAGCCAAATAACTGGTTGCCACGGTATTTTTTGACCCATCGTTCAGGCCGGTACATTCATGCCCTGATCCTCGATTGGGGTGCATGAAAACACCAGCCTTGTTGCGGCCGCTGTGGAAGAACGTGGTAAGTGGTGCATGATAGAAATTTTGTTCTTCGCCTAGCCATCGTGAATCAGCTCGCAGATGCTCTAGTTTGGCCGGGGTTGGGTAATTTTCTGGATATGTGGATGGTTGCAGCATTGATTCTGCGCGTGAATAATCTACTTCGATTAGTTGCTAGACATATCTAATCACCCTGCACAATACGTATATGCATAAACATGGAATCGGATCTTACATTCATCAAGTCCGGACGGATCTTCTCTAATTTGTGATGGCCAAGGACTCATCCTTAATGTCCCTTCATCTGCCTTTAGAAAGACACCACAATTGATAAGGATGTTCCTCCGAGTCCTATATGATATGATTCCATTAGAATATACCGGGAGCTTGAACCACTGCAATTTGACACGACTTACCATGAGCAGCAAACGTATGTTGTCCATCGCCAAGATACAACTGAAATAGTCGCGTAGGATCACCAGAAGAAAGCCATTTCGATATGAAGGCATTCTTCGCAGAACTTCCCGAGATATTCATATCCTTCACGCATTGGGGAAACGTATGCGGAAATGAACCAGCTGTATCAAATCGTTAGACCAGCAAGCTCAGTAGAATGAAATAAAATTTGAGAAGCGCACATCTTCGTTCCCAACCAAGTTCCAACACAGCAACACTCTTCCCAGCACGAGCCATTCGACTTGCTGCCACGCCAGCTCCATATCCAGATCCTACGATCACAACATCATACTCCGATTTCATACCTTGCATTTGTCAGATTGTGACTATTTGTGCAGTTGGCGAGCCTAATTGGGCATGTCACGCGGCGGGGAATTACTGTACTGGAATAACATTATCGTTATTGATTCAGTAGGGTGGAAGTGAAGTCTGCAACTTCTGGGGCGTGAGTAAGGTGTGTGTACATGTCGACTTGACAAGGGATACCCATGTTGTCTATATGGGTAACTGTTGGAGTATTTGTCTTATAAGTTTAGGATCTACGGAAACTCTACGCAGAAATACGGCTATCGACTATATCGGAAATGAATTGGGAGAGTAATCTATTCTTAGGTATACGGCTACCACAGCACAACTACGATCTAGACCAGACCAAAAGGTGGATGGCAAATGGAATATGCAAAGAATAAAATTGTCAGGCAAGAGGGTGTAGTACAATACAGGTCATGGGAACCATAGATAAGATCAGGAGAATAACGAAAAGAAGATTGAGGGCAGAACAAAAGAAAAGGAGATAGGGCAAAACAATGGCAAGTAATCCTACAAGCAACCCTTGGAAATAAGCTAGATGCAAACATGCGAACTCCTTTCCTTCTCATCTTTCGTGTTTCTCTTTTCAACTTGCGTTTTGTGATTATGATTTCGATTTCGATTTCGATTTCTTAATGGCCACCTGCCATAATGACGCCGTAATAGCGGCGGCTCATTTCTGCTGTTTGGGCGATGCGGGCGTCGCCTGTTAGGGGAAGGCCGAGGAGTGTGGATGATTCGACGAACTGTGTGGAGGTGAGTGTTAGTCTGGGATTAAACAATTGAGATTAGATGAGGGAAAAGGAACGAACCTGAACATCTTCGTGAGTAATCCAACCAGTAACAGCGCGACTCATCTCCTTAAATGCGACGCGCTCTTCTAATCCTTCCATGCCAGATCCTTCAATGCGATCGCTCATAGCAACAAGGGCATTGACGAGGCGGTTGAGACGGGTTGCGTCGCGTCTACCGCTGGGAGCAGTGACCAGGCGCAGGAAATCTTCGTAGACACCACCACCGGAAGCCCAGCCGCGCATCTTACGCTCAGGCCCGTCACCGAAGCCAGAGACCAGAATCTCGAGTGCGGTAGTCGCCTTCGATGATGGCGGAGGGAGCGACGATGCGGCAGAAAGTGGCATGGGCGTCGTTCCAGTGCTTGCCGCGGATGAGACAGTCGACTTCGCGTGCTGCGTCGCCGGTGTCGCGGGCGTAGAGGGCCTTGGCGACCCAGATCCAGGCCTCAGGAAGTTGGAGGTCTGAGACAAGATAGTGCCATGCCGGGTCGACGGAGCCATCGGCAGCGAGGGGCTCGGGGAGCTGGGCGGCGGAGCGGGCAAGAGTCTCTTGCACAGCGCGTTTGCGGTCGTTGGCTTGGGAAAGGTGTAGAAGGACGAACAAGGCCTGATTGAGATCTCCGCTTGCACTCAGTTCTGAAGCAAAGTCCCAGACGAGGTGGTCAGCCTGGTGCTGATTGACTGTGATGGCAGAGCTTTGTCCGACAGTCGCAGCGAGGACATGGTGAAGCTGGAAGGAGAGACGGTTCGAGAGTTGGTCACCGGAGAGGGTCTCAGGGAGGAGAGCAGCGGGGAATTCGATAGGCTGGGTCTTCAGACCCTGGGTGGCAGAGTAGGCCTTGAGTAGAACCCAAAGCGGGGACTCACGACCAAGGGTATCAGAGCCAGGCTGGGGGACAGCGCGGGTACTAGCTTCGTGCGAGGGATGAGGGAAGGCCTGTTCCTGGCCGGTAGCCAGGTCCTTAAGAAATTTGGAAACAGCAGCCTCAATGGGCTCATCTTCAGTAGTGCAGTACCACAGGCGAAGACCAAAGGCTTGGAACCAATCGAGATTGAAGCGCTCGGTGAAGCCGAAACTGGAGGCACGGTCCTCAAGGGCAACGCCGGTCTTGCCTTCACTGCGGAGAGCATTTCCTGCAACCAGTTCGTAGAGAGCGCGCACAGGCTCACTCATTTCCGAAAGCACATTGTTCTGGCGCCACATGTCAATCTGATTCGCGATGTCGGTTCGGGAGGTAGCATCGCGGCCAATCTGTGCCACCACAGTAGCCAGGTGTGGGTTTTGACTCTCCACCAGCGTAGTACACGCTTCTTGAACCCGGTGAGCACACATCAAATGCACAGCGCGCTCGACAGGTGAGCGGATCATATCGAGGTTGGGGTTCTTCTCGCGGATGATGCCCTCCCAGAGACGAGTTAGACGATCCTTCTTGATACGATGGGCGAACTTTTGCTGAAGTTTTGGTGGAACACCAGCTGAAATGTCATCTTCGATATCGTCATTGAAAAGGATGTTGAGAAGCTGCCACATTAAGGTCTCATCCTCAGATTGAGAACGGCTGGAAGGAGACAGAGGGAACTGCCAAAGCTCGGGACTGGCCATACGAACGAGAGGGGTGCCATCGACGCGTTGGATGGTGGATTGTTGTCGCTGGACGTCAAGCATTTCCTTCGACTATTTGTGATCAGTGTCAAGTCCGAATGAAAAGGGCAGAGAAATGTAGACAAACCTCGCTAGTTTTCTTGTAAGTCATAATCGCAACGTCTCCTCCTTCACTGAAAACAGTGAACTTTTCTTGCCAGGTCTGGGACACCTCCGAAATAGTTTCCTGCATGTCGGTCTTCCCGCAGACAAGAGAGTCCTGAGGACCCCAGCGCGGCTTGAAAGAGTCGTGGAAGGCAGCGTCGATCTCGGTCATTTGAGTTGCATCACCAGCGAAGGTTTTGGGTTGCTTGTTGTAGGGCCACTGTAGGAAAGAAGAGGAAGATTTAGCTCAGTTACTGTCACATTGGGTCAACTATCTGTGGGGTGAACGTTATCGTCCTAGATACATGATGAGAGGCAACAAAGGAAATAACAAAGGAAATAGCTATCAGCATGAACATAAGAAAGGAGTTCTAACCTCAATGCCTTTAGACTGTGTCTTGGCAGGCTTCAGCGGAGACGGGGCGGCTCTCTTGCCCGGCTGTTGAAACAGAGAGTTCATCAAATCGATGCTGTTTGAGAAACCCTTCTTGGGAGAAGCCGTCGCAGTGTTTGTGGGAGAGTCGTCAACAAGGTTACGATCCATGAAGGCATTCGCCTGCATTTCACGCAACGCATCGCGGTTCTGCTTGCGAGGGCTGATGGTGCGCTGCAACTGCTCGGCCCAGTCGCCACTGAGATCAAGCTGAGGCTTAACAGGGCTTCCAAAGTGTCTCATAGGTTGAGTGGTCTCCATGGCACCGTTGGTACCCTGGTAGTGGTCCCGCTCCACGGTACGATGAGGAGTAGGAAAGGCACCAGCCATATCCATTTCATCTGCCTCATCTGATCCAACTACCGAATCGCCAGATTGTTGGCTTTCGGTGACGACGTCGTCGTCTTGCTCAGTAGTCGAACCCGTGGAGCCTTCCTCTAAAAAAGACTCAGTCTCGCCGTCGGAAAGCATGTCATCATCCTCCGCAGCCGTGGCCTGGCTACCGAAAGAGCCGGGAACAATCTTGCGCTTCTTGAAGTCAAACGTATCATCATCAACACCGACCATGGAACCAACGAAAGACTCATCGATCGAGAAAGTGGTGGACTGCTCGAAGCTCGCGGGGTGATCGGATTGGGCCTTGGGAGTAGGATGGTCAGGGCCGGCGGCACTCATAGTGCTTTGGTCAAGACTCTCACCTTCCTCGTCCTCATCATAGTCAAGTCCGTAGGTAGTGAAGTGAGGAACCTTGAAGACCCAGGTACCGGTCTCAGTCTCGTAGTTGATGAACTCAGTATCGCCGACCTTCTGGAGACGATCAATATGCTTATCGAAGAGGGGACCGCTGGTGACAGGGGAGTTGCTCTTCCTGTCTCTGCCACGGGGCCATGAGTTCTCGATGCGCAGAGTAGAGGGCACGTTCAGTCCCTTGCCCATGGGAGGCTTGATGGACTCATCGGGGTAAACGGTAATCTTGCGAAGCCCGATGTTGACGATGTTATCGAACAAGTGATCCACGTCAGTGGTGCTCAAATCAACCTCGCCATTGAAAGTAACGGATCCGCAGTTCTGACGTCCGACAGTGAAGTCGACAACGTGCTTCAGCTGCTCGCGGCTCATCTTGCTAAGTGTAGCGCGGGAAGGCTCCATCCAGTACTCACCGGGCTTCGGGTCACCGCCAGGAATGAAGGTCAGGCGCTTGACAGTAGCACCGTTGGTAGTAGCTGGACCATTCTCAGGGACAATAGCGAGATCCCGGCTGACAGACTCCATTTCAGGACGACCAGATGCAGTGACATCAACGCCGTTCAGACTACCGCTCTTGCGGACAGAGCGAAGGAAGCCGAGCTCCTCAGGAGTGGGCTCGGGGCTCTTGGGCTCGACGGGAACGACCTCGCCACCAGTGGGACCAGGAGAGGTGGAATCAAAGCTGACCTTCTTCTTCAACTTGTCTGGATCATCTCCGTTGGTGATGGGTGCAGGGTTGCTAGCAGGCTTTTCGAAGAGATCGGATCTCAGGTTGCGGTTGATAGTAAGGCGCTTCAAGCCGCTTCCACTGCGGGTGCTACCCGACTGCAACGCACCGGGAGAAAGGACGCTGCTGGACTCCGGGTCAAAGGTATTGCGAAGGTTGCTGGTGGAATAGCTCTTGCTGAAGGAGCGACCCATACTGCCACCATTGAGGCTGCCACGGAGACTGTTGCTACCGCTACCCAACAGGCTGTTGCCCAAGCCAGATGGAGTGCCGGTGACGCTAGATGGAGAGCCGTAGGTAGAATAAGAGAAACCATATCCACGCTTGGGGGGCGTAATAAGACGGTTGGCAGCAGTCGAGGTGACCTTGTACATGGGCAACGGAGCTCGCTGCTTCTGTCTCATGCTAGAAGACAATGGGGTCGCCAGGGGACCAGGAGCAGCGGCATTTGGTGCAGGAAGACCAGAGAAGATCGACTGACTTCCGTAAGGGTTTCCGTCGAGGAGCGATGCCTGGAAGCTTCCAGGGGCAGGCTGAGACTGTTGTCCAGACTGTGAGTTTCCAAGGAGACTGCCGCCGAGGCCACCAGTCTGCTGTTGTTGACTCTGACCGCCGCCGAACATTGAGCCGCCAGTAGCAGTGGTGCTCTGACCGCCACCGAACAGGCTACCTCCAGTGCCACTGTTTCCGAAGAGACCACCAGGCTTTTGCTGTTGCTGCTGCTGGGTCTGGTTGTTGCCGAACAAACCACCGCCAGCACCAGTGCTTTGCTGAGGCTGGGTGTTACCAAAGCCCCCGAATGCGCTTCCAGTGGTGTTACCAGTGGATGAGAAGAGACCACCAGGCTTTGGTTGCTGCTGGTTCTGTGTGCCAAACAGCCCCCCGCCAGTGCCGCTTTGCTGCTGCTGAGGCTGTGAGCCGAAGAGGCCACCTCCCTGCTGCTGAGGCTGTTGCTGCTGGGTGTTACCAAACAGCCCGCCGGTACCTGTACTGCCGGTAGCACCGCCTAGGAGGCCAGTGCCAGTTGACGGCTGCTGGGTGCTCGCGCCGAAGCCACCACCGCCGAACAGTCCTTTGTTTTGCGTCTGATTCTGGTTCTGTTGGTTTGCGCCGCCAAAGCCGCCGAAGGCACTTGTTCCTTGCTGCTGGGTGTTTGCGCCGCCGAAGGGGGATGCAGTAGCAGTCGAAGCTCCGAATGGATTTGCGGCACTGGTAGTTTGGGTATTTCCGAATCCACCGAACCCACCGGTTCCAGTTGCTGCACCACCGAAGGCCGGCTTAGCCTGCTGATTGGTGTTGCCGAAGAGAGAGCTGCCAGTGTTGCCGAAAGCTCCTCCAGTTCCGGTACCAGTGCCAGCATTGGCTCCGAACCCGCCGGTGGTCTGGGTATTTCCGAACATGCCACCTCCGGAAGTGGCTGCAGGGGCAGCAGTGTTAGAGGTGCCGAACAGCGAGGTTGTTGGCTTAGCTGCTCCGAACAAGGGGTTGGGGTTACTGGCTCCGAATCCTGTGCCGGCGGTTGGGGTTGACCCGAAGGCAGATGGTGCGCTTGTAGCAGCACCGCCGAATGGAGTGGTGCTTGCACCAAATGCGCCGGTTGTAGTGCTTTGAGGTTGAGCGCCAAATCCACTGCCACCGAACGCAGAGTTGCCGAAGGCACCAGCTTGTCCACTTCCGTTGCCAAATCGACGTCCCTGCTGATAATCTGCTAGGCGTAATTCCTCGAAAGAGAATTTGCTGTATGGCTGTTGGAAAACGATACTTTGGTAATGGTTCGTCGCGTTCGAAGTGGTATCCTTCTCGGTGTAGGCGTTGAATGGGGTGCCGCCTGTTCCTTCGCAGGCAGCAGTACCGCCCTGGAAAGCAGAGCCGGAGGCGCCAAAGCCTGTAGCTGGGGCAGCAGTGTTGGTCGTCGATCCAAAGCCGCCAGTAGCCCCGCCGAATCCAGTGCCCGTAGCTGAAGCACCAAACCCAGTAGTTGGTTTGGCAGCACCGAAGAGTCCTCCACCCGTGTTTGTGTTTGCGTTGGCGCCGAAGCCGGTGCCAGTGGCGGATGAGCCGAATCCTGTGCTAGTACCACCGAAGCCAGTGTTGGTAGGAGTGCTTTGAGCACCTCCAAAGAGAGATCCACCGGTGGTATTGTTGGAGGCACCAAATCCGGTGGTGGTGCGGTTTTGACCGCCGAAGAGGGAATTAGGTTGAGTTTGCGTATTAGCCCCGAATCCTGAAAGAAAAGAAGAAAGGGTCAGTATATGTCAACAAACGTAAATTCAAGCAATGAAAAAGAAAAACAAGAGAACGGAAGTCCTCATGTGATCCAGCGAAAGTCCAGAAGAGTTGCAGTGTGGTCGACTCCAGTAAAATCCAGGATCACTCATTCGGAAGAAATGAGTGTGGAATCCACATGCGAGACCGGTACAAAGCTTCTGAATCGCAAGTCGATGCGATGCGATGAGGGACCTCTCAAATGAATTCGGAAGGAACAGAATCGCAAAGCTCTCGAGGATCACGTACCTCCGCCGGTGCCGGAAGACGAACCGAATCCAGTAGACGTGTTGGTTGAGCCACCAAAGGCGGGCGTAGTGCTGGCACCAAAGGCGCTAGGGGCGGAGCCAAATCCTAGATGACGGGAGTGATCGTGGTCAGAGGGACTGGGATTCAAGCTGTTTCTAGCTTTCCTTATCTTGTCGGGCTGTCGCTGGGTGTGCCGAATGGCGCGCACCATCTCGCTGTCAGAAGCACGGCGAGTCTCATATTGGTTGGGATTGCCATGTGCGCGCGGAGGACCGCCGCGGTACGACATGAGGAGCAGCAGTTGTTGTTGAGATAGAGGAAAACCGAGGATGGAAGTACGAGAGGGGACAACAAGAAGAGGTTCGAGAAAGGCAAGAGGGGGGTATATCATGGGCAGAACTAAGAGTATAAGACCTACCTCCACCAGTATTGGCATTGGCCCCGAAGCCTGTGCCTGTGCCAAAGCTGCTGCTTTGGTTGTTCTGACCGAACCCTCCACTTCCAAATCCGAAGGTCGACATTATGTCGGTTGGAAATTTTGGGTGTTCACGCAGTCATAGGTCGATTTCGAATCTGAGGCGGATGCGAAGGCGGTCGAGGATGTGGAAGGAGCGCGTGTGATGAAGACTGAGAGGGAGGAGAGGACGCGACAGAAAAGAGTTCTTTGCTGAAAGGCAAGACTGATTATGTCAGCCACGGGCCACAATACTCCGTCACGTGAGCCTCAGCTGCCTAAAGCGGCAGTCCAATGAAATGCTTCAATAGACGATACAATTGGCTTACCGCCGATATTCTTATAGAAAAATGACTCATTGATCGTGTGGGCTGTTCTAGATTGTAATTTCTGAGTCAAACTACAACTGATACGAAAATGAGCGGTATGATAAGTATTGTTGCGACAAACACGAGAACTATACAATCCGGTCTCCACCTTTGTTTCCGCCCTACAATAAAGTTATGCAGCCATCCACTGTTCCTACCAATATCGGAACAATATCTCATATCTGGTCGCAGACATCGCGTTCTAGTGTAGGATTTCTGGGTTTCGCAGTGGTTTTCGAAGACATGCAATCTATTGGTCGGCGCTAAGTACACATATTGGGGCTTTCGTTTACAATCTCTATCTATATATTATGTCTCAGATGCGTCTGTACTCCGAAGCGAGTTTAACCATGCAAATCAATATATCAAAACAATCATATTCAAATTTTCAGCCGCTAAATCCCCCAGAAAGGATGGATGATTCCAACCAATTACCAGATTAATGCATGCAGTTCTTTGGAAAAAGGATTTTACATAACAACCTCTGAAACCATCCCCTGCGAGGAAACATATACAGCAACGGAATTCATAGCCAGATTGGCTCCCGAGGTGTACGATCTGCGGATCTATAGCTCATCAAGTTGAGCAGCTGCAGGGACCGTCACATACTAAAATTTGGTCCCCTGTTTCGCCGCATGGTAGGGCATCCAATTGACGATAAACAAAGGAAGAACCCCGCCTGCCTAACAGCACTTACAGTAGAACATAAACAATGCGTCATAAGTTACCTGCCCAATCTACGGCATAAATAAGCAGAGAGCCACCTGTTTGCCCAGGTCTCCTTAAGAAAAATTCCACTAGAAACCATCTCATCCACCGGGTTTCTCATACACACCCTAGGATGGAGTTTATACCCACGACACGAAATTGCGAGAATCCTCTCTGAAAGCACACCTAGCACCCCAACCGAAATTTTCTCTACAAATACCCGGAACGCACACAGAGGGGGAACAAGCCGAAGTCGCCGATTTCGATACGTGGATTGATTGTTCAAAGAAAGCCAAAATCAAATCTAGAAGTTTTCGATGGTCAATGAAAGTAACCATCGCTATTGAGACCAGATTGGTGAATGCAGTGTCCGGGTTCTCGATGGTACCATGTAGCCGGCTTCAGGATTGGCTTGGAGATGATAATGGTAACGATTGAAGAAGGTAAGTTATGGCCTCTAACCTAGGTAAGTGTCCCTTGACTATCCTGTACTAACTAATAGACATCAATCTGGACAGTACATAACCAGATGCCTCTACAAGATGACGAACTGGCTGCTATCATATAATAGCTTCCATATCACCCAGGTAATGATCTATAGGAAGTGGCTGGGAGCGTATCCCCAGTGACCCCGTCTAGGGGCTAGCTATAAGCTATACCGTGATGACAGGAACGACTAACCGAGGCAATTCACAGGGTGTTCCATTTTATTTATCATCCTACAAGATATCCAAATATCCAAAGCAAGATACTATTCACAACGCTTCGGAGCAGATAAGGGAATCTCAAATACACACGACAGCACACATAATACCGGAAAAAAAAAAGCAAAACGAGGAAAGACCCCACGTTTCCAAGTCAGGGAAGGGGGGCAAGTCAAAGCCAGCTATCAGATCCATGGATTAACAGCTCAATTTATGATGAGAAACCTCATTTTTTTCTTCAAATGTTTCCACTAGGAAAGTTCTTCCACGTTCATTATCATCAAAATCGTAGACGTACACTTTACTTCTGGCGAGCGGCGTGGACTGTGGCGATAATTGTGTCCACGACACTGGGGTCAGAGAGCTATAGATTTGTTAGTGATTGTCCGATGAAACTATTAAGAAAAATAGTTTTTGCCGACGGCAAACTTACCGTCGAGGTATCACCAAGACTGTCCTCCTCGCCACTCAAAATCTTGCGCAGAATACGGCGCATGATCTTACCGCTGCGGGTCTTGGGGAGGTCTTCCACAACGAAGACGGCTTTGGGGGCAGCGAAGGGTCCAATGGACTTGCGTACTTGCATGGCCAGGTCCTTGCGAACCTGGTCATTTGTCTCGTTGCCTTCCTTGAGGGCAACGAAGGCGTTCACGGCCTGGCCGGTCAGCTCATCGGCGATACCGACAACAGCTGCCTCGGCAACCATGGCTATTCACAGTTAGCTTGGGCTCGGTGGGTATGTGATTTTGTGGTGTACTTACGGTGCTCGAGGAGGGCGGCCTCAATCTCGGCGGTGGACAGACGGTGGCCGGAAACGTTGACAACATCATCGACACGGCCACGGATCCAGTAGTAGCCGTCGTGGTCACGGCCAGCACCATCTCCAGTGAACTAGTACCTGTTAGTCTGATTGCTCTGATTGCTCTGATGTCAGAGTGCAGATACTTACGTAGTAACCCTTGTAGACATTCAGGTAAGTGTCCATGTAACGCTTGTGGGCTCCCCACACAGTGCGGGCCATACTGGGCCACGGCTGCTTGAAGGCAAGGACACCCTCAACATCGTTGCCAAGGATCTCCTCTCCGGAGACAGGGTCAATAATGGCGGGCTCGATACCGAAGAAGGGCAACGAAGCACTACCGGGCTTGGTGGGGGTGATACCACCAAGAGGAGTGATAACGTTTGAACCGGTCTCGGTTTGCCAGTATGTCTACAGTCACAAAATTAGCCATTATCCAAAGTTTGCAGGGGCAAGAGACGAACGTCGCAGATGTGAGCTTCTTCCTTTCCGACGGCCTCGAAGTACCACTTCCAGACCTCTGCGGCAATGGGCTCTCCGACGGAACCAAGCACACGCAGGCTCTTCATCTTGTGGTGGATGTGCTCATTACCAGCGCGCTTCAGCAGACGCAAGGCGGTAGGGGCAACGTAGAACTGGGTGACATCGTACTTGTCGATGACATCCCAGTAGCGGGAGAAGTTAGGGTACGCGGGGGTACTTTCGAACACCACGGTGGCGCAACCCAAAAGAAGAGGAGCATAAACAACGTAAGTGTGTCCGGTAATCCAACCGACATCACCACCGCAGAAGTAGCGGTCATCGTCGTGGATATCGAACACGTATTTTCCGGTCATCGCGGCACCGAGGAGGTAGCCAGCAGTGGTGTGCATGACACCCTTGGGCTTGCCGGTGGAGCCAGAGGTATAGAGAAGGAACAGAGGATCCTCGGAGTTGACGGGCTCGGGGGCGAGATAGTTGGGGTACTTCTCGACCTCCTCGTGCCACCAGATATCACGGCCGGGGGTCCAGGGGACCTCGGCGCCAGTGCGCTTGTAGACAAGAACCGTTGTGACGTCGGGGCACTGTTTCATGGCCTCGTCGACGATGCGCTTTGTGCCAATGACCTTACCACCGCGCTTACCCTCGTCAGAGGTGATGACTACCTTGGAGGAAGCGTCGAGGACACGGTCACGGAGAGAGTCTGAGGAGAAACCGGCGAAGACAACGGAGTGCACAGCGCCGATACGCGAACAGGCAAGGAACGCAATGACGGCCTCGGGAATCATGGGGAGGTAGATTCCGACGGTGTCACCCTTCTTGACACCGCGCTCCTTGAGAGTCCACGCGACGCGGGAGACCTCGCGCATGAGCTCACCGTATGTGATCGTGCGGCCCTCATTAGGCTCGTCGGCCTCGTAGATAATGGCTATCTTGTCGGGGTTCTTAAGAGCGTGGCGGTCCACACAGTTGTATGAGGCGTTCAGACGACCCTCGACGAACCAGGCGTTGTCGCCATTTTCGAAAGAGCCGTGGTGTGTGGTCTCAAAGTCCCTGTCGAAGGTGAGGAGTTCCCGGGCCATGCGGGCCCAGAAAGTGTCGGGACTCTGGATTGATTCATCGTAGAGCTTTTGGTACTCGGCCATGTCCTTGATGTGGGTTCCGGTAGGGTGCTTCTCGTGGAATGCCTTGGGCACGTGGAAGGTGTCGACCTCGTGGGCCTCGAGCACCTACACTAATTGTTAGCCAACTCTGCGAGCAACGCCCAGATTGAGATCAAGGACACTTACCACGGCGGGCTTGGGCGGCGCAACTGGGCCGTCCGACATGATTGCGATTCTCCGGTGTGTATAAGGAGAATTCTGATGAGGGTTAAAACTGAAGGAGAGAGTAAGGGAAAGAGAAGCTTACGAGGGGGTATAATAAGTCCAGAAAGAAAAGAGACCGAGAGCGGGGGATGAGCCATTATGTATTTCCCCGGGTGGAGCATTTCCTAATCCGGCATGAGCCGCTTTACAGTAAAATACCACTCTGGCTATTTCACCTGCACTTGCTGACACTCTGCTTCTGGTCCATTCTAACTATTCTTAACTATTACTCTTACTTTTGCCCTTACTTCCCTTAATACAATACAATATTCAACGTATGCCAAGGCTTGGGTTTGGGTTCGGTCATGCGGGGGTTGACATCCTTCCGTTGCTCCGGGGAAGTGCCCCTCCACGAAAATCATGTCTGCCAATATTGGGTTGTGATCAACCGACCCCTGTCCCCGTATAGAACCCTTTGACCGAACCCCGCCTATGGTTGGCTTCCCGACTTGGAGGTAATACTTGTAGAAGGCGTGGGCTAGATCAGCCTTTCATGCCGTCTCGATGGTTGTGTGTACAGGTACATGTCCATCCTCATTGTTAACTTAGGTACTTCTTCCTCGGGAGATCTCCCCTGCACGATTGAGATCTCAATCTAGATGCCCCGGTGTGACATACGAGAGCTATGTCATGAGGTTTTATGATGTCAACCTTGAAGCTAAAGCTCAACCTTGGAACTGTATGTCCAACCTGGGGAGGCGGACCGATGCCCAATTGTAGATTAGTTCGGCAACCACTTTGATCTCACAATGGAAGTTTATTGATTCTTGGCACTTTACAAGCCTGCAGACAAGCCATGACAAGGTTGTGTATTTAATTCAAGTTCATTTGCACTGTGGGTAGGGTGGTTTGGATTGTGGGGAGTGTGGGACAACGCCTGTCTCGCTAATTTCTTTTTCCCCTTGTTTTTTCTCGTAGATACTATTGTATAACTTACATAAATAGTCCCGAGATAAACACATCATACCTCCCAATTTATGCTTAAATCCTCTCTCATTCCCCTGAGGTTGTGGTATCCTCCGTTGCATCCGAGTGTCACAAATATAAGTTTGACGGCGGGATCTTCGCCCCTCCCCTATTGCAACTGTAACTGCAACGCGAAGATCAGACGGCAAAGAACACACCGAGCCACTGCACCGCGCATATGCGGCAGAAATAAAAAGGTTGAACTAATGCACATTAGCTCCACCTCTCCCACTTCGTGTCCCAACAAAAAATGCGCATGCAGCCTGACCTAACCGACCTAGGTAGATAATCCAGCCCGGACGGCGTGTGTACTGTACAGCCAATACCAACGGGATGAACCCGAGGACCCCCACCATACCAAAATTCGACACCGTTGTGGGACAGCTTTGAACCGTTCTTTGAGAGGATGAGTGGCCGAGAAAAGACCGCGTTAAGTCCAGGGGGAAGAGGGTACAGAGGGGGGTGGGGGGATAAATGATGTTCCGACCCCGTCCAATGAAACAAGGGCTATCTCAGCATCCTTGCCCTGACTTTGGACTGGACAGATTCAGCATGGATCGTGGATCTTCGGAGGATCTGGAATATGGAAGTCGGAGGCCGTCGCAATGCCGGCTTGGCATGGGTAACATTCCGTCAATGGCCGATTGCGCTCGACCTTGTCGGCTTCGACCCGTGAAATATGTGAGTGGAAGCAAGACGATGGCCGTCGATTAGCATGTAGAGAGCTGGGATTGGATAGTGTCAGACACCAATCATCCAGGGGTTCTGTGAAGAAACATCTCGAAGAAGATGGCCTTGCACGGTCTGTCAGACGACGGCCTTTCTGGCGATAATAGATTAACCGCGAAGAAAGCACAGGTTCAATCTTCCAGTAGATGCAAGTCAATATCAGGCGTAGACTGTGGTATTAGCTGTGGTTACCCATATTCCCTGGGGGAAATCTCCCCGTGTTCCCAGATTGTTCAATCTCTCCAATTGAGCATCCAAACCAAGGCAGAGATGACGGATGAAGGGAGTCTGAAGCCGCGGGTAGAAGCACACACAGCCTTCATCTCCCTCGGTTCAAAAACAAAGCTTCGTCCGGCGACATTGAAGGGAATGACGTTCGAACCGATAAAATCCTTGGGACGGTCGGTTAGGGCTCGGAAAGCGCAACTTCAGAATTCGGACGAGCGGGGCGGGTGCTTGGCCCTCGGAAAGGAAACATAGTGAATTACCTACATATAGGTAGGTAATTTCCTGACTTGTCTACTTATCCTGTCGAGCGACTCGGGTTTGTAAGCCCGTAACCTGATTCGGCCCAAGTGGTTCCTTAATGTTTTGAGAAGGCGCGGGGTGTTATCAGTCGTAGTAGTCAGCTATCTATATTCACCACTAATGATAATGAAGACTTAAAATAATTAGGTCAGTATATCAATCTATTCTATTCAAAGCTGATATCAAAAATGGTCGTCAGCGACGAATTGGAAATTTCCAGCGAAGTGGTAGCTTCGATCCCCTTATCTGATAGCGTCGATCTATCGGATGAGAACAACTACCCAGAAGGAGGTCTCAAGGCCTGGTCTGTTGTTCTTGGAGCATGGTGTGCAATGGTCCCTTCGATGGGATTATTGAATAGTTTGGGGGTTCTACAAGCGTGGACGAGCACACATCAGTTGAAGGACTATTCGGAGTCGAGTATTGGTTGGATTTATGGCTCTTATGCATTCTTTCTATACATTGCCGGAGCGCAGACGGGTTTGTCAACACTCCATATCTCTGTCTTCGCAATGAGTCTTACAGTATACAGGTCCGATCTTCGATACATATGGCTCCAAGTTTGTGATCATCCCAGGGTCTATCGGGATGGTGGTTTCCATGGTGTGTTTCAGTTTCAGCGAAGGTACATTCAAATCGAAACACACGATCCAATAAGTTACAAGCACCTAACATAATCACAGAATACTACCAAATCTTCCTCTCCTTCAGCGTCCTCGGTGGCCTATCAGCCTGCACGCTCTTCACCCCAGCAATTTCAACAGTCGGCCACTGGTTCAACCTCCGCCGCGCCTGGGCAACAGGTGTAGCATGTACAGCCGGTGGAATCGGCGGAGTGATCTTCCCCCTAATAATCCTCTACGCGGCACCCAAGATCGGTTTCCCATGGGCAATCCGGATCATCGCACTGCTCTCTGCGATACTATGTGCATGTGCATGTCTATTGCTTGAGACACGGCTACCCCGAAACAAAAAAGCCGGAGCATCGGTTGATTTCCGCGCGCTGAGGGATGTCAAATATGCTTCTACGACTGCAGCTGTTTTCTTGGTTGAATTCGCGGTTTTCATACCCATTACCTATATTGCATCATATGCAATCTCTGTCGGTGTGGATGATACGATGTCCTACCTGCTAATACCATTTTTGAATGTTGGTGCTATACCGGGTCGATTCCTGCCAGGCTTGGTAGCTGATAGAGTTGGTCGTTTCAACGTGATGGTGTTGACATCGTTGCTGTGTTCGATATTGACGCTGGCTTTGTGGATGAAGGCTGGCGATGATTTGACGGCAATTATTTGTTATGCTGTTTTCTTTGGGTTTTGGAGTGGTGCTGCTATTAGTCTCACGCCTGTTTGTATTTCTCAGGTTTGTGCGACTGATGATTATGGGAAGCGGACTGGGACGACGTTTACTATTAGTAGTGTTGGGACTCTTGTTGGGATTCCCATCGCTGGGGCAATTTTGGAGCGTGATAGTGGAGGGTATGGGGGTTTGATTGTCTTTGGTGGTGTGCTTTATTTGGCGGCTACGGTTGCGTTTGTTGTTGCTCGGGGGATTTGTGCTGGATGGTCTTTGGATCTCAAGTTTTAGAGGACATAGAATAAGAGGAAAGATAAAAAGCACGATAAAAGGAATTATACAGACATGGTGGCTTTAAGCACCGTCATCATCAATGCAAGCGTTCATGTGGACAGAACTTACTCTCGGACAACTCTCATGCGACACAGACTCCACAATGGATTTAATTAGGTAACATGATCTAGCTCAGTACGACAGGGCTATGCACGAAAATTCTCATTTAGGCAGTTTGGCCCTATAGGAATGCAGCCACAAACAGCTAGACGGCCAACCACGGAGCTCGACTTGAATCGGTGAAGAGAGTTCGAATCTGAATGCCCAGGAAACATGCCCCATCCATCTTTGAACATGTAGATCGAGATATTCAACCATCCATCATGACCAGATGGTATGAGATCTACCCCGGATTATGTGGTAGTTGAAGGACTTCGCCGTCCGCCGATATTCTCCGCCGGGAATCTATACGACATGCCACGCCAGCATGCAGATCAAGTATGACGTCCCACGTCGATCTTGAGGGATTGAACATAAAAAGGTGAGTTTTCCCCAGGTTTCCAAATATTGAGAAACTCAAGGAAACATCCGAGAGTCTCTCTGTGTCGTGTCAGTTATACGTTTCAAACCGATCTCAAGCGAATCAGATCTGAACATAAAAGGTTCAAAAACAAATCGTCGCGATGTCAGGCAAAGAAATTAGCAACAGCATCAAGACAAAGGTCCGATCCATCTTGTCTACCGACAGTGACTCTAGATCGAGAATATCCAATGAATCGAGAACATATCCGTAAGGTGTTCTCTGTTAAGTGACGTCATTTCCTCTGACCTAGTCGCAGTCACTCCAGAATGACTTGTTATACTGCTCCTGCTCCTTATAACGGTATACTCTGACCTTGTGTTGCCTTGTTCGGAGATATTAACTGTTACCAGGAGATCAATGTTTTGGTTCTTGCTGCCGGGGTAAAGGGTACGCTCGGTAGGGATTTTTCGGATATCTTAGCTTCTTTTGCTTTTTCCTTTTTATATTATTTTTTATATTATTATTATCAGATATATCCAGGGTAAAAGATACCCTGTGGAATACGTCCTTAAAGCTTTTTTTTTTGGGGGGTATATGTTTTGTTTTGTACCTTCACACACTCGCTGGTCATACCGTGAGTCCACAGCACTACTGGCATGCTGTGAACGACGCAATTTTGTTTCATGACAAGGTCCGGCTTTTCCTGCTCTGTAGGTTCACTTTACCCGTATCAAGCATCTTCCCAAATGCGAAGTGTGTAGTTATGCGAGGCAAATTCTCTTGGCGGAAAGAAATTTAGGGTTTGTAGATGTTGCGGGAAGGCGCCGTTTCCCGCCATGAGCCGCCAACCGGGCTTCGGCCGTAGTCCACACCATACTTTGGCTGATAATTTCAAACATTCCGTTTACCAGTCGATTAATCTTGCCTTGTATCGATATCCACAGCTGTTCGAGGAAGGCGCTGCACAACCCATAGATTGGTCCACTTGGGCATCCCTTGATACACTGCCATTACTGACCCGGCTCTTGTACGGAGCATCTCTATATCAGCCCTGCACCTGCTGAGCCTGGCATATTTGATTATCATTCTGTCGAGCAGGCATCTTATTCTCTACAGAATGTACAGCACAAACGGCGCAACACGCGCCCTGTGCTCCAACACACGGCGATTTTCAACTGCGACTCGACTGCAAGCACTCTCAGGCCTCAAGATAAACCCCGAAAGACTATGGGATACATTACATGAGACTTGCAAATGGGGCGCTACCCATCGCTATGGCGAGTATGTATTGATATCCCTTCTTTGAACAAAGACTGTCGACCTAACGCGCCAGCAGTGGCCCAACTGACACAGGTATGGCTCGTTTAACCCTCACCGACGACGATGCCAGTGTGCGCAAGTGGTTTGCCACTGAAGTCCAGAAGCTGGGTTGCACTCTCTCCGTGGATCAGATGGGCAACATGTTCGCGCGCCAGTCAGGTCGACTGAACTCTCCTGTTCCAATGATCGCAATGGGAAGCCATTTGGATACCCAGCCTCGCGGTGGTCGATATGATGGTATCCTTGGTGTTATGGCTGCCCTGGAAGTTCTACGAACCATGAAAGAGAGCAATTTCCAGACCAATTATGATGTCGGCGTGGTTAACTGGACCAAGTATGTACTTAGCTCACCTTGTGACGCTGGGGCTCTATTCGCTAACCAAAGTTTACAGTGAGGAGGGAGCGCGCTTTCCTAAGTCCATGTGCTCCTCAGGTGTTTGGGCTGAAGCCATCCCTATCCAGAAGGCTTGGGATCTACGTGATATCCACGATCCCGACGTCACTCTTCGCTCCGAGCTTGAAAGACACGGATACCTCGGTGACATCTCTTGCTCTAGCGATCCGGCCACTGGGTACCCACTCGGAGCCCATTTCGAATTGCATATTGAACAGGGACCAATCCTGCCAGAGACTGGCCGGTCAATCGGTGTTGTTCGCGGAGCTCAAGGATACAGATGGTTGACCATGACGGTGCACGGAAAGGATGCGCACACTGGAACGACGCCTTTCAGTGCCCGTCAAGACCCATTGCTCGCATCCTCCAGGATGATTGCCATTTCCCACGATATCGCCAAGAAGCACGATGCGTTGGCGTCCACTGGAATTATAAGAGTCCCTTCCAACGCATCCACAAACACTGTCGCATCGCAAGTGACTTTCACACTTGACATTCGTCACCCGCAGGATAGTGTGGTGCACGCTGTGCAGGATGAGTGTCTCAAAGTTTTCGACGCTATTGCATCCCAGGATGGAAAGGGTGTTTCGTTCGACTGGACATTAGACACTGACTCTCCCGCTGTGGAATTCGACCACAACTGTGTGGCGTCTATTCAGGCTGCCGCAGACCAGCTCGTTGGCCGAGAGAAGTCCATGCTCATGACCAGTGGTGCAGGTCACGACACGGTCTACACTAGCAAGCACTGTCCCTCGGCAATGATCTTTGTCCCCTGCAAGGATGGAGTCAGTCACCACCCAACTGAATATTGCAGCCCGCAAGACTGGTAGGTCTTCCCACTACTTTGACTGGCATACAGAGACTAACTTTCGCAGTGCTCTCGGAACACAGGCACTTCTCGAGGCTGTTGTGCATTACGATCAATTCCGGGCAGAGAGCGAAGGACAAAAATAGTCGGTAGTGTTCTTTCGGCTTTGTAGATGTCAATTAGATTACTATGCGTGTATGGAGTATATCTTTCTTTATTTCTTCAGACATCTGGGAATCCAATCACAGTCGACCATTAAATAGTCTGGATCTAAATAGTCTCGATTTAAATAGAATTCAAGAGCGTGTATAACAACTTTGGTATCTGACATTTACGACAGTAGTTTCACTGCAGCATATTGTTACAAAATCCACCGATAAATCGAACGAAAAATACAAACTACACAGCGTTAATGTTACCAGAAGGCGCCCATATTCGCCGGTAAAACTGTAGATTTTGATTCCCCACCAGACCCATGTCGTCAGAAGGCGCGACATCCCCAGGACACCTCCGAACGGGGAGACAAACTACGAGAATGCCGAAAACCATAAAATAAATAAGCACAGGAACCCCTGTCCTGCAAATCGCAACACTCCACACATAAACCCTCAAAATGTCATCTCGTCGACCAATCTACTACAACCCCGCAGCCGCAAACGAGCGCATCAACTCCCCACGAATTGAAGGCTTGAAGTCCTTTCACCAATCCTTCCCAAACTACGCACCAACACCACTAGTCCAACTCCCAGAACTAGCAGTCGAGCTTGGCGTTAGCCATGTCCTCGTCAAAGACGAGAGTAACCGCTTCGGACTACCATCTTTCAAAGTCCTAGGCGCGTCATGGGGATGTTTCCGCGCTGTTGCGGCCAAGCTGGGCTGTCCTGCTACTATCTCGCTCGAGGACCTTTCAACTCGAGCTAAGGCAGAGTCGATTGTCTTGACGACCGCCACTATGGGAAACCACGGCCGTGCAGTCGCGTTTATGGCCGGGCTTCTTGGGATTGAAGCTCGGATCTTTGTCCCTGAGTGTATGGACCAGGACACTAGGGACCTCATTGCTGGAGAGGGGGCGAGGATTGTTGTTGTGAAGGGGGATTATGACAAGGCTGTTCAAGGCGCTTTGGATGAATCACGTTTGAAGGAGGGTGCCCTTCTTATCCAGGATACTGCCTTTGAAGGGTATGAGGATGTGCCTTCTTGGATCGTGGAGGGGTATTCGACTATGTTGAGTGAGGTTCAGGATGGTCTTGCTGAGCTCGGTCTCACTGGTAGTGTGATGATTAGTCCTGCTGGTGTGGGAAGTCTTGCGCATGCCGTGGCTAGACATTGCAAGTCGCAGAGTACGCCGTTGTCCATGGTTGCTGTGGAACCTGACACCGCTGCTTGTTTGTCTGCTAGCTTGACTGCTGGTAAGATGGTTACTACTCAGAGCTCGGAGACTATCATGGATGGTATGGATTGTGGCACTGTTTCTTCTACTGCTTGGCCGGACCTGCAGCGACTGGTTGATGCGTGCATCAGTGTTTCTTCTTATGAAGCACACTGTGCCGTGCAGTATCTGACATCCAATTCTGTGGCTGCCGGTCCTTGTGGAGGTGCTTCATTGGCTGCACTTCGCCATCTGGCCAAGGAGGGATCTTCGCATTTAAATAAGGACTCCGTCGTGGTCCTTCTCAGCACCGAAGGACCACGTAAATATTCCACTCCGAGAGATGTTTCTGTCGAGGACGCTGTGGGATTGACCCAAACGCTCACCCAGATCAACTCCTCCAACCCAACACTGTCTGTCACGGATGGAGTAGGCGAAACTGAAATCGCAAACTGGCTTGCCTCCTGGTTTGCACACCGTGATATTGAATACCACTGGATCGAAAAGGTCACAGGACGGCCATCCATCGTTGGTGTCCTGCGCGGTAGTGGAGGAGGCAAATCTCTCATGTTCAACGGCCACACAGACACAGTCAGCTTGTCCAGCTACGAGGCGGATCCCCTATCAGGCTCTATCCAAACCAAAGATGGGAAGCAAGTCCTTGTTGGAAGAGGATGCTTAGACATGAAGGGCGGATTGGCCGCAGGGCTAGCAGCACTTGCAGCAACAAAGGCCAGTGGCCGTATCCCTCGCGGTGATGTCATCGTCGCTGCCGTCTCAGATGAAGAGGATGCTTCCCAAGGAACCCAAGATGTGATCGAAGCCGGCTGGCGCGCCGATGCCGCCGTTCTCCCGGAACCAACTCAAGGTGGCATTATCACTGCCCACAAGGGCTTCGTGTGGGTTGAGGTTGATATCCTGGGAGTTGCCGCGCACGGCTCGGACCCCTCAGCTGGAGAAGATGCGATTCTGTATGCCGGATCATTCCTCCAGGCATTGGAGAAATACCAGTCCCACCTCCCGGTGGATGAAGCTCTCGGACAGGCATCGCTGCATTGTGGCTTGATTCGTGGTGGCGAGGAACCATCCTCATACCCCGATAAGTGCACTATCACAGTTGAGTTCCGCACCGTGCCCGCTCAAACTGAGGAATCTATCTTGGGGGACATGAGCCAATTGTTGAAGGGGATTGCTCAGCAGAATGCTCGTTTCAGATACGCCCAGCCTCGCATTACCATGTCGCGTCCTACGCAGAAGGTCGCTGTTGATCATCCCTTCGTGCAGCAGACTGTTACTACTGCGTTTTCTGTGTTGGGAAGCGAGCCTGTTGTAAAGAGTGGGCCGTTTTGGACTGATGCGGCTTTGCTTGGTGCTGTTGGTGTTCCGTCTATTGTGTGGGGTCCTGCTGGGGAGGGTTTGCATGCTAAAGAGGAGTGGGTTGAAGTTGAGAGTCTTGGACAGTTTGAGAAGGTTTTCACGCAGTTGGTACAGGACTTTTGTTATTAAGACCTTTGTATATGTATATGCGGACAAATGAACTCAGTTGAATGGAATCGCAATTGCGTTGTTACATATCTCTAGTGGATTTCGATGATAAATAGCAGGCTCACGTCATTAGAACCTATGTAAAGTAAGGACTGCTTTCTAGCTGGCATAGGACTTGGCGGGCCCTATCAGTCTCCGGGAGATTTGGCAGAGCTTCGTGCTCAACGCGCTACGGACAAGGCGTTAGACGCTACAAGGAGGGGAGTCATGTATTTACATCTATAGGTGTTTGGTTTTGCTTGCTCTCTAGTTAATGAACGAATGAAGCTATCTTACTTCCAACGACACCTAACCGGATGTGGAGTTTTGTAGTAGACGATTGTAGAGAGGATGTTGTGTATGGCCACGGAAGAGATCTTTATCGGCACGGGACTTGATCGACATCCAGACACCTTTGCCTTCCGTCACCATCCCACTTTCCACCTTTGTCTACACCTCGCGACTTTTTCAACTATAATCTGTGAGCTGGCACAGAATATCCATAATGTCCGAAGAATCACCCGCTCAACGATCCGCCCGACTGCGGCGCGAGCGGCGAGAGGCCAAGATCAAGGAAGGAGGGTCAGCACGCCTGGACAAGATCACCAGTTTGAGCGGACGCACTCCGCAATCTGGTACGAAACGAAGAGCTCCATTCTTTCCGCGCTATGCTCTGAAGCACCCCTCAATAGCAAAGCACACATGCCACCACGACACGAGCTAACAGAAGCCCCAAAACAGAACGCGAAGATGCCTCACCATCCCCCCAACGCTCAATCAGCGCATCACCATCTCCAGCACCCCCAATGCCCCAATTCCGCCCCTCGCCATCCCCCCAGTCAGAAATGCAATCCCCAGAGGCCCAGCGCGCCCAACAAGAAGCCTTCCTCGCCATGCTCCAACAATCCGCCTCCGGCCAAGCCCAAGGCCAACAACCCGACAGCCAAGCCCAAGCCCTGCAAGCACAGCAAGACGCCTTCCGCGCAATGCTGAGACAATCGGCACCAGAACAAGGACAGAGCCAAGGCCTACAATCTGACGACGCCGAAGACCCAGCCATCAAACTTCTGAGCTCCCTCCTGGGCGCGATGCCCGGTGGTGATCCCAACGCCCCGCCCGGTGCTACACCCTCCGACGCAGGCGCGCCACCAGGCCCTGGATCCTCGCTTGCCGCTATGGCGACCATGGCTGGCGTACCGCCCTTCCTGGCTAATATGCTTGGTGGAGCTCCTGCGCCGACTGAGGCGGAACAGAAGAGTACTCGGATATGGAAGACGTTGCATACTGTCTTTGCATTGGCTGTTTCCTTTTACTTGCTTTTCCTTATTGGGACTTCGGTTTCACTGTTTGGCAGTCCCCCGCCGAAGCCTGCGACGGCTCAGAATCCATTTGCGATTTTCGTTACGGGGGAATTGCTCTTGACTGGGGGAAAGGTGTTGTTTGGTGGGAAATCGGGTGGGATGGGGATGGCTGTGCAGCTTTCTAAGGATGTTATTCGTGATGGGAAATTGCTGCTGTTTGTTTTGGGGCTTGCGTCTTGGTATCATCCTGAATGGCAGGCTTCAGCATCGGCATAGTAGGACACTAGGTCCGAATAGTTTACTTTCTATGCGATATGAGCATTTCAATGGCATGTATTCTGTGATTCATGATTTCATCATTCGTATCTACAAGTTACTTATAACTTTTCTTCATCCACGTTAAGCAGATGAATCCACCGCACGTTCAAAAGGCAGTATTGCATTCCTTAGAACACCCATAGCCGATGAATCGAGCCCCCAATCCCCTTCCCACTGATGCATCCGAAAGCCGTTCTTGAAATGATCAGCCAGATGATCTACCCGAGCTGTCCAGGTAGAAAGATGAGACCCGCAGAATCCACAGCTACTTTTGACATTGGCGCCTGAACCGCGCCAGGCGTCGAGGTCAGATACCGGTGTTTTCGTGCAACTGTGGAATTTGCGAAGATGTTGCCAGAGATAATCCTTCCGACTAAATGACCGCTCGCCAACGGGTTTGTCGGCACAGATGTGGAATTCATGTTCCTCCATATGGGTAGGCACTGGGAATAGGACATCGCAGAAGGGACATTCGGAAGGTTGGAGATCAAAGTATTGTTGGAGTTCCGTTAGGTTCGGAGTACAGACCCAGGAGTCGAGAGTTATATGAACGCTTTTCTCATGCCGAGTCCAATCGTGCTTTTTCTTAAAAGAACGTGTGCAGAATGTGCATTGGTAAACATGATTCTCAGACCCGCCCCGTGACCGTCCTCGGATACGTCTGGGTTTGCTTTGTTTCGGGAGAAGGGGGAATGGTAAGCTTGTATCCCCAGATGAATGATAACTCCACGCCGAAGAGGCACTGTCGGAAGACTCCGATGCCCTGCTCCCAATACTTGAGACAGAAGACGCCAGATGTGAAGAGCTTTCGTCGAAGTCGAGGAAATCCATCGCAGAGCTGTCAAGCTTGAATGGATCAATGGTTCCGTCTGATTCTATCGAGCCAGATGCGATGGCGTTTTGAATCGCTGCTTGGGGGACGGGTTCGTCTTCTGGTGGGGATGCCTGCCACCGTTCCATTGGGGTCATGTCGGGTAAGGTGCTGGTTATCATGGGAGAGCCCGCGCGGGTACGAGACCTCGAGCTTAATCCCGATGACTGGATCTTCTGTTTCTGGCGTCGACGGGCATTCGCGAACCATGTTGATATACGCTTTTGAGAAAAGCCTGTGTCCGCTGACAGTTGGATCTTTTGCGCGTCCGTTGGGTAGGGATGTTCTTGGTTTTGATAGAACCACTCTCGGAGGACTCGAGCTCCCTTTCGAATGAATTGCTTGGGTTCTCTTCTACCATCTTCGTCGTTGAGATTAGTGACGGAGGATATGTTTCCATCTTCTGGGACGCCGTGTAGATGTCCTAGAACTGGGGTCATGGTCTCAAAGCCCGCTGGGAAGCGTTTCTCTCCTTTGGCAAGACTGCATTCCCTGAATAGAGCAACGCAGCTTGAACATGATGTCTTTGGGTTCGGGTTGGCATCTGTGGTCCGGATGATTAAACATTGTAGTCGGTGTCTGCGACAATGGTTGCAGGGGACCCGGGGACGGTATGCTCCGTGTAGCCACTGCGAGACATTGTTGAGGTTTGGCTGCGGCAGATATTGATCCACGCAATCTGTCGGTAGAGGTGAAGCAGAGTTGGCTATAACACCCGAGGGTTGTAGTTCACCGTGACCTTGAGGCTCAAGTTGTCGATCAGGTGTTGATAGATGATGTGACTCATGACTTATCCACTGTTCCCATCCCAGATCACTGGCATCTGAGGAACGGAGATAAAAGTCATTAAGAGCGTCGGGCTCAAAGACTGAATCATCTGGCAGCCATGGATCTGGCTCAGCTGTATGTAGGATGTCTCCTAGTCCCAAATCCGAGGCAGAATGTGGCAACGGCGGCCATGTTGGAGAGTCGATGGGTTGCTGTGGATTCATGCCATATAGATATGAGCGGAGTCACCAGACAGTGTGCTGTGAGTCCACTCCTTGAAATAGATGTATAGAATCAAGCCGAGAATCTACTGAGCCTGTGAGCTTGCCTTCATTTCAGATATCGGGGATCGTGGGTCTTCGAACTAGTCTACATCTGGTTAGTTGTATATTGCACCTTCCACAGACATTGCTTAATAATGGAGACTAGTCATGTGACTAGGAGGATCACCGCTGCCCACTTGGGCAGGTCAGTATTTGCTTGGCAATCCATCTCAAGGCCCGCTTTTTCAGACCAGCATGAACTCAGAGATAACTTGGCACTTTCTATACAGAATGACACATTATACTTGCTATCTACCCCGAGACCACTTTGCTTTTTCTGGACATGGCATGATGCATGCAGGCTGTTTCAGCATTCTTATCAAGTACACGTTTGCCAAGTCTTTACTCACATGCACTATGGAGTACATGGAGGCCGGAGTCTCAAGATGTTCGAAAATGTTTAGGAGGTTGAACTATATCCTTCACGTCACTTGATATAACACTCAACGCCCGTGGATCGTACTGAATATTCCCTGGGCGTAGAATTTGTATAACCATGGTGTCGGCATGAAAAATCTAAACAGCGATACTCGAAACGGCGCCGGGAAGTCTCAAGATCAAACCAGACCCTCTGCCAGCTTGCCCTGGCAAGATCGAGCCAGATCATGAGTCTTGATGCTGATAGGACACAACTAAGGCCCTAAAGATCTTCCTTGCCTAGCCACAGCTTATCATCATTAAGGTTATCTCATGTCAAAAAGATTAAAAATCATCACGTGTCACGCGGAAACTAAAACCAAACAGGAAGGATCGAAGTTCTAGAAGAACCGTGGAAAAACCAACTGTCATGCATGACGGCACGGGGCGAGCACGAAAGTCAATAAGAAGACGCGTGCGTGGTGCAACTTCAGTAGCACAATACTCTGCTCCATACAAGAGGAAAATATTAGCGCCGTCGTTATGGAGCACTGGTGCCTAAATTAGCTGGTGGACTCGCCGGAGTTCACTCTCAACTCCCCAGTCTAGGTGGGGCTCGTTTGAGTTGCCACCCCTGCATGGCCGGTGAAGGCAAAAATTTTAAGTTGGGGCGTGGACGCCGAGCCGAAACCCGAAGCCCGGTGAAGAAACTGCAGACATGGCGTATAATATAACGTGTGTACAACGGTGATTTTATGAGGTTTCCCCAGATAAAAACAATAAATAAATAGATTAACCAAAAGCGGCGATCAGTAAGTGTCATGATCATTACTACAATTAGGTTTGGAAGTTGGGGAACGTTACAGTCGGGCAGTTTCTATCACCAATTTTAATGAGTCAGCAGGGCAATACTCCACTCTGATTGGTCATTATGCCGGAGTCGGACCGAAGTATACCGGCCATTGGACCAGGTTGAGTCCGCATCGGGTTTTCTGTGGGCTCATGGTGGATCGATATGCCCATGGGGCAAAATCGGCACGCGAACAATAAGATGGCCAGATTCCCCTCTGGTCCTTTCTTCCCTCGTGGAATACTTCTTTTGATTCCCCGTCTCCTCAACTCTCTCACCTCTTACCTCTGCTCTTCAACAAGTCAGACAGCATGGAGGTTACACCGGCACCACCTGCCTACGAGCAGGACAAGATTGCTGACAGGATCGACCAGCCTCAATTCGAGGAGGAAGGTCAGCTGAAGGGCGAGGTCCACGATGCCTTTGGTAACGAGGAGTACGCTGAGATCAAGTATAAAACCTTGAAGTGGTGGTATGTATCAACTCTGACTCGATTGTCTGCTGGAGATGATTCTGACGCGTGATCACAGGCAATGCGGTCTGCTCATGATTTGTGAGTCAGTGTCGCTGGGTGTGTTGTCACTGCCCTCGGCTGTCGCTACCCTGGGCCTCGTCCCCGGTATTATCCTGATTGTTGGCCTGGGTCTTCTCGCTACATATACCGGATACAACATCGGCCTTTTCCGTGAACGGTACCCTCACATCCAGAACCTCGGTGATGCTGGCGAGATTCTGCTGGGCAAGTTCGGCCGCGAGCTCTTCGGTATTGGCCAATTCCTTTTCTGCATCTTCGTCATGGGCAGCCACATCCTCACATTCCGCGTCATGATGAACACCATCACCAACCACGGCACCTGCTCTATTGTCTTCAGTGTCGTCGGCATGGTCCTGTCGCTTCTCCTCTCCATTCCCCGTACCATGAAGGGTATGACCTGGATCTCCTTCGCCTCGTTCCTTAGTATCTTCAGCGCTGTCATGATCACCATGATATCCGTGGGTGTCGAAAGCCATCCTGGCCGCATAATTCAGGCTACCGTCGAGAACGACCTTTACACTGCCTTCCAAGCCGTCTCGAACATCGTGTTCGCCTACTGTGCTCACGTCGCCTTCTTCGGTCTGATCGCCGAGATGGAATCTCCCCAAGACTTCAAGAAGTCCCTGTTCATGCTCCAGAGCTTCGAAATCTGCCTCTACCTCACCGCCGCCGTGGTCATCTACTACTATGTCGGCACAGACGTCCACTCGCCCGCCCTGACCTCCGCTGGACCCCTGATGAGCAAGGTCGCCTACGGCATCGCCATCCCCACCATTGTCGGCGCCGGTGTCGTCAACGGCCACATCGGTCTAAAGTACATCTACTTCCGCCTCGGCTCCAAGTCCGGCCTGATCCACCAAAGCAACTGGCGCTCCATCGGTCTGTGGATCGGCCTGGGAGTCTCCTGCTGGGTTGTTGCCTGGATCATCTCCGAAGCCATTCCCGTCTTCAGTGATTTGAACGGCTTGATCAGTGCTCTGTTCGCGAGTTGGTTCTCTTACGGTCTGTCCGGTATCTACTGGCTGCACCTGAACTACGGCGAGTGGTTTGCTTCTCCCCGCAAGATCGCCCTCACCGTCTTGAACATTGCTATTGCTCTGTTCGGTCTGATTCTTTGTGTCCTTGGCCTGTATGCTTCTGGTACTGCTATCCACAACGATACCAGTAACGCCAGTTTCACTTGTGCCAACACCGACACCTAGTCGCTTTGATTATCGGTTGTTTCTTTTTTTTCATGTTTCACTAGCATGTTTTACTAGCATTGTACATAATTGCATATAGACTATGCCAGGGCGCACTGGTTGGCTCTACAATATAACGAATATCAATAAATATCTTAACCAACATTCTTCATTCATGCTCGTTATCTTTAATGAAATAGGACAAGCTGTCAGGCTTGAGCGTTTATAACTCGCCTACCGCACGAAAGGACCACGGCATGTGCCCATCGGGGCGGTGGTATTGCCCGCAGGCGCTACAAATATTTACTTGCAAAACAAAGAACAAAGGATGCTCGGCACAGGGACCATCTACTCCTTTCTAGGGGTGTTCGCATACTCTTTCGTTTTCAGCCTCATCATTATGTAGTCTAAAGGTACCTATGGCCTACGGCTATAATTTTCCTTCCTCGTACACCCCAAGCAGGAGAAAAGCTTCTCCTATTTCCGACACTTGATAATGCCCAGCACCACACCCGCAACCACGACTGGGGAACTTTGACAGAGCATAAATTATTACAACGGGAGTCGAAGTTATTCTTTCCTTTCTTATATTCATACAACAGGGGTCGCGGCCCAGATGTGGTGCCGCCGCCAGTCATTCTCTCCCTCTTCTCACTTTCTACTCATACTGGAAGGCAATGCCCTCGAGGCGAACTGACAATTTGATCTCAAACGAAGTAATATGCCGCCTTTGATGATTTAAGAGAAAGGAAACACCTTTACCTCGCGTGTCTCGCTGCCCCTCTGGGCAGAAACTGTCCTTCGGTAAGTCACTATTACTATTTGAACCTTTCCACTAGAAGCTAACATTTCTACTTCAATTCAGCACCGCCCAAGCCCGTGTACACTTTATGGAAACACATCCAATCTCTTCGGAGAGTACACCCGAGACGAAACACGTGAATGGGGGTGGATAATGTGGGATGCGGCCCAATTCGAGAACACCCAGCGCACGGAAGAGCACATGAACGCTTTAGAAATCTGGGGCGATCCAAGGGAGAACCATGAGGACTGGGTAGTTACGTGACATAGCGTCGACACCTGACGCAGATTGCAAGATAACTGTTAAGCTTGATAGTGAACGTGGGAAATAGCTACATTATCTTAATCAACCTGTCGGCTCTTCTAAGATTACAGTACTATGTAAGAATGATAGACATTTGGTGATGATGAACTGGCATCCATCATGGATGGCTGGGGACTGGATATAGCATATCGCACCGAGCACAAACCACCACGTAGTCATGACCTGTACTCCGATGGCTTGTTCCGCTCCGGTAGGTGCCAACCAATCTATGCAACGTAGATTCATGCAGAGTCAATATATTCAAAGAAGTCAATAATGTTCAAGTCACGGTGGGAGATACGAGTGCGAGATTTCACATGTAAGCGGGGGTACAAAACGCTTCATGCAGGTCAGACATACAAATACTATTTGTCCTCCCACGTCAGTAGACCCTTCAGCGTTTTTTCCTGCACTCAAAAGTCTGTCCCTTGATCATAGTGAATATGCCTTGTCCCTACTGTAAGAGAATCTACTGCGAGTGCGGTTCTGATTCCAGTGATTCCTCTGGTGACGAGTGCCCCGATGAATAAAGATGTGATTGGTTGCAAGACTGCTCGAGATTGAGGTACATACCCTTCTTTATTCATTTTGCTTTGATTTGTTTTCGGTTTCGCAATTTGTGTGCGTGGAGCTGAGAAATCTCAAGAACCCATAACCGCAATGTATCTCCGACTCTAACTGGAACTCCCCACGACGAAGAACGCATGTCAGAACCGACTTTATGAAAGGCTTTGTCGTTATTGAATGTATGCTATAATGCTATAATGAACCTTTCGAGTACGACTACTGCGTGGGTTAAGAACAAGACCAAAATATATTTCAATGCTCTCCAGAAATTACAATCCATCGAGGCCAAATATATATTTTGCAATTTGATCCAAAGAATTATAACACAGCACGACACCCCAATCAATATGTGATCGTCACATTCTTGTTCAAATACTTTGCATCCATCTGCAGGACAAGATTCTCGGCCAGCCATCTCCCCGCATCCTCCCTGGAGATAGTATAGCCAGTAACCTTAGACTCAACACCCGCCTTGGGATCCTCAATACCAACACGAATAGACTTAGTAGACTCCCCATCAACCAAGTGACTAGCACGCAAGATGGTAAAGGACTCCCCACTCTGCGCGAATCGGTCCTCCATGACCACCTTGTCAGCGCCCGGAACCCGGACGAACAGAGCGTAAACGGGAATCATGATAAGAGGGATATCACGACCAAACCGGGAGAAGCCGGCTGTGCCGCACGCAATGATATGCGGGCTGCCGGTGATGCCATTCCTTCGAAGCCCGGCGAGAGAGTCGAGGATGGTGGCTGCACCTTTTTTGCAGACATCTGGGTCGTCGACGCCAAGACCAGAGGGTTTGGCGCCGATGGTGGTCACAATAACATCAACGATGGTGCCAGCTTCGGTTTGGAGGCACTTGGATACAGCCACGACATCGTGTGCATTTCCCCCAATGATTTTGAGGTTTGGCTTTGACTCTGTTGGGAGGATGGCTGTGAGTTTTGAGGGATTGCGGCAGAGCGCGATGCACTGATGTCCAGCAGCGAGGGTGTGCTTCAGGGCGGACAGCCCGACGCCAGTGCTGGCGCCTAAGAAAGCGACGACTTTAATGTTGGAAGTCATTGTCTTGGGTGGCTTGTGGGTGCTCAGGTAAGGGGGATGTACGTTAAAATCAGCAATGAGAAGCTTGTGAGGAATATTGTATTGAAAGATATTGCAGATGTTAGCTAGAGGATAATCAAGTCCTCAAGACTGGATTGCGGTGCCTTTAATACACAACTTGGCTGGCGTGAGGTCAGATCTCAACAGCGACACAATACCGAAGGGCGCGAATGTCCACCACAGTGACCATCTTGGCTGACAACGCAGTCAGCATCTCTCGCTCGTTTCTCGCTCAACGAATGGGGGCTAAACCTGGTCAATGGCAAGGAGGCGGAAATGGGCATCTCTCGTTGGTTGTGGTGCCCGCTATCCCCGATCCAGACCGTCAACCGTTCACGCTCCAAGTCAGCGTTCTGCCAGATTGCAAGGCTACAGGAGAATGCCACCGGAATTAATCGCGCTCTGAAGAAGCTTAGCCAAGCCTCCTGCCAGGATGTCACAAGGGATGCCCAAGACCGGGGTCGAGGAGAGTCCCGGCGCGTTCGCGTCGGCCTCGGACGCCGAGAAAAGCGCGAGATTGGACGCCTCAGGCCGCAATGAAGCTACACCAAAGGCACGCAGCTGTGTGGTATGCCGAAGTCGCAAGGTCCGCTGTGACAAGCGGGCGCCATGCTCAAACTGCCGTCGGGCAAACATTGCGTGTGTCTTTCCCTCCACAGATCGCCCTCCGAGATGGGCGCGTCGCCTCGACCGTCTCAACAGCGCGTTATCCAACCCGCAGGCGTCACAGGAGGCCCGACCGATAGCTGATGGAGTGATGGAAAGACTGCGGACCTTGGAAAGCCTTGTCAAAGATCTCACCGGTCAGTTGGAGAAGGCTAAGTCGGCTGCTGGAGGGTTGTCTAGTGTTGGCTCTCCTGAGAGCTCTATGCATGATCGAGAACCCGGGCACCAGTCGCAGAGATTACCCGATAGCACAGGAGATATGCAGCAGAAGTTTGGAAGGCTGGTACTCCGGGATGCTGGTCGAAGCCGTTATATCAGCAGTGGCTTCTGGTCCCGGGTCAATGACGAGGTTGGTTTGGTTCACGCTTCCGCGGCCCGTGGACGACGAACTAATCTTCTCTGTAGATCGACGGCCTGAAAATGGATACCCAAAATTTACCTCTAGGAGGATCTGATACTTCGGATGATGAGGCATCGCCGGGGAACACCCCATCTACCCAGGAGCTTGAACAGACACCTTCAGACCGTCACGCATTCTTATTTGGTCACAACTTGACTTCTTATTCCCCTAATATCACAAATCTTCACCCGTTACCATCACAGATACCGTTCTTACTGGACGTGTTCGCTGAAAATGTGAATGTCATCCTCCAAATTGTTCACCTTCCCACCGTCAAGGCGATGGTTCGTGATTGGCGCAGCCGTGAAATGAAGGGACTCACACCAGCCAACGAAGCATTAATGTTCTCCATCTACTATGCTGCCGTAACATCCATGGAAGAAGATGATGTACGTATTCTATTTAGGGGTTATGGTTGGGCCGAGCACGGACAAATGAAACTTACCTCTGATTGCATTTAGATCATGATGAACTTCGGAGTCCCCAAAGCTGAACTGAATCTTAAATACCGCCAAGGTCTTGAGCATGCTCTTGCCAGAGCCGATTTCCTCAATGTGCCTGACCTAGTATTGGTTCAAGCATTCGCCATCTTTCTTGGTCTTGTTCGCCGGCATGACAGTCCAAGGTTTGTATGGATGATGACTGGGCTAGCTATTCGAATGGGGCAAGCCCTGGGACTACACCGTGATGGATCAAATTTCGCACATTTGACCCCTTACGAAGTTGAAATGAGAAGAAGAATATGGTGGGTGTTGTGCCTTCTGGATGTTAGAGCATCCGAAAACCAAGGCTCGGACTATACCATCACAAGTTCTAGTTTCGACACCAAACTGCCAATGAACATCAATGACACAGACATTGATCCGGGCTCGACGAAGGTTCCCCAAGAGCACGATGGCCTGACAGACATGTCGGTCGCACGCGTCACTTTTGGAATGTGCCAGGTCACAATGCAGATGATGTCCCACGGCTTCAAGGACAAGACACCGAGTCTGGAGGAACAGAGTCGCTCCTTGAACCAAATTTACGAGACCCTGGAGCAAAATTTCCTCCAATACTCAACCGAATCTGGAAGCATTACATATTGGGTTGTCGTTATTGTCGCGCGCCTGGTTATGGCAAAGATGGCCTTGCTGATCTACCTGCCTCTGCTATTTTCTACTGCCAATAATGAATTTTCCGAAGAGCTCCGAACGAAACTGCTGATATCAGCAATTGAAGTCGCCGAATACAATCATGCTCTGAACAGCGAAAATGCATGTCGCCATTGGCGGTGGGCGTTCCAGACCTATACACATTGGTACTCCATTGTCTACATGATGATTGAGATCTCGCGGCGCCCATGGTCTCCAATCTCCGAGAGAGCTTGGGTGGCCCTTCACAGTGCCTGGCTTATCCCCACTCAATCTCGTATGGACAAAAGCCTCCGAATCTGGGTCCCGCTGCGAAAACTTATGAACAAAGCAAGACAACACCGGGGTATGGAGCTTGAACGCTTGAGAAGCGACCTTAGAGCTGCCGAACAGCTAGTGACGGAGTACCAACATCTACCATTGCCATCGAGCACCGGGCCATTTCCACCCGGTTCCAACTCAGCAGGTGTCTTCCTTGAGCGATGGCGCCATATGGTATCAAATACGGATGAAGGGCTCGAATCAGGAGTACCGATTCATTCCGCGAACGCGACCCAAACAACCTTGGTGCCTTCTGCCGCTGCTCAACAGGCGAATTTTAGCCCAGGGTTTACCATTGAGCCGGAGTGTCTTGCTACTAGAGCCTACTACCCTGAACAAAATGTGCCAGCTAACACGATTCATGGACTCAACTCAGGCCTGCTCCCAGGTCCAAGTGTCGAGGTTGGGACGGAGGAGCCTACTGTCTCGACGCATAGCACATTTACACTGCCCGCACAAGTTGCAGCGGGTACTGAGCAAGACATTGCTTCCTGGCTGTGGACTGATGGATATGCACTTACCGAGTTTGAGAATCTCCCCGCAGAAAAGATTGATATGAACATGGACATTGACGGAGAAGTAAACTGGTACAACTGGGTTGAATCTGCGAAGGTAATGGAGTTGGATGGAGAACATGGTCGTGGCTAGTAAAGTACACCACCAGGCCTGCTTGTTTCGACCTACTTAGACACGTATGTGTAGTGTCGGCCCCGTCGATCATACTCGGGGCAAACATCGCCAAGCATCAAAACATGCGTCATGCTCAACCAGGGAACTGCAAAGCCTTATCTATATCGGGCCGACCCACGTGGGGGCCCCGCTCCAGGCGAATAGGGTTTTGTCAAGGTCGCACAGCCATTCTTTTCTGCAGCTCAAACATGACTTCAAAAACAGAATCCAGTTTATTTTGATCAAGGCTGGGTCTGCTAAAGGCTATAATTGTTCCCGCGTCAGACGCCACTAACCACGGATTGGTCATGCACTCCTGAATATGCAAGCCGGCGCCTGAAAAAGGCAATGATTGGTCCCTCGATCCGGTATGGCGTGCTTTTTCCCGTATCAGCTCAAAATGGCCCCCATACGACAAATTATAGCACGGCGCTAGGCAGGAAGGTGTCAATGCATCGGCTCAGAAGTTTAGTCAGCACGACAGGGAGGCTTACCTTTTTCTGCACCTATTCCGAGCTGTCCCCTGGGACATTTCAAGTAGCTTTGGGGGTTCTCGAAATCGTCAAAGAGGTGAGATTCTTGGGATTTGTCCCTGGGCATTATCATGGAGATGAGACGGGGAACAACTCAGCTTATTTCCCTGACCGGGGTAGCCATTTTGGTTTGTGTTTGGTATCTGCATAAACGTCAATTGCCGCGTGGGAGCACGCACAGGGATCTCCAACCAAAGATATCAGCGGAAAAGAAACCGGTATGGTAGATGTCAATTCGTAATTGGCGCCCCTTCTGTCTGACCTTCGCACAGAAAGTTGAAAACCGACCTGCATTGGACATTCTTTATCCGAACTCGGATAACCCCAGTACTGAGGATGCAGAAATTGAGTATGTTTTTCAATACAACTAATCATGTTCCTATTATGCTAATAGGTTCTGAAGCATCGTAGCTGTTCATGGCCTTGGCTCCAATGTGGATTGGTCATGGACCTGGAAAGATGATACACAGCTGGTGAACGGCAAGCCACGCCTCGTGAACTGGTTGAGTGACAGTAACATGTTACCAAATAAAGTGCCTAGGGCACGAGTCCTAGCCTACAACTATGAGTCAAGATGGCATCTTAATGCTGCCACGACCCGGCTCCAGGTCTGCGGTAAACACCTGGCAGACGCAATTCATGAGTTCCGTGAAGACTGTAGCGATAGACCGCTCATATTTGTCGGACACAGTCTGGGTGGGAACGTTATTCAACACGTAAGTGGAATTGACGCTGTGATTGAAATATCTGCTAATAATATTCGCACCTGGCTAGGCTCTTCTGTACGCAGAGACTGAACAAAAGTTGAAATACTTAGTTGAGCTCACAGTTGGCCTTATATTCTTGGGCTGTCCCTTTAAAGGCTCAAAGATACAACAGTTGGCAACTGTAGTCATCCAGTCTTTGAAGGTGGCCGGCGCTGACGAGGGCATAAATGGATACCTAGGATATGGTAGCACCGTTCTGTTAGACAAGGTGGATAGCTTTCAACGACTCCTGGAAAGAAACTCAATCCCCTTCTGCGCTTTCATTGAGCAAAGGAAGACAGATTATGGGAACAAGATTTATATCCCAGGACTTATCAAGGATTTGGTACGGTTTCGATACAGTTGTCACTCCCGCTCAACAAAAGCTAATTGGACGAAAGGTTGTGAACGAAGAGTCTGCCGGCGCGTTAGGTCCTCACAAAGTTCACTTGAACACGGATCATTTCAAAATCAACAAGTACTCTGGCCCGCAGGACCGTTCATTCTTGAGTGTATCAGCGAAGATCAGCGAAATGTACAAAGGCTGGAGACCACTGATTGCAAGCAGAATGTCTGGAACTCAATCTGGCGTGCAGAGAAAGCTGAAGTTCAACAAAGACCGGCACGAAGGCATCGTTAATTTCTTGGCAAAGTTCGACTTTTCGGCGCGGTATAGCGATGTCTTTCTCACCAGACACAAGAATACCGGCCAGTGGATCTTGGAGACCGAAAGCTTTCAGCAATGGCTGTCAACCGCCGGAAAAACACTTTGGTGTCCCGGAATCCCCGGAGCAGGAAAGACCACCCTTTTCGCGATTGCAGTCAATCATCTCCAAGAAAGATTCCATAAAAAGGAAGATGCAATTCTTTTTGCCTTTTGTGACTACAAAGACCGATCGAACCAAACCGCACACAACATCTTGCTCTCTCTGTGGAGGCAATTGATGCAAAATCGCATCCTGACCGAGGCTGAATGTGAACGACTCGAGACTACGTATGTGAAAAGAGCCGTTCTCCCAACAACTGACACGGTCTTGAACATGCTATCAGACGAATTGAGCAAGTATTCCCGGATTTTCATCTTATTAGATGCCTTGGATGAACTCAAGACCGAAACACGCGATGAATTGCTCTATCTGATTTCAAACCTACCCAAAAACAAAAACTTGTTGGTTACGTCCCGCGTTCCAAAGGATAAAACGTCTCCTTTTAGTGATGTTCCTCAATTGGAGATTCGAGCCAAGGAAACGGATCTCACAGAGTACATCGACGGTCGACTACAATCTAGCAGACTCGCCTCGAAGTTGATGCACAACAACAAGCTCAAACGTGAGATCAAGGATACGGTTATCAAGAAAGCATGTGGAATGTGAGTATCGTTTCTCCAAAACACCAAAGATTGATTCTAACAATATTTATCAGGTTTCTCCTTGTTAAGCTTCATCTTAATGCCCTGGCAGATCAGCATACCACGAAAGGTATCCAAGCTAGCCTGAAAAGTTTACCAGAAGGAGAGAATGCTATCTCGAAAACATACGAAGACGCCATCTCCCGTATCTATGATCAGCCACAGAAAGACCGGGAACTTGGCGAGATGATCGTTGTGTGGATCGCTCATGCCCAACGACCCTTAAGCCTGAAAGATTTACAATATGCTTTGACTCTACAGGAAGGAGATGATGAAATTGATCCCCATGACCTTATCCCCGGGGAGTTACTGACTTCAACCTGCGCTGGTCTTGTTACCATTGAGGATGTGTCAGGAAGAATCCAGTTTACCCACTCCACCGCGCAGGAATATCTCGACTCAATCAAATCTGCCAAGTTTCCCAGTGCCGATGTATACATTGCCAAGCGTTGCATTCAATACCTTTCATTGTCTATGTTCTGCACAGATACCAAAGGGATCCACACGACAGCCTTTTCAAACACTGTTGCCAAATACCCATTTCTGGAATACGCGGCACTTCACTGGGGACTACATGCGAAAAAGGCCGACGGCGACGAGGCCAAAGATACCGTTAAAAAGGCGGTGAACTCGTTTTTCAACCTCAAGCTGCAGTCTATCTTTGCGGTGCGCACACTGTTGTGCGGGATTGCCGGTGTCGACGGAGCTGAGATGGGAGACAGTCTGGCGAGGAATGAGCGATCCATCAAGCTGATCAATATTGTGGCCTATTTTGGGATGGACTTCCTGATTAAAGACCTAATAGTCAAAAGACCTGAAGTGATTGTCGAGTCTTTTGATGATTTTGTTGGAAATGTCTTACACTGGGCAGCCTTCGGCCAACATGACACGACACTGGAGTTGCTGTTGAACCAACCGTTCATATCTCAAATTTTGAATCAGAAGGGATATTCGTCCTTTACTCCGCTGCACATAGCTTTGGTTCACAGACGCGACATCTCGGCTGAAATCCTGTTGGATCATGGGGTCGATGTCACAGTTAGAGCCCATTTCGATCATACGCCCTTGCTAGTGGCAGCTTTAACTGGTAATGGAGCGATGATACCGAAAATCCTCTCCAAGGAGAAAGGAATCGAGACCTTGTTAGTCCAGGCACACGGAGGAACTACACCCTTCCGTGCCGCTGCAGGGTGGGGACACAAGGACGCCATGGTTGAGCTCTTGCGTGCGCTGGAGAACTATGAGCTAAGTCCGGAACTTAACGAGCTCAGGGACGACTTTGGAAGAAATCCACTTCACATGGCGGCGGAACACGGTTATTTGAACATTTGTGAGGTCCTTCTCAATTCAAAGTATGGACCTCAACTTGCTACCAGCGAGGATTACTGGGGTGCCCCTCCAGTGGCCTTGTCCATTCTTCACGGCCATGTACAGGTAACAGAAATGTTTCTTACCTGGGATGATGGAGCACTACTGGAAAGCGAAGATGGATTTGTTTCAGGGGCATTGTTAATGGCGGCTCGATGGGGACAGCCGTTAGTTGTCGACATGCTCTTGAACCGCCACCCTAAAAGTTTCTTAATGGACTTTCAGAAGCTCACAGTGCTCCATCATGCTGCTTATAGCGGCTCTTTGGAAACGGTGAAAATTATTCTCGGTCACCCCGAGGGACGAACTGTGCTGGAGGCGCGAGATAAAGCTGGAAATACACCGCTCATCGGAGCGTGCAGCAGAGGACTTGCTGAGATTGCGGAGTATCTCATTGCGAACGGCGCCATGATGGACGCCAAGAACGACAATGCAGAAACAGGTCTTCACCTTGCCTGCGAGGCAAATGTTCAACAGGTCATCAAACTTCTGCTCCAGTCTGGCGTTGATACCAACGCTGAAACATCAGATGGACGAACAGCATTCAGTGTTGCGATTGAGAATGATGCGTTAGAAGCGATCCAGTTACTCTTGAACGCAGGAGCTTCTGTTCCAGAAGGGGTCACCATCCCTGAGATACCCCCTTGGAGGAAGACTTCAATGGTTAAGGGATATGGAAATCATCCTGAGACGCCAAGGGACCAATTTGAAGCCTATTTCTATATCAAAAAGGCCACTTCTGGCAGACTATCCTCTTCATTGATCTCGCATATTTTCGATCTCGCTGAATACTGGCTAGTGAGCGAAACCGAGCGAGTTGAATCAAAGTGTGCCGAAAGGCAGCATGGTGACACGATGGTCTACTTGCGAAGCGCCCCGGTATTCGGAAACCTACACCACCCTGTGAGACGAATCGACTACGAGGTGATCAGCCACGACCAAGGTTACAGCGGTGATAGTCACCTGCATGGACAATACGATGGCTCTTATACATGGTTTGATGCGAGCCGTGAATGCAGCCCAGGCCCGTTCCAAGAAGTAGCCCGCCGAATCCCTGGACCGGAAGTTTTACGAAATGTTCACGCAAGATATGACTGGCATAAACATCGTGTGATCTGGTGCTCTACTACCGGCGAAAGATGTTTCCACGTGCGCAGAGATGAAGAAACACAGGAAGAGATTGAAGAGCCTGTTTCAACTGTTCGCTACGACCACAGGGTGCCAAAGCCTATGCCTCTCAAGTGGATCACCGAGATCAATCCCGGAGACCGACTTGTCATGAACGCTGTAGCTCAGTTTCCGGGGTGGGAGAATCACGTTCAGAGAGCCAAGGCTGTTATCTACACAAGCTGCCTCAGGGCCAGTGCGCACAGATGAGATTGAACCAATTGTATATCACTATGATGAGAGAATTTTTTGAATTATACGTTTTCAGTCAAGAATTCACGGTGCTCAGGTATTTTTTTTAAATATACGAGACATACTACCTCCGCATTATTTTGTCGTCGTGCCCTTTGACCCTTGGATAGACATCCTGATATGCGGCTGAACCCATCCATGCATCCAAATGACCCTTGCCAGCGCAATCGCGGTCGTCCAGTGTAATATTAGCCGTCGGACTCGTGCTGATGAATCAAGGCTGAATTCTAGCAACAGGAGAGCGTGCGAAGAACTTACCGGCGCGAGGCACCCGCAGAAATGGGTTTATTAACGCAAAATTCATTCGATTTTGGGCTACATGCGTGAAGCCCATGTCCGGAGCTGCCACTACTTTCAATGTATTCTGGCGAAATCCAGGTCCGACGAGATCTCAGCACCAGAAAGCTCTCTGGCTGGCGGCGATGGGGTCAATCGTGCTTTTGCTTTATTCACTAGGCCCGACAATCCTTGTGTTTACAAGACCATATCTGTGGGTCCAATTAACGACAGTATGTATATTCGCCTCATCGGTACCCCAGTCACTTACTCGCTGCATAGCTCCAAGTCGCCATAATTAGCCTATATATAAAATCTGTTAATGCTGATTTATATTGAAATGACATTTTATGACCATCTGATAATGTTACAGTACATTTGTAACTACTTCAGCTATTTACATATTCAATTCAGAGTGTATACCTAATTCAATATAAACAAGAAATTGATGAGATAATCATGAAGCTTATTTTAAACATTTCTTGTGGTGTTCCTATAGCTGCATATCTACTAGAATTTTCTACTTCTGTTATTCAAGGAGTAATAGAATTCTGAATTAATGTATTTGGATCACCATTAACAGGATACTCAATTAATCTCAATGAAGTATTAACATTATCATTATCATTAACTATGGTAACACTAGTTGGATTAAATTCAAAAGTATGTAATCTAGAATAAGTTGGTTCTACCCATTGGTTAAAACCACTTAATTGTAAACCAGTATCATTACGGAAACAATCCATAAAATCTTTTACCTCCTCATCTATAATGTTTATTACTAAATTTCTTGTATAAGTAATAAAATCATTATTAACCTCTTGAAATAAATACAACCTATAATCGTTAGTATTATCAGGTTCTCCACCTTCATCTGAACTACTACCATCGTCTGAACTCCCATCATAATATGAACATCAATCAGAACCAGAATAACTTACACTACTCTGAGACGTACTATTGTTGTCATACTTTCGATCCACCTCTCTCTCCTCGGTGGGGTCGGTATGCCCGCTGCTGACGAGCAGAACGCTTCACCGGGACCGGGATCAGCCAATCTTGCTTATAGTCTCCCACGTTTTAGCGTAAATTCTGCTAATGAATGCCAGGGCGACATGCTGTCCAAGAGGTCGTGGCCCTCGGCTGTGCGCCGTAGCCCACATTCGATTTGCCGGGTCTCCTCGCTGGCATCAGCGCGCTGATCCTCCTCCCGAAACCTCACGGGGAAGACCTATTTTGCGGGGTGGTAATCCTCAGCATTTTCATGACGGTGCGAGCTTGTCGGTTGGTCATGAGCTGCATCCCCGGCCAGTCGATCATTTTGGCCGCACAACACATGCCACGTAATATACTGGCCCGTCACAACAAGCCTTCGAGAGACATGTCAAGTGCCGGACTGTTTTGATCGCACAGCATATATTGCATGTCCTATCAGTCATTGATACTCCAAGCCTCAGCATTCTGTCAACCAGTGGCTCTTGTTTAACCTTAGGAACCTCAAGAGGATTCCAAACCCCCAAAGGGCGTCATATTGTCTTCTCATTATGGGGCAGACCACCAGATTCTCTCCCAGCCCGGAATGAAATGCACGCCATACCGAGCTATTGAAAAATTGACCTCTGTATCGAACTCCGGATAGGTTATGATCATCTAACGGCAGTCAAGAATAAGATCCTCTACGGCAGTCTGGAGCAGCTAGTCAGACACGGGTCAAGTTCTATCACACTCTTAGTGCTAGAGCCCGTGAAGTGAAGTAAACTGAAGTTATCGAAAAGTCTCTTGAAGCCCGGAAACCCAACCTTCTTTCTGTTTGTTCAATTGGGACCATGTTTAACTGGAACTTGCCGGGTCGATACCCGAATATTATATACCTACATACATATGTAGGTATAGTATAAATTATTGTATATAGATTGTATACCACCGAATCCATGGGTCAAGGCGAGATCCACCTTGGACTGGACGCGCTCAGTCGTCCTTTCAACTCATTCTCGTTAGGGAATTCCATCAACTGTCAAAATGAGAGACCAGTCATGGAGCAGCAAATCTAACCACAAGGTCACCCATGCCCGGGCCAGGAGAACAGAAAAGAAAGGGGAAAGATGTATAATACTCACCACTATCATCATTAGGGAACTTGGCGTCAACGAAGATTCGGTTTGGTCCACCAACTGTATAGTGGTCTCGGGGGATTATAGCCTTGTCTTCGGAGGCTCGGGGAAACTCTAGACTATAATATTTTAATTCCTATGTATCCTATGGAGCTTGAGATAGTACGATCTACCGTATCCACCCCAGATTCTAATAAATCGGAGATACTGTGATACAATAAAACATATGGAGTACAAACAAGCGAGATATGCATTGCATGTACATTCATACATGCATCAAATGCTGGACCCCAGGATCACTACGCAGTTCCCCAACGTTGTGGCTTGGCATCGAAGACTCGGGAGATTCTCGGGGATTTGGAACCCCGTTTTACTCCGGCTGACTGCTATTGGCTGTCAGCACGCCCAGTATCCTCATGACGTCGGCTTTGAGTTTCTTCAACCCCGATTAAAACTCCGATAGCTTCCCCAACTCATCAGCTTCCTTGAGTAATTTGCGGGGGATAATCTGGGACCCCGTGGGCTTAGAATTTTACCCGAAGATATTACGACGAGATCCCGGGGAACCAAGATGAGATATTTCCCCGTCAATTATAAGAAGGCGCTATCAATCATCACTTGGAGGTGAGAGTAGTCCAAACAGCAAATATGGCCTCGAAGACAGCAATTCTTGGTGTGATGCTCGGTGTCACCGCCTCGACCGCATGGGGTCAAACCTTGACGGAGGACATGGTCGAGAAAATGGGAAACAATAGTCTTTTCACTCGATGGAGACCGTACTCCCATTTTTTGGCCCCTGCAGGGTGGATGAATGTATGTCTTATTTCCAATTCCGAAAAACCATAAATGGACTAAGTGTCACTAACCCCTGATCCAGGACCCCTGTGGCCCCATGTACGATCCGGTCGATGGCATTTATCATATGCACTACCAGTTTAACCCCAATCATGTCAACTGGGGTACGATTTCCCTCTCCTAGCTGCCTAGCAAGATCCGTGCTAAATATCTCATCAATATAGGCAACATATCGTGGGGACACGCAACGTCCAGCGACCTCGTAACCTGGACTGATGTTGACCACAACCCCGGCAATGGACTTGCAGGATGGCAAGACGGAGAAGCGAAGTCAATTGGTACAACCACCTTGACTAGCGACCACCACGATCCACTGATGTACAACCATCTGGGCATCTTTTCCGGAACAGCGCAGCCCGTCAATATCTCTGGTGAAGTCGATGGAACAATTCTCGCCTTCTACACATCCGTTTCAAAACTGCCAACCTCGTATACCTTACCTTATCTGCTTGGGACCGAAAGCCAAAGCCTGGCGTACTCCACCGACGGCGGACTGACATGGCAAGAATATGCCAACAACCCAGTCATCAGCAGCCCACCTGACGGTTGGAACGTCACCGGCTGGCGGGACCCGTTCTACCTCCCGCTGCCCCAGCTGGACACGCTACTAGGCAACTCCGAGCCTCACTACTATGCCATATTTGGCTCCGGTATCAAGGGTGTTGGCCCTCGCATGCCCTTGTACAGTGCTCCTGCGTCTGATCTCACCAATTGGACTTTCCTTGGTGCTCTGTGGGAACCCACAGCGAACAGTACCTTGGGCTCGTTGAGGGAAACCGGATCCTATGGGTTGAACTTTGAAGTTTCTAACTTTTTCGCTATTGACGACCGCTACTTCGTCAGCATGGGCGCTGAAGGAGGCGAGGTCAGCTTCCATGACCGGAGGTGGTCTTTGTGGAATGAGGGGGAAATTTCCACCCGTCCGAATGGCAGCATTGCCTTCAACCCTGTCTCAGGTGGTGCGAGCGACTGGGGTATTCTATATGCGGTAAGAATCAGATCATAACCATACCCTGCGATCTACTCGAAGGATAGAATACTAACATGATCTGCCAGATCACCTCGTTCAATGACACCAAGAACAACCGCCGTATTCAGTACGGCTGGGCAAGCGAGGACATGGACAACTTCGGCATCATGCAGCAAGGCTACCAAGGAGCGCTGTCCTTGGCCCGGGAGCTCTTCATCAAAGAGACCAGCGGTGTTGTCCACAACCCTGCCGACACCACCCCTGGCAACTCCCGCTATATGGCAAACTCCAATGGCACCTGGACTGCGAGCACCCTGGGCGTGCGCCCAGCCAGCGATGTAGTTGCGGGTCTTCGCCGTAGCTCTCACCACATCCAGACTCATTGTAGCAAGAAGAAGTGCAGCAACACCAGCAACATCCGCCTGCCCAGCACTCTCAGTAATTCCTATGAATTGAAGCTGATTATCAGTAACCCCACGGGTATCACAGGTGTGACGGTCGCTGCCTCGCCCGGTCGCGAGGAATACACGAACATCTATTATGATCCTTCCAAGAAGTCCGTCGTCTTGGACCGCGCCTACTCCTCCCAGATCAGGATGTTCCCCAACACGACACTGGCTGGGTACTTTGAGCCCTACCAGATGGCAGGAATTCGTGGCCGTAAGCCTATGACAGAACCGATCGAAATGAACATATTCGTCGACGGCTCCCTCGTTGAGATCTTTGTCAATGACCGCTTCGCTCTCACTGGTCGCATCTATCCCAGCAGGGAGGACAGCAATGGCTTCGCTTTGTACAATGCACCCGGCGTCAACGTGCAGTACGAAGACATTGAGATCTGGGATGGCTTGCTCAACGTCTGGCCCGACAGACCCTTGAACAGCAGCTCCGAGCTCGTCTTTGACACTCCCGCCGAAACTAACAACTACACTTGGTGGGAGGGGAACTAAAGAAGAGAAAGCAATATTGTGTTTCCATTGAAAGATTAGTCAGGATTGTACAAAGCTGTTGGCCTTTGGTTGTACTCTCGGTGTTTTTGAACACTTTAGCCTATGTGTTGGAAATGATATTTCAGGTTATTTATCTAACATGAGTACTGTATGGCCTCTGCATGAGAAATCACTTTTAACTTCACAGTCTCTAAGTAACAGAGCTACTTTTGGTACTGACCTACATAGCGTTACTACCTGGTACTGTGATTATGATCGCAATTCTATTGTTATCCTGCCCGATCGCTCGCCGTTTCCTCTACGAGCCGTTCCTTCGACTACACCAAACCCTGACCACAATCTTCTGGCAGGAATATGTAACACTTTCTTCCTACGATCCATCTTTCAACATAACTATGTCTTTTATAGTAGCACAATTAAACGCCTAAGCTATGAATGTGGTTCGGGCGGCCAGCTCTTCAGTGCCACAGAAGCGTCATACTGGTACGCAAAGTCAACCTTCGAGTCATCCGGGTCAATATTCCAGGCCTTGGCAACCCGCTCATCTGGCTGATATTCGGGATAACACTCCCACCCAAGGGTAATCTCGTCGGCGGTATTCCGGAAATAGAGAATAAACTCGTTTTCACTCTGGATTTCAAATCTCAGGCTTTTCAAACTGGGCATACGTTGAGCCGCATAGCCCATCGATATGAGAAGCCGGTGGAAATGTTCTTCAATCCTCTCTGTTGGTCCAAGCCATCCCCGCTCGAGATCACATATCTCCCAGTCCCAGTCGTCGATTTGGTTGATTTCGGCCTGGTCCTCCGCCGTGTAGTGGTAAGTCGGCTCTCCTGTTTGGGATTTGTTATTAGGCATCTTGGATGTAGTGCTTGTTTTGATTTCTTACCTGATGGAAGCCAGGGTCGCACATACTCAACCTCTAAGATCTTCAGATGGGGCCAGTGCAGGGAGCCCAGTTCGGGCTTGCCTTCTCCATCCAAGGGACACATAAAGTCATACGCAAGAGCGCTGTTTTTAAACTTTAATTCCCGGAGGTTAACGCTGAGATCTCGCAAGTTGATGCTCATACTATCGATCCCAGAGGGGATGACATTGAGTGGAGACAGGGTTTGCTTCCAATTTTCTTCCTTCTCCCTTTCATAGTCTAGCACCTGCAGGCTCTTTGGGATAAACTGATAAGAGACCCTAATGCTATATAGCTATTAGTAAACTATGTCTAGGGCTGAGGAGAATCCATGACAAGAAAAGGTATATCTTACCTGTACGACGTGCTTGTATATACTCCAAGGGATCCGGACGGACCCATTCGTCAAGATTTAGCGCTAACTCGTAGATTGTTGGACAGCGTTGGATGATAATTTGAATTGCTCCAGTCCAAATCTGATGATGCGTGCCCCCGGGCCAATTTTCATTTATGAAAGAGAGCTTCTCAACGCACGGAACAGACGCTAGATCCGGCATATCGCTGAGAAACCGCGCTCTATAAGGTGGGGTAGAAAAGCTGCGGCCATCTTTATAATCCCAAAGGTATTCACCGGCACCATCCCAGTCTTCAGTATGTGGTTCTGGCGCAGGGTCACCTCGACGTCCTCGAACACCTAGGTCCAATTTCACACGGAAACTCTGGTTCCATGAGTGAAGCTCTTGGAAAAGATTAACCATAGCCGCCTGGAAAGCTATATCATTAGCCTTTCTGATAGGGTTGTCTATACAGTAAGCTTCCGCGTTGCTCTCTTTGCGTGTGGTCCAGTCTAAGAGTTCGTAGGGGGTGAGGATATGGTATTCTAGATTTCGGATCCAGGTTTGCCGTACAGCACGATCGCCGGATGTGATCTTTTGCAAATTTGCGAGGGAAATTCCACGCTGCCCTTCTTGTTTGTGCTCATCATCACTATAGACAGCTAGACTATGATAGATGAGGGGTTCAAAAGCCGCCCGCCACAAGCGACATACAGAAGTGCATGGAACTAGAGAGGCCCTATTATTTTGTAGAAGCTCTGCTATCTGGTGCAACAGTTCCGGGGGTAGTATTGCGGCCATTATGCTGCTGAAATGAGGTGTCTTGGCAGAGGTTGACAGTGCAGAGTTAGGTTGGACCAGGACACCAGTATTGATAGAAATGAATTTATCCCGAAGCGAGACGGAGAATAGAGAAGAAAGAAAAGTTCCAAACGCAAAGAGAGCTTATAATTGAAGGCTCGTTCCCCTGTAGCCCCACATGCATCTCCACCAACTGTCACAAATCGTCAAGCCCAGTTATCAGCTAAGACTAAGCGTTTTTAGGAACCTACTGGCCACTTGGCGTAGTAGCATCTCGAGCCGTCGCTAAGCCCCACACGGTTTACCGTTCGCGAGTGGGTGACCTGACTCTTCCCTACTGCCGCAGCAGATCGACACACGGGATTTTACCGCGGAACTGACCGGCTGCTAGTCTTTCGGCTCTTACTGACCAAAGCATCATGGTCCTCCAACACACCTCGCCGATTTCGGCTATGACAAGCGTCTTGGTGTTTTAATCTCGAATATGATAATGGCCCTCATGCAATTACCAACGGAGTTGTTACAACAAATCATCCCACACACCCTGCCAGAGGGATTTGAGGGCCTAGTATTAACATGCAAATATCTCTACGAACTGTGCACCCCCTTTCTCGAGCACTACAACAACCTACGCTTTCATTTCCAGAAGTTCGAATACAGCAAAACAAACAAGGACTTTAGAGAGTTTAGATATCATCACGACTTGCTCCGGTTTCCTGATACAGCGACCTCGGCGTATAGTCTGATTTCGCGAATTGCTATCGAAGCAGCCGTGGGACATTATATTCTTGAGGCCGACGTTTCGCTCGATAGTCATATCTATAGCCGACTTCCCCCAACCATCCGACAGAATGCCGGGTCCGAAGCATGGAGAGATCGTAATGAATCTGTGCGTCAACTATTCGCGGAATCATTGTATTTGAGGGAAGCAGGACTCGACTGGAAGGAATTCTATAGCGCTATGATGGAGGATGTCAACAGCTGGCGCCAATCAGAGCATGCTGCTGCCTTTGCTCTGACCCTTCTACCGAATCTGCAGGTACTCACGGCAGCATTTTCTGGATTCCGGTCTTCTGCACCCAAAAAGCTCATCACTGCCGTTCTCCAAACTGCCAGGCAAAATCCGCATGGCAATGTCAGCCTTGCCCAGGTCACGGCATATAGTGGGAGCTGTGATATACCCTGGGTTCCTTCGCTCCTAGCTCTACCGCGCATCAAAAGGTTTTGGGGCCACGGATACATCGGCAAAGCCGAGGACGACAACTGCATTGAGTCCAGATACCTGGGCACTGGCTTGGATTCGAGACTAGAGGTGGCAGGATTTGACGATATGTCCGTTGATGCCGTAGCTATTGCAGGTTTTCTCAAGCACACTCCGCGTCTCAAATCATTGACGTACTGGCATTCAACTAAAGCCAACGGGGGACACCAAGACTGGGATCTCTGCAAATTCATCGCGGCAGTGCAGTATGAGGTCGGGAACCATCTCGAGCACCTCTGTGCAATCACTTTAGAACTACGCTGCTTGATAACCCCAGGGAAGCCATACCTACGCGGCTTTCAGCGCCTCGAAAGTCTCGAGTTGCCGCTTGATATCGTTCTTTGCAATCTCGAAGCGGCACATCCAGCAGATCATAGGTCGTTGGACTCCAATTCCTTACTTGGTAACATAATACCCGCGTCCGTCTCTGTTCTTTCCTTGTTATCGCCCGGAAAAAGCCCCCACGATAAGGCTCTTGAGCTCCTCTTCCGTGACTTTGCCAATCAGAAACAGTTCCAGACCCCAAACTTGAAGGAAATCTCGTTGACGTGTCCTAATGATGCTGATGATTTATACAAAGTACAGTGTGCGAACCTGGCAGCGGAGGCTAAAAGGGCGGGTACGGATTTGACGATATCAGAAGACCTATGTCTAATTTCGACAGTCGGCTTAGGCGAGGAGAAACGCTCTCCGTTTTACTCATAAAGAGGCTCATTAAAGACTCTAGTCCATAAAGAAATATAAGGCCGAGGCTGGATGAAATTGGCCGGGTATGAACATTCTATTGACGCATTTGAACGGCCGACCATTGCCTATTCTGCTTGGTTCAGATAGCTATGTGTCTCTGTATTAGCTATTAAGTCCGTCGTTGTGCTCGAGTAGTCCCACAGCCTGCTTGAAGCACCGTAAAACAGATCTTCGACGGCTACTCGGGTACGGTTCGGTCGGTGGCCTTTTCGCCCGATGGTCGGCTGTTGGCGTCCGGCTCTGAGGATAACAGTCCGACTCTGGGACTCGGTGGCAGGCGCCCTAAACGAGACCTTGACCGTCGGCAGAATAGTCACAAATCTCGAATTCTCCCAAGATAGTTCGTATCTCAGCATTAATTTAGGTTTCCTGAACATCCACTCCAGGTGCATCACCTATGCTACTAAAATATCCCTGGGTGAATCTAGAGATACTTATACAGCAGGACCAGTGGATAGTCCTAAACGGGCAGTCTTATGGCTTCCTCCCAGGGCTCGACCTTCTTGTTCATCGACTAAAGCCGATATCCTTGCTATGGGACATCCATCAGGTCGGATTTCCTTGTTAGAACAACGGGTTTAATGATCATCCTTCGACTTTTATTCTTTTTCCCTCCGCACGGTTTTGGCCTTTTTGAGCATCTATGTGGACGATCATTTCCCCATAATTTGCTACATATCTTTATTTAATCTAAATACAGTATCGAATCCAGGGTGGGTGGTCTCCACGGTTTCGCCTAGCTGAGCGAGATACGTTCACAAGAAACTGCCACACAGCATGCCAGGTGCTTTTTGTATTGTTTTGCGTAACTCAGCTATCAATTTGATCTTTCAGGACTACCCAGATTCAATCGAACAGTGCAACTTGCTGAAACTGGTCATGCTCTCAACTGTAAACATCCGACTACTTTATCCAATTATCAAATATTGCTGGCATGGGAAACAGAGTGCTTGGATATGAATGCCTAGATAAGCTAACGTATTTCACAAGCGAGCTGGCCACCCCAAAACACCATAGTAAATAAGATATATTCTACACTGATATCTCAACAACCGCGTTTTTATTTTATTATTTGCCGATAGCTGTTGATAAGGCTTTTCAACACTATATATTAATTTTGAAATCTGAAACCTACATTATTTCGGTATCGAAAATTACGTTGGCTAGGAGCTAGAAATATAAATATCTGAATGTATCTCAATTATTAAGTTATAGAAATTCTTTAAACTCGTGTTAGAAGCTAAATACCACCTAAAAACCATTACTTTTTAAAGAAAAGTCCCTATAACCTACCGTTGTTGTGATACTATGTTGTAATTTATCGCATTTACTATGGTGTTCTAGGGTGGCCAGCTCGCTTGTGAAATACGTTGAATGCTTGAAGATGACATGCTTGTTGTAGTTCAAAAGGAAGATTGATTGTTCTGAACTAGAGGGAATAACTGAGGCTATATATACACAAAGAGAAGATCAAGTTGATTTCCAATCAACTTGTTTCTTCGTATAGACACCTCGGGATTAATTCCGATGGTACGGCTTGGTTCCTGATCTGCATCAGCCTCATATCACAACAGTTTACATAGCAATCACTGGTTTCCATATTAATTCCCAAACCAATATTTCCCATCATAGATTGAATTGGTACGCACTGTTCGAAGTGATTTACCCGATCACTTCAGTGAGTAGCGCTGCCAAGAGATTGAGGCAAGCAGAGTCGTCAACGAGCGAGCCCAGGACCTGCGAGATGCCAGTATTCTCTGCAAGGGTATTACAAGTAATTTATAGAAGCTTCTATCACGTGATAATAACTTTCAATACGATTCAGTATTTGAAACCAAGCTAATCCAGGCCTGGCCTAGCGTGTTTCGTGATATCTATGAGAGCAGAGTGGTGAAACTGATTTCGATCCATGCAGTACGCCCCTGTCAAACTGGGAAGGATATTATTCACATCTAATCGAATCTTTCCAGGTTCCCTAAGGCACCAATAACTTCTAGATTATGTTTTCCAGTCATACCCGAAAGCCGGGCCTGTCTTGACCGTCAAGGATTTCAACGACTGGTTTTCCTACTTACCACAATCATGGCTTTCTACTTCGAAGAAATACAACGACCCCTATAGGTCTTTGTTACCGGACAATGGAGTCATTAAATTTACCCATAGCGACCTCCACCGAGGGAACATCATTATCTCTTCTAGCAAACTAGCTCGGATCATTGCTATCGTGGACTGGGCACAAGCGGGATGGTATCCAGACTACTGGGAGTACTGTAAGGCACTTTACACTTGTTGGTACGAGGACGAATGGCGACGGGACTGGGTCGACAACTTTCTAAGCCCACGTTTGCGAGAATTTGAGGTCTTCGCAGAGTACACAATGGCAATGGGCTCCGTATGAACCACTTTTTCCTGGGAGTGAATGATGCTCATTGATAGGAGTAAGCATACTTGGCAGAAATTACAAAGCGGCAGGAAAAACCATGTGTAGCACCTATAGAAGGTAAATCGCTCAGGTCTCTGTTCTGAAATACTTAAAATAGACAATTGAAAGAAAATAAAAATGGATCCACGTTGGAACTGTTTCTGACTTTATTCTTTAGGATGAAGACACGTGCTGCAAAGGCCTACATATTAGCAAAACAAAATTGAAAGAAACTCAAAGGTTATTCAAACTTGGAGATTAAAGAAACACACCCATGATGTCGCGAGACAAAACCAGAATATCTGCAAAAGAGAAGGTGTTTCTAGTTCAAGCTCAGTATAGTCGTCACTAGGCATCTATGATGATCAATTTGTGAATTATAGATGCCGATTAGAATCCTCGTGCTCCGAACACATGGAAAAAATGATCTTTTACTACTAGTATATTGCGGGGATTTAATATCTATATTCGTGTCGTTGGATACTATTAAGCACGCACTGGATACAAGCGACGGCAACGAAACCGACGAAGCGCCTTGAGAATATCCGCCTGGCTAGCCTTTAATGCATACTCTGCTTTATTTAACATCCCTTCAACTTCATCCAAAAGCAAATCTAGCTCATCAAATGCCTGCAAAATCACCTTGACGGCGTCGAAATGGTTCCCCTTTGCCGCCACGGATAATGGCGTCTCACCCCAGCAAACAACCTGCAGACTAGCCCCTTCTTTAAAAGGTGTTGCATGCATCTTACATTCCCTACTTGTGCAGCAGCAAAAAAGGCGGTGCGGCCCCTCGCATCCATATCATCAATGCTACACCCATTCTGCAAGAATAGGTCGAGCAAACAATCAGGATCTTTGTGGTTGCTCGCGCAGTGGTAGACAAAGCCCATCTTATCTGCAGTAGCATCAAATCCCATATCAAGAAGTAGACGTGCAAATGAGGTCCCGCCGCGTATCGCTTCGGTGAGAGCAGACCTAGCGCTCGAGCCGGATGGTTCTTTTGGTTTGACTAGTAAGCCTCGGTCAAGGAGGACACGGAAGATCTGCTCGCCGCCGCGGAGTGCACGCTGGAAGAGTGGTGTCAAGCTTCCTTCGGGACAACTTGACTCCGATATTGGGTTGGCGACTACTCCGGGGCCTTTAGGATGGTCTAGAAGGATACGGAGGGTATCCACTTGACCGGAAAGGACAATGTTCCAGGGCATTCTGATGTTTGGGAGTGAATTGGTCGGGTCTGCATTATAGGAGAGGAGCAGGAAGAAAATATCCGGATTGGGGACAGCTTGGTTGAGGGCTTCGCCGGGAGGATCGTTAGGGTTTACGCCGTGGGCAAGAAGCGTCCTAATAGCATCTTTGTGACCTCTTTGTATTGCGCAGATGAGAGGAAAGTCTCCGTTTGGCGGGGTGATGCTTGCACCATTGGATATTAGGATTTCGATTGCTGCGACTTGATTATATGCCGCAGCCCAGGAGATGGCTGCTTGTGGGCGTCTGTGAGGGAAAGCTGGAGTGGAGTAGGAACAAAAGACAGCCTGTTGTAGACGGGGATCTAGGCCGACATTGGGATCGTAGTGATGTTGTTGTAGGAGATCAGTGAGAAGGGCGGTGCGGCCAGTCATTGCGGCAACACAAAGCAAAATGACCCGTTGATAGGCCTTAGTAGATGATTGAATGTAGTCATATTTGCTGAGGAGAAGATCGACAATCTCATCATATCCTCTCTCCGCTGCATAGCATACCGGGTAGATTGGTTCCTGGGTATTTGGATAGGATGGGGTGAGAGTCGCCCCGTGGTCCAATAGACATCGCACAATGCTGATATTCCCAGAAATAGAAGCTTGGCTGAGCAATGTGCTCCCGTTTGAGCTAGGAATATTAGGATCTGCTCCGTGTTCGAGCAGAAACCGAACAATATCAAGATAACCTTTATTTGCTGCAAGTGCGAGAGGTGTGAAGCCACTCCCTGTCAGTGCATCGATCGAGCTTCCTACGTCGGCTAAGATGCGGACAATATCGATATGGCCCTTCCTGGCAGCGAGATGGAGAGCTATGTGCTTCTCGTCACCAATTGAGCGAAGGTCTGGAGGCACACCATATTGAAGAAGTAATTTGATGACGGATAATTGGCCCGCGGACGCTGCTAGAGATAGTGGGTGTCCTTCTTTCTGGAAGCCTTTTTTGAAATGTTCTTCCTCGGCACTTTGACCAGGGTGGAATTGGGGTCGCTTCCAATTCTGGTTGGTCCAATTGTTGTTGATGGAGCATGGATCGACGCCGTGATCAAGTAGCAGTCTGATTATTTCTATGTGCCCGTGAATAGCGGCTAAAGCGAGAGGTTGCCATTGCTCGCCTCCACAGGCGTTTGGTGGCACACCGGCTAGCAGGATGAGTCGAGCGGTCGACAATTCTCCGCTTCTGGCAGCCCATTCAAGTGTGTAGCCCCCGTTCCGACTGGTGGTGCTACACTTGTATAGAACAGGGTTCAATAATTCATGCAGCCACCGGTTGGTGCAGCATAGGGCGTTAATCTCATCCGTATGTTCAAGGTGGGCGGTCAGGAGTAGAATCAAGTCGTTCGGAAGATCAAAAAAGCCCATTTTCGTGCAAGACAATCCGATTCAGGGGTTACGTTGACAGTCTGCCCCCGTCAAATCTCATTTATGTCGTGCCTGTCGTGAAGAAAGGTATTGGGGGAGGCGTATCTTTGATCTTCGCGTGGCAAACTTGTTTACGGCCCCATAGGTTTGGGCCCCAATAGCTGACAGATGATGTGATCAAAAACAAGGTGATGCTGGACCCTGGTGGAGATTGCAATTTTCTTTTCCACTGCGTATCTTCGATTTCATAAGCATCGCACTCGTGGCCCTAAAAGTAAATTTCCTGACGAAGGTTCGATAGTTGCGAGCCTGACAGCAATTTTATCTTAAACGTTTTCACCATCAGTGCCTGTAGATGAAACACAAGAAAGCGAATATCTGGATGGGAGTCGTACGAATGAAACCAGAGGATGCCGATGTGTGGTATGTAGAGCCGTAAACCCAGTGGTGACTCGTAAGCTGCACCGCCAGTCGGGAAATGATAAGCCCACCACCCGTTTCGCCCCTGTCCGTGCACATGATTTGACCTGTTGCTCTATTTTTAACATTCCCACTAAATAAACAAGCCTGTAAATAGTAACCTAAATATTACACCACGTTATACATGAAATAGCGATTGCCTATACAAAGACTGCGTATCAATGGATTTATCCAAATCAAGAATTATGATTGTATGGCTTATACGTACGTGGTTTACATATATACTACTAGTAGTATTGCGAATAGACCTCCCTAGAGTGCGGTTTGATCAATCGAAGTGGGCAAAGGTTATCGTGATGTACGATTCCTGTGGATTGTTGGTTACATCATATCTTTGCACGGACATGTGCGAAATTGGTGGTGGGCTTATCAGTTCCAATAACACATGCATAAGTACGCTCTACACAACAGAATACCATATCTCGTACTCGTGAATACAAATAGTACCCTGACGCCCTGAAAATTGGTCGGGAAATTCTTACAGCAGTGAAACATTAATACATGTTACACTAGAAGCGATAGTTAGCAGCACTTTTGATTGAGCAGTGTATTTTCGGAGCGCTGCCAAATACCCTTGGGCAATTTTTCGCGATTGCTTTCAGCGCAATGGACGGTGAGAACCATGCAATATCTTGACCTGAAGCTCGAGTCCAGCCATTTATATGGGCATGTCAGATGTCTTCAGCCGTAATTGATTTTTCACACAAGTAGTGCTGGTATTTGTTTCGTTTTGCAATTGATTGCACCTGCAATTCTGCCGTGAGTCACAATTTGATTGATTAATGCGTTCTAGACAAGGCTATGCCAAAGGTTCAAATCAGCCATTGAAGATCTGTATTAGTTTAACTAGTTGTGGTGGATTTACTAGGTGTATTCATCTAAGCACAGGGGCGCGAGAACATACTGATCGTAATAGAGGAATATTCTGACATTTTTCAATGGACATGAGTAACAATAAACAATACTGGCTTATAATTGGTGCCGTGAAAGAGGAAGGTACCAGGACTTGGAGGTTATTGTAGCAATAACCTAGATTTGTCAGGCTAGTCACACAGTTAGCCCGAGGAACAGTGTCTCCTGAGCAGAATTTTTGTTCTACACATAGAAAGCGAGCGTGAGTGGGTGTCAAAAGACGATCTCGGCAGCAAGAAGGAATCAACGTGAGGCAAATACAATATCTCGCGCGGTGAGGATCGCGTGGGGGTGAGGGGCTAGGGGCCAGGGGACAGGGGCGAGGGGGTGAGAGCGAGGCCACAGCAGATATTCCAACAGGACCAGACCTGTTATGATTGGTCAAAAGAAACATTATGGCCCCGGGGCCCATGATTTATTCCTGCTGGTGTCATTATGGGCGCTACGATTGCGCACGTTTAATTTGAATACATATCTCCCAACTGGATGGGCTCGCACTTGGGATAGAGCCCATGGGGCGGCCCCAAGCGGCTGGGAAATGGCAGGCGATCCTCTTCCATTATCCACGTCGGTCTATATATGAGTAGCGTTTGTACGGAGGAGGAATCATTCAAGTCCTCATCAAAATGCCACTGAAGGGATCCTTGGCCTTGGGTACGGCCATCGTATGGATTGTGGTGGCCGGTGCCAGTGCGAACCCTGTGACTGTATCGTCATCTTCATCGGCCTGTTGAATTCCACCAGCATGCTTGCGATCGTTGTCTTCAAGTTGTGAGCCGCATATCACTTGTACATGGCCTATGTCATGTTCTGTGCCTTCTTGGTGTTCGTTCTCAGTTCCAGTTGTTCCATCAGCCTCTCGATTGGCGTCTGTTCCCGTTGTATACAGCACCCTGACTGCTACAGCCAACACTCTTCTCAATCCCTCTACTACCGATACACCTTCAAGCCAGCCCCAGAAGTCAGGCTCGAAGGCTGCGACTAGCTCGAAGACTCCGAATAGCTCCAATGCCCCGGCCGGATCTGGTATTCCCACCAGCTCCATGAACTCCCGAACTGCAAATAGTACACCAAGCCCTGGGACTTCTTCGCCTCAGCCACCTTTATCCCCTAAGAAGCAGTCCAATTCCACCGCATCCTCATCTAACACCGCTACAAATGGCAAATCCTCCAATGGGGCTCCTCAGACTTCCGATAATGGCCATCCATCTTCTGTCCAAGACACTCGGTCTCAACCCCAGAAGCCCACATCTACTTCTACTAAGGACACTACCACTAGGAAAAGAGAGCGCTGAAAGATTCGTTGCATCGACTATGCCCATGTTAGTGAACAAACCATAGGAACGGAGGGTAATGTGTTAGTTACTGTATCGGGCAAGATGTGCTATTCCCGGGTAACCGATGGGCGAGCCGGCCCTTCATGCACTCCAAGTGAACCACTCCCTTACATGTATCGCATTGCAGTATGATGGGGGTATCGCTGTCTTCCTCAAAGCAAACCGGACACTTCTCACCATCTGGACGGGACCCTTGGCAGAATGTGTGGAGCTGAATAGAGTGCACTCCACCGTATTCATTGCTGATGGAGAGGACGGCCGGATCATTTGGTGAAACATCCCAGGGGACCCGATCCGTTGTGAGCATATCAGCTGTGACCTCCCGACCAGGATGTTGAGATGACTCTATCCTTGTGGAAGTAGGAAGCCCCGGGAAGGTGATCTCGTCAACCTGTACGAACATTCTGAAGGATTGTACCTAAGCCTCTAGAGTGATATGAACTACTTTTCACCAATACGAGTGAAACAACCCTGTGCTAACCAATTTCCATCGAAGTATACCCATCAAGTACCTCAGATTGACGAGTTGCCCAATATTTTCTATGTTCGTGCCACTTTCGGTCGATTCGGGTAGGGTAATCGTGGAATTTTTGACTTCCGTAGAAATATTCTACCCACCCAGAGTAAAGACGGCTTTTGTGGATTCTTGGAACTATTGTTGGTCCTTTTTCACTCGGAAATTCGTCGCAAGTCTCGTCAATCCAGAACGGAGGCTCACTTGCCCCAGAGGCATTGTTATGTGGAATCAGATGAAGATTATCGGGGCCTTGTGTGCCAGTCAAATGCCACGGGGGCGGATTTGGCCGATTGCTTCGAGATGAACTTCCACCTTTCCATGTAACCCAAGTCCACTCCATGTGCTGTAATTCATTTTGTGGCTTATAAAAGTTGGGTAAAACTTTGAGCCAGCTCTCCTCAATCTCAAAACCTCCGTTGGTTTGGGAAATATCTTGCATGGTGTCGTTTAATTAGGAAACAAAATGTCTTTCCTCGCCAAGAATTTCATCGACTTCATCTTTTGCGAGTGGCCCAGGTGCGTTTGCTCTCCTCCAACAGCAAAGATGAGTCATTCCGGCTTTTTCAAACTCACTCACGCGAATCAATTCCAGTAAAGCCTTCTGCGCACTGGCTTCTCCTCTTGATTCCTTCAAGATCGAAATCCATTCCAAGATCCATACAGAGCCTGTTGAATCCTGAGGCAACCACGGCAAAAGGAGTTTGGTAGACGGCGAGCAACCATCAGGTGAACAAGGACAACGACAGGTACCATGACTCAAAGGGTCCGCACCATGATGTAAAAGATTCGCAATCAGGACGATGTTTTTTGACACAGAGTTTAGTATGAAGGACGGATCTTCTGAATGAGTGGATCCAGTTCGATTAAGTTTCCGGCATGCGATGTGCAATGCCGAGAGCCCAAGGCTGTCCCGATGATTGACATCACATCCTCGAGTCAAGATGTTGTTGTAAAGCACGCAGTTGTAGCGAGATATTGAGGCCATGAGAGCGGTTTGGCCTTCCAGATTTGGATGATCAAAATAGTGGTATCCAACATCAAACAAGGTATCAGCCTGCTTCTCGAGTATCGTACTAATAGCTAATAACTCTAGGATCCTCGGCTTAAATTCGCAAAGTCTCCTTCGGCTTTCAGGTACTAAGCTTAATATAAGTTATAGAGGTAGACGCCGTATTAGCCAATAGCTATACATCGAACTAACAACCCTCTCCGAACCTACTATTTTCAATAGGTGATTTACGGCAAATTCTATGTCTTTTACGGTTAGAGGTGTATAGCAAGAATTTAGCAATTCGATCTAGCTAATTAATGCATTTTCCTGATTCGAATCCAATGCATTATTAGTGGTAGGGCGATCGGAGAGAGATGTCGTCCGTTTTTGCGACCGCGAAATTTCGAACAAGACACGCGATAATGGTCCGCAGCCTTACGTAGGGATGAAAATTCTCGCGTATCATAAGCATGTAATGCCTTAGCTAGCAGATCCTCTTAATCGCGAGAATTTTTAGGCATTTTTGGTGGGTAGGAATACGCTTAAAAGTTGAAAAGTCGAAAATTTGCAATATGGAGGTTAATTGCATTTTGGCTGAGAGACACCCACATCGAGAAGGGGTGGGTGGTCCGTGACACGGCGACGTAGTGTAGTGGTGGAACCCATGAGAGTAGCGTATTAGTGGCCTGAGGTATCACAAATGCCTTAGGAAGCTTGCATGCAATCTTCTTCTTCGAGGGCAGCATCCTACCATCATCAATATGACTACAGTTTTTCCACCAGATTCTTCATTCATGATATAGCTTCAAGATCAGTACTTCAGTCGCTTCCTGAGACTACTCTCTACGCCTACGGTGGGCATGGGAGTGGTTGGTTGTCTTCTCTCCATTGATACCGACCCGTCTGCCATATCAGACTGCCATCGAGCCATCCCCATTTCAGTAGGTATTTTTTTGAAATATGCGAAACATCCATCCTCCGCATGATTTTGTCGACATGCTCTATGACCCTTAAATAGACATCCTAATAGACTTCTGACGCCATCCATACATCCAAATGACCCTTGCCAGCGCAATGGCGGTTGTCCATTTTAATATTAGCCGCCAAAAGTCCTACTGGTGAATCAAGGCTGAGTCCTAGCAACAGGAGAGTGTGCGAAGAAATTACGTACGCGAGGCACTCGCAGAAATGGGTACTTGGCCCACATTCGCCGTATTAGGTAGACGAAAGAACGATCGCTTTATGGCAGCCACTTTCGAATATTTGGATAACTAGGCATGGCATTGTTCTATGGTCCATTTCCCTCGATAACTCAGAGCAGACTATGAGATTCTAGAGAGTAGTCTAAGAAGGTCCGGCTGCGAGGTATTTCAGCAACTCTCCTGCATCTGACGGTAGTTAAATGCAGCCACCAGGGCAACAATATGAAAAGCACCGCCAAGCACAGCAAATGTATGCCAAAGCTGATGTGAATGACCCCATGTGTCAAACGTCCCGGGGCTTAGTCTCTCTGGGAATCGGGAGACGAAAACACTGACACCGGTCAAGAGGGACAGTCCTTCTGCGACATACCACCCAGCTCCAATTTCATGACTCGCTCGAGCCCAGCCCAACTCAATCACACTTTGGAGGATAGGCAACATGGCAGAGATAGCGAGCAAAGAGAAGACACCTCCACGCAGAGTCCTCATCTTGTTGCCTCCACCACCGGTGTCAAAGAGAGTGATGGCAGCGCCCGTCGCCGAGAAGAGATTGAGGCCCCAATACAGCCGCTGAATGAGGGGTCTGCAATAAAATGCATAATACGTCATGGAAGTGCCAGCTCCAACGGCCAGGAAGCAGATTCCGAGGATATCCATTTTGCCCCAGAGATGGTGGATGTTGTATGAGTGGCTTCGTAGGGTGTGGAATCCAGCACTAAGGGCAAAGCAGATGGTTGCTGATGCCAAGAAGGACCCAAAAGCAAATAAATCGCCGACAGTGAGGTTGGTATCTTTTGAGAGCGAGACAGAGGTTTTCAGTTTGAGACCAACAGCTATGAAGGCCGTCGACCCCAGAAGATGGATCCAGATATTCATTGTTTCCATGTGTAGGCAGCGCCATAGGCGCAAAGATCGTCGGTAAGAATACGTGGGCATCGGATGGCCTTCCAAAATATAGTCATTATCACGCAGCCATCCTGGGATCAACTCTTTGCTTCCAAAGGTTGGCCAGTACGACTGATTTTCTGTCTTGGGCGTGGTAGCCGGGCTCTCAGTCAACAACTGGGAGTCTTCGAGTGGGGGTGATGGTATCGCGCGTCTGGCCATGCTTGCAGTTTTCAAGGGACATCTAATTGTTCCGGGCACTGCAGCAACGAGCAATTGGAGACACACAAGGTGATTTTTGAAATATTGAGAGAGATCAAAGTTCATCGGGATGCATCTTTTCCCCTCAAATCTCTAAGCGCCCGTTTTCGCGCGCGACACGCGTGAAACTCATCACACCGAACACGTGTCACGACTGGCGCTAAAATCAGTTTCTACGAGAGGATGGCTCTACGATTCCATACATTACTGACCATTACTTTAGACCCTTATATTGCCGCGTTGGGGGCATTATTGAGGTGGTATATCTCGAAAGGCGCCCCACGCTGAATCACGTCGCAGAGATGCCCCAGATACATGGCACACATCTACTAGTCCAATGAGTCTCACTGATTCTCATGTCCATCTCTGGGAAGTCTGGAATATGCTGGTCTCAGCTCGGCGCAGCAGTTAGTAAGGACCGCGGGAGCATGCACGTCCGGGGCCCACGTTTCAGAAATAATTTGGATACCCGGCGGCTACAAGACTAACATATACTAGGCCAGGAGGCATTCAGTTTACATGAGGGCTGAAAATATGCAGGTATATTTTTATCTGTGCCAATGACAGCGGAGTCAGATGTGGGAGTTAGTAGACAGAAGGGCTTTCGGTCTACGTACCCCTGCCGTTTCTGAGACGCCCTAAAAAATAAGTATGAGTGTTGGCCATTACATGCTAGGGCTATATTTCTTCCATTATCGTGGTACTCACCCATAGAATTACATTTCATCTTTTATTGCAATTCGCTTTAACCCATGGATGTCCTTTCCAACAATGGTACCGTCGGCTGGCTATCCGGGCCCAACACGCGGGGGACGATGGACATTATCTGGTCATCTTTATTGACGGTTTTTTTGTGTACTTGGACCGCGATATGTCTAAATCTTCCTGGTCCAAAAGATAGTCAGTTCCAAATCTTTTGTCGTCGGGCGAAGTGGATGTTTTGGGCGATTGTCTCCCCGGAGTTGGTCCTTTCCGTTGCTATCGGTCAACATGCCTCAGCACGGCGATCTGTGAAGCGTTTCCGCAAGTTGGGATTGAATGAAGACAGATGGACACTTCGGCATGGTTTCTATGCCGACATGGGCGGGATGCTCCTTCAGCCTAGAGACAGCACGCCATTTTTAGTCAACAGCCGTCAATTGGCGTATCTGGTCGAGAAGAAGTACTTGGAATGCCCGCAGATTACACAGAGTGAGATATGGGACAAGTCAAAAACGGATACACTCGCGAGACTGCTCAGTTTGGGGCAGGCCACTTGGCTGATGATCCAACTCTTTGGTCGCTTTATTCTTAAGCTTCCGACTACTACGCTCGAACTGTCTGCGGGTGCTATTGTGATATGCACTTTTGGAACCTTTGTTTGCTGGATGCACAAGCCAAGCGATGTACACACCGGCATTGTACTTAGCATGGAGGTAAGCACAGCCGAGATTCTCCTCGATGCGGGTGATGTCGCCGCTTCACCTTACCGTCATACACCTCTCGACTTCATCGCCAAACAGTCGTTCACTTGTGGTTACGACGTGATGGGATTTTTTGGTCTACGTCTTGATGATCGGGAAAGGCCCTTGCGACGCTTTCCAAATGATCGATTCCCGGACATCGGGACGCTTGAGAAATTCTCACTGTTCTGTTTAACCACAGCATTTGCTTCCTTCCATCTCATAGGATGGTATTTTATCTTTCCATCCCGAGTCGAGAGGCTTCTTTGGCGTATCTCAAGCTCTATTGTAACGGCTGCAACTGTTTTATATTGGATTTTCGAAACAATTGCCGCTCGTCAGCGCTTTGGCAGATGGGACAAATATCTGGTCTGGCTGCGGCTCAAAAGGCCAACACCGCAGCAAAAGGTCGATGCGATGGCTACTTTGGCACGGCAGGATACTGTCAGTCGTCTAGATGCTTTTGAAAAAGAGCAAAGGGAGGCGAAACCTATCTTAGGTTGGGAAATCGGTATTATTGTTCCCGTCATCTTCCTGTATGCTAGTGCACGGGGATATATGATTGTCGAAGTTTTTGTTAGTCTACGACAGCTCCCCATAGGGGCATTCACAACTTTTGAAGTTGCGGACATGCTACCTCATTGGTGAACATATTTCTTTTCGTGCTTCTGTAATTCATTTTAGAGACGAAGAGCCTGTCGGGATATAGAGCCTTGTCGTCTGATTTTATGAAATCAATAGTCATGTTGAGTATTTACTTGGGATACCCTGTGGAAGATTTTCAGGTTCTAATACCTATCGACACTTTGCATAATCTGACATTCTGGTTAGTCCTTTTTACCTGTCATACAGCTATTCATGTATCATTCTACAAGGACGACCGGTCTCGTGATTCTTGCCGCAAAACGGATACTTTCACAATCAACCTGGAAAGCGATGCATCGGGTAATGCTTCGCGAGATGGGGACAATCCCATTTTAAAAAACCTAAAGCCAGTCAAATGGCCTTTATTAATACAGATCCACCTTACTGGATAGTGATTTGCAGCAGCCTTAATGAAACGTTACTGCATTTAGCTAGAGTAGTTGTACTACACCCCACTCACATGCAAAAAGGCTCCTGTTGAGAAATGGCCCTCCTGCAAGTGCATGCACCCTGCAACAGCGACGTCGCTAGAGTCAGCCAGCCCCAAATCCAATTAATATCCATGTCAGGATACATCTGCGACTCGACCCCTCTTTTCGGGCGATTTAATAACAGCCTGGTGATCTATCCGGTCCCCTCTGGTACCATAATCTTCCTAACCGCACCTTTTGAATCTTCAAAATATTTCCGTGCCTGCCATGTTTTGGTTAAGCTTGTTACTCGCAGTTGTGGCCTTTTGTGCTATCACCGCACTGCGTGGTCGTCAAAAGCAAACCCTGCCTCTTCCCCCAGGCCCACGACGAAAATTCATCATCGGAAACCTAGGCGATCTCCCTAGTCCAGGTCAACAGGACTGGCATCACTGGACTGAACACAAGGAGCGCTATGGTAAGAGTTCAGGAATCGGAATAGAAATGACCAGCCTTTGATACTTACTCATCCCAAACCAGGACCTATCAGTTCACTCACTATCCTCGGAAGACACATTATCATTCTCAATGACGCTAGATTAGCTACACAGCTGCTGGAGAAGCGTTCTTCTATTCACTCATCGCGCCCTCAGCAGACATTTCCCGAAATGTAAGGGAAGTATTGGCTTGAATTAGGTCAGTGGTTGACTCTTCCCAGGTCCGGCTGGGACAAGATCCTTGGGGCTTCTAGGAACCCGGAACACATTCGGAAGACTCGGAAACACCTACATCAAGAAATAGGGTCGAACAAGAACGTGTCTCGTTTCGAGGATATCCAAACAACAGAAGTCGGTCGTTTTCTGCTGAGGGTGTTTGATAAGCCAGAGAAGCTTCAGCAGCATATACGCAAGTAAGTCCATTACCAGTGACACTCCCAGTTTATCAAAATAATGCTAATATGTTACAGAGAAGCTGGTGCAATCGTCTTGAAGATCGCCTACGGTTATACGATTGAGCCTCATGGCAGCGACCCGCTTGTGGATTTGGCCGATAAGGGAATGGAAGACTTTTCTTTTGCCTTGCTTCCAGCCACATGGGCCGTTGAGTTCCTGCCAATATGTAAGTGGTTACTGGATGAGTAAAAGGCCAAAAGGAAAGTCGAAAAGTGGTCTGACTATTAAACCAGTAAGATTCTTACCCTCCTGGTTCCCTGGGGCAAATTTTGCAAAGATCGCAAAAGGCTACAAAGTCAGAGCAGCAGCATTCAGTGATATCCCATACGCATTTGTCAAAGACCAAATCAAACAGGGTACCTTTGTCCCATCTTTTCTGTCAAACCTTCTCCAAGACAACCCCGTGGATCCCGGTACCGAAGTCGAGGATATTATCAAATGGTCAGCTGGCTCTCTCTACGCAGGAGGAGCAGACACAGTAAGATCCAAGCTGTGCATTGAAAGTCTCACAACATATTGACCATATAATAGACCGTCTCATCCATCGCAAGTTTCTTCCTCGCCATGGCCCTTTTCCCTGACGTGCAACGCAAGGCCCAGCAGGAGCTCGATACAGTGGTTGGCAGTGGTCGGCTACCACAATTCCGAGATCGAGAGAACCTTGTGTATATCAACGCACTAGTTAAAGAGGTGCTTCGATGGCACCCAGTCGTGCCTATAAACTTGGCACACTCGCCGACTCAAGATGATACGTGTGAAGGATACCGAATTCCCAAGGGATCATCAGTTATTGCAAATATTTGGTAAGCTGCTTTAAAGCGTACCCCAAATGTATCATTTGCTGATCAATGTTTAATGAAATAGGGCATTTACACATGATCCACTTGTTTACAATGACCCCATGGCCTTCAAACCAGAACGCTTCCTAGATGCCCCTGACGGGTCTTCTCCAGAGCGAGATCCTCACATGCTTGTGTTTGGATATGGGCGTCGAGCCTGTCCGGGACGCACTCTGGCCGACGCAAACGTATTTCTTACCATTGCACAGTCCTTGGCTGTTTTCGATATCTCAAAGCCAATTCGAAATGGCAAAGTCGAGGAGATATCAATTAATTATCTCCCAGGTGTTATTAGTCATCCTGCTCCATTCCAGTTGTCCATCCAGCCACGGAGTACGGCACATCGAGAACTCATCCAATCGCTAGGAAATCTCTATCCTTGGAGCGAGAGTGATGCGCAACATCTGGCTAGTCTACAGACTTAACTTGCATTCCTAATGGAATATTTTTAAGTGCAGATTATAGACCTGGAAGGTTTTGATACGCACGATTGCGGTTGAATTCCAATTGAGAAGGTTTTATTAGCAATAATTGGGAACTCAGTACCTGGTCATCGGGGTTCAACCAGTAGGCTCGTGGTAGGGCCACAGGACATGGTAGTAAGAACAATTCATCCGTTGTCTAAATGAATTTTAGTAAGATCAATACATACAGGGTTTTTTTTTTCAAACACACTTGTAGCATAGTGGTATCCGGATCAAAGGAAAGAACCCGATCGTAATGCGTTTGATTGAATGCAAGGAGATTAGTGTAACTTTCTGCCCATGTGGCTTGATCCTTGTTAGTTTGAATGCAGACACATGGAGTAATTTGGACTTCAAAATACATATAATCACCACAATCCCGACTTTAAACTTTGATAGGAACCAATTTCACATTGTACTCATCACGCGCCTTACGGGGCAGTCGACTCTCCGTCCCTTTTTCCTCTATGTCCAGCGGGAAATGTGATGGATACATCAAAAATCATTCTGTCTTACGCTTTAATCGATTAAGAGCCTCAAATCTCATGACTGAATTGCATAGATATACAGTGCCGGTAACATATTGTGAGTAGGCAAATCGAGACTAATCAATAATCTCAGCACCTTCCCGAACAACCAGATCAGTCAAGTGAATCTCTGAACGTAAAGGCCCAGTTGATAATATTAACAGTGTCTTGGTTATGAAAAGAAAGATGTTAATAATAATTATGACGTGTAAGGCATTCTTTATGTTTCGGGACATCGTGGCTCCTGCGGCGAGAAAGCTTCTGGATGGCTTCCTAGAGGCGATAAAATGTTGATCAAGACACGCTTTTTGCAGCACGAGGAGATATGGGATGATAGGCGAATATATTTATATGAGAATTAACATTACGAAGTTGGAAAGAAAGGGAAAAGACTGGGGGAAAAATACTAATCTGAAAGACGGCCCGCTTTGAATGAGATATATAGGGATAGGAACAATGCATGTACCTACTCGAAGAGATTACCAATGTATAAGTTATAGAAATAAACAGAAAGGAAAAAATAAAAAAGACGACGGCAACTATGGTGCTTGAGGCCTTTGGTAGTTCCGCTTTGTGAGGTGGTGGTATTCTTGCGCGAAAACACTCAGAACCCATTTCACCACAATCAAGTATTACCAAAAATTATATGTTACTTGAATTACATAAAATTCTCCACACTAGGAGGTTGAGGGATCTACGAAGAAAAAAGGCCGAGAATGAGACACGCAAGTGAAGGAGAAATAGAAGTGAAAGAAATTTTAGGTATAGGTAAATCACACAAATAATCTAGCAGGGATGTATCTAAAAGTAGTGTCGTAGCTGAACTTACCCAGCCACTTGAGCTGTTTGCAGTGGAGCATGCAAGTGGAAATTGTTGTCCACGGGTGAGTCTGAGGGAGGAGGGATCGCACTGGTAGTCTTGTCCAAAGGTCCTCCCAGGGCCATAAGCACTTGCTCCTTAGTGGTATCGCCAAGCCCAGCAGCCTTCAGGGTCCTTCCGTGTTCAAAGTAGTCAAATCCACTCACAACAGAAGCCATCTCGATGAGTGCCCGGATGGTCGGCGAAGTCAAACCACACTTCAGACCGAGCTCATACCAGGGGACCATTCCGTAAAGAATATCCTCCAGCAGATAGCGGTGTTTCAGGGTAGTTGGAGAGCTCTTGGTCTTGTTGTGGATCACTGAGCACGCGGCGAAATCATGGTAGTCGCTGTATTCGCGGTCGTTGCTGTAGTTGTGGTTCATGTAGGTCGTGATGGGGACAAGGTCAAGACCGTAAGCGTGAGCAATCGCAAGACGTTCCTTGTCCACTTTTTCTGTCACACGAGAGACTGATGGTGACATTCCCTGGGCGTAGAAGTAGAAATCGCCCTTGGTGGCCTCGATCCAGCCCGCGTTCATGAGCGCCGCTGGGCAGTGCACGACTGGGTTGATGTTGTTCAAGCCCACTTCGAGTAGGTTCTGACACCACACAAGCTTCTGCGAGAAGATCGACTCGACCTGGCGTCGGAGACCAAGTTCGGCATCAGCATCAAGGCGCTCGACCTGTGTGGTGGGTGGCTCGGCCCAGATGGCCAGGCTTTTCTTGACCCCCTTGACAAATACTGTGTCCCCTGTAATGCGGGTGGCATAAGGGGAGATATCGGTTTCGAGGATGGCATGGGCATTGACCTTTTGGCGAGCGGAGAGGTAGAAGAAGTTGCCGACGTTGATAATGAGAGTGTGGTTGCGCAGGTCAAACTGGCTCAGGAGCTGCAAGATGGTATCTTGTCCATACGATGGCACTGTGGTCACAATGAACTGAGAGTGACGGATGGCCAGGTACATGTCGCTGGTGGTCTTAATCTGGAACCTTCCAGTGACCGCTCCGCTTGAATTCAACCAGCCATCATTGTTCTCGATCATCGTGGTTCCGCCACGGTGATCGGGGTGACCATACAACATGACTGACTTTCCACGGCTCGCCAGGTCCGCAGAAAAGGCACACCCACAAGGGCCTGCGCCGATGACAGCGACCGATGAGACGGTATCGAGAGTTTGAGGCCATGATGTATGCTATGAGACTTGTGTTTTATTTCGTTTTTGGTGAGGGAGGAGGAAGATAAAATATGTCGTGAGGAAGATATTGGACGTTTTTGTCTTGCTGGATAGATCGGAGGAGATACGCCGGTTTAAATATTGCTTGCCGAGGGTCAATGGATCTATACCAACGTGAGCTCCATATAGTATTGTTGGGCATTGAAGGCAAGATTCGCACCCGTAGTCTCTTTCCGAATCATGTCCTCTATACCTCGAACATAGTAACGATCGCCACAACGAAGCTCTCTTGGGTTTGCGTCATGCCAATCCTCTTGGCGAGAACCCTGGGTATACTTCACGTGTCAACTGTCGCGGGCCTATGGCAATAGATGAGTCTAGGATCATCATGGCGTGATCTGGTACACTGTTGCAATTGTTCCTCCGTGCAGTGGTTGAGTGTGGATCGTTCCCAGCATGTTGAAGTTGTGTTGAAATATTGTCGGTTCAGGAGACTTATTGGGCTATATACTGGGAATTCATTACACAATTGAATCGCAGATCACCGAGAAAATGAGTCTAGACATATGATGAAGCACATAACGAACGACTTAATGAACGATCAAGGATGCATAATTTGACTTTCGTGCAAGCATTGTTTTGTTTGCTCCGGTGGATTCTTCATGTGTTCTTCATACGGAGTATACGGAGTATATACAGTGTACGACGTGCGTTAAGGCTGATCCTAGTGCATGGCAGGGGTCTAGCTGTAATCAGCTCATCTGATTTAGTGCAGGGGAAGAGTGGACCGAACGGTGTAAAATTATCAATCGATCTGATAGTCATTATATAAACTTGGCGCCAGAATATTTGCACCACAGAGGAACAAGCAATGAGGCGGGTAGATCAAACCACTAATATCAGACCCTCCTACCCACGAGTCTTCAGGGTCCTCCAACGGCCCTGCAGATCCCTAAGTTGTAGGGGTTAACATCAACCCACCGAATTCCATGAGATCCCGAAGTCTCCGTAAGCCCGTCCCCAAGCCGAAAGACGGCGCCCGAGACGGTTTTTCCCGCGGGTATTCGTCTTTCTGAGGGTAATGATTTTCACCTCTCTGGATAATTTTTGAGCACTTGCCGATCATTCTGTCGAGACTGCGAAAAGCACATCATCAAAATCTTTCCAACTATTTTGGTGGAACCGTTATGCAGAATCATACGTCAGCCTTTTCCTATCCCCTTCTGGTCTTCTCTTTTTGCTCCGATGGATTGTTCATGAGAAACGAAGGGAACATGAAAAAGGGGCCCAGTGAACCTAATTGCCATAGGAATTGTCCGATTTACTCTTTTTTGATCTGTCTGCCAATTCGCAACCCATTCGATTGACAATGAATTCAGACACCACCCTTTCAGAGGTTCCCCGGCCGTACAGCTCTTTTAGCACAGGAAAGAAGAGATACATTGTCTCTACAGCGGCCGGAGCTGGCCTCTTTTCCTCCCTGTCGGCACAGATTTACTTCCCGGTCCTGAATACACTAGCCGAGGATTTGAATGTGTCTGCCTCCTTGATCAACCTGACTGTCACAAGTTACATGGTATGTAGGCACCATGGACCCTTTACGATCGAGAAATGAAAGCTAACAGCTCGTTGTTCTACAGATTTTCCAAGGGATTGCTCCCATGTTTATTGGTGACTTTGCAGACAGAACAGGTCGTCGACCCGCGTATATCATTTGCTTCATTATTTACATCGCCTCAAACATCGGCCTCGCTTTACAAGACAGCTATGCCGCTCTTATCGTTTTACGATGCTTGCAAAGCTCTGGAATCAGCAGTAGTGTTGCGCTGTCTGCGGCTACCGTTGCCGATATCAGCACCAAACAAGAACGAGGATCGATGATGGGCTTCGTCATGGCAGGGAATTTTATGGGACCAGCCATTGGACCCATTATAGGTGGTCTCCTATCCCAATACCTGGGCTGGCGATCTATATTCTGGTTTCTGACCATCGCATCTGGTGTCTTTTTGCTGCCTCTTCTGCTGTTCCTCCCTGAGACAGCAAGAAATGTTGTTGACGATGGCTCCATTCCAGCACAGCCATGGAATCAACCTTTCATTCAATATTTCTATCGCCGGAGCTCAGACAAGAAGGCTGCCTCGTCCAAGGCCATTGATGAGCAGCCGGATAGCAGTGACTCGCCAAAGAAGATCGAGCACAGGCTCCGATTCCCCAATCCACTGAAACCTCTTAAACTTGTCTGCCACGTCAACTCTATCATTATCCTGTTGGTCACAGGGGTTATCATGGGCGGAAACATGACAGTGCTCTCATCTATCACTGAGATCTACACCGCGCAGTATGGCCTGGACGAACTTGAGATTGGTCTTTGTTATATCACGCTGGGCACTGGATCCATCGTGGCCTCCGTTGTGACCGGCAGACTACTCGACTGGAACTATCGTCGCATGGGCTTGAAAAGGGCCGCGGACTCTACCTCCGGACAGACAACGGATGATAAAATTCCAGTTGAGAAGGCTCGAAGTATGGTCACTATCCCACTTGTTGTCTTGGGAAGTGTGACCGTGCTGGCCTTTGGGTGGGTACTCAAATACGGTGAACCCCTACCAGCACCCGAAGTTCTTCTTTTCTTTGTCGGTGTTGGACAGACAGGTGGCTTTATTTCTACTTCGACCCTTTTGGTCGATTTGCACACGTCAAACCCTGCCGCTGCGACCGCTGCCAACAACATGGTACGGTCTTTCTTCTCGGCTGGCGCGTCTGCTGCTATTGATCCAATGTTGAATGCAATGGGTCGTGGCTGGGCATTTACCCTTGTTGCATTCATTCTGTTGGGTACTATACCTTTCCTCTTGTTGCTGTGTGGAATGTGGCGTCAAGAAAAAGACTCTGGGTTGAGGTCGGAGCACTAAGAAATGTTACTGAAATGAATAGATACCACCATAGATAACCGGATAGACAAATAGAAATAGAAGAGAGACTTGGCAGCTGACGAACTTGTGAATGGCTCTCACAATACCGATCCAACTAGCTTGAAAGGAAGATGGGTCTCCCTAGACCATCTGTATTATGGGCCTTGAATCAAGTAGACTCGGCCGGTCCTAGTACGCGTATCGAACATGAGCATTTCTCCCTTTTCTATTCTACACCAGTATACATCAGAAGAGATCATCAACAACGCGCACATCGTGCGGACCATTCATTGTGTTTGATCAATATTCTGGTTACAGGGCCTTACATACAATTGCCTTCAAGAAACCATGCTCCCCTGCAGCTACTCTCGATTCTGGTGGTCATCCCCTCCTTCTTCCCCATGCCCGACTTCTCCCTGGTCTTCTACATCTGCTGTCCAGTTACGTAGAGGTTCCGCTACTCGTTCAATTATATTATCCCAGTCAGTGGGTGGCATCCACATCCTTCTGGCTCGTCCTCGCCGCGTATTGGTGGTATCTCTGGCCTACGTCTTGTTGTGCAAAAGTCTGGGTTCCTTCGTTGTGTCTCCTAGTTTCATGAAACTTTTATTGTCATACTAGAACACATTCGATGTTACACACCAATAATCTCAATTAAACCTATTACTCATATCTGATTCTGTCATCCGATACTACACTATTATCAAATTTTCACTCTCTTCACCGACGCAGCGAAGGCTTGACGCGGGCGGGTTGTTCCTTTGCCCGCTTTTTTGCTTCCGGCTGCTCTTCCGAGTGGTCACGGTGTAGAGACGAGCGCGTCGTATATATAAACAGGCGTCTTCATTTTCGGTTGCGTATCTAGCCCATGCTCTACAATCAAGTATTTCGTACCCTATAAATCAGATGGTTAGGCAAGACGGTTCAATCGATCGAAAGAGTAATGATTCACGCTACTAACCCTCGCACTTCTAAGCCATCTTCATCGTTGATTTTCGTCTCGGTCAGCTTTTGGTAGTAACCGCGAAGGTTCTTCCAGTCGGTGTTCAACGGGCTAGACTTGTGGACGCCTTTCAGGCGTCGACCCTCTTTTCCTCGCTTAAGCTCGAGGGACCAGCCCGAGAACCGGTTCTGGTCATTGTTCGACGCCTGGTGAAGGGCCTTCTCGGGATCCCGCCATTTTGGCACATTGGGCTCCAGTTTTGTCTTGCCGAAACAATATCTATGCCGGTGTTAGTACGGATCAACAGGGTAGCGCTCTGCCCCTGTCACTAACCGCTTCCATCGGCTTTCAATCCGCTCTCGTCGTTCGATGGTGCCCGAGCTTTGTCAAAATCCTCATCAATCTCAGAGGTCGATTGCAGTATCGGCTAGGGGATCGTTGTAGAGCCATCTCGGAGATGTGAACTCCACACTGTGCCGCAGCACTTGATCCTCCACCGGGATTCCATTATCCCATATCTTTCTGCCGCTTTCACACACTTCGACAACTACGTAAAAGAACCCAGCTAAATAGCTTCAGTAAAAGTTTTTATATTGACCTTCGGCATTACTGTCGCCTCCACTTTACATTTCAGTATCAAACAACGATAGCATTCATTGGATCTCTGTGAATTTCCGTCTCAACCGATGTCCAAAGCGATGAGCAATCATAATTGGGATAGCCGCGCAGACCACGATCGCGGCCTGTGTGCCGAAACTTACATCCACACCAACCTTGGCTGCCCAGGGTGATTGGAAATATCCAACACCGAAGCCACCAAATGTGCGCGCGAAGTTGAGCCAGCCTCCCAGCTCAGCCGGCATGCTTGGGTAGGAGTCGAGCAAGTATGCCTGCACAGCAACTGACATCGTCATACAGCCCACGACGAATGTTCCCCAACCGAAAACGATAGCGGCAACATTCAAGTGGTATCTCAGAGCCTCGCCAACAAGAATAAGCGCCGGGGCCATGAGTCCAATCGATATATAAGCCATCCAAAGACGTTGTTCAGGCTCAAAAACGCCTCGATGCTTATGGACGTATCGGCGCGCCAAATAATCATTGAAGAAATGGCCGAAAACCTCGCCGATGACAACGCCTCCGATAGGTGTGAAGTAAAGGAAACCCAGGCCCTTGTTCGAATAGCCGTAGCCCCCGATACTTTGCGGTTGCGCGAATAGAATGCTAGTAGAAATGTTGATTCCAATAGCCCACGCGAAGATCATAAGGCTAGTTCAAACGTCAGCTCCCAAAGGCTAATTGAGTCGTAACGGAAGAGAATCTGACTAGTTCAGGCACGTTAGAAAGACCACCGGTCTTGTGATAGCAAGGACGAATCTCTTAATGGCTGTAAGTGTCTTTGGAAAATAGGCCTTGTGATGCTGCAGCTGCCACACTCCAAGAAGTCGTGAAAAGCGACCAGCCACACCTGCTGGCCTGCATGGGTGCTCATGACTATCCTTCTGACGGTTGTACCATGTCTCGTCCACGAAGAGTGCAACCAACACGACTTGCAAACCGACAACACCCAAGCAGAGCCAGTAAACGTCTGGCCAGTGCCCCGTCTGCGAAATAATAAAATTTCCCAAACACGGCCCGAGGTAAGGAGATGCGATGTAGAGTGCAGCCCAGAGGCCGATTTTGCGGGCGCGTTCGTGAAAGAAAAACAGATCCTTGATGAACGCAATGACCATGGTCTGACCAGCCGTGAGGAAGAGCGCTGTAAGCACTCGCATAGCGAAGTAGCACTCATATGTTGGCGACACTGCAGCGCCAATACTGAACCCGAACCCAGCTATGGTGGTCCAGAAAAGAACAGGCGCTCGTCCCAAACAGGAACTCATTGGCACCCAGATGAGTCCACCAATGCCGCTGGAGCATCATCAGTAATTCTGTGAGCTCTGAGAAAATAGGGAAACGCACCCAAATAAGACATTCATACTATTAGCACGGTTGGCTGTGTCGGGAGAGATTTGCCATTCGATTGCTTGGGGGAAGATAACAGAAGGACCCATTGCAGAAGTGAAGTCGGCACACAGGGCACCCCAGGCTATAGTAATCAGAATACAGTGTTTCTTGGCCCACGACCAGTTGAGGGGGTCATTGGGGTCATCGGTTGGCTGAGGTAGAAGCACAGTCTGTCTAAGTCAGTCCTGAGTGGCACGTGAATAATATCGGTGGCATTGCCATACATGTCCGTCAGGCGCGAGTTTGAGCGAACTCTCGCCCTGAAAGCCTTCAGTGTCGACCAGGATGCCTGCTTCCGACTTGACCGCGTCCGGAATTGGCTTTACCATCACAGTACGCCCCTGCTCATCATGGGCGTACTCAGGTTTTTCATCCAAGCTGGGAAGAGAATTAGGCATCGGGAGGGTGGCTATTGTAGCCATGTCTTCTGACAATTGAACGGTCTACGTAAAGAAAACCACTCACTGGAGATATCAAACAGGGCCCGGGGAGTATAAGTACTAGTACCATCTACCCCATGGAATACGGCCCATGTGGGGACGAGGTCAAAGCTCTGACCAGGAGAGATCGCTACCCCATGAAAACGGAGATCTCGGGTTAGCCTACTTTGGTGGGGCCTGTCAAAGTCATTCTCCACATGTGAGCACAGTTTGACGAGGGTCTCTACTTTGGTGGGGCCCTATCACTGCCATTTACAGTGGAAGGCTTAATCAGTTGGACAGTTTTTCTTTCGATTCTTGAGTCTGCAGAGAATAGCGAGGGACGCTATGCCTCTTACGCATTTGATCTACTCTGATTATTGGCTCAAATGAAAGCCTCTAGCCTTCATTAGCCTAGTGGATTAAACTTAAATCAGAAGAAACATTGCTGCAGAGTACAGGTTACAGATTGCTGCTTGTTAGACTGATTCGGCCTCCGGCTGTATGGGGGATCATGTATCTTTTGCTCCAGGTGGCTAAATACCAGGTCTCTTGATATTCATGGACGTAGGGCACTGAATATTCATTATTCTTCCATTATTCCTCCAAACAACAGAACAGAGCCACAACAGTTATCCTCGGCACTAGTAGCCGCACTTTTCTCCAAGGAAATTCAATCGCCCTTTGTGCATGCTATTATGTTCTTGAATTTAAGTTTAATTATGCGGGTCAAGTTTCCTGAAACTTTCTAAAGACCCTCGGAGTTTTTGCGGGGATAAGCCTTTGCTCGGGCATTTCACCTTCTCGGCCTCGGAGAATACCCTACGGGGACTAATAACGGTTATGGAGAGATATCTTAAGAGACGTGGTACAAATATGCCTTCAAAGTGCAAACTCCTCTTGTCAATCAACAACTCTCTCCCATGCAATTTTATCTGGTAATCACGGCTCCTGTACTCATAATTTCTCCTATCTTACAAGAAGGATGTCGGAGCAGGCTGAGAAGAATTTCCGGGTGGTCATTGTGGGAGGCTCAGTCGCAGGCCTGACACTGGCACATTGTTTGGAACGCACAGGAATCGACTATCTTGTTCTCGAGGCATATAAGGATATTGCGCCTCAGGTTGGCGCATCAATCGGCCTGCTACCGAATGGTATCCGTATTCTGGATCAGCTGGGACTCTGGGATTCGATTGCCAGTTTCGTTGAGCCGACGATTCGAGGCAGCGTCTGGGTAGACAATGGCAGGCTGCTTCTCAAAGGAGACCTACCAGAACTGCAACAGAAACGGTAGGTGTGATGTGTTTCTCCTAGCGAATAGTGGCTAATCATATTCCTTAAGTTTGGGGTACCCCACAGCATTCCTGGATCGACAAGTGGTCCTCCAGGTCCTCTCTGAACGCTTACCGGATCCATCCAGGGTACTCGTCAACAAACGGATCGTATCCGTGGAACATTCCGAAGAAGGAGCGGTAGTTCATTGCAAGGACGGCTCACAGTTTCACGGACATGTGATAGTGGGCGCTGACGGTATCAATAGCATGATCCGAAATGAGATGTGGCGTCGCTTTGATGAACAAGGGCTCTCACGCCGTATCGGCCAAGACAGGACAGGTGAACAATCTACTTCATGCTGTCCGCTAGATTATATACTCCCGTGACGCTTCTAACTATGGCTTCATTTACAGCTGTCACTGCAACCTACCGGTGCCTATTTGGCATTTCGTCACCACTACCGACGCTCGTCCCTGGTGATGGCCATCGTGTATATAACAACGATTGGTCCTCCCTCATTGTGGTGGGAAAACAGGGACGTTGTTATTGGTTCATCTTTGAGAAGATGCAGCAGGTCTACCATGCACCGGATATCCCACGCTTCTGTGAAGAAGACGTAACCGAATTTGTCAACACCTACTTGGATCGCACCCTTGTCGCCAGCACAGTTTTTCGGGACTATTGGGACAGACGAGTATCGTACGGGTTGCTTGCCCTGGAAGAGGCACAGCATGAGCACTGGACCATTGATCGGCTGGCCTGTATCGGGGATTCGATCCACAAGATGACTCCACATTCGTAAGTTCGGAACGCCAACGTTAGGCCTAATGTGCACCTGGAGCTAATCCGTGAGAACCTGCATAGGGGACAAGGGGGAAATAATGCAATCGAAAGTGCCACAGCTTTGGCAAATGGCCTAGGTGAATTGAAGCGGCTGTACGGCGGTGCTCCACCTCCGCTAGAGGCGATTAGGCGCGTTCTAACAACCTATGAGTCCTCGCGTCGCTTCCGAGCAAATCAAATGGTTCAAATGGCTGGCCATCATACGCGGCTGGAAGCCCTAGCTACTCCGAAGGACAGGTTTCTTGCGCGACACGTCCTGTGTCGACTTGGCGATGCCCTGGCTGATGCGAATTGTTATGCTATGGTTGGCGCGACGAGGTTTGAGAGTCTCCCTTTGCCAGCTAGGTCATTTACTGCTACGATGCCCTTTGATCCCCAGGTCGGATTGGGCCATAGGGAGAGCAAGCTATGGCGAAGTGTGTGTGCAATTCCCTTAGTGGGGCTCGCACTCTACGCTTGGTCTGCAAACCTGAATGCAATACCCAACATATTTTCTGGCTCAGGACCGATCAACCAACAACATTTGGTTAGCTTTTTGGCTGATCTGAGTACTACGCAACTCATCTGGGTTATCGAGAGCCTACGGCGTGGAAATGCTTGGACTCTGATGACCCTCGGACCGGTTATCGGCGGTTTCTTATCTCAAGGCGCCGGGATTGGCGTGATAGCTCCCTTATACTACTTCATCCACCATATCCAGACTCCTCAGGAGAAGTATCTTGCTCTAGACCAGCGCATGGTGCCTACCGAAGATGCTAAAGTGATTATTCCGGCCCTCTTTCTGGGCTATATCGCACCCACGGTTGGGGTCCTCCTCTCAGTGGAAAGAAATCGCCCTTTCGCCCGAACCACCTGGCAACTGTTCCCGTTCTGGGTCACCGTCCTCCGTCATATTTTTAAGAAAGCCGTGGGGCAGACCAGTGGACGGGATCGCATTGAGCAGCCCAACAAGGATCTCCCCTATCTCCGCTATGCTTACATATTCACGGGAGGTATTTCAGCCATCACAGGTCTCTATACCGTCCTACAGTCGCCACCTGTGAGCGAATTTTCTCCCACACTAAGGGCAATCCACACTGAGCAAATGATCACACTCACATCTGCCCTATACTGGGAGGCTCTACAATTCTGGGATTTGTACAAAGCGAAGAAGTTGAGTGTGCATTGGTTTAAGGTACTTGTAGTACTTGGTGCTACATGCGTGACAGTCGGCCCTGCAAGTACCGTTGCGTTAGGCTGGGCATGGAGGGAACAAATGATGGCACTAGGGCGATCAACACCCGATTCAGGGGACGAGAGAGACGTGAAATTGTAGATATTTGGAATATATGCAGACCCACGAACAGAAACTGGGTTGCTTAGGCATCTGACATTTTGCAATCGCTATTAAAACACAAACAGTATGTGATTGCTTCTCTCATAGGACATGTAAACGCATTGCATCTTCTGACTCTGTTCGCAACAACTGTCGCTTTGCTTGTGGTCGCTTTGGAACTGGCCGACATTTCAAGGTAGAGCGGTGAAAGTCAATGATTAACGCCCGCCCGAGAAATGTCGGCTAAGGGACCTAGGGTTCTTATATATTTTTAGGCGTTCGCCTTCTGGCAGTCTATTATTACTAAGACAAATAAAGTAGATCGTTAGTCTCTCTCCTAGACATTGAACGCAAACAGAAGCGATCGCTTAAGAGAAAGTATCGCAACTCTTATCTAAGGGGACAGACTTCTGCCCCTTAGGTAGGGGGGCAGTAGGTGATATATCGGCAGCATCGGCGGTGCACTTTTACGGGGCGCGAGGCCGCGAGGGAGCACCCTCTTCCGTATCATAGACCGCAATCATTACTTTAATTGTAGCAATTCGACGCTTATATTCTTTCTCGACTGTTATACCCGTATTATACATGTATCCCACAGTCTTTCCTTGTATCCTTCCTTTTTGATCGCCAATGCCAATCTCAACAAATCACATATACCAACAATTGTCACGTTAATACACCGTCAATCCTTTCTCCAACCATCTATGAGCCCTCGAAGTTTACCACACGCCTTTGCTTCTGGGACTTCCATATGAGAGCTTCTATGTCTCCTCTGCTTCTCAAAAATTGCAATGAAGCTGCTCAAAGCTATGAGATCGAACTCATCGCCATATGAAACGACCATTTCCAGTGTACCACAAGCAGTTGAATTCGACACATTCTCATGAACAAGAGCAACGACGTTGCCCGTCTCTTCGTCCAACAATGTAAGACTTGAGGCTTTTATCCACTTAAATGAGTGCGGTATTTTCGTTGTGGATGATTGCACCCCATTCACCCCTGGAGGCGGTTCGATCATTGCCGCGAAGCGATATTGCACGTCACTGGGGGCATCACGGGTGGATTTGGACCACCACCCAACAAACATCTTCCCATGCGACTGGTTGGACTTGTGTGATGCCTTGAAAAATCCGGTGTCACACTGAATAGAGCTTGCCTTCTCCCCATATCTGCATTGCGCGATTTGTCGTCCAGGCGTTCTGGTGCCCTTGTATATGATGAGGTCTGGTTTCGTGATGTTCCTCGTGTAAACTTCAACATAAAATGCGAGCTGCTGGTTCTCGGAGTACACTTGATAGTCGCTTAGTGGACGATGGATATGATAAAAGGTCGAATTTGTTTTTGGGGTTGCTACTGTCTCATATGCCAGTGGATCATTGGCTTGATATGGAGGTAGAGTATCATCAGTGCCACTCATTGTGAAGGGAGACTGATTAACTGTAGTCATACTGTATTCAGCAGTATAGTAGGAAATATCGCACGCTGCAATTATTTACACATTACGGACTGTCTCAATATATGCTTCCTCTTCATTGTGGCTTGCAGTGACTCAAACAGAAGGTTGTTATGATGCCCAACCCGTATTGGGATCCCGAGCTATTCCACCCCGTAGCTATACGTGCGCTATGCTCAAGGCAGACATTGGCTTGACTCTAAAGCTCGCGGGCACCCAATGTGGTTAGTACATTTACTGAGTCAGAGGCTAGCCTTGTAGTGTAAATCTCAGCACGCTACGACCTCGATCCCCACAATCTCACCGATTAGACATCTGTCAACCACAGATTCTAAAGTCTAATTGGTCGCATATATTGGCGGTGTACATGTACACCCTGAGAGAAAGCATCAAAAGGTATTGACCAGCAAGAGTCAATATACATTGGTTTTCGCGGTTTCTGTGGCAAGCATATCTTTATGATCGCAGATATTAGGTTTTGAAATTTGGAAATATTTGGTGTCTTAATCATAGCTTGACGTAGATATATATTGCAATTAATAACTGTCTAAGTACAGTATCTGTGCAAATCAGAGATACAAATGGGGCATATAAAGCATTGATTTAAAAGCGACAAGTCGACCACTATTGATCGGTTGTCCACCAAAGTGCCAAGGAGTGTGTAGTTTGAGTAAGAGCGTTGTTATTGACAAGCGACCGACTTCAGATATCAGAGAAGCTTTGTTTGTATGTTTGTTTGAAACCAATGATCCTTGAGCGGCCCTTTAAACACTCCAGTCTATTTCAATCGATGGAGCAGTATACTCGGAGGGATCTGGAAGGAATTGTGACTAACTTTATTGTTATGACTGTTGGTGACTTGGTGGTCAGGCCACATACTCGCGATTTATGATGGTCAAGGCCGGTGCCATCTTGCATTACTAGACTTTTTACGAAATCAAGTCACCCTGTTATACAGCCAACTATCAGGTCAAAGCATACGGCATAGTTTATTTGTCGGTCAAATGATCTGCGACCACGAGATCTTATTCCTAGCTAGGTCCACATCGATCGACATGAAGATGGACATTCATTCGACACACAAGTAAGTTGCTGTACGACTTAACGCACAGGTTGAGTCTCTAAAAGGAATCAAAAAAGTTTCAAGATATACCCCTATAGTTGGCAAGGGAAGTCTTGGCGGAGGACCGTTGAAGTCATTGATTATCACGAACCCCTATGACATCATTTTAGGATGTGCGCTATCACATCCGATTGACGATTGATACTTTTTGCACCCTAACCGAGAAGAACGTAGTTCTCTTGGCTTCAAATTGTATAACCTTTGTCTTCTGCTGTTCATGTTATATGGTGGAAAAGAGTAGCCTAGTAGTCCTGTACCGCAGTTAAAACACATCTGGATTGGGCTCTTGCAACGCCAAGACTAGATTCCACCTCATTTAACAAAGAAGACAGCAAATCCTGGTCAGGTCAATCAATTGTGGAGAAAGAAAGTTGGCCGTTCAACTCAGGTTGCAAATAGATGGGCGGTAGAGCTGTTACTATCGTCATACCATTTCCAGGGTTGGACCGATGACGTAGCCTGGGGAGAGCTTCTGGGCCACATCATCCATTTTATGTCCTGTTATACATCTACAGTCTACAAATTATTTTAATCAATTTCTCTAGCTCCTGGGGCTTGTTTGAAGGCATCTCATCTCCAATATTCACGTATACACCCTGCCTCGAGCTACGATCAAGCTGCCGAAGTCCACATCCCAGAAGGTTCGCCCACCATGGCAGGGGAGGAATCCAAGGCTCCTCAGAGCCGGAGAGTTGGAGACCATTGGAGTGGCGCCAACCCTATCCCCACCATTCATAACTTCATGGAACATATCGACGCTGAGAAGAAGGAGCGGGATCGCAGAATTGACGGAGAGAATCGGATCAAGAAAGAAGAAGCTGCCCGCAAAAAGGGAGCAGAAGACTCGGGTGAACAGCCTGAGGCGAAAGATGGAGACGTTGTCGCTCACAAAGCCCGTGAGGTCTCCCAGGCCAAAGTGCGCACCGTGACGGATCCGACTACGGGCAAAGATATCGGTGTGGAGGATCAAGATGAGACATCTATGGAGACTGTCAAAAACCCTACGGTATGCAGAGGGACTCTTGGTAGCTCTGTGTATTCTATGCTAATGAATTTACAGTTGACGGTGCCGAATGCCAATATTGGAAAGGATACGGTACGTCACCACAGTATGATGAATGTTGGCAGTCAAACTGACAACCACAGAATGGAGTCCAAACCCGTCCCGACCAAGAGCTCGGAGAGTATAAAGAAAGTCAAGATATTACGGCTCCTCCCGATCCAATTGCTGAAGGCACCACCTCCGATGTTCCCATTCGAGGAGAGAAGACGAACGTTCTGTTCCACCCTACGCCAACTGTCTCATACAAGCCTATGTTTGACAATATTGAAAAACGCGCGACTGCACTCTGTATTGGAATTCCCGTTGCTATCATTATTTTGGGTCGGACGTTTGGAGGGTCACTTTGGGGCCTGATTCCCATGGCAGTTTGCATCACGAGCGGTGTATGGCTATGGATGCAGGAAGTTATCCGGAGTGGTCGAGATATGGAGTGGAGTAGTGAGCAGCTCCGTGGTGAGATGGTGAGTTCTCTTTCATGTGTCCATTTCGTGAGTCATTAACTGACAGCCAATTAGGCTACTGCCAACCTGCTTCCCGAGTCCGTAGAGTGGATGAATAGTTTCCTCGGCGTTGTATGGGGGCTCGTCAATCCAGAAATGTTGTCACCTGTGGCCGACACCATTGAAGATATTATGCAAGTGTCTGCGCCCAAAATTGTCGAGAATGTTCGAATTGCAGAAATCGACCAGGGCAACAACCCACTCCGCATCCTGAGCATGCGAGCTCTTCCCGATGAGCACGTTCAAGGCTTGAAGGATAATATCCATGAAGAGAACAAGAGGAATAAAGATCCACAGGAGGCCGCTGCCGCAGAGGAAGGAGGCAGTTATTACAACATGGAGGCCTCCTTCGCCTATCATGCAAAGCCAACCTCTCAGAGCACCTCATCCAAGGCACGCAACATGCACATGCAACTGGTATTCTACCTAGGTGTCCGAGGATTGTTTGGTGTCCCATTCCCAGTATTTGTGGAGCTCATTGAGATGGTGGGAACCGTTCGAATGCGCTTCCAAATGATGCCCGAAGCCCCCTTCATGAAAGATGTGACTTTCACATTGGTTGGGGTTCCCCATGTTAGGGCCGGTTGCATGCCTATGGTGCGAAGGGGAGTCAATGTTCTCAATCTTCCCCTTATCTCGAACTTTGTCAATTCCGCCATTAGCACTGCATGTGCCATGTTCGCAGCCCCCAAGTCGATGACCATGGACCTTGGTATGATGCTCTCGGGCGATGACATCCACAAGGATACTCTGGCTCTTGGTGTGATGTGGATTCGCATTCACCGAGCTGTCGGCTTAAGCAAGCAGGATACCCGTGGAAGTGAAGGTGGAGGCAGTGATCCATACATCAACCTCTCCTTCTCGAAGTACGGCAAGCCCATGTACTGTACTCGTGTAATTACGGACGACCTCAATCCCATATGGGAAGAGACTGCTGCTCTCCTCGTGACACCTGAATTGATCAAGGCCAACGAAAACCTGAGCGTCGAGCTCTGGGACTCGGACCGCAACACTGCGGATGACATCGTTGGAAAAGTTGAGCTTCCAATTCGGGAGATGATTCAGCATCCCGGCCGCATGTACCCCCAGGTATCAAAGCTCCAGGGCATGGACGAGGGCAGTGAGATGCCGGGTCAGCTGCATTGGGAGGTCGGATATTTTGGAAAGCCTAAGCTTCGCCCCGAGCTCCGAACCGATGGCAAGAAGAAGGATCTGCCCGAGAACCTCAAGGGTGATCCCAAGTTCGAGGACGAGAAGGGTGCTATCAACAACGAAGAAGAGGACGCAGTTATGCATACACCACCTGATCCTATTTGGCCTAGCGGTATTGTACACATTGTTGTGCATCAAATCGTGAACCTCCAAATTGCCAATATCAAGGGTAGTGATGGTAACCGCAAGGGCAAGGAGTATGAGCCGGCGAAGCCATATGGTGAGAACACAGAAGAGCAGGGTGATGACCTGCCCACCAGCTACTGCAAGGTTTTGCTCAATGACCAGCTGGTATGAACTCAGGGATACTCACCGCTCAAAACTTGACATACTAACCGTTGTTCTAGGTCTATCGCACTCGTGCCAAGGCTGTAAGTTCCAAACCAATCTTCAACGCTGGAACTGAGCGGTTCGTTCGTGACTGGCGCTCTGCTGTGGTGACTGTGACAGTCCGGGATCAGCGCTACCGTGAACACGATCCTATCTTGGGTGTCGTTCCGATCAAAATTTCCGACGTCCTCCAAACCAGCTCCCAGGTCACCCGTTGGTACCCTTTGGATGGAGGTATCGGATTCGGACGTATCCGCATTTCTGTCCTCTTCCGCCACGTTGAGACTAAGCTCCCACCCAACATGCTGGGCTGGGATGTTGGAACCTTTGAGTTCGCTGGACAGAAAATAACTGCCAAGGACTATGGTCGGCACACGAAGATCAAGCTGCGAACCGGGGGCAGCACGGGGAAGATCAAATGGCACAAATGCCATTTGACAGGAAGCGATGCAGTTTTTGATACCTCTGACGAGCAATTCCGTGACTCCCTCCGTATGCCAGTCAAGCACCGTTACCGTTCCCCTGTCGTATTTGAATTCCATTCCCAGGGCAAGCGCGGCTCCGTGGCGTACGCCGTCCTGTGGCTCCAGCATCTCGTCGATAACGAAGAAACCGACATCGATATTCCCATCTGGACGACCAAGATGGGCGCCCGTCTCACTCAAAACTATGTTACTGAACAGAACTGGCGTGCTAAGCAAGTGCCAGGACTCGAAGACTTGACCGAAGTGGGGCGTCTGCAGTTCCGATGCAAGTTCTCACCAGGAATCGATGAATCCCATGAGCGTTTCGTGGTCGACAATGACTCACGCGAGACATTTGAGACTTGGGAGGCGTGCATGGCACAGGGTGTCCGATCTCGCAGCGTCGAAGTCGAAGTTCCCGCCGAAGTCCAGGCCAAACACGAACAGTCTTTAATCGACGGACGCGACGTATTGAAACAAGCTTCCCCTGCCGAACGTCGGAAGTGGATCTCTAAAGATGGTTCAGACTGGAGTGGTGCATTTGGACACGACCCACGTGCATACACCGATTCCGTCGGACGCAAGGCCGCCGAGCCTGGACTCGACTCCCTCCCCACGATCCTGTCACCCCACCACCATTGAAGGGACAGGCTTCTTCCGAGCCAAACATTGAGGAACACGATCACGCCTCTCCTGGATCTGACAATGACACCTCTGACTCGGAAAGTGAGGAGTCCTCTTTGTCTCAGGGGCCTTCGGTCCTCAGTGGTAGCGCCAGTGGCAATGGCAATGCTGGGGCCTCGTCGTCGCAGGGGAGTAGCAGCCAGATTAACAAGGCGAACAAGCGCAGTGAGCAACGGCAACAGCGCGGTTTGATGCAGTGGCGTCCCGCTCGGAATGCTGCATTCGCCAAAGATGAGGCCAAGTTCGCGCTACGGAAGATCAAGAAGAAGATCGGCGCTGGCGATCTCACAGGTCGCGAGCCGGATGTCGAGACGGAGACTTAACGAAGTATGAAAGTTTCGGGTTTGGAGTTTGGGGCCCTAATTCAGCGTGTCCCCTTTCCTGTATAAAATGTTATTTTCATTGAGTTTCGAATAAATTTGATTCTGATCCAAATATACAATGTGGATACAAGTAGCCTCATCACATTACTGTACACACAAGTCCGGCCGCAAGAGCTAATGTGATATCTCGTTAGTCAATTTTGTCCAATTGTTCTTTTGGACAAAACACAACTTACCTCCAGCAACAACGCCAGATGCCACACCAGATGCAACACCACCAATAGCACCCTTGTAAAGCTCGCCTTTCCGCCCACTGAACTTCTTATGAGCATCCTGAGCTTGCTCAACCTCTTTGCGGGCATTCTTGACATTTGTCTCGCGTTTCTCAATGTCATGGGCAATCCTCTCTTTCCGGTGCCTAGTTTTCGACCGCCGTGCCATATCCCTACGTACTTTCTCGAGCGATTGCTCCATGTCGAGTAGTTTCTTCTCCTTTGCCGCAAGCTCGTGTCGGATTTCCTTGACTATTACCTCACGCTGCATATCCTCAGATGAAACACGCTCCTTCTCAAGGAGGCTTTGCCGCCGAGCCGCATCCCTGCGAGCCTGTTTGATCTGTTCCTCCTTATTCCGTAGCTCTTTCTCTCTTGCCGCGAGCTTCTTTCTGGTTTCAGCGATCTTTCGCTCATAATTCCTTGCCTCGGCTGCAACGAGCTTTTTCACCTGGAGGTCTTGAGCCTGTTGAGCTATCTCCCTGCGAACTTCATCGAGAGACGACTCCATATCACGTAACTCTTCTTGCTTAACCGCAATCTGTACCCGAAATTGTTTGTCCATCTGCTCGATCCTCTGTTCCCATATCTTTTCCTCTCTGTGATGCAAATCTTGCATTGAATTCCTCAATGCTTGCTTCTCGCGATCAGATTTCCTCAGCTGTTTCTCGATATCTTCCTTGAGTTCTTGCAGATTCGCGGCATATGCAGAATTCGTTTTCGCCAGCTCGCGCTTCATATCTGCCTCTATCCTGCGCAATTCTTCTTCGTGTTCTCGTCTCGCTCGATGTATATCTCTTGCAACGGCAATTCCTGCCCCCGTCTCACCAAGAGTCTTTCTTTGTTCAATGATTTCGCGTTGCAGTTGAAGTACCTGTGGAACATGCTCTTCAGAGTGTTGAATGAGATGCGACACGATATTCCGTGCAGAATCAGTCTCGTCGGTGGAATTTTTGATGCCCATTTCATTATGACGAAAGACAGTCGCTCCGCATGAGATCAAGGCACCAAAGTATCGCTGATCACTCATGAGCTCAGCCTCTCGATTCTCCAGCGTACCTGTATCCTCATACAAAGTTGTATCAGGCCACATGGTAGTTGCGATGGCAACATTATCGTAGAACTCAAATCCACACATGGCTTTCATCATTTCAATATTACGCAGGCTTGACCCTGACATCCGGTTGCCGGTGATCGGATGTAGCATTATTATGCCATGGATGCGCACGCCGTTTGCATATGATGCGCCAAGATAGCTGGCAAGTATACTCAGGGTATCAATATCGGAGCGATCAGTATCGTTGAAGCCCGGTGTATCAATAAGATAGATCCGCCGGCCATTTAAATTGAAGTCGAAGACGTCTATTGAGTCGGTACCTAGAAAGTGTTATTATTATAAATTGAGAGATATGAGAGACTCCACTTACAGGAGTATAGGCCATGGCCAACAATGACCTCTTTTCCAGTGCACCGAGAAATGAAGGTGCTTTTGCCGGATCCTGTCATTCCCATAACCAAGATGAATCTATCATATGGATTCGGTTTTGTAATGCCAGTAAAAACTGAGAAGCGCCGAGCCTGATCGGCCAACTGCTCAGCTGCGGATTTGATATCCATAACAAACAAAATTCGGATGAATAGTGTTAACAAGGATGGGCACAAAAGAAGTAGTAATGAATATCTCCTCAGAGATATAGCCTGGCCTGACCTTCTCGAAAAAAAAAAAAAATAATAATCAAACAAAAGCGCCAACCTCTCTACAAGAGTAGCAAATTTACCCACGAGGCGGCCCGCTGAGCCTCAGCACTTTGCCAATACCCCCGAAAACAAGATAAGGCGGAAATGTCAACGATAGGCTCGGAAAATCCAACGGGGCGGGTTAGGCTGAATTCTAGGTGCGAGAGGCTTGTTTGCACGCTGGCAATCCTATCAATCCCCACGCTAAGCGGCCCTCTAGGCTTGTGGCGTCCATAGAATGGACACCACGGCGCCTAGGTGCAGGACTTCGCTGGCAGTGGCGTAGTCACGCATGAACAAGACATGCAGATATGTAAGCATACTGGCAAATCGACAGCGTTAGAAAGAAATGGAAAGTAAGAGGGGTAGGTAAGACCTAGTAATTACAAGACGCCGTGGTGTGACTCCGGGGTCTCGTCCATTTTGATCATTAAAACTAATGCAACTGCTGAGAGGGCCCGAGCGTTATTATTGCGCCTCGCGAGATGATGGAACCTTTAATATTGATCTTCGGGCTTATGTTGAGAGAAAGGGAAACTGCAAAGTAGATTTCATCGCATCGGATCCGTTGCAAATCATTCAACTTCGAAATACATCAAGCTGTGCGCGTAATGTCGTCATTTGGTAGGTATGATTTTTATCATCGTGAGGAAGAGCCATTAACTAAATGCTGAGTAGTGAGGGGCACGAATGTGCACAGCAATCCATACTCATCAGTGGGGTTTCGAGGTGGTCGCGCCCCAGGGTAAATAGCTCTCATCCAAGAATGAAGTCTTCTCTTGCCACATACTAACAATTGAACCTCAAGGCCGAACGATGTTTTTATCGCCGTGATGGGTGTGACGGGGTCTGGAAAGAGCTCTTTCATCTCACTATGCGCCAGAAAGCGAGTCGAAATCGGCCATACCCTAGGTGCCTGTGAGTACAGCTCGGTCCTGCAGTCAGTGATGTTAATAGTATCCAATATCTAATAGTGCGCAGGCACATCTGTCGTCGACGTCTACGCCTACGAACTATCACCAGATCGCACCGTATACCTAATCGACACGCCCGGATTTGACGACACGAATCGGAGCGACGCCCAAGTTCTCCGCGAAATCGCGACATGGCTGGGAGACTCATACCAAAACAAGATTCTTTTGAGTGGTATCCTATATCTACACCGGATAAGCGATATTCGAATGCAAGGATCAGCCAAGAGAAATTTAACGATGTTTACTGAGCTTTGCGGAGACGATGCTCTGAAAAAGGTCATTCTGGTGACAACGATGTGGGACAAAGTTGCAAGCGAAGACGCCTCAATGCGCGAGAAGGAGTTGTTCGACAAACCTGAGTTTTGGGGATACATGCTCAGCAAGGGGAGTACCTCCCATCGACACAGCAATACCGAAGACTCTGCAAGAGCCATTGTTGATCTTCTTGCAAAGAACAATAGACCAATTACAACGAACTTGCAGAAGGAGCTGGTAGATGAGCATCGCTCTCTGAACCAGACATCAGCAGGTCGGGAATTGGAAAGCGAGTTAAATAAAGAGAAGGCGAAGTGGGATATGGAGCGTCGCGAGATTGAAGAGCAGATGAAGGTTGCGATAAAGCAGCAGAACCGAGAGGCTGAACAGGCCATGCGTGAAGAGCGCGAGAGATATACGAGCATGATCAAGAAAGCAGAAGAGGATACCGGGGTTCTCCGGTCTGACATGGAGAAGCTTCTTGCGCATCGAGATGAGCGCGTGACTCGGTTGGAACAGCAGTTGAAGGAGCAACAGGCGGCTTATGACGCTGCTTTTAAGCTGATGAAAAATAGAGAGAAGAGGCTTGAGAAAGAGAAAGCAAAGCTGGCTAAAAAGACATCTGAGCCCAAAGTACCGCCATCCCCGTCGCCATCGCCATCGCCATTGCCGACCGATAGGGAGAAATCCAAAGCGCGAGGGAAGGCGGATTCAGAAGAAGAAGTTGCTGTCGCTACATGGACTCGAACAAACGAGAAAGACGTGGAAAGTCATTCGAGAAAGACCGTATATGTCCCTTTTTGGGTGGTCCTGCATGGCACCAAATTCGCCGGGTTTAGTAGCGAATATAACGCCAGGTGAGTACATTCGGAATCAGAGAGTTTGGGAATATGACTGAATCATTGTGGCTCGTTAGCCAAATGGCCTACCCAGAGATGCGAAAGGGATCAGGAGTGCTAGCAGCCACTAGCTACGGAGAATCCCACGAAGGAGCCTTGACATGGATTGCCCGTTACAACGATGGGACTTGGGGTAAGGACTGAACCCCGGAAGAGCGATTGTATCAATATTAATGAACATGCCAGCCACCAGCGACGGCCTCTTTGTGCGGTACGGGCATCTAGGCACTACACTAGAAACTCGAGGCTTCCAGGATCTCGAGACGTGTGTTCTCGGACCAGGCAATACATACTACGCACGATGGCGAACTAACAAATGGAGCTGTCACGGAAAGACCGAATTCAGGAACGCGATCAGGACGCACAGTACTATGGAAGATGGCTCCACGATCTTGAATCTGACTATTGGGTTCGGGGGCTCGTATGTGATTTCCTATGGGCGCCGAAATGATTTGCGGAATGTGAAGTCTGTTTGGAATCTGCGTGGGCATTACGAACATCTGAGTAAATTCTTGGACAAAAACAAGGATATCAGCATCATTGTAAGTCTCCCGATCTATTGTGTGGAGAAGAATCTCACTTTTAGCAGGCTCTTTCACTCGATCCATTGAGTAAAAGCACTTATATGATTATCTTCAGAGAGCCCGATAAAGCCGGTAGATGGGAGCTACGGTGGTTCGGTGTGAGGAAACTGGAAAAGCCCATCCATGACTGGTGGCATAAATCATGATAGGTTGGAGTCGGTATTATGTTGTTTTGTTTCCACTGTGGTACCTATAGATATCAACCATAGTCGGGAGATTTTGTGTATCTTAACATCGAGGATATAATATACGATGAGAAACATTATGCTGATAGACTCCTAGCCGACGGAGAACGGAGAGAGCGAATGCACTCCAAAACACTGAAACCCAACCTGCGCCTCTATATATGACAAGAACATGATTCGTAAATGATATATGCATCACCATTAAGCATCACTGAAAAAAACAGTAGCCATGAAACAACAAATGTCGCATATTTATTGACTTGCTTCGGAGTTTGCGGATGTCTCAGAGAGACCTGACTCCGACGGGGGCGATAATGACTGCACAGAATTATCGCCCTCATTTAAGTCACTCTCCACCGGACCCAAAGTCCATCTCCACTCCCGGCGGCGCTTTAAACGACCTTGGCGTGGTGTTTGAGGCGTAGACGAGGCATACGGATCAGCCTCAAACCCATCCAGCAAAGCCACCGCCCGAACCTGGCGCTCTATACGAAGCGTGCGCCTCTTCTTACGCTCTTCTTTAGTGAGCGAGGTATTGGTATCGCGCACGCCTTCATCGGCGCTAGTGTCATCGCCCGACGCACTCTCGGACAATGACGCGCTAGAATCGGAGTCATTATTATTTTCGTGCTCGTTTTCGGGGCTGGGGCCGGGTCCAGTTTCAGGTGGGGTTTTGTCTGCCTCGTTTTGCACTGCCTCCTCCCGCAGAAGATCTAGATGCTGGGCCGTATAGCGTTCGGTGCGGATCTCTTCTTCCAGGGGGCACCGGTAGTTCACTTGTTTCTTTGCTGGGAAGAAGACTCGGCGGGTGCCTGCGTTGTGTCCATTGCCGCCCGCAGAAATGGAGCCTCGGCGCCTTGAGGCTGAGTCTAGTGGGGAGTTGCGTAAGATGCTGCGGACGCCAAGAGGTAGTTGGTAGGGGTTGCGGTAGTTGAAGACATTATTGGGATGTGTGACGTAGGGCGAGGTTGGTTTGGGTGTGTTGAAGCGGGAGGATTTCACGGGAGAGCTCGTCGCGGAGGACGGGGATACGACATCGTAGGCATTCTTGAAGGTGTTGCGGACAGTGGGAGATGAAGTTGGTGCCGCTGCAAAGGAGAAGGATAGGCCAGTTGTTGAGCTGCCAAATGTGCGTGGGAGAGCAGTGGTTTGCAGGGTGAGTTTGGGTCGTGATGTTATCGTCGTTGCGTCCGTCGGGGGAGATAGACACGACATGGTGAGTTAGGACATGAAGTAGAGAAGTCAAGAAGAATAGAATATCGTCAAAGGGAAAAAAAGACGAGGGGAGAAGTGGCGGGGTTGAACTAAGAATAGAGGAGGTTGGCGCTTGCGATCAGCACTCTATGATGTGATGAGAGATGCAGGATGTCACCTCTACAGTATGCACATTCCAAGTAACCCCCTAAAATTGTAGATTAACTGTGTAACTTTGGGAGTTTATGGAGTTTAATGACTTTAATATTAAGATCTACACTTCTAAAGAGATTTATCGGCTCTGATTCCAGACTCAAGTGGAGGCCGAACTATTGACGCCACAACCAGACTATGTCTTGCCGGTCTAAATCTGTACTGTAGTCACACGAGTTTATTGTAGTTAATCTATGTGTGAGACAGAGACTATGTACTGTATTCGCACGCCATTGCTATAAAAAGATTGCCCGTGGGTCGTGGGGGCGATCATCCTGAGGTTACCAACAATTGCGAACGGTGGCGAAAATGCTAAATATGGGCATATAGATTGTCATTGTTTAAATTTGCTTACTTTCTTTGTTGCTTCGACTTTTCACAATTACATTGGCCTGGAATTCGCTTTGTTCTGCTTTGTAGGCATCTATATTCCGTTTCCATCACGATGTCGCATTGAGGGTCTCGATACGACGTAGAAGGGGTGATACTTCCGAACCTCCCGCTCTTTCCAGCCCGGGCCTCGAAAGGGGCTCTTCAGGCGTTCAATGGCCTCTGCGTCAGACTTGACTACATAATACTTTCCCTTCTATGTAACTTGAGGCTCTGCTCCACTGTCCAGCAAAAGATGCACCGAAGAGGCACGTTTCTTCTTGATCGCTAGGAGCGAGGGAGGCACATCCCCCCCACTTTTGGTCTTTGCGGTCCCATTCATATCCGTTCCACGGCGAATCAGCAGCTTTGCCAGGCTATCCTAACCTATTCTGAAGATATCTTGCAATAGCAATGTTTCTGTTATGTCTTGACAAATGTGCCGATGGGGTCACGCATGTTGGATTGTGAGGGGGTAAGTGCTGCTTTGTTTACCTTTTTTACCGTTTTTCACCTACATTGGCATCTGTCTCCATTTCTATGCAACTTGTCTTATGCTGATTGTCCTGGAGATAAAAAACTATCGACTTTATTGTATTCTTTAATGGTGATAAACAAGTATGCATTGTAAAGCCCAGTTTCTATTTTTAATGTTACGCCACAGACGCCACAGTCACTAGCCACAGTGGCAGCCTGTTCCTGGCTTCACTGCAGCTACATGCAACTATTCACCCCTGGACCCATCTCAGCCCATAACCTAAGAACTCCACTGATGGACCGGGGATATCTCAGGGTCCATGGCTGTACCCCCACGAAACGACCGTCGGGTCATCCTCCACCTTGTGAGTCTTTCCCCTTCGCCATTAGAGTCAAGCTGATCATATCTAGGATTATGACTGTTTCTATGCATCAGTCTTTGAGGTTGAGCAGCCTGCACTGAGATCTCTGCCTTTGGCTGTCCAGCAGAAGCAAATCGTGGTAACATGCAACTACGAGGCTCGACGGCGAGGGTTGCATAAATTGCAACTTATTAAAGACGCCAAGCGCATCTGCCCCGATGTGGTCATCGTCTTGGGTGAAGACTTGACCAAGTTTAGAAATGCATCCAAGGAGCTGTATCTGTTTGTTCGATCCTTTGTTTGGGGCGGGCGTGTGGAGAAGCTGGGGTTTGATGAGCTTTTTCTAGACGTCACGGAGATGATCGATTACAATACCGGTGTCTTGAACCCGAATGACTTGTCGAACTCTTTCTTCTATCTTGATCGGAAAGACCCTACTGTCGGCTTTTCCTATGATGCCACTCGATTCCAGGGATCGACCTTTCCAGCGACGGAAGCTGCGCCTATCGCTCAGAATGAGATATCTTCATTGGACATGAGATTGCTTGTCGCTTCGCATCTCCAAGGATTCTTGAGAAGCAATATGGAGCACAGGATTGGTTTCACGGCTACGGGTGGAATTTCAACGTCCAAACTGCTGGCAAAGTTGGTTGGCAATGTCCACAAGCCCAACGGGCAAACGACTCTCCTGCCGCCATACACGGCGGTTGGAAGTATATCCAGCAATGTCACACAGTTTATGGATGACCATGAAATTCGAAAAATTCCTGGGATTGGCTCACGGATCGCCGAGAGACTGAAAACTCATATCTCAGGGGAAGAAACTGTCGATGAGAAGATCACCGTCCGAGATATCCGCCAGTTCCCGGGAATGGGGCCACCGTTGCTAGAAAAGATCCTTGGCGGACCGGGGTCGGCGAAAGGGATCGGGACGCGCATGTGGAGCGTTCTCCATGGAGTGGACAATACAGATGTGCTCGAGGGCAGAGACGTGCCAACCCAAATCAGCATCGAAGATTCCTACGGCCGACTGGATACCTTGGAGAGTGTGAGGCGTGAGCTGGTTGCGCTCTCGGGAAGCCTGATCCGACGCATCAGGACCGATTTACTTGATAAGAGTGACGATAGCACTCCGCAAGGAAGATGGCTCGCCCATCCTCGCACTCTGCGACTATCGACGCGGCCAAGGCCTCCGCCAGACATGGATACTGCACATGCATACAATTACAATCGGATTTCCCGCTCAGCACCTTTGGCATCTTTCATCTTCAACTTGGATGAGAACATCGATGCGTTGGCTGAACGATTAGTCAAAGATAGCCTTTTGGCTATGTTCCGAAAACTGCATCCTGAAAAGGCCGGCTGGAATCTCGGTTTGATCAATGTTGCGGTAACCAATATGGTTGAGACCGCTGGTGATCAGAAGCAAAGCAGTGGGCGTGATATTGGCAAGATGTTTCGACAACAGGAGACGGTGCTTAAGGACTGGACTGTGCAGGAACCTGAATCCCCGTTGGTGCCCGTTCAGGCTTCCCGATCGCCTATTGGAGGTTCACCCGAGATTGAGCCACAGTCTGCCGAGGATGACTGGGATGAGGGCGACGAAGACGAACCCTTGGCTAGCAGTGTACCCTGCCCTATCTGCGGGGCATCTATACCCCATTTCGCACAGCTAGCGCATGAGATGTATCACTCTGCCCCGGAGTGAGTAGTCATGCTACGTATTAACCTATATTTTCGGGTTCCTATATAAAAGAAACACCCTAAGTTGTGACAAAGAATTAAGTTATGCATACTGCAAGTGTGTCACAATGCATCCAGCCTTGCCAAGTGATGGATCTAATAACCGGTTGGCGCCTTGGCTTACAGTCATGTACGCGTACTCGTTCGAATGATTAAATGGTGGAAATAGGGTACTCCTCTAAAAAATACATTAATATCTTGATTCACGGTGGCAATATATGTGGCTGTGTTCGCCGCCGTCACCGAGTCCATGGATATTCTTCTAAATGCGAACCTTAGCCCTACATGTACAACATACTTAACGTTAGTCTTAAGCGCCAAGTCTACAGGCAGCACCATAAGGGACATCGAATGAAAATAGGCCAACTCCACTTCACTCGCGCAATCGGAACATCGGAGAGATGTTTCAGCCCGCCTTGCCAAGCCCAGCCTTCTGGCCTCCGGGGCCATCACTGTTATTGGATTCCTTAGACCTTGGCAAACGGCTGTGCCGGACCCTTTGTGATCCCTCTCGCTTCTTCCATCTTCCAGTCTCTCGTTCTGATATTCAAGTTATCTTTCCTTAAGTTCCTGACACTCGTTGATCCCCCGAGGTGGACCCGATCCCTGGAATCTCCCCATGATTGTCAGCCAGGACCCTTGAAACTCTTATCAGCCTCAAAAGACCCTGATATCCTCAGACCCTGGGGTTTGAACTGCGATGAGGTTCTCCCAAACGATCCTGCCCTTGATAGGTGCGGTTTCGTCGCTCTTTCAACAGACACACGGTACCGTCTCCTTTTTCTCCGTTGCTGTGGCAGCGCTAACTCCCAACAGCACGGTCACAAGCCTCAGAGGCTATTCGCCATGTTACGCCAGTCGATAATGCCATCATTCGTACCCCCTCACACAAAATAGACCATCTATCCAGCTTCGATGTTACCTTCAACCTACACCAAGACGGCAAGCGGATAAAGCTAGAGCTTGAACCAAACCACGATATCCTCGCCGACGATGCTTACGTGCAATACCTGGGCATTGACGGTACAGTACGACACGGTCAGCCCATCCAGCGACACGAACACAAAGTGTTTAAAGGCCGCGCGCTGGTAGGATCGGGTACAGGGAGATGGACGCCAGTCGGTTGGGCCAGAATCACCGTTAAAAGGGATGGCGAGGAGCCACTTTTCGAGGGTGCATTCAGCATCGACAATGACAAGCACCACATTGAATTGCAGTCAAACTATATGCACAAGAAGCGCCCGATCGATGCCGATGTCGAGCCGAGGGACGGAGAGTATATGCTCGTCTACCGAGACTCCGACATGTTCCAGTACACACACAATGAGCTGAAGCGGTCGCTTGCCGCCTCCTCCTCTGGTTGTGGATCCGACACCCTCGACTACAATGCCGATCTATCTAATTCTATCTTCCCATATGGCGTTGACCAACTCGACGGCCAGTGGGGTGTTGCCTCGTTGAATTCGCTGTTCGGTCTGAGCAAGCGGCAATCGGATACCAGCGGTGTGTCCGGAAACACGGGCGGCGTGAACCTGCAAACGACCATCGGCGATACCAGTGGTTGCCCCAAGACGAAGAAGGTCGCTCTGATCGGAATTGCGGCCGATTGTGCATTGACCGAGTCTTTCGCATCTAACAACGCGACCCCCAAGGCTGCGGCTCAGGATTGGATCATTAACGTTGTGAACACGGCATCCAGTCTCTATGAAGATTCATTCAATGTGTCAATTGGGCTGCGCAACTTGACAATCTCCGAGACTGGCTGTACCTCTGGAGGCTCTTCTGGTACACCGTGGAACGTCGGTTGCAACAGCGGCAATGTCACCTGGCGTCTCAATGAATTCTCCAAGTGGCGCGCTCAAAATTCAGATAGCAACGCTTATTGGACTCTTATGACCGACTGCCCGACAGATAGCGAGGTTGGTGTCTCGTGGATGGGTCGGTTGTGCACATCCGACTTGACGACCGCCGGCGACAGCTCTGTTACCGGTGCCAATGTTGTTGTTCGCAATTCTGGTGCTTCCTGGCAGGTGTTTGCCCACGAGACTGGCCATACCTTTGGAGCTGTGCACGACTGTGATTCGCAGACATGCTCCCAGAAGTTACAGGATTCATCCCAATGTTGCCCACTGTCCTCGTCAACCTGCGATGCTGATGCAAAGTACATCATGAATCCATACGCTAGCAACATCATGACCAAGTTCTCAGATTGTACGATTGGCAATATCTGCTCCGCAATTGGCAGAAACAGCATCAAGTCCTCATGTCTGTCAGACAACAAAGGCGTCGTGACCATCAGTGGCAGCCAGTGCGGTAACGGCATCGTCGAATCCGGCGAAGACTGCGACTGCGGTGGCGAAGAAGGCTGCAGCGACAACTCCTGCTGTGATGCAAAAACCTGCAAATTCAAGGGCAATGCCGTCTGCGACGACTCCAACGAGAGCTGCTGCTCCCAGTGCCAGTTCTCCCCAGCCGATACCGTGTGCCGCCCCAGCACAGGCGTTTGCGATATCGAAGAAAAGTGCAGTGGAACCTCCAGCTCCTGCCCCGACGACAAATACAAGGACGACGGCTCATCTTGCGGCGACAAGGACCAAGGCCTCAGCTGCGCCAGCGGCCAGTGCACCAGCCGCGACTACCAATGCCGAACAGTGGTCGGCTCTCTACTAAACACCAACGACACCTGGGCCTGTGAAAACACTCAAGACCCTTCATGTACTCTGGTCTGCGGCGCACCATCAATCGCTCACTCGTACGGCACAACCCCATGTATCAGAATGAACCAAAACTACCTCGATGGCACACCCTGCGACTCAGGCGGCCGCTGCAACTCAGGCCAATGCAAGGGATCGTCAGCCCTAGGCTGGATCAAGCAACACGAGAAACTCGTAATCGGCGTCTGCGTTGGCGGCGGCACCTTCATTCTCCTCGCCCTCTTCTTCTGCATATACAGCCGCTGCAGGCGCAGCGCTGCCCAGCGGAAGATGCGCAAGGCTATCCCCCCCGGTACATACCGGCGCTACAATGGACCCCAGCCCTCTGCTCGCCCACCCCACATGAACCAGTGGCATGGTGTTCCCAATAGTGGGTATCAGAATGTACCTCCGCCTGGACCGCCTATGTATCAGAATATGCCCCCGCTTGGGCCGCCGCCACGTTATGCTTGATTGCATCCTTTCGTTGTTTATCATTTTATTCTATTTTTATGGATTTTAATCCTCGGATCTTGCACTTGCATTGGTGCCCGTGGGGGCTTTGTTTTGTTTTCTGGGAATATTGGTTATCGGCGTCAATGCGAATGGATAGTGCGGGCCTTGTTTATGATCGGTCCTTACATTGGCGGTTTAGGTTTGTGGACATTCATTTTAGCCGTTGCTGCTGGGTTTCTTGGATTTGCATGGATTATATCTCGTAGCAGGACACAGCGCCGCGACGGCTATGAATCATACAGCACTTATGTCAATTGACAACCTTATACATGTAATCTAGAATGAAGATCTCGATTGCAGGGAGGATATCCATTTGAAGTGCGATACAAACCCAATAGATAAGAAGGGTAGGACGGCAGTAGTACTTCCAAAAACAAGGAATACAAACAGAGACAAGAAACAAAGTACTGAAACAGGACCCAACACCAGAGAAACCCATGCACAGCCCAAGTCAAGAGTCACCTCTCAACTCAAGCACCAAAGACGAAGACACACAGGGAGAGAGAAAGAGATCCTAAAAACCCTCAAACTCATTGCCAACAAATCCCAACAAAAGCCTCACGAGTAACACCACCAACCCCCTCAAGATCAAACTCCTCAATCATTGCCCTAAGCTCCTCCTCCTCAAGCCCCGTCTCCCCCAACTCCCTAGCAACACGCCTCAAATCCTCAAGATCAATGAAACCCTTGGCCCCCTCATCAAACAGCTCGAAAGCGCGCAGAATCTCATCACGCGGATCGCGCTCAAGAATCTTCAGCGCGGTCACAGCCTGGAAGGACGAAAGTGGCATGAGCAGGTTGGACGGGTGTTGCGGGTTCGACACGGGACCCTTGTTCGCCTGTGCGGCTTGCTGTCCTTGGGCTTGGGCTTGAGCTTGTTGGGCTTGGACTTGGGGTCGGGGCACGCCGTATGTTGTTAGTAGGGAGATGAGCTCTTGTTTGCTCAGTGTGAAGCCTAGAGCGCGGAAGGCGACGCGCAGTTCGTGGTAGTCTAGGTGGCGGTCGCGGTCGAGGTCGAAGAGGGTGAACTGGACGGGTAGAGGTGTGGTGTTAGTTTTGCTTGTTTCAGGTTTCAGGTCTGGGGGTTTGTGATTTGGCTGTCCATTTTGGATCTGGGTTATGTAGTATGACATCTCCAGTTGAATGGAGGCGGTTGTAGTGCCATATCAAATCATTAACGGTTCGGGGATCCCTTACAGCTTCGTTAATCTCCTCCCTCTGCTCCTCCGTCAGGCGGTTGAGCGGGTTGGTATCCTGCGCAGGGCCGTGAGACTGCGCGTTTGTCGCCGGCTGCGCATTCTGCTGTGTCTGCTTCGCACCGTCGGCGCCGAATTCGCCTGCACCGGGATTGGCGAGGCCGCGATGCCGGGAGAACGACGAGGCGCTGAAGGGCATGGCGTTCGCGTTGACAGAGCGGTCGGGCATTTTCGTGCCGGCGTACGAGCGCGACGCGAAAGGTTGGCCGGAGGCCATGGCAAGTGGTGCGTTCAAGATTTATTTAGAAGCAAGGTTCGGGTTCGCCAGCATTAATTGGAATAGAGGGGCTTCAGCCTTTGGGAATGGAGAGTTGGGGTGTTGGCGGTGGGAGGATTCTTGAGACGCGACGCGGGCGGAATGACACCCAACGCCTCCCGGCTGTTTTTTTCTACAAAGTTGGGATTTTGATACTTGTAAGTGGTTTCCGGAAATATTGTGATTTGATTATTTACTGGCATGACTGAATTATAAGCAATTGGGTATCAACTATCTCAAGCAAAGCTTCCCATGTCTCTTGCGTCTCACTCGTTTGAAACAATAACACAATTCAAAGCCATGGCCCAAATAACAGCAATCACCTCGCTTTTATCAAGATGTATAAGAATAGGGCAAAGAGAACAGAAAAAGACAAACAAGCTTAACATGGGCTTCGACCGTATGGGCAATAACACTTGCCAGGAGAACATTCAGTGATACAGCAACACCCATCAGCGTCCGCATCATGATCACAGCAGTAACTGCAACAGCTGCAATAGGAACTGTTACCAGATATGGTATCAAAGATGTCGAGATTCAAGGCTATGCTCGGATCAGTCAGAGCCCAGTCCCCTGGTACAGTATCGGGCAATTCAGGTAGGGTCTCAGTTGAGTCTGTACTTCCAAAGGTTTCCAAGGAGCCTGAACGCCAAAGTGTATCAGCACCAAGGATTTCATCAGCATCCTGGAGCATACCGAATGAAATGGTCGAATCCAAGTTTACAAAAGATGAATCGTTCTCGGCGTCTTGTGTCGTGCCTATAGGTGCCGCAGGCGAGGCACTGATGGCAATCAGTGCCTCAACAACTTCTGAGGACCGAGGAAGTGGCGAATCAGACGGAGGAAACCCAGCACTTAAGAATGTAGTCATCAGATAGCATGATTCTGGGGGAAGACAAGACCATTGCCTGTCAGATGGTCCCTGCAAGAAGACTATATCGAAAGACGGGGACGGAGACGACAGTTCGGGGATTGCCGCTTCAAAAGTCCCCCTGATACGAGACGTGCTTATGTATTTCTGCCGGGGAAAGGTGTGATCCAAAATGTTTCCAATGACCTGGCAAATCACGTCTATCTGACACCCAGGACCAAGAATCTTCTCAATGGCTGGGTTGTCTCGCAGAGCGTTTAAGCCGTTCGCAGTCCGAATGTAGAGTGCCGTAGCGACCCAAACAGGATCGAGATCTTTGTTTGTCTTAGGCTCGTAATCCCCCATATCCTTGTGACGCAAGGATTCGTACAGCAAAAAGCATAATGCCCAAGACATCTCGGCTAGTCGCCTCACGCAGCGGACTAAGACAAAGAACATCACGAGCCTTCCAGACGCAACATCCGCTGTTGGTGCAAAGATGCGAGTTTTTGCCATGCATCGGGTGGTCATGAATAGCCTTGCCATTTGGAGTGCCTTCCGAACCAGTGGGTTAGAGGAGTATGAAGCTTCCATTTCAGATAATTCAGCGCAATCAAGACAGCTGATAGCCATGTCGATGAATGAATCAACGAGAGTTTCGTTTTCCATCAAATCGGATTTTGATTTAGTGACAATCCAAGCCCGGGATCCAAGAAAAGTATCTTTTTGGCAGACACTTAAAACCGCTTGGAATTCTGTCGTCTCAGAGAAGACCGTGCGTTCCATCTCCTCCAAAGTAAGGCGCCCTTCCACGGATGGCAACCGTGTAGCTGGAAACGGAGACCCAGGAGGCTTTCCAAACAGATACAGGTGCTCCGCTTCTCGAATGCAGATACGTTGCTCGCTGGTATAGCATAAATTGCATGGGCTCTGGGGTACACATCTCTTCCTAGATCGCATGCACCACAGACACGCACCACCAGCCTTTCTGAGAGCAGAGGAGTCTGCTTTCTGCTTGTCTATCTTCGCCTTGCTGCGGGGTCTCCTTTCGGGGGAGATCGTTGTGGGTTGGTTGGATCCACGTGGATAAAATTGACGGGCCCCGGTGGAAGAACCAAGGGTGCTAGGTGGTGCATAGATGGTGAGTGGTGCATAACTTGTGGGTTTTGCGCAGGCCCAAGCATACGAAGAGAATCGGATGCTATCGCCATATAAGAATCTGGACGTAAGAACTCTTCTTCCTCAACAGGCTCTGGCTGAGACGCAGTATCTGGGACCGATGGAGGTGGAGCAGGGGCGATCAGGCGCAGATAGGGCTGAAACGTTGATATTAGCGTTGACGGAACATAATGTGATAGACCAGAGAGCCGTTAAATGGATTAAGAGGGACCAAACTCACATGGATGGCAGCGGTCGATCCTTCGAGACGTCTGCGCTTCGTGGGGCGAGCGTTGGATGCCAACCCTTCAGCTTCAGCGTTTGCAGCCTGAGTCGCCAAGGCTGCTCCGGTAAACCGGAAAATGAGCGTGGGATATGACAAGCCTGGTTACGTGTGGGACAATGCCCGAAAGGTGAGGCAGGAAAGAGTGAGGGGCGAGGACAGGCTGTAGTATAAGCAGAACTGCCTTCTGAAGATGACCAAGCACAGAAAACGAGAGTACCAGTGGTTCAGTTGCAAGTCTCCAGTGAAAATGAAAGTGAGTATGAAAGAGTTGCCAACAAATGAGAATCCACGCCCCTGAGGAGTCACTCGAGCAGAAGCAAGTACGACAAAGTCATGTCATGATGCTTGTTATTAACAGGCCCAAATAGGCTTAGTTGGGGCAATTTGTGCAGTATAATTGATACTCAGGCGGTCAGATGTATACTGCTGTGCCTGATAGTTCAGGGCCATATGGATGTCATTGGGTTTTAGTATGACTTCGAGCAATGAAGAACAATAGACCATCAGCCTCTTCAGTAAGTGTTCAAGTCACGATCTCTCTGAGTGCCCAAATCCAAGTCTTCTAGGAAGGTACGGCCCAGCAGCTGCTCTGGCAGATACTCTTGCCGCACCTTACCGTCAACATAGTTTGGATTGTACTTATACTCTGCACCATAACCCATCTCCTTCATGAGCTTGGTTGGTGCATTTCTCAGATGAACAGGAATAGGCAAACCGGCGATCCCAGGTTCGTTCAAGGCGGCAAAGGCGTTGTTCAAGCCACGATACGCACGAGTGCTCTTCTTCGACAGTGCCATTGCCACAGTGGCATGGGCCAGGTTGATCCGCGCCTCTGGAAGACCGATCTTTTCAACAGCAGCATGGGTGGAGGTGGCCAGGGTTAACATTGTGTTATCAGCTAGGCCAATGTCCTCCGAAGCGACCACGATCAGCCGCCGAGCGATGTACAGTGGATCTTCGCCCGACTGGATCATGCGAGCGAGATAATACAGCGCGGCGTCCGGATCACTGCCTCGAATGGACTTGTGAAAGGCGGAGATGGTGTCATAATGCTGGTCTCCGGCACGGTCATACACAAGGGTCTTGGTCAGGGACTTCTTCAGATCTTCCTTGTCCATACCAGGCCGTTTTGACAGGTCCATGGCGAGCTCCAACAGATTGAGCGATGTACGAGCATCTCCATCGGCAAACTTAGCCAGATATTGGACCAGTTCTTCATCCACCAGGTCAGAAGGTGAATAACTTGGGCCTTCAACGCGGAGAGCGCGGTGGAGAATGGAGGTGACATCCTCGTCAGTGAGCTTTGAAAGAGTGAAGGTCCGACATCGTGAAAGGAGCGCATTCTGGACTTTGAACGAAGGGTTCTCAGTCGTCGCTCCGATCAGGGTGACCTGGCCACTCTCCACAGGACCCAGGAAGACATCTTGCTGTGATTTGGAGAAGCGGTGGATTTCATCACAGAAAATGATCGTTTTGCGCCCAGTCAGGCCAAGCTCACTGCGAGCCTCGGCGAATATCTTCTTACACTCTGCGACGCCGCTACTTGTGCTGTTGATTTCCACGAAGCGGCTACCCACCAGCGACGCAATAACTCGAGCGATTGTTGTCTTGCCTGTCCCTGCACTGCCCCACAGAATCATGCTTGGTACCCTATCTTGTTCGATGAGCCCACGCAGGACACCATTCGGGCCGACAAGCTCCTGGCCGCACACTTCCTCCAGTGTCTTGGGCCGCATACGCTCTGCTAGTGGTGCAGCTTTGTGGAAGGCATTGACCTTGGGGCGCTTTGCCTGCGGCTCTTTGGATTCGTCATTTGTTTGCTTCGGCCCACGTTCTTGGGTTGTCTCCTCCTGGATGAATGATCTCTTGCCGTTGAGAGGGCGCGGGGTTGTTGCTGGACGCGATGGGGACTCTTTCGTGATAGTTGACTGTGCGGATGCTTTTCGAGCGGATGCAGGCTGAAATATGCTTGGAACAGGGCCTTTCTGGGAGGATGATGCGTCTCCTGGAGAAGAGGACGGTTCTTCGATGAAGCTCTGGCAGCCGGAGTCGATGTGATCGTTGATCTTTAACTGCGAGACAGGCTTTTCACATATCGGACAGGAAACCATGATTGCAAACTATGCTGGTCATGAAGGAAGTTTCGAGTCGAGTATTTGTTAGGTTCGCCCGCTATCTCCGACGGAGACGGAGGAGACGCGTTATGCAAGACGCGCCTGTAATTAGTAATGTCAACGCCTTGGTGCCTGAGCATCAAATAAGCATTGTCCAGTCATTTATAATTAAGTAAATGCACAATATTTCTCGATTGGCCTAACATCATCAAAACACATCGTTGTAGCTGTCACTACTTAGCTGTATAGAGTGGGATTCGGCACGTTTCCCGAAGCCTAATCCGAGCACGCCATTTGCGGGCAACATCAACTTCCCCAACTTCTTTTCTTCAACTGTCACTCATGATTCTCAGTCGCTCAACTCTCCTCTCTACCTTCGCTCACTTCAAGAACCCAACCGTATCCCTCTCACCTACCTTACCCCGCCTCTCTGGTTTCGGCGCAAGACCGATGTCGGCAACAGCTGCGCGACCCGATCCATTCCGCCCCGCTGCGCGGGTGGCAGGACAGCGACAGGATGTGTGGTATGGCATGGCATTTGGAAAGCTATAGGAAGGATACTGAATTGATACTCCAGGTCCATCGTCAATGAGGCCGCCGCAGCTTCACCGGTTCAGCCGATCGTGAACATGGGCCAAGGGTTCTTGTGAGTCACCCAAGATGTCGATGTCGCAATGCTTCAAGGAACGAACATTGACAATCAATTTTTGTGGACAGTGGTTATAACCCTCCCAAGTTCGCTCTCGATGCTGCAAAGGATGCGCTGGACCGAGTCGAATGCAACCAATACTCCCCCACCAAGGTGGGACATGCCCACAGCCCCGCGCAGACTGTACAGTATGCTCATAGCGTATAGGGTCGCCCTCGTCTCAAGCAAGCCATTGCGGACGCATACTCGCCTTTCTTCGGCAAGACCATCAACCCCGATACCGAGGTCTCGATCACAACCGGCGCAAATGAAGGTGAGTAATTGACGCCCTCTACATATATGGCTGGGAAATTGGCACTGACATCGGATGATCAGGCATGCTCAGTGCTTTCATGGGCTTCATTGAGCCCGGTGATGAAGTCATCATCTTCGAGCCCTTCTTTGACCAGTAAGGTGCCGCGCATTAGAAAAGGATCGACAGCTGCTAACTATGTGAATAGATATATTAGCAACATCGAGATGCCCGGTGGCACTATCCGATATGTACCTCTTCAACCGCCTAAGGATGGTGCTACCAGAACCTCTCCTGCGTCGGAGTGGACCATTAACTTCGAGGAGCTTGAGAAGGCCATCAACCCCAAGACCAAGATGATTGTTCTGAACTCTCCGTGAGCAACCTTGATACTTGATTTGAGACATCTGCTAACGTGTACACAGCCACAACCCCGTCGGCAAGGTCTTCTCCCGCGAAGAACTGGAGCGCATTGGTGACCTTTGCGTTAAGCACAACCTTATTATCCTCTCTGATGAAGTCTACGACCGTCTGTTCTACGTTCCATTCACCAGAATTGCTACCCTCTCTCCTCAGCTGTACGAGCGCACTCTGACCGTGGGCTCTGCCGGCAAGGCCTTCTATGCCACTGGCTGGCGTGTCGGATACCTGATCGGACCCGAGCATCTGATCAAGTACGTTGCTGGTGCTCACACCCGCATCTGCTACAGCAGTGTGTCCCCTCTCCAGGAAGCCGCCGCTGTAGCCTTTGAGCAAGCCGAGAAGGAGGGTTTCTGGGATGAGAGCCGGACAGACATGAAGAACAAAATCTCGCGCTTCTGCGAGGTGTTTGATGAACTCGGTATCCCGGTATGTGATCATGATCTTTCTGCAGACCTTTGTGGTATCCAAGTCACTGACAAGTAATGTTTGCAGTACTCTGACCCCGAGGGTGGATACTTCGTCCTGGCCAACATGGCCTCCGTCAAGCTCCCAGCTGACTACCCCTTCCCAGCCCACGTTGCCAACCGTCCGCGGGATTTCAAGCTCTGCTGGTTCCTCATCCAGGAGGTCGGCGTTGCTGCTATCCCCCCGACTGAGTTCTACACTGATGCCAACTCTCACATTGCTGAGGACTATCTTCGCTTTGCTGTTTGCAAGAATGATGATGTTCTCGAGACTGCCAAGGAACGCCTGAGGGGTCTCAAGAAGTATATCACTCACTAAAATATCCGGAATGGCTGGGATGCTGCGATATATTCTGAACTCTGTAGAAAGGGTATGATGACGATACGTAGAAAGCTGAATATAGTTAAATGTGCAGATATGTCATATCGATTGAATGTACACTTTATCCTACATACACAGCCTGATTCTGTCCATAGATAATTGCATTTATACAACAGGGGTCATTAATGGGTATACAGTGCTATGAGAAGTGTTGGACAGTCTCTAACTTTCACGAAAGCCTCGAAGCGAATACAATATTTCATAGTCTAAAGGCATTGGTCTGTCAATTTTTACAAATAAATTTTCAATCGTCTCTATATTTCTAGTTCTTCTGTTATCATATACGATGAAAGATGGGGATAAACGTGTGTAGTAAATTGGTTAAGAAAGAGATAAATTATGTTTACTCCAGGAAGAGATACTTCTAACAAAGTACCCTGTAACCCAACTTAAAACCTGCATAGGATTGGATGTCGCCATTTAGCAAGCTTTATCAGATCGATAGCTGGCTCCCCATTGGCAATTGAAACGTCAACACTTCTTTACCCCGGATTCTACCGGCAAGATTCCCAGTCCTAGTTAGTGCTTGGCGCATTAAGCATCCATGGATAGTTTATGATATTCATTCCATCGTAACTATTTGTTTAGGTAAAGCAAAAACTTTTACAAACACATATTTCGCAATGTACTCGCATTTTTCAGTTATTTCCCACCTGCACAAACTTCCAAATAAACTGCAAATTGTGAAGCCACAGAGTGCACCACACGATACCCGGCTTGAATGACCATTGGGTCCTAGCTGTCCATGCATCAAGACAACAATCCATTGAGTGGACCACAGAGCCTCATAAGGCCGGAGAAGGCGGCCCTGGGCGGAGCTAGACCCCGATAAGCAAAGCACACTTTCTCAATTTTGAACCTTACATGTAACTCTGAATGTAACCGAATGGTCCGAGAGCCTCTAGAAATTGCGCTAAGCTATCTCTGCGGGTAAGATTTACCGACAAATATCATCCACGGTGGCCACATGATACATTTGCAGCTTTTTTGCCTCCAATTGCAAACTAGGGTTGCCACTACTGTAACACAAATTGGGATATCCCCATGCTTTGCTCCAGCACAGATGGAAAATAGCCGTGCTGGAAATGTGCTCGTTCAAATAGAAATAAGCAATTCCGCCCTCTGTTTTGAATTTATCATTTCCTTCATCCCCGGAGTTCAATATATTTGTACAAACATTCAAGGGGGCAAGGGCGCTAATTAGGCAAACTAGACCGTAAAAAGAAATAATGTCTTAGACCGAGCAAACGCTAAACGAAGTTAAGCTGGCCCGCTATACGAACCTTTCCGCTACCTCACTAGTGATATAGTAGCCACAACTTAGCCCTGTCTTCGCTTCGCCACGGCGTTCCAAGATCCAATGAGTGACCAACAACTGTGACTCAAGCCTATGAAGAGGCAGTCTAAAGCTTAGAGGCATGTTGCCTCAATTTCCACAGCCCATTAAGCGAAGACAAGGATACATGACTAGCCTGATTCCCGTCTTTAAAAAGGACAAACCCCCGTTCTAAGCCATTCTCTATAGTCCCCCTTTATCCCAAACAGAAACAGACCACTCCAAAAATGCGCACCTCAATCTTCCTCGCCGCAGCCCTGGCCGCCGTCGCCAAAGCAGACGACTCGAGCACAATCATCGGTTACTTCTCCCCATCCTGGAGCGCAACCCTCCTCGAACTAGGCGGCTGGACAAGTACAGCAGCCAGCGTAGCCGGCATAAATGCCGAAGCAACAACCTACCACGTTGGCTGCCTCAAAGACGCCCCCAAATCCGACTGCAACTACCCAGCCTCCTGGACAATCATCCAAGGCGCCGAGACGGTCAGCATGACCGGCCAATACATCGCCTCCACCTCCGACAAGACCCAAAGCTACGATATCACTATCACCCAGTCTTACGAGTGCTCGCTCAAATCCTCCACTGAGTCTGCTAGCTGTACTATGAGTGTTGGGATGGGTGGGTCTTTGGATGGCGGGAAGTACGAGTCTTCGACTACTAGTCATGCGACGTATACCACTGCGCCGATTGATGGGTCGTACTATCAGTTGACTGTTACTGGGGGTGTGAATTCTTTCACTGCTCCTGAGGCTACTAAGACTCCCGGTGCTGCTGCTGCTGGGCCTGCTGCTGCTTTTGTTACTGTTGCTCCTATGATTGCTGCTGCCGCTGTTGCTTTGCTGTAATTATTTTCAATGTCACATGTTTTTGTAATGAATATTTCTTTCTCTTTCTTTATTTACTACTACTTTGACGGGAATGAAAGAGGTAAATTGAGGACAGAATGTTATAGCAGGCATATTTTTTACGGCAAGCTCAAGTTGGATAGAATCGACACCTTTGGATTCTCATAAGGGATTTCAATAACCGTGAGGCTCAAAATGATCGTCGAACATACATGTAGCTGTCTCCGCCGATCTACTATTGCTTGGCATAATGCAGTTGTAGGGTTGACGTTCCACGCTCTTATTGATGAACTACAACACGAAAAAAACGTGGAGAACATTCAAATCCTGGCCACAAATACCGCGGGACTCTTTGTTCAATTGAAAACAAAGAAGGGGGCATCACTTCCCCATCTATGTTTCCTTGTACTCTGACAGGTAATAATCGTACAAGTACTCCAACAAAATTATTTACAAAAAAGGGCATCCTGGAACCTGGGGGGTCTCATCCACACAACACCAGCACATAAAGCAGTTCTTAACCACCACCCCAAGTCCAGGACCCCGATACATGCCCATATCCACCACACCACCCACCATCCCCCGCCCTCCACACCTACCATTCGGCGGGATTGCCAAACCCGTCCCAACCTTCGCCCCGACGCCAAACACGTCGGTCCCATGGCAGGACCCCATCGAAACCATCACCACGCACGCGGGCCACCACACTTCTGATCGTAGGGTGGGTGGTTCGGTGTGCTCGCAGAATCCAACAAGTGGACTCCAGGTCATTGCACAATCCCTCGAGACCCCGTCCCACCTCTAGATCTTCTTGAAGTCTTTGTTGCGGCGGCACACAGTGTCTGTGGCTTGATTCGTCGGAGGGGCTTTGGTCGGCTCCAGTCCACTCATTCTCCCGAACATTGTGCTGACAAATGTGCGAGGTAGGGATAAAGTTGCCCATCTCTCGCTCAAGTTGATCAACCAGAATGTTCTCCTCCATGTGGTCCCATACTTGATGGAACTTCATCCAGCCCCGGATAAACCGGAAAAGAACGCCAACGAGACCACGATATTCAACACCCCCTAAGAAAGAGTTAGCAGATGATTTATAAGAAATAGAAAAGTGAAAGAAAGGGGAAAGCGTGAAATGAACGATGTGTCAGGACTGGCAAACTTACCAAACAGGCAGATCGCCAACAGACGACGGAAGCGATCTTTCCGTATGGGGTTGTCGAATCGCACGGTGAGTACGACTCGGGTTGAACAACGTGGCCCGTGACTTGCTGAAGTGCCAATCGATCTCAGCTGGTTGAGAACAGAGTCCGCGAAGACGAAATAATCGCCTTGATTGGCTGCGGAACTGAACCACAGCGCTTGACGATGACGTTCAGGGCTGTCCCAGCCATGAAAGCTTGGCACCATGGGTGGACCCACGAGAATCCCCTCTGGAAGCGGTCCTGCCAGGCACTGGTATGGGAGGGAATACCCTCCACAATGCTCCCAGTGCACAATGGCGTCACCCCACAGGTGTTCCTTGCCGCAGTAGCGAACCGATGAATACGGTCCGCACTTCGGGCACACAACACTCATTTCGTCCGTAAGACTGCAGAGCACCAGACACCCTTCAAGCGCACAAGGAAAAACGGCCTCGGCAAGGGTTCGGGGTCTGCATACTTCGGAAATGAGGTTGTTGCCCTTCTGCTCGGCTGTGGGGGATCCTACTTCCTTGGTGATTCCCACGAGGGGAGATGAGTGGTGGCCTCCTCCACCATTGCCCGAAGAAGAGTCAGTACCAGACATGTGACCAAGCCTGTAAGAGTTGTACTTCTCCCTCTCCTGGGAAGTCTTGACCGTCATGGGAAGGGAGCTAGATTCGGAGCAGGCTGGGTCCTGGAAGGGAACCCGAACACCAGCCGTTGCGGATTGCTCCTCATCTGCTGTAGACCCTCCCTCAATCAGGTCAAGGAACAAGGTGGAGTTGGCCGGGAAGGACGAACGTGTGTTGTTCTGGAGCCCTTCGAACAGGCCTGGGAGATGGATTAGTCTCTGTTGGAAGCAAATGAAGGAGATGGAACGGAATATACTTACCCAGTCTGACCGCATCGGCGGACTCCTCGCGAGGGAAGTCCACCGCAACAACCACCGCGCGGTAGTTGGTGTAGTCTTCAGGGTCTAAGAAAATTGAGTCATTCAATTGAGCTCGTAGTGATAATGCGCAGGTATCAGATAAACTTACCAGAAAAACACGGCTCGTCCTTCCCCGAGACAGGGAACCGAAGCTCACATGCAACCTCCGTAGTCGGCGAAGTAAGAATCGGCTGATCACCAGGTAAGGCCAATCCTTCTGACTTTTCGCACACTTCCCCATCCTCTGCCTCTTCTCTACCCGATGGGGGAGTTCTGAAAGGAGAGAGAGGAGAGTTGGGGGAGGACGTAGGAGGTGAGAGGTGAGATCGGGCTGTCTCGTATGACAATGTCATGGTGGTCATCAAGGCAGTGGGAGTAAGAGGTAGCTGGGGTACAGTGACTGTGAGATTGCCAACGATGGCTAGTCGTCGCTCAGTCAGAGCAGTTGGACTGCTCTTTTGGTTTTGCACACCCTGCAAAGAGTCACCACGTAGGGCTAGGCCCGGAGTATAAGCGTCAATCGCAGTATCACCGCCATCACCAAACGTGAGCTCTGCCATCAAACACTCATTACTTTTTTCAGCGCTGGAATCGAGATCGGAGATACTCTCATCCATTGCCGCTTGACGATCCACCGCTTCCGGGCGTTGCCCCTGACCTTCTGGTTCCTCCGAAGAGGTATGATCAAGCTTCTGGGGATTGGTATTGCGCGCAGTTTTGGGGATCTCAGTGGTTGACACCTTGCCAAACAGATTGTTGTCTGCGCCGCCAGACTTCTCCGCCATCCACCTGGTGCACAGCCAGATCCGAATTGGCACAGCCATGGCCTCTCCGTATTCAGTCTGTGAATTGTGATTTGTTAGTACTCATCTCACAAGATCTCTTTGTATGAGAATACTTACCAGATTTGATTGGGCAACACCCAGGAAGTTGACATTGCATTTGTTGATGTTGACAATGACCTGCTCATCTTGGTTCAAAGGTTTCGTCGGCAGAAACTTGTACTTCAGCACGGCGGGATCATCGTCGCTGGTCATCCAGTTCACTCGGCACCCGAAGGTTGTGAATGGAGTTGACCACTTTTCCGTCCCCTTCTTCTTCGACTTCATGATTTTGGTGACCGCAGCTTTTCCCACGATAAAATCGGACATCCCGAGATCCTCGGGCATCTGGAACATGTCGGCCAGATTGTCACACAATCCATCCATTCCGAAGGGGTAGTTGCCCTTGATCACAAATGTAACAACCATGTCCAGGTCCGTGACCTTTAGCTGGAACCCCCCTTGAGGACGGGCATCGTCGGTCTTGTGCAGGTCAAAAGTGGGCCACTCTGACTTCCAGTTTCCGATGCACAGTTCCATCACACCGTTTCCGATCTCCAATTTTGTGCTCTCGTTATGGTAGGGATAACCGATTCCCTTGATGAGGTTCTCAAGCTTCGCTACCTTGACAGCTCTTGGGCGGAGCGCGCCATCCATGGCTGGCTGGGTGATGTCCGATGACATTGTGGAGATGAGGGATCTATACTCATTGTCAGTCAGTATTCTTGAATGGGTTTCAGTTCCCAAGGGCTCACGATACGTTGCAGGTTGTAGCTCGAACCTCAGGCGAGTCTGTTTGATGAGGCTTCTGTCATGCAATGCACCAATGTGATATATTGGAGCTGGATTGATGAAGCCGAAGTGCCTACCTGGTTCTTCGGATCTGCTAGCAATTCTTCGAGACAGCAGCTTAAGCTTTCCACGGTTCCGGGAACCGGATTGTCTGTCTCGAGAATCTGTCAGTCTCATTTCATTTGTTGATGGCCAATGCAAGCTGCTTGGTACATACCTGGCTTCAAATGCGAAGCGACGACGAGGTGCTTTTCCTCGGTCGCAAGAAGATTAAGTTTTGTCTGCTTGGTTGCTTGTCAGCTCACGTCCATCGAGGGTGATGATGTCTCTGTCAGAGGACTCGTTGTTTTACTCCCGTGTGAGCAGGATAGATGTGTGAACTTGGCACCATGCAGGATGACTTGCATGAAAGCAAGCACATACTCTGATGTATGTGAAAGAGCTCACAGAGGTATATGGAAGGGGATGATTGCAGAATGCAGGGTACAGGGTGCGACCAGGCCTTTGAACTCACGACGGAAGAAGAGTCGTGAATGCTCACAATTCTCCAGAAAGGGACTTCTCAGGCAACTGAATCAGATCAAACAATCTCGTGTGTCTTAACGATGATTCAAGAGGTGGAACATTGATTGCATGAGATGATGAAGGATGAATGGGAAGGAAAAGGAAGCAAGAGATGGGAAGAGAAGCAAGACATGAGAAACGAAAGGGGATGGGGACGGTCGAAAGCTTCGACTCACTTGACTTGGAAGCTACAAACCAGGAATTTGGAATCCGACATACAGTAAGATGTTGGATTGCTTTCGTGATCAGACGCGTCCAAGGACGCGTTTGTGGTTGACCATTTGGGATTGATATCTAGGCACATGTCAGGGTCAATAACCAATGACGAAGCTCATTGAGTTCACTGGGTTAATTACGGGGAGGATGCTTGAGTCAAGAGAAGGTGGCATCCGAAGAAGCTCATGAGCTGCCAAGATTGATTATCTGCGAGTCCTAGAAGAGCTTCAGACTTCCGTGGGTTTCCACCAAACCAGTTCCTTAATACGTGATATGATAGTAATTAAGTGACGGCGTATCATTCGTATTGTATCCATCTATCAGGCTGAAGCGACGATATAAGCATCCAATACTTCAGGCCGCGCAAACTGCAAGTTTGTAATTTATGGGGAACCAACTAATGGCCTGAACCGAGTGAAATAGATCTATACTACACATGTTATCATGATCCTGTCTCATAGATCGAAGTATATTCTTGCTGTCATGTTGGCCCTACAAGAGGCGTAGCAGCGTTGCTCAGACAGCTATCGACAGCTCAGAAGAAGGTACAAGATACCTCACCTCAGTACGGAGGACCCGGCTCAGAAACCATTACAGCAATTGAGATGTGGATTTATCGTCAACCTTGCCTCTTTTGCGAAACCCCAAGACATGTCGTTCTGCATGTTGTTAGGGTGCGATGCATCACGTGGGTCACTGGATGCACGGATGCACGGTTCATGTGAATATCACGTGACCATCTTGATTTGGCGCCGGCGATAGAGCCACGACTCGATCCTCGGCAATCCTGCAGTGTACTTGATCTGTTTATCTACTTCCTAAGCAAGCCGCCATTACATTAGGACTAGCTGCAATTCAATCACAGAGCTTTCCATGACTCCAAATTCTTCATCAGAAAATGCCGGTCTGCACTCGAAACTGCGACTCGGTGAATCCATTCACACCAAGTACTAGGCAACTAGAAAATGATCAAGTTAGCGGGACTTGCTCAAGCCAAAATACATCTACTCACATGGCACAGGACTTCATTGCCTGCCGTAAAAAAAAATGGCTGACGTTCGAGGTGCCAGCTCTGACGATGCAGCTATTGGCTCTCAAGTCGTGAGCGGCTAAGCGCCCACGGCAGCTATATTTGGCGATTTTGCTACCCCGGCGCTTTTGACAACAACATCAGCCAGTTACATGCATCGGCAATACCTGAAACAAACCCTGGTACAGATCTCCTGTCTCGGGCTTTATTTTTATGTTTCCTTTGTTTCGACATAGTCATGATTCACTCTGAGTGGCTGTCCCACGTTTACGGGGCTGGCAACTCCATCGAACCGATTCTTTATTTAACAAATTAGGCCTTTGGTAATGTCTGCTGCCGCCCAGGATGTCTGATAACTTACATTCTAGGTTTTCCGACTGCTATATTTGATGGCTCTTTGTTCCATGTTTTATACTGCTTCTATTGTTCTCATTCCGCCCACCCGTTCTACTCATCTATTGATCTCCCATTCATTCACCCCCAATAAAACATTATATACAGCATGCTCCGCTGCTAGGCTGATCACTTCCTTTCCTTTCCTTTCCTTCTCTTTTTTTATTCTCGACGATACCCTGCTTTGATGCAGACTTTGCATAATCTTACTTGACTTCGATTCTATTTCCGAATCCCTGTGCAGGTTTTCGCTGGACGAGATCACACCAAAAGCCGTCAACAACTGGGATAGTTTTGAAGCAAAACCAATCACGATGCTATTCTCTCAGTCCGGCAGAACGATATTTCCCCTGCTTCCACCATATGGGGCTCACGACTCCAGTACAGGGCGCATAATCCCTCTCCATCCAGACGGTCTCACTCCTTATCTCGGCCTCAGGGCTCGACTATCACAAGTATGGATCAACCGATGGACTATACTTCTGTTGCTCGTTCTAGTTCGGCTTTTGATTGCAGCCGGCTCCTTACAATCCGACATGGCGTCTGCCAAGCGAGAGTCTTTGTCCGCATGTACATCTGTGGAATCTATGGGTAGCGCGATGGCTTCGATGCCCTATTACCTCTCCACAGGTGTCAACAAGCTTACAGCTTCTGCTGTTGATGATGCTGTTGATGGCTTGAAGACCATGTTGCTACTTACCATCACGGCCCTCGGAGAAATCATCTATTTTGTCCTCAACATGATGTACTCTACCTACGCCTGTCTAATCGCCGTAGCTGTCAATGGCACAATAAAAGCTGGCATTGAAGTTGTCGAGGCAGCTACCGGATGGATCAACGAGACCCTGGTCGGAATCGGCGACGACATTGAGGGCGTTGTTGGCAAATACCAGAGCGAAGTGGACACCATAATCTCAAAGTTCAACACTGCGGCCACCTTGTTCGACAAGGACTTCAAGCCTCTTGATCTCAACAACACAATCGATACACTGGAGAATCTGTCATTGCCGTCATCTGTCAATGACACAATCTCGAAAATGGACGATCTCATCCTGCCCGACTTCACAACCCTTCAGGCCGATGCTAAGAAGCTCATCATGTTGCCCTTCAAGGAGCTCCGGGACCTAGTCAACGACACTTTGGGCGCATACAGTTTTGACTCTTCCGCCCTTCCAATTCCTGCAAAGAAGCAGTTGGCATTCTGCGATGGCAACAACGGAATCAACGATTTCTTCGACGGCGTCACCAGCCTGGTTGTTACAGCACGCAAGATTTTCATTGCTGTTCTTCTCATTGTAGCCATCTTAGTGTGTATTCCTGTTGCTTGGCAAGAAATACGACGATGGCGCTCAATGAAAGAGCGGTCTCAATTGGTACGCAAGGAGGCACACGACCCAATGGATGTTGTCTACATTGTCTCGCGGCCGTACACTGCTGCAGCGGGTATCAAAGCAGCAAGCCGTTTCAGCAACAGCCGTCGCCAAATCCTTGTTCGGTGGGCCGTCGCCTACGCAACATCTTTACCCGCACTCTTCGTGCTGGCTCTTGCTTTTGCGGCACTATTCGCATGTTTCTGCCAATGGTTGCTTCTTCACCAAGTGAAGAAGACCGTTCCCGAGCTGAGCGCCGAGGTGGGCGAGTTCGCAGACAAGGTCGTCGGCGCATTACAAAACGCCTCAGTTGAATGGGCCACCGACGCCAACAAAGCCATCGACAAGGTTGACAGTGGCCTCAACGACGATGTCTTTGGATGGGTCAACAAAACCGCAGGATACATCAACGGAACCCTCAACTTCTTCATTTCCAACACATCCGACACCCTGAACTCCACCTTCTCAGGCACCGTCCTCCAAGGCCCCGTCAACGACCTATACTACTGCCTAGTCAAGCTCAAAGCCGAATCAATGCAAAAGGGTCTAGACTGGATAGTCGACCACGCACACATCTCCCTACCGGCATTTCCAAACGACACATTCTCCGCAGGAGCCTCAGACAGCATAAACAGCACCTCAAACCCATCCGACAGCTTCCTCGCCGATGCAGGCGACGAGACATCCAACAAAATAACCGAAGTCGTCATTCGCGTCATCAACAAACTAGAAGAAGCAGTGCGCATCGAAGCAATCATCGCAACATGCATCCTGCTAGTCTGGGTATTCATCGCCTTGATCGGTATCAGTCGCGCTATGCTCCTGTTCTGGGGACGCGAGAAGCCTCGCGGGGAAGGTGGTCAAGGCCACATCCTTGATCCTGTTCCGCATGGTCCACATGGTCCCCAGCCTGTCCATGATTCTCATGGCTTCGATGAAGTCCCGCTTACGGCTATGCCGAGGAGTATGACTGCCGATGGGCATGTGGCTCCTCAGTATACGGCTACGTCGGCGAGTTCTGCGCCTGTGCAGGGTGGGCCTCCTTATGGGGATGAGAAGGTTGGGTTTGCTGGGCAGAGGAATTATGGAAATGCGCTGCAGGTGGATGCCGGGCCTGATTTTAGGGGGAGCAGTTATGTTGAATATGGTGTGAAGCGGTGAGGGGATTTTCTGTTTCGTGGACGTCTTAAAGGTTTTTTTGTTTGTATCATCGCATTCGGGGGAGTATGTAGGCATTACTCTCGGTGAAATTGGCGTTGTATTATAGTGATTCCCAGCAACAAGGCAATTTATCCTTCGAAGAAAAAAAAAGAAAAAAAAAAAAAGGAAAAAGAATACTGCAACATTAAAATGACAGATTTTGGAGTAGTGCATTGTCTGATTCTACGGATTGGTCAAGAATGAAGAGAGATATCGATACAGTCTGATAAGATATAGTAACAAAATCAAAATGGCATTTCCTCATACAAATAACAATTCATGAAGTCGTATAATTTAAATAGCAACAAAGAAACTCTTCTCCCCCTCCTTAGGCTGGACCCTAGCGCGCTCAATAATCGGATCAGCACAACTAATCCGGATCCGCTCAGGAGTAGCCGGACTTTCCAGATGAAGCACATCAGTAACATTCCACTGCTTACGCGCAGCCTTCAACGCATCACGGATAGCGAAGAAGACCGCACTACCCATAAACAATGGCGGTTCACCAACACCACGAGAGCGCTGGATCGTACGCAGATTCTCCCACTCAACATCCTTGAGCAAACTGACATTGAAGATCTGCGGGATATCACGGAAACCGGGTATCTTGTAGTTACCCGGGCCTCTGGTGAAGATTTGGCCGGAGGCGCGGTGCCAGAGACTTTCTTCTGTAGTGAAGAGGCCTTGGCCTTGGATGTAGGCGCCTTCGACTTGGCCGTAGTCGATTGAGGGGTTGATGGTGCGGCCGACGTCCATTTTGACGTCTGCACGGAGGGGTGTCCAGTCGCCTGTTAGTGTGTCAATCTGGACTTCGGCGGCTGTTACACCTTGCGTGAAGTAGAAGAACATTTGGCCGCTGTTTTCGCCCCATACGTAGCCGATGTCTGGGGTGCGGTAGTATCCTTGGGCGGAGAGGTTGACTCGGTCGAAGTAGGCTGCGTGGGCGAGGTCCTTCATTGGTGCGTTTGGCATCTTCTCGCGATAAGGACGGAGGCGCTCGTTGAGTTGCTCGCAAGCATTGAAAATGGCGTAGCCGTTGAGGTCGGAACTTGCTGAGGCGGCTGTGGAGGATGTGTTGGCTACTGTGTTGGTAGCTGTCTCGGAGATGAATACGTCCGCTTGTGGGACTTGTAGTGCCTCGGCGGCGATCATGGTCATCTTTGTATGTAGACCTTGACCCATTTCAACACCGCCGTGCGCCACGAGGACACTTCCATCATGGTAAATGTGAACCAGGGCACCTGCTTGGTTCAAGAACAGAGCTGTGAACGAGATACCGAACTTGGTTGGCACAATTGCCATTCCACGTTTGGACCACTTGTGCTGTGCATTGTACTCCTCCACAGCTTTTCTGCGCTCATTGTAAGAACTCTCTTCAATCACTTGGTTGTACATTAGCGGTACATGCCAGTCTTTGAGAGGCTGGTTGAAATGCGTAGTTTCATCCGGCTGGTACATGTTGATTGCCCGCACATGCTCGGCAGACATGCCCAAATGATCTGCGATCTCTTCAATGTAGCTTTCGGCGAAGAAGAGACCTTGGGGTCCACCAAAGCCACGGAATGCGGTGTTCGACACAGTATTGGTCTTGCAGATCCGGCCACGAACATTGACATTCGGGATTTTGTACACGCCATCAATATGCGACAAACTTCGCTCCACGACAGCGCCAGAAAGGTCCTGTGTGTGGCCTCCGTTTGCAAAAACGTCGGCATCAAGGGCAAGTAACTTTCCTTCCTTGCTCACTCCGACCTTCCAATGGCAAAGGAATGGGTGGCGTTGGCCGGAAGTCAGGATGTCTTCGTCACGGTTGAGCATACACCGGACAGGCCGTCTAGTCTTCGCTGCGGCAGTGGCGCACAACCCAGCTAATTGGACAGATCGTGTCTCCTTGCCGCCGAAACCACCACCAAGACGTTTCACGCGCGAGACAACCTTGTTCGCGGCGACACCTGTGACCTGGGCAACATAGGCTTGTCTGTAGAAGCAGTTAGCTCAAAAATTCATATGAAGTAGAATTTTGTAGAACTTACGTCTCAGTAGGGTTCTGAGTACTACTCCAAATCTCCATTTGACCATCCTCTGGTAGTGGGATAGCCACACAAGCCTGTGTTTCCAAGTAGAAATGCTCTTGGCCACCCATTCGCGAGACACCAGTGAAGATGTGATCGGCATCCTTGAACGCTTCCTCGGTATCACCACACTTAATGTAGCGGTAGTGCTCGAAGTAAGATTCGGCCTCAATGGCCTCTTCCATGGTAAGGATACTGGGCAGGTCTTCATACTCCACCTTAACAGCCCTCATACCTTCCTCTGCGATCTTAGCCGTAGTAGCCAGGATCAAGCCAATTGGCTGACCAGCTGTTGTAACTTCATCGACGGCAAAGAAGAGCTCATCAGACTTGGGCGCTCCCCACCAATTTGCTTGTGGGTTAGGAAGATCCGTGTGGTCCACATAGTCCGCAACGCCTGGAATATCCAAAGCAGCAGAAGCGTCCACGCTGAGGATCTTGGCGTGAGCCCTGGTGGAGAGAACCATGCATGCGAATAGTTCATTCTGCTGCACGGGGATGTCATCGGTGTATTGAGCCTCTCCAGTAGATTGCTTCAAGGCCGCGACATGCGGAGTTGCTCGTCCGAGGATCTTCTGCTGATAAGCGACTGAAGACTCCTGGTCTTTCTCTCCCGATGAGATAGCTCGTTCAATCTCGGCCACGACGTCTGGGTCCAAATCTGATGCCTTGACCTCGAGTCCCGAAAGGACATCGTAGTAGAATCGATAGAAGAAGCCCAATGCCAGAGACTTGCGGTAGCTGGCCATGCCACCGGGAACACCGAATGGCAGATTGAAGTCCTCCTCCAATGCACTCATCACACCCTCAAGTGTCGCAGGGTTTGTAAACTTCTTGCCAACCAAGAATTCTTGGGCGTTCTTTGCCGATACCGTCATAGCTGCCATGCCACCAAACACGAGGTTTGCACTGACCACATCATTGGTCTCAGACAGAGTCACCCGTAATGCGGCGTTGACGATAGCGATATCGTCGTCCTTACGCTTGGCCTGTTTGTAGGCTCGCATATGCTCGCCCTGCTTTTGCGCAACCGGAATGCGTAAACTAGCGATGATTGCATTTGGAGCGAGGGCAGTCTTTCTGTACCCTTGGAAGAACTCAGTCATAGGAATCTCAGTTTCGCCCTCGAGAGATTTGGCCACGAGGATAGTGTTAGTAGCCACAAAGACAGGGTTGAGATCTGAAATTGGCGAGGCAGTGGCCAGGTTGCCCGCCGGAGAAGCGACATTCCGGATTTGTCGGCCAGCGAAATACATCAACTGCTTCTTGATCGCTTTGAAAGGCTGACCTCGAGCGTCGCCATACTTCTCAACCGCTTGGTCACAGATATGCTCGAGGTCAGTCAAAGACACGTTGGCGCCGATTTCCAGGTAATCATCGTGCAAGGTAAATTGTCGCAGTTCAGGAATGTCTCCCAGATATACGGAAGCCGCATAACGCATAGCCTTGAACTTGACCTCAATCTGTGTTTCGGTACTTCCGCCGATCAATTTAGCCTCCGGGTGGATATGCTTGATTTGCAGCAGTTGATCCACAGTCACAGGCCGGTACCACTTCTTCTTTTTATTGCCATATGCCAGTGGGCGGTATTCGTGTTTTCGCAGCGCAGCAGGGAAAATCAGCTCCGTGTCTGGGCTGTATGGTTTAAAGTTTGGCGCAGGGAATTTGTAGTCGACTGTTTCGATTTCGTTGCCATTTGAGGATCCTTTGCAACAGCCACCTGAACCATTCTTCTCCATGCAGCAGCCTGAGCCTCCATTGGCGGAGGCTTTACCGCAGTTGTTTTTCGAGTTGAAACTTTGGGCGGCATCGAGGATCGGTCGGTAGCCGGTACATCGACAAAGGTTCCCATCGAATGCTTCTTCGACATCGTGTTCTGAGGGAGATGGGTTGTTTCGTAGCAAGGCATAAAGAGACTTGAAGTGGTCAGTCAAGGGAAAACCTCGGCAAGATACTAGGCCAAAATGCCACATGGGCGTACCATCACAATTCCTGGAGTGCAGAAACCGCATTGACTTCCATTCCCGACCGCAATTCGCTGCTGGATCGCGTGGGGTTCCTTCACATTTCCAATGCCTTCGACTGTAATGACGTGTTTACCGTCAATGCTGACTACAGGAGCGATGCAGGCATTCACAGAGGCATGGTAAATCTTCTTCGTTGTGGGATTGACATGAGAGACGACCTATTGAACAAATGGACATTAGGTCAGTCTATCCCGAGACAACAGTCTGCACTCGATATATATCGTGACTCACCACAGTGCAAGCACCACAGCCTCCCTCAGCACAACCAAGCTTGGTTCCTGTCAACCCAATCCCCCGCAGGTATTCGAGAAGAGTCACTTCAGGATTGACTGTGTCCAAGGCAACCTTGGTGCCGTTGAGATAGAACCGGATTGTATCGTCCCAGTCCTCGGTCAAAGCAGACAAGCTGGTGGCCTTCTGAGCCGCGACCGCGGAGTCCGTTTCTAGGATTCCCGGCGCCATAATGTTCTTATCGAGATGTGGCAAAAAATAGAAACAAACAACCTTCGTTTCAAGGGCGAACTTGGTAGTGCATCTTGTGGGGTTTTTATAAGAAGTAGGTCCGCAACGACTTGCCTAAAGTTATCAGCAAGATGAGGTTTCAGAAAGTCAGTATTACAAGAGGGGAAGTCCAAACGATGAGGTGAGGACGAGTATCATGTGCTCTCCCACTCCGGACTTGTTATCTTGCGGGGATCGCCACTGTCCGATGCTCATCCGGCTTGGCGCCCTATCATCGTGCCCTGATTACTTTACGCCTCCACTATCATTCCAAGCTTTGTCACTTCAATACTGGTGAAATTTCTCTATATATCCTTTGCGCCAAACCAAAAATATGCAAGAATACATATAACATACTTAT